CTTCTTCTTCTTCTTCTTCTTCTTCTTCTTCTTCTTCTTCTTCTTCTTCTTCTTCTTCTTCTTCTTCTTCTTCTTCTTCTTCTTCTTCTTCTTCTCCTTCTCCAGCACTGTCGCTATCAGTTCCGGAAGAGTCGCATTGTAGGGCTGATCGATTTGCGAAATCATCTCGAATTAGGGCGAGAGCGTGTTGAGGATCTCGGGAAAGTACAACAGATATCCTGCCGACTGGGACAATTTGACCATGGAAGGATTCCCACTCCGGAAGCATGTGAATAAAAACCAGAGGCGCGGTAACTTCCAAATGTGGATAGTCATATTCTTCAACGTCAAAGTCAAAAGTAGCAATCCTAACAATTCCGTAGGCAAGCCTTTGAAACGTCGAGTCGTTATAACGACTGCACAGAATATGCCTCCACTGGAACGCAAAGTCAGCGAGCGCCCTGCAAACAAAAGCTTTGCGCCGCGCCAGACACTGCAAGTCTAATCCGACATGCTGCATTTCCCAATATGGTGGTTGGAAACCAAGATCCAAGGTGTGGTTTGGGGGCGTTGGGCGTTCGTAAGGCTCGAAATCGGAAATGAGTATGGGACGCTGGCGAACTAGACTAAGAGGGACATAAAGACTGTGGTCCTTCTTGTTGAATCGTAGAATATCGCCGTCTAAGTCAAAAATCCAAACCGTTTCAATAATAACGCTTCGTGGGTCATCAAAAACATCGATGATGTCGTCCTGTTGATACCACTGTACTGAAAAAGTAGGGTACAACTTATCAAAGGTAGATGCTATTTTTGTTAACCTTTGCCATCCGCGTAGAAAACTATTGTACTTACTTTGTGCTTCGCCTATAAGCTGTCTTGAGAAGAATTCCAACATATCTTCGTCGTCGAAACAAAGCCGGTCACTAGAAAGCCGGTCACCAAAATAGACGGTTCCTGGCACGGTCAGATCAGAGATGAGCCATACATCGAAAACAACATACCCTGTCGGGCAATATATACGAAAGTGGCTATAGTGAACATCGGCATTTTTGAAGCTTAGCGTGGGAAGCGTATGGAGTATGGTATGGACACAGATTTGACGAGGGAGGGGTCTGGTGGGGTTACGAACTTTCCGCTAGCCGCATTGGGTCATTTCGCGATCACTGCTATTATTATCAATGGTTTTTCCTTTCCTGGCTCTCATACTTTACTTCATGCCACTTCTTGCCAGCAGACGGATGAGAGATGAATGTTGCATTGAGTGAGGAACACATGAAACATTGTCCCAACTAAAGATGTACTGAATAGAACTAGCTTGCACGAAAGGCAGCTATTTTTGTGCGGTATATACGAGTGCTTCTTTGTATGAGATGATAACCAACGTCATACCTTACAAAAAGCCATCAATAAAATATGTACTAGAAAGAAAGCGTAACACTGAGCCTGCTTGGGCCGAAGTGATGTGTTGAAAAATGACACCATTGCTCAACTGTCCACGGCTGGATGCATTTGCAGCAGCATAGAAGGTGTCCTGGCACCATCAAGCCTTGAGTCTGTACAGCAACGTACCATGGCCAAAGACGTCGAACCCTCCTGAATTTGGTCCGAAGTCACCACCACCTCCCTCAATGTTCTCCGTTGAGTTCCCATTCACCATGTCTCGGTATGCCTTTGACCATGATGCGTCAAGACCTTTCAGTTCTGCATAGTGCGAATAGATTGCCTCAAATCCTGGGCGTATGTTATATCTCTGTGCATCGGAGATTTCGTTTCGAACCCCCTCGTAAGTATTGTAGGGCTTGAAAGGAACAGAGTGACCAGTGTTGTACTTGGCGGCATACTCAGCACTGTCATGTTGTCAGTCATATTAATCTCATGGTGAAGTGTTTTCAACGTACCCATTGAGAATCTGGTTGCCGAACAGGTTGAAAAGGTCCACTCCTTGATTGTATCCCTGCTGCCCAATCACCCCCAGAAGGGCGAAGCAAAGCAAAGCGTGGCCTTGATCTCGACCTGCCTCCTGTCCCTGCATCAGGGGTTTTCCGGAGGTTTCCTCAGTGAAATTGGCAATGGAGAAAAAGGGAAGTGCACCATTGGCTACTGCGCCGTCCGCTGGGCCATTTTTGAAGTACTCGACTGCGTAATTGTACATAGTAGAGTTATCAACAAAGGTGCCGATAGCCATCAAAGAAGCAATATTGCACAAATACCAATTCGCATAATAGTGGTCAGGTATGCCATTGTGGTGATCAAGAAAGTCTCGGTTCATAGGTGCGAAAACATTCTTTAGCATGGCGCCGAAGGCACTTTGGCTCTTCGCGGGCCATCCCGAGAAGGATCGAAGTAGCTCTCCGGCGTTGGCGAACTGATAACCGTACAATCCCGCTGCTAGGAACTTGTCACTACCTCCATCGATGCCTTCCAGGGTAGATGCCCAGGCATCCAAGACCCCCACGGCAGCCGTTGCAAATGTAGTGTTGCCAGTGATGATCCACCGCAAAGCTAGCTGGTAGGCCGAGTGCGCATCACGATAGGCACTCGGATAGTTCTCGGTAAGACCGTCTACTTTTCCTCGGACAATGACCGTCTTGGGATTCGGTTCGCGAGTCGGTTGTGCGAGCGAATTGGCCGATAGATGGGCGAAGGCTTTGGACCATGGTTCGTCACCCTTTTCTACGTGTCCCCGAATACGGTCGAGGTCGCCTTGTGTGTGTAGTGAACCCGGATGCTTGAATTGCTTGACTGCCTGCACTCGATTGATTCCGCCCTGTCTGTGACGGTGTTGCACTTGTCGGCCTGGCCCAAACGATGTGCTGGCTTGTACTGAGCCAAGGCCAGATATGAAGAGTAAGAAGGAGAGGTTAACTCGCATATTGAACAGGTACAAAACACTAAGAAGTTAAAAGGCAATGAAGCTGTCAAATTGATAGCCTGAAATGCCCTGACACCAACGAACATACATTACTTATATTTTAAGGCTCGTTCACTCGAGGCGATACAAAGCGGGAGACGCACAAATCTCAGGGCCGCCCCCTAATTGTAGAGGGGTAAATGGCGAGGGTGCGACGTCCGTCCTTTCTCCGTCAAATAAAGTACACATCGTACTAACCTAATTGTTGTCTTCATTGAACAAATCAACTCCAGGTCCCATGGCCGTGCTATCTCCTGGGTTGTTTCTCTCCCAAGCTGGCGAGAGTCCCGAAACTAGAGTCGTATCTACAAGTATACAAGCAATTGGGTGCTTTTGATCTACCGTAGCGAGTCTCAAGGAAATTATGATAGACTACTTCAAGCACGGACGCACAGCAACTCGACAGCATTTAACAGCCAGTACAATGCTCGATGTTAGATTTGTGGATGTAAAAGAATGATTATTACTCCGTACAGCATCTAATTATCAATCAGTGCATATCGTGGAATCATCCTTCTTCAGTGGTGGTATTTGAAGCGGTTTGAGGCTCTCGAAATTCGATGGCTCATCACGGACAGCGGTCGTTCACGGGTAGACTGGCAAGGGTTCACCATCCGTGTCATTTAACTATGACCGTACCCTAAGCTTCCTCCAACATTTACAAAGGTTTGAAAATCAACACCTTCGTATCATGAGCCTCGACTGAGAATCGACGCCTGCTATTAGAATTAAGCAGTACATGATCTTCTGACCATGCATCCTCTATTTCGTACTCAACTTCTCGTAAATTGGGCACGTTCTCGAATGGTACTTCTATGTCTTGTGTCGAATTGCGTTCATTGAGAATCAAAACCACAGCGCTGCCTCCATGTAGAGGTCCTGACCAAACCTGGTGTGAATGTTCCTCGCCCAGTGATGGAATGTACTGCGCCGCTGTCCCCAATGCGTCTTGTGAAATCGCCAAAATCCGTTTGTTCATAAGCAACGTCAATGTTTCGTTCGAGATACTCGATAAATCAGTACTGATCATGAGAGGACTCTTGAGAGCAGCCCAGAAAGAAAGTTGAGTGCGCTCCTGTGCCAGAGTCAGATGTCCAATCTCCAATCCATCCATGTCGGCCCAAGCAGCACCGCCCTGGACAAAAGGTGCGATCTCTCTCATTTTGCGAATTATGGTGAGAACGCTACAGCCTGCATATCCAGTGTTGAGACAGTATGCTGTTTTGCAGGCGCAATCACCGGGGCCATCTAGGAACAAGGGTTTGATGTCTCCCGACATACGATACGATTGCGCTACATCTGAATAAAAATCAGCCTTTTTGAACGGATATCTAAGTTCGTTATGGGTACCATACGATCGGCCCAGTACCATGGGAATTGGTAGCCCCACTCGCAAAGAGCATAAAAGATATCTCTTCCAGACTGCAAAAGCGCATTGCGCATTCGCGAGAATCTTTCCGCTGGACTGTGGGTCCCGGACTCAAACCCGCCGCAATTGTCGTATTTGAGATAATCGACACCCCACTCCGCATAGGTTGCAGCATCTAATTCTTCGTAACCCCAGGAACCGGGCTGGAACCCACAGGTGTAGATACTGTAATCAACTCAGTCGTCATTCCATTGTCAACAGGTACTCTCTGATATGGACCATACCCAGCATCGCTATAGATCCCAAGTTTAAGGCCCTTGGAGTGTACATAGTCTGCGATTCTAGCAATGCCGTCTGGGAAGAGTGTTGAATTGGGTTGCTGCCGGCCATTTGCGTCTCTTTCGTTGGCTTGCCAGCCATCGTCAATTACAAGATACTCGTATCCTGCGTCGCGAAGACCCGAAGCCACCAGTTGGTCAGCAGTCTCTTTGAGTATCGTTGCATTGATTTTCAGCTTGAATGCATTCCAACTGAAGCCTATTAGCAATGGCAACAACCATAGAATATCACCTCTTTTTGCTCACCTATTCCATCCTAGTTGAGGGCCTTTGCTCACAGTGTTTGCTTGTACGCTCGGGAGAAAGCAAAATCCAAACGCAATAATAGTTTTTACAGTAGTAGCGATTTTGTTGCCCTGCATCTTGGTCGGCGAAAGATTTGGCTGAAGTAACAGTTCACGACGTGTGCGATCTTTAACATCCAGGTATCTAGGTAGGATCGAAACTTATTACTCTCGCCTTGCTGTCACAGTTATTGCAAATCAATTAAAGCACGAAAGATCCCCCGCCCAACGAGCGGCGTCGATCTATGCTATAATGATAACAGCAGCCGGTCCGCAACATAGCCCGTAGGCCGCAGATCAAGGATCACGATGTTGTTTAACCACCTTCAAGGAACCATTGTTCTTTCACACTCGTTGTCGAAGAATAGTGTTCATAACCGACATATTCGCATTGCCGAATACCATACAGCAACTGCAGTACCATGATGTTTACGTTTGCCATTACTCGCTGTCATTGTTACCTCGTACTTCTTTCAGTCTTGATCGCGCAAGTCAACTGCTTGAGTAGGCAACCCCTTAGCTATGCGAAAACACCGGACAGCGTCTACGTCCCTCCCAAAAACAATGTCACGACATTGTTAGATATCATAAAATCACGAGATGACTTGAGTGAGCTCGCTAAAAGCCTAGAGGGACCAGCAGGTATTACCAGTGTCAAAGCGTCGATTAGCAGGTGACCCTTCTAATAATGAGCAGGCTTCGTGACGGCGTTTGATACACCAGCAACATGGAATTACACTTTCTTTGCGCCGAGTAACACTGCTTTCAACAACACTGGAGCGTATTATTCGACTTTCAAAGCCACTCCTAAGGGGAAATGGTGGCTCGGAAATTTGCTGACCCATCACTATGTTCCGAATTCGATCTTGCGCAAGGAGGATTTCAATGAAACGCTGTCGCGATTGCAGACAGCGACGTTCTTGTACGTGAGCGCGCAACAACATGACGGAATTGTCACCCTCAACAAAGTGGCCAAAGTCACAGAATCTGATATCTTGGTGGGTGCGAATGTATGTTACAACAACCAGATAAACTGTGAAATGCTCGGCTTCGACTTACTAGCAGCAGGGTATTGTCCATATCATCGACCATGTACTGGATCCGTCTGCTCAGATATTCGCGCCTGAGCTGCCCAAGGTCAGCCAAGGCTTCATTCCGGGAAGTTGTTCGAATCCAAATCTTCCTTACTGTTAGTTGGATGATGTTCAGGGTCTCGGGTCGGTTTAGGCGGAAAACCAGAGGAGTATGAACGTACCATGAGGTGCATAGCCTTTATAGAGAGATTCTAAGTGTATGATGTTTTACGAATCAAACTATCGTCACATGTGGCCTCATAGGGTGCGGTCGCTTCCTCGTAGGCCTCCATTAGACAAAGGAACCCGACATTACGGGTCACAACTCTCCATCACCGCTTGCTAGTAACCCATAGGAAACAAATGTGAAGACAGACAGTTAGAGGTGTGATATTATGCCACGAACACTTAGCGGAGGCACGAGACATCTCTACAATCTATGCAAGGGAATGCATTGATGTTGCTTACACTCAACAGGTTGCCGCGCAAGAGAATGGCATCCGCGGTTGGCATTCTTGAAATCTCGTTCCCCGCATGGGCGCGAGGAACTAGCACCTCCGAAAGAAACTTCTCCGCGACATGTTCCACTCTACCCCAGAAAACTCCATCACTTGCTCGGCAATTGATTTGAGCAACTTTGTGGGGTATGCGAAAGAAGCATAGTCTCAAGTGTCGGACTATTCTACGGGTTTTTCCCGCCCTGCCGAGACAAATCTCGCTACATAGCCTGGCTTTCGTGCATTCTGATGTGAGGGCCGTTGCGACTGGTGTTGAGGCTAGAGTAGCCGCTGTCAGTCTACACAGTAAGTACGCCAAATGAACTGAAGCAGCCACCACAGATGATGAACAATGGAAAAAGAGGTGTAATGATGAAGAAGGTGGCCCGGGGTGGATACAGTTGATGAATATGAATAGGTCGTACCATGCCTTGCGTGGGTTCTCGGCTGGGATATTGGGGTTCGTTCCTACGGGGCTCATTGGCAGCCAAAGCTACGGGTACGTTCAAGTACAAATCACATACAACAGGGAGCGCAGTACAGGCAGGTGCCTCCAATCCGACTTGATTGGAAAGTCGTGATCAGTCATGGTATGCGCTCTTCATCATTCAGAGTTGAGATGTTTTGCAAGAAAGTCCTGGTGGTCTAGAACAAAGGCCCGGCAGTCAGCGGCAAATGAAGATTCGACTTGCTGACTGTATGTGCATTTCCAAGTCTACAGCGCATCGCAGCCTATCGCCGACTGTACCCTGTGGATATTCTGTACTCTGGTATAGATCTTATTGGAGTTGGCCAGTTGGAAAAGCAGAAGCAAATTCAGGCAATACAAGACGCGGAAATTCTGGAAAGTTTGGGTTTTTGGTCTTCATGCTATGATGTATGCGTGCATCTTCGTTATGATCGTGGCATACGAGCTTGCACAAATTCTGTGAAGAAAACTAATTAGCTCGCGATAATCCAGATTATTTACTGACGAGGAATACGGTATACCTAGGTAGAGAATTGATGCCCGTACGTAGTCGGTGTGAGTAAGGTCCGGAATTCGCCCTTGGTCGGATGGCGTCACGGGACAGGAGGCTAGTCCAATTCACGATCCTCTTGAGGGCGCTTCATCGTTCGATACGACCTTCTGTGCCTCTCTTCCGTGGTCCCGTTGATACTCGTAGCACGCGAAGCGCGTTCATAGTACATACACCTCACGATGTACGACCAACGATTTCTTGACCATCGCATGGGATTCGGATAGATCCCACGAACCCGCGTGGATCGCGGGATGGGCTTATCTGTCAGCCCATTAACGCGACATGTCAAGCTGATGATATCTGACCAGCTCGCCACCACGGCCGCCTACTCGTAGAGTGGGTGCTTCGACCTGCCCTGCTTCCGACCTCTTTCTGGAAAGACTAGCAATAACAATGGGCGACGCGGATGATTGTTCTCTAGGAATTCGACGATTCTGTGCCTTGGAAAATCCCGCGTGACATCATCATCCCTGCTGCCACGTCCCTGAAATCGTTTGTTAAGCGGCTCCATCCGTACGCTTTGTTCCAATCAGTACTGTCTTCGGGACTCGGGGCTCCAATCGTGATCTGCCAGCTCATCATGCCATATGCCACCTCTTTTGGAAAGTCAGATTGACCGCATGCCTCAACCCGTCACCGTCAAATTCCGACTACGGAGTAGAGTTCGTGGGGTTTCGTTGGGGAAGAAGTTGGTGGGCTTCGCCCTCTTATACCTGTGAAGACCTTCTTATCTCCTCCAAGGCCCGAATCGGCAATCCTCAGAACCTGTTTTGAAGCGATATGGGCGTAGTGGTGAGTACCGACAATGATGCAGCGTTGTTGCAGCGAAAGAGAGTACCCCGAGGCTGATGGGCGGCTGCTGAAACTTCTCTTAGAGCCCTACCACCGATCCCGCAAATGTCGTGCAGGCGCTTGTTTACACGCTACTAGACGTCTTTGACGCCGCAAGAGATCTTCATCTCACGTTGAAGACCAAGGAGAAGCGCGATTATGAACACAGCTTGAGATCGAAGGGGTATCCCGAATCAAGGAGGATAGAATACATTGACGAGAATGGCCTTAGCACCAATGATGACGGTATCGTCCTGGATAAGGCCGCGGTGACGCGCAAGTTCGAGGATGGATTTCACGAGATTGGCGCTCACTTTGCCGTAGGAGATGGTAAATTCATTCCTACCACACTGTGCAACGAATCAAAGGACTAATGTTGGACTATGTAGTCGTTTCACAGACAGGACTACAGTCGCAAATCATCACATTGCAGTCCGTCCTGATCAGCACTTTTCTGTATGGACCGACTGGATCAGATTCGATATCGCATCAGATATCCAGCCTGTTGGACGCCTCTCGTGCCGCAGGGATGACAGCCGTCGATATTTTAGCCGCCCAACATCAACGACAGCTTGCAAGCCGAGCACTCAGTGCACGACCTACGCCAGTTCCTACGTCACGGCATGGACAGCTGCCGCCGCCTGCTCCATACCCCGTGACGACCGTACCTTCTGGCAGTACATCCTCAGCGCTTGTGAGAACGCGACAAGAGCCAGCAATACCTACCAACCCCACGATAGCGGAATTAAAGAGTAGACCGCGTGCAACACGGACAGATACTGAGTCGACTTCGTTCTCAGAGCCGATCTCAGGCGGGGCCGAAACCTCGCCGAGCACCTCATACTGTGACTACGCTCGGGATCTACAGCGACATTCAAACCAGGCACTCTCATCGAGCATCACATCTACCTCCTCACCTTACTGTCCATGCTGCAGACGCGACCTGCACCTTGCGCCCGGTAAGTCATGGGAGGTCTACAAGGACGACGAAGGGCCCGAGCGATGTTTTCGGGTGCAGAACCGCTTCATCGTCAAGTGCCATCGAGATACCGCTGACGGAGGCTACTCGTGCGTGTTGTGCTCACGAGGATCGAACATGGATACCATCTGCGGTGACGTGAAGGCGCTTGTCCGGCACGTCTGGATGGATCACGACGTGACGGAGCTGCAGTCCGAGCCAGACATTGTTGAAGTTGTCCAGAGGGTTGATGACCGAAGGCGTGACAGTGGAGCTGCCTTCTCAGACAGCAAATGGGGTGGAAGTAGACGGAGCGTCAGCCTTGGGCCGAACAGACGGCCAGAGCGGAGGTCAGGCCTCGATCGAGAGACGGGAAGTCTTCGCAGAAGATCTCCAAGGTGGGATTGATCGATGGTGATTTCTTTTTTTTCTATTATGAAGCGGCATCGTCGGCCGCTTGAATGAACATCGTCGGCCGCTCCAATGAACGAGCGATGGATGGGATATGCACTTGTGACACCTACTTCTTGATACGTGCTATGGCTTCGGCTGAGTTGTACGACGTACAGAGTGCGCCGTACTGTTGTATGATTACCACTATACGATCATGATTCATTCTTCTCAAGATCCGTGCCGTTGTGTGGTCACTAGCAGTATAACGATCGTGATTTGTTTTTCTCGAGATTCTTTCCGGTTGTGGACCAGAATTCGGCGGAGCGCAAACCCACCGAATGAACGACGACGATAACGACGGTTTTCTGTTTGCCACAACACTTGTGCAGTTTACCTACATTCGGGATTGACAAGGTGTTATTCGCTATGCCTTGCACAAATCATGCATGGAGTGTTTTGCCATTTTTTCCTTGTCTCAAAACATGGAGGTGCAGCGTAATCAGGCGGGCAGTGGTAGCGGTGGTGGTGGTGGTGCAGCTGAGCAAGCAGAACCTAAACGGAAAATAGTCCAAATTGAAAATTCGTGCGACTTTGAAATCAAAATTTTTGCAATCCGTAAACGGAATATGGTAGCTGCCAGTGATTGACACTTTTTCAGAAAATTACCAAATCGAGTAGGTTGAAGGGATTCTTGGAAGGCGAAGGGAGTGGCGTCGATGGGAGTCCATGATTGTTTTTTGTTCTGGATGACACTAACGTACGGAGGACCGTCTGTGCATTGTGATGCAGCATGAGATGTGGAGTTGGCCGGACATGACGGCCCACGGGTAGAGTGCTTTTTTTGCTTTGAAATTGTGGTGGCACGGTGGCGGATTGGACATGGCAGATGAAGGATGGGCGGGATAGCGGGTCCCTCATCAATGAAGGTGTCATGATTTGTGGTCTGTATGGTCCGATGGCCTCCTCAGCCGGGCACTTTCTTACATTGATTCAACGCGCCTACAGGAATCGACAGGTAGAGGAAATACAGAATCCCCAGATTCGTTGAAGGGCATATCATTGTATGCCCGTACATGGGTTCCACGACCATGGTTTATTGCCATGGTCCTCCACTTCCTACGATGCACAATGCAGTGCATGCTGCACGCCGGCAACGGACCATCGCGGCCATGCATCAACAACACTTACATAGACATCGTTTGCCTGATTTTCATGTTTGCCTTCTTCTCCCCGCTGCAAGGCGATAAGATGCCTGATCGTTGATTGAATGAGGGGAAAAAGCATGTGGAACGGACATGCACGGTTTCTTCCTTCAGCCAGATGCGTCGATGGAGTATTCTCACAGGCTTGGAGGAATGGCACATACACACAGCCTTTCTATTGGATACATCCATAGACCATGCTCCCTCCTGCGGGGCGCTTTCGCGGGCCACGGGAACGACACAGGGGGGCCATGGTGAGGTGCTGGGGTGGCTGGGCGGTTGGGGGATCTTGGTTCTGGAACCATTCAACCATTTCCCCAAAGCGGGTGAGCGCCCATGTCGGAAAATGATGACGATGATTGATGATAACGAGGATGATTATTCCTCCATGCAGTTCGGAATGAGCGTACAAAGTGCTTTACAGTATCAACGGAACTTGCCATCCCGTGTGTTGCAATCTCAGCATCACACCGGAGTAGCTCGTAGATTCATCTACGTAGGACAAAGGAGACGAACAATCACGGATGTGCGCTCCATCCTATCGTGCGCCTTGTCTTCTTGGCCAACCTATTCAGCGGCACATCTGTTGTTCGTTGCTTTGTTTTGTGATTTGATATTGGCTGTGTAACTGTACGCCTGTAAGCGGGAACAAGAACGGGCACGGAGCGAATCAACAAGAATGACAGTTCCAAGTTAATATCAGACTGGTTAATAATCATAATCACCGTCTGCCCTACCACCAGAAGTGGAGAATGGTAGTATACCGCTAGGACGATGGCAGAACGAATTCCGAGGTTCCTGAGCGACTCCAAGGAATCCATCCCTCTTCCAGCCAGTTCATGTGTCATGTTACTCACGTTACTCGAGTATAACTTGAATTTGGGAACGGAATGTGTCGTACCCTTCGACGCCGTACAATTATTAATTATCGTTGCTGCACGACTCCACCCGACGTACACTCGACTCGCAAGACTCACCCTCTTCGGTCCCTTGTAGGCTTGTACCAAGTGGCCATGGTAGTTATCCGTAGCAAACGTACCTACCCGTTCATCTGTTCCATTCGAGTCGTACCACATGCTGCATCGTAGACAATTCCAATATACGTCTACGTTACGGCCCGGAAGTTGGCATGGTTGGATGCAGGTCGGGAGCGGGGAGGACATGCCGACGGGTAATTCTCCGGCGGGAAAAGGTGAGTTTGCCTTGTTCTGGCAGACACAGCAGCAACAGCAGCAGCAGCAACCACATCACGTAGCATCACATCTCATCTAAACCGCGTCGCACCGCGTCGCACCGCTTTTTCTCCCCCATCGAGCTGGGGACTGCAATCGATGAACAGCGACGCACCTACGGATTAGATAGCCAAGATAGACTCGCAAAGCAATTATTGGAACACCAATCTCGTGTGAAGAAACACATCACCGTGCGTCACATGTCAGCCATGGTGGCCCCCTCACTCGTCGCGGCTTCAGAGGTCGAAGATATCAAACTGCACGTCAAGAGCGGGCACACCACCATCGACGAGGCACTCACAGCTGCAAGAGCCCGCTTCGTCGAGAGAAACCCCAACAGCCTGAAGCTGCACGAAGAAGCGGTTAAAAGCCTCCCCGGCGGTAACACCAGAACCCTCCTGCACAACGCGCCGTTCCCCGCCTTCATTAAGAGTGGCAGAGACTACCAAGTGACTTCCGAAGATGGACATACGTGAGTTCGTTTCGCAGCTTGTGATAGCTCGTGTTTCATAGCAAAAACAAAAATTTGCTCATACATCGTGCATGACTCTAGATACTCGGACTTCGTCGGGGAAATGACTGCGGGACTCTATGGACACTCGCAGCCGGCAATCCAGTCCGCACTTATCAGTGTCATCCAAGAGGTCGGTCTCAGCCTGGGCGGTACCACCAAGCTGGAGTCGCAGCATGCAGCGTTGCTGTGCTCCCGCTTCCGCCTCGACAGGATTCGTTTCACCAACTCCGGGACTGAAGCCACCCTCCACGCCATCGCGGGCGCGAAGGCGTACACTGGCAGAAGCAAGGTCGTCGTCTTCACGGGGGCCTATCACGGCGCCTGCTTCATGTTTCCGCGGGATGTTCCCACGCCAAACGTGATCGACAGATCTGGATGGATCATCGCTGAGTACAACGACGTGGAGGACGCAAGGCGGAAGATCGAGGACGAGAGCCCCGACGACGTAGCTGCAGTCCTTATCGAAGGCATGCAGGGTGCGGGACCATGTATCGTCGGCCGTTCTGACTTCCTGTTGCAGGTCCAGGCCTCCGCCAGGAAGATCGGCGCCGTATTCATTCTCGACGAAGTCATGACGAGTCGGCTGGCACCTGGAGGGCTCCAAGAGCTTGAGGGGCTTCGTCCAGACCTCACGACCATGGGCAAGTATCTCGGTGGCGGCGTGTCGTTTGGGGCGTTTGGTGGCCGGGAAGACGTCATGCGGGTGTACGACCCCAGAGAAGGGAACGCGCTGGCGCATTCGGGGACGTTCAATAATAACACGCTCAGCATGATGGCTGGGCACGCTGGACTGTCGAAGGTCTACACCCCGGACGTCGCTAGGGAGTTCAACAGCATGGGAGATTCTTTCCGTCAGAGGTTACAGGCAATCAGCCAAGGTACCAAATTGACCGTCACGGGGCGGGGAAGTCTGCTAGGCGTGCATTTCTTGACAGATGGGAGGAAGGAATTGAATAGCTACAGGGATAGGAAGGACGATGAGGGACTGAAGGAACTGTTTTGGCTCGAGCTGATGGAGGATGGCTTCTGGTTGCAGAGGAGGGGAAGCATATCGTTGATGCTCCCAACGCCCAAAGAGGAAATCGATAGGTTTGTTCACTGCGTGGAGGATTTCTTGACGAGACATGCAAGTTTGGTGAGATTGCCATCATAGTATTCTATACGGACCCATGGAATTTTGATAACTATATCGACAATAACCTCACGAAGTACTAATTGCTCCATGATCGATACATTCCTCGAAGCTACCTGACAATCATGCCAAACTTCTTGCCAAACTTTTTACTCACTGTCACTCTTTCAAACTCCTCCTTCTCTCCATTCCCTCAGTCCGCCTCTCCTCCGAGAACCTCATCATGTCGTCGACCCCTTCCTTCACCCAGTCCCCGTACATACCGCCCACCTGCCTCAACCGTCCCCTCTCCTCTGCAAACAAAAGCCGCGCCGCCCTCGACAGGAACAAGGTGAAGGATCTCGCATCGTCCGGGTAGTGGACCGGTGTCCACTCATATGGCGCTCGTTGATAAGTGTATACGGGTATAATAATACTTATGTTCGAAGGTTCGCAGGTTGGTGACGGTGATGGTGGTGCTTGTGGCTGCCGCGCCATAGTCTATCTGCGCAGGAGGAAGGCGAAAGTTGTAGGCGGCGGAGTGCCTCTCGGGGGAAGCTTCACCTCTTTAGTGTGTTGTTGGGGTGTCGGTCCATGGAGTGTGTTCGGGACGTGTAGATAGGTCATTCGTGGGGTTATTTTGGCGTGTCGGCGACGGTTGGTTCGGTTCCTGACACAGGAAGGTGAGTGTTGAGGTTGTTGAGGTTCGCGTTCCTTGAGGTCTGCCGACATTTCGTCTTGGTTGGTTTTGGTCTTGGTCTCGGTTGGATTTTGTCTTGGTTCGAATTTCGTTTCGGTTTGGATGTTGTCTCGGTTTGGGATGGGATGATAGGTTACCTTTCAGATCTTCGATCTTCCTCCCGTCCCCCTTCTTTAAATTGGAAAACTTGATATCTTTGTCAGCTCGTGAATCCTGGTTCTCTTGATATTTTTTTCTTCTGATCCACGCGCGTACCCTGGGACGCCGGTACACTGGGCTATGATGGCCACAGGTGCAACCAATATCACGGACGCTGTGTATCGTCAGCTCCCTTGCTCAAGCAGCGTCGCGTACGGACCTCAAATCAGCACCTCGATTTAACAACGACATTATTTCTCATCTGAAGGAAATAAGAAAGCAGAATTTATTGTTGAGCTACTCGAGATATGTCCCTACCCGTCTACACCTGATCCATCACCCAGCCTAGTAAGGATCCGCCGAGACGCGCGCATCAGACACAGTGCGCGGGATGAAAGATCCTTCGTATTGCGAGCCCAAGTCCAGTCGTCGCCTGCCACCTCCCAGTCTTTCATGCAGTCGACCGAAGGATGCTTGCGATGGCACTTTCAGAAATGCACCAACACTCAAACGATGAATTTGGTCCTGCTCTGTACTAGGATAGTCCCGTCGAGCAAGGGCGGGCCCATCCATTTCCATCAGGGAGGAGCTCTTCGACAGGCCGCTCTTGTTGGAGGACGAGTACGGGAAGTGTTTGTAGGTGGAAACCGAGTCGCGATGCGATCCTTGACGATGCGTTTCGGGCGGCTGGCGTGGTGAATCATTCGCGTTCAGTGCAAGTGAAGGCCGCCATTGAGTAATTGCTGTTCGACCTTGGCCCCGATTCTCTCTGGGGGGAACGAAAGATGGCTTTTCCGAATAATGATGGTTCGCAAGCTTCGCACCAAGCTCTTGTTCGATGTAAGGCTCACAGCAATCAGTGATGTCTTCTCGAAAAACGGGCATCGGCCGAGTTGGTCGAAATGCGATACCAATGCATATGACAAGTAGGATTATAGTTGCTGATATTGCAATGGGTGCCGGTTTGATTTTGGCAGAAAGTTCGGGAGCAATGACTTCTGCTTGCAAGGGAGCCATCTTTGTCGTTCTCGTACTCCGTACCTGCTGTCTCTGTGGTTGTTCTCTGACGCTACTGAGCGGCGCCGCGAGAGAGTGAGATACGTCGCGGCCACGCCTTAGCATTTGTCTTAGCCATTGAATGACAGAAATTGAATAACAAACTGCTACCTAGTGAAGCTCTACAAACACCAAGAAATGACATTTGATGCTATCGTTTGCAACATTCAAACACCTGGTCGGTGACGCTCCTGCGTTTTCCTGGCGCTGGCTACGCCAATCCTCTTCTCTGCGTTTGCTCCAGACTCCACTCCTGAGCAGGATTCTGTCCTGCTTTTCAAATCATTCGTGGATATCGGGGGCGGCTGTTGGCGTTTGCTCAGATGCGATGAATGCATCAGCCGCATCTCGTTTTCCAGTGTTTCCGATAGCCTTTGTAGGAGCCACTGTGATTCTGGAGTACTGCCCATTAGCGGACTTCGTACACCAAGCCAACTCCAGGCCTGGCTCGCGTCGTCATCTGTGCCACCATCTGCGGTACCCAGATCTGGAGAACCACTGCTGCGGCTATGGCTTGATTTCGGTCTTCTGTGATGAGTTGGGTCATCCTCGCTCTCCCCAATTAGACGAAGATAATACTTCCATTCGTCGTATGAATACTGCTTCGGCGGCGACGCATCCAGGTCTCGCATCAGTCCCCTGATCTCCTTCACCAGTATGTAATGGTAAAAATGTCTATCCCGTTGAATCGAGTCGCCGCGCTCGCCCGCCTCCGCTGCCTCCTCCAGTTCATCGGCCTCGAGGAGTTTTGCTATTCTGTCAACTTGTGTCTCTTTGGTGGAACGGCGTTTCTCTTCCCGGGGTGCGAGGCGCCCTGTGATCCCAGATAGCCTCGAGCGAGGCTGTTGATTCGACCTGGCATCGGGCTTCTCCGGAAGCAACGTGAATGATCCAAGCCAGAAGGTGAGTTCCTTGAAGGATTTGATGACCGTATCGCCCATGTTACTGATTAGTATTGTGAGCGTGGGCACTGCAAGCAAACTCCAAAACACGAAAAAGGCTTTCCCCGCATTGCTTGATAGTGTATAGTCGCCATACCCTATAGTAAGCAGGGATGTGTATGCGAAGTAAAGAGATACGAAGTAGCTCCATCCTTGAGGTTTCTCAGACTCCATGAAGACCACCGCGCCAAGGAACCACAGGGTGAGAGCTGCGATCGACGACATTGCCAGCGCAGTGTATCGCCTCTTGTGCTCCGCCGTGGTTTGTACCTTTCTCATGATCTGAAATTCCTGCTCTCGCCTCTCGACCTCGGAAACCGCTTCACCTGGCAGGCGGATCGTATGGAATATTCCGAGGTTTACGGTGCCCTGTTTAAAATTGACCGATGAGATAGCACGCTCGCGCTGGTGTTCTGTGAATCGCGCAGACATCTTCTCTTTTCCTCTCTCCAAGACAAGAGAACGGATAGATCCAACGACGAGACCGACCATTACGATACCTGACAGATTGAGTAGCTACCCCAAGGGCGAGAGTGTGAAAGGCTTACCGCCGATGGCAAAAGGGAACAGTAATGAGCGCCCAGTGTGCGTCGTGGGCACGTATTCGCCTCCTATACCCACCGTGAGCAAGGTAAAGTCCGCCCAGTAGACTCCATCCAGGAAATTCCAGCCCTCAATCTTCGAGAAGACAAGTGCGCCAAGCAGTAGATAGATCATAAAGCTGATGGTCTGCAGCATCAGGGTCCGTTGGCTCGGGGTGAGTCGGAATTCCTTGGGATAATGACCCTTGTAGGCCCCGTATACCGTGATGATCATGAGCGTGGAGATGATGAAGTATAGAGATGCCGCGATGATTCCGTAGTAGTAGGCTTGAGACAGCGCATGCTCTTTCCTGGGCTGGATTCGAAATGACCCGCTGGATGCCACAGAGACCAAGACGATAAGCAGGAAGGAAGCCAGATACCAGCCGATGATTGTTATGGGTTGCGCGATTGCAAAAGAGACCCGCCGAGCCATGTTTAGCAGAAGAGCTAGGTTTGCAACCAGGGCAAAGACAAGAGATACCGAATTTACCGCTATCAGCCTGTAAACCAAGAGTCAGTAGTCGTTGAGTGATAGCGAGGTTGAGGCTTTCCCACCATTTGGGATCCTCTACCTTGAGCCCATGCGCTTCATCGGCGCCAGCTGGTATGTAGACTCTCCACTTTTCGACCAAAGCGCATACACTGAACGCGTTTGCCATGGGCCCAAATGTACCAGCGATTAACGGACATGCTGTAGATGCGAACCACCATCGGCTCGGATCGAGAAATGTCTGCTCCTCCTCGTCGGCCTGTTTTTGTTCCTCCTGGCTCTTTCCATTCTGCTCCACGTCTTGCGCAGCCTCCTGCGCAGGCTCATCCAAACCAGGATCGATGTGGCTCATTATAATGAAAATTGGTAAGTGTGTGAGAGTAACGGGAACCCTCTAGGATGGGTGGCGGCATCACGGTTGTATATACCTCTCGAGCGATAGGGCCATGCATTACGAGTATCATCACCTAGCGGACGAGCCAGGTCCTCCAAACAGGGAAAACATGAATACGGCGACGACACGGGACCAGGTGGGATAGTGCGAAGATGGTAGCCATCCATGACGTTGGTGGGCACGCGGCTGCTGATCCGCGGCTGGCTGGCCATAAGCGATCTGGTCGCCGCCCCAAATCCGGTAATTTCAACGCCTACGCCCCCATATCCTACCCGTTTCAACACTACATCATCAACCAGCGCGCCAGCTATCAGCGAATCCTATGCTTGTCCATTGAGGCTCATCGCGAGGCTTCTCGACCCTTTAGCAGAGGAAGCATAGTCTTCTTCTTAGTAACCGCCTAACATATGGGAAGGACGAGAAAGTTTTCTCCGCCGCCTGCAGCTACAGGTGAGACAAGCAACTAGAAGCTTACTAGACACTACTAGAGTACATTCCCCACACGGTCGATCTGCCACAAGCCTTGTGCCCGAATTGCTCGGCACAGTAGCCAAGCTACTCTGTATTGACCTCAACTCTATCAGCTCCCTGCTATATACGACTACGCATACGGCCTTTCAAGTGTGGCCGTACAGTATACACCATGCCAGGAGGTAGTGAGAATGGATCTGCTGGCCTGGTTCTGGTCATTGCAACACTCTGCGGCAGGTTGATATGGGGTTCGCCGCCCTTAGGAGGGCCATAACAACAACAAGCCATGGACTACATCAGTGACTTAAATCTTCCGATCAATTTTCCATGAGCCTTATCTAAGTACATGTATCAGTCTCGAGAGCTCGAAAAGGTTCCTGGGACTGGGTGCCCTCCTGGATCGCAATAAATCGCCACTTTTACCTCCCAAAGACTGGACATTCACTCATATGGTGACTTTCGACAGTGCACGATTCCGAACCCATTATAGATAGCCCAAAGACACACGCTGTATAGATGATTAGAATTACCAAGCTACTTTCAGTTCAAGGACACTGAGGCGTGCTCATGTCGCTAGATGTGACCCTCGAAGGGAGCAAACCTCTACCTACGTGACCATCTACCTACCTACCTTACACTCGCCCAGTCCATCCCAGACTCACCTCACCTCAATCCCCCCACTCTCAATCCCACAATTACAAGAGTCGACCAATCTCTGCCTTCTCTTCTTGTTTACCTTTACTTTACCTACTGTTTGTCGTGGTCCGTGGGCCGCTAAGCGTCTTGCACCATTTCTCTCACCCACACTGCCGCGCCTTCCTAATATAAACGCCTCCCGCCTTCTCTCTCCCACCTTCTCTCTCCCACCTTCTTCCTCTCGCTTTCTCTCCACCTTCTACTCTCCCTCTTCTTCTTCTTTCTACTTCTCTTCTCTCTTCCTCTTACTCACTACCCCTACCCAGCTCCCTGAGCTACATCATCAGAAGCAACGATAGCCAACTTCTCTCACCTTCGTTCTACGCTTCTTAGCCCTACCCACTCCACCTTCATTGACTATTTCTTACATTCACTCATAACTTCCCAATCTCCATCACTATGTCTGATTCGGGATCTGCTCCAGAGGTGACCCCGCCCGAGGCGACTACTGCCATCCAGGATGCCGCGGCCGAGGCTCGCAAGAAGGAGCTCGCTGAGAACCTTGTCGTCTTCGCCGAGAGAGGTTGGAACAACCCCGTTCCCTTCAACTATAGCTCGGTCCAAGCTGGTGAGGGTGCGCCTGACGCTCGTGATGGCGTCGCCTGGCTTGGTAACGCCGCTGTCTACGAATGGGACGATGAGTTTGGTGATGTCGCTCCCAGGAACGAGGCTCTCGAGAGGGAGCTTTTCCTCGATGACAACATTGCTCGTGCTGGCGGTGCCATCAAAGCTCTCGAGTTCCATGTCGATGTCATGTCTACTGACGCTGAGAACCCGATTCGCCCTGTCCGCACTGTAAGTCATCTCTCCTAGTCTAGTCATCTCATTCAAACCTAACAACGTACAGTTCGAGGATGCTGGACTGCATCCTGTGATGCTTGACAATGTCAAGCTTTGCAAGTATACTCAGCCGACTCCGATCCAGTGTTACACGATTCCGGCTGTGCTCACTGGACATGATGTTGTTGCCATTGCGCAGACTGGTTCGTTCACCCACTGCAGTTTCACAAGACAAAAACGCTGATACCTAGGAACAAGGTTCTGGAAAAACCGCAGCATACCTTCTTCCAGTGCTCTCCAAGCTCATGGGGAAGGCGAAAATGCTCGCGGCCCCTCGACCTAACCCTGCGCGCTACAACCCTATGACTGATAGAGTTCGAGCCGAGCCACTCGTTCTGGTTGTCTGCCCGACTCGTGAGCTGGCTTGCCAGATCTTCGACGAGGCTCGGCGCCTCTGCTACCGGACCATGCTCCGTCCTTGTGTCATCTATGGCGGTGCCCCTTCCCGTGGCCAGCGTGAGTCCCTCGAGATGGGCTGCGATGTCCTCATCGCCACCCCGGGTCGCCTCATGGACTTCATACAGAATGACAAGTTGCTCTCCTTCCATCGGTTGAAGTTTACAATCATCGATGAAGCTGACGAGCTGCTCTCTGCTGGCTGGGAGGAGGCTATGGAGAGACTCTTCAATGGCCCAGGTTCGTTTCCCCGCAACTCGGACCCACTTTTGATCCTTAACTGACAGTCTTGAACAGATATGAACGCTGACAGCGATCATACCTACATGATGTTCTCCGCGACCTTCCCCAAGGAAGCACGCCGCCTGGCTCGCGAGTACATGGATGAGGACTATGTTCGCATCAAGGTCGGTCGTGTCGGAAGCACCCACAAGAACATCACGCAGAGTGTGGTCTATGTCGAAGAGTCCCAGAAAGACCAGGCTGTCTTCGACCTTATCAAGTCGGGTCCCGCTCAGCGCACCTTGGTCTTCGTCAACACCAAGGTCAAGTGTGACTCCGTTGACGACTTCCTCTATAACCGGGGTTTGCCGACCACCTCACTCCACTCCGATCGCACTCAGCGTGAGCGTGAGGATGCCCTGTAAGTGCATGATCTTAAGCTGAGATTTACAGCTACGTCTCTCCCTTGCCAGCAAATATACTTACTACCACAGGCGTTCCTTCCGTACTGCCAAGGCCCCCATACTGATTGCTACCGGCGTATCTGCGCGTGGTCTTGACGTCGCCAACGTGAAGCATATCATCAACTACGACTTGCCTTCTACCCAGCACGATGGCATTACGGAGTATATTCACCGTATCGGCCGGACTGCTCGTATTGGCAACGAAGGCATGGCGACCTCTTTCTACAACGAGCGTAACGAGGACATCGCGGAAGATCTGGTCAAGATCCTTCTAGAGTCCGAGCAGCAGGTCCCCGATTTCCTCCAGGACAGAATCCCCGAAGACCCCAAGAACCTCGAGTGGCATGACGGCACTGACGATGAGGATGAGGATGGAGATGCTGCTGGCTTCGGTGGCGGCTTCGGCGACGCTTCTGGTAGCGGCTTCGATAGTGGTTTCGGTGACACTTCTGGTGGCGGCTTCGATAGCGGTTTCGGCGACAATTCTGGCGACGCTTCTGCCGATGCTGGTGATGGTGCCAACAAGTTTGAGTCTTGGTAATTGCTTGAGCAGCGGAAGAGGCCATGACTCTATTCCACTTTGTCGAGGCACATTTCCTTCCGAACAAGCAGGACGTCTTTGCAAGACTTCCGATACCAACGAGCCATTCCCCAATGCCCACAAGCCATCACTCGCTCACCTGAAGATGTCCCATAACGAGGTTGCCCCGATGGATGGCTTGAGATTACCCTGGATTGAAGATCCTACGCGTACGTGATCGAGAAATCGCCTTGAATATCGCGTCTCTCCTGACACCCATGAACGGCTAGATAGATCGATAATCACGTACATACAATGAAGAAAGAATTCCTGAAACCGTGCTTGAGCTCCTATGTCGTGACGTTTTTTTTGTCACTATGGCTACTGAGATGTCATTGTGTGTCAGCAACTGAAGTAATGACGAGCGATAGGTATTCACATTGCAAAGCAGTCAACACGTTGAGCCAAAGTCATTCCATGCGATGATAAAGATTCATGTTTCATTTCGTTCTCCCTCTCATCCTCATTTCCATCTTCGTAGCCTTGATTAAATATCTATCATCACGCCATGCTCTTAATCTTCATACCAAGCGAAGCTTCGCATCATTATCGTAAAATCTCCTTCTCTGCTGCTCTCGCTCCCGTCATATATGTGCAAAAACGTGAGTGGTGGTGGTATAGTACGAGAAAAGAAGTAAAAGAAAAGAAACGAAGCGATAAAACCCCCCCCCCAAAAAACGCCGATGACTTTGCCTTTGCATGACGCTCGCTTCGCTGCTCGCTCGCTCAGAAAACGCGAGACCGAAGTTTTTGTTTGTAAATGCTAGAATGCCTCCCGTTTGTGAAAATCAAAGCCGATAAAGCGTGAGGAGAGAATAGAGAAGAAGTAAGAAGATGCGGATTAATACAAAGTGTGATATCATATGCAGTTTTAAGACAACATGCTTGAACGCTACGTGGTGAAAACAAGTATGCGTTGGAAGAGGGTATAGAGATGACGGACAATAGGCCGATCGATAGGGGGTTATCAGACTTCGCCCGCGGCCCAATCTCTATCGCGCTGCTCCTCGTAAATGACGAGTTCGCGGCCGCTCCGCGCACCTCCTCTAGATACCCGGTCGATGCCCAGGTGCTCGAGGCCGTCGCGGCCGACGTGGATGCCGAAGCCGTAGCGGATGGTGCCGGGCTCCAGGACGGAGACTCGTTTCTCGTTTGCGGTCATCATTTCGTCGACCGAAGGAGCGCGCTTGTGGGCCTTGCCTTTCCTTGCGTGATGGTGGCGGGCTGCTTTCTCCGTGGCATCGTCCTGGGGGGATTCGCTGCGGAGGTTGTTGCGGCTCGGTCGGAGGAGGGACGACAAGGACTGCGCCCATGTGCGGTCGAGGTATGCGGAGCCCATCAGTCGAGCCACAAGCTGAGACTTTGTTTGTGGGCGCGCGAAGGCACGGTCGGTGATGATTTGGGATTGGTAGACCCAACTTATGATTTCGGATATCGTGTTGGACTCGTGCGGTAGAGCTGCTCTGCGGCGAGAGGGGAGGAGGGCCACAGCGCCAACAGCATATAGTGCGAGAAAGACGCAGAGGGCATAGTATCCTGGGAGATCGGCTGCCACCCGCACGACGTTGCCCTCTGTGTACCATTGCGTCCAGAAGCAGCCACCAGCGAGGACGGGGATGGCGGTTGAGCAGAGGGAAACGAGGGATAAGACGGCGTTTTGATAATGCTTGTTCTCCAGAGCGGCGAGTGTGGCCGAAAGGGGGAGTCTGGAGGAATAGTCGACTAACAACGACTGTTCGGCCGTGGCGCCGCCCTTGGAAGAGAGGGTCATGTACGGTCGAAGATTGCGGAGAGAATAATCGTAGGTGAGGATGGCAAGGAAGAAAAGGTGGCCGATGAACGCTGGAACGAAGGAGTAAAGGAAGTTGGAGGCGGAGAATCCAGAAGCATCGGTGCGTGCAAAAACCTGTGGAAGGAACCCAAGGCGCGCAGCACTGTTGACAAATGACACCACCAAGAAAGCGACCAAGAGCACAACGACCGTGACAATCCACGCAATGACGGAGGTATCTCTAAGGTACCAAGGCAGATACCGTAGACGAACCCTCTCGCTCCTGATGTCCATGCGGATAGAGAAGTCGCCTGGCTGCTGGTCACCTTGCGAAGTGGCGTCAGGGAATGATGACCGTTCGGGGCCCTTCTCTCGAATGCGACCCTGCTCGACAGAGTATCGTCTTGTGTCAGCACCTTCCTCACCAATTCCATAGAAGACGTCGTTCGGCTTTCTTGTAGTGCTCCAGTACCCGAGTCGGTCACTGCGACCGCCTAGGTGCTTGAAGCCATGTTTTTGCCAGGTCTCAGAGCCAGCATAGTCGCCCATGATGTTGGACCGCTCGAGTAGAGCAATGATGTCTGCTAGGGAACGAGGGTCCCACTTCAACCCAGTTTGTGTCCTAAGGAGGATGATCATGATCATCAGGAGCGCAATGATAAGGAGAATATAAAGAGCAGCTGTAGCCCAAACAACCCCTTGCACGGCGAGCCACCTCCACAATTGTGCATTCGTGTCGTATCGCACATTGAACGCTGATGCAAGAAGGGGTATGGTCCAGTAGAACAGCCATGAGATGAGATAGAAGGCTCCAAAGAGGGGTTGTCCGGCTTTGAAATATTGCAACCGCGGTACGAGGAATTGCATTGGGTACAAGTCGATGAAGACTGCATTCGATCGCTTTTGTGTGGACTCCGATGTCATGGCCATAAAAGGAATGATCCTTTGTAGTGCAATTTGCACTTGAAACAGCCACACTAAGATGATCATTCCGAGCAAAGTGGGTAGATATTCGAGGACGAAGTATCTGACGTCCCCAAATGTTCCGTAGTCCCATAGGCCGAGCCCTCCGCTCCGGTTTGAATATATGGCGACAAATATAAGGGCCGCGAGCATTATGGAGCATGCCAGAATGAAGAGTCCAAGCCACAGAGGGCGAAGAATGGCCGGAACAAAGTTCAGAGGTGCGTGCGGGAGAGATTGGGGTGACGGTCGGAATTGGACAAAGACGTCTCTCGGGGGGATCGCGTCTCCACTACGCACTGGTATTTGCTTGGGTTTGGGCGGCGGTGGATGAGAAAGCTTTCGCTGTAGCTCCTGTTCCTGCTGCATATAACCTAAGCCATCATCGGGAACCATTCGTTCCACGGGATAATCTTCCGGGACAGAGGGCTGAGGATAAGCGCGAGAGCCGCGAACCTCTTCATCACGAGTGAGCTGATCGATAGCAAAACGAATATATGGAGTATCATCCATTCCCGGTGTGGTTGCAAGCGATTCCGAATCCATATCGAAGTGTCGCGAGTTCCTCCCTTGTTGTGTCTCTGGTCTTTCCTCGGCGATCGTTGAGACTGTAGGTGATTGATGATGATGGTCCTGGGTGAGCGGTGGCTGCCCCGGGGACTGAGGCTGCTGTCGTGGAATGCCTACGCCCTTAAGATGTGTTGATGGAATATCCGAATTGAGAGCTAGATGCTCATGGCTTTGGGTGGGAGTGCGGTGGTGTGATGGAGGCGTATGATATTTGGCAGGACTTGGCTTCGATCGCTCATCACTCTCGCTCGTTGGAATTTCGGAAGACGCAGAGTGAACAGAATAGTAGCCTTCGGAGGCTGTAATACTCTGCTTCGAATCTGAATGTGACAGGCGTGGACGGCTGACTGTGGGAGAATGGGTCAATATAGGATCAGACGAAAGTATGCGGTGCGCCTTGCTCAGAGTGATGCGGCGAGGGCGCTGAGGTCGATTGAGCGGATGGAGTACGTACCGTTAGTATGCTTGAGCTGGAAGGGGGACTCCAAACTCATGTCGCTCGTACAAGACGCTAAATGGATATCGAAATGGTGTGGAAATGCATCGTCAAGCGGAAGACCGGCTGCAGGGCCACTTTTGTTGTATATGGTGGTTGGGTTTTGCTGAGGCTGGTTATCCAACCACCTGCTTTTCTCGCCTTCCTGCCACAGGGGTTAAATGTCACGGACAAGCCATTAGTGAGACACGGGAACAAGCAGGAAGCAAATTAGATGGTTCGAGATGCAAAAAATAACAACATAATTTATTTAATCGGCTGACTGAATACTTGCGACATGCGGACTGTTTGCGTGTTGTTGATGTCAAATCGATCGTGGCCATGTTGTTGATGTCACGAGCACGCACGGGCCCACTCGACACATGGGATGGACCCCTGCCCCACCCCGCCTTCTTCCGCCCTCACTAGACACCAATTGGGACTAACGGAGACACTCTTCCAATCTTTCCTTTCCATCTCATACTTCGAAGTTCGTAGCTCTCAAAATCCTGTCAACTAAAACATCGCATCCACATACACACACAGTTCTCGCATTGTCATCATCAAGTCAATGCGCAAATCTCAGCTTTTACTTCGACTCAATAGAGCGAAAATCACCTTCAATCACACTTTGCAGCCTCCGCTCGTCCGTGTCGTCCCACGTTGATTGCGTTTACGAATCGCGTTTTTGAAGAGCAGTCGTTGGCATGGATTTTATTGTACGGAGTACTCCGTACTGATGCGTGAAATACGCTTGTATCTCGCCTATTCTCCAGGTTCCTTGTAGTTGGAGCATTTCTGCGCTAATATAAGAAACATTGCCCTGCCGCCCTGCTGGGGTTCAATATCAATCACGCCCTTGACGAGAATTACCGTCATTACTCCGTGCTTGCAGTCAATCACCACGAACAGGACACGCGTCTCTACAAGGACATTCATTCTGCCAAATCTCGGACATCTATCTTACGTGCACCTTGTAAGTAATCTGCCGGATTCGCCTTGCCTCGTCCGGTATAAAGACTCCGCATTGGAAGACATTGATGCAGACGTAACGGTGGTCAAATGTCTGCGTTGAACACCGCACCGTATTATCCATGCCAATTACGTCCCCCTATACCGTGTTCGGCTGGGTAAAATACAACCTCCCAACACTCATGATTATTGTCGGCTTTAGAGTGCAGAAGCCCGCTTAAGTCCTATAGGAACATCGGAGCCCTCGCCGGAAAGGGAAATTGAATTTCACGGACGAGCAGAAAATCGATCGCTACATACACTTAATTGCAACAAAGGCCTTTCATATACATACCCCAATCAGATTTCTATGCGGGCAAGAACGTTATCGATAATGTCTTTGGACCAGAGTGGTTTTGCACTAGTTGTCAGACCAACTGGCATATTAACGTCATTTCTCGTATTTAGGTCTTACTTCCATGCCCCTACGAGGTACGAGTGGGCTTGGTCCATTGTATCTCATTGAGAATAGACTCATGTGCCAACTACTTGTAAGTCTTTGCGTCACTCAGCGCTAGTAGTACGATCAACTCAGTTCACCCATTGGAGCTTTGTCATTGTACGAACCAAGATCGTTAGTTGTTGTAGCGTACGCCACTCAAGATTTTAGTATCTACTATCAACCTATAAGCGATACGGAAGATTCGCTCTTCGCTGCTTCTTGACAATGCTCGCAATACTTAATTCCGAGCTGCTTAGGCCCACGGCCAGTCTAGACTAAGCCTTAGTTCAGTAAACACCATACCAACAGCTAGGCATCAAAGGAAACAAAGGCCGAACAGCGACTCTGCCATAAAACCCTCCGAGTGCTAATGTACGTATATGCGTTGGCTTCCATTGTCTTACTGTGATCGACCATCTTGTATCAGCCCTAAAGTGTTCAAGCCTTCGCCAGGCCTTAGCGCTTGACAACACCGCGTGGTTCCGGAGCTATCTAGTGTCCGCAAGCTGTCATGCCTACATTCTCTCGCTCTTCGGACTGTACGAAGTATCATGATACATTCATCGGAGATATTGCTTGGTCATTATCTGCGTGCGCCAAGTAAGATAGCTTTGTTAATATGACTCGACAATAGAATAGACGATGAATGGATTAGTATACTTAATGTGTAAACTAGGTCGTCAGTGTTTCATAAATATTCAATAAGATCTTAAGTCTTATGCACAGCCAGTGTCTTGACTTACCATTCGTATTCTTGTATCACTTCATCAGAAATGGTTGCAGATCTCATACGTGATGCGCCGTTCGGCCAAGTTGTGCGCTTTATCACCAAAAATAGAGTATTCCTCTATCCAGAAGAGAAAGCAGACTTCAAATGTCCCCATGACTATGACAGAGATCAAGCCCCAGTGAATGAGAAGGTTCTGGAGGCACAGCTGGATGGTCCGACACCTAACGCGAGTGATTCTCATGAGGGATCTGATGCCGACCATGAAGCGTCCGATCCCAGAGACACTGATTCCAGCCCGAGACGCACTTCATCTACAGCTGAAATCAACGGCCTGAACGCGGTGCGATCCACCTCATCACATGCATCCCGAGTACAAACACACCCACAGACACCAGACAGGCTCGAGGAAGGCAACTCCGCGATGCTAGATAGAACACAATCCAGACCAATAGCACCCACGAGAACGCCAGATGGCCGTATTCTTGCCGATTGGTATGATACAGAAGATCCGGCGAATCCACAGGCATGTTTACTTGCTCCTATTTTCGTGTCTGTGCTGTGTTAACAGTTCGATCAGAATTGGTCGCAATTGAAGAAGGCTTGGACGGCTACGATCATATGTCTGTATACATTCGTTGTATATGCATCTTCGTCAATCTACATATCGAGCGTCGAGTTGGTCATGCAACGCTTCGGGGTGGGCTACTTCAAGGCTGAGCTTGGTCTTGCTCTATACGTTCTAGGTACGTGACACCACCAGGAGTGGGCGTACTTCATCACTAACGAACGTTAGGATATGGTATTGGACCACTAATCTTTTCACCACTGTCTGAAGGTACGTTCATATATCACCAATCTAACATGAAGATCTGCCCTATCATGATTTGATGTGAAATTAATTGTGTTCAGTCCCGGCATTTGGAAGGAATGCCCCATACATAACCACTTTCGCACTGTTCACGATACTCTCTCTACCAACAGCACTTGTCGACAATTTAGGAGGCTTGCTTGTGCTCAGGTTTCTCTTGGGTTTTTTTGGTAGCCCATGTCTAGCGAGTGGAGGGGCGAGTATGGGAGTAAGCAAAGACCATTCTAGAAACCCAAGTATCATCCCACTAACACAAGCTTAGGACATGTACTCTCTCCTATATCTTCCCTACGCTGTGGCGGCTTGGGTCTCGTTCGCCTTCGCCGCCCCCGGTCTAGGTCCGCTACTTTCAGGATTCGCCGTATATGCAAAAAACTGGCGGTGGTCGCAATGGGAGGTGCTCTGGATGGCGGGCCCTCTCTTTCTTGTCTTCTTCTTCTTCGTGCCCGAAACCCAGCCGATGACTATCCTGCATTACCGCGCGGCTCGGCTTCGGCGAGTCACTGGAAATGAGAAGATCAGAACTCAAGTCGAAATGGATCGAGCAGGCATCACGCTGGGATCGACTGTTAAAGAGGCTATTATAAAGCCAATTGAGATCACAATCAAAGATCCGGCGATTCTCTTCGTCAATGTGTATACTGCATTGATGTATGGAATATACTACTCTTTCTTCGAGGTAAAATATATCCGCTCTACCTATATCTTAGAGATATCGTGTATTAAACAATTCTACTAGGTGTTCCCACTTGTTTTCCCAGTATACTACGGCATGAACGTCGGCGAAACCGGCATCGTATTTGTCTGCATCGTCGTCGGCTGCATCATCGCCATGTGCATATACTTCGCCTACATCCAGTTCCTCATCATTCCCGACATTCTAAAGAACGGCCTTCGAGCACAGGAATTCCGACTCATACCAGCTCTGTTTTTCTGCTTCGGTCCAACGATCGGATTGTTCCTATTTGGTAAGATTCTTCCTGCCACGTCTACTTGGCCATGTCGGCGTACACTGATAACATTGCAGCTTGGACCGCACGTCCATCTATACACTGGATTGTCTGCGTCATAGGTATTACTATCTATGCTCTAAGTGCTTATATCATCATGCAATGCATTTTCAGTAAGCCCAACCTCTTCTTACTCCCTCAAAAACTCAGTATATGCCACCTTGATCGTTAGTGCTGATGGATATCGAATAGCATACATACCTATGTCCTACCCTCGCTACGCCGCCTCCCTCTTCGCTGGAAATGACTTCTTCCGCTCACTCTTCGCGTTCGGCGCCGTGCTCTTCTCTCGCCCTATGTTTGTGTACCTAGGCGTAGGGAAAGGCTGTAGTCTCCTGGGCGGGCTGAGCGTTACTGGAATCGTAAGTAATCGAAAGCCCTTGTCGCCTGCGATGGTGTAGAAACAGAATGATAACTGATCAATGAATGCGCAGGTTGGAATGTACTTGTTGTATTGGTATGGTGCTAGGTTACGAGCCAGGTCTAGATTTGCTGTTAGTGGATAGGGATGTGAAGTGTGGCCTAGGGATTCGGTGACGAAGATGAGATTGAAATAGCGTAGGATTATGGCAATGAACGACGGTAATGACGAATACGGGAAGACTTAACGAAATACTGTAATGGGCTGAAATTGAAGGGTCACTAATTTGTGGAGGACATGAGATATCGTTGAAGATCTGCCTATTTGTCACATTAAGCAAGCACGATTTAGTACATTGAATTTCATAGCAGGCAATTTCAATTTCAAAGTACCTCCTTCAATCCATTTGTGCATGAAGAGAAAGGCTCCTTGACAAATTATTAGAGTCCAATAATATCCCAATTTGAGTGTGTGTGGACCAGGTCAATCCTCTCAGTCGAAAGTTGCCATACCTAAAGGTATAGTCTGTACCACATGGAGATACTCAGTGGATAATCATCTCGAGCTTGGTATCTCTGAACTGTCTGCTGAACATAGACGCGTAAAGATACTAGCGAATGACTACCTCAATGGCTATCTCGTTGCTCCAGTCAGCCTTGGAGCCACTCTCTTCCCAGGCCCTATCTAGATCGATCTCTAGAACATTCTCGCATGTCTCATTGATCTTCACACAATGGGATGCGACGCCTCTACCAAACACAAGGGCGAAAAAGTCATCCTCTATCGACCTCTGCTTGAGGTCAGAGATGTAAAGTCCTGAATATATCAGATAAACCAATCACCAGTCATTTGAGATATTTTTGCATACCATAAGTGCCTAAAGACTTCAGTGACGTCCAGATCCTCAGCTTACCCGACTCTTGGTCGACATAAGAATCGGTATTCACAATTGCGGCACCACCAGTCATCTTGCCCAAAAGACCTAGATTGGCGACCGTAACCTCCCCAGGGCCCTTTCCTTCATGACTTCGCTTTAGTGTGAATGTCTGCGCCGGGAAAGCCGACAAGATCTCCCACCCCTGCTTTAGCAGATCCACACGAGCATAGGAGGAATTGTCCTTCGCGGCACGAGGTAGGGTAACCTTGCCTGTCTTGTGACTCCGGAGAACGTAAGTGCCCTCTTCTGCCCCGGGAAATTGGTCCAATCCAATCAACTCGGAAATCGGGTGCGCGGTGCAGTTAAACAAACCAAGGATGCTCACGCCAGTCTTGGCCATGCCAACATAGGTGCTCACTTTGAGAAAGGTGAGGTCATCATACGAGTTGTATGCATTGAGACTTTTCCCGACCGTGTGGGGTCGCAATATGACGGTGTTGCCGCGCAATGTCCTACCAGTCATCTGATTGATCAGATCAACATCATGTTTACCGGGCACATCTGTGATATAGATAGGTCCACCTGAGACGCAACGAGCTGCAGCGTGGAAAGAAGCCCATTCATGGGATGTTTGGAACATGTCCCAGTCTGGTAGGATATTGAGATGTTGATTCAGGATGGCATTGTGGGCGTTGCAGAAGATGTGCCATGGATGAGATGCAGCGACCTCAGGGAAGAAGTCGTCGGAGTTCCTTAGCAATATGCGAGGCTTATTGGTTGGCAGCTGGGAGTGGAAGATGAGTTGTGGAGTCTGAGACATGCAGGATATAGCCTTAGCAGAGAAATGACGTAGTTGGGCGATGTTCCATGCATCCTGATATGAAGAGATCAACGCGCGACGGTCTGGCGCATCATCTAGCTCGTCAAGGAAGAATTGTGCATCTGTCTTGACCGAGTCGATACCGGCAGAGCTGAGAAATCGGTAGAAGTCATCATAAAAGCGTCTGACATCCTCTTGCGCAACAACAAGCATCCTTCCTCCAGCGACGCCGTCCTTCTTTTGAACAGTGACAGTATTGTACTCTTGCGCAATCTTTCCTTTTGGATCGATGCCTCCCCAGTAACCAAAAAGAGCATGCCAAACGGCGACATGCTGGATATTCTTGTGCTTGTTGCGGACGTCTGATATAGTTGCCTTTAAGCCACGAGGAAACCCAACTGGGGTGGCCTCAAAATCAGACCACGCGTTGTTGAACTGGTTGCCGCCTTCATGGTTAAGGTTTTGCCAGTTGTCATCGATGATCAGGGATGTTATGTTGATTCCGTTCTCTTTGAGAGAATCAAGAGCTTCGAACAATTTCTCCTCGCGAAGCTTTTGACCTAGTCCATTCCAGGTACAGTAAGTCAGACCGTCATACCAATTCTCCAGCCACTCTGGCTTTATAGCGTCTTGCAAAGCCTTGAGCTCTTCGGTGAGTTGACCCGTAGAAGCTTCGTATTTCAAGACAATCCTGCGCGCATAGTACATTGTGGCAGCGACGACATCCTCCAGTGTATTACCAGCAGCCAGCACAAGCTGTGCGACCCCGTCGTTCTCAGAATCGTTTCGGGCATTGATAACAACGTTTCCGTCTCCGTCGTGATGGAGAAGTGTAAGGACATCATCGACTCCGCTTATAGCGAGGACAGCGATATGGGTCCCGTCCTGGCGCTGAAAGACTGTCAAGACAGCTTCTTTGTCAAGCCGAAAGTCACCACGGCCCTGGCGTGGTGCCAACCAGGGCGACCAAAGTCGCACCAGAGCAAACCATCCCGAATAAGATGTCGGTCGCCCAAGTTTAATGGTCGAATATCCCGACGCCTTGCCAGAAGCTGCTCTAACAGGACCAGAGACATGCCAAAGCGTGGTATCAGGGGTATCGCTGCGGTCTTTCTTTATCTGCAACGACGACGATATTCCGTCAAAGTATTTGCTCAGATCGTCATCTGGAGAACCAGCTGCTTGATAAAAGATGTGACCATCCGATGACGAGAATTGATCATTCACCCACTTCCAGGGCTCTTCTTCTGATTCTCGAAAAGTCACAGTGAATGAGATAGATGCATTGTCTTTTGGATTGCCATTCAAATCACCCGCAAACCACTGCTGCTGTGCATTCTCTATTGGAAGAGAGTCGACGGTAATCTATAGGGTCAGTTGGGAACTTACTGAGCACGCAAGACATTCATACTACTGAAGGAGACTGCTCGATAGGTTTCAAATTCACGCTTGTCCAGTTCTCTTTCCTCTCAGAATTATGCCACAGGGCAACACTCAAGGACTTGTCTGTGGTGCTTTCAACAAGTACAGTAAATCGTACCTGGATTATGAGCGCGGCTCAAACGATAGTCATCACATAGGACTCACGGATTTCTTTCCTGGAGCAAGCGTTGTACTTTGACCAAGTGGAGGATTGCATGATAAACGGATGTGCGGATTGCATAATGGACGGATGAGCATGATTCTCGATCGGAAGGACAGCACTATTGAATGAATTGAGAAATGTGTGTCAAGCCAGAGGTATTCAAGAAAACAATAGATTAATGGTAGGAGGTAGTACGAAAGCTCCTTCAGACGGTGTTGGAAGATGAGGCACGGACTATAAGGACATGTAGACAGGTCATGTGACGCCTTGCGGGGAAGCTGAGGGGGAGGCACGGGAGGCACAGTCCGTCCAGTCGTGAGAGACCATCTAGCGCCAAAGGCATTGGCATGCGAGATTATCGGTGGACATCACTTTTTCCTCAGCAGGCTGACAATAAGACGAAATCGCACAAAACACTTAGGAAAGGGTTGGCTTTAGGGTTTAGATTAGAGTTAGGAGGATTAGGAAGGCTAGAGCAGGGCCGAATATAATAAAATAATGTCGAAAAGGACTTTGTAGAAAAGTCTTTGTATGTGATTTGGTCTTGTTGTTAGGTGATGGTGGGTGGGTGGCCACCAATAATCTAGCGCCAAAGGCATAAGCTCCCTCCCACCAATCACGCTCTTGTCCGCCTTGGCCATCGGAAAGGATCCGCGAACTTTTTGTGACCTCGAACCACGACGATCTATACAGAATAGCTTATCGTCGGCCTTGCAGAACGCTCAATTGCCTGCCTTACTGGGCCATGATAACGACAACATTGTTCAGGCGCATACCCAATTCGCGGGCTTGCATACCCCAACGATGCGTCCGCAATCAGCTCGGATCTAATCAGGTGCGACGACATACAAGCTCATCATGGGCAAACCGAACCGAGGAGATCAAATCCGGCCGTGAACAGAGCATGCTCGCGATTCTAGAAGAGAGAGGCTTCGTGAAGGATGTAGCAGGGTACAATTGTAATTGGACGTTCCTTGGCTGAACATCTCGCGCTGACGATAGTAGCGGCCGCAAAGCACTCGACTGGCTATTGACCGAAAAGCCCATCGGGGCGTATGTTGGTGTAGACCCCACGGCTCCTTCCTTACATGTTGGGCACCTCCTCCCGCTCATGGCGCTTTACTGGATGTACCTACATGGGTTCTATGCTGTTACTTTGGTGGGTGAATCGATACAAGCGGACCGCAATATGCTAATCACGCATAGCTGGGCAATGGGACCGTGAAAATCGGCGATCCTTCCGGTAGGACTACGGCACGCAGTCGACAGTCGGAGGAAATACACAGATTGAACATTGCCAGCATCCACACACAATTGAAACAGCTATGGGTCCACGTGAATGCCCTTGGGGCGAAGCACCGACCCGCTACAGAGGTTGTCCGACGGAAGGACATATTGACAAACGACACCTGGCTGAGCAAGCTGAGCGCAGTGGATCTGATGAGAGGTCTCGGATCAGGGATGAGGCTGGGAACCATGTTGAATAGAGACTCGTAAGTCTTGATGTTTGTTACAGACAATGTTCGTTCGGCTGACATGTCAAGTGTTAAAATGCGCATGGAGAACGGCGATGGCATGGCGATATCCGAGTTCAGTTACCCGCTCTTTCAAGGTTATGATTGGTGGCATATGTACGCAAACAACGGTGTACAGATGCAGCTGGGCGGATCCGATCAATATGGAAACATATGTGCTGGCATGGATGCCATTGGTCATATGCGTAGCATAACATACGAGGACACTCATTCTACTAGGGAAGATGATCTATTGAAGGGCGCGTTTGGTCTGACGACACCCTTGTTGACCACAGCTTCTGGCGAGAAATTCGGAAAGAGCGCTGGCAATGCAGTTTGGCTCGACAAAGATATGTTAAGCTCTTTTGATTTGTACCAGGTAGGTGCAGTGTCGATTCCGTGCAAGACCTCTGGCTGATCTGCAACGTAGTATTTCTTGCGTACCGCCGATGACGATGTTGAGCGATATCTCAAGCTCTTTACGTTCATCCCAGTCGACTCGATATCTGCTGTTATGTCACAGCAAACACGGGATGCCTCTAGACGTTTGGCTCAACATCTTCTGGCCAAAGAAGTTGTGGAACTTGCTCATGGAGCTGCAGCTGCCCGACAAGCTGAGATTTCACACAAGGAGACGTTCAGCCACGGCACCAATGTATTTTCGCTAGGAGCCTTGAGGCACGCCCTCAACGGTGCTGCCAATTTCATGACTACTATGCCCAAATCAACCAACAAACAAAGCCCAGAGAAAGATTCACTAGAACAAAGTATTCTGAAGTATAAGAAGGAATACGCATCGACCCCCACCTCTTCCAACTCAACTGCTTCTGTGGACAGCAGCAAGGAAGACCGCAGTACTGACAACTACATCACGCTCCCCAAAAGCCTGCTTTCGCCAGGATCATTCCCACAAGTCTTGCATGCCGCAGGCCTTGTGTCGTCGAAAAGCGAAGGCCATCGCCTGATCAAAAGCAAAGGTGCATATGTCGTGCAGCCTAATTCGGGATCCCCTGGAGACCCATATGCCCTAAAATGGGTAGCCATCCGAGATAATGTCCCTTCAACCGATCCGAATCATTATCTCATTGATTACGAGGCTCTTGTTCTTCGCTCAGGCAAGTCAAAGGTACAGATTTGTCGGATTGTTGATGATGATCAAAGTGCACCCAAAGCCTAGTGTTGCATGCATGATCGCACAGGGCAAAGGGCAACGTAGCGGGGCATCATATGTAATATTAGGTGTACGACGATATTCGCAAGCTGTACTATATACAATGAGGCATGACTTCGACTGCAGGGATGAGTATATGAATGATCGGAACCCATTGTTGCACTCAAATTAAACCTGCTACGCCTCTCAATGTGTCCAATTCTTGGTACGGCGATAGTATTTTGATTCGTATGTAACGATATGTAGCAAAGTTGTTACGGTCCGGCATTCATGAATAGATCAGACAGTGTCCGCCCTGAAAAGCAAGACTAATTGAAGTTGCCTTGTGTTTATATATCGCCGCTTTGTGGAGAAAAGGCAGTGGTAAGGCTTGCTGATTCTCGTAAAGTTTTGACGGCGAATGGATGGAGGCGAGAAAACATCACACAACCTCCAATTTGCATGTATGCGACAACGATCGGTTTAGGAAAAGGGCAGTATCACATTTCATAGAGATCCCGACGGAGTCTGGTGGGACCTACTTCCCGAGAACAGATATTGGATTGTACGATGTGAAAAGATATGAAGCTTTGATAAATTCTTATATACGGGCAGCATGATCTCGGGAGCCAAGATGCAATCGACCATGTGCGGTACACCTTCGAATCGAAAAGTCAGAGATGCCGTCCAAGCGTCCGTAAACGTAACAAGAGGGTGTGTCGGACGCAGATTTCATGCTGCCTCTACACCAACTTCGCACCACTTAAGCCCGGTGAAGGGAGAGTACGAAGACGGGAATAGAGGACAGCTCATCGTGTCCACACTTGGCTTTCATCATCTACAAATCATCTGTTAGTGTCGAGGTAGGACTGAAGCGCACAACATGGATAGGGGTCGGGTCTTACATGGTATAAACTCGAAGGATAAGGAAGAGAAGAGAAGGTCTGCGAAAAGCTGCACGCAGATTTAAGGTACCACAGGTGTGCGCTCGGGCCCAGTACTTAGTCATCAAGATCTGAACCCTCCCATATTACCTGTCTCTCGAGACAGCACTAGTCGATGCCCACCCACGCACCCACCCACCACTACACTGAGCCTGTCTGTAACAGTTTCATCAACAGTTAACCCAAACCAAACCTTTACGCACCAGAAATAATTAGGAATCATCCTGTAAGTCGTTGTATATCCCGATACCGCAGCCTTAAATTACTTAGAGGTATAAGTTTTTTAATGTTGTAGGAACAATAGGTGGGCAGACACTACTGCCGAACTCTTCAGTTGTTTGCTAACGTGACGCGGGGCAAGATTCGTTCAGTCACCAACAATCGAGGCCCATCATGGTCTTTTCGGTGGCTTCGAGATGTCTCAGGCATCAACAATCATCCCTGCGGAGAACATGTGCGGCGATGACACGAACTTCCCAAACACGTCATCACGGGATCACGCCCAGGACCCTCAGAACCAACATACACAACTTCAGTTCCTCTGCAACGGTTCGATCCAACATCGAGCCTAGTGCAGGATTGAAAGAGACGCTAAGCAACTATAAGGCAACTAGTAAGTATATTATGTCATGAATCTGTTGACCACGATAGGCTGACTCCTTCCAGTCCGTTCCCAATTCAGCAACGTGTATGACGTCGATCCCAGTCTGCGTACTGCCTGCGAAGTAGGCCAGGAAGTGACCCTGTTCGGCTATTTGGATACGCGTCGGGATGTGCACAAAAACCTTTCCTTCGCACTGCTCAGAGGACAGGACCAGCAGTACACTCTGCAGTTGGTGTCTACCTCCCAGGACAGTTCTCATGAACTGTTCAAGTCCCTCAAATCTTGGACACCCGTATGTGTCAGAGGAACACTGCAGCAGCGTATCATCCCACCTTCTGATGTTCGCGATCTTGAAAAAGTTGTAGAAGGTGCGACTGTTATGGGCGACATAGAAGTCAAAGTTAATCATATTGAGCCCCTGAATTCCAGGCCTGATGATTTGATCATCTCGTCTTCGGCAAACTACCCTCCCGAAAAACGCCATCTCCAGTTGCGCTTCAAACATGAACAGCGACAGCCCCTGATATTCAGGCATCAGGCCAGCATCATAATGAGGGACACGCTCAATGAGATGGGATTTATCGAGACAGAAACGCCCCTCCTGTTCAAATCAACACCAGAGGGTGCACGCGAATTCTTGGTACCCACACGAGCGAAAGGCCTTGCCTATGCCCTCCCCCAAAGTCCTCAACAGTACAAGCAGATACTCATGGCTTCAGGCATCGCAAAGTACTACCAATTTGCGCGTTGTTTCCGAGACGAAGACCTGAGAGCCGATCGGCAACCGGAATTTACACAGGTAACTACCGCCCCATCAATGCTTTGCAGTTGTATATACTGACTTCTAAAGCTCGATATGGAACTGGCCTTCAGCGCAGAAGAGGACGTCATGAGAGTAATTGAGATTCTTCTGAAGACCCTTTGGCAGCGGGCGGGCAAAGGTCATCTACTCCTAGATGGAGATGGGGATTTCCCAAGAATGACCTATCATCAAGCAATGGCCAGATATGGTTCGGACAAGCCTGACTTGCGTCTCGGAATGGAGGTATGCTTGGATTCGGTCTAGGAGCGGAATCCTGTTGACATTTTACCAGATCACCAGCAACATCACGGAGCACCTACCCGCAGACCTGATACGTAAAATAACTCCTTTGGAGGACCCCATCATAGATGCCTTGAAGTTTGACCTTGACCAATATCCAGTACACAACCGAAGCATCTTCGGCCAATTCCTGGAAAGCCCCGATGGCCAGCCGTTCCTCGAGAATCCGGATGGTGCACCAGCCGTCTTCTTCTGCGATGAGAAGCAACCACTTCAGGGGCTAAGTGCCTTGGGTCACGACTTTGTACAAAATTGTCCCGAAGAATTGAAAATGATAAATGGAGAAATCTTGATACTCCAAGCCAGGAAAAATGAACCATTCTCAGGAGGTTCCACAGCCCTCGGAAATCTTCGCCTGGCATTACACAAGGAAGCCCTAGCCCGGGACATCTTTGACAAGCCGAAGGGGTTCAAGTTCGTCTGGATTCACGACTTCCCTCTTTTCTCCCCAATCAATGATGTCGATCCTGGCCAAGGTGGATCCGCAGGCCTGGCCTCTACGCATCACCCCTTCACAGCTCCCAAGACCGCTCAAGACGTCGATCTCCTCCTCAAAGCACCTGAGCAAGTTATTGCAGCTCATTATGACATCGTTGTCAACGGAGTGGAGCTAGGAGGTGGCAGCCGCCGTATCCATGACGCAGAGGTTCAGGAATTCATCCTCCGGGATGTTTTGAAGATGAGCAGTGAACGTCTTGAAGACTTCAGGCACCTGCTTGATGTATTGCGTTCCGGATGTCCACCCCACTCGGGCATTGCATTAGGCTGGGATAGGCTTATTGCGGTTCTGCTTGGGAAAGACTCGGTGCGTGATGTCATAGCATTTCCAAAGAGCGGGAAAGGTGAAGATATGCTAGTCAAATCTCCCAATGCTATGACTGAGGAACAGTTGAACACCTATCACCTTCAGCTTAAAAGTAAGTAGCACGGGAATCTCATCGGCAACGCTCTGCACGTCCTTGTCTCCACGACCAGACACACAGGCTCCGATTCCTGCATGTTGGCGTAAGGTTTCGGTTCTTGATCTTCATTTCGGCTCTTGATCTCTATTTCGGCTCTTAATCTCTATTTCGGCTCTTAATCTCTATTTTGGGCGTTGGCCTCTATTTTGGGCATTGAAGGTCTCCTGTAACTATCAAAACTCTAGCATCATCGGTATTGGAAAAGGAAAAAAAATAATATGAGTTCCTGTACGCTGGCGTACCATTTCGATTGTCAGTCTGTATCTTGGGCAACGAAGGTCTTATATAACTATGAAAGCTATAGCCTCATCGGCAATGGATAAAACCGAGAGTACAATACAACGAGTGTGTATTCCTATGATTTTCATGTCGTTTCATCTCTCCATAAGCTCGTAGCTACGTGACCTGGTTTCCGTTCAGGGAGACATGTTCGCCTTGGAAAAGTCCATCTCAGGATGTTGCAATTTGAATTGCTCCAATATATCCAACTTTTTCTGCTCGTCGCTCGTGGGTAGACCCCGCTCCTTTTGTCTCTGGTCAAACATCATCTTTTCCACCATCCCACGAGTGTCGCCATCAAGATCGCTCAGGGTGCTATTCTCAGGTTGGATCTTGGATGTGTCTATCTTTGGGGCGCTGGTAACAACGTGCGGCCACCATTCCATTTTATTGACCTTGTCAAGATGCACACTTATCTCCTTTCCATTCGGGACTGTCTCGAGGGTCCATGTGGAATCATCGACACGAATGGGGTGTGGCAAGTCGCCCTACGAAATCATAGTCAGCCTTGCAGTATCATCAAATACATGGTAGGAGTCTAATACTTCGATGATAGCATCTTGTCCCTTGATTGCGACACGCAGGGTATTCCTGCCGAGCTTGACATCAAGGTCGCGACCTTTGTATTTGCCGTCGATTGATATTGTCACGTCAAGGTCGCTGATGGTTTGTGTCCATTTGTATGGTAAAGCAGCCTGTTCAGCATCTTCTTTTGCTTTGCGCTCTGCCTCGATCCTGTCGCGCTCTTCGGGTGGGGGAGAGGTAGACATTGTGGTTGTATATGGGTCGTCAAGGGCGTGGGAAGCTTTGTGGATGTTGACTAGAAGGTTTGTTTGCTTAAATTGCGGGACGAAGCTACGGTGCTGTTGCCCCAAAATAATGACCAGAGCGCCGCCCATCGTCATCGCCGACATGCCGCGCTGGCCAAGCACCCTTCATTCGATCAACCAAACTCGTACAACGCATCACAGGCTCACAGCACAACCTCCTTCACTCGAAGCGGGGTGTCCTCTCCTTCTTCTTCCATATCGCTATTCGTGATCGCCGCTATTTACCTTCCCCCCCTGAAGGTCCGCTATGCAGCGATAGCTTCCGTGCACCGAGACCCTCCGCCGGAAACCCTGAGATTCGCGTCCGCATAACACAACTAATTGCAACCCATGGCGAGCTCGTTCGAGAAGTCTGTGAAAGGCGGCACTAAGATCAAGGTGAGTGACGGCGACTTGGAATGACTCGAGGCTGCACGACTCTGTCCCTGTCACGAATTGGACCTGACCTTTTGCGTACAGCTTGCCGCGCCCAAATCAAAATATGTCGAACATATCCTCGTAGCCACTCACGCGGGTGAAGCCGGTGTCGCCGAAATCTTTCGAGCCCTCACGAATCGATTGCGCGACTCTACATGGACGATTGTGTTCAAGTCCCTCATCATCGTTCACCTCATGATCCGGGAGGGACAGCCGGAGGTCACACTCAGATATCTAGCACAAAACCCTAGGCGGACCCTCGCTATCAATCATTTTACTGAAGGTTCGTCGATAATCCATCTGTTAGGCTCCAGAGAAGAATACAGGGTTGTCAATCGAGATTCTGGTCATTGCGCTTGCCACAATGTCTCCTGGGTGCTTATGAGGGAGGGGCCGGAACCTCTAGGTGCTGTATGGGGTGTCAATGATCTGGACGTGCTAACGTGTATCGCGCGCAGTGCAAACACAGGGCCATAACATCAAGACCTATTGCGATTACCTCCTTATTCGAGCGAAGGAGTTCCAAGCAACAAAAATTGACTACGTTCGGGGCGGTGAAGGTCGATTGAAGAAGCTGAACATCGAGAAAGGCTTGCTCCGAGAGACAGAGAGTGTGCAAGAGCAAATTCGGTACTTGCTCAAATGCGAGGTTTGTCCCTGCGAACCCCAAGCCTAAAGTTCTGGCTAATATGAGTTCGTTGCAGCCATTTCATGATGAGCCAGAGAATGAAATCACTCTGACTGCATTCCGTCTGCTGACTATGGATCTACTTGTCCTTTTCCATGTTATGAACGAAGGAACAATCAATGTCTTGGGTAAGGAAGGTCGTCCATGTATAGAGTCCCCCATGACTGAGATTGTCTAGAACACTACTTCGAGCTGTCGAAGCCCGATGCATCACGAGCTCTGAATATTTATCGGACATTTGTGAAACAAACCGAGGCAGTCGTACAATATCTGAGTATCGCACGGATGCATGAACATTCCACCAGGTTGGAGATCCCAAAGATCAAGCACGCTCCTACTAGCCTGGCAGCATCCCTAGAAGAGTATCTCAACGACAGGGACTTCGAGATCAACAGGAGGCAATATTTAGCAGAGAAGGATGCCAAGAGGAACGGAGGGAAATCCACCAGCAACGGCGCAAGCAGGTTTGCCCAGGAGCCTGAGCCTGCTCCCTCAAAGACAGCTGTGTCACAACAATCAGCACCGGCCTCTAGACCTGCCGCCAATGCACCTCTGATTGATTTCTTCGAATCCATCCAAGACAATCAGCAGACTTTAGCTCAACCGCAGCCTCAGCTACAGCAATACCCTCAACAGACAGGCTTTCAGCAACCGCAGCAGACTGGATTCGAACAGCCAAGCTTTCAAATCCCACAACAGACGAGCACTGTTGGCTACCCTCAACAGCAGGGCCAGATGTTTGGGCAGCAGGGCGGACAAGGAACGAATCCGTTTGCCCCGATGCAGCAAAACCAGATTCCTCAGGTACCCCAACAACCTCAGCTCCAAACGCAGTTCACTGGGGCTGGTTTTGGAGGCTATACGCAACAGCCCTTCAGCCCTCAGAGTTCGACCTTATCACCTATACCACAAAATGGGGTACCCAACTTCGCTTCCCAAGCTCCACCACAGCTATCGCCAGCAGACGCTCTGCAGCCTCAGCAGACATCGACGAATCCATTCCGACAGTCAATGCTTGCACCGAATGCGCCAAACGCGGCCGAGCCCAAGCTACTGAACAATCCCACAGGCGTTAGTTCGCCGCTTGCTCGATCACCTACGAATCCTTTTGCGAAGCACAGCACGGGCGCCTCTCCATCCCCCTTCTCCTCTCTACCGTCTATACAAGAGCCGCAGGCTGGAAGTCCTTTTGCTCAGCAGCAGCAGCCACTACAGCCGACCCCGACAGGCACCAACCCCTTTGCCCGAAACACGTCGCCGATTCAGAATCCCATGTCTCCACAAGGTGGCCTCACCGTGCATGCGACTGGCAGTACCAATCCATTCCGGCAGAGCGCTTTCGTGAACCAACAAACGGGCCAAGGGTGGCAAAACTCTGGAAACCAGGGAACACTGGGCGGGATGAGCATCGACAGTGTTCCGACCTCGAATGTATTTCCAAGACCAGGGCAGCAACAAGGACAGCAGCCGGGACAGTTCTTGTGATGAGGCCTTGGGGGGGGATGATGGCATGAGGTCCATAGTCTATGACTCCATGCCAGCCGTGTGGTTATACCCGGATCCGCAGAGTCCGATGCATGAGAGTAGTTATTTCATTTTGTGCGATTTTGTGTAAGGACATTTTGAGCCATGGCGTTGTATTCCACCAGATGGGCTTTTGAGTGCAGTAACGTTTGGAGCGTCAAGTGAAGGTTAAGTTGAGCGAGCAAATATGAGCTGCGGAATGGAATTTGCGGAAGGATGTGTAATTCGAATATAATGGGTACGCCGAGCCAAGTCAGTTTCCGGTCTCTCCTACTTGTGGCACATTGGATAGCTTGCGTGCTGTAAGGTATTATGTACTGTCACACAATAGATTATTAGTATTATTAGTAGTATGTAGGAGGTATCAAGAAGGCTCAACTCAAGCAACAAGAAAGACAAGAATAGTCTCCTAGTGTGCATCCAACTACAAAGTATATAGTTATATTCTATCGATGACGAAGTAAGCAATTCCACGGTTACCCAAGTAGGGGTGAGCTCGTGCATGATTTTAGAAGAGGCTCAGAGGTTGTACGTACCAGAGAATTGCACACAATCGGAGCATTTCCTTTGGTCTTGGAAACGGGTGGTGGCAGCTCCAGATGCCTGAGATGCCCCGTGTGTACAGGAACGAACAGGGAAAGGGCAGGGTTGACCCCCCGGCTGCCAGTTGCCGCTAAACCTCTCATAGCAAAGAAATGGGAATTTCTCTTGTTCCCTTTCACTAACAGTGACCCTTAGAGTAGACTTATTAGCTTAGCACCACGGTAGTAGACCACACACACACACGCACGCACACAATTGCTCCTCCTCCTACTCCTCTTCTTCTTCCTCCACCATCACCATTATTCATCTTTTCCTCTTCCAATATTAGGTATCCTCCTTCCTCTCCACTTCCACTCTCCCTTTGCTGCTACTACTACTACTACTACTACTTGCGCCCATCCGCCTACACGACTGCCGCGTTCCCATCACGCCGCACTTTCTTCTACTTCATCACCTTCAATTCAACAAGACCATCAGCTAGACTTTCTCTCATCTACTGATTCATTTATCCCTAACGTCTTCAACCGCTCTCTCTTCTCTCTCTCGCAATCCCTCTCCACGAGTCGGATTTTACCTCAATACACATTAGCTTGCGCACACTTGGACCACCATATATATATACTACCAACCAACCTACCTACACTACACTTACCCATTTGCCATCCACCACAACCACCAACCATCTATCATCTACCACTCGCCACTTCTCTCTCTTCTATCTCCACGCATCCCGCGTAAGTAGGCTCTGATTTGCCCACTTGTCGTTTCAACCTGACTTATACATCATTCTTGCGCCCATTAGCCACAGCCGAGCTTACCTTTCCAATCGTGCCGATTCCGCGATCCCGACCCTCACCTTAAATTTCACTTTGCGCCCACAACTCTAATTCTCGCCTCTTCCTTCGCACCTCACAAACACCATCATGGCCTCCACCGACTCCGCCGCGCCCATCAACGGCAACTACGCGCATCAAAACTTTGATGCTGCCCCCAATAACTACGCTGCTGCCAACTCAAACAACTCCGCCGGCTACAATGCTGCCCAGCAGGCTCCTTCAAGCGGGGCCTCTACATCCGAGATCCCCAAGGAAGAGGTCGCCTGGTACTTCGTCGAGCAGTACTACACCACCCTCAGCAAGAGCCCAGACAGGCTCTACGTAAGTCTTCCTATCCCCAAAGCACAAATCTCCCGGCTCAAAGACTGATCGGCCCGCAGCTCTTCTACAACAAGCGCTCCCAGTTCGTTTCCGGCACCGAAGAGGACAAGGTACAGGTTTGCATTGGACAGAAGGTATGCCCTCGCAGGTTCCCTTGCATCAAAGATTGGCTGCTGACTCAACTCGCGATAGCCCATAAACGACCGCATCAAGGAGCTCGACTACCAGGACACCAAAGTTCGTGTCACCAATGTCGACTCCCAGAGCTCCGATGCCAACATCGTCATCCAAGTCATTGGAGAGATTTCCAACAAGGGTCAACCCCACAAGCGATTTGTCCAGACTTTCGTTCTCGCCGAGCAGACCAACGGTTACTTCGTGCTCAATGACATCTTCCGATACCTTGCTGAGGAGCCCGAGGAGGAGGAAGAGCAAGTTCAGCAGGAGTCTGCTGGCATCCAGGAGCCTGCGCCTACTACCACCGTATCTCAAGGTGAACAGCCAACCGGTGGCGAGGAGGTCGCACGCAGCGAGGAGGATCTGACCAAGGTTGACCACAAATTGGAGGAAGCTGCGAATGCGGACGCTGGCAAGGAGGCCTCGGCCCCATCGGCTGCCGTCAATGGCACTGAGACCCCTGAGACGGAAGAAGTCGCTCAGGCCGAGGATGCCCCTGCCGCTGCTGTCGTCGCTGCCGTCGAAGAGCCCGCCGCAAAGGAGCCCGAAGTTCCCGCTGTCGAGGAGGCCTTGGAGCAGGAAAAGCCCAAGGACCCTGCCCCTACACCAGCTCCAGCTCCGGCAAAGGCTGCTGCTACCCCGGCCGCCCCACCGAAGCCTGCTGCCCCTCGAACCTGGGCAAGCCTTGCCGCTTCCGCCCACAAAGTTGCTACACCTGCCGTTCCCGCTGTCGCCATGCCCCAGGCTTCTGCCCCCAAGGGAGTTGCTTCGGCACCCGCCCAACCTCTTGCGGTCCCAGCACAACAGTCCGCCCCCGCCCGTGAGCCATCCCCAGCGAACAGCCAGGGTGAGGCCACCGGTTGGCAAACCGCAACGGGACACAAGAAGGAGCAGTCCCGCGTTCAGAACCAACCAGCTGCTTCCGACGCCGAGAACAAGCGAGCTTACATCAAGAATGTCTACAGCCAGGTAGAAGACGAATCATTGAAGCAGGCCATGTCCAAGTTCGGTGAGGTCGTTTACATCGACATCAGCCGTCAAAAGGTAAGTCTACATTGATCCTTTGAATCTGCGTGGCTGGAAATACTGACCTGGAATTTAGAACTGCGCCTTTGTCGATTTCAAGACCCCCGCCGCTTTCCAGGCCGCTGTCAACGCCAACCCTCATAGTGTCAACGGACTCGAACTCAAGGTTGAAGAGCGCAGGCTCCGTCCGTCCAACTTTGCTCCTTACCCTCGTGGTGGCGCTCCTCGCGGCCGTGGCGGAGTTGGTAACCAGGGCGCACGTGGTGGTTTCCAGCCCCGTGGTGGTCGAGGCGGCTCTGTTCGAGGCGGTCGTGCTGCCGGTACTAATGCTGCTCAGGACGCATGAGCTCATCACTCGCTCCCTCTACTTGACGATGTCTGTTCCCCCTTTCTACCCAGCGCATTTCCGGCCTCCTGGGATCACCCGATGACGATTTTCTTACGGCTCTGTACTGTACCCTCATCTTTCCGAGCGTGTGTGTCCAAAAGTTGCCATTGTTTCGACTAAAAGCCATCGGGGTGTATCCATATGGCACTCTTAACCTTTACCTTGACCCTTGCATAGCGAATTTTCCTTTGGCATTTTTCTCCGTGTAACCTATCTACTTTCCTGTCCTGTGGTTTTTGTCCGTTATTTCTTGCCTTTTTTCCATGTTCATTTTCCGATATCCCTTCATTATAGTTCATGTGGATGGCCATCTGAGGAGTTTGCTCTTACGGCAAGGGCGGGAAAGTGTGCGGTGTCTTCGGATCGATCAATGTTTCCTGAGTACCTTTGCTGCGCTATGCTACGACCCCGGAAAAAAAAATCTGCATCATGTCGGAATAGCAAATGCTCATCTATGGCGACTCTTTCTCCTTAAGGCTTGTAGTGATTGGAATCTTGTGACTAGGAATGGCAGGCTATGGAAGCCGGATAATGGGCGGATGGATGGCGCAACGGCTATACATTAAGCATGGGTGTGGTGTATGATAGCATGGATGGAAAATGTATTTCATGTTAGTTGAGTCTTCGATTGAACTTATTTCAGATGCACCTTCGCATATGTCATTAAATGAATGCATTTACTCGTACAAACATGGGGTCAATGAAAAGTAAGAGGTACATGCCCTTGTGCGCAATCCGAATGGCTAGAGAACAACAGGAAGTCGCCTCCCTCCAAGAAATTCGGACCATTGATCAGCCACGTTTGTAGTCGTCAAGTTGTTCCAACGTTCCATTCGATTCTCTCGTCTGTTCATCGTCGCTCGCCATACCTGCTTCGCGCGTTCCAATACGGGGTGGCCACGAGTATAAGCACTTCGGGAGAGAGTGTGTCCAGGAGGTCCCCGGACGAACTAGAGCGGGGCACGTGGGGTAACCTCCCCTGGTTGGTCGGAGCATCACATCACCACCTCGATCATCAATCGCGCTCTCGCACACGTTCAATCTGACTACACAGTAGATCAGCTTTCAGTCTTAGCACTCTCGTTCTTCTGACTTCCCCATCGTCAGATGCGTGCATTCTGAAGCGACGTCAAAACCATGCGGCCGACTCCGAGCGGCGAGTCTCTACCTTCTGTGAAACCGCGTTCCCGCAAGTCAAGTGTTGCAGATCATCTCGCCGCGCACAGCAACCCGTCCAGCCATGTCCCCACCACCTTCTTTCTACGGAGCGAGGATGATTTGGAAAGATCTATGCAGGATACCGGGAGCGTCGAGCTTGTAGAAGAGAGAGGTTCCAGCAGTACTTTTGGTGTGCAGAGCCTGGCCGATACTCTCGAGGCTGCCTTTGGGCAGGCGGACAGCGCGCTTGAGACCAGGCTTGACTCCGAGAGTACAGGTATTGGTGGTGACAAAGGCGGGAAACTGCATATTTCATCGGAATTGCCAGAGGCTTTGAGCAGGGAAGATGGGAGCACAAGGCCTTCGCCGGGACGCAAACATAAGAAGCAAACACACCGCACGTTATCGTACCCGTTGACGCCCCTCAACGCTGAAGCCCAGTCTCCTCTGCCTCCTTCCGCAATGCCTAGCACCCCGAAATCAGTTTCACTCCAGTCGTTGAAGCTCTCCGACGACGAGTCCAGCATGGACGATTCAGCGAGCCAGGCTATTGCGTCGAGCGTTGAGACAGATGACGAAAGCGACAACGACGATGCGGCCAAGACAGAACAAGGTGCATCGGGTTCCTTCCCACAGCTTGTCATGCCAAGTATACAGATGCCAACTCGTAGACCGTTCACCACCAAAGGAAAATCCATGGGCAGGTTGAAGATACTTGTGGCTGGTGCACAGGGTACGTTATCTATCACGTTCTCCGGCCAACACCACCTCGTTAACTAACCCTTTGTTGTAGGTGTGGGAAAGACGTCACTCATTCGTTCAATCGTACAGCAGTGTGAGGACATTGTCCATGTCGACCCTTTCGATCCTAATGATCCGATCCCCAACCCGACTGTCTCCAGGGCAAGTTCTCGCAAGTCGAAGGACGAGCCGGTCGGGACTACCCGCATAACGGAGATCCACGCGAGCACCAAGTCTTATCCACACTGGTGGTCCGAGTTGGATGACGGGAAAACGCTACGAAGGCGTAAGAGCACCACCGATGCAATCTTAGAAAGAAATATTTGCTTCATCGATACTCCTGGGTTCAACAAAGGCCCCTCGAACGCTGGTACTGGCCGCTTCATCACTGATTATATCGAGTCTTTGCTCCACCAGGACATCAGCGTGTCTTCGATGAATGATACCGATTTACTGGCTATCATGAGTGGAGGTGGAGGGGTCCAGGTAGATCTGATCATCTACTTGTTGATGCCAAGTAAGTTCATCAATACCTCGTCTACGTACGCCACTAACAACAGTTAGGTCATGATATATCCAAGGATCTAGAGTTCATGCAGCGACTATCTGAACTGACGAATCTGATTCCCGTGATTGCGAAATCAGATACTCTTTCGGCATCAGAAATGGTGGCTGTCAAAACATCCGTGTTGGCACAATTGCAGACAACATCCATCAAACCATTCCTGTTTGGCAGAGCCATAGAAAATGCTTTACTTGACGTACAAGGTTTGTTTGCTTCAGCACCATCACGATCATCCGACCCAGTAGGTTCGGCAGCATCGCCTCGCATGGGGCAATATCCATTCAGCAATCCGACGTTTCCTTACGCGATCTCATCGCTCCCTGGCCCCGACGCGGATAACATGGATGCATCAGCCCTAATGTCCCCTGATTATGTGCAACCGCTTCTTCACTCCGAGTTAGGTGCCTTGGTAGATCAGGTATTCCAGAACGATTCGATTGCCTGGTTGCGACATTCAGCCGCGAAGAAACTTCTGATCTGGAAACGGCAGAAGAAGCTTTCTGGTCTCTCGATCCTTCCTCAGGGCCCCGGATTTCAAAGCAACAACGTTGCTGGTTCACCTGTTGGCCTGCATGGAGCCAGCTCTAACTGTAAGTGAAATACTATCTTCTTGTGTCCTATCACTAACGCATACAAGCACTAGGGTCACCCTCTCTCTTTTCGGTCACTTCGCCATCCGGCGTGCTTGTACCGAGGGCAACATCGCCGTTCTCCCTCTCCGACCTCCGCTCCAACCTGCAATCACCCTTTCCTGCATCTTCGCCCTCCCTGTCACACACCATCCCTGAGGGAGAGGGACCTACCGGCTTTTCGTTAACTCGGTACAACCATGTCACCACTGGTGACGAACGTTTTGCTGATATCAGAATGGCGAAATGGGCTACAGACCTTCAACAAAGCCTCCGGAATGAGCGGGAGAGGTACGAGGAAACAGCACGAAACGAACGCGCCAGGTGGCTCTTGGAACGGGTTGGAGAAGAAGTGAAGAATGGGAACATTGTCACCAGTCCAGGTGGCAGCCCAAGAGCAGAATGGGCCGTGGTACAGCACGGCAAAGCGAAGGACAGCTCAGGAATGAGCAGATACGGCAAAGCTGGCCACCTAGATTCGCGGGACCCACTAGGGCTCTGCGATTTCAGCGACGAAGTCCGGAAGCGAGGCTTTATCCTGGTCAAGGTATTGGGAGGTGTCAGTGTGCTCGGAGCGATCATGGTGGCCACGATCAAAGCATGTGGATTGGAAGCTAACCTGCCCGAAGGAGGTCTCTGGGTGTGGTTGAGAGGTGGAGAGTGATGCATGGGATTCTAATATCGGTGTAACGACGGTCATGGTGTTATTAATACCCCCAAAGGTTTGCTTTTTCTTGTGGGTTTCTCGGAGTTGTTGGTGGAGGAGTATATTTACTTTGGATGGTTTTCCTCTCTCCCGCTCATTTCATCTTGGACTACATACTCTACTTATGGAATCTCAGCTTCGCTATATAGCAGGATATCGAAAAGATTAGATAGGACCATACAACAATATGATTAAAAAAACCCAAATCAAATCCAAATAGCCAATCTAAAAAAGTGAACTACAACCTTTGGTATCGAGGTAGATAAGTTGTAAAGGACCAACACGACGACTCTTACATAATCCGTTGATACGTGGTGCCGATTTCGGCGCTTCTCCTCCTCATCTCTGGACATCACCATCCTCAAGTGACCGCAGGAGTACCATTCAAGATATCAGTGGGGATAAGAGACATTTTAGTCTCCGTCATCGCATGCTCATTCGATCCGATGTGCATGATAGCAGCTCTATAAAGCTTGCTAATAGCTCGGGTGCAATGGAACAACTACATAACAGCAACCTCTTGTGACGAGCTGGAAACCTATCTCTTTTCATATCAAGACATCAATTGATGTCCATACCTTAGCTATTATTAGTTCACTCCTTTCCAGGTAACAATTCTCGCGATTTCTCATTGAAAAGATGTCGAAACCATACTTGCACGGCCACCATGCCTCGGTTCTGAAGTCACATACCTGGCGGACCGTCGAGAACTCGTGTCCACACCTGATCCCGTACCTTTCCTCCCCATCCCTCCAGATCCTAGACGTCGGCTGCGGACCCGGCACCATCACCGTGGACCTCGCGTCCCGCGTCCCCCAGGGCCTCGTCTACGGCATCGACCCATCCGCCGACGTGATCGCGAAGGCGCGGAAGCACGCCGAAGAAAAGGGCGTCACGAACGTGCGGTTCGAAGTCGGCGACGTGTTCGACTGGGAGCGCCTCGACGGCGTGGAGCAAGGCAGCTTCGACGTCGTGCACGCCCACCAGGTGCTGCAGCACCTGCAGGATCCGCGGGGCGCCCTGGTGGAGATGAAGAAGCTGGCGAAGGCCGAAGGCGGCATCGTTGCCGTAAGAGACGCAGACTACGCTGCCATGACGTGGTATCCGGGCGACATTCCTGGTCTGCAGACCTGGCAGAGGTTGTACATTGCCGTCGCGCGGAGCATCAAGTGCGATCCGAATATCGGGCGGAGGCTACATGCTGTTGCGCTGGAGGCTGGGTTCCCGAGGAGTGACATCGATGCCAGTTGCGGTGTTTGGACGTTTAGTACGCCGGATGAGTTGGCTTGGTGGTGCGGGCTGTGGGCGGAGAGAGTCGTGCAGAGCAATTTCAAGAAGAGTGCGATTGAGAGCGGGCTTGCTACGGAGGAAGATCTCCAGGCTGTTGCTCAGTCGTGGAGGGAGCTGGAGAAGAGGGAAGATGGGTGGTTTGCAGTGCCGAATGGTCAGGTTATCTGTCATGTTAGATCGTGAATATGAATATGAAATGGTTTTTTGCTAGATTTGATACCGTTTGTTGAATGGCTTTCACCGCTCATGTCGGCCCACAATGCCCATACTATATCACTCTCTATAGGACTTTGGAGGTAGATGTATCACACCAGCCTCAAAAGAAGGCAAACAAAAATATGAAGAAATGGCAACGAATATCAAAGATTTCCAGTTGGAGTCCACCTCCACCAATCAGCATTGTGTTAAATGCCTGTCACCGAGAGTCAGTCATCTGACGGTGGGTTCAATTTAGAGTGTAGTGGCATCCCCCATCCCCCATTACCCTGCATGAAGCCATTCCGCCCATCTCAGCCCATCTCGTGTCTACTCTTCCCTCTCCACCCAATGACATACGAGCATCTTCATCCCCCCACTACTACTACACCACCACCATCACAACCACCCCGCTCTGAGCTTTCGGCGTCCGACAACACAGCTTACTCTGATCCCCATACAAATACCCCTCCATTTCCCTATCTAGAAAAGGAAATCCAGTCTCACAAACCCCTCAATATACTTACACACACTCCCTCTCTCTCTCTCTCTCTCTCTCTCTCTCTCTCTCTCTCTCACTCACCCGAACCTTGCAAAGAAAGAAGAACATCAAAAATGCAGTCCTTCACCGAACTCGTAAACATGCACAACGACTGCCCCAAGTGCGGAGCCTCCACCGGCGGCGGAAAGAGCTGTGCCTCTTGCGGCAGCGTAAGCTATTCCCCTCAACTTTCCTACACATAAAGTATAAGTAGTAAGGATATACTAACACTTTTGTGCAGACTTGCCCCGTTTAAACGACCATGGAAGGTTCTCGACTTGATACATTTCACTTGATTCTTTACATCATCTTCGAGCGAAGGCGCGAGCGTGGGAGCGAGAGGGGTTCTTTTTCGGTGACATTTCCTTCTTCTTCCTCTTTTCTTTCTGCGACGAGAAGAGAGAAGGTGCGGGTTTACTAGGACAGACCTTTGGGAAGGAAGGAGTCTGGAGAGAAATTGGAAACACAAATACCTGCATATATCATCATGGGGCAAAGACATGCGATGGTCGTTCAGATCTAGATTGGTCGCTCGTCTGGAACATATGCATGTCTCCCCAACCTTGCTTATAGTGGAGATGGTGGGCGATTTTAATGCTTTATTCGATCAGTCTGCTGAGCATCATCTTTTCTTGCTTGACGTTCCTTTGAGCGTGCGGGGAGCTTTGTCGTAAAGCTGGTGTTGTGGTCAGACCAAGCTGATACCCATGATGATTTACCTTTCGTCACAGGTTCCTGTTGAATGGGCAAACAGCTCTATCAAACATGAGCAGCTTCGCCAAGGTAAGCGTTACCTTACAATACCCGCGCGCTCATCCTGAAGTAGTGGTATCGAGATAGTTGTTCTGCATGTTTGATCGTTCCGAAGCAAGCGTAGCACACCGTGTGTACAACACCATAGTTGTTCGTCCTACAGGATGGATCGCTACTAGGGTTGCATTATCGTAGCACAGGTGGAAGGAAGTAACTATCGACGCTTCCATATATCTGAGTAACCTCGACACGCCTTGTTGCATTACTCGTGCTGCAGGTTTATGTTGAGGCCTACTCTTTTTTGGTTATGGGTTCCTGGACTACCGATTGTGAGACGACTGCTCAACCGCTGAGTTCACCATGTCGACTACGTTCACTCTGGGCACCATTTTCCATGGAAGGATTAAGAGAAGGGAAAGTGTAATCATGTGGGGCAAGGAAACTGTATGGTGCAGGTGCCTGTCATTATCTCGTTTCTATATGAGTATCTCGAACAACAATGACGACCGCGACGATGACGACAATCTATACATGCCTCTTCATGTGCATCTCATCCAACCAAGCAACTTCATGGACGTCTCCTCCTCCCCAGAAAAGCCAACAAAGAAACGACTGTAAGGGTATAAACTTGCAAATACAAAACAACAGATCGCACAAGATCATCACTTTCTTCAGGATTACCTCTCTCTCTTTCCCCCATACACCTGTCCACCACTCGCGCCAGTCAGCCCCCATCACCTCACCTCCCAGAGTTCCTTCTTCATCGCTTCTTGGTGAAAGTAACCGCCACGGTAGCCAGGAGCAGAATGGCGATGAGAAGCATGAACGCACAGTCGGCAGTGCTCTCCCTGCACCGGCTGTTGAGGTAATGGATGCGGTCGCCCAAGTTCCAGCAGATGTCCCTCGCGTTCTTGGCGTTCAAGCAGCCGCCGTTGAAAAACGGGTTCTCGTACAGCTTCGCCCGGTTCTCCAGTGTGGTGTCCTGGCAGTCTGCATTCTTGATCTTGATTGCGAAAAGCTGTTTCCCCCGATGTCGTTAGCTAGTGATGACAGTTTCAAAAGAAGGGAAGCACTATGAGGGTTCTGGAGAGAGACACGTACGATGCCACCGGCAAGGTTGATCAAGATGAGGAGTCCGTCCATGGCCATGGTCATGATGCCCTGGAATTGGTCGAATACAGCGGCGGCTCCGCCGAGGATGGCACCTAGGATGGTGATGCCGCCGACGAAAGCAGCATAGCCAAACGATGCCGGGTAGCTGCCTATCCCTTGGCCCTTGATCAAGGTGACTGAAAGGCCGAGGACGACGATGGCGAAGATACCTTGGAAGGCCCTCAGGCCGAAGAAGATGAACTTGGACATGGTGGTTGGATTGTGCGTCTTTTGGAGGGGATAGCAGAACGAGTAGGTAGAGAGGATGTCTTTGGCGACTTGACTCGAGATGATATTAGAGATTAGGGGTGGATTTTGACAGGTGCGAGAGACTCGGGACTGAATTGCCGGTGTGGTTCCTGGTGATCTTTATAGCTTGCTACTTGGCGAGTGTAGACAGAGAGGAAGGGTAAGGGTAAGGTTATGATGTAGCAACAGCAAGCGTACACGAAAAAAGTGCAATTAAACGGATGCAGCCTTACGGATCCTCAACGGCCTAGTCAGTATGTAGTAGCTGGAGCAATGCTTGTGCAATTCGCTTCGTGGGGACTACAGTTTTAAAAAAAGAACTGGGAAGATTGTGAAGAAGAAGAATAGTAGATTCTGGGTAGGCTCACACACACGACAAGAGAAGAAGGCACCGCGTACATACATATATCCCCAACCAACTGCCACCACGGTGCGAGCAGCGAGAGAGCAAGGCATTGCTGATCCCAATACCCAATGCAAGCGCTCTCCGTTCACCGCAACTGAAACTCTTCACCTTGTTCATCCTATCCCCCATCCCATCATCAACGCCGTCGCCTTGATAATAATGAACATTAATGATCATGGTTTCACACAGCAAGCAGTATTGACATTGCCAGGCCCCCCGGCAACTACCCCTTACAACTGACCGGAATATGCAAAAGTCTTCACGACGCCATTGGCCCAGAGGGCTCGTCACGTTAGGCAGGCAACTGCACTCTCTGATCCTTCCGAGTCCCTGCCCTGACACGGGTGCGGCACCTCTCTGGGCGCCCATGCATACTGTTACTGTGTAGGTACAGTGGGATGAGGATCGGGAGTGGAGTTCAGGCCAGTAGTGGGGCTGTGTTGCTTGCCCAAGCGGGCGTGGTGTGTGTGCTGTAACTGCAGTTGTTGATTGTGTAAAACCTATCAACCGTCCCTCGCCCTCCCCCCGAAACAGGATGTAGACGATGCTGGTTGCAGGTGGGTTATGAAATGAATACTGGGGTTATGGGGGCTAAAAGAGAGGTAGAGTACGGATGGGCGGCCATAGAAGAGGGGACCTGCGCCACGGATCGACGGGCTCGCCTTGAAACAGTCGCGCAAGGCTGAGTGGCTAGGCGGCTACTCACGTCAATTTTGTTTTGGTGTTTTGGTTGCATTTGTTCGCCGTCTATTTCTCTTCTAGTGTCGCTCAATGAGATCGTTATACATGATAGGATGCTCGTGTTGCTCAGATCAGTCCATTTTTCCACAGACTAGGTCAAGGACTGCTGTGGTAGTAAGATCTATTCTAAGTACACAGGTATCCCGTACATGACGGCTGCTGCACCATTGAGGTACCTCAGGACACAGGCCTCTCTTCCTATACGAACGGCCTCATCAAGTCCCACGCCTCGCTCCTTTGCTACATTTGCAGGCGCCGACGGGCCATCGTCCTCGCCGCCTTGAGCACGCGCTTTTCTCCCCTTCTTGGTTGTGGTCGTCGCTCTGGCGCTTTCAACATCTGCCACAAACTGCGCGACCTTGCCTTTCCCTTTGCCCTTTTTTCCCGATTCGGCAGCCTCTTCAGCTTCGGACTTTTCTTGCCACAGACCCCAACATTCACCAGCTTTGATAGCGAATCGATCGCAGTCTTTGTCCGTAACATCCCAGAGCATACCCACCACAGCTGGGGCTCCAGCGGTAAGGTACGATGCTAGCATGCCGGAAGGTTCATAAATACCATTTTCAGAGAGATGGACAGACGAGCATCCAAAGAGAAACGTCGTAGCGCAAGCTGGCGTGTCTGCATCGTGGCCCGTGTAAAGTCGTCGAACCGATTTTGATCTCACATATTGTGCTCCGCTACCGTGACCAAAATATAGTACGAGCTCTTTCTGCTTCAAGGCGGCTTCAAATTCTTGCTCCGAGGGGCCGCGGTTATTGATATGCGCCCACGGACCTTGTAAGTCGTCCAATCGCGGCTTTAATGTTTTCAGCGTATGGCTCAAGTCCCCTGATGGATTCAAGATGCTCGTCCCTCCTGATTCTGCCGAAATGTAGTGGCCAGCAGGTGCGCTCTCGATTGTGCGAGACTGCTTTGCGCTTACGATGCGTTCGCGGAGAGCTGCAAGTGACGGTAATCGTGAGATTGAAAGCGACTGTAGACTTGGTAATGACTCCCATGGAAAAGTATGCAGATTGTTATCCAGAATGAGTATCGTATGTGCTGATTCTTTTGATGCGCCTTGTGCAAGATTTTGACAATCCGAGTGGTATGCGCGTAGGGCGTCAAGCGTCTCTATGACAATTGCATCGAAATCGATTTCGTCGTATGCGTTCCGTTCCCCGTTGAACTGCAGAATGTCCACGACAAAGTAGACAAGATCTGTTAGAGGCTCGTCTAAATCAACTTCCTCATTGTTGGCATCGCCTAGTCCAATGAAAAGTTCAAGCACTCCTGCATCCAAGGCAGTGTCTGGCCGACGTCCTTTCCCACGTCTGGATGGCAGGTGGCGATTCAATATGTTGTCAAACGCTTTGCGGAATCGGGCCAGCGAGTTTTGGCTTCGGGAGTTTTGCGAGAATATTCCTCGGAATCCACCAAGCCATATGTTTTCAATGTTGATGAGCAACTCTTCCAGCTTTTTGTCGAGAGCCTCGCGCTCTGCCCACCATTGAAGTCGCGCTTGCTTCGACGTCATGTCTTTCGCGGACCGGGTGCTGAAGTCGCTAAGCTCTATTATCTCTTCCAGTTCACGTTTCCCATCTTGGAAGCTGAATTCCTCCTCATCCATGTCCCGTGACGTGTGGCGTGCCACAGGCAAGCGCAAGACGAAAGGCAACCTCCCTGCTTCATATCTCGTTATGTATAGTTCATCGTGGGTTTCATTCAGAGCTAATGCAATCGCCGCCCATGATTCCGGTATGATATCGATGTACTGCCGTTGAAATTCGCCAGGAGATGCCAGAGTGAACCTTCTGCGATCCTCGAGATCTGGCCACTTGAGGCATTCGTCACGAGATAAGCTCTCTTTCTCAACCTCAATCGTTTGCTGGCTGTGACGAAGGGCGTTGCACTTTGGAATTTCTTTGCCCTATTAGCCACTACACTCACTGACAACACGATAGCAAACTTACCACTCATGTATGCAGCATATCCAGGGTGAACTGAGCCATTAACATTGCCACCCGAAACTGCAGATAGAAGTACTGTCACTTGTCCTAAAGCGAGAGATGCCTGTTGAAAATGGAAACTGGAGCCCGCTTGAGTACATAAAGCATGATACTCCAACAATCGTTCCCGGGCTTCTTGGAGTACAGCAATGAACCCTTCTTTTACGGACGACTTGGACTTCACACCCTTCGCTGGGGCAGCCGTCGTGATTACTCGTCTTGTTGTCAAAGATTCTGACATTCTGCGCATCTCAGATCCGATGGCAGGGAAGGCGATGGTTGATTCTGGTAGTGTATTGAGAGTCACATCCCGGCTGAGACCCTCCATGCCTCGCGAAATGAGTGCTTTGAAGTTGACCCACATGTGAAGGGCGCTTTTATCGGCATCTCGAACAAAAGTTTGCGCAAGCTCAACGAGCTTCAATGCCTCGGCGGTATTGTTTTGTGATAGTTCGGCTAGCGCTTTTCGTCTTGCTACATCTGCTCGAAGTTCTAGCAAGGGTGAGAATTCTTCTGTCACGATTGCCTGGTCAGGCAAAGGAGCTTTCACGGCCCTTTTCGGCACTCGAGATGTGCTTCTTGGAATAGGTTTTGCCTTGGGTTTGGCAGCCGGCTTCTCGGTGGATTTTGACGCGGGCTTCCTCCCCCTCGTTGGCCTTCGTCCCTGTGGTATAGCATCTGTGGCTGCCTCGAGCGCCAGTGTTGATAGTTTATCCGTCAACTCATCTACCCGTGCACCTGGAGAAGCATCAATACTGCGGAGGAATTCCGGCGCCGTAAGATCTTCTAACAGACGGTCTAGTTGCTCGTAGGCCGCAAGCTCGGCGTCGGTTTCATTGTCAATCTGAGCAATCCACGCAACGGAGGAGTAATAACAAGCGAGAGCTGAATGCTTGTACGAAGCAGATATTTCGAGAGCTTTCAGTGCAGCCTGCGCCTTATCGACTCTTCCACTCTGGGCCCAGTACTGTGCTAGAAGGCTGGATACCTCAACAAGGAAGGATTGAGACTTGGTCGCCAACGCGATCTTCTCGGCCTGTTCTGCGAAGTAGACAGCTTCTTGCAGCAATCCTTGCTGAGCGTAAACTACGGACTGCTGCAATAGACCGCGAAATAGAGAAGGCACTAAAGACCACAAATCTCGTCCATCGAGTGAGTCGTGAGTAGTTGACATGACAGATGGACCCCCCGATTCTGTTCTGACCGAGCTCGTTGGATCGAATTTGCTCTTATCGCTGGTAGATCTGCTTTCCAGAGCAGCCCATGTTCGCCGATTAAGAGCAACACACTGTTTCGCGTATCGTCCAGCATCCTTCAGATATCCATTCTTTGCGGCATGGAGCGAATGCACATAGCAGGCATCGGCAAGTATGGTGTTAGATCGAAGTCTCTCGGATAGACTTGTAGAAGATTTTTGCAGTTTGTTGAAATCTGTATCACTCCGCGCGAGCTCTTCGGCATCTGACAGTGTATGCTCGCATGCAGACAAATTACCAATGCTTAGCAAATACTCAGCGTAGGCGATGTACCATGTAAGTTTTCCTTCAGTTGATACAATACTAGTTTTCACTGTGGTCTCCGCCAAGGCAAAGATTTGGCCGGCCTTGCCTGCATAGCCCAGCCGAAGGTATAATATAGCCAATGTGCAACGACTAGTAACAAGACGAGTGCGATCGTTTTGTCCTTGTAGCACAAGTAGCTTGACGATTAATTGCAGCACAGATAAACAGAAGTATTCTTCGCCCTTTGCCAATAGATAGTTTACGGTCGTCTCCATTGCTTCCAGCCATTCTTCAGTATCGTCGACTTTGGCTGAAATGGCTTGCCAGGAAGCTAAGGAATCTGCGAAGTTGTGCCAAATGATCAGACATTGACGGAGCTCCTCTATTTGCGGCACTGCATTCATGATGGAAAACTTGAGTCGTACGAGAGCATCCAAATGTTCGGCGTACTCGAGCAGGCCATGGTCTTCTGTTGCTGTTTTCATCGTTTTCGGATCCAATGGCGGTACTTCTGGTAATAAACCTAAACTCAAAATACCAGGATGCTCTTGGGCCAAACGTATGAGCAGTCCGTACGCTCGTCGGTGACGAATGGGATAGATGCTAGGGTCATATAGATCCATCAACCGGGCACCGATAGCTCGAACTGAAGGATTGAATGCAGCGTCCCAGGTGCGATGCCTCGATAGCGTCTTCAGGTAGAGTGCAAGTTGCCATTCCAGAAGCGCACCTCGATCGGTGGATGAGAGATCTTGTTGATCGAAGAATGCCAGGTCGTTGTCATTCTTGAGCCCACGTTTGAGGACAGAGCGATGATAAGATTTGAGAATCCTTCCAAGTACTGATGTTGTGCTGTCAAGCTCAAATGGCTGCCGAATTGGTTGTGTAGAAGCCAGGCTGGCAGCGTCTTGCAACATTCCGGCTTCAATAAGATCTTGAATACATTGAAATAGTGCCGTAGACGCCTCAGAATCGTCGCCTTTGGCTTCCAAAGCATCGGCTAGCCTTTCGTACTTCATGGTGATCATTCCAGATCGCCGTTCAGCCAGTGATCGCTCCTGAAGCGTTCCAATAGAGAGCTGCATTGCAGCTATGGTGGCTGTCGAAAGCCCATGAACAGCTTTCAATTGCACATGCAGTGCCCAGTATGCATTTGATAGCTTGACGAAAGGGCACTGTAAATCGTCTGTAAGTCGTGCTTCATCGGGTCCCTCCCCAAAATGCCCCAAAAGTGTACTGCAGTCTGTGACAATGGTCTTGATCGACGTTAAATGTTCATCTGGGTCGGTAGTAATTGGCAATTTTGAGCACACACAGACAGTATCCACAATGCTTCGCATGTGCTTGCTAGCGATGTTTACGCGCTGTTTCCATTGCTCACTCGCAGGGACGTTATCGGGCTTGGGTGTAGCGAGAAATCGAATCGAGAACGCAAGTGTGGCCTTCACAATGTTCAAGACCACATCATTGGCAAGCTTCAGACCTGACTCTGTCTTTTCGCTTTGAAGTTTTGCTGCCAGAGCTCTGCTGACTACTCGCCTCAGAGCCTGTGCCTCAATGAACACGGCCTCAAGAGCAGTGGCCGAGCCCTCGACACAATTTTCCAGAGCTGCTTGTGCTGCTGCAATGCTGGCTTCTAATTCAGGTAGCACCGAGCCCTTGACGGAAGCATCTATAGACAGAGATGCGGCTCGTGCCAGCCGAGCAGCAGCTCTAGCAGCCGAGTGTTCAGTGGTGGATGTATCGGTGTTTCCTAACCACTGGAGTGCTTCTTGCGCTTGCCCCGCTGCTTGTGCCAGATCTCCAAGGATTCGAGAAGCGGAGAGCGTCGCCGCGCTTCGGCTTTGTGGTGCAGGATCCTCGGACGCGTTGAGATCGGTATAAATGAGTTTGGCAATCTTGTATCTCTTCTCGAAGGACAGTCTGGATCTTCTCGCAAATGCATTGAGACATTTGGATAGTGGCTCCAGTAGCTCCTTTTCATCATTTGGTTTGTGGCCGGCCAATGTCCACCACCGTTGACGTGTTTTGAAGGCCAGATGTTGTAGGGAAAGTACTGTGTCTGGGGTGGGATTTACATTGCTGTCATCGGCCGCTAGGTCTTCTGAGGTGGAAACACTGGGACACATCGACAATATCGTCTGGGCGAGCGATTCGAGTTGTCGGATAGCTCTAGCATCTCCTTTGGAAGCTTGAGCAGCATACCATGTCAGATTGGCCGGTGATCCTGGATTTGATAGTTTGAGCGAAGTCCAGGATTCCTCAATGACTTGGGGCCTTCTCATCCGTGCAATAATGCGCAATGTGTAGATCTGATGACTTATCACGATGGACAAGGCCGGGCTCTTGCGATCGACTTCTCCAAAGTCAAGCAGTGATGCTATGCTAACCTTCTCATCCTGGTTAGTAGTTGTCCTTTGGGGTGCCTTTGCTTTCAATTGTGACTTGGTGATCTTTTGTTCCTCCACGCCCAAAACCTTCTCCAACCGCTTCTTCAGTATCCTTAACTCCTTGAGCGCGATATTATCCAAGCCATGTGTCACCAGCTTTCCAACAAGAGCTAACATCCCATTCTCCAATTGCAAGGGTGATCCATCCGTTCCCGCGATCTTCATTGCTTCTGCTGTTCGCAAGTAGGCAAAGGCTGCCCTCGCGCATTCGGCGGTCGCTGGTAGGCCTGCATCCGATCCACCACCCTGGCCGGGCGAGGGCTTTGATTTTATTCGAGCATTCGTCGCTTGGTCTGCAGATAACTCTTGTAGGGGTCTCTGTGACTGTGGAGCGCACTTTGTGGATTGGGGCGCAACGTCTTCGGTGGTGGTGTTCGATTTCTGTGATTTTCGTATCGATTGGGCAGTCGGAGTAGCCCTCAGAGCATCAGAAAGAGTTTTAAGGGTGGTATTCGCAACTTCTGTGGCAAAAATGTATCTGTCTCGCGGTGTCAAGTCGTTCGAGGATTGCTTCGTCGCAGGTGCAGAAGCCGTGGCTCCGGTGGTTGCGCCCTTCCGTCGCGCTGTAGGTCTTGAACTGCGGGCAGCCAGAGCCTTGTTCGAGGTATTCTCCTTCTCAATAATTCCATCCGAGCCCAAGTCTAATAGCAATCTTATTTCGTTCAACGTTCTGGTCGTCGTGTGCTCGAGGGATCGAAGGTTTGTTTTAATGTTTTCGATGCGTGCTTGCGCGGTTTGTTGTTTATTCGCCATCGGGGGCTATTTTTCTAGGTGCTACTTTCTCCTATACGTCGTCGTAGCTTTAGAGAATATGGAAAATATACATTATCTATAAGGAGGTTTGAAGTTGATGCCCATCAACAGGTTGTACAAACAATAGACGCGATCGGATGTTTAGATCTAGCCTCTCCAAGGCTAGGCTGCCAAGCAACCGGTCCGGGTTCCCATCGCCTTGTCAGTAACCTTTATGCACTGCACAAATATCGCTATGCAAACACAATACTTATGCACAGATATTATACATGCACAAATATTTTTTATGCATTTTATGTACATATGTAGAGACACATTGATTAGGTCAATACTCGTTTAGCCGGTCTCTAAGTCTTGGCATTTGGTCCTTCAAGTGCATCAGTTTTCGATGGAATTCGAAAATTTACTCAATCGGGAAATTTAAATTTAGTCACATGACCAGCGAGGTGCATGAATTGCTTGGCATTTTGGTCCTTCAAATTTGACTGTTTTCGATGGAATTCGACAACCTACTCAATTAGGAAAGTTGAACTTCATCAAGGTGCACGAAATGCTTGGCATTTGGTCCTTCAAAATCAACGGTTTTCAATAGAAATCCAAGAACCTACTTAATTAGGCAATTTGAGCACTAGCTGAATTTTGGTATTTCGAAAACCTGCTCAATGAGGAAAGTTGAACACTGGACCACTGGGAGAGTTGCAAGATACAGAACACGACGTGGGGTCTCGATGTATCTGCCTTTAGATTACTTTAGATCTTGGTCCTCGATGCGGGCAGTTTTCGATGGAAAAATCGATCACTTGAACAGCGAATCTGAAGCTGTTAATTACTTTCAATTATCATTTATCGCCACTTGAAAGTTTCGATATTTTGGCCTTTCGAAGTTTCAAATTTTTGACACCGCGGATTTACATTCATCAGTCGCATATCACTACAGAAATCGAACATATATGTTCACCAACACTATTTTGGCGATTCTTATTCATAATTGGTATAGTGAAGCTCAACTATGTACATGTTTGAGATCTCGCTGCTCTCTGTTGTGCCAGGTTTACAACATAACCAGACCTACACCACCCATGTGCTTGTCGCTCGATTGATTCCTAGCATCGATGCCTCCAGGTAGGGGCTGTGCGCGGTAGTTGTAGAGGTAGTAGTGGAGTGAGCCATCGCCGGCGCCAAAGCGCTGTTCTTCGAGGAAAAGCGGGTTGTCAAGGAGAGTAAGGGCATTGAAAACGTCGAAGTTTTCCTAGATCTGTTAATTTCCTGTTGGGTCGAAATGGTATATGAAATCTTACCTTCTTTGCTAGGATCAACGCGTCCTTCATCAGAGAATTCAACCGTGGCTTCAAGAGAGACTCGTCGCCGCTGAAAGCCGCTTCCGTTGCATAGTAGAAGAGATATGCGGCCTTGATCACGTTGTGCTTCTTGTGGCCGATGACGGTGCTCTCAAGGTTGTAGAAAGAGAAGTAATCGGTGATCTTCTTGGTCTTTGGATCCTCGATGACATAGCTCCAGACCACTTGCTCCTTGGGTTTCTCTGCTGGGAACATCCAGTGCTCGAATTCGGTCTTGCTGAAGACCTGTGCCATATCCATGCGCGCCAAGTATCGTTTCAGTAGATCAAGGACAGCGTCGACATCCTTGGCCTCCATAACCCTGAGGCCGGGGGTAGAAGTGGTTTCTGGGAGCTTGTATCGGACGATTTGTCGTTGCTTGGTGCTACCGTGTGGAAGGGGAGAGAAGCCAACATCATACAGTTTCTCCCAGTCAAGAGATCGGTGGAAATAGCGACAGGTTGAGACAGGGGTAGGCAGTAGAGATCCGACAGTGTAGACAGCCTGGAAGACGCCTTCCACGTAGCAACGACGAGTAATCTCCTTGATAAGCACCGGGGCCAACCGTTTTGAGCGCAGCTTCTTGTGTACACAAAGGAAGTTGACTTCCGAGCAATTCAGGGTATTCTGACGAAGACGAAGTTGTATGGGGATTCCGGAGATGAAGGCTACCAGCTTTCCAGAGGCAGTGGCGCGAACGCCGACATGCCATTCCTTCTTCCAGCCAGGTGCTTTCAGGGCCCTATAAGCGGTTATGACATTGACCCGAATGGGGAACAGAGCGTGCATAGCTTACCAATTAAGGAAGGAAGGAGAGTATTTGAATCTGAACATGGCTTCTTGGTCCTCAACATAGTGGTTGGTGAGGAGATCATAGACCTCCTCCAGTTGCTTCTCGTCCTCAAGGTCCATAGTGACCCATTCGAAACCGGGGTACATGGGGCTAGGATTCTTGTCCACTCTCTCGATATCAATCTCCTTGATCGGACCATCCACGATCTTGTCCTTTCCGCTAGCCACCTCATCGAAGCTTAGAACAGGCTGCGTCTTCCAGAAAGCATGGCTGGCCATGTCCTTCTGGTTCTTGCCCTGTGGAGCGAGACCCGTCAACATCTCATTGATGTTGAGCTTCTTTATCAGCGACTCCAAATCCTTGGTTCCCTTTGCCTTCGACATCAATTCGTTCTTCAGCGCTGGGTTGGCCTCGAGAAGCATGTTCATTTGGTCCTTGCTCAAATGTTGACCTGCCGGCGATTCGGTGCTGGTGATCGGGTCCTTGCCCTTGCCTGCCAATGCATCCTTGATCTTGCGCTTGCGGCTCTTCTTCTTCTTCTCTGTGGCCTGGTCTCCTCCTTCTACAATTTCGTCTTCCTCGCTTTCGCTCTCTGCATCGGCGACATTTGCGTTCTTGCTCGATTCGGCGACAGCCTCGGCGGCGGCCTCGGCAGCAGCATCGGTATCAGCGAGTTTGGAGGCTTCTTGAGGCATCGTGGCGCGTCGTCGATTGTGGTGAATTAGAACTGTTTGGACAAGTTGGCCGCTGGCAAGGTTGTTCAAGCTACCATGTGGGGTTACAGTTTTGGCGGGGCACGCGTTGGTGCCTCGCTTCAGGATGTGACGTTGTCCTTATGCACCTTCTATATCATCGCCCTTTCCCTTCTCTTCGACCATTGAACATTCAATTATTCGCTTTCAGCGAATTCAGAGTGTTAAGATGAAGAGAATATTTCTTTCTCCCTTTCTACAATGTTCTCGCGCCTGAAATGCTTGAAATTTACACTTAAACGCTGACGTTAAATATATCATTACAATACATATAAAAAGTTCATACAGGAATGCCAGTAAAGGATATCAAACGCTTCGTGCCCTAAAGATGGCTTGCAGTGTCCCAAAACAGCCTTACAGAAAGTTTATGTTTCCATCTTCTCATTGACGACCCTTGACAGGAGACGGCAGCAACTCAACAGGCTCCCGGGAGGCCTCCATCTCGGCCAGTGTCGCCTCCGAAGAGAGCTCAACGCGCGCCGGAGCCTCATGTCTGTAATATTCATTGTCGACCTTCTCAGGAACGACGGGTCGTTTTCCCTTCCCCTTTCCTTTATCTTCTCCTTTTCTTCTTCTCCCTCTGCAGAGGAAGAAAACGAGCGCAGCGCAAATCACGATGAACCCAACTCCGCCGATAGCGATGCCTGCTATGGCAGGAGTCGAGATGCCGTTTGCGCTCTTTCCCCCAGGATTATTATCGTTTGGATTACCGAGACTTTGCGTTGGCGATGTCGATGCAGAGGTTAGACTTGTACTGGACATCGATGACGACGTACTCGTAGTGGCGACCTTTTTCTGCATTGTCAGACAATCTCTAGATGGCAGCACCTGCCTATGATCAGGAAGGACGAGGAAAAGACATCACTGACCTCGAAGTTCGGCACATCGGTGAACATGCCCCCGTCCTTGGGCCTCTCTGCCGATGGATTCACTTGGATATCCCAAAGCGCATTCTCCTTGCTCGTCTGCATGCCCGGGACTGTGTTCAATTCGCTCAGTGCCAGGTAACTTTCGTTTCCCAACAGCCCGTTCGTCCAGAGCCACCCATCGTCACCTTGCCTCGTCAGCGTCCACTGCTGTCCCAGCGACCCGGACGATCGCATCATCCGCGGGACGGATCGGTCGTTGATGTCTATGCCGAGTTGCCATGGTGAAAGGTAGTCGTAGTTGCGGATGAAGAATCGGCCGCCCTGGAAGTAGAACTGCCAGTTTCCCGAAGACAACCCTTCTTCTGTGACGTTGATGTCTCCTGGTCGGTTTATCCCGCTGGTAAGGAATCGTTTGGGATACACTTTGGCGTGGATCGTGTAGTAGTAGTTATCGTCGAACGGTGGCAGTGTCTGTCGTGACTCTAACAGGCCGGACTCCATCCCAGCGACCAAGTGAAGACGGAAAGGCTGCTTATATCACGACGCGATATCCCGCGCACTCACGACGGGAAGGAGGGAAGAGTACTTAAGTAAGTATCGTGAGGGTGCAGTGAATCCCCCTGTCAGCACAATAAACCCCAACTGCTGAGGTGCTCCAACGCATTGAATCGGGGGCTTATGGAAAAACCTGTTGCAAGTGGCGCCCCCATTATCGGCGACAGTTCCATTAACGGTCCTCAGTCGCTTATGGGGGAACCAAAGTTTGAATCCTCCCCGTATGTCGTTGCGCTTCGGGCGCTCGTTTGTCTTGAGCATCGTCACGTCTCCCAAAGCACTTTCTAGGCTGCAATATGCCTGCCCGGGCCTGGCCAGCAACTTGATTTCCACCAACATCGCCGAAGGAACCGTCAGCTTCGAATGATTGGGAGTGATGTAGTGGAAGAATGTGATTGATGTTATTCGGACCCCACCGAAAGAGCGAACCCAACCCCTTCAATGCATGCATGCATGGAATCACCGGTCACCCCTGGTGTGCATGCCCACCCGATCGAATACGGCAAGTAAGCGAACTCACAATTGCTTGGATCTGTCTTTGAAAGAAGGCAAAATCGTAGTGTAATCTAGATCGATGATCTGAACTGCTATGGTGGACCACATTAATTAGAGAACTCGGGGAAAAGATCGCACAAGGATATAATATCTTGTCCTGGTAGTGGATCAATAACGAGATTCGATCGCGCGGATGGTAGCGACTATGTACCTAGATTTGAAACGTTCGTATCGGAAACCCAACATCTGGCTTCAATCTCAATCTCCGTTAACCAGTTTTCTGGAAATACGTTAGATGCTAAGATGGTGTATCTCCGCATGCACGCAACGGGTTTGCATGGGATATGGTGTTACAAGATCCTCTCACCCTTGGCCCCTTCGCGTATGCTCACCGGTGAATGATTATCTACGCTCGAAACAAGGAGAATTATGTCATGCGTCTACTCAATGGTACACAGGACATGCGCGTGTATGCATATGTGTGTGTGGAAATAGCGTGGATTGCATGTCTCGCGACCTGGAAACGTAGATGCACTTTGTAGGCTTATATGCTTGAGGAAACAGGCTTTGTTGAGCTATATTACAACCCGAATAGTATGCAACTTTATTCAGATATCAATTCACTCCCGTATAGAGTAGTTTGTCCCTCAAGTAATAAGCACAGTAAAATAAAAATTCCCAACACTCCAAATATCGCAGATGTTCTTTGTTTTCCAAAGAGGGGAGCAAAGTCGACAATATCCGCCGTCCGTCCTCCTTCTGCTATAAGATTATTCATGGAGAAATCGCTAGCTTCAAATGTTCTCCCATATGTATGGTCCGGAAATTTAACGCCTGATGATTATTTCCCAGTAGTTGTTAGAAAAGACGAAATCGAAGACGCGAGAAACGAGAAACGAGAAACGAGAAACGCCGTATATGTAAACGTTCAAAGGGATTTTGGGGCGATGGTCATTAAAGTCTTCATTTCTAAAAACTTCTGGTGAAAAGAGAAGAAAAAAAAAACGGGTTGGCGGTGGTATTCATAAAGGAGTGGGTGGCCGTAGGTAGTGTAAATGGTTCAGATGGTAAATTCTACACTTTTGTTGCATCCTTTGCGTATCAAGCGGTGGGCGATGGATCTTGTCACCTGAAAGGGTTCGTCTGCCTGCTGCCATCGGCAGAGGTGGGTTCGGGAGTGACTTGGATACTGGGCAAGCGTTCAATAGTGGGCAGCTGAGGAGCTCGAGTCGTTACGGGGCTTTCATAATTCGGCGGGTCTTCGTATGCTGGTGCATCTTCTCTAGGGATGTCGATGCTGGGGATGGGCGTCGCACCACGGCTGACGGAGCGCGATCGTGATCGTGATCGTGGGCGCGAGAGGGAAACGACTTCGAATTCATCACTCGTGTTTGCGCTACGAGTATGCACGGCGTCTGGGAACTCGAAGTCGTCGGAGCCGCGAGAGGATACAGACAGAACGGAGGAGGCGGATGTAACTCGGTGGTGATGGCTCGTTCCCAATGTGTTGTTGGAAACTGCTCTGCTGTGACCGCTTTGTCCGGATATGGAAGCTGCAGAGTCAAGAAGTGGCCGGTTGTCACTTTCCGTCGAGTTTGCTCTCAAGCGAGTGCCGTCGTGTCGCGCTACACCAAGATCACCATACTGAACACTCGAGACTCTTCGTTCGCGGTTCGCCGCCTGGTGGTCTGCGATCAGCATCTGCGATCTCGATAACTCTGCCGCAGCTTCTGTTCTCCTTCGGATCTCCGCCATTGCTTGGGTATCACCTCGCAGTCTGGCTTCTCTTCGTGCCTGCCGACGCTCTTCTCGTTCCTGGGCTTCGGTACGACGAGCTAATCGGATCTGGTAGAGAGAGTCCATCTCTTGCTCTCGTCTTGCCTCCTCATCCTCTTGTGTCTCTGGGAACTCCACGACCGTGTCGACACCACCTCTTTCTCCCTCTCTAGCCAGGATTCTCTCATTCTCGCGGGCAGCCAGCGAGTAAGCAGGCAGTGTCATAACGCTTCGCACCGAGGTATTCCTATCGACTCCGGCAGTCTCGTTCTGTTGTCGTTCCGGGTCCGACTGCAGGCCCGCCGTTTCGCGAGAGACACTTTCCTGCCGACTGTGGCCTCGACCGAGTTCATTGTTGTCCTGAAGATTTGTAGAGTACTCTCCGCGAGAGTTCTGCTGTCCCCACCAACCCCGGCCGAACCATCCTGGGAGTTGGTCTTGCTTGTTCTTCTTCTTCTTTTTCGTTCGGTACTTGGTCGTGACGAGGTATGTGATGATGAGGATGGCGAAGACGGTTACAGCTATGATTGCAATCTGTGCAAGAGCAAGACGGGGTTTCTGTCAGCGGATGCGCTCTACCGAGACAACGCCACCCTTTCACGAGGGCATTGCATGGAATAAAACGGATTGCAGCTCAAGTCGAACATACCACGATGAAAGAGTTGCTAGACTTTTTGTCGTCTCTTGGAACCAATGCTCTCGCGGCATGGTCCCTTGCATGATCAGGTAACAGCATGGTGGCCGCGGTTCGACGCTGGAGTGTAACCATGCAATGAGCGAGAACAATGGGTGACCCCTTTGCGTTCCGTCTGTTCCTTCTTCCTTCCCTCACAGTCCGATAACCAAAAAAGTGCACACAGAAGCTCTCGAAGGTCAATGAAGTCAGAAGAGAAGCGAAAGAGTGGGAAAGAAAGTGGAGCGCAAGCAAGCTACACCAGCCCAGAGCGGTCGCACCCGCTAAATCCGAGCTACAGATGGATAACTCGCCGAATGTGGTTTGGGGAGGGTATTGAGGCCGCTGCTTCCAGCCGCGCGGTGTTCGAGTAGCGAGTTCGTGGGGCTCTTCGTGACAGCGAAGAGGCAGTTATGAAGAATGAGGGTATGCACAAGGACCAATGTAGGTAGTAGGATGAAGAGGGTAGAGAGTCCGTCGTTCGTAAGGAGGACTTTCCAGAGTCTAGTTCTCATGGGGGGGAAAACCCGCCGGGGCTGAGGTACACAGACACCAGACGGCAGGGCAGCTGGTAAGGTTGTGCGCTGCGCCGTAGAGACCAGCTTGGCGTGGCTTATTTGGCCGGGTCTATCTCCATAATCCTGATCGAAAGCAGCAAAAGGCAGCAGAGGAGAGCGAGGAGAGTGGCTGTGATGATTCCCACCCCGGCGTCGCAACGGATTCTCAATTGGTCGTTGCATGCGAAAGCTCTTTTGTAAGGCCCTCCGAGAAACGTCTCTTGCTCACCCACAACGTCATTCCAAATCCAGGGAGATTCTTCCTACAAATTGATCACCGAACATGCCTATGAAGATTCTAATTAACGACAACGGGGCAATGATGCATGGGTTCTAGCAATGGACAGCGATTGACAGGCATTGAAGCTCCGCTGCCAAACCGAATCTGGGGATGGACTGGATGGGCCGAGTTTCTATATTTGGGGGTTCGTTGTCGGTAGACTAATACTAATTTCAACCTCCTACCAAATGTCCATCAGCCAATGGCATCTTCCCGTCTACCACTTCTCATCTGTCGCACTACTTGTACATGCCCAAACCTTACCCGACTATGAGCATTCTGTCCGCCCTCGACATGTTGAAAACGTCATGAATCATTCTTTTTCTTTCCTTTTCATGGTGTTCTGTAAATGATTATCTACGCCGTACCTGCCAACCATTACAAAAGAGAGTATCCTTCATATCGGTAAGACTCAACCCCTTAGTCCACGGTTCGTGGTACCCAGCGTCTAACAGTTCATGCGTGCGTGTGTAATACGTGTGTGCCCTGTGAGCACATACATAGCGTGCGCGCATGTGATTCGAACGTGTTTGGTGCCCGAATATGATACTCACTACGTACCACATAGCTCTATATTGCTTCAAGAATTCCCTATCGGTGATCAATTGCTGTGTGATGGATACTACGCAAATTGAGGTAACGAGGGGGTATTATTATGTTGTTTTTCCTCTCTTCTTCTTCTTTCTAATCGACCAATTCTTCCTGCTATTTCGCATCTCGTATCTCATAGTCATCATACCCCACAGACGTACTCTTTTCCATTTCTCATGTTGGTGTAGGTCTGAAACGACGAGGGGAAATGATGGCAAATAGCCATCCTGGGCAGCGTGCATCGCAGCTTGGGTATGAAATCCCACTAGCCCTGACCATCTAGTAATTATAATTCTTTGTTAAGCCTCTCGATGTCTTACAAGATTTTGGCCTTATATGTTATCCGAAATTGAATGTTCTAAATATTCGTGAAGCTGCCTTGATTTTTCTGAACAATGAACAAAGGATAATCAAGGAACAAGACAGTTCAGAAGGTACCTAGCATGATAGACCACTCCAAGACAAGCATTTACCATGTAATGTTATCTGGGAAACAAATGGTTGGTTCCTAGAGCTCCAAAGGACGTTATTTCTAGCAGAGTAACGCAGACTACCGCCTTACCAACCAAGATCGGATCAATCTGGTGCATGACTTCAAGGCCCAAAAGAGTTGCCTTGCTATCTTCTACCCTAGATAAGCCTGTCGAAGAGCACCAGATACCAAATGGTACGCATAACACTGGGTCCCGCCCATATTGTTGAAGCTGATACGCCAGCAAAGAATCAAACACACTCGATTTGCAGGGCTCGAAATCTTTACATTAGAGACGACCAATCCCAGATCTTATCGGTTAGACCTTTGATGTCCGTATACCATCTTTTTCTAACGCATGATAGGATATGAAGAGAACCCCGGGCGTGGATATCACGATAAGCGAACTATGAATACGGTGGTGGATGTGATGAATTGAAACGCTCATCCTAACGAACAAGACGCTACGAGTAACGACAGAGCTTCTCCTAACGAGAATAGTCCGAGTTTAGTACCTAGGTGAACCTGACAGCAGCACCTACAACGAGGACGTTGTACCCGGCAGGGACAACGTGTGAACCATAAATGTACTCATTTTCGTATTTCCAATACGCTGGCGAGCTCATGCTCTGTGTTGGATGGTAGATTTGGATCAGTTTGCCCCTGCCCGTTATGTTTCTAGCATAACCGACTCCTGGAAAGGAGGTTTCGCTTATGTATTCCTCTGCTCCTCTTAGAGCGTTGGCTCCAGTCTCCAACGCAGTCATCCTGTTAGCTTTGGCTAAGTCAAGGTGGATGTATTCTTACCTGTGGAGGCATCTCTGATTCTCAGGAGGGGCGTACGCGGGGTGCGGGTGGGATTGTATAGGTATGAAGCTGGCGCGTCGAGATCTCGTGTTTCGATGGGCTGGTGGTGACAGGTTAGCATCATGTTACAAAACCCTGCGCTGCAGAGCCTCACCTAATGGCTTGCAAGTCTGTAGACACGATTGATTCTGGAGAAGATGATTGAGATTTCAGTTACAACCCAACGATGCCCGGATACCGGTGCCCTATATATATCAGACGATTATGCATGCTGGCGGCGTAGCAATCACATGACCTCATAATTTGGCGCTGAGATTGATGTTGTTTTAGCTTGTAACATGGCGCTTAACATGTAGCTCAGATTCGCTCGCAGAGGGCAAGGCCGAATAGCTTCACTCTAATGAAAATGCCTACACCAACAGCTCTAGCGTAGCCACTTCATCTGGCTTTGTCCTCCCGCGGACGGCCCACGGGCAACTCGTCAACACACTAAGGACAGCACACAACAGTGAGGGCGGGTCGAACTGGCGAGCCATAGTCAAGCATGGGACAGTCGCAACTTCGGGTTCGGCCTGTAAATCATCGGTATCGTTCCGAACAGTGAAAGCGAAGTCTGACAAATAGACATATTCGGTCTTCGGGGCGGCCTGGATACGGTGATGACTAGGATGAGATTAGCAGACGGTTCGAGTGTCACGAGTTTCCTTTCCTGGAAATGATTTGGGGGTTTGTATGGTGCATATATAGATGGCTATAGTTACGTGACAAAAATCGTGTTAGCATGTGCTGGAAATTCTGGTGGACTTATCTCATAGTTCTCTTGAAATCGCCGCGCCCTGTGCAATCCTATCTCCATTCGGCATCTGCTGGCGTTGATACACGGCATTGTAGGATTTCAATCCGAAAAGTCTAATATTTCGGTAGTAGAAAATCAATTTCATCGAAGAAAATATTGCTAACTATACGTCAGATCTTCTTCAGTTTAGGCACTGTTTACTCATCGAAAGAAGGCGTGCTTGAGTTGGTAAAACACAGAACCTATATAAACATCATAATCCTGAGTGCACCGCAATTTGTTCTAACCTACACTAGAGAGAGACACCCTTGAAATTAGAAAACCCCTTGAGATGGAAAGAAAAAGATAGAAAGGAAAGTAATATGGTACTCTCGCCAATAGGAAGTAGTACTCATAGAGCCGCTTGTCGACCTCCCCTGAGAGGAAGCTGCCCAAAGTCATAACCATCCTGGCCAGCGATTCTACTTGAATCCATGGGTAGTATCGGGTCGTACATCGCAGCAGATACTTCAGGAGGCACGAAGGAAAAAGTAGACGCATCTCTACAATGCCACCACGTGATCGTACCTTCGCCTCCATCAAGTCTTTGACAGGATCTCGCTTCCTCGGGACCGGACGAGGATTCATTGAAATAGCGGATGCGGACCCGAGGGTTGGATTGAAACTCCACGTGCATCAGGCCAATAGCATTTGGCACAAGTGGATCCGTTGTCACCTTGTCGTACCTGAATTGGCCTACTGCCACGCAGTAATGGCCGTAATCAAATTCCATGCCCAGACAGTAGTCATCATCCAAGCAAAGTCGCACATGCAGCAGCCCTTGCAAAGAAGCTTCAGTATAGTACGAACTGTCATCGAATGAGCGATGATTAGGTGCTGGCGATTGGGGCATCGGAAATAGCGATGTGTCCATTTGCTTGGAATTCTTGAAGCTGTGGTTGGGGAAGGCACCAGCATCAGACGATACTGAGTGAGGGTATCTATAGTAAAGTGCGCAGACAGAGCTATCTGCAATTTGCACAATACATTGCTTTGTCTGCATCTCAGGTGAGATATATCCGCCTAGCCAGACAGTCTTGTGTTTGGTCCGTATCTACTTGGTTAGTCGGACACTGGACAAGAAGGACTTTAACCTACCACCAACACACTGATCTCAAAGTTAAGGCCAAAGTCAAGGCTTGGCTTCATATGGCGAACGACCCATATTGCTAGAATTGGCTCTTCCATCGATAGTGGGCAGTGAGCCCAGACAATGTCCTCGCTCGTTGGGATATAGAGGCGGGATTGGGGCGAATTGCGGCGGTGGGTGGAAATAGCGATAAACCTTCCAGAGCAGAAAGCAACTGAGATGCCTGAAGACTCGGCCAAGGGAATATAACGAAAGTGCAAGTCCCGAAAAATAGTTGGTAGGGAGTGTTCGATTCTGGGTTGAAATAACAGCAATGGCTCTAAGCAATCCCACATTTGGGTTCGGTTGTCCGAAGAGTCCAAAACTCGATCTAAGAAGACACCCTATCATGTTTAGTATCGTCTCGCCCGATTTCTATGGGTCCTCACCTTAGATTCCCAGTAAATGCGCTTGGTGTCGACAGGTATTGCGTATACCCACTCGCGTTCTGGCGACTTCGCCTGCAAGCAATTCCAACAGGACTCAGTCCTCTGGAAACTCTGTTGTTTCCCCTTGATTGCGGGAATGCATGCGGACACTGTATTTCGGTACAGGAACTCCACTCTTGTAACACCAATACCATCTGTCCACACTGCCATGTAATTAAATGCACCGTCTTTCGACTTGATCTTCTCAGATCTGAGCACTTCTTTATTAAAGAGGCCAGTGACGTATGATTTTCCACCGTACTCAAAGACAGTCTGGAATATATCATCCTCGCAACTCAGACTATAAAGTCCTGCCGGGCTTCTCTCCAATTCGGCTATAAGGTTTGTAGTTTCACCAAAGTACGAAATAATACGTTGCATGCTAGGCTGGAGTAGAGGGATTATCTGAGACCAGATCTTTGGAGGGAGATGCTCTATACGCTTCAGAATACATGTCAAGCAGTCGCAATTGCCTTTATTGCATGGTTGTGTGATTCTTAGTGACAAAGAGAGGGGGGAGCTTGAACGTTTGAGGTATCGAAATGGTTGCGTAGCATTGAAAGGTTCGGCCATTGGTATTGTCTGCATGAAGGCCCTTCCGATCTGCGCTAGGGAGACCGTATTGCAGAAGCGGGTATGAAGCTTCGCACAGTCGAGGTGATACCGATAACCAGAAAATCTGGAGTTCCCGTACGTATCTCGCTCGTGTCTGTGCACTATGATAGTAAGCCAAATGTGTTCCTTCGTAGCAGGGAATACGCACAGTGGGAAACAGCTTCAGTATCCTGGATAGGAAAACGACATAAGTCGCAAACCTTTGGAAGATCATAGGCAGCCATAATCTCGACTCAGGATTCTATTGAGAGGAAGTGAGCAAACGCAACTGTGGGCAGGCTGATCTGATGCAGTGCATCGTGCCAAGATATAACCAGCAGGTCAACCAATGATAGCGCTCAGCTTCGTGCAACAACTGCACCCAAGGTGATCTTTCACAATGGAGGGTATTATGTCCATATCGCTGGTGAGCACTAACACACGACTTGATATACTCTACCATTGCAATGATCTTTCTTATACATAAACGGGGCCCCGTTCCGTTTGTGCTTCCGGGCAACGTAGTACATGATAATCCATATAACAATAATGATAGAAAGATCCTACTGCTTGACAGTAATGATCGGTCCAGGCGCCATTTTCGTACGACCTCTTGCGACCTTTTCCTACATCATACCAACCGTTCGGGTTGACTGGATTAGTACTCATCTGGCTTGCCGTAGATTGCGCAGGAGTAGTGCTATTCTGAATAATCGCCTTGACATTTGAAAATAAGAAGGGGTAAATACCTCTTACCCCTAGGTGATGCTCGAATTGATTATACCTGTAATGGCATTGCAAGTGTGAAGTAAGTGGATACCGCACTTGATGAGTCGGCATCAATGTAGCCATCAATAAGAGGCGTGAAAGATTTTGAAGCAGCGTACTCGAAAAACCCGAGCCTGAGTGCCAACATGGGCAAATGCCCAAATGTCTTTCTTTTGCTTCCTCAACGCATGGCCTCACAGGCTTCCGAAAGCTGTGTTTCCCACCTCAGTGAGAGAACCAGAAGCTCGTTTTATCTCAGATATGACAGTTCGCAATTTCAAGTCGTCAATCCCAATATGGGATGGATGGGGTCTGCGCATCTTCCACCTTTTTCTAAGAATCCTGTTTCAATAATCGATTGCTGTCAAGTGGATGATAGTTACTGCGCAAAATTGGACGTAACGAGTGGGTATTATTAACTAGTTATTGTTTTTTTTCTCTTCTTCTTCGTCTTTCTAATCAAGCCAATTCTGTCTGCATATGTAAATAATCGCATAACTATCATCTCTCGTAGTCGTCAATCCGTACCAGTACTAGCAAGACGGAACATATATAATCAGGTCAAGAGACGTTACGTTGGCAACCATTCATCTACAAAGGACAATACGTCGCTTCGCTTTACCCGCTCGCTCGCTCGCTCAATGAGATAGATCTTCGCAAATATGCATCGGCGTCGAATGCGCAGTGTGAACAGTGAGGAGAAACCGCAAGATAATAATAATATCAACAAGGAAAGGGGAAAAAAACAAGGGCGAACCCTTCTTTAGAACTTCTTGTCCAGCTTCTTCAGGAACTTCCCAACTCCCTTCTCGACCTTCTCGGCGCGCTTGCCGATGTTGGACTGTCGCTGTCCGGCGGGGGCTTCGTTCCCGACCACGCTGGCCTCCTGCTCCGTGGGGCGGTAGAGCTGCTGGTGCATGTTGAACGGGTTCGTGCCCGGCGTTTGCTGCGTCGTGCTGCTGTACGAGTACTGGTTGAAGCCTCCTGTCGGCGGAGGGGAGGCGAGCGGTTGGTATTGTTGCTGCTGTTGCTGCTGTGGAGAGAAGGCCGGCGATGGCATGGGCGATTGGTTGGGGAATCCGGGGGACTGGACGGGCGGGTGGCCTGGAGAGCCCGGGTAGTTTGCGAACTGCTGTACGGGCACGACCGACTGTCGCTGGGATCCCGGCTGAGGGGTCGAGCTGCCGTGCGGATCGTACGTTCCTGGGGGAGGCCCTGCTGGAGGAGGCGCAAACGCGGGCGGGCTCTGCGGTGGAGGTGGGATCGAACCGGTCGTATTCGTGCGCTGTACGCCTGGCGATGGGGTGTTGTAGTTTGAGGTTCGTGAGGGAGGGCCGGGGATGTATGGCCCTGTGGTCGGCTGCGGGGAGAAGGAGTTCTGCAATGGGTTTGCGTACTGAGGTGGGTGGTCCTGCGCCGCGGCATGTCCTAGACCAGTGCCATCTGCCGCATCGAGCGGAGGGGGTGTCTTCTCGCGATGAGCAATCGGCTCCGGTGCTGCTGGGGCAGCCGGGTTGTAGGCCATGGGGGCGAACGACGTCGAGGCATCGGCGGCAGGTGGACTCGACTGCGGAGGAGGAGCAGTCGGTGGGCCAGGAAACGATTGCGTGGTACTTATGCTCGGGCTTCGACTGTTGTGTGAGATGGCCGCCTTCTCCAACTTGGCGACGACTGGGTTCATCATGTCGTTCTTGTGCTCTGCATGGCTCGGGGTGAGTTGTGGGTTAGCCACAATCTGGAGCTGATGTGACTGCACCACCCGGCGCATCTGGTCCAGGAACATTGTCGAGTCATCCACCGTCCAGAAGTACAATTCCACTGTATGCAGGCGGTACATGTATTTGCCGTCGTTTCTGGGGTCGGGGGCGGGGAGGTGCCATTGTGACATGTCCTGTTGAGGGCTGGGTCCAGCACTCCCTCCCTGACTCCTGAAGCCATCCACGGTGAGGGTGAAGAGGCATGGGTGCTTGTAGCTTTGTTCTATCTTGACGGTATCAAGATCTGAGTAGGCAGCCAATGTCAGCCCGATCGCAACAGAGACAACGGCTTCATGGCCAGCGCAAGATGAGACTTACTGCCAGCGAAGGCATCCTGATCCGGTGTACCAGCATAGTTTGCAATCTCTATCCTCCCGCGCTGCTGAATGGGATTGTGGTACAGGTAGACATATGAGCCTTTGTCGAAGCGGTGGTGCGGGGGTTTGTGGGTCGGCGGGGAGAAGAAGTAGTGGACATCGGCGAAACTGTAGACGATGGATCAGATGAAAGGTCCATTCCGTAGTCAGAGGGAGCTCTTACAGGACCGTCAATGACACCTCACCCTGCTGTGGAGGCATTGTATGAACAGTGTAAGCTGGATTCTCAAAGGCCGAATGTCAAGACAAGGCAGGCAGCAGGAGAGCAATCGGAAGTGGTGTTGCGGAGGAGAGAGAGGGAGTATGAGAGAGGCAAACAACGCAGTTATTATATTGAGCTACCATGGACAGACAAGACGCCCCAAGCAGAACTAATAACTAATAAGAGAAGCGATCCAGAAATAATAATAATAATGACAACAATAGGTAGTTCCCACCAACAAATGTCTAGAAGAAGATTGGGGGGAATAGCCAGTGTGAGCCTAGAGGTCAGTTGGATAGCTTCTATTTTCAGCCGCGAAGCGCCCGACCATGTGGGAAAGGGAAAGATGCATGTGCAGTTGGGCAAGGGCGTCACTGGGGGGGGGGTCCTCGTCTTATGGTCTGGTCTGGTCTGATTTGTACTTGTCTTGTCTCCCTCTATTATACTCTACTCTACTCTACTCTACTCTACTCTACTCGGGCTTCTTCTAGCCGCTTTGACGTGACTCGCTGGATTTCTCCCACACACAATGGATACGCGGAGGTCCGCCCGCCAAGCCTTGCTCACCATCTCTCTACGTGCTACCCAAATTTTGTAAGCCTAGTAATTACTCCCATACCTAGAATATACTTACACTTCCAACGACGGCCATTGATCGACCACGAACCCCCCATCCCATCCGAGAGGGGACAGAAAGAGAGGGACCATAACCACGGCCTGCATCTGGCATTCCAACACACCCAACATCCTCCTCAATTGACCACCTGCAGCTGACGTGCAGCGGCTGCTCTGCAAAGGTCACTCCATATCTCTCCTCACCAAAGCGAAATCCCATACCTACCACCACCTACCGAACCACGAATTGCCGTCTCCATCCTTCCCGCCGACCAATACCCCCAATACCAAAGTCCCTCCCTGCACTGAGGGCCGGCCCGACCCCGAGAAGGCAGGAGAAAAAAAGAAAGAGAGGGAAGAAAAGTGGTGCACACGCACGCACATATTACATACATATACACACACAAACACACAATGTCTCTCGTCAACCTCGCCCACGTCTGCTCGCACCTGCAGAATGCGTCCAAGGCGCGCCTGGGCGTGACCTCGATCCCCGTGTCCAAGCTGCACGTGAACCTGATGCTGGGCCTCCAGCGCGAGGGCTTCCTCTCCAGCGTCGTGCTCGGGGGGCCCACGCCCCCGAAGCCGTACCTCCTGCAGTCCCAGCCGTCGCCCGAGTCGCTCGACAAGATGGCGGGTAAGCTCCGGGACCAGCCGTGGCTTGCGTACCCTGCGCCAGAAGAGACAGACAGCGACAGCGACAGCAGCACATTAGCGAGCGATATCAGTAGGCGGCGAGTAGCGCTCAGCAGGTCTCCGCTCGGCGCCGAAGAAGCGCACCACGAGACGCCCGTCCCCGAGAACCCCGCGAGGCGGAGGCTGTGGTTGGGTCTCAAGTACTGGAACAACGAGCCCGTGCTGAGGAACATGAAGCTGGTCAGCAAGCCCACGCGGAGGATATGGCTGACGAGCGAGGACCTGGGCAAGATCACGAGGACCCGCGAGAGCAGCTACGTCAAGGGGTTGACTAGGCCCGGAGAGTGCATGTTCGTGACTACGGATAGGGGCATCTTGGAGGCGAGGGAGTGCGTGGAGAGGAGAATCGGCGGCATGGCCCTTTGTAGGGTTTGGTAGAGGGGTGGATGGATGGATGGATGATGGCTGTGGAGAGCAATGGCTGTGGAGAGCAATGGCTGTGGAGAGCAATGACTGCGGTCTCACTTTTTTTGGTCACGAACGTCGCTTCGTTGACATGTTATGTGTGTATGTATATATGTACTACCATCGAAAGGGGGATGCATAGGATCTCGGCTCTGAAACAGCATGGCATGGCATGGCGTCACGAGAAGAAAATGAACGAAGAGAAGAGAAAAAACCCTAGACGAGGGAAGTGACATGTATGAATACGAAGTAAGATTATTCGAACGAGTCCTTAGATGTACTGTTACTATTACTGCAGTTGGTTATCAGAACCTTAAGATGATCTCTATCTAGCCTGTGCATGCGATATATAGCAATCACTCATCATCCATCTGACGGTCGGGCTCGCGCCTCATGGATGATAGGAGGCATGGGAATGACTGTGTGAAGACGACTTGGGTTCACAGGACAAAATTTGGATATGCTTGGTTCCATGACAACAATGAAGTATATTCCGCCCCTGCCCTTTTTATTGGTACCATACTATACACTTTGGCGCATTAACAAACCCCTATAACGACATAGGAAAACCGTTGGGCATCAGAAAATAGATATAATAACATCAGAAGGCCGCCATGAAGATGAAACCCATAACTTTTCATCGGCCCCCAACTCCCTAGATCCATGTCTTACTATCGTCGCCGTAAGAACTCTCCAGCCCCATCGTTCTGCCTAGCGCATCCCTTGGGTTGGTTGCACTCCTCCTCGGACTTCTCATTGGGACTGACGGTCGACGAGTGGCAAAGTCACTCTCCGCCAGACGATATGATCCGTCGATGCCCTTGCTCACCCCGAATTCCTCCCTCTTCATCTTGTCATTCTCGTATCCATGCTTCTTGTCGTACATGTGTTTGTGCGGTTCTCGTGCTTGTCTCCCCATGTATTCGATCTTCTCGCTGATCCGCTGGATGTCGCGGTCGAGCATCGTGGCGCCATCTAGAGGGCTCGGTGTCCCTTCCATCTCTCTGACATCCGGAAGGTGAGATCCTTCAAGTTCTGCGGGCCGCGTTGTGGAATTGGATGATGGATGACCCCACGGACGCTGCCAGCAGTATGAGCGGAGTTGTGACCCTTCGTGGAATTCGGGTTGGCCGTCCGTCACCCACTCCGGACAGCGTCGGAGGTCGGAACAGAGGAAATAAGGGACGCCGTTGGTGAACCTTAGACCTTCGACGTCAACTGAGATGGTAGACAACACTTGCAGTGTCGCGTAGAGGAGGATCCAGCGACCGAGCCGAGCTTCACGGGGGGTCGTATTTTGAAGATCTGCAGCGAGCTCGAAGCGCTCGAAATGGTCGAGGAGCGTACACCCTTTTTACTTATATCAGTACTTGATGCTGAACAATGGAAGAATTCTGGTCACTTACCCTCGAACCTTATGTCTTTCTTGTTAATGTTGGTAGCATCGCTGAAGATGATGGAAAGTTGCAGGTGCGTTTTCGCATCTTTGGTCGTTTCCGTCTTGTTCTTCTTCTTGCTCCCAAAGAGACTTTTCTTCTGTTGCGGCGGTGCCTTCATAGTAGGTACGTCCCTCGGTAGAAGAGGGTATGGGTGGGGTATGTGCAAGAAACCATGCTTCGAGTCAAAAGTGACAAACATGTCTGTGAGACTAAGTCCAGGTTCATCGGCTTTGAAATCATCACTCTTCTTGTCGACCATCTCCCATTTCTTGCCTGGACGCTCTTCACGAGAGTCCCAGACTACGTCGCGATTGACCAGGTAATCGTAGAGGGCACCGAAGTCCTCCTGAAGCTCACGTACGATCTTGCGATTGAGCCAGCTTGCTTTGCCATGCCTTGGAGGCCATTCTCCGTAGACCTTGCCGTAATATTGAAGGAGAAACTGACGGAATGCTGCAAAACTCTCATATACGGGGCCGTATGCGCCTGTTGGCGAGTCCGTCCAAAGATCATTGAAATCGAAACTGGACAATTTGTCCTCCACATCCAAGATGCGCAATTCAAGAGTCTTGGCGGCAAATCCCAGATTCTTTCTGGTAGCGATGGATAACCGTCTAAAGTCTGGAAGATCTTCTATCTGGGGTGAAAGAATGCCGGCGAGATGTACAAAACTTTCCAGATAGCCTCGCCTCCATCTAATGTGATCCTGCTCGGCCCAAGCAAGCAGTCCCAGCACTGTCTTGATGCCGCTGCGTACATCGTCTAATTTGTGTTGCCGTAGGTAATCTGTAATCATCTGTATGCTCCGCTCTTGGGGCGTCCCCTCGGAATGATAGTCGTGGTCGAGATCGTACATGACTTGTATCTCCGGCTGGAGGGTGGAGAGCATTTCGACAAGATCGGCACCGACGATTGGTTTATCATGCAGTATGGCGATGAAGTTTCGGATCGCAACGTGATGCAGCCTTTGGCCCTGGGGAGTCCGTATGCGTTCAGGGGCAGTGAACCAAATCTCGTGTGTAGGCTGTTGCTGTCTGCCCACTGGCGCTGGCGACGGTGAACGGTAGCCGGTCGGCCTCTCTGCATCACCGTAATGCTGGGCTGCAGAGCCGCTTCTATTACGGGGCACACCAAAGTATTCTTGGTCAATGTGGAATGGGGGTGGAGATGTGGCGTTTGGTACAGTTGGAGTCAACATATCATGTTGACCGGGCGGTTGTGGAAAACCGTAGGAAGATAACGAGCGATTGTGCTCAGGCGACTGAGGATGATCGGTCATGGCCCAATGGTCTTCGAGATCATCGATGCGGCCATACATGAGGGCATTGCTTAACCAAGTCGAACCGGCATTTTCAAGAATGTCCAGGTCTGCTCGGATCTGAGGTATTGGATGCTCATCGGACATCTGCTCCTCTTTGAAGTATATCAAGACACTCCCATTCTGCATATGTTCATCCTTCTTTGAATCAGTAATTTGCTAGATAGTCTAGTGTAGTAGTACTCACGCATTCAAACCCGCCATAGAACTGAGGCCCCGAACCACCACCGCCCCAGGTGCGAAAATTGATCCAAGTCTTTTTACCTGGCGGAGCATGCGACGATGCGCTGGTATCGATGCGAAAGACCGGGGTCGATGGATAGGCTGGTGTAGTCGGCTTCCTCACTGGTACACCTCCGCCTCTTCCTCGGGGTGCTTTGGTTTCCTTGCCATGGCTTTTATATTTCGTCTTCTCCTTCCCTTGACTCGAACCATCAGACACTACTGATGCAGATCCGCTTACAGAAGCCTGCCTTCGAAGGCGACCGGAAATGTCAGACGAATCATGAGAACTGGGATTGTTCACGCGCGGCCTGCTCTGGTTCGGGTTGTTGGAGCTGCTTCGCGAAGTACCACCGCTGGTGCTGGTGGAAATGGTCGTCGGCCTCGGTGGAGCGCGGACCTGTGCCCCATACGGGGTGGGACTAGGTGAGGTCTTCCAGTCGGCAAAAGCATCATACTGCCTATGGTTTGTGTCTAGATTGTTATGTTTTTCAGCCTTCTTCTCCTTCTTCTCTATGTCCTTCGCTACAGCCTTTCGGCTCCTTGCTCCTCGTGCGGACATTCGAATACGATAGACTCATAGGCCTCGAGCGCCTGACTGTGGCACCTTAAATGTTACTGTCAAGACGAATGTCTCGGAAACCGAAATGTCCAGCGATGATCATGGATTCAAAAGAACGACCTTGCGAAAATACACGGCATGCTAATAAATGTTTTCGGGATATGATTTTTGGTATTGAGATATTAAATACGAGTTGTGCGTAAAGTGCTGCTGCCAAAAAATGAAATTCAGCACTTGAAGAGCTTGGGGAGGTCTTGGTCGTGATATCAATCGGAAAGGGATAGAAAATGGGCGAGGGTGAGATTTGGCAACGTGAGATTGCGTCGATTATATGGATTCATTTAGAACGGATCCTTGCCTGCATCTGCATATAATGGCTCAGGCATGGAGAAAAGGCTGAAGGAAACGGGTACACAGCAGTATGCGGAGAAGAGAATGTTTCGATAAGGAACCCTGTTCTCCCATGCGGCGCGGCCAATTGAGCTCGAAGCGACAGCTAGTGGCACAGCCATGTGGGAGATGAGGCCTTGGGGAGTAGAGCAAACATTACTCCGTAGGTGTATTCGAGCCTTCGAGAACCAGTAGGGGCTTAAACGATAGTCTGCGAGCTGTAAGAGGAAAACACGACGAACGGTAGGTAACCGGTAAGGGGGTTAGCGACGGGGACTGGTGTTGAAGGGTCAGGGTCGGGAAGTTAGAGGTAACGCCATGGCGGAGTAAGAGTGGCATCCGGTAGGCTAGAGATAAGAAGATAATAGGGCCCAATATGCATTTGCAAGAGAAGCTCGGCGTCAGCATTGAAAGGCAAACAAACACAAACAGACAACGACATGGGAGCGGAAAGGATGGAGGGACTGTGCAGACGGTGCAGACTGTGCAGGTTGTGCTACAACTGTCGTACGGTAGATGAAGTGGATGCAGCTGCAATGGAGCAAATATGGGAAGGTCGGACATGGGGATGAAGTCGTTCACGTCGGTGGATGCCCCATGAGGCATGGGGAGAGGGACGACGGATTGCGAGCGATGTGATGGTATGCCGGGGGGCATGGGTAGGTGGATCGCGCCCGAGCAGCTGGCACGCTGGGAGGGCTGGGTTGGGTTGGCGGACAAGCCACGATGGCGCGATGCTGTTTGATCCTTTTGAGTTGACACGAACGGGTGAGGTGAACTCGATTAGACACTGAATTTTGATGATATGAAGGGTACGTAGTAGATGAACGATGAACGATGAATGATGAAGAAGGTGAGGGGGGACACAACAATTACAATAGTATCATACTCGTCTCGTACCTAACGGTGGTATTGGGATGTCTACGGGCCGACCTAGTGCCGGTAGAGTTTGTAAGGAAGGCACGATCGATGTACCTGTGTCTGAGCATAACTAATACCTAATAACTAATACTATTGGACAAATAACGGAGTAATTCAGTAACTACAAGAAGATAGCATTCTGCTCTGGATCATCTAATTTACCGATGGCAAGGCCGTGTCTCTGACTACATACGATCCACGGAGTACTCCGTATAGATCACGATTGGGCTTTCTTTATTGTTGCAGTATTGTCCTCGTATGGGGAGAGAGACTATGCCCGGGAGCTAGGGAGTACCCTCTTGAATACCATAGCATACGATAGGGCTACCACGTGTTCTAGGCAATGTGTTACATACAACAAATGGTAGGTCGATCGTGTCTTTTTTTTTCTTCTTCTTCTTCTCCTCAACCTTCTATTCGACATCTAGACTAATTCCCTGTTCGCAGGTCGAGCAAGTATCTTACTCGGTAGCGTCCTGTTAGGTGTGTACTCTGTACTCCGTACTGCGTAGTGGGATTTGGTATTGGGCCGTGTATCCGAAAGGTTTCTGTTTATTAGGTAGGTTGGGTTGCCAGCCACCTAATTTGGGGGGTTTGGTTGTTTCGTGACCAGCCTCCCCTCCCCAACTTAGTAGTCACTATCACCTAAAAAGGTTAGTAATTACCTGATGAGGTTAGCAATGTTACCGACCTTACCACCGAGCTACGAGTACGAGTAAGAAACCAAGGCCCAACTCCCTCCCCAGCCATCTACAATAATAAAACATCCAAGACTGGAACAGCAAAACCAAGTAAATTATTAGATATAATGACCATATAGCAGGTTTCGCGCATCACCACACAACGTCACTTTGCATCAACCCATTCCTACTCCTCTCTCTTAGGTACCTCTGCCTCTGCCTCTGCCTCTACAAGAAGCCTGATCCCAGCTACTTCATCATCGTCATCCTACTGAGACAAATAAAAGTCTCTCTGTCCTACCTTGTACCTTCTTCCACCTCTGCATCTCTCGATTCCCTCGCTGTACCACCCACCATTGTCACGGAGACACCCTCGCACTTGCCAACGTCAGCAACCTCACAACCTCACAACCTCACAACCTCAACTATATCCTACTCTTTCCTCCTCCCTTCCCTCACTTTGAACATACCATACCTGACACTCACCCTCAATTCATCACATCAACAAATCAATCAACATGTCTTTCTCCGGCTTCTCCTTCATCTTCTGGAGGATCATGCAGATCATCACCCTCATCCCCGCGATGGGCATGTTGGCCTACTTTGTCGACATCTACAACACCGCCAACCAGCTCACCCCTCGCTCCCTACTCATCATGTTCATAATACTCGTGCTGGCTGTGGTGTGGTGCGTAGGGACCTTGTTCCTGTACGCTCGCGCGAAGCACTCCGCAAACTTCGTCGCTTTCATTGATCTCCTCTTCGTTGGTGCGCTCATCGGCGCTGTCTATGAGATGCGCTGGGTTTCCGATACCGATTGCGCCAGCGCCGACCGCGACGGCTCCTACGTCGCAGACCTTGGAATTGCAAGAATCGATGTGAACAAGTACGATTTCACCCTCAACAAGTCTTGCGCAATGATCAAGGCCACCTGGGCCTTCGCCATCATGTAAGTTCTGCCAATTACCCACCATAGCGCATATCCCCCGATTTCTCTATAATCGTTGGCTGACCCAAATCCACAGGAACATCATCTTTTTCTTCATCACCTTCCTTTTCGCCCTCCTCGTCCACCGCAACTTCGGAAGCGGCGACCGCGTCGTCGTCAAGCGCGAGACTCACTACTCCCGCCACGGCCACCGCAGCAGCCACCGCTCTCGCAGCCCTCGTCACTCCTACTCCCACAGCCGACGAAGCTACGTATAGACGGCTCATCTTTTCGGGATCTTCATTGATTCTACCTTCTGTTTATCTATATTTTATTTCCTAACTCTTCAGCAATTGTATGTTATCTAGGTGTAACGGAGTCGCATTCTAAGCAGCATCAGCGCAGCAATGGACCGCAGCCTTTTTTGGCTGTTCCATCTATGCAAATGCATTAGCATTGGAATACCCCAGCGACATTTGGGAGGGGCACTTGGGCGGCAAACCACCTCATGTGCATATGGCCCTTCTATGAGTCTCTCATGTCTTTCATGTTCTTTTTCTCTTATTTTGGAGTTCTTCAGATGTGCAGATATTCCCCAACGGTCCCATGATAATGGATGGATGGATGGATGGTGGAAAGGAAGGATAGCGACGACAACGAATGACGATTGTATCCAAGCAAATTGGGTAATAGCGAGCAAAAACCATGCCAGTTTCGAGTGTGCAGATAGAACCACAACCGAATGTTCGGAACGAAGTCAATAAAACATAATTACGAGAACCATGCCCAAAAGAACCCAAACAAAAAACATTACTTTTTTGCTCGCCCACGACACCAAGCTAAGCCAAAGCGCCCAGGCATCTTGCTTGCATCTTGACATCTCACGCAGACAGACAGACATTCCATGAGTAACTAAACCCAAAATGAAATCTCCGCACGGATTCTTCCAAGAACAATGTCTCGTCTCCTAGCGCTAACCACCAGCACTACCATGAAATGAAATGAAATGAAATGAAACAAAAAACCAAGCAGAGACAGACTTGAGGGCGAGAAGAACAGGAAGGAAAAAAAAAAAAGAACAACACTATTGAAGAGAGAAAAAACACGCTAGTAGTCTTACAGGACAGGGGAGTCTTGTCCTCCTACCTACCTATCTGGTATCTACCTAAACTATCAACGTTCTTCACGACTCGTTAGGTCGTTGGAGCAGCGAACGTACTTGCACTTGTATTTGTTCGTACCTTTTTTAAGCGGGGACCTGTGTTTATAATCAATTAGTTAATTAATGAGTACCTACCTCTCCCGATCTGACTTGTGGAAAATGGCGAAAGTAACTAGAGCATGAGCGTTCTGAATGGTCATAGGGCAGGAAGGTGGACAGGCCAAAAACTACCTATTCTGTATACTTCACAATCGGAATTTACCTGTGACGGTGCGAGTGGGTGAGGTGGCTAGGGCTACCTAGACAATTCATCATCTTCAATACTCTCCTTTGCTTCCTTTCGGGAGGGAGAAGAGAATCTCAAGAAAAATGTAGGAAGGGAAGAAGAGAGTATGTATCATGAACCAGGTCTGGTTTTGCCTTGTTACCTGTCCAAATTCCAAAGTAAAAGAATCAGAGTACAACATGATATAACATGATTTCAAAAAGAAGACTAGCTAACCAACATGCATAGAACATTTCGTCCCTCTTCACCACTTGGTTCCCCTCTTGAAGATGGGAATCTTGTCGAAGTCGCGCACGCTCCACTCCAACTTGATGTTCTCGTCCAGCCACGCCCCATCGTCACTGCACTTCAACCCCGCCTCCTCGTTCTCCCTAACTTCGACCTCCGTGGCCCCGATCCTATCCTTTGGAAGCCATATCACGGGTGTGGAGCTAGTTAGTGCGGGATTTAGATACGCCTTCTGGACGTCTTCCTCCTTGTACGACGGGCCGTCGGCGTCGGCGTCGAACGAGTCGTCTTCTTGCAGCCACGCCCTCATCGCTCGATGGGATGCGAAGATGTGCGGCTGGAAGAACCGTGCGATGGGATCTAGGACCTTTCGAGGGACATGTGCGTGCTGGCCGAGTCGGACGATGTGAGAGTCCGAAGGCTGCGGTGGTGCCTCGCCTTCTTCAGCGGCCAGCAGCGGCGCTGCCTCTTCCGAACCGTTGCCAACTTCTGCTGCGAGATCCGCTGGTAAGTATTTCTCGAGAGGTGCCAGGTACCGGTTCATCACTGCGTTGTAGGCGGCAGTGAGAACGAGCAGGACTCCCATCATGATAGTCGGGCCCGTGGCCTTGCGGAAGGAGAACAATCCGATCAGACAGAGCTCCGCGAGGTAGACGCCGGTGAGAATTTGTTGCAGGGCAAGCGTATAGCATTCACCCTTGGTGTCGATCTTTGCTTGAACGGTGAAGAGGAGCATGTACCGGTAGCTGTAGTAGAATAGCGCGAGGCCGGCCGCCGCAAATGCAGGGACAAGAGGTGCGATGCATGAATAGGCGATGGCTAGATCCGTAACATTAGTAGAGCCATGAGACCGTTGTTCCTGTGTACACTTACCAATAATCACAAAATTGGTATATTTCGGGAAGACCTTGCCCCAGGCCAATCCTTTAAGACTTGTATACGAGCTGTACTTCTGGCGCGGTGTCTTGTCGAAGACATAGTCATAGAACTTCCATTGCAGAAGATCCGAGTAGTTCAGCAGATTGTCGGAAGAGCTAGTCAATCCTTGGACAATGAAGTAGCTGAGGTAGAAGTTCGACGAGGAAGGAAGTCGTTCGGCCAACAAAGACGTCACAGCTGTCGGATCTAGTGCGATCTGTGAAGCAACAGCTGCCGCCCCAGAGGACAAGGTTGTGACGAGGAAGACTTGCACGACCTGAAATACGAAGAACCATCTCAATACTTTGAGTTCTGCGGATGTGTTGGTGGGCGATCCGAACTTCTTGAAAATATCTATCTTAGAATTAGTTTGTGAAGCCATACCGAGGAAGTGGAAAGAACTCACATCTGAAGATGTTAGGCACGTATTTACTCAGCAGACTAGTAAGCATCGGAGGTATAAGGCCAGTCAACAATCCCAAAACCACGTCTGGAAGCTTGTTGATAAAGCTGAGCCACTTGAACTTCTCGGCAAGATACGAAACGTTCGACCATGCTCCTACGAAACCCACGGGAATCGACCAAAACGCAATCAGAGCGACGACAAGGGCGGTAGCCACCCCTTCTTGTGAGATGCGGACAGCTGGTGGCAATGTTAGATTACCCCAGATGACTTCATTTGGCAGTACGCTGGTGTGCCTGGGATTCAGCGCCAACACCTCCGCAGATGCGACTTGCTGGTAAGCTATCTGTGCAGCGGCAAGAGACTTGAACTCGACGAAAACCGCGGCTGCTCCACGCTCGCCAGTCCCTTGATAAGATTCACGTTTATCGTTGATCTTTGCCTCCTTTTGCTTGATCTCTTCGCGGTAATGTGTGATACTGTCCACTTCTTTTCCAACTCCTGGAGCTGTAAGTCTGTGGCGAGGTCTCAATGACTTCTTGATGTCCCAAGGGAAGCTTTCATAGTTGGGTTCGTGGCCCCTCTGCCTTCCTTTCCTAGCTTGTTTGTTGGCTGATTTGATCAGCGACAGTTCGGCAGACTCTAGCTTCTCTACGCTCGAACTTCTGTCGGACACCAAGGACTGCAGGCTCGAGGCGTCTGTCGCCGGCCAAAGTCGAACTGCATCGTCGCCAAAATATCGACTGAGGTTCTCCTTCTCGAGTGCGTCCTTGGGCGCCGACAAGAATAAAACAATGCGTGAGGATAGTCGCTTCGCATTCGACCTAGAAAGATTCCACGCCTGCCGTAGACCTATGAGCCAAAGGCGCTCTCTTGCGACCGTAAACATGACGAATACGAAGAATACCCATGCAATGACAGCATGAGCGTATAGCTTCTTCTTGTCTGCAATGTTCCCAATCGCTATCCGATCAAGTTCGGAAGACTTGCCGCCTCCCGTGGCATTGATGGGGATCAAAACCGGCCATGTCAGGCAGCACCCAACTACGCAGAGGAAAATTGCCATCCTCAAAAATCGAAGAAAGAGATATGCATCCAGCGATTGGTGATGAAGCACAAATCTGTCCGGAACAACCCGTAATGTGTGGAACCAGTCAAAATAAGAGCGGCTTTGTGATGGCGTACGATCCCTTCAATGGTCAGTATGTTGAGGTTACTGTAAACTTAAATAAGGCATTACCTACTTTTCTGGGATTGTGCCGATGAACGTTCGTGGCGAGTAGATCTTGGGAAACCTCTGCCTGATGATTACGAACGCGCCGACAAATAGTACAGCTGTGAACCATGTTGGTACAAAGGCGGACAATATTGCGGCCAATGACGCGGATCCACGAGGCTGTTCGGAACGTCGTGTTAGCAAAGTGATGATTGTTTGTAAGGGAAGACGACAATGATGTTTCTATCTTCCAAGCAAGCAGCTATCCAGTGTGGGCCATGGACAGATTCATGGTAAGATCTCCAATGCAACGCACCATCTACATGATAACTTACCTTCGCTTTATCCCAAGCATCAAGGGTATCATGTGCTGCTACACTAGCAGGAAACCCGCCACCAAAGACCCTTTGTGAATCCATTTTACGTAGAATTCAGATCAAAGTGTAAAGAGGATGATATTGTCAACGAAGACCGAATAATGAACCTCTATACAGCCCGCAGGTGTCTCTTGAAGAGGGTCGGGCACTGCGCCTCGAAGGTAGGATTGCCTGAAATCGACCTGAAACAATGCACTCAACGCGACGTCATCACAGGCGTTAAAGACGATCCTGGGGGAAAAGGAAGTAAATGTGGTAGAAACGCAAATATTTCTGATCGTTTTTGTTCGTAAAGAGAGTATGAAGGAGATCTCGAAGAAGGGACAGGAGTATGCATCTGTATCATTGATAATGACGTAGGCAGCGTGGTGGCGCGTGCGTTGAGCGTGGCTACCTCAGCGAGGATGTCACTTCATCTTCGAAACCACGGAACGTTCACAAGGTAATAAGGACCAAGAAGAGCTCATGTAATAAAGTAAAGAGAATTGATTACAAATGTGTATGCTATTCTACATATTAAATAGTTTAAGAATCCAGTCAAGTTCGTTATAATAAAACCCTCCAACGAAGTGGTATCAATGCCTGTACGCCTCGCAGAAGAGAAAGAAAGAAACAATACAAAAGAATCTAGATGGTATGCGTTACAGCCAAAGAAGCCATCTGACAATGCCAAAAGACAGCTTCAATCCCTTCTTAAAGAATCCAACTATGACAACGATCAGCCAGACGCACCACATGAAGCCCAAAAGCATCCATTCCACAAGCATCCAGCCTACTCGCCGCATGTAACGCATTCGTCTTCTACGCATGCGAATCATTTTATCAATCTCGTCCATGATTTGTTTGACTGTCAAGGGCGCATCTCCTGAAACCACTGTCGTGATCCGAACGGCTTCTTCTCCGCTTTGCCGGACTCGTGGGAAAAGATCAGCCTCGACCCTGGACCTGAGATCACTGATCCTTGAGGTCAAGTCCTTAATTGTTTGGTCCTTGAACTGCTGCGCCGAGGCCTGAAGTGCGTGTGTAGACGACTCAAGGTCTTGCACCAGGATGCGTGCAGCCAGAACGTGCTCTTCTTGCCTGGGTACTGAGTACAATTCGGCATTGACGGCTTGTGCAGTACGCTTCAAGAATCGCGGAGGTTCTTGTCGGTGTTCGCGGGCCCGCCGAGCAATTTCCCTAGCTTTGACGCCAGAGCACAGGAGCAATGCCCGAACACGGGCAATATCACCCGGTGTGACTTCGTGATGAGCTGTTGAGCGATGAATGTCATCGCCCGTATCATCTGTGATACTCCAGTGCCGATTCTCGAGTTTAGGCCGGGAAGTGCGTGGGTACGCAAGAGAAGTAATGGGCTGACCAGCCTGCCCAACACCGCCCGGCCGAGCCAGAACCTTGCTGAGCCTATCTTCGGATTCAGCAGCATCAGGTGATGAAGGCCGGGAAGGTCCTGGTGTTGATGTCACAGAGATCGAGTCCATGTCAATAGGAGGAGGGGCCAGTTGCTTGAAGCGCTGCGAACGGGAGTTTGCAATAGAACGAGCCTGATGGCTGATATGATCATCTGAAAAGTAATCGGATGCATTCGTCTCCTCTTGGTCGTTACTCTGGTTGGTGGAACGAAAGACGGGTAATTCTACGTGGTACCTGCCGTTCTTCTTCGATGTGGTGCTGGCAATAGTCGCGGCGGTCGTGTTCCGGCTCAGGTTTGGTCGCAGTCTCTTCTGCACATTACTTTGATTTCCGTCCGAGGCTAAACCATCATCCTCAGAATCGGAGCTTGTGTCCGAATCTTCGGGCGGGCGGTCGCGACGGAAGATGAATTCGCCAACCTTGGACCCTTCATTCTTGACCCCTTTAAGAAAACGTGTTACTGCCGATGGCGCCTCCTTTTGTTCCCTCGAGTCTCTGTTATCTTTGCGAATTCCCTCAGGACTGGATAAACTGGTATGGCTCTCGTTCCGCCGATGGGTGAGTAAGGACTTCACTGCCGCAGGAGCAGCCATGATTGCAGGCCCTAGCCCAATGTCATCGTGTGTCTCTTCAAAAGAGTGTCTACCGTGCCGCTGCTTATCGGTTCCTGCCGAGTCTGGATCGAGCTTATGACCCTTCGTACTCTCGTCCGACCGAAATAGGTCAAGCTTGTGCTTTGATGTCTTCTTGAAAGAGCCTCCGCGACTTGGAGGTGGAGACAGATTGGTGCCAATGTGGGGAAATGGTTTTGGCTGAAGTGGTGTGCTCGGTGCGGTGCTGTCCAGGTCTTCAAAGGATGAACGCGGTTCATGTGGATGGCTCGAAGATGTGGCGTAATTGGTTCTGTTCTTTGGTGGGACTTTTAGATCCTGAATAAGAGTGGTAGGCGCGTGTTCGGTAGAGCCATTGGATGTGGCCGGAACCTCTAAAGAAGCTCGAGATGAATCATGAGCTGGGGGGTCGATCTTGCCAAATCCCCATTTGTCAGGGGTGTCAGGGGAGATGAAAGTGGGTGTGTGTGACTTCTTCTCTTTTGCCTCTTTCTCCTTCTCGAGCATCTCATTGATGCGCAGCTCCAGAGGACCGGTATTGTTGTTGACATCGACGGTTCGGCGAGACTTGTGTTGCCGGTGCTTGAGTGAATCTGAATCTGAACTCGAAGAGTCGGAGTAACTTGAAGACTGAGCCCGTGAACCTCGCCAGCTGTGCTTTTTGGATTTCTTATCATCCACGCGTAGGCCCGGGAGGAGTCGTCTTTTACGACCGCGTTCGCTCGTCTGATCACTTTCCTCTTCACGCTGTGAGTCAGTAACCTTAACCCCTTTAACGCTTTCAGTCCAGCTTTTCCGCCCTTTGTCTGAGTATTCCTTGCTTGCTCGTGGCTGTTGAAGATCCGGCCTTTGCAAGTCTGCAAGTGGGAAGATTTTGCGCCCATGCCTATCTTCCAGTAAGGTCTTATTTTCACCCTGTTCTGCCCAATGTGCGTCTGCCAATAACTCTTCGGGGGTGAATACCCAGCCCATGCGAGGTCTGGAGGGCTTGGAGGGTAGACCTGCACCATGGTAGTCCTCGTGAAGGTCCGGCAAAGCTACTTTGTTATGCTGGCGATAATGCGGAGTCTGGATTTCAAACTCTACTCTATCAACCCAATCTCTGACGAGGTCGAGATCAGAAAATTCTTCAGATCCATGGTCCATTACAACGCGCTCTCGAGCTCTGGTCCTCCTATTTCTGAGGTACTGTAGAGGATTGTAAGGGCGCCCTAAGTCGTGCTTTGCGTTCGCATGTGATAGGGTTCGAGTAAGGAAAGCATGTGGGCTACCGGGCACATTGTTTGCAGTAACTACAAAGTTCCCAGGTGCCGAGGCATCTGGCTTCAGTGGCGGTAAATAGTCAAGAAGACGCAGGTACTCCATATGAAGCTCGATATACGCACGCGCTTTATCACGTCGGGCTAAGGTCGCCGCCGAAGGCTCTTGAGACTGTCCCTGTACAGAAACTGACAGATGCCTAGGTGCTGAGGTGGATAAATGTCGTATACGAGAAGGTGAACTTCGGCCACCTGTCGGAGACATGGCCCGCGATATACGTCGTTGCTCGTTCAGATACTGTCCCAGGCTGCTTTTGTTGCCCTGTGTACGGAGGCTTCCTTCAGTGTGTGGCCCGATAGATGATCTCACCCTCCTCGTATCTGTACCTGGCGCTCCTATGATCTGTCCAGCAGAGTAGTTTCTTCGTCGACTCTCGCTAAGGTCCAAGGCCATGTGTACCAGCTGGTTCGGATCAATTGCTGCTGGCGCTTGTACGTCGCTACTCGCAGACTGCCTTGACGATGACTTATCGCGGTTGTTGTTCCTTGTCTTTGTTACGCGCAGTCTCTCACTGCCATCATTGCCCGTAGCATGAGCCACGTTCCCCTCCTCACCCGTTGTCTCATCTGCTATGGCCACCTGTCGCGACAACGGCGAACTATGGGCAACTCCAGAGCCATCTGCCTGTATTCGATTCCGCTGGGTATTACTCTCGTGGGAATGGGCGTGGGCGTGCCGCGAGTTACGTGTGCGGGTCGCATCTTCGGCGTGTGCGCTTCGACGTGCGGTGCGGGAGGCAGGACCCGAAGGGAAGATTGGATCAAGAAGAAAGCCACCAGACTTCCTGTTCCGCTGTTTTCGATGTGAGTTGTCCTGCTCTTCGATTGGCACTGGTCTTAATGGGCTGCCCGCTGTCCGTGACGAGGATGCCGTTGAACTATGCCCTGCATCGCCATCATGTCCGGTGGCATGACGCAGCCTTTGTGTCGAGCTTCCTTCCCCATTTCCCGCGTGCGAACTCGAATATCGTGAATTCAAGGTATGTGAGGATGATGTTGACACAGAAGGTCGGCCCTCGCTTGACAGTTCGGACATGATTTATTACTCCTGTTGGGAGGAAAGACGGTTACGGTGGTGGAGGGACTTGCATGATCGGAGGGTCGCACGCCAGGCGTGAGGAGTGAAAACACCAAGTAACAGGAAAAAGAATTATCGAAATTGTGAATGGAAAAGGCGTGTGAGCGAATGTGGAGTGAGAGCATAGGAGAAATGAAAGCAACGACTGATGGGCACTAGGTTGGTAACTAGCTATTAATGACGCTGGATGCTCCAAGAGTTACGCGTAAGCCACAGGGTCGATCGGCTCAAGCCACATCCACATGCATTAGGCACAACAAATAATGTGGGGGATTCCGACCACGCCGAACCTACTAATAACATACTTTTGTTTACGCAGCACCGTCTTATTTATGAGGTACATTAGGTATTCATTCGATTGTACTCGTAGGATTACCGAGACTACATCAATCCCGTCTAGATCCATCACCCTGTTCTCCTAATGTAGTTAGGTGCTATGCAACGCAGGCTATCTATGAATTCCGCACCTCTTCCGAACAAAGAAACCTGTGTTGTTAACCTTTGTACGGAATACACACATGACATTCTTTCTTTCGCTAACTCGCATCTCTAAACGTTATCCTGAGCATCCAAATTGTCCAACAGATATAACCATGGGTAGTCATCGGGAAATCAACATTTGTTCGGCCGGGTTCACATGAGCGTTGGGAAACAGAAGAAATCATCACAAGGAATAGAGGGACAAGTCATTACGTGAAATCAAATAAAGTATTTGAACATTTCGAGATATTCCTTGATGCTCATATTGAGTAAGCGCTGTGCAATGCTCAGCTCATACATAACCCAGCGCACCATGAGGCCGGCGCGATATTCCAGAAAAAAAAAAGTGTGATATTGCACCAACACCATTCATCATACAAAAGATGCAATTAGTTTTCCCAAACCCTCGAAAAGCGCCGGAACCGCCGCGCTATCATATCAAATGCCATGCTAGTTGCTCGTCGAAGCACCCATTCGATACGGCCTATTGTTTGTATCATGTGCGAAAATAACTATTTCGAAAATACCGAAGACGCTTCCTCAATCGAAGATTCTCCGTCATGTGCTCCCTGCTGGACTTCAGGAGAACTAGGCAGCAGTGCCTATAGAATGTGGAGGAGCACTGGGTGCGTCAGCGAGATCTCCTGTCGGGCCTGTAGTCTGGAAGGGACGGTCGCCCGCGTGAGGAGGTGGCGTGGGGTGTGGGCTGATTCCTGAGGGAGGGTGATAGCCCGTGTCTGTTAGTCTGCCATCGACCTGGTTGTAAGATGCACCGGCAGTTTGGGTTGTTGAACGTCCGTATCGCTGTTGCAATTCGTAGTTGTCATCTTCGTCAGAGGAAGAGTAGTCGTAGTTATCTTGTCGCCGTACACTATCGCTTGCGAAAGGGTTCGGGCCGGGCATTTGACCTTGATATCTGGCAACCTTGGTAGACATTGTCGATGCAAGGGTGTCGGTATGCTGAATTCCGTAAGGCTGGCCATCATCCTGTCTCCGCCGCTGCGACTGTGAAATTTGTTCCCGGAATACATTGACACCTGGCGAGGTGCTGCCGGCTCCAGCTGTTGCCTGTGCGGAGAATCCGGAAGCTGCTGCGCGATCCTCAACGTCTGTGGGTTCCCTTCGCAGAGGGCGAAGAGGCTCTACGTCTTCATCGATTCGTGTCGTGAGTTGTTCAGGTGCGATCGGTTGGCGGCCCCATGCACGAATTGGGTATGCGCGTCCCTTCCGCCATGTCTCGGAGACGGGAGGGAAGTATTGTCGATATGAGCCCCAAGCTACCAGTATTCCCATAGCACTACCAAATAGAACATCGAACGGGTGATGGCGCGCATCCATGATTCGGGATCCGGCCACGAGACAAGCTCCAAGCGTAGGCACGAGAACAATGAAAGCTTTCCAGACCTCTCCCTTGGAATCAAGCACATGCAATTTGGCAGCGAGATAGAGGGACAGATAGAATAATCCAGCAAAGGCAGCTGTACAATGTCAGACATGAAAGAATCCTCGAGTAGTCAAATACATACTGCTGCTGTGACCAGACGGAAAGCTCTTAAAACCGTCATTAAGCTTTGCCTTATCTTCTTCCTGGCAAAACTTTACGGTTGCGAGCGTGCGGTCCGCAATTGCTTTGACCATATCCATGTTTAGGTTACACCTAGAACAATTAGCTTACTATTGCTATTTTATAGTCACAAGAAACGCACCTGTGGATCAGGTCAGGGCGCGGCTTTCCGATCGCGTTCTTCAGGGCACCTAAACTCATTGTCAACCTCTGTAAACCATATCTGCATGGTAGCGAAACATACCGGTGATTGTGAAAGCAGCTCCAACTGCGACACCTAGTCCCAAGATACCGCAATTCAGCTCCCAGAGCCTGTCTTTCAGCCTGTAGCGTCCGCTCAGCTTTCGGAGTCCATGAGCGCCCGCCGGCATAGGCGTCTGGTGGGAGAATAGTCCATCTATGACAAGGGTATAGAACGCAATGATAGCAGCGGGTGCGGCGACGCAGATGAGGCAGAGCTGGAAGACGGGGATACGTTCGGGGTCCGCGTATGGGTACCAGAGGGTGTAGTTGTCGAGGGAGAAAGGTTGGTAGAAAGGTGGGATCTTGTCTACGATGTAGAAGGCGACGATAAGGACGCTGTATACGCGCGACGGTTAGCGAGAGTATCATGAGGGAAAGTGGTCGTGTGTCTGGTGAGCTCTTACACGATGATAACATAGTCGAAAATGTACCTGCGTAGATATCGTCAGCAATCTGGGAGTGCGCCTCTGGCTGGCGTGTTAATTGCACATACGAGAAGATAACTCGTTTAGGGAGACGTTTCTTCGAGAACGGGAGACGCTCTGGAAGCTTTCCAGAATTCGACCAGTCTTGCATTGCGAATTACCACCGTATCCAGCCGTCCATGCAGCGGCGTCCAATATCTCGATGTGTTGCGTAGTTCCCAGAGCGCGTATTGATCAGGGTATTGGGATTCCGGCAGCGAAGTCTATAATAATCGCAGGAAGAAAGAAGACGGGGTGTGGCAAGCGGCGCCTGAGGAGGGAAAGGTTTGATCGTAGGACCAAGGAGTTTCGAAACAGGCGGCTCTCACGGAGAGACTCGCGGAGTAGGAAAGGAGGAGCAAAGTCGGAGCAGCAAATACGGGCAGACAGCTTTAAAAGGGTCGGTATATCAAAGACAGGTCGGAGGGGCTCTGAACGCAGACAAAGACAAGGATGAATTCCATTCAGCCCTGGGGAAGGAGTGAGCAAAAGCGGAGGGGGAAAGACAAGAGAGTGACAGAGTGGGTAAGGTGAGGTAAGTAAGAGATAGCCAGAAGGAGGCTGAGGCGTGTGTGTGTGTGCACTGTGTGCACTGTGTAGTCGTTGCAGCGAGTAGTAGCTGGTAACTAGAGCAATAGCAGTAACAAGTAAGAAGCCAGTGAACGGAAGTTAGTGGTGGTAAGTCGTCGTCAATGTCTCCAGGACGTAGCTGACCGCAGCTAATTAGCAGCTCCGCCGAGCAAAGAGACGTGCGCTTGGCCACTCCTCTATGCCTCTATGGGGGAAACTTGCAAGCATCATGGCAATGCAATGCCACACAAAAGGTTTGCCCTGCTCTGCCCTGCCCCGTCCTGCACCGAACTCAACTGCGCTACAAATACATGCATCTGCATCTGGCGTCTGGCATCTGCATCAGCACACCAGCATCAGCCGCACAGGGCGGCGAAGATCAAGTTGAAGTAGGGAAGTCCATGCGCCATATACTCCGTACCTACAAAGTACATACCTACACTCACACTACCTAGCTACTGGTAGTAGATGTGGACGGTGAGAAGAGGGAAGAAACAGAATTGCTACCATTTCCATCTGTGTTTGTTTGTCCAGCATCACACAACGAGTTACCATCGTGTCAGCCAGTCGAGCTGACCAAGTACCCAAGTATAGTCACGGTTAACCTATCTACTCCGTACTTCCCGGTGCTTCGTTGATAGCATTTCTGTAACTGTGTACGGAGTACGGAACTGCGACCATATCAAACCTCGATGAGAAAAGGACAAGACTTTCCCATCATGGACCCCTTCAGCAACAACCAATTTTGGCTCACATGTTTCTACAAAGCCCTGACACCTAGCAAATGGCGAGCGTACGCGGCAGACGAGCCAGTGCTAAAATAGCGGCCCTCTCGCGAAGGACCGTTCCCTGTGCCACAAGGCAAAAAAAGGCTACAACTGGCCACTAAAACAATTCATAGCAACTTGTAACAACTATGAGGGTCTGTCCCCTTACCCTTGGGCGGCTTACCCCTTGGCTGTAGGAAGATCGTCGTCCGCCGCCGCACATCAGGTTAGCCGATCTAATCTCTCCGTACGAGTTCCTGTAGAATAATATCGCGACGTTGCGCAGGCGGATGCTGAAGATGTTAGTGATTAGTAGAGGATATTCTTTGCTCCTGCTTGAATTCTAGTCTTCAATGCCTTTGAATGTTACAGCGCATAGATGCTTACTGTGACCAATTGCCTTGAGCTCCGGAAAGGTTATATAGAATCAGGATGACTTTTGACATAGATGCGATTTATTGGGGCGCAATCCACAGGGATGGTAATGATTACACGGGTCAGTACATTTAAATAATGAGCCAATTGAAGGATTATGATGCACAGTCTAAAGTCCGATTTTCCTTCTTGAATCTAGGTTTCCGCGATCGTTTCTGCGTTCCGTGAGTTATCGACGACAATACAAGTAGCTGGTGTGCGTTGGATCAGAGCGACATGTCCACTTCGGGTGTTTATCCTACTAGTATAAAACTACGTTATTGAAGGAATATAGGATGAACTCAGCTCGTGCCCTTTTTATGCAATTGCTACATTTTGCTAGAATTCATGAATCTTCAAACGTACGGAAGTTTAGTATTTTCGGCTACTCACCTCAGATCATAGCCATATAAGTTTTCATATGATAATTAATTCATATCCTTGAAGAAGAAAATAAACAAACCGTTCTTAACTGGCACTACTCATTTGATACATTGCTATACCCATTCTTATATTTATGTTACCCTTTTCAGTACTTATAGAAGGATGAAGAACGATGCATCGTGTAACTAGCGAGTTATCTTAGCTGGGAGAGTTTGGTTGGGACCTCGGAACAACGACCCTTCTGACCTGGAACACCCAACATCTCTTGCTGGCTACCACTCACAATGTCCACTCTGTCGGGTCTGATCTCCAAGTATCGCCTTGGACATAATGCTCCTCCATCTCATAATGTTCCATTGTACCTACTCGCCGGTGTAGCAACCCTCGGTGCATGTGCAGTCATCGTCAATCTGACGACGACCAGTACCCTCGGAACAGATAGACCGAGATTCACACCCTCTCCCAAGGCAATCGCATCTTCTCAGTCTGCGGACAAGAACTCTAAGCCATTGCCATATCCATTAGATGCTCTACCCGGAGCACGAGATGTAGACAGTCCTTATGGCACTGTTCGGCTATACGAGTGGGGTCCTAAAGATGGAGACAAGGTCCTTCTGATACATGGAATCAGCACTCCGAGCATTGCTTTGGCTGGTTTGGCCCATGAGTTGGTCGGAAGAGGTTGCAGAGTGATGCTTATGGGTAGGTTTATGTAGACTTTCTTCCCAATGTCGTTGTCGGCTCAATCTGAGTCCTCAATCCAATATCAAGTATTCATCACGAGCGGCATCACATCCATACCGCCAATGATGATCCGTTGGACTCCACTTCGATGGATCGATATATTTTGATATTGCTTTCTTCCTCCCTTCCCAACTTCTCGAGACTCTCTAAGTCTACCAAACTTTCGTTGTCCTTTCAGTTTCTCACTCATTCAGTAATCATCCATTTCGATCCCCCTTACCCCACCTCCAGTTTCCCTGAACATAGATATAGATTACACATCCAACTAACACCTTCGAATAGATCTCTTCGGCCGCGGCTACAGCGCCTCCCCAGACCCAAAGCTGTACCGCTACGACTCATCACTCTACGCAACCCAGATCCTCATCGCCATCCAGTCCTCCCTCCTGCACTGGAAGTCCTTCACCCTGATCGGATACTCCCTGGGCGGCGCCATAGCCGCAGACTTCGCATCCCACTTCCCCTCCTGCATCGCCAACCTCATCCTCCTGGCGCCGGGAGGCCTCATCCGATCCAAACACGTGACGTGGAAGTCCCGCCTCCTCTACTCCAGCAGCAGCATCCTCCCCAACTCGTTCGTGGAACGCCTCGTCGCGAAGAGACTCTACACGGGGCCCTCGACCGCCCGGACCATCGAGCCCGAATCCGACAACACGGCGAGCAGCGGCGGCGGCGGCGGCGACGGAGGGAAGAAGAAAGGCGGCGGGGGCCTACGAAGCCAAGCCGTGTACCTCTCGTCGCACACGGCGCTGCTGCCCTCGCACCCGCAGTCCACGGTCGGCGCGGTCGTGGACTGGCAGATCGAGCACCACGCCGGCTTCGTCCCGGCCTTCATATCCTCGATCCGCTACGCGCCCATCCACGACCAGCACCACCGCTGGCGCATCATCCGCGACAACATGCGGGAGGGCAAGTCGACGTTCGACAGGGTGGTGCTCGTGCTCGGCGAGACGGATCCCATCGTCGTTGCTGAGGAGCTCGTGCCGGATGCGAAGGGCGTGTTGGGTGATGACGGCGTCGAGGCAATCGTCATGAAGGGTACGGGCCATGAGGTTGCGATTGAGAGGCCCCGCGAGATCGCGGACATCGTCGTCAATCAGCAGGAAAGGAGCTTTTGGAATAGCTGATGATACGGCCTGTTCATGGCTATTCGAGGGGGAATGTGCTGTCGAAACATACACGTGCATATATACAAAATTCGGGATTTCATGAACATTCTTTATGACTATCACAAGCATTGGTCACAGTAGCCACGCATACGCATACGCATATACACATCGCATATAGAAAATCAAGAACATTTGAATACATTCCCCCTTCTCCCTCTCTCTCATCATCCCATCAACTACCAAAAAAGCCATATCAATCAATCGGGGCAAACCAACTATCTCACCCATCCGCCCGTCATCCCCCGCCCTGGCTCCATCACGCGCACCAATAGCAGCGCCCTCCGACTCGAGAGCGGAGAAGAATCCTCTTCATGTGTGTGTTCGTTCGTACGTAGTTACTCGCACACCTCAGCCGCTTCGCGCGAGAAGAGCGAACTTCGGCTGCGAACCCGAAGGAACGGCGTGGGTGTAAGATTTAGTTGGGGTCGAGGTTGGGATACCGCTAATTGCCAATTAGTAGTACCTCTTGATTTCAGGTTTCTTTTCAAGCATTCTTTCTTGGAAGGGGACGTTGGGAACAGACGAGGTAGATGAGTGGGTTGGTGTGTACAGTTGTCTAGTGTTCTTGTTGCTTGATGATGAGCCTCAGCCTCGTACAAGTTATCTAGATTTAGAGTGGACGGAATTACTGGCGTAGTCGGATGGGGCATAAAGGTTCGAGCTAGCAAAAACCATGATGACGTGGGTAAGAATCCTGTCAGCACTATTTCGAGCATGCATTTCTTCTGGTGGAGCTGATACCTCGCCGATATGGATTGTACCGTACATGCTAGCCGGAAATTACTGCGACTGAGGGGCAGACAACTCAAAACGAACTTCATCACCAGAAGGAAGAGAATGAGGATGTTGGAAAAGTTCAAAGATATTTCATGGTAAAACGGTGGCTAGAAGATATTCTCTCGTAACCAACCGGTCAACTCTATCTGTCCAGTCGCCGCCCTACTTGACGACCTTTTTCTTGTAAACCAAAATAATAGATGGCTCCAATGCTCCATGCTAGAACGCCGTGGTATAGAGAAACACGTTTCCCATAATCAAAAAGAGAGAAAACCCAAAGTTGTCGTCCATGATCGTTTCATGTTTATGACATTGCGTCATGCAAGTCTGCGCTGCCAGGTTGATAAACATATCCATTACAGGCATTCTCCATTACACCTTCAATGTCCACACACTCTCATCTCTCCTCAAGCCGTCACTTAAACGCGAGAATCGTGCCTGAAGGGCTCGTAGGCGGTACCAGTGGTACCGTGGCCGGACGCAGGCATGTTTCCAAGCTGGTGACCCTGCTGCTGGCCGCCGAGGTAAGGAGAAGCGACACGCTCGTAAGTGTATGGAGTCTTCTCGACGGAGACCTTCTTGTGGGGGGACTTTCCGGAGCAGCAGCAGACGGAGATGAGCCAGAAGAAGCCGGACGCGACCGAGAAAGCAACACCGAGCCAGACAACGGCCATCATGGATCCACCGAGTTCGGCCTTGATCTTGTAGTGGCTGAGGACGGCGGAGAAAACACCGAGCAAGCTGACGTAGATGGCAGTAACGGCGCCAGCGGCGCCAATGATGAAGACAGTCTGGACCTGTGAATGCATTAGAGTGGGCTCGCAGAAGGAGTATACGGCGGAAACTTACAGAAGAGACGATGGTGGTGGCAAGGCTACCCCAGCGGCTGAAGATGGCGAAGATACCAACAATGAATTCGGCGACAGTCAAGCAGATGGTGACGACGTAGGCAGTGAAGACCCACTTGGCAATCTTGGAGTAGACCTCGACGCCGTTCTTGAGCTCATCGTCGAAGACCTTCTGGGCGGCGGTGTCCTTGAGGTTCCAGACATCGATGGGGTTGAACCAGAAGTTGGTCTTGCGGGGAGAGCAGTGGGTGATCTTCTCGTCGCCCTTGTCATTGATCTCGCCCTCGCAGTAGTTCCAGAGTCCGACCTTGTAGAAGTCCTTGATGTCGTCGGCCTTGGCGACGCTCTGGAGAGCGTTGAGGAGGTCGTTGTTGATCTCGATGTTATCGGGGATCTTGTCTAATATCGTGTCTGGGTCTGCTGTGAAGTCTTTTGCATTGATCTAACAGTCGGGTCAGTGAGATATTCTAGTGACGAGCATCGTTGTGTGGGCTCTCCTTACCTTGATGAAGTACAGATCTCGGGGTAGTGACATGTCCTTGTTGGTCTGTCCGGAGAAGACGAGGATTGTGCAAATGAGTGACGCGATGGTCAATGCCATAGGCAAGAATATGCATGCGAATCTTCCTGCTTTACCCATGGCTGCGGTGTTGTTGTTGGGTAACTGTGTGTGTGATTGCTGTTGTTGTTGTGGTTGACCTTGTGAGGGAGCCCGAGGGAGGTGTTACGTCAGAGAGAGGTGTGGAGGAACGATCGTATGGGATGGATGTAGCGACGGAAAACGGATGTCGGAAGATCGTAAGAGGCGTGAAACCCGCGAAGTGAATGGAGGATGTTGTTGGTGATGTGGAGTAGTGAACGGTGATGGAGGAGAGGGGAAAGCAAGGCGTGGAAGGCAGGCTTTTGTACAACTTGCACGTTCGTCTGTAAGATTTGAGCTGAAAGCCTCAAGGGGGCTGAGGGAAGTTTAGTTTGCTGGGGAAGGAAGGGACGGGGGACGTGCACTAGAGGCGGGACACTCACACAGACATTGTGGCCCTGCCCTGCTCTAGCACAAGCACAACCACATCACTGCAGCTTCAATCATGCTAAGCACACTCTTCGCGTCCTTCAGCCTCCAGCCTCACGGGTTTTGACCCACTGTGGACTAGATTCGCCATCTTTGCTTACGACCGTAGGTTTTTCTTTAGCTCTGATTAACCACGGGTCCACGAATGGCGTGGATGGCGGTGCTCTACAGCAGAGCAGACCCTCAATCACCACACCACACACTACACTACTACCCACAGTACATACACTACTCGTACTCTATCAAGCCCATCTGCGGGCCTTTTCTCTCTGCCCAATCTTCCCTTCCTCTCAGCTGCAAATCCTGCCGAGTTGGCTAACTGGAAAGATGAGCCAAGCGTTTACGAGTGGGATCGGCGCATTTGATGTCAGTGTGCGTGTTCCGCACCACACGTCCATGCCCACCCGTTGGATTGAGAGCTGCTTGCCATTACTACAATGGGAAATATCCCAGCAGGCTTCGTGATGACACACAAAGAAGAGGAGGGAAACCCTCGCATCTTGTCATTTGGGAAGATACCTGTTTGGGAGTGACTGTTTGCCCATCTTTCTCACCGTGACGCTGCTGAGCGTTGGAGCAGAGTTGTCCATGACGGAATCAATCAGCACCTTCAAGCATCTGCGATGCCGTTGCCAACGGAATGACTGAGCTTTGCTGTATCTAGATCTGATTAGAGCTTTGCGACATGAACCTCCATCATACTTCGCTACTATCCGATATGCACCACGTTTTTGGGGACATGTTAGCTCCGATAAATCTCCTCATCTCGCATGAGCAAGTAGGAGCAAAACGCCCAAATAGTATACACTACTACACTACTACACGGTACAGGCAAGACTACGCAGAAGAACTGTGGCGCAACCAGTCAATCATTCTCACAAACAGTCCAGGAACAGTAAGTACATATTACAGTATAGAGTACGAAGAGTGTCTATGAGTGCTAGTGAAAACAACGGTTAACCCTTCATTTCGGTGACCAAGCAGTGAAGGCGAAACCAGCCAATGGGCCGTCAGCAACTAACCCCATCGCCAAGAATTGCGCAGTCCGACGCTTTGACCATCGCCCACCCCCTAATAATAGACCAACTGCTAAGTACAGCCTACCACTTACGACTGCGACTACGCCTACGCCTACCATACACTTACACTATAGCTGTTCACAACTACGAGGATCCCATCACCAACCCAATCCTTCCACCTTACCTGGAAGGAACCCTGGATACACTTACGGCACAATACCTGATTATTCTTTGCATCTTCAATTTTTCATCCCAAAGACAGACCAGGATTGTTCCGACACAGTTCTTCGGCCAGCGACTTTGCCGTATTCTCAGCCCGTTCGTCATCAGTCTCCGCCAGGACGTCGAGACATTGTCTTTGTTATAACTCATCTGTACTTACCGCACCACATTTTTGCATAGCAGTCTTATGAAGAATTCCGTGATGAAAACCATCGTACTGTACCATGTTCACTATTGAGTGCAATAAAAATTAAGATCCAAATTACCAGTGTTTTTGATCTTCTTCCTTATGCGCTTGGGATATCGAATTTGCAAGTAGACCACATCACATACTTTGAAATATCTCAACTTCTGTACTCAATAGAATACCATGCAAACTCTGTACTCCATAGAAGAGAAAGACAGAAGTTGAACGAATCACTGCGTAACTGCCCTACACGACTCACAAACCATATACATATAACAAACCAGCCCATCCAAACCCACCGCACCGAGAAATAAAAGCAACAACGACGAACACCTCTACAGCGTAAGACAGACAGCAGAAGAAAATATGGCACAAAACCGCATCTCAAGTCCTCTCTGATACGTACCTACATACAACCTGTCCCACCACCGCCGCCACTACCCGTAATCATCTGCCTTGTCTTGTACACTTCCGTGCCACAAACCTACCCGGGCACACACACATACACACACTGGGTACCTACATCGAACCCTAGACTCTAGCCATCCATCCACGTGGGAAAATGGTCATTACCGTACGTACGTACACAGTACACTCGTGGCGCGGGAAACACACACACGCATGCCCCAATCGGGCTGGCCAATTAGCTCGACGGAACGCCGATCCAGTCAGTCAGTGAAGACATGACTTCAGAAGACGGAGTGCATTGGATTGAATTTGTGTCTAGAGGGTCTGTACAAAGACAACGAGTACATTCGGATGGACGAACGATAATGCTAAAAGAGATTGTAGAGTTCACGGGTTGTGACAATATCGGGGTTGATGGTGAATTGAATTGAATGAAGCTACTTCGTGTATGACTATGATGTGCACAACAACTCACGACGACCTAACTCCCCCGAAGTGATCATGATTAAGTACGCGTACTTGATAGATATCCACAACCAATCACAATCCGAACGCCTCATTACCGCCGACTGCGGCCATTCTAGAAGAGAAGAAAGAGGGGGCGTTCGTACTTGAAGACTCGAAGGACGCGGAAGACGTCTCAGCGCACGGTGGTTAGTTGCTGTGTATGTACGTGTGTAGTTACCCCGCTGCTTTGATGGTGGGGGGGTGGGATATGGGAAGTCAAATTTTCGATTCTTCAATTTTTCTTTCTTTGTCTTGGGTTGAGTTGGTGGTATGTGTGGGGTTCGTGGTGAATTTGCTTGCTTGTGGTGAGGTGCATTGGGGCCTCTGCTGGGGACACGAGCATACAGGAAATTGTCACGATACTACATCACATCACGATGCGAGAACATGTTCACGAGGTCAAAGATTTTTGGAATAGTGGAACATATTGTTTTTGGTTTCTTTGTAGAAACTCCGCTTCTTGTGCGGGGTCCTATGCGCTGTCGTCGTTGTGATTCTTCTTATTCTTCTTCTCTTCGTCGTCCCGTCGGGACGCGCGTCCTCGTCACCGCCCTCCGTTTCCTCTTCCTTCTCGAGTCTCGACTCGTCTCTATTCGGCTCTGGCTCTCCTGGCACGGGCCTGATTTGAAAAAAAAAGATACTAATGCAGTAATGACATGAACAGCAGAAAATGCAAGAAAAAAAAACCTGTCTCCTCTTTGAGAACATCTTTGCTCGAAAGAGGAGAAAAATGAAGAAGAGCTCTGCAAGCGTGAAATAGCCGTTCCACGTCGTGCATAATGACCGCACACTCTTCTGACCCTAGATTTCCCTAGACTCATTCCCGTAGAAATGCTGGCTCGTGAAAGTAAAGAAACGAAAGAAGATATGACAAATGAGATGTGTAAGTCTCCGGCCCGTATGCGAGTGGTATAAACAGCGCTGCGATCCAGCGGTAACATGCGAAACAATAAAAGAGATAGAGATTCAAAGTCTCCGCCGCCCCACTGATCCGCCCGGGAGTTCAGAGCTCCCTTCGCCGCAATGCTGGTGGTATGAACAACTGTGAAAGGAAAATGTTGGCCCTGGATGGGTTCGTAGACATTATTTCTTAACCGCTTATGTCTGTAAGGATGCGCCCAAAACGCCGTCGCAAGGTATCGCCGAGGGACGCAAAGGTCCTGATGCTATGATTACAAGCGCAAATGTCGCGGGTTTGGTGAGTACCATCCGGCTCCATCGCGATGAGAATATGTGATGGGTATGAGTGCGGAGCTGCAATGATCATTGCGAGCCGAAGCTCGTCTGCCTCGAATGGTGGGGGCCGATACGTATCGGATCGACCGGAAAGAATGGACTATGAACAGAGTCGATTTGCATATGTGATGCGTTCATCGTGGGTGTTGATTACGAGGATCTTGTTGTCCTGGGGTGTTCTGGCCTCCTTCGCCGCGGGACCGGATCCATTGCGAGTTGCCGCTGGTACGGCCCTCCAATGCCTTCTGTGCATCCGGGTCGGGCCTTCGGGCAACTCGTCCGGCGACGATGTCGTCTGCGCTGAGCTTGCTCATCTCGTGGGCAATGGAAGAGATGAAGTAGCCGCAGAGTTCTTTATCCTCGCGCATGTCCTCGCCCTGGAGGCGGAACTTGTCCTGCTTGGACATGTTGGTTCGTCGCATGGCGCGAATCTCGTTCATGATGTAGAGGAGCACGGCCTCTGGCGTCCTGTTGCGTTCCAAGCCGTGCTTTGCTGGGTCGCGCACGTAGCGGCGAGTGACATCCATGGCACCGTCGACGGAAAACGCGATGCAATAGGCGAGCTTCTTCCCCCAACCTAAGAGTAGTTAGAATGTCGTTCCTAAGTAAAATAGATAGTGGTATCTACCTTTGGTGTAGAGCATGGGCTTGTCCCAGCTTTCCTCGCAGACGTCAACGTGCACCCAGCGCTTGCGGTGAACGGAGTAGACCTCCGTCCAGACGTGGTCCTCGCTGTTCCAGACCCAGCGAACTCGCGATCCGACAGCGCGACAGAGCATGCTGAAGCAGTTCGCCCATTCGCCACAGCGACCCCGTCGAGTCTGGAGGAGGACGAAGGCGTCGTTGTATCGGGGGTATCGCTCGAAGGCTCCGCACTGTTCGAGCGAGCACTTGTAGAGTTCGACCTGGTTTGCACCGCGCGCCTGCTCATCGGGAAGAGGAGCAGCCATGCCGACGCCGATGGTTGGGGAGTAGCAGCGCGCACAAGGAGGGTTGTTCACCCAGGAGAAAAACGATCGCTTGAACCATCGCATCAGAGCTCGGACGACGCAGTCTTGATATCCCCAAGCAGCCTTCTTTCCGGCACCCAGGCTTTCGGCTTCGGCCTGCAGGATCTGTGATTCTTCCTCGGCCTCGTTGTAGATCTGTTCCAATGGCACGACTCGCAGGGCTTCATCGAGCAGACCGGGATTTTCCCACCGGATGGGCATGTTGGAAAGCGAATGGAGCATGTTCTTGAATCGCATCGAGCGGGCGTCCTGCGGTGCCTGTGGTTCCAGGGGAATGTTTCGGAGTGAAGAGTAGGATGGGGGAGCATGCTGTGCAGTTGGGGGTTGAGGTGTGCCGAAGTCTCGAGGTGCTGGCGATGCTGGTCGTGATTGTACAGCGCGGGAGGTGAGTTCGTTCATTCGTCGGGTGCTGAGAACCTGTCGGAAGCGTTCTGTCATTTCGTGTGCCAGCTGGTCGGTGTCGACCGTCGCAGCGTCCGCCCGCTGCTGGCCGGCGTGCGAACGATCCATCTTGGAATTTTGTGGTCAACCGTCGCGATGGCAGTGAGTATTGTGTGAGAGTCGACGGTTCGACAGGTATTTAGAGAGGAGAGTGGTGGTGAAGGTCGTACGGAGGAAGATGGGAGGAAGCGTGCGCGGGTGTGGGCGTGCAGGTAACCGTATAGTCGATGGGTTTTGCACCTTGCACAGCCTCCGATGATGCAGCGACTGCAGGCGCAGCAGTGACAACCGAAGATGGCAACTACGGGTATGAGTGGGAGGGCGCAATGTCGAATTAGAGCGCGCAAGAATAGATGAGGATAACTCTCAGACGAGCGAGATATGGTGTTGATATCGTCGTCGTCAAGGATTTCGAGTTATTGGGGAGGAGGTGGAGGTGGAAGAGGAGTGGGAGTGTCGAGAGAGGAAGAGATTCGGTGGTGGTAGAGAGCAACGGTAGTGGCAGGAGGGCGGGGGGGAGTCAAATGGGATGGGTGGACTGGGTTGGACTGGGGGGGGGGGGTGTGTGTGTGTGTGTGGGTAAGTAAGTACCTAGTATTAGGGCGTTGGGTTGGGTGTGTGGTAGGCCTATTGCTACGTACTCCTGCTACTGCATGTGGTAGGCATACGAGTACATGCAAAGTACCTACGAGTACCAAAGTACCAAACAGCGTATGCGTTTGCGTAAGGATGTACCTACGAGTACAGAGTAATTGTATTGCGTGTGTACTCCGAAGATGATGGGGGCAAAAGAAGAGTCTGAGAGTGGCCGCGCGGACAATTGCGAGAGCATACGCAAGCATCTCCCACCTGATTGGCTCGCCTACCCTTGCTCTATCCCTAATCAGAATCCAGTACCATACAAGTACATCTCCTCCCAAAGAAACGCGTTGTCATTATTCAACTAACCAAAGTACGAGTAGATCACTCACACTCAGTCGCTTCAAGTCGCTTCAGTCACTTCAGTAGGCATGCATTCGTCAACTTAGTTACTCTACTGAATCTACGGAGTATTACTCTATTACAATATTCTTCACGCGCTCTTTGCCGAATGATCAATCCACTACGGAATATTCTATTGTACGGTTCTGCTTGGTAACCGTCTACGGGAGCCACCGTAATCTCATTCAACATCTGTAGACGCGTCTAAGCGTGTATGCGTCCCAGACTTTCCTCTCACTACTGCAATACAATTAATCAATCAATCAATGAATGATGGTGATTGCGTGTAATCTCTGAACCCTTTGCCGGCTATCGTGGGGTGTCTTTGTATGCTGGTTTCTGTCTACCCGTCCCTCCATATGTCCCCACCCCTTTTCGGAATCATGTACCCCTGCTGTCGAAGCTGCAGAGTGTTCGTCTTTGAGCGTAGGAAGTAGACTACCCCGTCGAGCTGGCGATAATCTCTTCATCTGCGCCGCGCTACCGAGGAGGGAAGCCCATCCGCCATTTGCTGTTCCAGTATTGTTCTCCTTCACTTCATGGATGCTTCCTCGTTGGCCCTTGGCCGGCAGATGCTCGTTTCTGGGTGCTCCACTTCTGTCTACCTGTCCCAGATTGCTCTTCTTACCGTGTCGCAGTGTATTGGCTTGGGACTCTGGGAGGGCATGCAATTGAATGTGGGACACCCAAAATGATTGAAGAGATCTGGCGGGAACGATACAGGCAAAAGAACTAAGACCAGGTCCGGGGTTCTCAAATATTGGTCGTTCCAAGTGGATTGATTGTGAACCTCCCCTGGTACTTAATGATACCGGTATTCGTAGTTCTACTGGTGGTTGAGCATACAATACGCAGCACGCAACATGCCAACAGCACTCGTGTACAACAGACAGCGTGAACGACGACAGGGCTTGCCTGGGCCATCCGCGTTTCAAGGTATCTTGCTGCGTACCGGTTAACCGCGAATACCCCATCCACCTCTGTCCTATACCATCCTGTGTCTTTGTGGTATACAGTTACAGCGTCCCATAGTTCAGAGGAAACAAAAAACATAATCAAATTCTACATTCGCAGTTACACGCACCGCACACCACGCGCGCTTTCTCGCTCATCAATTCAACCTCATTTAGGCCGCGTCGCCCATGGAAAGTCGTTGAAGCGGACACGCAATGGCTGTCGCAGTCTAGCCGGAAGCCGTCTAGGAGTCGTAAGCTCCACCAAGCCGGTCGGGCCAAGACCCGGACGATCGTTATACACGCCATGGTCCATGGAACAAGACGAGACCAGACCATCGCCTCTTTGACTCTGAAGTCTGTTCTGTGTATTGTGTATTGTGTACCGTTCCATACACCACGCCACGGTGGCAGATTTGTACTCATGTCGTACTGTGTATTCGTAGGTAAATGTTCGTGGTCGCACACTCACAGTAGATACCGCCATCTAGAATCCAGGGGGATGGGTACCTACGTACGTACGTGCAGCTGTCAATTTTTGCTTTTCTGTGCTGATGGCTTTGATGGCGACACTCCGACTGGAGCATTACTGAACAACCGTTACCATCCCATCATTCCGGAGTTCTGTAGGCCTGGAGTCGCAACGCAAGCCTGTCGAAATTCATGAACGTGCACGTAGACCGACATCGAGTTCGAGTCCAGCATCGGGGAAAGGCGCTGCGTCTCCTTCTCTCTCGCCTTCAGAATGCCTTACCCTTACCTTACCTACAGCAGTTAACTTACACAGCGTAGTTAGTTACTTGAAGAGCCGGGGGTTCGTAACACGCGACGATCTGTGCCTGTGGCGCTCCCTCGTACAAGTCCAAAGTAGCCCCGTACTACAGACCACGGCCCACGGCCACGCAGCGCTTACCCATTGAGACCCCGTGCACCCAAGTATCCTCCCCTCTGATTGGTCCATCATTCAACCACATGCCCACTGATTATCGTCAATCAACTCCTCGATGTGAAACAATTCAACATTCGAACCCCTCCCCATCATCGACAACGAACAACCCGTAAAAAGCTATGATCTCTCACCTGAATCCAATTAGGTATGCAATTCGAAAGGCAAAGGAGTAAGGAAAAGTGAACAAGTGCATAAGCACCGCCCCTCCTCGTCCGCACGCCGTTGATCATCGTTTCTCCTTCCACTCTCTTTCTTACTTCCCGCGCCACCATCGCTCACCACCTTACACCACCACATCCACCACCGACCATCCATCCATCGATTGCGCAACGTAAGATCCGAACTTCGCCTTCGCCCTTCCATCTCCGCAAAAAATCCCTTTCAATGCGTGCGTACCTAGGTAGAACAACGCAACCCGCCCTGTTTGGTCCCTCTCTTCAAATCCGCCCCGTTCCGCTTGCGGACTCCCGACCACGTTGAAATCGTCGTAATCCCAACAACCAAAGTATCTTCGCGAGCTCTACCATCCCATACCATCCTCCCAGGCAGTGAACAATCGGTCTGACGACTCGTTCCGATGCCCAAAAACCTTACCACCAGTCCAGTACCGATAGCCCCGACCCGTCGATGAAGAGCCTAGGCTAGGCTAAGCTTATGCCAACCCTCCCGCCCTCAACTGTATCTTGCATTTCCATATGTACGGAGTACTCGTACCATGGAGCAAGCGTACTTGTATCTACGAGTCCACCTTACGCAAGCACGCTTGTTCTCCATCCTGCTGCTTTGTTCCGAGATGAGATACGCTGTATTCCGACTATATCCGAGATTGGATCGAGCTTCTTCCTTTGCCTCTCTCGTCGTCAACGTCGTCAACGTCGTCAACGTCTTCGTCGTCGATCCTATTGATCCCACGTGCTGATGAAAAAAAAAAACCAACGTACATACATACATACGTATGCAACATACGCATACACCACCACCACTCTACCTTACTATTCACTCTCATTACTAACACAGCCAGGATCTCCATTCATACTCACTCCCATTCGGCCAATCATGCACCAATCAAGTTCCAAAACATCCACCACTTCTCCAGATCTTCGCGATGCCTCTCATAAAGCGTAAGCACGTAAACGTGATTGTCGGAATTTCATGTCGGCTTTTTTGCAGTTGAGTGATGCGTGCGGAGTATTGATGCCTGACTTGCTTGCCTGGGGTTTGTGAATACGTAAGGTGCATACGTGGACAGGCGTGGAGCATATCAACGGATGTATTTGCGTGCCATGTGACTGACTACTATCATCCACTATCAAGCATATGAAGCGGTGAAGATGGGCCGAGTCGCCGTTTAGTAATGTCACATATCAACGCAAGAGCATCCATCAAAGTGTTGAAACGAGTGTGGACAGAGCCATCTTGATAGGTACAGATAGACAAAGTTCGAACCAATACAATAAGGTTTTCTCCGAAACGCTTTTTCAATATCGATGAATGGGAACTCGCATTTTCTTCTACTCGGGTGAAAACGACAACAAACGCTTAAGACGGCGCCATGATTATGCCTCTTTCTTGCTTGATATCTACCACCTCTACATACATACATGGATATACATGAACAATCCCACACCCCAACCCAACCTTTTTTCTCTTTCTAGATGTCTATCTCTCTTCTCATTCCAAAGCACCCGTGAATCGAGGCGGGAGATCCAGATCCCACGACGGCCTCTCCACGATGACGACCTCGAGGGGATTGGCGCGAGTGGACGAAGCACCGGAGGACATCGGGACGATGCCGAGCATGGGTCTGTACTTGAACGTGTGCCACCATGGCTCTGATGCCGCTCTGCTCTTGTTGTTGCCACTGTCGTCGACGAGGACGAGTTCCTGCGACGTCGCCTCGTCGGTCTGATTCTGCTGCTGCCTCCTCAGCGTGACGAGGTCATCTTGTGCGTCTTCCGCCGCCTCGTCATCTGACCTCGCGGCGGCCGTGGTCGAACGCGTGTGCAGGACGTCGGTCCAGTTGTCGCCTCCCTGGTCGGCCTGCCCGCCGTTGATGAACCTGCGCACCTTGGATATCGAGGCCTCGCGCTCGGGCACCGCGTCGCCGGCTCCGCTGCTGTTCTTCTTGCGGAAGGGCTCGTCTGCTCCCCCCTCGCGCTTTCGCTTCTTCGTTGATGTGCTGGCTTCGTCCGACTCTAGTTGCTGTTGTTGCTGCTGCTTGTCGAATGGGAAGTCTCGAGACAGATCGAACATGAACAGCCATTTCTCGCCGTAGATCCAGATCCGGCGGTTCTCGTCCGTCACGTCCCACAGGCAGCCCTTCGCGGGGTCGTCTGTCGTCGAGCGGAATTGGCTCGGATAGCTCGACAATGGGTTTCTCCTTGACCAATCCGACAGTCGGCCCGCCAGGACTTCGAAATCGTACAGCTGGTGCTTGGCAGACACCACGAGAAGGTGCTGTTCCGTGCTAGGGATGACGCGAGAGTGCGGGTGAGGGTTGTGTCGGGTGGGGTGTACTGCAGGATTGCCGTTGGGCTCTGGGCCGTTGCCTTCTTGGGCGGGTTGGAAGGAGAGCAGGAGGGGCATGGCATCGAGTCGGGGGATTGCGTGTCCTGACGGGTTGCGAATCCACCTCTGGCCAAACATCGTCACTTGCTCCGTTTCGACCTCATCATCCTCGTCTGACTCATCGTCACCTGCTGAAGATTTCGACGCTCGGTCGATGTCGACTTCGGGAGCGGTCGAGTCTTCAAAGCCTTCAATGACCCATGTGTCGATGTACCCGGCCAGATCTGCAACAGCAAGGATGTTGCCATCGCTGGAGAACTCGACTTGAGTTATTGTGCGGTCGTAAGAGCCCCATGTGCCATTAAGGGCGTTTTGCTGCAAGTCGCTTCGTGGCAGGCGGGCTAGGTGCAGTAGTTGGTCGAGGACGCGCGGACACTCCTCCTCCGTGGCGTCCACGATGCGGGCTACTCTTACGTCGTTGGAGATAGTGATGATGGCGAGCCATTTTCCATCAGCGGTGAACTGCACTCGCCTTCCGCCAATTGTAAACGGGACCTCCAGCTTCTTGATTCGCAGTGACGGCCCAGCTCCCGGGCTTATTGGCGTGAGCTGGAAAATCTTGACTTCGCTCGACGTAGCTACCGCTAGAAGTGATCCATTCTCTGTGATAGACACCGACGTGATGTTTTCGTCTCCTTGAAGAGCCAGGCGTGCCACGACCTTTGGCCTTTCTGATGTCTCTGACTGCGACTTGACCCTCCAAATGCGGATCTCACTATTCCACCAACTGACCATGAGGCGTGATGCTGGGGCACTGACAAGCGCGGGAGTTCGTGGTAGAGATGGCAGCGCTCGACTGAGCTCCTTGCCAAATTGGCGCAGGGGGAGTACGACTGGCTGTGTATCGATTCCTAGAAGACGTTAGTACCACGATAAACGAATTGTAGCATGGTGAATTACCTCCAGACACGACGACGCTTATATTGTTGCCTTCATAAGTTGCCATCGCCTTGACATCATGATCGTGATATCTCTTGTGGGACACCTTCCGCCAGTTCTCCGCACGTTGGGACTTCTTCTTTGCGGCGCATGAGTAGAAGCAGGTTCGGCGGTCCATGCCACCACTGAGAATCATGCTGCCATCTTGCGAAACAGCAAGATCCAAAACATCGGCCTCGTGGCCCGCTATCCGTTGCAATTGACTGTAGTTCTTGCCACTGAATATGCGGATCTCGCCCGTAGAGTCACCCGAAACAAAATCGCCGTTAGGAAGGCACTTGACCTTCCAAACCAGAATCTCTTTCGGGCCGCCCAAAGGACCACTTCCAAACGAGATGTTCCTCAGCACGTTGCCATTCCTCGTATCGAAAACCCTGACGGCACTGTCCGCGAATCCCGCTAGGACAGTGTTGCGGTCCTTGTATGCGACGCTCAAAACACGAGCCTTCTTCTTCGAGGATCGCGAGAGGAATCGCTGAAACCTCAAGTCGTTGTCCGCAGTCGAGAGGAGAACCAGCGTGCCGTCCGCGCAGCCCGCTACCAGATCCTGTCGGTCATCCTCGCCGGCTCGAAGCTCTTTCCGCGCGGCACCATTGATCTTTGGCTGCGCTGCGAAACACCACACCTCGCTGTGGCTACCGTCCGAATGCCTGGCGGGCAGACCCGTCGAGAGGTCCCACTCGGTAATGCTACTCGAGTATCCAATACTGAAAAGTCGCAGCCTCCCGGGGATCACCTCGCCATTTCCGTCCTTCTCGTCTCGGTCTTGTGTCCACACCAATCCCTCCACACTTCGATCCTTGCCGCCGTAAAACACTCGCTCCTGCAGCCAACTGCCGCTGGTGGGATTCCAGATCTCAATGTTTCCATTCGCGCGTCCCACTGCGAGTCTGAGGGTCGAGGGGTCCTTGGTCTCGTCGTCCGGCGTGGCATGCGAGAATGCAAGCGCATTGATTGCGGAAGGCGGGTAAGGAACGAATCGAGCACGATGTATATCCATGGTCGCAACCAAACAAAAGAACTCAAATCAAGAAAAGGAGAGGAGGAAAGATAGCCTGTCCCCCTGCGCGCGCAGATTCTTCTGCGAAATATAACGAATGGCGAACAGAAATCTCCCCGTTACTATGGGGTTATCATACACGAAGAAACTTGCGTCCCAGCAATGAGGTTTCTTTTCGAAAAAAATGTCGGCGCTTTGCAAACGCCGACCGCCCCAGAGAAAATGCCAAGAGCACGGAACAACTATGATGCGATCCGAAGAACGACTCCACGACTTGTACCACCACCAGATCTCGACGAATTGTCTCAAATCCAGATTCACGTCACCTCCCTGAGTCATTTGGGATACAAAGATGCGAGACACTGGGGAAAGGTTTGATCTAGACATGTTCCAGGCTACATTGAGTTCCATACACGTCAATTGTCGAATCCTCAAGGGGGAGGGAGGAGATGTCAGATTCCGTGTGAATCGCGCATGGAATGCTTGCTATCGTCAAGTGTCTAGAAATATGCCTCTTGATCGGGGAGTTAGTGGTTGTAGATGCTGTGCGGGGATGATTTCAGTGGTCATGATGTAGTTGAATAGGAAGGAGGGGTTGGATCAGGCTGATCATGGCTTTGTGCAAGCATGCAAGCGAGGTGAATCTTTGGACATGCTAACATCCCTATCAAGTGAGATATGCGATGATGCGGCGACATTAGGCTCACTTCGAGGGACTCATGAAAAGGCATTCAATTTTGCTACATGCAGCAGCGGTTGAAGTTGGGCTACCATCGTGCTTACCTCAATTACCTGTGTTGTTTGGAAACGGAAGTCACGTCCCCCTCCAAGCTCTATGAGCACATGCCTACCACTGATGCTCTGTTCTACTCTCGATTTGACGGGCCTTACCCCGGGGGAATTCTACAAATAGCTTTACCCATGAATTCGCGCAACTCCACCGGTTGGACGATGTCTAGGCCCAAGATGGTGTTCGAGGGAGCGATCGAGACGAGCACAATTCAGTAAATGCCTACAGATCTTACCTGGCAAAGCCATCGGGCAACAGATTGTGGTTGTCCAGGCAGTAAGTGCCAATGGAACCACCAGGCGATACAAGCCCATCAAGCAGCAGGCAAGGGCTACAGCATGAGTTCTGTTGAGAAGGCTGGTATGACGCTTCATGGAGTACGAGCCGTTTTGGCCATCTCGAATCCTGATCAAAATATACGGTGTGGGCCCATGAAACATTCATTTCGGCAGGCCGCAGGAAAGAAATTTTTCGAGGCCGAAGCAAACGGAGATAGATCGTAGTCTGTGGGACGTGATCACCGACCACACGACCGCGTTCGACGCTGTAGTAGTTCGTAGTTATGACGATGAAGCGGGCTGGCGGAAGAAGGCTGGACGGACGCGGGACGGGGTTGTCAGCAAAGATTCAACGATGATAACTCGCCGGCGCTGTATGTCAGTCATCGTGAACTTCCCTGACAACGCGTCCGTGGGTTTCCTATACTGTGGGTACAAACGCGCGCACCGGCCCGCATAGTTCCACAGTTTGCAAAGAGAGGGTGAAAAATTCCTCCGGTTGCATACCATCTCCCAGGAAACGGGCAACGGCGCTGAAGAAATAATTTTCTTCTTCTCTTCTGTCTTCCCTTTGCAACGAGACGTCGGAGAGATGCACCGGCACTAATGCACGAAGGGGTTTTTTGGGTTGCCGTCAGGAGTGGAGTATTACAGCATCTTTTGTTAGTGGGGGTCTGCTTCAAAGGGAGATGCGATCATGACAATATTGTAGGCGATTTGCCTGCTTCACCGGCTGTGTGCATCGCTGTGACGAGGTAACGCTGCGGGCCGTAAGCGACAGGAAGGGTGGAAGTGGAAATGGAAGTGGCCAGACGCTGTTCCCGTTCAACAGATGCACTGGAGGGAGCACAGCGGTACAGATCGCCGGTGTAAGCTGCACATGTCAATATGCTGTGCGAAGTCAACCTGAGCAGTGTTGCAATTACTTGCGTAAACGTCCCTCAATTATGCTTCGCAAATGTCCCAGCTGATACGAAGGTCAATCACAGGAAGTAAGGGCATGCAGCTTCCGGACCCACCGCAGCACATGAGTAGTGATCCTTTGCGTTGGAACCCAACCCGGCGCTGGCACAAGAATAGTCTGATCGCGCGTGGCGGAGAAGCGAAGAAAAGAAACGACACAGCATCAATAATAGGGTTGAGTTGGAGGAGAATAGCGACGCGTTCGCGACGTGAGAGCGTGGCATGTTATAGCATCAGCACTACTGACACACGACTTTAATGGGGAATATGCTGTAAATAATTAGTGGCTGGGTACGAAGAGCCGGTCGTCGGTTCTTACGGCGTAGCCCCGTACGCTAGTGGCCCCTCATAAGGTGCAGCGGTATTAGTGATGAGTCGATGAATCGATGATAGACAAGTTCGTTTGGTAAACAGGGAATTGGCATGCAGGAGTTGATAGATTGAGGCTGCGACATACGCGAAGGCGTGAAAGAGGAGAGATCCTGGGTGGCGCTAGAAGCTCGCCAACGCAACCAGGTAGCCAGCCAGCCGCATTTCCTTGGACGGGGAGATGCTCGCGACCAGTAGACGAGTAGTAATCACCGATGGACGAATCGCAATAACCTGCGCCCCCCGTCCTCACCGAGATTTGCGGCAGCTGTCCACCTTCTGCTTCCGCTCAAGATTGGTTATTGTTCGAAAAGAAAATAAGTAGGCAATCGGCGCGCGCGACTTCAGATGCCACTGCCCGCTCATTGTTGCGTAAGGTTGGCGGATGGCGATGCAGTAGTTGGCAGCTGAGGCCAATGCTGAGCCCCTCTCATACGTTGGATATGCATGAAGATCAAAAAGGCCACGGCATCTAGCATTCCACCAAAGACTGCGTCATGTCCTCCGTACTTTGTCCAAGAGTCAAAGAGTCAAGACTGAGACCTTGGTAGGACAGTCTCGGCTTGCAGACTGACCACGGTACGAGTTAGGAAATCTGTGACAAGTGAAATCAAGCCAGGCCAGTTCAATATGCCTAAGAAAGGCGGCTGGCCGCTGTACCAGAGAAACACCTGTTGCAGCGACCTGTCACGGTATGTACGATGCGGTGCTGCGCGGAGATGATCCCTCCTTCAATTCAACACCCTAAGGAGAAGCATTGGTATTGTCCTCTGCATGCGAACCAGGTCTCAAAATAGGCTTTCCGCGCCTGAATGGTTTTGACGCCAGCCCCGCAAATGGAGAGAGCTTTCCAGCAAGGGCACGGTGAATTGATTTCTGGAAAATACGACGGGGCGACCCCAAACCGACGGAGGTCGCCACGCGATCCCAGGCCATACAGCCATTTCGAGATTTCGAAATTGGAATAGGGACGCGTTTTGTGGAGGCTAGTCAAGATTGCGTGGGACCACCGGTCGGCCACAATCGTCGATATTGAAATCATAGTGTGTCTGAGCGTGCAGGTAAGGCAGGACAGGAGGTAGAAGGATGGAAAAGCAATTAGCCATTCCATGGGAACCAACATTGAATTGATACTGCCTCCCAAGTGGTGGAGGATCGATGAGTAGAAGATGGTATGGAGTGATACAATATGTTTGAATCGGGCGGTTTGATTTGCGAGAAAGAATCCATGGTGTTCTGCAAGGGCGTCGCTCTGTATTACTCCGGTCGAGCAAATCTGGTAACGATGTAGCGTGATGGGCCCAAGCACAATGCAATCAGTCTCCTGTACGGAGTAGAGCACCATGCAGCGTGAACGTGAGTTTTGACCCATCGACCGTGGAACTGTGCCAGAGTGCGACAAAGCAAAAACGAAGTGGCTGCAAGGAGAGCCAACGACACCCACAACGGACGGCCACAATGAACAATGCATCCAGGCCAAGGGGAATGACATTGGAACATGCGACTCTACTCGTGCCTACGGCCTTGCGAATACCTTTTGGAATGAATGGTGTATCTAGTGAGCGTTTTGGACATCTTAGCCCGGGCAGCTAAAAGGAGAGCAACGGTTATACTGTTTAGTAGAGGACCGCACGCGTCTACCAACCAGTTACGGTCAATTTCGCACCATGACGATATTCAGGAGCGTGTTTGCTCCCTATTACGAGCAGCTTGGCGCGGGAAGGTCATGCCAGGGGGAACCCGAGCAATAGCTGCACACAGAATTGGAGGGGGACTGGGGGCGAGGAGAGCCGGAGCAGTGGCGGACAATGCCCTGATGGATGGCAGAATAAAGGAAAAAGAGAAAGTATGGATGGATTAGTTTGGTATAGACGAGTTGACGAGTTGGATAGATGATTGGGTTCAAAATGGATGGCTTGATGGCTCGATAGCTGGATAGGCAGGGCGGGCTGGGTGATCAGAATGAGCAGAATGGGCTGGATGAATCGGCTTGGCATCTGCTCGAAAGCAAGATTGTTTCCTGTTGAAAGGGTGACAATAATGAAAATCATAGGTTGGTAACATATGTCGGCCCTTGTGTAGCTGCAGAGTGCATTGCATGTGTTGGCTTCAGGCTGACCGGAGCTGATGGATTGATTCGCGCTGGCGACATGGAAGGACACGGCCGCTAAGCTTCTTTTTTTGCCCACCCCCCAACCAAACCCATGTCATGGCAGCCATGCCATGGCGGGTTCAACCACCCTACAGGCTACTGTACCTGCTGTGTCCTCACCACTACTGTCCCATATGGCGTACAGAGGAGGAGAGCGAGCATCTTCCTGAATATCATGGATTCCACAATCATCCCGCGAGGAGGACCATTTGTGCGAGCATGTTTGTGGAAGGGTGCGCCAGGGCGGGATGTTGGGCGGCTTCATGATGGGCACGGCAGCCGCAGTGACGATACAACGACAGACAAACGGGAGGACGCAGTGGGGGTCGTTGTAGTTGTAGTTGAGGTTGGTGTTGTGTTGTGTTGTGCTGCGCTGTAGCCACTCTTAGTTGCAACGAACGGTACGATTTGGGATCTTGCCCAGGAGTGGAGAAATGATTATGATGACGTTTTGAACGATGGAATTGGGAAACGATCTCATCGGATTTCTTCGGCGGTGGTTGTAGAGGTGATGGCCGCAGTTGCGGTACATAGTCTGTTACTGAGCAATGGTACTCGATAGATTCAGCCATATCGTACCATTTGCCGTACATTTCAGTGCAGTAGACCAACCCATTGGAACAATTAACTACATATTCAGATCGTTAGAGTGTAGACTACCTAGAAGTGTCAGTAGTGTTAGAGTCGGATAGGTAATCGGTCGATTGGTTGGTTGCGTTAATACATGTTAGTTGGATAGCCGGATTAGTTACCTACTGGTAGGTACCTAGTGGAGCGGTAGTGGGTTTAGGTTTGGTTTTGCAACGCGTATGAGCGTGTATCTGGCGTGTTGAAAGGCAATCTGAAAAGCAATGATGAGACGCAGTTAAGCAGGTACGAGTACGGGTAGTGTGTGTCTGTGTGTCTGCGTAGAGTGACCTGTAGTCTATACTCTATAGACGGCATACCTAGGATCAGATGAAGCCGGCCAAAGGAGGAGGCTTCGATTGGCTAGGATGATCCTTCGCCAGTCCTTCGCCTGTTTGCTTTGCCTGTACAATAGGCGGTCGCCTGTCCGCCCGCCCGTGAAATGACCAGGAATAGAGACTGGGAATACCTGCTAGGGAAGACCTGGCAGCTTGGATGGTGTTGTTGCACCACTCACCATTCACCACTCACTGGGCAGATTGGAGGTGAAGGTGAAGAGAGAGGAGGCCTTCACCACCCCTGCCCCTGTTCACCTTCCCTTCCCTTCCCTTCCCTTCCCTCAATTGTGGATGTCCTCTCTCTTTGCTTTGCGCGCTCAGATGCACCCATCCCGTCCTAGGTTAGATTCATGCCCCCCATCAATCCTGGCTTGTAACTCCTCTTTTCCTCTGCGTTTGCTTGCTTCTTGCAGTGTGTAGTAGCGTGTAGGTATGTGCGTGTGGGTGTGTACGGAGTACTGCGTATGTACCTAGGCGTGGGAAGGAGGCGTGGTGTAGCAAGCCCTAAACTCCATCCGAGAGCTGCTGGCCCGTCGTTTCCCAAATCTCAGCCTTGGCTCGTCTGAACATCTACACTCTCTCTTCATCTCCTCTCCTCTCCTTCTCTCTCACTCATCCCCTCTCTTCTCTCTATCACTCCCTCTCTCTCTCTCTCTCTCTCTCCTCCATCCGATACCTCACATCTCGGTCGGAGCATTGAGTCCTGGTTCTGATGAGTGCTGTCTTGTTCTTCGGCGCCGTCTCTTCCATATAACTCACCACCTGCTCCTCGGTCTCCTCCAAACCGACCGTCCCTCCTCGAATAGGACCTCGAAGCGTACCACAGCCTTGTGCATAGTACCTTCTGTCTCCTTTCGCTCTCATCCTCCCCTTCGTCTTCACCTTCGTCTTCACCGTCGAATAAAGCTTCGTCCTACGTTGCTCATCCTCGCTCCTCCATCTTCTCTCGAGTCGACGATACTTCCGTCAACCGCAATCTAGGCTCTCTCCCAGCCCCTCGGCCTCGAACCTGCACCCATCCGACCGACAAGCTCAGTGTGTGCCAGTCATTCAAACGGTTTCTGAATACCTGTGGTATGTCATGTTTTTTGCTTAGTTGTTATCGCTTTCTTCCAAGATCCGCACACATTCACCAAAGATCCCTTTACCCCTTGTCCCTTCGTGATCCTACAGAAATGGCCCCTCCTACGACCTGGATTACCTGGACCTTGGTCTAAATGCGGGCCACATCCGTCTTGAGCCTTGACTTCCAACTCGTCCGACCCATGTCGGGTGAGACGAAAGCGAATTCAACAACATGGGTGTGTTTGGGTGGGTGGTGAACACTGCCCACACACATGGTTCCGAAATCTGGATGTTAAGGGACGAAGAGACATGCACAGAGATGATGTGTGTGCTGCGACGCGAATTTGTCCAGGGCGGCAGAATGCCGAGCGAGGCATCGGATTGCAGACTTATCTCATTGAGACGTGTCTCGCCAATTCCACACCGACTACTCGATTGAATGACGGCCCTTCACCTGCACCACAAAGCTACACCACCGAGCGACACCAGCTGTTTGCCCGAATCAGCAGTCCACCTATCACGCCTATTACTGTCTCTATCTATTCAAGAGCAATTGTTCTCAGCTTCACTGGTTCGATTCATATTCTCACCTCTGCACACCGTCTCTGCTTCCGCTCTATACCACAGCATCCCCTGGAAGGCATACCTCTGTACCTGGACTCGGCGTCTATCGCGGCAGCTTCCTTCAGAAGGACCTCTTCTTCTGGTCTACCTGTCTCGGTGCCCTACTTGCCCTCCACATTTCTTGCATCAAAAACCAATTTCCGAGGCGATCAGACGACGCAACCCATTCCAACACCAGGCGTGCTCAACCACGCTACCACATTCCCATCTAGACCCTCGTTCTCCATGGTCTCCCAAAATCTACATTCTCGCCTTTCACCCGCTTATTGCCATTCTTGCTGGCGAAGTTTCGCTAATCTTACGTTGCCACACAGTCAACAGTCGCTACACCAATAGCACGACCGTCATACCCCTGCCGTGTCTATTTCACCTTCACAACCCCGCAGGACCTCCGCAAGGTACATCGATCCAGCATTGAAAACCAACGAATCGCGACTCACATCCCTGTGTAGACTCGCGATTGCCAGATCTGGAATATCTGCATTCCCAAGCTGTTCTTGGCGGTCCACTCGCTTCCTCACCCAACCGGCGGACTCGTTAACTCGTGCTTCTGCCCTCGAGCTCTCCCTTCGCAGTGCTCGCCAATTAGGACAATACCAACAGCAGTCCATTCCAGATCAGTTCCTGTATGCAACTAGCGCAGGGATCGATCCTTTCGACCTTTATACTTTCTTCTCTTATTGCGCCTTCCACTGTTCGCTCTTTCAAGTAATATTTTAATTCTCTCAAGGTACGAACTCCTCTCCACATTCACTTGACTCGCTCGGGGACAAGTAGCAGCTGCTGACCGGCCTGCAATATAGGCTCTGTTCACGTAGATTTCCCGCCTCTTCGTGGGATATTCACCAACACAGTGACCCTCTTTCACAAAATCACCTCCAACTAATTACAGTCCTTCGACACACTTGCCTACCCGGCTTACGCTCTCTAATCATCTCGGCTTCTTTATCAAGCCTTCCACTCACTTTCATCAAGAAAATCCACGTCCACTCTCAGTTTTAGTCTATATCCCGGAGAATTAGCATCCACTCTTTCGATCACCTCTAAACCAATCTTCGTCGTCAAAATGGCTTACCCAACTGGCCCGTCTAACCTGCCTACCGGCCTGCCTCGCTATAACCAATGTGACAGCTTCTTCGTGGAGTCAAACGAGGACGGCATCTATGCCATGCGCGCTGAGGCCCGTGAGCGCGAACGGGCGGTAGCAAGGATGCAACAGCGTGCTCTCGCGGAAGATCTCTCCAGAGCGACCGCCGAAGAGTATCAAGAGGACATCATGGAGCACATGGAAAACATGGAGGTAAGAGATTGCTGTTTCATGCGAGGATGGCAATCACTCGAGCTAAACAATTGTTAGTCGCAAACTCTGCCCGACGTCAACTCGATCGACATCCAGTCAGAGATCCAATGGTTCATGCGCCCTTACCTGCTTGACTTCCTTATTGAGGCCCATGCCGCTTTTCAATTGCTCCCAGAGACCCTCTTCCTTGCGGTGAACTTGCTCGATCGTTACTGTTCGCGACGTGTCGTCTACAAGCGTCACTACCAGCTCGTCGGCTGCGCTGCTCTCCTCATTGCTGCCAAGTATGGCGACAAGAAGGATCGTGTCCCCACCGTGCGAGAACTCAAGTCCATGTGCTGCTCACTTTATGACGATGAGATGTTTACCCAGATGGAGTGGCACGTACTCCAGACTCTCAACTGGATGATCGGACACCCCACCGTCGATAGCTTCCTCCAGCTTGCACTTTCCGAGGTCGCCTACGACCCCGAGGTTGAGAACATGACTCTGTACATTGCCGAGATCGCTCTCTTCCACAAGGAGTTCGTTTCCACCAAACCTTCCGTCTTGGCTCGTTCCGCTCTTGCCCTCGCAAGGTGCATCTTGTCCAGGAATCAAGCAAAGCCAATTGAGTGGGCTGGAGCATATGACCCGCAGACGGTCATGAGCCTCTCTAACCACTTGTACCAACCATCCCAGGTGCTTGCGCGCAAGTATGCCTCTGCCCACCTGTCGAGTGTATCTACCATCGTCGATGACTTCCTTCAACGTCAAGCACAGATTGCCAGCCGAGTCGCTGCCCCACCTACTCCCCCCGTGACAGGTGCCGTCAACGACTACAAGCCTGCATACCTCGGTCCTCAGACTCCTCAGAAGAACCAATACGGCACTGTCGTCCACCATGGTTGCATCACACCACCCATCACGCCTGACAATGTGCAATTTGGACAAGGACATCCAGCCAGACCTCAAGACAATCACGTGTACCCCACCACGCCGACCCCTGATCACCCTGCAGTCATGATCCAACCTCAGTACTACCACAATGGCTACCTTCAACCGCAGCATGAACAGTAGCTGCGGCATCGGTAAGATGCAGTAGGGTCCTATCAGCACCAACCAATCCTCCCGGCTTCAAAGGCCGCTTCCGCCTCCCAACGCCCCAACTCTCTCTTCCTTTTCGTTGTATCAAAAATCTCCGTGTATGAGCATCACTGCGAGGTCCAGGCATTTCGAGCGTTCCTGTTTATGTGCCTACAATATCAAGAGTTTCTTTTCTGTTTCTAATTTTCCTTTGTCATGCCTGCAGAACCTCCACTTCGTGATGGTTTGCTGTCTTGCCCATACGGCCAGTCACCTGGCAATGATAATGCATACAGTGACTATCCCGAGGCAGGGCAAGCACACCCGACTTGGGATTCATTTCCACCTAATATGTGTCTTGTCCTGACCGAGGAGTGAGGGGAGGGATAAGCAATAGGCCGAAATTGACCATAGGTGGGCCTCTACATGAGGCAGCGACCGAACATCAAAGCTCCCTCGCCGACCGTTATTCACTTGTGCGAGAACGAGTACCCTTCTTCTTGTTTTTCATTTTTTTCGGTTTTCTTTTTCAAAAAAACGAAAATCGAGACTCTAGTATGAAGTGGGCTGCAGAGGAGAAAATCCAAAGCGTGATTTGGGCCGAGTAGTTAGGCTCATTCAGATTGTCTTGACAGCGGGGCTGAAAAGGTCTATCACGAGCATTAGTTATAGAGAAAAGGCACAAAAAAATTAGGTAGTGGTGTCAATGCTCACATAACGAACATCTTACGAACGTCTGTCCTGTGTGTTTCAAGTCGTGATGATTTACCTTATTCGCTCCTTTGTTTCATGGGCGATCCCTTCGCCTTGCTGGTATGGTCATGGGTAAGTATAACATGGGGAGTTGTTATTATGAGCAACACGCCCACGGCGGTTTCATCATGCAACGCTGGGCGAGCAGTCTCGAGCTTTACGTGGTCTGTTTCAGAGAGAGCATGCCCTGAATGGTCGAACAACCGCCTCTTAAACTCTGCGATGTCCAAACTTTGGCTATTGCTACGAACGAAAATCACTACATCACCCAACAATGACACGAGTAAGTTGCTATGCGTCGTCTTCATTTGGGCAGAAAAGGAAGGGAAACTCTAAAGCTAATTCACGACACCAGCCCACGATCTCCGTCAACATCTCCGCCCCAGGGCTGCCGAACCACATTGCTCCGGACTCTCCTGTGTCCGCCTCCAGTAAATTATCAACGACTCTCGCCGACGACCTACTCTGCCCACGGTACGCCGACCGAGACGCCTCGTCTGCACCCCCGTCACCAGCGTCCATCGAATCGTTCGACGTCCTATTAGACTCGACGGCGTGGCGGCGAGGTGAGATTTCACTCGGTGGCAGCGGCTCTGCGTTTTCATCGTCGAACAATCTCCTCGGGGCATGCTCGTGCTTGCCCTGGAGTAGGAGGGCACGACAGCAACGACAACATCGGCGACCACCGCCACAGCAGGGCGTCATCTTCTTCTTTCTCATTCTACTCGCGCTCATGCTCCTGGCGTGCGCCGCCCTGGCAGGAGGGACATTAGCAATGCGACACGAGACGCGAAGGACACGGGCAGAGTGCTATCGTCGCAGCGGTGGCGGCAGCGGCAGCGGCAGCGGCAATGACGGAGATTCCAGATGTGACGATAGCGCATGGGCGAAATGCGTCGCTGTGAATGGAATAGGGTACTGTGAGGGCATTGGCATTGCTGGGTGAATTGGGATTATTGATTTGGTTTATTGCTCCAATGATTAGTATGCGTTGAGGATTCGATGTTACAATGGCCATGACAACGGGTCATGATTACGCTGGACTTGATGCCACACTCACCCCTTCACAATACTCTCTTTGTCTCTTTGTGTACATGCATACTGCTCGCTGTACCGGCACGCCGAGGTGACGATTTCTCCCACTCTTGCAATCATCCATCTACCTTCACATCGTCAAGTGAAGTGGTTGTTGGTGCTAGCAGTGGTTCCTCAGGTTAATCCCATCATTGGAGTTCCTTATGGGAGTTCATCTCATCTCTTGTCACAACAACGATTGGTGGGTTGTCTACCCGGTCTGGCATGAAGCCTAACTGTATGTTCAAAGGCGACTCTCGTGCAGGATGGGTCCAGACGCGCGCTTAGGAGGCGGGTCTTTGGAATGACAAACTTGGCTTCGAATTATAGATATCGAGTTCGTTGGATTGCATTTCCTTAAGTCCGCGGGGCCGACCGTGGAGAGAGGGAGAAAATGAAGATGGAGGGAGGGAGGAAAGGGTGTATGCGTGGCATGGCATGGCATGTAGTCACACCCTGTGCTGTGTTTTTTCACCATCACCACCATCGTCATCACCATGATCGCCACCGCGCTGGCAAGAAAGAAAAACATCCTGGCTATCCACCCTTCACAGGGTGCGTGTCTGGTCATTTTACGTGCGCGCTCGCGACGTACAAAACCGACCCTGGGTCGAGTAAGATGAAGCAGCCTACTCTAGAGTACTAATGAAGATATGCAACAGCGCGTGTCGCTCAAATGGGGGTCACCCTCTACTTCCATGTGTAGTGGAATTCTTTTAATATCTTCATCTCAATTATGCTCTGCGATGTAACTACTGTACGGTAGTACATCAGTAGTACATATATTACCACGCAGAGATCAGGGTATCAAACTCTGGCCGATACCTAAAGGGTCCATTCCTTGACATGTGCGAAAGGCTAGTAATATTTGTTGGGCAGAGGTCGGGAAGAAAGCAAGAGGTGCAAGGTTTGTTGTGCTGGTCGGCCTGGAATCGAGAGATAGGTATGCTCTGCTTTCATGTGGTTGACTAATATCTAATTGTGTGGAACTATAATGGGCCGCCTGGCTGGTATCATGAGGTAACTGGACTATCAAATTTCAGATCACTACTCATGGGATCGTGAACGTTGAATCTATGTTAATGTGTGGCTCGGTCTATCTATCTGTTTCGCTGTGGCTCGTGACCCCCTTTTGGGAAAGGATGGGGCATCCAAGGATATCGATAAGCGTGCATACGATACGACATTCGTTCATCTCTTCGATGGTGGTTCTTGATTACCTACAAGCTACGATAGCAAACTATTCCTCGATGAAATAATATCATATCTTCATGGATATTATATGGGGTACCGTCACAGCATTTGTCGAACCCTCGTCTGTTCCTTCCCACCTCGGACTTTATCATGACTTCATCCCCTTCGTTACCATCACCCTTGATATCTAGGAGCCCATCACCGGCAAGCATCGTCGCAGTCAGATCTTCGATATGGCCACTCCTAGTACTACTAACTCTCATCAATCTGGCAAACAGCCTTTACACCCTCCCGTTGAACCGAGTCGTTGAGCGTGGTCTCTGTAGAGAACATTACGCCCAGCACGGCCCAGATCCCACTTCATTCCCAGACGGCACCATCCCAGAGCAATTCTGCAAGATCGACGAGGTTCAGAAGCAACTAGCATGGATCCAAGGCATAATGGAAACCACACTCGTCGTTTGCGGTATGTGGAGAAATCCGATACATTCATCATGTAATGCTGTGCCAAAGGCTAATAAGGTGTTGATCTGCAGATTTCCTGGTCACCATCCCGTTCAGCTTTGTAGCTGAGAGTTTTGGCATTCTAGTTGTCCTGTGGTGCAATCTGATCCCTAGGATCTTTTTGTCATTTTGGGCGATTGTTGTTAGTATGTGATTTCTTTTGGTTTTCTAATTACTTTTTATAGTGTGAAGTGTAGGAATAAACATTTCTAAATTAGTGAGGACTATGGACAGCAGTTTCTCCAAAGAAGTCTATAACTGAGGACATCATTCCGATACCGAGCTACTGTAATAATAATCATTGAGTTGTTTTTCTGACGATGTCGTAGGTAATTTCGAACATGTTCTACCCACTCGCGCCATCATTGCAGGCCCGTTCCTTGCCGTTTTCGGTGGAGACTGTGTCCTTCAGTCAACGATCTTCACATTGACCTCAGCATTAGCAAAGGACCACGTCCAACGGTAATTTAGAACCCTAGATGGTCGATGATTTTCTTCTGACCCTGGAACAGCGCGTCCTACTTTTCGTATGTTTCATCCATTACCTACGTCGTCAACTTCATCGGGCCTTCGCTCGCATCTTTCACCATGAGCCGAAGCTTATGGCTTCCATTCTGTATCAATATCTTTTTGCTGGTCGCCGCATTCCCAACCGTGAGACTTCTCTCGGTAAATCGAACCAAGGGTCCACAGCGCTCGGAGGGAAGTGACGATGAGGCCTTGTCCGATGAAGCCAACCCACTCCTACCAGCACGCGATAGCAGCCCCAGTCGATACTACAATGCCTTCGAGACAGCCGCCGGACCGCTCCAGAATATGATGTCAGTCATCAGGAAACTGGTCTGTCTAGTAAAGGGACGTCGAAATTTCCAGGTCATGTTGGCGTCATTTTTTCTTACAGCGCTGGCGAGTTCTGACACTAAACTTCTTGTTCAATACATCTCTAAGCGTTACAAGTGGACATTTGCACAGGTATGTCGATCATCCTTTGGAATTTTGCATCAGCAGCTAATCATTTACCAAAGGCTGGATACATGCTCTCGACGAAAGCGCTAGTCAACGTCGTCTTATTGACAGTGATAATACCACGGATCGTGCGAAGCTCCCTACCTTCCAAGTCAATCCAAGGCTCCGAAGTTCGCTTCAACTACCTCTGTGCAGAAGCTAGCATCGCCATCTCTGTGGTTGGGGTATTGTTTGTGGCTTTTGCGGCCGAAATATGGCTGCTCCTCACAGGTCGGTCTCCTTAATCTTTACCCGCCAAACTCCTTTTCCATTGACTCCAACTGACGAACCACCACCTATACACAGCCCTTGTTATGTATGCCATGGGATCTGCACTTCCAGTCTTCACCATGTCCCTCGTGAAATCTCCCCTCATCACAACGGACACCTCAGACATCCAAGATTTCAGCATCGTGATGCTTACGAAGACGCTGGGATCGCTGGTCGGTGCGCCTCTCATGACCGTTCTCTGGGTGCAAGCGATCAAAATAGGTGGCGCCGGCCTGGGACTGCCGTACTTTGTCTCCGCGGTAAGCGAGAGAGTTCCTCCTTCTTCTCTCGGAGAGGAATAATGAGCTAACACTTATTCTCTAGTGTATTTATGTCGCTGCTGCGGTGGTTGTTACGAGGCTCGAGTTCTGATCCTGAAGAACATCAGCGATAGAACAAGATAGGTACTTCACCTACTATTGCCCACCACCATGACTTGAGTGTGCGCATGAGTCTTTGGACATTGGGTAACGGGGCACCCATGTGCTCATAACGGAGATGACACAAACTAGCCGCTATTGTCGACAATTATGCCCTTGAGGATTTCACAGGAGTCAGGCTTCCTTTCTGTACCGTTCTAGGATGATTTTATGTGCATATATGTGTATATATATCATGACTTTTGGTAATGCAATGATTGGCATTAGACTTTCATACGTTGTGTAAGTAAAATAATTGTGTATATATTTTCGCAAGGAATGAAAAGTAGATACCATCTGGATGAAGAATCTAAAAGAATAAAGCATGCACATTATTATCTATATGAGCCCGTGGCACTCGCGGAGGATAGGAAAGTACTAGAGCCGGATGCCGAGATATGTAGAGATCAAGGATAGAGAGCAGTCCGCAGTGTACTCAAGACGTCCATGGATACTTTCCTCGCTTCACCCCGAAGGCGAAGAGGACAATATTACCTACTTTTCGACCAGCGCGTTGTTGATAAGAGTGTGATAAACCCATTCGCAAACACCATTCAATCGCCTATCAATTTCCCAATTCGGTTAGGTTCAGACAACTGTTAGCAGATGGTCACCCAATTAGAATTTAGTTCATCTGACGACGACAATGGAATACGTTCGTATCTACAAGGTATGTCTTTAATATAATTGCCATTTGTGTACTTGCTTCGCTGGAGTCTCTCATTTATAGATCCAGAAATTCTCAGTACTTACTCCGAGTATGGTCGCAATTGGGGATAATTTTTGACCAACAAGTAAAAGAATTTAGAAGCAAGGCATCTACTGTGATAATTCATGAAAAAAATTATATCAAATCACGCTCAAAAGAGTAGGCACGAGAGAATAATTGAACGTAAAGAACCGTGAAAGGGTCATTGAATTCATTTTAAGCTAATCATAATACATCATTTGGTGATCTCAGAAGTCAAACAAATGTTGAAAATAGAGTCAGGGAAGAGTGGCCACTTCCACGATTAAGCCGGGGATATCATAATTACATTCTCCTTCCGTCATAAGAAGCATTTAGCCGTAAGTGCGGTTGCCTCCGGTGGTCTTGGAGCCATCAAGGTCGCTGTCCACGCGGGGGTCGAGCTTATTGGCAAGGTTCGAGTTGTGAGGACCAGCAGTGTTGGAAGCTGGGCCAGGGTTGGTGCTGTGACCAAGACCGCCAGCTCCAGTGGTGTTTCCGTATCCACCTACACGGTCGCTGTCGACGCGAGGATCAGCCTTGTTGGCGAGGTGAGAGTCGTGGGGGCCGGTAGGGTCGGAGTAATTTCCAGTGGTACCGTAAGTGTGAGAGCCACCAGTCGATCCGCCAGTGGTGCCGTGAGTGCCAGTGTGAGTTCCACCGGTCAATCCACCAGTGGTTCCGTGAGTTCCAGTGGTGTTTCCATAACCACCAACACGGTCACTGTCGACGCGGGGATCGGCCTTGTTGGCGAGGTGAGAGTCGTGGGGACCAGTGGGGTCAGAGTAACCGCCAGTGGTTCCATGAGTGCCAGTGTGAGTACCACCGGTCAACCCACCAGTGGTACCGTGAGTGCCAGTGGTGCCGTAAGTGCCGGTGGTGTTTCCATAACCACCAACTCGGTCACTGTCGACGCGGGGATCGGCCTTGTTGGCGAGGTGAGAATCATGAGGGCCAGTGGGGTCAGAGTAGCCGCCAGTAGTTCCGTGAGTGCCGTGAGTGCCGTGAGTGCCATGAGTGCCAGTAACACCAGTGGTGCCATGAGTATGGCCTCCAAGGGAGCCCTCACGAGGGGAAGCAGTAGAACCACCAGTCAAACCGCCGGTGGGGACATTGCCAGTGTGCTGAGCGGCAGCACCCTTGTTTCCATAGCTTCCAACATTGTCGGAGTCGACGCGGGGATCTGTAGGAGTTAGCGACCGATATCACGGGAGAGAAGAACAGGAGAAGCTTACCAAGTTTGTTGGCGATGCGAGAGTTATGAGGGCCAGTGGGGTCAGAGCCATGAGTTCCACCAGTGCTGGCAGTGTTTCCGTATCCTCCGACCTGGTCAGAGTCGACACGAGGGTCAGCCTTGTTGGCAAGGTGAGAGTCGTGAGGGCCAGTTGGGTCAGAGCGGCCGTGTGTGTTACCAGAGTACTCGGTGGTTCCAGAGGTGTTGTGGCCAGTGACACCGCCAGTGTGAGTACCGGTAGTGTGAGTGCCAGTGGAATGAGATCCGGTAGCAGTGGTATCGTGCTTGTCCTTGTGGAGGACGTTCTCGACCTTAGCCTTGATCTTCTCCATTATGAAGTTGTGTTGTGAGTGTAAATGGTAATGTAGTGAAGGGAGCAAGTGATTCTTTCAAGGAGAAAGAAGTAGTATTGGAAGCTGTTGGATTGTTGTTGTAGTGTGGTTGTGATAAGATGAAGGATGTAGGAAGTGTCTCCAAAGAGGATCTTATATATGGGGAGGTGAATTTGCAAAACAATGTATACGTCATAGTGTCCTCACAGGCAGTTCAGCATGCGGACAGGGAAGAAGGCACCATTGGCTGAGGGGTTGTGGTGAAACTGAAAGTCACGATTCTCTTCCGCCCTTGGAATGGATCAGACTAGCGACGAACAGGCAAACAATCAAGGCCTCGTGGGGTTTGGTTTCGTCATCGTGATCTGGGAGCATCTTTTTTCTCCGATGGATCTATGCCTTGTACGGTCGGATGGCAGATGGCAAGTGAATGACAGACGAAAATGAGGAATGGCGTGCCCGCCCGTCTTTGTCGTTCTAGAGAGAATGCGTCCAAGACAGCACCGAAACTGTACAGTAGCGAGGTTTGTCTTGCGCTGTTAACTGGTTACTTGGATGTACAGTACAGTACTCGTATGTTCGAAATACTACTATTCCTACTACTCGTTCTGTAACTGTGGCACGGTAGTGCATAGTACTGGCCAATGCCAGGCATGGAAGATGATTACATCGAAGGCAAGCTTCCGGGTAACTAAAAGGTGACCAGCGCTTCTGGTACTCCATAAACAGTAATGATGGCCAAAAACAAACAAAAGAAGGTCGAATTGTGGCGGCGGATACAAGAATAGCGTCTCGGCCCTGCTTTCGGCCCTCTTTTCCAGTTTCATCAGCCTCGATCAACATCTGGCCAGACGATTTCGATCGACGTCCGCCCGCCTTGTGACGTTCTCCAAACGACATCGACGTCCATTCACCTTCTAGCCCCCTACTCTACAGAGACAACGAATAACACCTGAACCACGAGGTTTTGGGTCTCTAAGAAACCATCCTTGCCCTGTCTGTGCTTGTGGCGTAACAGACCAAGAAAAACTTGGTTCCCTGCAAATCGCCCCATCACCTTATGGAACGTGTCCCACTCATCCGGCCTCTTAGCTTCTACCGGACAATCTTCCATCGCGCATGTTGTTATGAGTTACTCGTACAACCTACAAGTCGTACTCTAGTAACTGGTTATGGCGTTCATCAATGCGTACATTGTGTCCGATCTTGGTAAATCCATCAACCCCACCCAATTGGCTCCATGTGCATCCTACAAGTTACGTATGGTATGGTTCAAAGGGACCACGAGCCTAAGAGCTACGGGTTTACATTGGAGACATGACGCGGCGTCCCACCATACGGACGCGTCTCAAACTGGTTTCTGACCTTACACATCCGGAAACATGAATTCTCACCTTGTATTTCAATCAAACTAACGAATTAAGCTTCTGAACTACCTCGTACATCGAGCGATGCCATGGCAAGGAGAGGTGGTGGTCCAGGCAGCGGGGTAATACTAGAATTGAGTGATCAGAAGGTCAAATTGTGTTCGGTTTGGATGCAAGGGAGTGCGGGGATTTCGGAAGATCCAGGGGGAGCCGCATGGAGCTACGATTCTCTGCCATTCTGTGTTCAATGTCACTCGGTACAGTGCAGCAGGGTACTCGGTAGGTATGTATGTACCTACCTAGGTATCTACACATAGCAACGGGGATGCGGAGCCACGGGGGTTACTCCTACTCGTAAAGAGTCACCAGAGGTACGGTACGAGGTACATGCGAGTGTCGAAATGCACGCAATATCGCGCATCCGTCCATTCCATAGCCTGTCTTGCCCTGTCCAAATCAGTCCTGCCCTGCCCTGTTCAATCATGCTACGAGTACTAAAATGCTGCTAAATGAACCATGATGCATCCAGAGGTACCGCGCTTGGCAAGATCCGGTTTCGCGGGGGAGAGGAGGATGGGGAAAATGACGTAGATGCGAAAATGCAACTTTCCCCATCTTTTTGCCTACCAAACAACCTGTCTCCCACATCGCAAACAACATCCACTCACACCCACCCACCCTCCAAACCTGATACGATACGGCAGCGAGTCGATCATCGTGTACCTCACTTCACCCACCTCGTACGAGCCATTCTTACGGTCAACTTTTCCTACCACATAGTCCTTTACTTTACCTTCTGCTTACCATCCATCCTCTCTTGGGGCCTCGTTTCCCTTACGCAACCGCCGCCGATAATTAATCATGTCGGAAAGAGTGAAAGAGGTTGCAGCTGAAGAATTCCAGCAGGCAAAGATACTTGCCATAGATGCGGCGCGATCGGGAGCCTACCTCTACCCGCTTAAGGTACCCTCATCCGCATTATCCGTCTTGGACTCCGAATGCTGACATTCACAAAGGGCATCGCGTACTTTTTCTCCCACCGTAGCCTATGGAAGCCACTCGGTTCAAAACTACTGCCCACCTTATCCCTAGGTGTAGGAGTGACGTTGTTCATGTTCGCTGTGACATACGTTCCTCAGGCTGCCGTTCTGACCATATTCAATGGCCCTCTGGCGATCGTCACGACCGTTCTCTTGGTGCTCAGCGAGAGCAGTACCATCTTCTCTGTTCTTAGCAAGAACTTCCTTATTGACGAAGCTCTAATAGACACTTTCGATGGCGTAGGTTGCTTCCTGTCTGTTGCTATACAAGGCTGACTATCGAACAGACCCTCTTGTCACGTAATTTGACCTCTTTGGTCTCCAAAGAGCGCCAGATCAAGCCAGGAAGCGACCCTGTAGCAAAGCTGGGTAAGATTCTTCGGAAGCCCTTCGCACGCTTCACCCCGAAAGCTATCATTCGCTACTTCCTATACCTTCCTCTGAACTTTATCCCCGTTATCGGCACGATCTTGTTCGTCATTTTGCAAGGACGCAAGTTCGGGCCAACAGCGCACCAGCGATACTTCCAATTGAAGCAGATGAACAAGCGAGAGAAGGAACAATTTGTCGAGCAACGGAAGGGTGCCTACACAAGGTAAGATTGGTTCCAAGGTTTGTCACCTTAAAATGCTAATTTGGTTAGTTTTGGAGTTCCCGCAGTTCTCCTTGAGCTTGTACCCATAGTTGGCATCTTCTTCTCGTTCACGAACACGGTTGGCGCGGCATTGTGGGCCGCAGACCTGGAACAAAAGCAGACGACGGCGCCAAAACTTCGAGAGCAGGCTGAGCTCGCTAAGAAATCCGAGTAATGAAGCGGAGTTGATTGCTCCTCCCCAATGGAGCCTCATGAACTCATAATACTAACATACATACTTGATGAAGCATTTACAAGCCGTTCGCGCATGATGATCTGACCGAACTATACCGTTACCCCTGGAAACCGCCCTATGCGAAGGGAAATCTGTTAGGCTGGGTTTAGGGGGATCGTAATTATTCAGACATGCAAAATGTCTACAAACCGGCATGCCTCTTTGCGAAATGGGATGGAGCTATGCGGAACTAACTTCACCAGAAGCACCCTAATCAGTTCATATGAGATGCAGTAATAACCCGATTTGATAGAAATGACGATACCCTAGCTTCTTTTCCAAATGGACTACGTTTGATGGTCACCTCGCACTGTGTAGTCCTTGCAGCAACTTTGAATCTTGAGCGATTGGATCTCCCAGAAACTCTACCTTGATCTGGCGGATAACGTATGCATATTCACATATCCAAACGTTGCAAGTCTTGCTTATATTCACTTGCTAACATTGGAGCACAGAGAGCTAACTCTTAATGTCCGTGACAGGAAGAGTCTATGTCTGTAGCCTAGGTATGAATATACTATATATACCTAGTTATGTATAGAACAAGGTTACCCTTGGAAAGTTCTGAAAGAATTGTCCCCTGAAAAGGAGCCTCAATGGAGATCGAAATATGTATTATGTCATCCAATTCACGTGCGCTCTTCCCTAGCGCAAGTCGGCCCGTTGGTACCCACCTGCATGTCTAACTCTACTGTGATACCTAAACCATCGGTACTGGCTCTGCCCCGCGCGCGCAACCATCAACCTCCCAAACTTATTGTCTCACGACCAGAAGATGCAGTCCCTGCCCGACGCACGTCAACAATCTTTCGAGGAGCTTTATGGCCCTCCTGAGAATTTCCTCGAAATAGAGGTATGCCCCTTCCGAGCTACGGAAACCGCCTGACGCAGCTCATTGTATTAAACCGCGCAGGTTCGCAACCCCATGACCCATGGCGTCGGCCGGGGCATGTACACAACCTATGAGATCGTTATGCGTACGAACATACCGTCCTTCAAGTTGAAGTCTTCTTTCGTTCGACGTCGTTATAGCGACTTCGAAGCCTTCCGCGACATTCTGGAGCGCGAGTCTGCAAGAGTTACGATACCACCGCTACCTGGCAAAGTCCTCACGAACCGCTTCTCGGATGACGTGATCGAACACCGCAGGGAGGGTTTACAAAGGTTTCTCCAGATTGTGGTGGGACACCCGTTGCTCCAGACGGGCAGCAAAGTGCTCGCAGCATTTGTACAAGGTCAGTCTCATGCTCTCTCTACTTGCTTGCTTGCATGCGACACCACGATTGACATATTCAGATCCAAACTGGGACCGCCACGCTTGGTGACCGCTTCATCGATTCCTGCCTTTTAGCGACATTTCCTTTCTTTCCTTCCATATCCAGGCGCGACTCTTCAATACCATTTGTTCGATGATCACACGACCTGACGAGGGCATGAATGATGACCAGAGTGTGGTGGTATTTCAGACTTGGATGAAAATGTTCGTTGTCAGGAGGCATTCTCATGCGTTTCGGAGCATTTGGGATATTTCGTGGTGATGGAATGCTCATGGCTTGGCTATGCTTCATCTTAGCAATTCAATATTTTCTTATTCAAGAGATTTGGCCGGTCGCGTAAGATATCATTCGACTTCTGATTCAATCTTTCGTATACGGTACATTAGAACTGGTTACTAAGCATGTTGGTTACCAATTCGGACGATATTTCCGACTTCGCTCTGCCTCCTGTAGTCCTTTGCTCAGATAATCGCAGCAAGCAACGAGCTACACATACACATTGCCTCTCAAATGTATACCCAGGCAGGTGCACAGTAACAGACAGTTCCGGTAACTGGCCACTTGTAACGCCACTACTGTAAAAGTTCATCTGGGCTTTCGTATGGACTGCGCGAATAATTCATAATAACTGACAGAACAGGATGGGATCTGGGCCGTCTTGGGAATTAGCTCCAGTGCAAGTCGCAATTGATAATACAGACGGACTGTAGCGCTAGTGACGTATCTTTCCCAAAAGAGGAAGGCGGGTCGGGAAAGAAAAAAAGCAATGGGTTCTGAACTTGTGATCTTTAAATGCGAACCACGACCCCCGGCTTTCTTTTCCATCACCAGTGTCACCCACCTATTAACTATTACTATTCATTTAGTTGCTTGCATTTGCATATCAACCAACGGTGGAGATTCGTTACCAAAATGGGGGCTCCTTCCACGTCGGCATCCAATGCTATCATCTATTGTACATACGCAGTCTTCTTGTGCGTTCACCGTGTGTCTATGTGTATCCAGGATTACCTTACTAAATCTGCGTACAGAGTCATCGGCTGCTACATCGCCTGGAGATTGCGACACCAGTCGAAGACAGAATGGCTGTCGAGTAACAGAACACAAAAGGGTCAGACAACCAAGCATCGCGGTCCTCGTTGCGGATTTAATTTGCTATATACTCCAAATTTGACTTGTTTCGTTTAACTAGAATGCATGAGCTGACGTCTATGTAGCAATACCGCTTGCACTGAATTTCATAGCTGCGGGTGAGTGCATCCACGCAGTCCAACGACCTTGAGAAGTGCAGCGGCAGCATCGGCATTATCACGTTCCGCTCGATCTACACGAGATTGCTCCAAGCAAAGCGGAAGGCTCCCATTCATGGGTTCGAGTCTTGAATTCCATCACAGGTTCGTATTTGAGATCTCTCGCAGCATTGCCTTTCAGACGCCAGCTCTTCATCGTTTCCCGGTGTCTGGCGAACGTTTGGAAGGCAATCTGTGCGACTACACTACGGGCGCTAAGGACTTGATTCTTTTGAGTGCTATTTGCTACACGCAAATAGCTATCTTGAGGAGTCATGAACGAAGCTGAGAAGTACCGTATGAACTCGATCAAGATAATACTTGCGTGAGGAACGTGCTGTCGCTCTAATTTTCTCTCCTATTCCCCCTTCCCTCTGAAATTTCAAGCTGACCTAGGTCGTCCTTACCATTAGGTCTTGGATCTGGTATTCTTACTACATATCCTCAGATTGCCACGATTGCAGGTGTGCAGGGTCTTGTCGTATACGCGCTATCGTCAGCTCTGCCGCTTCTGATCTTCGGTGTACTTGGTCCTATCATTCGACGTAAATGTCCCGAGGGCTTTGTACTCACCGAATGGTGCAGACAACGATACGGATTCATCGGTGGCCTGTTTTTGAGCATTTGCACGTAAGACAACCAGAATGTTCAGCCAAACAAAAGCTCACAGGAACTAGTCTCATTACCATGTTCCTATACATGGTTGCTGAGCTTTCGGCGGTGCAGCAAATTGTAAACGTCTTGACAGGCTTGGATGGGCTGCCAGTAGTCATTGTCCAATGCGCTGTTACAACAATTTACACCGGTCTTGCGGGATTCAAAGTCTCCTTCATCACCGACAACATTCAAGGTGGCATGGTTTTGGGGCTGATCATCATGGCTGTCATCGCAGTCGGCGTTGAGACCAAGGTCGAGCACAGGTTGATCGAGGAGTCTGGATACCTCAATGCCAGCCTTTTAGGTTGGCAACTCATCTACATCCTTCCTGTGGCAATCTTGACGAACGATTTCTTTCTTTCGGGATTTTGGCTGCGAACTTTCGCTGCCAAGACCGACAAGGACCTTCGAATCGGTGTTTCCATTGCGAGCTTTGTGAGTGTGGTAAGGCGTATATGTTATGGCAACGTACTAACAAACTCCAGGTTGTCTGCTGTATCCTCGTTCTCGTCGGTGTAGGGGGCCTGTTGGCAGCCTGGTCTGGTGCTTGGAAGTTGAACGATGCTGAGAACGGCTACCTCGCATTCTTCTTCTTGCTTAACGAGCTGCCTGCCTGGGTTGTCGGTGTAGTGCTCGTCATGGTCATTGCTCTCTCTACAGCTGCATTCGATAGCTTCCAGAGTGCCATCATCAGCACTGCAAGCAACGACATTTTCCGCAACAAGCTCAACATCTGGGTCATTAGAGGCCTCGTGGTTGCTCTGATCGTTCCGACGGTTGTAGTTGCTCTCAAGGTAAGCTTGAGTTGGCTTTTTTACACGTTCGTGACTTGACTGATCATATTACACAGAGTCCCGACATTCTGCAGATTTTCCTCATCAGCGATCTTGTTAGCGCCGCCGTTGTGCCATGTCTCGTCTTTGGATTGTCCGAGCGATTCTACTGGTACCGTGGTTTCGATTTCGTGATTGGTGGCCTCGGAGGCATCTTTACCGTCTTCCTGTTTGGCCTCGTCTACTACGACGGTAATGTGGATCTCGCGAGCAAGCTCCTCATTTTGGAGAACGGCCTTTACGCCGGAGATTGGAGTGCTTTTGGTGAGTGAATTGCAACGAAATTATCGCTTGACCTGGGCTAAACGATCCCACAGGTGCTTTCGTCGCAGCCCCAGTCGGCGGTGTTCTTTGGGCCTTCGGAGCTGCAGGTGTTCGCATCGGGTTCCTCTACGTCATGTCTAGGGTCAAAGGCCACCGCTTCAGTGCTTTGGACCGGCCAATCCCTCAACCCCGCACCGAATCAGTAGATGAGCAGGAAACCGAACGGGTCATTGAGCAGAGCGATTACTTTTACAAGAGCGGCAAGTTCTTCTAGAGCATACGCCATGGGAAGAAGTGGAATACGAGAGTCGAGGGAAAGAACCGGACGGTGGACGCTTCAAATTGAACAAATATGGGCGGGGGTTAAGACGCAGGTCGATTTTGTGTTGGCGGCCAGAGTTGCACTGTGTCATCATTTCTTACATTCTGGTGGTGCATGTACTTCGAGTAAACAATGGGGTTGGCTATGGAGATAGGAGGAGTTGTAGGCAGGAAGGAATGTGTCTCAAGAGAGTGGACTGATCATGTCCATTCAAGCAAAGAGCTACACAATCAAATCAAATCAGATTAGAAGTGCTATCCTTCTTAGATGATTGCATCTATTCAACGTGTATTCAATGTTGGCTGGAAGCCCCCTTCGTATGTATGCTTCCAGACAAATCGACCATGATTGCTTAGTCGCTCCACCCTCGGCTCAATACGCTCGCGATTGTGCCGCCTCAACTCACGCTTGCTCATGGTCCCCTCAAAGCTCAATCATGGTCGCTCACGCTCGAATCTGGCTGCCTCAGGCTGCTCATGCTCTCGCTCAGTCTCACACCCGCGGTCCCGATTCTGGGTCCCTCGTCGTCTGAGCAGCCACGCAGTTTGTTATGAGAAAAAAATGTCAAGTCGACGCGACCTTGTTGGGGGTCCCAGTTTTGGGATCCCCTTCATAGAGCGGCTGGAGGTGATTCACCGCCGACGGCTTGCTGATGCAATAGGATGAGGCCCCTTGGGAATAGCTGTTTGGATGAAGTGATGGTCGTTGGATCATATGTATCAGTGCGTCCTCTCCATGTCACTCATTTCATGTTGAGCATGGAAGATCCAGTCTTCCTTTCCCTCTAGAATCACCTGTATCATTTTACCAGACAGCTGTGGAAGGTGGACTGATTTGAATACTCTTCGCTAGGAACCAGAGTACTAGACTGGGCCCCGGCCCTTGCGATTGTGTATTCTTCCGCTCGAATCGGGAAGTACATTGAATCATAAGGGGTTCCGGAAAAGGCCTGCGCTACAAACCTCGTGGATGAAACAGACCATCCTGCGCGAGGCCCCGCTGACTGAAAGGATCACAGGATTTCATGGCAATAGTGTTTTTGAAGGAGGATGACAGACCCAAACTTGCTATGCAGCTTACTGAGGACGCGAAGACCATGGCCAACACAGTTAAGCATTGCCTGAGCAGAATCACAGGCACAACCCGCAATCAGTGGATAGGTAGGATTGTCGAAAGACCTCTGGAGGTAGGTGGATAGATAATGTTCCGATCTCTCTCGGCTGCCCTAATCTATTTGCCTATGCTTTCCCCTTACACGTGGTCCCTGAATAGCCTCACCAATCTTGCTACGCTACAAGGTATTCATGTTCCTCCAATTGCACCGAACGTGCGAGCACTTACATCCTGCCTCCCTCTTCGTCCCTTGGGAGACTGGTAGGCAAAGTTGTCCCCATACAAATAGCACAAAAAGTACGACTTCCCATCCTCATCCTCCCTTCCTCCTCCCCATCTCTTCCAAGAACTTACGAAAAGCCTCCACTTCGACACGGAGAGATACATGTTGCATTGTCGTCCTACGTACATTCACATCCCCTAGTGGCATTGTCATGAACCACACTCAATGTACCTACGCATCTGTCTACAAACTTTCCCACTCATTCAGACCAGTCACCAAAGATAAACAATGGCAACTTTAACTATTTGCAGAAACCTACCAATCTCAACCATTCCATTAAAACAACTCCTCACTCCATTCTCACGTTCGCAACCCACACCCTCAATGCTAGCACTTATGTCTCACAATCACACAACCTCCCTCCACTTCCACCTCATTCATTTCCCTAATTCATTCACTCCATTCCAGTGCTAAGTCTATGTCTCGTTTTACATATCATGTCTTGAACCTGGATCTTAAGACCTGCGCACACGCCCAGCAGAGGAGAAAGCCTCATTCCTGCAATTGAGACCTCAAAGAACGTTGTAGTTGATTTAGAGTCCACCATTCCCATGTAAGACAACACATCAAAGTCAGCTTACCCTACGTTTTCAATGCAACACATTCCAGTATAGATGACACTGTGACACATCATAAGAGCACGGAAAGCGCATGCATAGTTGCGTCAGGAATCAAAGGCTCCGGTTCACAGTTCAATGGAAAGAACAGCAAGGATCTCAGAAGTCTAGGAAATCATAGAGGGGTTTGACACGGATCTTTGACGGTCACGTAGCAAGCGAAAATCAAGATCAAAAGTAGAGTAAACAACTCACGATCTCGTGAGAGAAGTAATTGAAACAGGAGCCTTGGGAGAGAAATCAACCACCCTAAAAACTTACGGGTTCATATACTAATAAGATTATAGTTAAAACGTTAAGACGAGAACAATTTTCCTTTCGGAAAGTCAATAAAGAGAGATTAGAGAGAATAAAGTGTGTTTTAATTCTTTTTTTGTTCCGTTATCCACTTCAGAAGAGTTTATTATACAAATCGTACCGGGACCCGCCTTGTGTTTGAGATGACTAAAATGAGATACGATGCAATCGGTGGATGTATGGGATGGGAATGGATATCGAGCAATGGAAAATTGAGAATGCGGAGAGAGATGGGGGGATCGCGTGTGTGAGCGGGTTGTTGAAGATGATGGAAGGCGAGGGGTTGGTCGTCCGTGTGTACCAACAGCAAAATAACCCAGGGTAGACCAAAGAAAGAAGAAATTCCAAGCAGTAGAAAGAATTGTCACACGGGTGTGATCGAGATGTGAGGGGGTGACTTTTGACCGGCCGGGCGAGGGGTATGTGTTGTCGTTTATTTCTTGTTGTTGATTGTGACGACGACTGCCACGACGACGGCGATGACAATGATGATGAGGACTACAAGAAGGTAAGCTTCTGGTTCGAAGAGGAAGGATAAATAAAACATACTGCAGATGAGCAAGCACCACCACTTCTTGCGGTTACGGCTCCTCGCCTTCTCAATGGCGCCACCAATCTCAGTGTTTGCCTGCTGGACGTTGGAGTGGATCTCCTCGCCCTTCTGCTCAATGTTCTCAACAAGGGGCTCCTGCTGCATGACGATCTGGTCGAGATCCTGGAAAAGCTGTGCCAACTCAACCATTTGCCTCTCGATCTTCTGGATGGCCTCGTGTCGCTCCTTGACGTTACGGAGGCTGGACTGGGCTTGGCCGCGGCGGTCGGAGCTCATAAGCTGGGTGATAATTAGCTAGGGTACTTGAGCAGTCAAAAGGTGTAAACCTACAGCTTGCTGGAAGATTGGTGCATCAGGGTCCTCAACAGCTTGTCGGACCTCCTCGTCAGTAGCATCGGGCCTGACGATGCGGTATTGGCGCTCGGCGGCAGCCTGGGAGTTTTGTCGGAATTCAGCCTCGAGGTTCTGGTACTTGTTGATGGTGGCCTTGAGCCTGCGGTCGACCTTTCCGACCTGTGGTGCGTTGCGCGGGTTACCCGACTCGGGCTTGGACTTGATGTTCTTGACGCGCGAGACGAGCGCCCTGTATCCCGTCATGACCTGGGAGCTCAGGTTTGTGATTTCGCCGGAGGGCATGTCTGGTCGTGCCAAGACCTGCTTGAAGACGCGCTCGAGGTTGGCAAGCTGTCCATCGATCTGGTCGAGGGCGCGATCGATCTCGCGGCATTCGTTGAGGATGGCATTGGGGTCTGCGCCGCCCTGGTTGCCGCCGTAGGGCTGCATCTCCACCGCGTTGGCTGCGCGCGGTCAGTGTGATGGCCATTGTGAGCAATTGAAGATAGAGAGAGTACATACGGTCATCGTAGCGGCCCTGTGAGTAGTTGTTGTAACGGTCACCACCGCCCTGGCCATAGGAATCATCGCCGCGCTGGTCGTATGGGTTGGAGCCGTAGCCTCCAACCTGGTTGTAGCCGCCGTTGTTGTACTGTTCAGCCATCGCGTCGTCAGCAAAAGGGTTGGGGTTTGACATGGGAGGATTTCTGGAAGGGTGATTGCGCTGGAAGGTCATGCATGGAAGTGAGAAAGGAAAAGCAAGAAAGCAAGCGAGGGAGCAAGAAGACCACTTACGCTCATTTTGCGCTGAAACTGAAGTTGTGTGGTATGTAGTTTCCGGGGTCGGGTTCGGTTTACTCCTGAGACAACGGCCGCGTGCGATCAACAATCCGTGTAGTGGTGGTGTCGCCGAGAAATAGGGAGGCAATTGCAGGTATGCGAGATGCGCACTCGAGGCGGGAGATGGGGGAGGGGATGGAGAGACGGGGAGGGTGAGAAGGAGGAAGACGAAAGAGTAAGTATGGGATATGGAGATTCTTGTTTGAAGGTGTATTTCCCGTGGTGTAAGGGTTAAGGTCTTGATAGAGTCTAAGCAGTCTAAGTGAGCGGCTGAGCGCTGAGCGGCAGGCGGCGCTAAACCAAGGTGGACCCAACACCATTCCACTAAGGGTTAGTCATTGTTCGCCATGCTATTTTTCGCAACGCCCGCCTCTTCAACTCCACTCGGAGGTTACGAGGGAGTTACATATGCCTCCTACTATTCACTCTAGGTACCTACTGTGTAGGTAACTATCATCTGATCTTCATCCATGGTTCGTTCGTTTGTTCGTTCACTGTCAGCATCACCGTAAGAACAAGACTTTCATGAAGGATCCTTAAATGGCCGCGACGCCCTACGCGCAATCTCGCAACGCTTTCCGGCGCAGATTATGCTGTATTTCGACTAGAGTCAATCCTTTTTCGCCCCTTCGCCTCCTTCTGCTCTACACTTGCTATAAAATTTCTTCTATATCTAGGTAGGTAGTTGAGAGTTTTGCATATCCATGTAACTACGCAACGTGTGGGTACACAGTTACCGCCATGTACGCAGTATACAAGGCGTAATATCACCCTCAGCACTGCCGCAGCCTCGTCAGGTAGCGGGCAGTACCAGCCTGTCTGCCACCACCACATGTGATTAATAAGTTTGCTGCTTCTCAGCTCAGGCGCGCTATGCCAAACGATCAAATAGTTACCAACATCTCATTCCCACATACTCCGTACACATATCCACGCACACATATGGTAGGTCCAACCTAAACCCGAGTCGGCCGACAGCAATTCCAGCTCTTGGTCTACGAGGCGGCGCCAGGCTGATCTGCAGTCCCCCATCGTGTCTTCTCGTCACCACCAACCCACGACTTCTCGGTGTATCCCAGCCGCTGCTTGACCTCTGCCACGGTGGATTTGTCGCCGGTGTTCTTGCCGATGTTGTCGCTGATCTTGACAGCATGGCGCCCTGATGCAGATGCGATCTTGATAACAATGTTCAAAGGCGTGGATTTCTTGCCTGTTGACTCCTGAACGAAATCATCTACGAAAAAAACATTCAGTATTAACGAATTGGGATTTCTTAATGCTTAGGCTAGATGATTGCTTACTTGTCAAAAATGTTCCTACGCCGAATGTAGGCTGGAATCCTTGGGCCTCGGCAGCAGCCTTGTACTTCAAGCACAGCTCAATGTTCAAGGAATCGGAGAACACAATCGTCTTCTTGTCCTTGATTCCCTCCTGGTCGTAGAACTCGCGCATCAATCTAATGAACTCCAATGGATCGCCAGAGTCCTGACGCACACCCGTGAATGTTTGAGCATATGTCTTCCTCGCGTTGTCTTGTGCATTTGATTGGTCGAGGGGCGCGCTGATCGGCGGCTCTGTAGTCGAGAGCGATTGGACATCTGGATTCGTCGTCGCTGCTGTTGACGCAAGTGTCGTCGCGCCGCCTGGTATCGCGGTCGTGACCGCTGGAATCCGTTTCTTGAAAGCCCTCAAAAACGCCGGCGTTCCAAAAGTGTCAGTGAGCGCAATGGCCAAAACGCCTTCTCCAAACGTCGATGTCCAATACTCCAGCGCCAGTTCGTTCGCGTTCTCGTAGTCGTTCGTGATGGCCGCGACGCCCATGAACCACTCGTGCGCGACGGTCCCTATGGGCTGCAGGCCGTGCTTCATCGCGAAGTGCACGTTGCTGGTGCCCGTGAGCTTTCCCTTCCATCCGTTCTTTGCCGCTTCTTCTGCTGCGCGCCGAAGCCCTTGGAGTACGAGGTCTTGCGTATGGTAGTCTCTTCGTCGCCGGCTGCCGAATTCGGAGAGGATGCAGCCTTCCTTCAATAATGCGACGCCCTTCTCGTATGCTTGCTCGACCTGCCCCGCGTAGCTCCAATCTGTGTCGCAGAACTTGAAATATGCCTCGCTGATCAGGGCGAGGAGTGGTATCTCGTAGAGTATGGTGTTGACCCACAGTCCCTCTGTGAGTATGCTGAAGTCGCCGACGTCGCTGTCGCTGCCGGTGTCGTCTATGGGGTTGAAGATGAGTTTGAGTTGTTTCGAGGGCTGTAGGCGGAAGGTGGATAGGAAGGTCAGGTATTGCGCGTTCAGGTAGGGACATTGTTTCTTGAGGAATTGCGATTCGTCGTCGGTAAGGTAAACGTTCTCGAGCTCTACTGCTGTTTAGCTTTGTCGATGACGGAGTGGGTAGCCTTCTCCACCTACTGGCTACTTGGACGCCCAGCCACTTGAATGCGGCGCGGCTGAGCTTCTTCTCCGGCGTGCGGTTGGTGAAGCTGTATGTGACGGAGACATCGGGGAAGAACTTGAGGATGCAGCATTGCATAGTAAGTTTGTAAAGATCGCTGGAAAAGCATTAGCTATGAGGGGGGACGATGCGATGCGACCGTGTCCGTACGTGTCCAAAAGCGAAAAGATGCCCTCAGGCAGGTTCTGGGCGAGTTTGTCCTCCATGATGTGGTCAATTGGGGAGGAATGCGTCGCGTCAGTGGTGGGAGTGGATGGTGGATGGAGGGGTGGTGGGGTCGGGGCTATCGTGAAGCTTTAAATGACCTACGAGAGTAGGGTCTGGTGGGTCTCGGACAGTTAGAAGTAAGTAGTACTGCAGTCATTAGTACTACTAGTAAAGGCACTTGAGTACATAAATACACACAGTAGTAAGTAGTAATTGACTAGTGCGTTCAAACGAGTTGCGATGTCGCAGCTTTGTCAAGCATCGATCCGGAAACTTCGCATACGGAGAGATGACTGTGATGTTCTGCGAGGTACCCAGTAGTCATAAGATCAGATCAAGTGACAGTCAAAATACTTATAAGCACTACCTATCCAACAGTAGAGATTTCATGGCAAGTTTACAGGTAATCTTATATTCCCAAGCCTTCTTTCATGTTCAAATCAGCGTTCAGCCTTACAGGATCTCCCGGAGCCTAGAATTCTTCGTGCTACAATTCACGTCATAGGTACATCGAGGTGACTAGCATGTTTCTACAGTAGCATTTCTACATAGAAATCCAGTTAACCCCAGTTCATATTGCGAGTAGGAAAATCAGATATGATAGTAGCCTAAATTTAATAAACATTCACTCCTGCGCATAGTTCAGTTACCAGTCCATGCTATATGGCCTCTACCTACTGCTGCAGACTCTCGACTCGCAACTACCAACAACCGCATGGGCAAAGACATTTTCTTCACGATGAACAGTCCTGTCGATGCATCCGTGGATGATTTGGCACTTCAAACAAAAATTGATGACTACGGCGATATGTGGTGCCTAGGCGCTCTCTTCTCCCATACTGGCTCTCCATCGCTGACAATCGCCTCTTCCCTGGCTGAATAGTATCGTTACAATCCCAGGCTGTGAGGATCTCTCGCCTTCAGAACGAATGTAAATTATGCGCAGAGTACAACAATAACAAGGAGGCAGTTCATAGTATGCAGAGGACCTTCGGGCGGCATTAAGGCAAGTCTTCTTCGTCCACATTCATACTTTGAATTCGCTGACACTGCGGTATTTTAGAAATGTAACTCCGCCCTTGAACGAAGAGGAAGAATCCGAAGACTCCCGTCAGAGAGGCGTCCAAGCACGCCGCGATCTGGAAGCCGATGGATGTCCTCCGTGCTACCCACCTGGCCTCGATATCTACTCGTCACAGGGCCTACCCGAACAATATCGTACAATTGTTGGTTACTAGCGGTCGTTCGCAGCCGCACGTGACATGCCACTCTCCGCTCAACTTATTTCATGGCGCAAGTTCCGTGCATACCAGGCACGCATGAAGACCGGGCAAGTGAGCTTGATAGTAAAGAGCCACAACCCGGACGAATTGAGCAGCAAAGCCCTCTGGAGCGATGAAATAACTTTCGGGATTACCAGCTCGCGCGCCACACAGAGTTGGAGACGAGATGTGACGAGCTGGAGCTTTGGTTTGCTGAGCAGGAAGTAGAGAACCACAGGATCTTGCTGGAGTGGATCGAGCAACAGCGGAAGACGATGCACCCAGCCAAAAACATACAAACATCGAACAGTGAAGCTGACCCACAGCACCGAAGAGACATTGAGACTGCCAAAAGGAAGAGGGAGGAGAACGCTTCGTCTGATCTGGATGATGGAACTCGGGATTCAAAGATAAGAAGGCACACTCAAGTGGAGAATATGCCACTGAAGGATAGCGAGGCGGTTACCAGTGCGAATCTCAGCGCGAGCATCAGCACCAAATGCTGAGTCGAACGCCGCCATAAGTAGGCTTTCGGTTACCACCACAAAGAAGACCGCTGTCCAGAGGAAGCCTGACTATTCTATGAGACATGGAAGGAAATCAATAACCTGAGGAGGCTAGAGTGGTGCGACTGTACGCTGATCGCGGATGGACCTTGATGGAGATCAATGTGAAATTAGGCAAACATATAATTCTTTAGTGTCTGGTGCTTCTAATAGATCCAAATAAGCACTCTGACTTATGCTGAAGGCTGATATTGCCAAGTTATGAATTGTCTGCATGTAGCTATGGTGCTGATGTTCAGACAATCTGATAAGCCGAATACACCTCTCTAAACCCATACCCAATTTTTTCTGTTACTGTGGCATAGTACATAGTTCTAATGTCTACAAGTGCACTCCAAGTATACACAGTACTGGTACTAATGTCCCAGTGTGTATTTTTGAGGAACTTGAGGTAGATGCCTTGGGACCGTGGTAAGTACTTGTGAATACTGGTCAGATTGTTATAGACATTGTGTCTGACAAATAAAGATAAGGTAATCTAACTCCAAAAGTGATAAAATAGTGAATTGTTAGTTCTCCTTTTTGAAACCAAAGAAGGATCAATTGATAGATCTGAGTTGTTTAGATGTTTGTTGCTACAAGTAGAATAGTGATTGTATTGTTAATGTATGTATGAGTAGTTTCCAGGAACGCGGTCGGGATTTGTCATGATTGGTGGGCTGGGCCGGGCATGCCTCGCTAGTTCCGTACATCCTCCGCTTGTCTATTGATCCTCATAAATCGTTTCTTACCCTTCTTCTCTTCAACATAACATTCCTTTCGCCTCCGACCGACCTACGACTACCTCTACAAGAATATGATCGTGGCCGTGTCGCTTCTTGCGATATCACTGTCACTACTGATCTATCATCACCCTCCTTCGACATGGACTTCATTATTCCTACCGCAAGTTGACGACAAACGCCCCGCATCGCCCCCGTCGAACATAACCCCAGCGGACGATGATACTAAAGAGCCCACAACCGTTGACAATGAGAGGAGGCCCGATACCCTGGTACCACCAGATGTGAAGTCCGAAACAAAGTCTTCGCCGGACACAACTCCCAAAGCTGTCGCTAGCGATCCTCCTAATGGCGAACCGGTTCCGACGTTCACTCTTGCCGGGCACGAGACCTCCGATGACGAGGACGACGAGGAAGATCTACCTCCGCCATCTTTCCCAGCGCTGAACTCTGCACAACGAGCATCTAGACCAAACGTAGCCCTCGCACATCCTTCAGCACCTACACTCATGGCTCCTCCAGCCAAACCAACAGCTACATCCTCCCTTATGCCACCTCCGAGTCTCAAAGCTTCGAACCTTCGCGCACTCCCTACGAACTCCCAGTCCTCCTCGCTTCGCATTCCCACCACAGGCCCGCTCCCCAATCGAGGCCCCGTGCCAAATCGAAATCCATCTTCATCTCTGGGCGTTGCTTCTTTCTCCAGCCTCAGCAACTCCAGCATCAAGCCGCCCAACGCGCGCAACAAGGTCCAACTCACACCGGGACATTCACCACTCGACTGGGCGAACTTGCAACGCTCCGGCACAAACCTATCAGGAGTTTCGTCCCTCCAGCGCGTCACCCCCTCGATGCTGAAGCACAACAACGGTAGAAAGGGAAAGCCTGCCTGGTCGAGCTATCAAGGCAAGGTCTACAACATCACCCCGTACTTGCCCTTTCATCCAGGAGGGGAGGGAGAACTCAGACGAGTGGCGGGCAAGGACGGCGCGAAGCTGTTTATGGAGGTGCACCCCTGGGTGAATTGGGATAACATGCTGGGCGAGTGCGTCGTCGGAGTGATGGTTAGCGAGGAACAAGCACCGGCAAACGTGACGAGCAGTCTAGAGGAAATGGACTGATGAATTAGATACCCCCATAGATCAAGGTTGCATTGGAAAGGCGTTACCATTCGGCTGATATAGTGCTGATATCTGGTGTTTTAGACAATTCTTGTTCAAGTAAGAGCAATCATCTCCATAACTTTACTTCAAGTCGTTTTCAATTCAATTAGACAAGCAAATTTCCAAAAGATACCATAGGCTATTGTCAATGATACACCTTGTCCAACGAACCCCACTATCATGCAGACGGTTGTGCAACATCGATATGTTTGTCATTCCACAACGCTCGTGATGAAGAGCCATCTCATGGCCCTTCCCGAAGCAGCGTCTTCACTACAGAAGGTAGCACCCGACACGGCAAAATACGAGTGCTTGCAATCTCGTGGGAAGTGACTGCCTCGATTCGTGCTCGCCGTGACGCAACTTCCAGCAAGCTCAATCAGACGAATAAGGTCGTCCTACCTAAACCCACGACTACAAACTACAAACAACATAGGCACACCTGCACCTACACCTCGGAATCTGCGCAGACTCAATCCAGTTCAAACCTCTACAATCCTCGGAAGCTATACCGGGACTCTACCACCAACGTCTGAGACTTCACCACCACCACTACGTAAACCCTACAACCATCAACAACCATCTGCCCCACGATGCCCCTCGCACCCTTGAAATCCCTCCAACTAACCCTCCGCCTCCTCTCCCTCGCCGGCACCCACGCCACCTTCCTAACAACCCTCTACCTAACCCTGCACCCCATCCCCTTCACCACCCTCCCCGCCGACAACGCCGCCCTCCTCTACATCTCCCTCGCCGTCCTCCTCGTCCTCGACAACGCCGAGATCCTGGCGCTTACCGCGACCCCCGGCGACGGCATCAAGCGGCTGGCCTTGTATCCGCTGGTGGCGTGCGAGGCGGTGGCGCTCGTGCTACCGATGGTGGCGGCGTTTGTGGAGTTTTTTGTTCCCGGAGATGATGACTATGGGATTGGGAGAAGGGCGGATGGGTACGGGTGGAGGAGGGAGGTTGGGAGGGTTAGGTGGGGTTGTGTGGGTGGTGTCATGTAAGTTTTCTCTTTTCTATTTCGTTTCCCCCTTTTGAATTGGTTTGTTGAAGAGGGAGAGAGAGAGAGAAAAATTTGGCTGACATGTTCTTGATGCGTGTGCTTGAAGGGTGATTCATGTGGTTCTTGTCGCGGTCTGTTGTTTTGATGCGTGGGTGCGTAGAGCGAGGCGAGTGGAGGAGGAACGTGGACGTGATAGGGAGGCGGATGATGGTTGGAGGGTTTGGGCGACGGCTGTGTTCTGAATTAGATTGATGACTTGGATAGATGTGGAGATGCGGATGGGATGGTAATGAAGTGTAGAAGGGACAGGGAGTTGAGGTTGAGGGAGATCGTAACGCTTCACCATTGCCTTTAGTAAACAAGCGGCGAGTTCACAGGAGGGTTCTTTTGTTCGTATAGGGAGTAACGATGAAGTTACTATTGCATTTTATATTACTGGTAACCCTATGCATATACATAGGTACCATACTACATACACTATCAATGATCGTTATGATGATGCGATATCACCCGCTAAAAAATTACGACAAATCCATTTTCCCGTGCACATGTACATACGTCGTAACAATCATTCTCTCATAATCATCATACACATCCCCACCGCATCCCCACTTAAACCGAATCATGCGTCAACGTCCTCGAAAGACTCCCCCTCCTCACATGCCCACCCCCATTCGCCCCCGCTCCCGCCGCGGCAAACACCTCATCCCCAATGACCAACCTCTTCGGCGGCTCGAGCACGTAACTCAGCCTGCGCTCCGGCGTCCGCGAGAACGACTGCCGCGATATCTCGGATATCGAGTCTCGGCTCTGCCGCCACTGGAGCGTCTCGAGGGTCTGGAGCTCCGCCATGCGGATGAGCTCTTCGTCGGAGAGGGGCGCGTCGTTCTTTTTGGAGGCGGCGCTCGCGCGCTTGGGGTCTTTCAGTGGGGAGAGGGGGAGTTCGATGGCGTGGTGGTCTTCTTCTGCCGTTTCGCTGGAAGAAGGGGAACGGGAGAAGGAGAAGAAGGGGGAGGAGAGGTAGAGATATGAGGCGTGGGAGAAGAGGGCTAGGCCTTGTGCGCCGATGCTGATGGCTGATAGGGTGAGGAAGGGGGAACCGAGGTGGGCTTCGGGATGTCCGTTGGGGCTGGCGCTGTAGAGGGTGTCGGTGAGGAGTTGGGATATGACGGCGCTGGCTTTTGTGCGGAGGTAGGTGAGGGCGAAGATGTTGCAGGTGAGGGCGGCGATGAGGGGTATGTACGGGAGGAGTGTGAAAATGAGGACGAAGGGGCGTTTTTGATGGGTTGATAGAATCGTTGGGGTAATGGCGAGGAGGAGGGTGGTTAGGAGGGTTAGGGACATAGAGACCAGGAGGGCTGCGAAGGTCGGGAGGGTGGAGATAGGGGCTGAGGTGGTGAGGTGAAGGGTTGGTTGCGTGGGTATCGTGTAGTTTTGGCTCGCCTGGGAAGATTGGAGAGGGATGTTCGAGTCCATGATAGTGAGGATCGAGGTCAGGTTGAAGGTCTTGCCCGGGCTGGCGTGGATCTGGTGCAGTGAAGAGGGAGTGTCCGGAGTGTTAGGGTCGTGATGGTATGCCCATACGCCGTCGAGATACATCCTGACGAACCACTCCGGGGTACATTCTCGCAATGATTCGGTCGGAGAGCATAGGAAGTCGTATTTTATGGGGATTTCCAGGACGTTGTGATCTGATAGAAGGATTTTTGACTTGTTGTTGGTCGTGGACGAACTGGTTCCCGCGATGCATAGTAGGATGCCGAGCGCCAACGAAAGTAGGAGCAGCGAGATTGTGAAGGCGAGTATTACATTAGATATTATCTTCGATCTGGTCGAGCGTGGAGGTCTTTGAGTGGTTTCTTCTAATTGCGACTGGAAGTCGTCCTTGGTGCGGGTATCGTAACTGGGTGGTGGATGGGCGCTTCCGAACGAGCGAATGGATGCGCGATGGGGATGGTTGGGCGCCATACTGGTGGATATGAATATATAAAATCTCTTATTATCCCGTAATGGACTTTTGGTTGAGCGAGTGAAACCAAAGTCCTGGGAAGATTTTACTATTATTTAGATGGTTACTGGGAGGATGGGATTCTGAATTCCTGGGGTGATGGGACTTGGGTATCCATGGTTTTCTATACCGTCACAGTAGTGTATACGAGTGGAACCTCGCACGGAACGTATTTTTTCCATGCTACCCATACCCAGGTGGGTGGGTTGACAAACCGGCCCGTGAAGAGAACGGGGATGGGAATCCGGCCACCAATGGATGAGCGAATGATACGAGATAGTGCGATATCAAGCTTCTCATAAGGTCAAGGTATAGGGCCTAGGTGAACTATCTACTCACACCACACGATGTTGCATGAGTAAGTTACTCGTCGTGTATTCAGGCAGGTCACTGTAGTCTGTAGGTATTCCAATAGATGCCTCGTACTGTCTACGAGTATGTACCTAAGCAAGTAGGCACAGTAGGTAAGGAAAACTGGCAAATGAGACACTCTCAAAGGCCATCCATCTATAAAAAGAATCAAAAACGGTGTGGGGAAAATGCCGCTACGATACTTAAGTTGTAGACCGACCATGACGAATATGGACCGAGGACCCGTCTCTCGTCTTGGACTTTCCTGGACGGCATTAACGTCAATGATGCCATGGCGACGAACGATGGCAGAGCAGTATTGGAATTCCTCGGTCTCCTCGGTGCCATAGACTTTTCCTCTGCAGTTTGAAGCACGTTTGCTGACATGCTTGCGCCAATCATGTGGGCTGGAACATCCAGTATTCTCCTTCGCTTCTCGTATCATACCATCCGGTATCGTCACTTTTTTTATGCTTGCCCTAATAGGGTTAACTCGAGTTTATTTTTGGGTTATGGCCCGCGTGACTGGACCTTTCACAACCACACCACACCTCATTCACCATACAAACCATACACCCACCTGCCACCCACAGTATCTATCTTCCGACACTACACCAAAAATGTCTGTCTATTCCATACAGAGCCTGCAATCCTCCCGACAAAACGATAATCAATTGTTTCGAATTCGACCACGACAGAGCCACAACAAAACCATTCTCTCAGCGGATTGGGATCGTCGAACATGCAAGGTTGACGACTCGCATGTCGCGGCGATAACTTACCTACTTAGGATACATGTAACTAATTCCTTGCTCTGCGTGACTAATGGCCGTGTCTACTCGTATGCCCTCACACAACCTATTGGATTCTGCATGACAAGAATTCTGAAACACTAGAATTCGTCGGTGCGTGCTGTGCCATTTCCTAGTCTCAGGTCTATTCTATCAACCCGGTATACGGTTACGCCGTTACGGTACAAAAAGCTGTAACGCGGCGAGCTAGTGAGTCGGTGCTGCAACTATGTATCTATATTTGATCGGCGCACGCAACGAACGCTAAGAGCTGCGACCCGGCAACGGGGCGAGGATGGCTCGTCCATAGCATTCGTATCTCCAACTCACGTTGCTACCACGCCGGCCCAAAGGACACCCGGGCTAAACGTATTATTTCTGAACGACAAAAGGGTCCGATTTCCTGCGAATACATGCAAAAGTGGCATCACTAAGCCTCAATTTATGGTATTTTCATCATCCAAACAGGCATGTTGCTGGCAGCAAGTAGGATACTATCACCATGTAATCAAGACGGATGACAACTCACCCGTACTGGAGGGCCTGATCTCAAGTCTGACAACAACAGTAACGACAAGCATCATAGGAATCGGCAATGCAGAGTGCGATGAAAAAGGAATAAGAAAACATCAAGTTTCAATTTGAAGAGATATTATTTTTGGGTATTACAGCAACAATAACGCCCGCCATTCAACGAGCAAGCAAGCAAAGCATATCAACATTCTTCTCCCTTCGCTCTTCGCCCAACACCCAAATCTTCCACCCTCATTACTCATCCTCCCCAAGTCAAAGCAACGTTCACCTTCCGCCCGACAGCTCAGGGACGTTAGGATTCTGCGGCGTAACTGCCAGCTCCGAAGCATTGGGGTTATTGTTGAACTGTGACGCCGGTTGCGAATGCTGCGGCGGCGACAGCGGGCTCACAGTGCGGCCGACTGGATCCTGCCCATATCCACCCGTGTGCTGGGGCTGCATGTACGGCTGTGCATAGTGCTGTTGCGGGCTCTGCGGTGCGGATGGTGGGCTCACCTGGTAGCCTTGTGGTACCCCGTTGTGGAATTGGGGTTGCTGCTGTGGCTGTTGCTGGTACACGGGGGCAAGCTGTTGAGGGACGCCGGTCTGCGCGAACTTCTCGGGTCCGGCTGCGGGTTGGTTGGGGTTGTGGGGGTAAGGGGGAAGTTGTTGGGCTTGGGTGTTGTTGGCTGCGTTTTTGCGGTGCTTGTTCAGGTAGATGAAGACCAGGACGCCAGAACCGACCCAGAGGAGCCTGGTGGATGGTCATGTTAGAAGTGATTTTGTGGAGAGAACAAGGTAGGTTACTTACAGCTCAGCAGCACCGAATAGAGCGCCGGCAGTCAATGCTCCCCAGTACTGCTTGATCGTCGGGACGCTCTCTCTCTTGCTGAGAGTCGACCTCACTTCCAGATCCCGCTTGTAGTAGTAGTCGTAGCCGCCATAGTATCCGTACAGCGAGCTCAGACTGCCCCAGATGCGAGCCAGGTTGGCGACGAGGCCCATCTCCGAAAGCCAGAAGATGCACATGAGGCAATGGAGGCCGAAAACGATGAAGCCATTGTAGAGCGCGTGGAAGAACAATGTCGTGCCGATTATGTATCCGCAGAACGCGAAGGTAAGAATGGAGCAGACTATGGCAAATATCAAGGCATTGTATGCGATCCAGTGGACGCCAAACGCTGCCAGTCCTAGGATGATGATGGCCAAGAGAACCTGGACTCCATGGATGATCAGTGTCCAGCGGGGAAGGGGGAGCACGTTAGATGGGGTGGTCTGGGTTCCGGTCATCGTGAAGAGCTTAAATCGATTAAATGAGTAAGGAATATATCTACAAAAGCTCGACGGCACCGAAAAGGCTCACTGGAAAGGAATAAAGCAAGACCAAACGACGAGAGAGGATCCAAGAGGTCTTGGACGAGCTGCGCTGGCTGCACAGCTCTTAAGTGAAAAATTGCAGCGATTCCGGTGAACCCTGAAGCTGCGCCCAGGTCTTCCCTTCGCATTAGTCGCATCTCCCCAATTCGAAACAATGGGTGATAATTGCCCCCAACTCTGCTATGGACTATACTTGGATCTCCAATGATCGTCGGCTACCCGTGTGACAAAAGCGACATGCAAAAGCGAAATGCCAGGCTCCGAGCCAATGACAGCGAGCGGTGGCTGAAGGGACTGTGGCTCATTCGACAGACATCGCGACTACGGCCCACGCCTGATGTTCAGGTGCTCATTTCCACGTCCGTCGTGATTGGCCCGACTCCCATCTTGACATTGGCTGACTCCGAATCGGGAGGTTCGTACTCCACGTTGGCTGAAATGGTGCGTTTGAGTGGCACGGATAGCTCGTGTTTGCGCAAGGCTGAGGTTTGGGCTGAGAAAACGATATGAACTGCCAATTCTCCGCAAGCCATGGCGGTGTAAGACAATATTTACTATGTACTTAGGATATGAGCAGCATAAGTACGGAGTAATGTTAATATGAGATGTCTTGCTTGCCCTCCACTGGAAGATGTTTGGTACCTGCATACTGTGGTACAAGAGCAAAGCGTATCGCCAAACAAACCACACTTTCAGTTGGGCGGCGACCTTGTAAGTGCTATATTCGCAAGAGGAGGCTTGCGAGGAAATTGCAACAGGCAAACCCCACCACGTACATGTTATAGTTAGTTAATATTAGACGAACTGTAACCTGTTCGAGAGAGAATTGTGCGACATCAGGCGACATTTGGCGCTAAGAAAGATCAACGCCCCAAAGAAGGACCTCACCTTTCGCTTAGATTGACCACATCAAGATCATCATTGTGCGAAATGCTAGAGATTTACATAGACTTTGAAAATGTGCCCAAGCTATGACAGTCTGTTCTTACAACCATGGAAAATACAGTGGCTTCTAGTATCATGATTATCTGCTTGTTCTTTCAGCTTAGACACCGTCCCTTTTGTCAGTGTTTATGCTCAACAGACATTTCCCATTACAAAACGGACTGGCATTTGAGAGAATGTTACGGTTCAAAAACCTGATTAAGGTATATCTAAGCGAACTTTTCATGATATGATTTGCTATACGGGTTTTCAGATTGTTCCAGAGCTTACGAATAGATGATTTCTGACAACACTGTAGAATTCGCATCGATATATCCATTATAAATATTCAATGTTGCTACTATTGACCTTACAACTGGAACCAATGTTATCGAACAGAAGGCCTTTGCCGACAAATGTATAACACACTACGCGTATCAGGCACTGACCGTCCCTCTATCGTCTATCGTCGATCAAACATGATCATTGTGCAAATTGTTTGGAAAAAAGGATATGTCCGGATCGAATCACCACCAATCTTATGCAATGCGTCTACTTCTCGAAATTGCATGCATCGTCACCTTCTCCCTGAAATGCCCTCACCGCCTGGTCTGCTGCTCTTTCAACCTATTTTGGGCTTTGTAAACCCATCCTTTGAAAGGATTCGAAACGTCTGAATCCTCCCTCCACTTCACAATCTGAACCTCTCCACTGGGCACCAACAAGCCCATCTACGCAGCCGGATAAGCCTCAATCCCATCCGGTCACGCCCTGAGCCTCGCAAACTTCTCAAGGTCGAATCCCGCCCACGTCGCACATCGCACCCACGTGAAAGTCGACATGCCCGCAACACCAGACTTGCCTTGGCCACGCCCGACGAGGTAATCACGGTACTCCAGACGCGCCTCCAACACCCAATATAGGCGCCTCGTTTCGTTCTGGTACCAGTCTCTGGGATATGCGATCTCCGCCGGCGCGTAGCGGAAGAAGTGGTTGGCCTGCCCTTACATCAGACCGACGCCCGTGTTCTAGAAGGAGACCTATTATAGCACCTCGCTCCTATGCTTCAACATCTTGGAATCTGAAAAGCGAGCGCCCCTTCGGCGAGGTTGAGGAACCATGGCGCTGGGCTCTACTACCGTGAGAGCGCCGTTTCGGGAGTTGTTAGTCAACCATGGCTGGGATTCCGCCGTTAGGTTTCACAGATGGGAAATTTGATGTTTTCCGTTCGTTCTTCTCCCGAGATCAACTGCCGTTGTGGTATCAAGTTTTCTAGGGAGATAGATACCATCTCCCTATTGCTAGGCGTTTCCGGATGTGGATGGTGCGATGCTGGCAGCCATGGTAAGTGGTTCGGAAGAACGATATTTATTGAGGGTAGCGGAAAGGTACGAGGCGGTGTTTTCTTTGTTCGTGGTTGCAGAATATTCGTCCTCGTATGTTGATGTGTGAACAAGTCGGCGATGTATGGTATCTGACGTCACCGTGAAGATGACAGCCATCATGTCTCTACCCGTCACGACCCGTGAACTTTGCTCCAACTTATGAAATACAGAAGTTTGATCAACGTTTAGAAAATTATTCTGCCCTCTCTCTTAGAATGAAGAAAAGAGCCATGGTGTAGGTTATCAAGTTCAGCGAAGTATCGATGTAGACGTGGTGGATGGAGAAGGCATTGTAGTGGAAGAGTGCACTAGTGGGGGTAAGCGTACAGTGAAGGTATGCAGCTTCCCCTTATCTCTTTATACTAAGCCTTGGAAGCGGCTGTCTCTGTAAGAAACATATGTCTCACATCGTTAACAGTGTAATGTTCCCAGCAATAAGGACCGTCCTAGACCTGGAGCAAGCCATGCCATTTTGAAAGTGAGAGACAGTGCACAGCAGACGCACATATGACACTGCCTTCGCCCGATCACCCTCTTTCACCCAAAAGACAAGAGATCAGATTGGATGAGCGTATCATTCCGGCACACGCGACCCAGCGTCTCGGTAACCGGCGAGGACCAGATTAGCGAGAGAGGTGGTACAGTACGGGGTACGGGAGACTGCATTGTAATCACACTACCTCGTACACCACAAAGGACATTGGGGGAAAACGCGAGGCTAGTTCAAAGAAAAATCATACGATAACCACGCAAGCGGCGACACCAACAACCAGCAAGCCGGAAGAGAACCTTCTTTCTTAGTCCCAGTCTTCTCGAGCCATACCCAGGCACACATTCGTGCAAGTGGCTACACCCTCTTCTTTCTTCGAGTACGGGAAGGCCCGAAAAAACGTGGTCGCGAAGGCGGAGTCAGTCGCGACAGCGGTCTTTGTCTGCTTTCCTCCTCGCAGAAGCCTATCAACGGCTACCGCGCCGTGCTTGTTTTACCCCCCCAATTTACGTCCAGTTCCACGTCCACGTCCGCGGCGGCCGGGCGCCAGGTACTAGGTGTTCAGGGCGAGCGCATACCGCGCCTTCGCTGGTGAGAGACATACGCCACACCACTGTGTTGACGCCAGCACCGAGCCCTGCATGATGGATGTCTCAGACGCTCTAGAGACAGACATCCCGGGCACACCGGACTGGGACATAGATACTAGCGGTCTTCAGTGTATTGCCTGTGGTTGCGACCTACCCAGTGTGTCGGACCCATCATCGGTCCCGTCAGGGGAGCAGCGTAATGGATGCGATGAATGCTCCTCCTTCGTAACACTTCACGATAGGATGCGACAGGCTAGTGGCGACTGGGAGATCGTGAAGTCGCGGAGGCCAAACTTCAGGGGGAGGATAGAAGCGCTGAACGAGTACATGGAAGCACGCATGGAGCTTGCCAATTTCGTGCTACAATCGACGGATGATCGTCAGCGTCGAGCCTGGGGTCCCACCCAACAACGTGGCAGTCATCCCCCGGGTCCAGATGGAGTGGGTCCATCGGAAGAAGCACCACCGCCGTCCTCAGTCACGAAGCGCGCCCGCAGTCAAATGTCGTCGCCAGACATGGGCGCACAAGGCTTGAGCAAGCGCGCCCGCGTCAGTATACATGGGAAGGGAGTGCAATTTGATGATGCAACCACGGTCCGTGACATGTCTGAGCAGAGATCGTGTGACGACTTTAGAAGAGGCAGTGAGTCCTACATGCGTGGACGAAACGCAGCGTCTGAGGGGTACGAACTCGTAGACACAAGTGGATCTGAAGTCTTGTTCAAGAACTTCTATCAAGAAACGTGGGATGCGAAGCGCCGTCAGTGGATCAGCGCATCCCCTATCCACGATCCCGACGAGGACAAGGAAGCTACCTATGAGCCTGAGGGGTGGAGTGATGACCTATCTTACCGACGGGGTGTAGATGAGCAAGACCTCCCTGAACATAACGAACCACGTGGAAATGACCTGCAGGATGGTGAGCATGCCAAAGCTAGCACTACTGACCCAATACTCGACAACGAGATGGTGTTGCGAACCGTCGATTCGTCAGGAGACAAACTCCGGAGCGGACAAGGCGCTTTCGTATCCGCTTCGGCAGATGGTGTGGAGCCGTTGGGAGATACCGGGAGCTCCAAGAACTTGCAACAACATGTGGGGTCATCATCAGGTCGTGCAAGTACGACGTCTACCCCAGATACCGACTCCACGGCGACTTCGACTGCGCGATCGCGTCAAACTTCAAACGGGAACTCGGGTGCATCCGGTACACGGTTGGAATCAGAGGTATCAGGGCGCGATGAAGCTCCCGTCGACGATAACTTCACCACCCCACCTGGGAACGACGATGGTGGGAGCCTAACTCACTCTACCTGACTCGAATTGCGGATCGCTACTTGGGACAAGCTCGTACGTTCTCCACAGCGAAACCCCACATGTTGAACGTCACTTCAAAAGTTCACGATATTATGGAGTACTCTGATGTCTATATTCACTCCGTGCGAACGAGATGAGTATTGGTGCGCACATCAGAGTGGAAACTTTGAGATCTTGAAGAGACGGTCAATGTATGGACGGAAAAAATCTTCCGAGACAATCCCCAAGTAATGTCACTTACGAATCAAGATCTCAATGCGCTATAGATATAAGCAGAAGGTAATGTCGTAGCCTATGCGGACATGTTCTTCGGTCTGTAATGGCATGAATGTTCTTGACACTGATTTACATAACTACAGACAGACTGTCATTCAAGCGTAGGCCTTAATGAACCACTTCATTCTAAATGGAATGATTGTTTCGGATAAGTCTCTACGTAATTAAATGAATCCGATGTTCAAGTCTACAACTTACTTTCCATAGCAAGCTCCAATACATGAATTCCAACCCCAAACAGTTCACATTTCTTCAATCTCTGCCTCAGGTATTAAACGACCACCGCGTTTCCGTTCTCTAACATGTGACTAAACGTCGAACCACAAATGACGCGAAGCAGCAGCCATCTCACGTGGAAAGGCAACAAGCTGTTTCATTGTCTTCTTAGCCTCACTTGGCGGCGCTTCGAGCACCTTTCCAACGATATCAGGAACTGTCCATCCGGCGAAATCCAGCAAGGGATCGTCCCGTTGTCCACAATTGGCCGAAACCGCCGTCTAGCTCTCTGGAGGTCTAGTTCTATCCTTGTAAATTGCACCATTCTTTAATGGGCAGAGCTAGGGGATCGATGTAAAGCAGCAAAGGGCTCTTACGTTTCGATTTACATATTTGGTTGTTGAAGCTTGCGGCGGCTAACGTTGTTAGCGGACCATACCACGAGGCACACACATTCACAATGTAAATCATCTTGTGCGTGCTTGTTCTGCATGCTGTAATGATTAACTAATTGCTCTAGCACTGCAGGCAGAGCACGGCATGCAAGGCAAAAAGTACAGTGTGTAGGCAGGCATCAGGGTTGAAGATGAACATTTGGTACGCTATCCGATGAATGCATTCACACTTTCCAGCATATCCCCTACCCTACACCACCATTCCCTCCCACCTCTACACTGATCCTTGATCCCTGTCTTGCCATGTTTTTTTCCCTGCTCTTCCAAATACTTTTTTGCGGCTACGGAATCCACCCGAGTGCGGCAGCCCCTCAACTATCCGAAACTGGTCACTTACCCACTTCCCATCCGCTATCCGATGAATGGAATCAATCCGTCCCCATCCACCCATGGACTATACACCGCTGTTAACCCCTACCATACCTTGTAAAAACTGCAGAGCATTGATGCAAAGAATTGCGGAACCGCGAAAAGGTAATTTATTCCGCCACATTTGCTGCTTCAGCTCGCTCTGCACCCTCCAACCACGCAACGCATCTCCAACTCGATCATTTTTCACATGCATAAACGCAATCCATGATCGCCGTCTTTGGGGGTCAGTTATCATCATAGTAGCGGTGTAAGACGGAGACAACGACGTAAACATGTCATATTCAGAGTTTTCTCTCGGTCACGGGTGTCAGAGAAAAGCACATGGAACGGCCTCATGTCGGGTAAACTGCACGACCCCCAAGCTCTCTTTGTTGAGATTGGAATTGGAGGGAGATCGACATTCGCCACCACGAGGGACGTTCGGCCACGCGCACATGGCAAAACTGAACTACATACGAGACGAAACGAAGCGAGAAGACCATGGACGAGACCGAACACGATCCGTCTTTTGGTGCCCGTCCTATCGTTCATGGAGGATGTGTTCTTCGCGTTTTCCTCTCGTCATTGATTGTTGTAGACGAAGAATGATCGACAATCGACTTGTTCGACAATCTCGATGATGTTAACGATCATCGCAGGCATTAAATCGACCCGTCCGATTGAGTGCTGATAAGCATTCACACCTCCTATATCTCCAAGTAAACAACCCAAACCACCTCCAACTATTTGGAGTCCCCAATCATCATCATGTCGATCAACGTATGCATGCATGTATGCACTCCAACACCCAAGACCCAAGACAAAAAATTCCAAAACCCCCACAAGAAACCCTGCTCCTCTGCTCTATCCCTTTAGGTAAACGTTTCCCTACATCCTGCAGCTACGATACTCGCCCCCCTGCTCCATCGCAGACGCGGGCTGGCTCGCACGCACGCACGTGTACACCCAGTTCACCCTCGCTGATAGGCTCGGCGCAAATGTACATATTTTTTCTTTCGTTTTTCATTCTACAATCGTTCCATTTTACGCCTCACATCTACTACCCCTTGTTACACATACATATCCTGCACGCACGCACATGCCCACATGCCCACATGCAAGCCCCCACCTATGCATCCATACATCATCCATCCATCCATCCTCGACAACAAAATAGATAGATAAACAAGAAAACAAGATATCGTAATACCGCCGCATCGCCGCGGTCAAATCAATCAATCTATCAATCAATATCGTCATCATCAACCCGCAATCGACGATAAAAACCACGCCATTATCGACATCGCTAAATAGACACCCATGTAAACTACCTCGTACCCTATAACTAGTTATGAACAACGACAATGCAAAGCAGCGGTCATTCGGAGGTAAGTACGAGAAACTACACCCTTGTCTTCGCTGTTCTCTCCGGTCGGCTTCGGACAGGCGGACGCGAGGCCGCACGGTGAAGCCCAACCACCTTCCCTCTATAACTCCTCGGTCGTGGGGAAAACTGAAAAAAAAGAAAAGAAAAGGAATCAATCCATGTTAACTCGAAGTGAGCCGCACGAGGTGCGTGCTGCGGATCCGAGCTGATGTTTTCGCCGTCGCCGGGGAGAGTAACAGGGGGAAAGGAGAGAGGGAGGGGACATTGCGTCGCGTACACCGATGAGCGATGTTGATGTTGAGGATTTGCCTCGTTAAGGGTTTGGGATAGGAGGTTGAGGGATTACTGTGTAGACTAATTGAAGGGGACGTGGCCTGTGGGTGAGTGACATTGCGGGTCGAATGGACGCTGGGTCTCGGTGTAGGGAGAGAATTCGAGATGAATTGTACATTCGAGTAGAACAACAGAGGAGGTACTTATAAACGCGTGCATCTATATATGTAGAGCAAGGTACCCGCCTTTGCACGTTGACGGGATTTACTTACAGACGGCACAGCATCTAGCATCTACCACCTGGATCAGATTCAACAAGTCAATAGGAATTAAACCTCTCCTACTCCTGCATGAGGCTGGCCACTACTACACAATCCCTACGTACAGATAGTCTGTCGCCAAAAAGCCACAGAACGGGGCATAGTAGCCGCTTCGCTTAGTACGTACATACACCAGCCACTGAGCGTGCATCATCCATACATCCATACCGTCAATCCCATTACACTCTCCTACCCAATTCGTATTCAGTTCAATTGACTCGAACATGCCTATTCAAACAATAAACAATCAACCAACTATCGACTTCACCTTTCAAGCTCAGATACACCTACCTACTCGTCTCTGCAGAAGACTTCAAGCGAATGAACGAACGAATGAATCAAACAACTACCCATCCATCTCGATTATCCCTTCGACACACTACGCTCTTCTCTCCACACCCTAGACACCTCCCGCTAGAACCATTCACCATCCATCCCATCTTAACCCGCCAATCCTCCCCCCTCCCTCATACCCATAGTCCCAAACCTCGCAACCACCTAGAACACACCAAGAACCCTCCTCCTCTCCCAATCATTGCGTGGCGTCCACAGTAACTCGTGGCGCTCCACATGGACGCATAGACCGATGTCCGCTAGCAATCGCCCTAATTAGCCCGCCCTCGCACGCTAACGTTCCCATGTTTCGAATCTGATGGGTGGAGCCGGAGCCAGTCAGCGAGCGGCGAGCGGCGTTATACGAGGGACGGGGTGCGCTTAGTGCGAATCACCCCGCGTTGTCGAGGACGTTGGAGTGTGTTTGTGTATGGCTGAGGCCATGGAAGTTGAAGACGGTAGATGGGTGGGTTCGTGTCGAGGCTGGGAGGAGGGAGGAGGAGGAGGAGGAGCTCCACTGTTCGAAGTCTGTCTTTGGTTCGGATTCGGTTTTAGACGGTGATGGGCTTGGATGTTGGGGTAGTTAACGAGCGAGTGCAGATGATGCATTGTTGATTAAGGGCAATGTTATTGGGTCGCTTCATTCCGGCCTCATCTTTCCCTTCCCCTTCCCCTTCCCCTTCCCCTTCGTTTCCTCCCCCGCCCCTTGTAAGGGCTGGGTTGGGGATAGATCGATTCGATTCGATCGTGAGATTGATTCCTCTGATATTACCACAGACACAGACACAAGGCACGGACAAATGCTCCTCCAGCTAAAACATCATTGCGTATCAGCAATACTCATCGCCATACGCGCACTCTATCCAGGGCAAGCGAAACATTGTGAAAGATCGACTCATTGTTCGACTCAGTTATCTTCAATTGGGTATCACCATTAATTTCCTGTGTTGTTGTGTAAACTCTCTTTTCTCGCATTCGCAAAACATCCCTCCCATGGTCTACCTATCAATTCTACAATGATAGCAACATCCCGCCCGCATACCCTGCAAGAAACCGAGTCAGTAATTCCGACCTCAAACTGTGAAGCCTTCACATCGACAATAACGCCTCATTTCTTTCCTCGCCTTCCTAATTGAATCGCATTTGCAGGAATGAGATCCTTGTGAGGTGTGAATTCCTTTTTTTTTTTTTCGTGTTATTGTCGCCTTGGGCATTCATTTCCAAATGATCAACCTACTCGAAGGCTGAAGGGTTCCCTATTCACAATCATTCATTCGCTACAGACGATTGGCGGACTCGACTCAACAGGGTCTATCTTCCATTGCTGCCCAGGCATCTCAGCATCTCCCCCTCCCCAATCGAGCAATCGAGCAATCTAAATCGAGAAGATCTACCGTCATCTCTCCATGCAGCTCTCTCCCTTCCTCATCATCGCCACCCATCATCACAATCGGAAATGTCATCTCCAAATCTCGTCTCGCCTATAGCACGCAAATCGAATTCCGCCCACCCCCTCCCCGTCCGCTACCTAAACTAACTAACTAACGGGGGGGATGGGGGAAGCGCACGGACGGATCTGTGCTAGGGTTCACCTACATACCATACCATACCTAGACAGCCACACCACAGAGCGCCCCGACGGGTCCATGCCATGTCAGGACAGACCGGACTTTTCTTTGTCCTCTCCTGTCGTCCTGTCGTTTGCGTTTCGTTTCGTTTCGCTGCTGGCTGTCCCCAAGGCGCCCGTCGCCCATGACCCTGCGTTATGTTGGACTGATTCAGTGATGACGAGTTCTGGCTTTCCTCTTGCGGTGCGGTTGCTTGTCACAGGCCAAACGCAAGGGAGAGGGGGAGGAGGTGTGAAGGGATGGGGGGATTATGGCTGCCACATGCCCAGGGAGAACGCCCATCGTCATCGATGGCGTTGTTTCCCACGTGTTGCATTATTGAGATGACCATCGTTGTTTTCGATACCCTGAACCTGATTATGTGTCGTGGTGCACACTGCCAAGGGAGGTTATATGGGATTTGTGGTCGCGTGTCAGATATTTGTCAACACTACAAGTGTAGCGGTGAAAAGTGAATGTTCGACTCGACTCGATGAGATCGATCTTGGACATTGGCATGTGCGGTGTGGGAGTCAATACTGGTGGTTCAATTGAATTTGGTAGAACAAAAACAAAGGATGTCATTTATTCATTTTTCGTGTGATCATGATGGTAGGTATTTGTTGTGTACATTTGTCTATACGCGTATGTGTGTGTTGAGTGTGAAAGGAAGAAGGAGAAGACGCTTGCTCGCTGATCTATACTAAAACATGACATGACATCAACCTCCCAACCATGGGTCCAAGAAAAAAGTAAAGAAGAAAAAAAGAAAAAGAAAAGAAGAGAGTCGAGTCGAACTTCATGACACGAAAGATGGGATTTCGCCCATCCAGGATCGCTTTTATCTATTAATACTGTTTTATTGATCGATAAAGTCAACCATCGTATTTGTGTGCATTCCTTCGGAGCTTAAAATATATGTGTGGCGTAAGTGGCGCGACTTGTAAGCAATAAGGTAGGCGTGTAACCCAAGCCATCTCCGAAGGGGCAGATCGAAGGAGAAAAGACGGAGTAATACTATCGAACGATCGTAGATAGGTACCGTACCACTTCGTATGTGTATGTGTAGGGGTATGGACTACTGCGGAAGCCCTGGAAGCTGACATGTCGGCCGCCCGCCCTGTCGTATTCGCTGGGGGGTCGCGCCACGGAAGCGAACCTTTTTGGCATTCGGGGAGGTTCGGCGCCGCCCACACCTCCAGTGCACACCCCGTATTCGCGTTTCGTAGGGCAATGGCTCGGATGGATGTTGGGGATAACGACGTATCCATGGCCTGAGGAGCTACTACGCTGCTGCTACGTACGAAGGAATCCTCCGCATGTCTTCCGGTGGGATGCGATGCGATGCTGTTCGGCAACACCGGTAGCTGTAGGTAGACTTTTTTTAATTTTTTTTTCGCCATTGCGGGCGAGGATGATGGTGAGGCATTTAGTTGCGATGATTGTTGATTCGTCGGAACCAAGCAAAGAGTGTTCAGGGGACGGCAGACTCGTTCTCCTCCCACTGCCACTGCTGGGCCAATTGCTTGACGCGATAGTCGGTCGCCCAACCCGTCTCGGCCTCGACATCCTGGAGGAGGTTCAACACGACCTGGCGCTCGCGCACGTCGCTCAGGCACTGGCCCGCAGTGAAGAGCGGCTGAACCGAGTGTACGCGCATCGCGTCGTCAGAGCGTGCCAGCGAGATGCCAATGATCTCCCGGCTGTGGACTTGGGAGGCGGCCAGCACGGACTGATAGGAGTTGAGGCGCTCGAACACGCTAGTCCGGCCCTGGGTCGACTCGTGTGGCTTGTTCATGAGCAGTTGGATCTGACTCATGTGGTAGCATTGCATCGTGGATGCACACATCGGCATGCTGTACCATATCTCGGGGAACATGGCGTCGTCTCCGTCGAGCTGGTGCCCCGGCGACCGTGGGCTCTCGACCTTCGAGCAGGGCTGAAAGGTGACGGGGAGGGCGTCGTACCACGTCTGGAATTGCTGGCGGAGCTGGTACCAGCAGTCCGACAGTGACCGCTGGGGAACTCCGCCCCAGGTGTTGGAGAAGTCCACGGGAACCTCGTCGCCAGCTGCCATGAAGTTGACGAGCTTGGCCATGAGCCAGACGAGGGTGTTTGAGATGATGTCCTCCTTCATCATTCCGTCGCCTTCGGGGTATCCATTGTCGAAGGTGTTGCTGGGAATGATGAAGCCGTGATCATCAATGAGGAGTCCTGCGTCCCTCCACAAGGGAAGGTCCTCGGTATCAAGTCGCGTGTGAGTCTTGTTGATGACTAGTAGATGTTAGCTCAAGCTCCCAACGGAGCGGGTGGCAAACTTACAAGCTGCCCACATATCCTGCCTTGCCACATTCCAGAAGGCTGCCCGTCGAGTCTTGGAGACGAATCCCAGAGAGGCGGTTGGCGACGGCGCCCTTACCTGCATTGGAGTGAGGCGTTCCTGGGACATGACGAGAAGTGACTTGGCTCCGTTGAGGTGCTTCGCCCACTCCGACATGGAGGCGTCCAACGATTCGTAGACGCAGAGGATGGCCGATGCTGCGAGGACGTCATCCTGGTTGTACTTGGAGGCGTTGCTTGATGTGCGGCGGCGCCTTGGTGATTGGACTGCTCGCCTGCGGGCGAACCTGTCGAGCTCAAACTTCTGCTCGCAATCCGAGTCGGAGTCTGTGCTGTACATGGCATCACCTTTCAGGGCCTGTAGCAGGAGAGAGACGGCAGAATCGTAGTATTGAGTCGCCTTGTGAGACCAGTCGACCAATTGAGCATCCGAGTAGGGCCTGGCTCCCGTGGCAGTCGTCCTCTTTCCCTGAAGTCGGGCAAGAGACTTGGCTGCGTAGGCAAGGGCGGCGTACTTGAGCAACGGGCTATCAGTAGCCTTGATGGGAACATAGGACGAGAAGTACTTCCCCATGTCGTAGAGGTCCATCCAGTAGCCAGGGCCCTCGGAAAACCAACGGAGGAGGTAGGCGACCTCGTGGTCCTGTTCGGAGGAAGGGTTGAAGCTTGATCGGGAGGATGTGCGGCGAGGCACGGAGACGGAGCGAGGGATTTGGTCAATGTCGAACGGGGAGTTGAGGCGGGGATCGATCGGAGGGGTCATGCATTGGTCTAGGACGAGATGGTTGAAGTGGTAGTTGGGCAGTGAGAGGGGTGGCGAGACGGGCGTTCCTGCTGTTGATGTGGGAGGTGTTTGGAGCATGGCTGGCCTGTCGAATGGGGAGAAGAGGTCATGGTCTGGTTGCATGAAGGAGAAGTGAGCACTGGTAGCAGCTGGTGCGAGAAGCTCTGGGCTTGTGCTCGACGGACTGCTTGTTACAGTGTGCATGTGACTGGCACCTGGCCATGAAGAGGTTGGGATCGATCGGGGTTCAAAAGGAGCGGGAGAGTCCATGGAAGTGGCAGACATGGTATCGAGGTCAGAAGTCCCGTCGTCCAGATAGGGATTGGATGTGTTGATGAACGTGACTGCAGAACGCGTGATGAGTAAAGTTGCCAATTGAAAGCAGGTGCCATTGAGTTAGGATTCTTACTGTGCTTGGGGACGTCTAGCCATATGGTCTCGTCGTTGAAGGTGTTCTTGTAGGCGTAGAAGCCCTTGAGTGTGTTCTCATCAGAGGAATCGTCGCCGTTCATGGAGGCGTTGTGCTGGTGACGGAAAACGATGCCTGAGCTGGGAATGCATTCCCGAGTAGCCTTGCAGCATTGTCCACACTTGGGTTTCTTCTCGTCACACTTCAGCTTTCGCTGACGGCAGGTCAAGCTTTGATATCGATTAGTATCAAGTCGTGGTTTGGAGATGGGCGAGAAGGGGAAGCAAGAAAGAAATCAACGCGTACCATCCAGTTCGTGACCGCATCTTGAGGGTTCGACACCAAGATGATGTTGATGCGGATGTTGAATGGTGGTATGGCTATGGTATGTCGAGGGATTGGTTAAGGGTTAGGGTGGTAGATGCCATGTGCTTGAAAGGGAAGAGGGAGGGAAGCAGTGGGTCGAGGTCAAGGGGAGTGTATATATGTATGGATGCAGTAAACACGGGGAGAGTAGTTGATGGAGGCGGTAGTGGACAGGCATGGTGGTAGTGGTGGTGGTGGTGGTGGTGGTGGTCAAGGTCCATGTGGTGGACATGGTTGATGGTGGACATGGTGGTTGGCGGATTGGGACTACTGGGTAGGGATAGTTAGTCAATCTTAGTCCAACTCAGTCCTCTCCGTCCTGTACCTACACACACACACACACACACTCAGTCACTTCCAGATACACCATCCATCACACACATACGCACGCACACACGCACTAACTACTCGGAAGCTGTCTTCTGTAGACCTTTTCTTCTTTTCTGGTTCGCTCCATGCGGGGTCTAGGATCGAGAGTAAGATGGTTCACGCCAGAAGCGGGTCCACTGGTGTTGAAGCTAGAAGGCCTGTAGATTGTCTATGGATTTACGCTTATGACGGTGTGTGTGTGTATGGTTTACTATGGTTTACTATGGTATGGATGTGGATGGGATGGAGATAGGGGTGGGACAGACCATCGAGAGGGTCAGTTAGAGTAAGTAGATGGCGGATGTGCGGTTAGTGGAGGGACGGTGGGGGCGATGGAATTGGAGGTCTAGGGGAGGGATGAGGGATGAGGGATGAGGGATGATGATGGGATGGATGGATGAATTCATGGATTGATGGCGTGTGTCTAGCAGGAGGAACATGATGATGCACCCAGGATTATTGATGCCCTTGGTGGTGCGTCTCGATCATGAGGGATGCTGTGTAGCGGCTCTTGGGGGGTGCGGCTCCCAGTTCCTATTCCAATTCCCAGCATTCTATGTATAATGGATGGGTTATGGAAGAATGTCATAATATCTGACACCGAATGACTGACTGATGGATTGAATAATGAATTTGACTGTCTGACTGCACTGACTGACTGTTCTGGTTTGATCTGGGGTATTATTTAGTTACTCGTCAGAAATCAGTAATTAGCGGCGGGAGCAGCAAAAGCAGCCTCATAACCCATTCACTACCAGGGACTAACTGGCTCACACTTACACAGACACTATACACAGACGCACGCACACATCCATCCATTACGGTCTACCCCCCGAATGCACATGGCACGGACCTTTGGCACCAATTCCATTCCTGTACCCTTTTTTTACCCAAAGTACAACGGCTCAAGAATGCGCCGGAGCATCACTAGCCACCCCATCGATGGACCCGAATCATGGCCGATGGCGCGCGCCGGCTGCGAAGGAGGCTTGCTTGGGGAGGCTAGACTAGAGAAGGACGGGCGTGCATCGAATCACGGATCCGAAAGCATGCGGTAGGGGCCAACAGAAGGCGTAAAAAGCCCCAAATGGCGAATGGCCAATGGCGAAGGTGCAAACCCATTGGCAAAGCAGCTGCAAAAGAGGCTTCAATTCATGCCATGCATGGTCCACCGGTCGCTTTTCTCTCTCAATTCATCCCTGCCGTTGCACACGTGGGAAACTCGCCGGAGTATCACCGTAGGGCTTTGAGGTGCAGGGAAGTTTCGAAAAGGTGTGAGTGCTAGGATGCTAAAGATGCTGGATGCTGGTTGCAAGATGCTGGTTGTTGATTGCTTGATTGCTGTATGCAAGATGCAGGATTGTTACACGTTTTTGACGCCATCATCTTGGTATCAGTATCAAGATATGATTACTCCAATTCTCCCTCTGTTACTCCGTAGAGAGTCTATCTATCATTACGAGTGCATACGTACTATGGGATGTCTGCGGATCTGATGGCTTCCAATCGCGGACTTTCGCGGGTATGATATGATGGGGCTTTGGATTTACGGGTATGCGTAGTAAACGGTTGTAATAGTAGTAGCAGTACGGAGTAGTAGTGGTGGTGGTAGGAAGAGAGTACGAGTGGAGTAGACGGCCGGAATAGATGGAGGCAGACAGAACGACGAGACGAGACAGACATTCCATCCAGTAACCATTTCCATTACCTTCAACCACCACCTCCACCTCCCACTTCCCCCCTCCCTTCCTCCCCTCGGCCCTTCTAGAATAGCGGTGCCGATGCTTCCCTTACTATTCGCCCCATCTTCGCCCAGCTTGACCGGCCGGCCAGCCGCATATATCAAATCAGCTCCGTCGGAGCCTTCTCCCTCAACTTCTTCCCGACTTCACCCAAACCCTACACTCCCTGCGCGCACGCGGAGAATGCACCAGTTTCCTAACGCCCATGCATCCAAGAAGACTCCCATAACTCCCTTTCTGTAATGCTAATTATGCTGGGCTTTTCGGCACAAATCCGGAAGGCAAGGGGATGGATGCTTCAAGCCGTCCTTCCACCCTGATGCACCCGTCCTCGCCGCTGCGCTACTGCCCGTGCCACGTTTTGCGCATCCCTGCGCTAGAATCACTTTGACATCTTCTGCTTCTTCTTCGGCCGCTCAACGAGCTGCTCCTCCTCCATAACTTGCTCGTCGCCTGACGCGCCTTCGTCTCCCTCATCGCCGTCGGCATCTCCCATCTCCTCGTCGCTATCGGATCCGCTGCTTTCATGGTTCTCATCGAACTCCTCTCCAACTTCGGATTCCGACTCGGCCTGGAAGTCTTCATCGACACTCTCATCGTCCTCATCGGCACTACCGCGGTTGGCGACCTCGCCATCGCTCGATGCAAGGTCATCGTCCTGAAGCGCTGCCGCGAGGATCGCTCCGGACTAGTACGTGTTTCGTTAGTTCAGTCATGTGAATATGTAGTGAATCGGAGCCTTACATCATCTGCCATCTCGTTCTTTGTCTTGATACCTTTGGCCCTGAAGAAGGACTCGAGGGGTTGTTGCTCCTCTCTGGTGGTTGGTGGTTAGTGACAGAACAACAAATTTTGGTCGGGAAACTTACCGGTTGATGTTGCTGAATTGGTGCTCAGCAAGGCCTCCCTTCATCGTGAATGTGATATCAAATGTTCGGCTGGCGGCCATCGCGCCGCCAACACGGGACATTGTCACCGAGGCAATGTTGTCCATGCTGATGTACGTCGCCGGCTTGGGCACGAACATGAAAGCCTTGTCCAAACAGAACAAATGACCCTCGTTAGCTTTGATGGAACACTTAACTCCAGCTTGTTCGTGGTGACTGAGAAACTCCTTTGACGGCTTCGTCACACGCTTTCCGGAGAGACCACGGAAGATCTCCGAAACGACGACGGAGATTGGTGCTTCGTAGTGTGACTGCAGCTTGTCCTTGTATTTGGTCTCAAGGAGCTCTTCCTTCATGTTCAGGTCGAGATTGACCTCTTCGTCGCGCTTGAACTGCATGACCAAAAAGGGATAGCGCGTTTGGCCTTGTCGCAATGGGGGGTCGAGGCCGATGGTGATGAGTGTGTGCATGTCGTCAGGCTTGGGCAAAACCATGAACTTCTTGACGGCCTCGAACTGGATCTTGTAGTCATATGTCTTTCCTCGCAAGCGGAACGAGTTTTCGTACATGTCGATATCGAATCGTCCTCTGTTTGGATGTTAGCCAAGTTCATATGCACCAGATATTCTTGAACAAACCTGGGAGTCAAATGAAGAATCTCCAAGAAAGTAGCGAATGTATCACCCGCAACCTCTCCGATCTCAGCCTTGTCCATCAAAGTCTCGTAGAAGAGGTTGGCCGCATTCTGCTCCTCGGCATCTTCGCCTCCAGACACTTCCTCGCCCTCTTCATTCTTCTCCCTCTTGGAAGCAACTCCAGGAATGTAGAAACGCATCTCGACGAGCTGGTCCACGGCACCACCAGACTTCTTTCCGCGACCCCGTGCGCCACCAAGATGTCCATTGGTACCAGTGTCATCGCCATCGGCGGGCAACTCCAGGTCCACAGCGACCTCATTCTTACCCGCCAAGTTCGTGTTCGAGATCTCGGTGTAGGGTACTTCGAAAGCCGGTCGGTTCGCGACGTTGAAGGTCAGCTCGGCTTTTCCAAACTCAGCCTTTCCCCAGTTCCAACCGCGCAGGCCGTGCTCCCTGCTGTCCAGATTGATCCCATACCAGTTCTTGAAGAGCTTCGAGATGCGTTCGAAATCCTACACTTATATTAGCCCTGAAAATTTCCCTAGATATAAGCCGATGGCTCATTACCTCCTGCTTGAATCCATCCAACTGTATAACGCCATCGGCTCGTGAAAGCATCTTGACCTCGAAGCCTCTAGCTGCCCGACTCCATTGCGCGGAGGTGATTTGCTGATGATCTAGAGTGAAGGTATCGCCGCCGCCGGTGGGCTTCCATCCCCAACCGGAATCCGCGAATCTGGTTGTGCCATGCTTCTTGGAGAGATTGAGATACGTCTCGTTAAAAGCCTCCCTATCGCATCAATCTTGTCAGCTTCAAAATCGCATTGGTCATCTCCGGACAATAGCTTACATGTTGGAAACTACTTCGCACAGATAGGAATTGGTTTTTGTGCTGGTAGAAGGAAGATATCGCAAGTTGGAGGTTTGCGGCCTGGTTGAGCTTCTGAGAAATCGCGTTTGTCGCGTTTCCGTTGCGCTATTCCGGAGTGGGATAAAGTGTCACGTGATAGCGTCTTCGCGCGTTCGCGACTCGACGAAAGAGGCATCTTGAACTTCAGATGAGGAATTTCACAACTAATCCATTATATTAAAGAAACGATTTGCATTCGAAAGTATTGAAACCTAAATATGACCAAGGAAAATAAACCCCCACTTCACAATATAGCAAGTAATTTGCTCAATCATCAAACCAAACCCTTCTTCAACCATGTAACCCAAAAGATGTAAAGAGACGCAACAATGCAAAAGCATCAAATAAGGTATAATTGCAATAAATCTGATGGGCAATTCAGACCTTCACTTATTAAATCTACCAAAAACACATCATTTCTCTCAAAACCTCTCATCCCACACACACACACTCACTCTCCAATCTCCAAGTGCTCATTACGATTCAGATCTGTAAGATTGTCTCACCTGTTCACGCTCCTCTCGAAAAATAGAGGTACCTACTTGGATAGAAACCTCCCTTCCACCTAACCACCTTTATTCAATCGTATGCAGAAACACAATAAAAGCTTATTCCCATATCTATCATACCTCTATTTCTCTTCCACGCATAGTGCAAACCATAGTCGTTAATCCTTACCAACTTTCAAGATCTCCTCTCGTTTGAATAATGAATATGGAAGACATCACTTAGGATTTGAATGCCCAAACGTCTAAAGACATACACACACAACTATTAACACATATACATAACACACCCTTTTTCCCACCAAAAACCCTACCAATTACCTAGCAATGACTTCCCTCCCATGCACATACTTACCTAGAACCTACCTACCTATGTGATCATCCCGTCCGTCCCTTCCAGACCACTCCATTCCAACGACCCGACCCTATCTCCCACAATTACCATCTCCTTCCCCTCTACCCTCACTCTTCGGCACCAAAATCAACCAATCCGCACACCGCATTCGGAACATCGCGGCCTTAGCGCCATCTCCGGTCGGGGGTCGTCGGTTCGGCTGGGGTCCCGAGCGAAAGCGGCGGGGAAACGGCGCTAAGTACCTAGTTAGTTACCTAGGTACAGTACCTAGACAGATTGGCAAGTGTATGGGATAGTGTAAGCTGGGCTAGGTGGATATGTAACTGTTTTGGGATGATTAGATGGAGGGAGGAGAGGGGGATGGGGGTGTGTGTGTGATTTGCATTCCGTCTCGAAGCTTGTATGAGGAGCTAAGGTTGTAAAGTGACAAAGCGACGTGTGTGGTTGGACTGCCCACATTGCCAAAAAGTTATCGCAATATGGGTTCCGATCTCGCAAAAGATGCATGGGTGTATACGGAGTATACGATTGATTATTCCATCTAGAGCCCAGCCCTACACTTCCTGTCTCTACGAATGACTACGTAATACCTGAGTACAGTAGTTCAGCCACGAAGACGGAAGACAACTACACTCGTCTTCTGTTAGCACGTCCATGGCGTTCTTGCAACCTGGGATGCTAAAGTGTATGCCTGGGCAACTTTTGAAAGTTTGTTGTCCGCGTACGAATGCTGTCCGGAACTTGCCACGAGGTAAGACAATTCACATCTCGTTCCAGTGGATGCGGTGTTAAGCCTCATTTCTTAGTATGCAGGGAAGGAAGGAGGGATGTAGAAATGACCAGGGACAGTAGTTGTTGACTACAGTTCGTTGCATGTAGGGTTGGCTTAGTAGTAGTCATGATGGTGTTGAATACTGATGGTCTTGCGAGTTGCATGTCACGAGAATTAGCAAGCGTTCCCCGGCCCACTTTGCTGCCTTGTGTACCAAGTTCTAGATATGCTAGATACGAGCCGTTGGAGATCTGTGAGTTGGACTAAAGCAGTGTAAAATACCTGTGGCTTGCAACGGCTACGGCCCATTTTGAGATCAATTCGTAATCGTATCTTGATAATATGCATGTATACAGGATTTGAACGTCGACAGGGTCTTCGTATATCAAAAAGGTGAATTGATCCACTTAGAAAGACGGCTATCCTAATTTGGTGTCTTTTGTTGGTAGACGGATCGAGCGCAAACCGTCGGAACAAGCTCCGAGGGCAAGTTCCATAGCGTTTTGGGCTGCAAAAGTCCAGATTTAGCCGGCCGGAGACCGTCGGAGGGGTAAGATGCGCCTGGTTAGGAAGGCTGCCTCCCCGAATGTGTACATGTATTGCTGCTAGAGTATCGTGGAGGGCTTGTGCGGCGATGGACTTGAGTCAGCTTCGACTGCTCCCTTACGGACACGATATAGTCCGGCGGGGATTTTAGGGGATCATGGACAGCGAAAGTTGACGGGTTGTGGATACTCTCGGGTGGTTCGCTTTGTTTCTGGGCCCGGTTTGTTCCAGCGTTGCTCAATAATGCCGCAAGTGATTCTTCATCTTGTAGTAGGCTCAACTATATCATGGAAGAATCAACGTAGCAGCCTTCGCCAATCGATTTTTCCATTACAAGAGTCTATTAGAGGAGACAAATGTGTTTGGAATGCTACCCGTAGGGGTCATGTCCAGCCGTGACCGGATTAGGCATCTGGTAGCACCTGTGTTCTAGTGGAGTAAGCACACTTTTCTAGAGCATCAACTATTACCTCGTAGGCACATGCAGGCGTGCAACAGGGAAAGATAGCGCCTGCCCGTAGCCAACAACCAAGCACTTGACGCGCCAAGTAAATACGAGCAACGGAGAAAGCCTTCAATTAGTTCTTGTAGCAGCAGTAGAATGTTGACTGTTGGCCGTTTTAGCAACGAGTCTTTCATATTGACAGACTATACTATCGCTCCAATATTTGCTACTAGATTGAGCATGAGCAACTGCCTAGCTGCTCTGAGATCAGCTCTGTGTGTGTTTATGGGTTCTGTGCTTTGGTCAACACTGCACATTATCAAACTGTATTGACAGTTATGTATCCCGTTCTTCTCATAGAGCTCCACTCTTGCTCGACGCTGTAATTTTCAAAATTCTCTTTCTCCTATACTCTTACAGTAGAGGGTTTGAAAACGTGATATTTCCCATCCATTTCAATTTGGAAATCGGTCAGAGTCTTGCATATTACTTGGGAAATGAGTATATGAATGATTCTGAGCGGTGATATCAAGGTCTTCCAATACGAATTCTCCTTCCGTAAATGGAAACGGATTTTGTTCGTCGTATACGGTTACGAACAAATTTGTGAAGGCCGTATTCTGTGGAAATGATCGAACAAAATAATCGGATGACGCGGATGTCTCGCTTTCATTCGGTCCAAGGAAGGCGATTTGGTCCTCAAAGAGGAATTCCGATGTTGGCTCGAGTGTGTGACGGGTGTTAGAATGGTATCTTTCACGATCACCAGAATCTGAGGCGTTTGGCATTGGCATGTTCTCCGAACCCTCAGCACGATCAGTGGAGATTGACGACGTGCGCGCTGGAGACTTTTGAACATCTTCTATCATATCGGTAATATCCTGAACGGACAGGTGTAAGCGAGTGATGGATTTTTGAACAGATCGCACTTACAACGTCGATACGAGATTCCAATCTTTTCAACAAAGTGACTGAGATACCATGAGCTTTCTCGGCCATCGTGTTAGTTGCACGCATTGCCCTTAGCCACTGCAGTAACTTTCTCAGTGGCTTGATGATCTCTTTCTGACCATATTCTATGGTGACATTATAGGCCAGTTCGAGTAAGAGTATTGTAAGCGCCTGCATGATGACATGTACCATGGACCACCAAGGACCAACTCGATAGATTCTGGCACGATCTAAGTCCGGATCGTCTGGGAGGCAGTCAGCGATATCTGTTGCCGACTTGACGCATAATTCAGCCGTTCTGCGATTGAAATCATCTGATGCCTGGCTTTGGTGCTCAATGTGGCGGTGGAGGCGACATAGACATGGCCGATTCTGTGGGGAGACTTCAGTTAGCTGCTGAGATCTCTAAAATGCTAAAATGATCGGAATCAACTATCCTATTAGAGAGTGCTATATGCTCCCCAGGTATAATTCAAAGAATAAATGGCAGGCTTACTATCATAATTCTAGCGCCATAATAACTCATCTCGAGAATACTTCGATCTCGATGGTGAGGGATGAGATTGTCGCTTTCAAAGGCGAACCCCGGGGGTAGGGAAGCCGCCCAGATATCGAGCTGTTCGTTCAACTGGACTATCATATTCTGCGCGTCTTCCCATGACTTCGTGGAAGCATCGGGCGAATACAACACTGATAATGACTTCTGCATGATCATACTGATCTTAGCTGTGGCTTTGAGATATGATCCTGAATTCGTCGGCTCTGACCTGGCCTTGGTGGTGCCTGGAATAGAATTGGTTGTTGTATTGGCCTGGGTATCTCCAAGCAAATGCTCCGGACTCTCAGTCGCAGTGGTGTTTCCCCCAAAGCGCGTTAGAATTATAGCTTCATCGATTTCCTCCGTGGAAAGTGGTAGTGGTAAGGGAATAGAGATGTGGCTTGCGAAGGCAACGCTAGGCCTTCCGGTGAGACTGGAGAGTGCACTCTCAAGCGAGTATAAGCCCCACCAGACACGCCTCAATATCTCCTTCTTTACAGCCGTAGCTGTACGATCTTCATTACGAAGGTGCAGTCCAAGGGCGAAGCCCGATCGTACAGCCATGCCACTGACCATCCACGACCTTACCCATCATTAGTACAAGGCGATTATGGTACCTTCTTGAGACCGCTGGGCTCAGAGAAAGGCATTGGGATTGTGTGGTCATACCGATTGACTTGCCCTATGGCTAGATAATAAAATGCCAGCAATCCATTTATCTGGAGCTGTGGCAGGTCCGGGTGAGAAAACCACCAAGGATCCTTCAGAGTAAGAGCCCATGCTCTTGAATGGTAGACGAGGTGATCTCTATCTGGGAGCACGTGAGCGCGGGCAATTGTAGTTTCAGCAGTCTCCACCATTTCGACATACCATCTGCTCGCCAATGCTCCTCTGCGAGATGGGAGTACACGGCTCCGATTGCGAATATGATATTGAGCATACCCTGCCAGCGCTGAGGTATCTTCTGTACCTGACCGCGGCCCACCGATGCATAGTATTGATAGAATCGGCCAACAAGAGCTTTCTTGGCCACAATGGGAAAGGTATCGTGAACTCTTGTCATGTAGCAATTCAGGAGTCGTTCTGCAGTGGCGAAGGGGGGCAATTCCCAAGCGTCAACCAAATAGTCCAGATCGAAAGGCTGGTCGTCCAAGTAATAGCTCAAGCTACTCGTATCCGCCTTAGGATCTGGATCCTTCTCTTTGCGTTTCTTCATGGCCTTTACCCGCTCAAGAGAAGCCCGATGACTTGAACCTGGGGGGCCATATGGACCAGACGATGTGTCGCGGGGTCCATGTTTGGTCTCGTGATCCAGGCGGCGAAGCCATTGAATATCGCTAGTCTTACCCACGAATCCCGTTGCCCGAGATTGCTGGTCGCGTAGTAAATCCTCATCGACCAAGTCAAGATCTTCGTCGGAACCGACTCTAAATATGGGACTTTGATCAGCATAAGATTGAGAACTGGGGATGTGGAACGAGGAGCTTGTCATCCGGCTGCGAAATATCTTCTATATCTACAGGGTTACAAAGACGTATTGATGGATCGAGGAGAAAAGAAATGTGATGTGCGCTATTATTAGACCTTGGTGTCACGTACTCGGCGGAAACGTTTGCTTCCCCTCGCTCATCATCCGACCGGTCCTCAGGAGGAACTGCTGGCGTACGATGTGTATCTGGTGTACCAGTTGCAAGGGCTGCATCTGTGACGTCGTCCGTGATAGATGCCAGTGCTTCCTCGATTCGTGTCCTGCTGTCGCTATCAACGCGGTGCTTAAGGTCTCTCAAGAGGTTTAGTAGATGCTGGTTATGCGAGGTAGCTCTAATTCATAGTTAGACAAGCTGTAGCTCAGCTACTACGAGAGCGGCTGGACGAACGTTTTCAAACGATCCTTCCGGCTCGACGAGTAGACACATGAGACATTGGAATCCTCGCAGTTTTTGCACGCAGGCCTTGCGCCATTGCATTTGACTTTGCGCGAACGGCAGGCTAGGCAAGCACGAGGGACGCGGCTTTTACTGGATTCAGCAGCAGCCCTGTCTGGATTCTCGCGCCGATCGAGCCTTGGGATCTGTATTTTTGCGGTCCTTGTGTTTGAAGACATGACGGATGTCAAGCGCGCTCGGACGTCGGAGAGATGGAGGAGGTTCGGTGCGTAGATACACTCGAAGCGGGTAGGAGATTCAGAAGGGGGCGTTTACGAGATAGGCGTCATGGTGGCCGTTGGGCGATGGTAGGTAGACTTGGAGTAGAGTAAGGCGAGCTCGTTGTGGAGAGTTTCCTGTGAAAAAGATGAGAGTGAACAAGTGGGTGAGTAAGTGTGTAGAGCCAATTGTGATAGAGAACAGAGCGTGTAGGGAGAAGTAGCCGTGGGCAACGAGAACAGTCAGTGAGTTAGCCAGTCAATCAGTTTTAGTCGATCAATCCCAAGTGCACAACGCAAAGAATACAAGGAATGGACGTTCTGAGATGGGTTACTGGTTATCAATGTTTGCCATCATAACGTCAGGGAAAGGAAGAGCCAAGGCACAACCTCGGCGGGCGGAAAGCTGTGATTGGCCAAGGGTAGCACATCCGAGAAGGGCTTCCGAAAGAAGCGTCTGGTGGAGGTGTGCGTGTAACCGATTATGATCATGTTTTTGATACCATACGAGTACCATACGAGTAAGAGATATGAGTACAAGATATTTTCACTTGAACTGCTCATTGGAACCACGTACCCGTAGGTGGAGGATGAGGAAGACGAAGACGAAGAAAGGTTTCGATGGGAATGATGAATTGAATCGATATGCTTTCAGAACAATCGGCCCATATTAGGCATGCTTAGTCGTTGACATTCATGCCCATGAACGGGGTTGATTGATACGAGTAATATTCATCTGATGAGGATCTCGATGTAAGATCTGCCAATAGAGAATACTCGATGCGATGCGATGCGATGCGATGCGTGGGTGGCGGTTGGCTGTGGGCTGGAAGAGGCAAAACCCTACGAGAACCGTTGTCTGAATGACGTCATGGCGGACTTTGCTCTTGTGTGTTAGTACTCCGTAGAAGGGTAGGTGTGTGCCTCGTAACGTCAGGTCAGGAGGCTACTTGTAAATGTACAGGCGATTGCCTAAGAGGAAAAGAAAAGGGGAAAATGCAATGTACTTTGTGAGGACCCGAAGGCTAGTGGTACGGGAATGCATGAGAGATATTTATACTTGTCTCCTTGTCCATATTGGTGGGCATTTTGCTCCGCGGAATGTATTACTTCCTATACCTAATCCTACTACCTTTGAAGCACCTCCTAAACCCAATTGTAGCCAGTCCAGTTTCCATTACATTCACTGGTCAATCATGAAGGTTCGGAGCGCATAAGGCCTGAAGCTCGTACAAGGCCTACTGCTTACTCGAATGCACTCCCACCAGCAGAACTAACAGTAGTATTCGAGTAGCTGTCTCGCAATGGAACATTAGTTCAAGTCCCGAATCCCGATGTCATGAGCATCGATCATGGAGAAGCCTGTCTTTCCCCAACATGTAAAGAACGAACTCTAAAAAGTATCGATTGAAAGCTCTTCTTTGTTCCACTTTTGTCTCTGAGGCATCAAGATTGTTGTACCATTGCCTAATGCGGTAGGTTTTCGACATTGCCATTGAAAGTCGCCGGACCAAGGCAAAAAGGCGACCAGCCCTCCTCCTCTCCTCAGCAGCCAGCGATTGCCTTTCCTAACTCCGTACGCTATTCCCAAAGGGGACGGTTCCCTTCTCTGCCCCTCCCGACCTCCGACCGAGGCTCATCTCATCTCATCTTTCGACCTACAAATATGACTATCTAAATACAACAATCCCACCACCACCATCATCACTATAGGTACCTATGGACTCAATGCCAAAGTACAATACGTGATTCTTCAACAGTTGCCATACTAAACACAACACATAGGCAATAGCACTCATATTCACCAATCTTCCACCCTCACCATGGATCCCTCCATACAAGAGGCTGAGAGCCACTACTTCACCAATGAACCCCCTCCTCGCGACCTTCAGGCCACCGTCACACTCGCTAGAGAATTCATCAATCGTCATGCCACCGAAGGTAGACGACTTGTCCTCGTCACCTCCGGCGGTACCACTGTCCCCCTCGAGACCCAGACCGTTCGCTACATTGACAACTTCTCCGCCGGCACTCGTGGCGCCACCAGCGCTGAATATTTCCTGCAAGAAGGCTACGCCGTCATCTTCCTGCACCGCCAGTTCTCTCTTCTCCCCTACTCCCGCCATTACTCCCACAATACCAGGTCATTTCTTGACTACATGAAAGAGGAGGATGGCCGTGTCGTCGTCGACGGCCAGCACCAGGAGGAGATGCTGCGCGTCCTTCGCCAGTATGACGAAGTCAAGCGTGAAAATCGCTTGCTCATTCTATCATTCGTGAATATCACCGAATACTTGTGGGATCTGCGTGAGGTCGCAAAACTCATGCGTCCACTTGGGCCTAGGGCCATCTTTTACCTCGCTGCCGCCGTCTCCGACTTTTTCGTTCCTCATGACCGTATGGTCGAGCACAAGATCCAGTCTAACGAGGAGTTCAGCGGTGCTAGCCTTCCATCCGAAGGTACTAGCAAGCCCCCAGCGGCTCGTACGGAGGGACGTAGCCTCATCATTGACCTCGAACCGGTGCCGAAGTTCCTCAAGCAGCTTGTGGACGGTTGGGCACCTGAGGGCATGATTGTGAGCTTCAAACTGGAAACGGACCCCGCCATCCTGGTGAAGAAGGCCCTCTACTCGCTGAACAAGTACTCGCACCACTTGGTAATTGGCAATCTTCTACTCACGCGTAAGTGGGAGGTCGTTTTTGTCTCGGCGCTCGAGGGCGAGAAATGGATCCGAGTGCCACGAAATCGTAGAGCGAAGAGCATTTCGGGGAACGAGTCGCTTGTCGGCCTGGCAGATCCAGATGGCAAGAAAGATGGCAATCGAACTGTCAGCGCCGACTTGTCCATACCAGAAGGAGAGCCTGCCGTGGAGATTGAGTCCATCATCATCCCAGAGATCACCACAATGCACACTAAGATAATAGAGAAGGCACAGACAAAGCCCCCGGTAACGTGAAGCTGCTATGATACATGCCTGCACAATCGGGTTGTGTTGCGCAACTACTATGTAAATATAATTGATGGCGCCACTCTTGCATGTGTCTCTGAGCATCGATCACACACGCAACGCGACAGCATAGCTTTGGTGCACAATCGCACCGAGCTCGGTCTCGAAATGTGACGACGTAATGCTGCTCATTGTTGATACACGATACTATCTTCCTGATGTGAATAAGGAAAATCAATCACCTCTTCCCATTATCAGCAACTGATCCTCTGCTAAAGCACCCCTCATCATAACTCATATCCCTTCAGAGTGCACTCGTGACTGCCATACATAACTCTACATAAAATGCTCATCGCTATACCATGGTCATTAGCGACGTGAAGTCGCTTCTGAAGACAGATGGAATAGGCCGTCCTCTTCCTTTGCCAATGCCATAGCGAACCCTAGACCGACCACGAACCAAGCGTCTGGCTACAATTTGTCTATACGCTCTATCGATTCCTCGTATTCCTGAACCATGATCACTATCGTATGACTCCCTCCACCGGTGAAGCCGTACTGAGCCCATCGTGTACCAGCGCCACTACAATCTCTGAGTACTATGCACAAATCAGACAGTCCAACGTGTTCAGCGCCACCTGTCAATAGTCATTTTCGTCAAGCTTACAGCTTGACTTCATGTCTCTTCCCAGAAGGGGCAATGTCTTTAGGCATTACATTTTCCCTATATCCCTCCAGCACACATCACAATACCTCTCTATCTCACCTGCACTACTACACAGACCCTTTCCAATATGCAGAAAATCCCTTCCTCCATCTCTCTCTTTCTGTTCTCGCGACCACTCATACCCACACAACCCTTCATACCGAGCCTAATGGCTCCCTACTCGGTACCACGGACACGCCAGACAATGTCTCAGTCACCACACCCACCCGCACCGCACGCCACCGCCAGCACGAACTCCTCCACCCAGCAACCCGGTAAGGGATGCCGAACTCCAGGTTCCCAAATACCCGTTTCTGCACTCGCGTTTCCGACCAAGGGAAAGAGCCGGTTCGGTCGCGAGGTAGAGGAATGAGGGGAAGAGGTGGGGAGCCATGATTGAGCATTTGCGCTTCGAATGGGCTGAATTCGTGCAGACGTACGCCGGTCTGCATTCGCTGAGACGATGGTATGTGATGTACGTGACGGAATCAACGCGAAGGAAATGGATGCGGAGAATACGATGATGACGATGTTTCTTTCTTCAATATCTTTCGAGGTGTTTTGCCTCCATCCATGGTGCTGGGAAGTGAAACAAATGATGACCGTGACGATTGAAGATCTCTTCATTCATTCCTGCAAAGGGATCGCTGTGAGTCAATTGTCCATCACCATCAACTCCGTCCTCAAGAACTACCAAGAGAACATCGCCATGGGAACCGAACTGGGAACCGCAAAGAATGCGCGAGCCTTGGATAGGAAAGACCACCTTCTCGTTGTCTCAATCAGTCCATGAGTCTAGCGCGCATGGCATGCAGGTGGGAGACGACGTGGCTAGTAACCCGCCCGTCGACCCTCTCGTTTAGCCATCATCTGTCGTCGTCTTCGCTGCCGCCGTCGCGAAGCGATTGTCGAAAGGAGAGAGAGCCCAAGGACGAAAATTCCAGACCGGGGTTCGGGTAAGCCTTGGTGGGTTGGACAACGGTCACGGCCGTCCTTTGTGTCGCGGGCGAGAGTCGAAGGGACACAGGCTCAGATGGGAAATCATTGCGTCAGGTTACATGCTGCATGAAGATTCGTTTTGGGGTGGTTTCGTTTCCCTTCTTGGGGGATGATCCCGTCGGTGGGTGGGGATTAGGAGAGCCTGGCTGGCCCAACGTGCCGGTTACCTGCGAATTTCCTTACGACGGGGCATTGTGGGAAGTGGAGAATCGAGTCCTGGGATCACGAGGATGTTTGGAGGGCACGAGATGCAAGAATTGATTGAGGTGCATTGAAACTGCAATGGTGGCGTTGTGGACTGGTAGATATCATTTCAGGTCGTTAGTATGGTCGCTTGACCTTTGTGATATTCACGTACGGGGCGGGGGCCATCGCCTCTTTGGGCAATCAGCACTATATTCGGTCTTGAATTAAGACGACTCATATACAGTAAAATGCGGAAGTCGATATGTTTCGCACTCTACTCCGTACCATCGCATATTCGTCTACCTTATGGATACCAGCATGGGAATACACAAATCCAGTGCTCTCGAGTCTTGACTTCCAGATCCATGCACCCAAAGCTAGTCCTCGACAGCTACTACTTATCGACCAGGTATCTGGTCGAGGGAGCGATCCGTGCCACTAGTACGATGTCTTTGATCGTGTATCCAATCTCTGGAGATCTAGATTGCATCTCGCATTTGCATGTCGCCCAGCGCGTAGCAGCAGTGCAAATAGTTACCGTGCCTCTCAACCAGATAGGACGGTGCAGTTGTAGGACCACCTGAGACCCACAAAGGTTGGACAGGAGTGGAGTGGTAGCCGCCCGAAAAGGCTCGTCTACAGTATATCAGGCGCTTGTTAAGGAAGATCGGTTTGCTTTCAGACGCTGGCAGACCGATCCGCAATAATGCCAGGTTCATGGGCCCCGCATGTCCGAGCTGGACTTGCACAAAGGCAGTGCGGAGAAGGACGAGACATTGTTGTATCCTAGTCGCCAAAGGTTTACTACCCGGTGGGAAAACATTCGATAGTGTCAGAAATGTCGTCGTGGTCTTCGTCGCCGCCGTCAGGGCTGGGAGGAATGATCATCGAGGAGCGCGTCTGCCAAGGCGCCATAGTCGACAAACGGTGAATGCTTGTAGAGAAGAAGAGAAGAAGTCGTATCCATCTTCTCTCCAATGTTTGCTTCGCAACCAAGACGGTCTCCACAGCACATAAAACAACGACCAGGGCAGCGCGATAAATTCAAGAGACAATCCGGTCATTCGAGTGACCATGCAGGTATGACCTTATCGATACACCAGGTTGTTCATCGTGTGCAAGTGGCTGCTCGTCTACTACATGTGGCTGAGACGCGCGAGAGGATGGTTCCGACGAATGCAACGTCAATCCTGCGAAGCGGACGGTTATCGATAGAACACAGCGTGCTTTGCAGAGTACATCGCACCCATCCACTTAACCCTCACCGATCTCATCAGTCAGGAGTGTTCTTTGGTGGGTGTGGATCTGCAATAATGTTAACGTTGGTGGGGATACTCCACTATTGTCCATGTCGTTCCAAGATGCGATACATCACATCTTCAACTCCTCCACCTCCACCTTCATGCCTCCACAACACGACACTTTCAGTACTCGATTGTCTCGCACCCCAACTCTAGCAACGGCTGGAATAGGTCTCACTAACAATGTCTTGGTTGTTATTTGTGTTTTTATTTATCGGCGTGGGAGGGCATGTAGCGGTGTCACGGCGTCGCTGGAATGTAACTATCCCGGGGTCCAACCGCCTTGCGTTACGACATCGCCTCTTAGCTGCAGTGGCGGATGTATTGCGTCCTCTTCCGCTGCTCGAATGGCGTCCGGCTCCTTTGAGTTGGCAATGCCTTCAAGGACTCGCTGCAGCAGAAGTCATGTCCGTCATCGAGTAGAATCCATACGCCAGTGTTTGAGAGCGTTGCTCAACAGACGCCGTTCTCTCGCAGCCGGCACCAAAGGCACTTGACAAGACCGCCATCCCTTGCCTATGTCTGCTCGCCTGCTCGCTTCGAGGGTTCAGAAAGCCAGGCGAAACCTTTTCCTTACTATGGCAGCTCGCTATTGGGTAACGTTGAGTGTACGACCCCAAATCGAGTGTATACACTCGAGTCCGCGGGCCATAGAGAACACCACCTTGGCAGATCAAGTACACACCACAATCCCAACGCTGCGGTTCCAAGTAACTCTGCACCCTGGCTCTCCAGATTTCGATGCCAGCCTCCTTCAGGTTCCTCATTCTAGCTAGAGAGCTCGTCACCCATCAACAATGGTGTTTCACTCCCTTAAAGCCCAGGGAGCGGGAATGCATACATGTATATATCGTGATAAGTGCCTATCAGACTTATCAGGACTTATCTATCGTGCTATCATCTTGCCATCTCACTTCCTAGCGAGTCGTTATACTTACTGTCGTCATTGCTGACGCCCTGACTTCATCGGGCCTTTTCAACATGGCTTCCACTGCTGCCGTCCCTACTGCATTCACCCCATATCAATCATCTCCCCTGGCTCGGACAACATCCCCTTTCAAAGACCCGCGTACTCCACCACAAACGCCATCACAAACGGCAAAGCTCTGGGATGAGTACGAAAGAAGAGCCGTTGAAATAGCAAAGAGACGGGAGACAGCATGCGCCACTCGTTCGGCTCGAACGGGGTCATCACCACAACGACTGTCGTCCGGGATCATTCTTGATGTAACCGAGAAGCATGAACCTATTCCATCAACGGGAATAGCAGTTCCATCGCCTGTTCTCTCTCCACCCATTCATTCAAATTTTGACTTCGACTTTCACACACCCACTTACAGGAAGCCAAACACTGATACGCCACCCGCCACAGTCGCCATTTGCAAAACATGTAGACAATCAATCACTACAGCATCAGGATTCTGCGAACAGTGCAAAAGAACAATAGTCCTCTCTCCACCACTGCAGACGGGAGAGACGACACCGCCACTCAGTCCAGCCTGCCGGAACTTTGCTTCGACCGATCTCTCCAAGCTTGAAAGGATATCCGCACAAGAACCGACCACCCCCAACTCCACATCACCAAAACGCAGGACACGCAAAACATCCTGCAGCCAAACCGCAGACCACCCAATCCGTCTATCATCCCTCCGCCCACCACCTAAGCAATCCCTCGACGAGACCCATCCGCGCGTCCGGAAAGCCTCACTGACGGACCCCAACGAAGCGTTCATCCGCCTGCACATCTCCCGGAAACCACTCCCCTCCCAACCATCATCACCAACCACACCTACCACCCCACCACCCACAGCACACTCCCACCACACATCGGGCTCACACCCAAGAACCCGCCCTTCCTCCCTCGCCAACATCACAACGCCCCCCCAGTACGCTTCCTACCCCCGCCACAACAGCGTCAGCCCCTCCGAGCTCAGCACACTCTACCCCTACGTCTCCATGGCGACCGCCACCACTACATCGCCCAGCCTCCACCGGACGTCCTACTCGCTGCAAAACACAACAAGCGCGTGGGACGACTCCGACAGCGAGGGCGAAGAGGAAAAAGCCGGGCTCGTGGGCTACTGGAGGAGTCGCAAGTGGCGGGGCAGCAGGGGGAGTATAGGAACGCAGGACACGAGTCGCGGACGACGAACGAGCGATGGCACTGAGGAGGGCAGAAAGGAGTCGAGTGTCAGGGAGGAGGGGAAGAGGAAGAAGAGAGGCGCGTTTGTGAGGGTCATTAGCTGTGGGTGCAATGACTGAGGTGAGGAACGTGATGACTTGTCAGTGCTGTTTTGAGCGAGTGTCGCGCGTATTTTTTGCGAGGTAGAGTATCGGGAGATGCTTAGTTTCTGTGTGTACGCTGCTGTTATTTCTGTGGTTTGTTATTGTTTTACCTTTGGTATTTTCTTTTTTGTGTCTCGTCGATCTCATCTTGTATCCCCGTCTCACCTACCCTCGTCGGTCTGAAACAAAGACAACAACAAAAATGGAGACTCTCCAGATTCCAAGCGGTGTCTCGTCTCAAACCACTAGGTTTTGGAATGGATTTCTGTCTACAAAAGAAAAGGCGTTTTTTGGTATTGTCATTCGTTTTGTTTTGTTTTAGGTCTGAAAGGGCACACACTTACGGACGCACACGAAGAACGAAGCTCACGACACGATGTACACGGCCTGTAAGGAAGAGAAAAAAATGCGAATGAGAAGGAGCGCTTTGGCAGTTATGTTTTCAGTTCTTTCCTTGGTTCTGTTCAATTATCTTTGCTTTAGTCTGGAGTATCATTGCTATCTTGGTATCCCCCCATTTCCTTTTACGAACGAACGACGTAGGTAATCACTGCTGTGAAGGACGGAGCGAAGATGAAAAAAACTGGGTTTCCGCGTTCTGGTATTTCTATTTCATGACATGTTTGTTTTGTTTTGTTCTGTTTTGTCGTTTCTTTTCGATAAGGCCGGGAAAAGGGCAGGGAAAGGAGTCGGGTTGGGTAGTTATGTCATGGTAAATCCGATGTCACTCATCATCAAAATCACAATCAAAATTATTAACAAAATCCCGACTCTACACTTCTTTCCAATCGCTTCTGTTATTCATCGGCCTTCTCAACACAGTGTACGGTGCAGTGCCATGATAACCCTCGTAACTACCCAACACGAAAGCAAACCACGTCCACTGGCCGTTCACTGAACATCCCTTCTACATACACACAGCGACCTTGTCCCCCACACTATCGAGCAGACTAGTTCACAGCCTAGGACAAAACTTCCGAATCTACAACGCAGTGCCCGATCGTGAATGCGACGCGATATCCGCCGGCAACACGGCAGATCCACCTGCCCTAGAGATCACTTCTGAAGTCGAATGGGAAGCGAGATAGGAAGAGAAGAGAGGGGGCATGCAGTCAGACGGGAGGGAGCGGGGACAGGATGGAGATGAGTGGGGAAGAGGTGCATGGAAGGGAGGGGTGACGTGTTGGTAAGGGGGAAACTTGATGCGTTGGACTGTCGACGGGGGTCTGTATGTCTGAATGGATGGGGAGTGCATGAAGGAAGGTGGTGGTTGCGACGTGCGCCGGGATGCGCATAGGGGCATGATGCGGTGGATGGATGGGTTGATAGGTGAATGGTGGATGGGACGTGGGGTTTTGCTTGTACTATTATACGGTGCATTGCGATACGGTACACAGAGGGGGTGGTGGTGTGGTTTGAGAGGCGTGACTGGACGCGAGAGGGGAAGTTAAGATTTGATGATCGGGGTGGTATTGCTGAAGAAGGAAGCTGAAATGGCTACAATTAACTCAATCGTAGTGTACGGAGGAGAAGTTCAGAAGATGAATTGGAAGGGCTGGGGAAGAATAAGATTGTTGCGTAGCGGAGGTCAGTTGTAAAAGGTGGAATGGCCGTGAATGGAGACAAACACTGTACAGAGCTTCACGACCCGGCTCTCCATTTGGAATATCGATGAATCGTCTGTGCAGGCGTTAACGAAAAGAGAAAGCAAACACTCATAGGCCCCTCCTCTGCAATCTCAGCTATGGTTGAGCAAGTGTGTCGTCAGCGCTCGAAAGTAAGGTCACTGTTCGTCCTGTTCGAGCTGCGGTGTACACAGTACATGTCGTGCAGTATAGCCAGCCTGCAGGCGCGGCCAAATCTTCCGTTCAGCAGACCTTTCGTCCAGTGACGGGGCAGATGTACCCCCTTATACGAAGGTTACACGGCACTGCGCTCGCTCTCTCCGAACAAGTAGCTAGCCAGAACCTCGCAGGCTCAACAAATGCGAAATTGGGAATGGATAAAATGGTAATTGGTTGGAGGTGCGTTATTGGATACTTGGCTCCCGGCTTTTCGTATCGTTTTAGGAGTGATCGTGAGGGGTATTCTTATGTTTAGAAACCCTGGCATAAAGATGCATGCAGATGGGGAAGTGGGAAGTGGGATTTAGGGTACGTAGCGTATCGGTTTGTGACATTTGAGCCTGCAAGTTGCGAGTCGTGTTGCGTGGATTTTATGAGCTACATGCGACCATGAGCGATTAGAGGAAGTATTGAATGGAGTGTTGCTATTCTGTATGCTTTACGAGGTATGCTTTAGGTGTACACGGATACCGTGCGGAGTACTCAGTACTCCGTGTAGAGTACCCTGTGATAGCAGCTGACCTGGAAGCACTTCACATATGGAGAGGAACACATTGACGGAGAAGCAAGGAATTTTGATCTATACAAAGGGTTTTGGAAGATAAGGAAACTCCATAGATGGATTAACAAGAGCTATCAGAAAGAGTGTGCCTTTCTCATCCGCGATCCTCCGAATTATATTGGTTGCTCGCACTCAAGCGATCTATCTCTGATGTAACGGGTCCGTAGAGTGAGGTCGGATTTTGTTTTGACGGTTTTGGCGTATCTCATACTATGTCCACTGATTTCACGGAATGATTGCTGATCGTGCTGCCAGCGTCAGTAGACTCTGCAGCTGTTGAAATAGTTGTGCTCTGTAAGGACTCCGCAATCACCGACACTGGTGTTTTCTCTCGGGGATCTGCAGTCATTGGAGTTGGTGTTCTCTCTGTCGTGTCTGAAGCCATCGAACAAGGCGTCTTGTCTGTCGGCTCTACAACCATCGAACCCGACGTCTCCTCTCCACCATCTTGATCCTTTCCTAACTTTTCAAGCGTTTTCTTCTTTCTCTTTCCTCGAGGAGCACCGGAACGGGGAGCATCTTCAACGTGCTGGGCGAGTATCTTCGTTCCATCCCATCCCCGCTGCTTTGCCTTTTTCAACAGGTTGTATTGGCTTCGTTCTGCCATACCGGTGCGCCTCTGAATCTCCGAGGGAGGGGTTTTCATGGATAGCAGGGTGACGACTTGAACCCTGGTGGCGACATCGTAGTGAGGCATCGTGATTTGGAGTGGTATTTGAAGAAAAAAAGTGAAGAAAAGTTGGTTGTGATGACTTCTGAGGACTTCTTCAAAGCAGTGAATTCTCATTCTATAGTTACCAAAATCCCTTGAATATTCAGAGGTTTTGTGGAAGGATGTGTCACGAAGGTGTCACGGTTTCAATAAATACCCCCAGTCATTGGCTTACCCCGGTTCTGTACCACTGTAAAAAAAATTAATTCTCGTACATGGTCTCCATTTTTACGATAACGATACGTGATGTTTGCTTATCTTCGAATGTTCTTTGCATGCTGAGAGCCAACGAGCATCCCGATCCCGATCAGCACGATCTCTATGTTGATCATCGAAAACATGATCAGAATCGTCAACTTGGATATGAAAATTGTACATGAGAGGAGAGAATACGAAAGAGTGATTGATGAAAGAAGAGCCTGGCGAAGCAAGAACCAGTCTCTCGGGTCGTTTCGATTGCGTTGACCGACGTCTGCCTACCTACCTAGAGATATAGTTGATTGCTTCGTTCCCAGGAAAGCTAGGCATACCCCGTACTAAACCAACGCTAGATTGCGCCGCTGGGAAGCGACCTTTCCAAGCTTTCTTCCTTTTGCTTGATCAGCTTACCCGTTAACATTGCCGAGGATTTCGTAGGTTGTAGTTAGCTGTTCATGGATCACTTCAGGTGATCCTCTTGCATCCTATGGCACAGGATGGGCTCCGTCGTATGGCCTTGACTAACAACGTCAACTCAAGTTCCGAGATGGACAATCAGACTGCGAAATCGGGTGTCCCACGAAGTTCAGCGGGGGACCAGCCGCCATGCCGGTTGTTGATGGGATCTTTATCGATATGGACAATCTGTAGGTCGGCTACGTTCGTGCCTTCAAGTACGGGACGAGGTTATTTTGGCTAGGCAACTTTGAGAATACTTTTCTTAATCTAGAAATTGTGCCAGCATCACAATTGCGTGTGAAAGAGAATGTACTTCGTACAAGTGTTAGAAATCGATGGGCCAGGCATCAGAAAAAAGACACGGAGCAGAACTTTGGAGCAGAACTTTGGAGCAGAACTTTGGAACGGTCTGATACTTTTCGATATCCGCGAGTTCAAGGAAGGAATAATCGGGACATGGTACTGGTAGTCCGGAGAATAGGTGGCAGTATAGTTCTTACGCGCCAGTACCAAGGCATTCTGTCCAAATACGAACACGTTGCCTATACTGGTAGATGCTAGGCGAAATTGCAGCATTGATAGAGAAAATAAGCATTTTACCAGCGAGGGCGACGGATGTCAGGAAGAGAGTTAATTTGCTGCGCTCCGCGAACCGTAAGATTGGAACGTGCGGCAGGGCAGTGCCTCATACGTGAGGGATTCTGTACAAATAAGCTTGAAGGGAGAGGCTGCTCATCAAGGAAGGGTATCTTCTAAACACGAATTCAAATGCCTGATGCATGCTTTTGCCAATTGCGAAACTCTATGTTCGATCGCTTGGTTTCCAGAAATGAACGGGACGAACAGAGGCCATGATAGTTCATATTGAAGTGTCTACAAGGTTTCCCGAGGGATACGAGAACGCGAGGTGAACACGTGAACGTGGAGAGCGCCATGAGGTTAGCAGAACGACAACCTGTTGGAGGCGAGCAATTGTTCTCTTCATGTATTACGGCGAGAATGGGGTGGTAAGAAGGATCGAGCCGCAGGCGGCGCACTAAGTAGGAGAAAATAACTCGTGACAGCTGATGCAGGTAACTGAATAGATGAAAGTATAAATCATAAGTAGGGAAATAATTGATTATGGCTGATGCTCATACCGTATACCGTGTACTCAGCGTCTATATGGTTGCATGATTAGGTGGTGAGCCCTAATGGCTGTGCCCCCGCCAAAATGTTCCCGATTACCGGCGCTATACCCGTTCCTGACAGTGGCCTTCTCATCAGCAACCGACTTCATCTATTCTCTCGCATACATTCTTCTTCCCCACCTATCCTCGTATATTGTGGTCTCTACTCCGTAGACCCATCAGCCATTTCTGAACACCTTCTCGACAATGCTACACACGGCAGGGCGCGGTACGACCAAGAACCAAGTCGTAATCTACCCCTGAGAAGTAGCATACATAACTTCGGACATGCAGATACACACAGTGTTAGCAAGGAATCCGGCAGTGCTTGATGAGGTCAAGCTTTTTGACAACGTCTATCGTTCCTGCTGATTCGCTGGAGGACTCTGTTAATTTTCCTACCTGATTATCGTATCCAAGATGTTGAGAATCACGAGAATGGTCGGGACACTGGATCCACGGTGTGATCGGAAAGATCATTGGGCCTACCCTAACCCCGGATCCGCATACGAACATTTCTCGTACTAGGACGGCTTCGAGACAAGTTGCACTGGTGCCCGCTAGCCTTCCGCCGCCTATTGTACTCCCCATTGATCTATCTCACGTTTGGCGAACTGGCTATGAGTTTGTCTCTGTGCTTACGGCTCACGCGGCGACGCACTCGTGCTGACAAGCTTCAGGCGAGCTCAGGGGTTACTGGTCAACGTGGACAGTAACTCGATGGTCTTCAATGTTTCTCGTCTGAGCGACGCCAGAGGCCTTACAGCCTGAAATAGCATACCGACCCCTGTGAAGATCTTGCTCGCACCACGGTAGATGTTCGTTGTTCAACTCTAGGACAGTTCTGGCAATCGGGTTGCATCTCCTGGCTCAAATGCTGGCTGCCCGTTGGCAGGAAGCTGGACTAGGAGCAGGTGCTTCAGATTAAATTGCCGCTGATCAAAGCTTCATCCTTTTCGGTCGACATCCATTGGTTCCTAAGCTCAAAACGGACATTTCTGACCCTGTCGTCTCCCTCGTCTGTGTGCTAAGCCCACGAATTGGTGCACATTCTGCTAAACTACAGAGTAGATGGCCGCTGGACGCGGAGAACGCATTACGTTTGTCCATGTAAGGCTCAACTATGGCCAGCGCGACATCATTTCACCCTCGTTAGCCACTCAGCTCTAATCAAACATACTTGAGCCTTGGTTCTCCTCACCATGCCGACCGCTGAATTTCAATTATTGTTTCTTCTTCTCAACCGCTGTTAAGGTATTGTGCAAAGGTCACTGCCGCCAGCTGCCTTTCGTTTTACTATTGCTGCTATCAGCCGTCGCTCTTTCCGGCATATTAGCATTGCGATATCACTCATTCTTCTCCCGTGGTCACAAACTTTACGCCCTGTGTCTGGAAGACTCTCGTTGAAGCTCTTTTTTTTATTCTTTGGTTTCGATCATTACTCCTTCACCGGCCAGAGGGCACGACCAATCTCACGGCAGTAAAATATATTACAAGCCAACATTTATCTTGTACGAGCCAAGTAAGTGCCTTCTTTCCTTGGGTATTGTTCCCATGGCCTCGGCGGTTTCCCAACATTGGCGTACCGGGGCATCGCGTCACAAGGCCATCTCCACATTTTCAATAAGAAGCCATCTCCACACATGATTCATCTCAAGCCCTTGACACCTATTGCACGCCGACTCCAGTCGTTGCACGCACTCACCTTCCGATTATCCTCTACTCTCGTATCACCCTTAGCAACCACGCTCATCTTGAACGACCATCTGCAGCTGTGGCCTATATCGAGACCACGCCCCCCGACTCTTTTTGGATATATCCCCCATGGCACCTCGATGTCCAAAATCGATTCCTTACCCTACTGTTCTGATATCTCTCGTTCCCGATACATAATCGTCACCGCACTAGGAAACGATATCATCTCTTCTGCTCACTGCTACGGCGGCCGATAGCTAATAGTCTCTCTTCTTCAAACAGTATTTACCAAGCCATGAAAGCAGTCCTCAGTCTCGCGGCCCTCATGGGTTTGGCCTCGGCCAATATCCAGTTCCACTTTGTGCAGCCGACCTGCGACTTCTCCAACTTGGTCACCACTCGCTGCTTGAAGGGACAGCACTGCACTGAAACAAATACGTATGTTCTACTCCGTGTACCTCTTCTCTGGGAAATGTTGTATTAATTGATATAGTTGCAAGCCAAACGCTAGCCACAGGGACCTTTATCCCAGGTCCTTCCGCCGCAACATGGGCTCGACTTCAAAGCCTCGACAAGAGAGAGCCATTTACTCCAGTGACGGTACTTGTGGTCCGGCAAACAACAACATGCTCTGTGACCCCAACAGCACCGTGTACAAGGGTACCTGCTGCAGTGAATACGGATGGGTACGTTTACACGCAGGCGCCACATGCGAATTAAGACTAACTAGGCCAGTGTGGCGACACTTCCGCTCATTGTGGAACCGGCTGTCTCTCCGGCTGCAATAACAACACTCCGCCTTCCAGTGAGCCCTCCAGTGTGCAGCCTGTATCCACCCGAGATTCAGCCCCCACTGGAGTTGCCCCTAGAGACGATGGGCGATGCGGAAAAGATTTTGAAGGTGCCACCTGCGACGCTAAAGGCGATTATGGAGGCTGCTGCTCCTCGTATGGTTATTGCGGTTCTACTGACGGCCACTGTCTTCCGGCTAGTGGATGCCAGAATGGATGTTCCGGCGCTGTTTCCAGCATTGAGTCTGCTACAAGTATCTCCGCTACCAGGCCCCCATCTACTAGTACGTCGGGTGAGCCTGTCCTTGGTAGCCCGACCATCCCTCCCGTTCCTCCCCCTACGCAGCCTACCGGGAATGCCACTGTTGATGGAACGTGTGGTGCCAAATTCGACAACACCATCTGTGGCAGTTGGAGTCAAGGATCATGTTGCTCTTTGTATGGCTACTGTGGTAACACCACTAGCCACTGTGGAGAAGGATGCCAGTCCGGTCCCTGCCTGAACGGCCCTATGGTCCCAGTTCCGGGTCCCAGCCCTGCGCCAGCTGCTCCTAAGCCCGGCACGCTTGAGATCAAGGGTCGCTCTGGCGTTCCTGCTATGCACGCTGGTCTTCTTCCCAATGGAAAGGTCGTATTCTTGGACAAGGTCGAAAACTACACGGAACTTAAACTCCCCAACGGCCATTACGCTTACTCTTCCGAATATGATCCCAATGACCAGAAGCTCACACCTCTTGCCTACAAGACCAATGCTTTCTGTTCTGGTGGTATCTTCCTTGCGAATGGACAATTCTTGTCCGTAGGAGGAAACGCTCCCCTGGATTTCATTGATGACACAGTCGGTGATGGATTCCATGGCCTGCGTTTGCTCGAGCGCTCTATGTCCAATAACTCCCTCGACGGTCAGGCTTGGAATGAACCCGGACCGCAACTCGATACTGCTCGTTGGTATGCCTCTGTCCAAATCATGCCCGACAACACTATCTTTGTTGCTTCTGGCTCCCTTAATGGGCTCGACCCCAGCAAGCCTGAGAACAACAACCCCACTTACGAGATACTCAACGCCGACGGTACTCCCCAAGGCAAAACCATTCCGATGGAGATACTCAGCAAGAACCAGCCTTACTATATGTATCCCTTCATTCATCTCTTGAACGATGGAAACCTCTTCGTCTTCACTTCCAAGTCATCCGAAATATTCAACGTCGGCACCAACACTGTTGTACGCCACCTCCCCGATCTGCCGGGAGACTACCGAACATACCCCAACACTGGTGGGTCCGTCCTTCTTCCCCTCTCGTCGGCCAACCAGTGGAACAATGATATCGTTATCTGCGGTGGAGGACCTTACCAGGACATTACTGCACCCTCTGACCCATCCTGCGGTCGTATCAACGCACTTGCTACCAACCCCAGCTGGGAGCTGGACAGCATGCCCGAAGGTCGTGGCATGGTAGAGGGTACTCTTCTCGCCGATGGTACTGTCATCTGGGTCAATGGCGCCAATGAGGGTGCTCAAGGCTTTGAACTTGCCCTTGCTCCTACTCTTGAAGTTCTCATTTACGACCCCGTCCAGCCCCGTGGCAAGCGCTGGACTACCGGCCCCAAATCTACCATTCCTCGCATGTACCACTCCGTCGCTCTTCTTCTTCTTGACGGGACTCTTCTTATCTCGGGATCCAACCCTGTTGAGCAGCCTGTCCTTGAAACGAGCACTAAGGTTCCTTTCCCCACGGAGTTCCGCAACGAGATCTACACTCCGCCATATCTTCAGGGCAACGTCACTCGCCCTACCGACGTGACCCTCAGCAGCAAGCAACTTAAGGCCGATGGTCAGGACTTCACCATCAAGTTTACCGCCCCTGCAGACTCCAAGGAGGTTAAGGTATCCCTCTACTATGGAGGGTTCGTCACCCACAGCGTTCACATGGGCCACCGTATGGCATTCCTGGACAATACTGGCTTCAAGGCTGGTGACACTGAACAAACCATTACAGTCACTATGCCTCCTAACAGAAATGTCGCTCCAGCTGGCCCATGGGTCGTCTACGTGCTCGTCGATGGTGTCCCTGCCATTGGACAGTTTGTCATGGTTTCATAGGAAAACCCACAGCAGCCTTCAGGGAGATGAATTTCTTTTACGTTTAACGGTACGATTATAATGACTTGGGTTAGTTGTCACTTCTGCGATCTCGAGGCATCTGGTGAGGATGGTCGAGGATCTGTTTACTCTATTATTCGTGCGGTAGTGTATGGTGTAGATGGCCATCGAAGCAAGGTCCCTATCTGGCGCTGCAAAGCGAAGTTGATGGAGTAGATTTAGCTAAATATTTTCCTTCTCTTCATATCTTTCGATGTTTCTCAGGCCTATCTGATCGATCGTGATTTTGTTCACAACTACGTTAGAGAGTGACGATGCTGTACCCTTCCAGATGGAAGCGCTTTCGAAAAGCTGGATCCAAAAAGGTCTCCGGCACTGAAACAACAGACCACGATGATACCAGAGTAAGCAAGCATCGAATAGAATTAATAGTTTTCCGGCCATAAACATCCGACAAGATCCCATTCCGAATTACCATTCATCATTAGAATCGAAAGGAGCTTGTGGATGAACGAACGATCAGACTCCGTTATCCAGAATAGGAAAAGCCCTGCCTCCTTGCCCCAGATATTTCATCCGCGGGTGGGAGTATCAATAGCCTACTATGCCTCCAGCTGAATATCCTACTAAACTCTAAATTGACACCCACTAAACACAGAGGTACTCCACAAGAGTAGTTTAAACGCTTAAAATCAGATTTCTAGAATACATTGTAGCCCAATCAACAGTCTCAAAATCTTCAGTAATGTACAATCTTGGGTAAAGAATAGACGAAGCCAGTCCCGGGCGCTTATGGCATAGGTGTTGCCTCCGTTCTTGATTTCTACGATTTGTCTGCCTTTGCGGCTTCAAAGTAATGCAGCCAACCTTTGAGTCCGTTTCCCACGAGTTGTTCTCGCATGATGGGCCAGAGAATCTCAGATGACATGGTTGCCACGCGCTCCACCAAATCCAGCAGGAGAAGTACGCCCTGGCGAGTAGACGTACTAGCCTCTAGTTCGTCGAAAGGACCCTGACACAACTAAACAACGAGTATTAGCCAAATCACGAGGGGGCGTTCGGAGAAGGGGGTGTTTTAACGTACAATGCTGCCGTCGGGCAATAGACTCGAAATGTACAACGACCACTTGTGTCCAATGACAGTCCAACCGACCATTGACGGGATCAGGCGTTCGGCTTCCGCATCAATGTCTATCCCTTCCCACGTCATGATGATTGTCTCTTGCATCTTTCGCAGCATGGCGGCATGATAGACGGCAAGCCGCATCTCGGCTTCCATAGGTTTGCCTCCATGCGCTTCTACCTGTATAGCACACGCATGCAGAAGGCGACCAGTGTATACGTCCGTCATCGGGCTGAGCGTGGCGTCGAAACTCCCCGACCTATGATTCTCGTAGACTTGACGGACATTGCTGTCGGTGTTTCCGCTGAAGGCAAGGACTAAGTCCACTGTTGCGGACACTGCCTTCCCAGACTTATCCCGGGGCAGGAAATTTGGATGGATGGCTTGCGACTGACTTCAGGCGAGGACGTTAGCTATATCCTAACTGAAGCCAGCTGCAAGTCCGATGATAGGTACTCACACATCATTGATCTCCAGACACCCTGAATCATTCTCAATAACGGTTTCTAGCACATCCCATACGACTCTCGCCCAGGCGTTCTTGTCCTTGCTGTTGTCGTTGCATCGTTTCGCCCTATCGTAAATGGTCTCCATGCGATCCCATAAGGTCTCTAGTAAGTCTTTTTCTCTTGGACTTAGCTCTTTGGGGTCGAACATGTGGGGCTTGATGCTTCTCAAGGCTCTGGAGTCGGCTTCTTGGAAGTGGTCCTGGCGCAAGTCAGTCATCTTTCTAGGCTTCAACGCACGCATGGAGGTAGCTGCAAGGGAAAATATAGAGACTTAAACTGACCTTGTAATATGAAGGAATGAAACCAGTCGCGAATCCATCGGAAAGAATCTCTTCAAGCTTATCCGCCGACGCGATCTGAGTGTCGCGATCTGGTTGTCGGATGCGGATCGGAGGGTTGCATTGTTGGAGAAGAACGCGTGGATTTCGCTCAAGAGTTTGCGAGTCTAGTCTCGTGAACGATGTAGGCTCTATGTTCCAGCAAGGGCCGGAGGAGATGGCTGATGGTGATGATGATGATGATGATGCATCGGCTGTGGATTTAGTTTCGGACGCGTCGTCAGATGAGTCTTCGGGTGAATCATGAATTGATGTTGGACGCGCGGGTGATAAGAGTCGCGGACGGACTCGTCGTATTTGTTCAGAGCGACGCGTTCGCTTTTTGCGACCTCCTGATCGAGAGGACGATTCGCATTCGCGTGCTTCGAACTTTGTCGAAGCTGACGATACGGAATCTATCCAGGGGGCTATTTCCGCCATGGTGGATGGTGCCAATTGCTTCAAATTCACGCGACTTAAAGGATAGGAACTTTAAGGGGTGAGAGTGTCGGTGCGTTTGTTGACCGAATAACGAAGGAGAGTTGGAGATCTTCGTTGTGTTCAAAGGCTCTAAAGTAGCGCTTGTTAATCTACATGTATATTATACAACTTTTTGTAGATATACCGTATATACCGTATATACAATGTATGGTATGGTATGGTATGGTATACGAAGCTAGCCTGATAGAGCTAGCACTAAGTCTTCACAACCAGACCGCAGAGCATTCGAGTACCCCAGAGCACTCAAGATTTCCTATCAGCAGAATGAGTACATCTATTGATAGTAATTACCACAGTAGGACTCACTATAGATCTACAAATGTAGGGAAGTAGTCTAGTCTCGACTCCGAATATGAGTACCTAGGTACCTAGGTATATAAATGAATATCCCAACTCCTCACCTACCCAACATATTCCTTAGACAGATGTATCATAAATCGTATGACAATGGCATGTTTCTCATTCTTTATATTCGCCATCTCCTTCCTAATCATCTCGTTCTTGCTGCTGATTGTCTTCTGTATGCTCCAATTCCTCCCAGCTCGGCAATACTTTTGCGGGGAAGCGAGCCGAGGCATTGAGATAGGTACAATTCAGAGCCGGTCAGGATTGTCTGACCATAACGACTGACTTATGATCGAACGACATTTTCGGCTATCTGCTCTTGATTAAAGTTGGTGGTTCGCTATGGCTTGGTGTGTGGGTAGATATATAATTGTTTGAATTTCTTTCTGGGTTGGTGACTTGATTGAATCGATTGATGTGATTGAGTAAATGGCTTTGTGATCTGCTCTATTGCCTTCGTTTTCTACCATCGTAGTCCCTATATTGCTCCCATACGATTCCTCTACTTGTCACTATCTATTAAATTTAAACATCAAGTACAAGACAAAAGCAACCACCATGCCGACAGCTTCAGAGCGCATCCCCGCCGCCGTGCGCCCTCTCGTCAGCGAGAGAGCTCGCAAGACACTCGACCTGGTAAGCCAAATCCTCCCTCCCTAATCCCTATTCCAATCTCCAAACCCCTAACACGCCTCCCCCCAGGTCGAGAAGTTCGTCAACGAAGAATGCCTCCCCGCCGACCCCGTCTACCACGCACAACTCGGCACCGGCGCCACCCGCTGGACCTACCCGCCCATAATGACCGAACTCAAGACCAAAGCGCGCTCCCTGGGTCTCTGGAACCAATTCCTCGCGGGCCACGAGCACGGCGGCGCCGGCTTCACGAATCTCGAGTACGGACTCATGTGCGAGCAATTAGGGCGGAGCCGGACGGCGTCGGAGGCGACGAACAATGCGGCGCCCGACACGGGGAACATGGAGTTGCTGGCGAAGTATGGGAGTGAGGCGCAGAAGAAGAGGTGGTTGGGGCCGCTGTTGGAGGGCGAGATTAGGTCGTGCTATGTTATGACGGAGCCGGATACGGCGTCGAGTGATGCGACGAATGTGCAGTTGAGTATTAAGAGGGAGGGGAATGAGTATGTTCTTAATGGTCAGGTAAGTTGTTTCTGGGTGTGATGTATGTGGTTGATTGCTGACTCTGAGAATATAGAAATGGTACGACATATCTCATCACCCCTACTGCTGAGTTCGAAGTTCGAAATGAACGACGTCAATCTCAACCTCATTTCTCACACTGATGACTGACATCATATAGGTGGATATCCGGCGCCGGCGACCCACGCTGCAAAGTCTATATCGTGCTCGGCAAGACGGACCCGAACCACGCAGACAAGTACAAGCAGCAATCCATCATCATCGTGCCCTCAGACAGCCCCGGCATCGAGGTGAAGCGCATGCTCTCCGTCTACGGGTACGACGACGCTCCCCACGGACACGCCCACCTCATCTTCCGCAACGTCCGCGTCCCAGCCGAGAACATCGTCCTAGGTGAGGGGAGGGGCTTCGAGGTCATGCAGGGGCGTATGGGTCCCGGCCGCATTCACCATGCCATGCGCTCCATCGGCGCGGTAAGCCGCTCTTCTTCACATTTCTCACTGCCAAATTTGACACTGACCCGAACCCCCACCAGGCCGAAGAAGCCCTCCGTTGGCTCCTAACCCGCGCCAACGCACCGCACAAGCAACCCTTCGGCAAGCAGCTCTCCGAGCAGGGCGTGATCCTGCAATGGATGGCGAAATCCCGCATCGAGATCGACGCGGCCAGGCTCATCGTGCTCAACGCCGCGGCCGCCATCGACGCCGGCAACGCGAAAACCGCACTCGTCGAGATCGCGCAGGCTAAGATCCTCGTGCCGAACATGGCGTTGGATGTCATCGATCGTGCTGTGCAGACACACGGCGCGGAGGGCATCTGCCAGGACACTCCCCTTGCGTACATGTGGGCGCAGGTTAGGACTGTTAGGATTGCGGATGGACCGGACGAGGCGCATTTGGAGCAGTTGGGGAAGAAGGAAAATAAGAAGGCTGCTGAAGCTAGGGATCTCATTCAGAGGCAGGTGGAGAAGACGGATGCGCTATTCAAGAAGTACGGGACCAAGGAATTGGGACCGTGTCCGAGGTTGTAGGGTGAACTAGAGTGGCGCTCAGAGGATTTGTGGTTTGGGAATTAGGATAATAGATTTGAGCCCATTGGGATTGGACGACCGTAGTATGTTACTATTTAGACTGGCAGATTCCAGGTCAGGGGATCACCAATCAATCGGATATTTTGAAGACTACAAAGGCCCGCTGCTAGCCATGGCACCAGGAACCAATTCGTGATATCGGGGTATCTAGTAACGACTTACCCGTGCAGGAGCATGAGTATAGTCCCTGGATTTGATTTGAGGACTTGGGGAAGAAAGTGTGAAGCATTAGAAGGCGCAGATTGGATGAGCTGTATATGTTTTGCATTGTACAGGTGTTGCGGCCGGGTTTGTATTTGTGTGAGTGCATCAGGGACCATGCGATCGCTGGATGTTGATGACTCAATGATATCCAAATGAATGGCCCGTTCCTTTCCAAACGCCCTTCTCGCACCTTAACCAACGTGACCTTCCAACCGCATCTCACTCATCTTACCTGCCCTGGTCATGCTTACATCTTGCCCAAGTTATTTCACTCAACTTAACCATCCTAGTCAACCTGCTCATTTTGTCCTGTCAATTATGACCCTGCTCATCATGCCTAATATCTCAGCTTGCCCATTTTCATCTTGGCTGTCTTCCTCGTCATAATCTTTTTCATCTTAACTGCCTTCCTCGTCTTCACTGCTGTCCTCATCTTCATCACTCCCTTCTTTAAAAAACCTCCTCAAACCCCTGACCCTCGTCTCCCCCCTCTGCAGCCTCGCCGTATCAAACATCCCCTGCATGACGTTTGCCATAGTATTGCTTCTGCTACTCCGCTCAGAACGGCTGGAACCTTCTCTTCGACGCGCTACTTCGGTTCTCACCTGCCATGATGACGGGACTCTAGGGGCGAGGAGCACCTCACCCCTCGGAGAGAGTCGTGGCGGTGTGAAGGATGGTCTTGGGGATCGGAAGCGACGCGGTGGTTGAGGTGGTTGAGGTAGAGGTGACTGTGGTTGCGGTGGCTGTGGTGGCTGTGGTTGCGGTAACGAAGGGAAGTGGGCCATAGATCCAATTTCTGGAATTACCCGGTCTGACAAATCCGATGAGGCGTGATTGCTTGCATGGGTACCTCCGCCATTGATGCGTGATGGGCTTGAGCTGTTTGGATCGAGAATGCTTGCATAGGTCCTTCTACCGTTGATATGTGATGGGCTTGGACGGGTTGGGTTCAGGGCGCTTGCATAAGTCCTTCTGCCGTTGCTAGACGTTGGACTTGGACTATCTGGATTGGAGGTACTTGCATAAGTCCTTCCGCCGTTGAGGTAGGATGGACTTGAACTATTTGCCCCTCTACCGTTGTTGCAGAATGGACTCGGACTGTTCGGGTTGAAGACGCTTGCATAGGCACCTCTACTGTCGGTGTAGTAGGGACTCGGACTATTTGGGGTGCGGGTGCTTCCATGTGGATTTGAACTACTTGCCCCTCTACCGTTGTTGCAGAATGGACTCGGACTGTTCGGGTTGAATAAGCTTGCATAGGCACCTCTACCGTCAGTGTAGTAGGGATTCGGACTATTCGGGTTGAGGACGGTTGCATAGGCACCTCTACCGTCAGTGTAGTAGGGATTCGGAATGTTCGGGTTGAGGACGGTTGCATAGGCACATCTACCGTCGGCGAAGTTGGGACCCAGACTGATTGGGTCGATGGCGCCTGCATAGTTGCCTCCGCTGCTGGGGAATGGTGGACTGTTTGGGTGATGACGGATGCTGAAGCAGACATTTCCGCCGTTTATGATTAGTGGAGTATGTACGTTGAAGGTGCCAGTGAACGATCTTATGCCGCTGTCGGGTGTGTTTGGGATGTTCTGGTTTGAATTGTTTGACTTTGGAGTGTTTGGGTTAGGAATGCTTGAGTTTGGAGTGTTTCTGTTAGGAGTGCTTATGGGGTTGGTGATGCCTTGCTGTTGATGGTTGTTGGGCTGACTTTGATCTTCGGCATTATTGGCCTTGCTGCCGCCGGGAGTTTCAGCACCATCATCAGGCATGTTGGAATAAAGAGCTGTCTAAGTAAAATCAATTCTGCTGTAAGAACGAGTGCGAAAGGTGCTCGATGCCAGTGGCAGGCCTTAAAGTTGCGATGCTATAAAGCCTCTTGCATTAAGCGGCCCACGTGTAGGATAGAGAGCCTTGTAAGACCTATTGTATCGTAGAAGATGTGTAATTGATGCGATCCCAGCGCGTAAGCATATGTATGTTAGAGTGTAGAGAAGATGTCTCCCAGAGAGCTTGGGTTGACCTTCAACCGCTTCTTGACCTTTGGAGAAAGAGCGAAGAGCATTCTTGTCGAGTAAGTCAAACCTACCAATCTGGAAGGCGAATCTGTGATAACTTGTTTAAGCGTTCATTCCTCGGCAGCATTTAAATCAGGCGTATAGACATTACCTATCCGAGGCTGAGCCAGGAGGTGGATAATGATTGACTTGACCGAATTAAAGCATCGGCCTTTTAGATGTATACCGATCAGCTGAGCATCGTGAAAGCATGGTGCAGGATGCGTAGAATGTTTGGGGGTTCCATTCTGGTGCTTTCGAAGATTGGATATCACGACAGCGAGAGAGGCAGAACGTATGAGAATCAGAATCTCCACATTCGGCTGGGACCTAGCACAGAACAGTGAATGCCTCAAAAACGAATTAGATTGGGCAAAGAGAGCGAAGGAAAGGGGGTATATGTCAACCAGTCTAGAAGCTAGCAAACGATGCATGCAAGACAAGGAAAAGAAGCACAACTCCCGCTACCGTAAGACACAAAACCATACGAAAGCTCCAAAATAATTTAATAATCAAGGCGTGGCACAAATCTTAAATCGAGTCGTTAAATTCGTTCCGGTCTTCTATCAATCGTCATGGCGATTGACATGTTAAAAGATCGAGTGTGCAGCGCCGGACTCCTCATTTGCGCTCCCGCACTTGTCCATTCTCCTCTGCCTTAGCACCAGTTGTTTCTGTAGCGCCTTCGAGGGATGGGAGTGCCTCGATCTCCCCGAGTTTGCGGTCACCAGTACTCTCACCTGGCGTCACAGGCCCGAGTCCTGACACGGGTGAATTCTGCCATTTGGCGACATCCTTCTTCAATGCCTCAAGTTCCTTCTGGAATTTCTTTCCATAAAAGTCGATGTAGAAAGTGGCGCCATTGTAGATACTCCATATGAAGACTACGACCAGGAACAAACCGCTTGGCCATCGGTACCAAAACCAAATTGGGCAGGGCAGCATCGTTATGACGGCGTATGAATACTGGATGAGCATGAAAGCAGGCTCTTGTAGAGAATCCGGCAAGGAGAGGACAATTTTGCCGATCCAAGTCTTCGCGTATGACTTCCTCAGCCACACGAACGATGTCAAACGGCCTGCAGCAATTTTCTCGCGCTTGCGAACGGTAATGCCAAAATGATAGCTAAGCTGCCAAAAGGCATAGGGAAATGTAGCCCAGAGCATCATCTGGAACAGGGTATAATGCTCCGGTGAGCCAGGTGCCGAGAAACGGATAGTGTAAATGGCAGGGTAGTTATCGCGCTGGAACTCAGGCGAGAGAAGGTGGACGAGGCAGTGAAGTGTAACCGGAGGCATGATGTGTATGAATAGACTTGCAAGAATCAGCGCAACGCTTTCGGAGGATAGAGGATGAACTTACCTGACAACCTTGTCCATAGAATGGAAGACCAGAGAATTCCGCCACATGGCGATGGCGACCGCATTGTTTCCGTAAGCCAAGCAGTAGCTGCTGATAAAAAGGCGTTTGGACGAAGGGAAAACCCAGATACTGAGGATGAGGAGGAGGTTGACGAAGTAGCAAAGATCGGCGAGAAAATAGTGGTACTCCTTCTTCTTGTAGGTGTAGAATCGGATTGGCATGAAGTAAAGCATCTGGCCCGTGTACCAGTGTGGGAAGTACTGCGGGAATGCGCCGATAAGGTAGCCAGAAATGAAGATATTTAATACTCCAGCGATGAATGAAGCCTTCTCGCGTGCGGTGACAGCTGTCTGCGATTTCCACTGCCCGTGAAGACGGTCGACGGACTTCCGCATCCGCGCTCGGTACTTGTCGAGCTGTTCGTCTGGGGTTGGGACCCTTCGACGCCATTCTTCCACAACTCTGTCCCTAGCATTCATACCAGTACCCTTGAGTCGCGACTGCTGGCGCTTGAACTTGTCGGCTTGTGATTGCAAGGAAGCCTGCCACTTCTCTACTCTTTGTTGTAGGGCCAGGTTCTCGACAAAATCGAACATGGTGATGCGCTCGACGGGTGGGAAGAAGGAGCTTTCATCTTCGGACTGGTATGAATGGATGCTTGCGGAGTATGAAGGTGTTTGAGAGAGCGAGGGCGTTGTTGCTGGCTGGGTTTGAGTACCCTCGCCGAGTAGTGCTGTACCGGCATGGGTGGAATCGCCCGGGAGGGGGTTTCCAGAGAGGTCAGAGATACCGCGCAACTCTGGTTCGGACTTGGATTGGGGGTGTATCGGGGGTGAATTTGAGGTAGACATGACGAATGAATCCTCTGGGACGGAGTCTAGTCCCGAGGGGACACGGCGATGGGAGGGACGCTGCAGATGTCGCGGAGGAGATATAGCTGCCATTTTGTTTTGTCAGTATCACTCGTTCTTATTGTTGTTGTTGTTGGTGCTGCAGTTGGAGCTTGGACTTGGGGAGAGGCGAGGGAGGACCATCCTTTGGGCTGAAGAGCCAGACAAGGACGGAAATGATAAAGGGAAAGAGAATGTGGAAAAGGGTATGTACGAACAGGGCTATATGAGTAATATGAGTAAGCTGGCTGTTGGTATTCCAGAGCTTGTTCTCATGACAAGTTTCCGTTCCAGATAGGTGATATGGAATAAAGACAAAAGAGCTCCAGGCCTGTGATCTGCGGGGAAGACAAGTGTGGGAGGGATGGTGCTTGATAGGCCTAAGTTGTGGCGAGTGAGTTTACGTGCGTGTTGGATGGAGGTTGCTTTGTAAAGACTCGAAAGGATGTAGAAGGGATGGTATGATGGTTATGGGGGGAGGAAGAGGAGGATAATGGAGAGAGAGGGAGGTCGTGGGCGGAATGATTGGAGGTTGTTGGTTGTTGCTCGTTAACCCAGGCAGCGTCATAGGATCAACACGGAGGCCGATGCCAAGAGGAACCTTTCTTATAACCAGGTATGTACTCACGTTTGCGGGCACGTCTCCTGTTCACGAGATGGCGTTATGTGGCTAGTTACGGAGTATAGTGGTTATTAACATGAAGATAAGAATAACAAATACTGGTGCAGAGAAAAGGGAAGAGAAGGGAGAACCATAAGTACAGTAGCTACCTAGGTACGTAGGTAGTTTCGTCATACCTTACAATGACTACCTAACCTAATGTACCTACCTACCTAGCTAGCACCGTCTAGGTACCTAACTATAGGTACCGAAGTCCAGAGCCCGAAGTCCAAAGTCCAAAGGCCCCTCGAAAGCTGTTACTATAACTGCGAAATATCTCTAGATCATCGTAAAGATGGTACTAATAGTACAGGTGGGTGGGAGTTATATATATCATCTTGCCCAATCTGTGATGAATAAGGTACACTCCCACTGTAATGTCCAAAACCACCTCTATCCTGCGGGTTATTATGTGCAGATTGCATAATCTCAGTAGTAATCTCAGTGAGACCAGTTCAACCGTTCACTATTAGACATATTGCCATATCTAGGTATATATATTCAATGTGGGAGTATAACAACCTTGGTACCTAACTAGAGTATAAGTATAGGTACATAGATACCATAGTCGTAGTCGGTTATGTCCATGTACATGTACAAGTACTGTTAGTATTGGACGGATTGGAATTACGGTAGGCGGTTAGGCTGAATCACGACGCGCCTCCGCCAAACACGCGAACTCCAATCCACCACCAACTACCCACCCTTGATAACACACGCAACTATCAGTACCTCCCCTCCATCACCAGAATCATTCCTCCTCTGGTCTGATATTTCGCCTTCATTCTATTGGTATCACGGCGCCCACTCGCTGGGAGACAGCTCGCCGACATGGGGAAGCTCGTGCAACTGGAGGTCAACAGTAAGCGACAGGCGCGCTCCCATCACCATCACCATTCATATCTGGCAACCAACCCAACTGACTTATGCGCGCTCCTCAGACTTTAAATCCTATCGCGGACATCATGTCCTGCTCTTCGGGGATTCGTACTTCACCTCCATCATCGGTCCCAATGGCTCCGGTAAATCCAATTCGTAAGCTCTCCTACAGCACAAGATTTCCAATAGTCCCCACTTTCTTGCGCGCGCATCTTTGCTGACAGCATACGACTATGTAGCATGGACGCCATTTCCTTCGTCCTCGGAATTAAGTCATCTCATCTACGATCATCCACATTGAAAGATCTCATTTACCGCGGACGCATCATTCGAACCACAAAGATCAACGAAGACGGCACCGCAACCGAAGCCAACGGCGACGACCAAAATGGCGCTATACAGGACAATGGCGATTCGCAGCCCGCCAGCCAGCGCGGTGATCCACAGACCGCGTGGGTTATGGCCGTCTTTGAGGACGACGCGGGGCAGGTCCACAAATGGAAGCGCAGCATCACCAGCTCCTACACTAGCGAATATAGAATTGACGGCCGCACTGTATCGCAGCAGCAATACAACAGTGCGCTGGAAGAACAAAGCATCCTGATCAAGGCGCGAAACTTCCTAGTCTTCCAGGGTGACGTCGAGAACGTCGCATCGCAGAATCCGAAAGACCTCACCCGTCTCGTGGAGCAGATTTCCGGTAGTCTGGAATACAAGGCCCAGTATGAGCGCCTAAAAGCAGAAGCCGAGAACGCCACCGTCAACCAGACCGACCACCTCCAGACGCGCCGTCAGATCAACGCCGAGATGAAGCAATGGCAGGAACACAAGTCTGCAGCGGACGATCTCGAGAAGAAAGAGGCCGCAAAGGCCGAGGCCATCGTGACACACGTCTTGTGGAAGCTCTTCCACTTCCAGCAAACCATCGCAGAATCAAGTGAAGAGATTGCGAAACACAAAGAAGAGCTGAAGCAACATAAGCGGGGTGTCGAAAAATATGAAAAGAGCTTAGAACAAGCCCAGCAGGCTCAGGCAAAGGCTTCTCGAGAGGCTAACAAGACCGTCAAGGCGATTAGAGGCAAAGAGAAGGAGATCGAGGACGCAGAGAACAACCTGGTTCCAATCGATGAGAAGATCAAGATCTCCACAGCGGACGTTCACAAATACGAGGAGCGCATTGCTGCCATCTCGAAGGAGCGTGAAACCCAAGTCCAGCAGATCGCAAAATTCGAAAAGGACCTAGCGACGGTGCAGAAAGCACAAGACAAATGGGAGAAAGAGGCTGCCGCTGCCGCCAAACAACAGGGTAAAGAGCTTTCGCAGGCTGACTTCGAAGAATACACCAGGCTGCGTGGAGATGTGACCAAGCAGACACACGCCAATCAGAATCAGATCAACAGACTTGAACAGGAGATTCGCACCGAGCAGGATTCCGTCCGAAATCTCAAGCAGAAAGTCGATGATTCCCAAAGTCGAGTCAGCAGATTCGAGACTGACATCAAGGAACTCCAGGAGCAGCAGCGTCAAGCGCAAGCGCGCCTCAAGGATCTGGAGAAGGAAAGAGCCTCCAAGCAACACGCCTTAGACAAGCATCGAGCCACTCGCCAGTCGACTGAAAAAATGCGGACAGAGCTAGACCAGAATTTGCGTGAGGCCCTCTTCAGACTACGCGAAGCCGATTCCGGCCGTCGTCAGAGCGAAAGAGAGCGCAAAGCTCGAGAGTCCGTCAACAAGATGAGACAGCTATTCGGCACGGGTGTCTATGGTCGATATAGCGATCTCGTCAAGCCCAAGCAGAAGAAGTACGAGAGGGCTGTTGAGACGTTGCTTGGATGGCATATGGATGCTATCATCGTGGACACTGATCGAACGGCTAAGCAGTGCATTAGGTACTTGAAGGAGCAGAAGGTCGGCGTTTTCACATTCATCCCTCTTGACACAATCACCGTCATGGCTGTAAACCAGAACCTTAAGGGTATGCATAAGGGCATGCGCCTTGGCATTGACTGCATCGATTACGACGGCCATCTCGAGCGAGCCATGGCGTCCGCCTGTGGCAACTCAATGATCTGTGACGACATCAATGTCGCAAAGTATCTGTGCTACGAGAAGCGTGTAGATGCCAAAGCCGTGACGCTCGATGGCACGGTCATTGCCAAAGGAGGTACTATCACTGGTGGACGCCTTGGCTCCGATAAGAGCGGACAGCGCTTCAATGAGGCTCACATTGAACGACTCCAACGAGAAATTGATAAGATCAAATCTCAGATGGACGCTCTTCCTCGTTATGACCGCCGTGATCCCGAGCATGAAACTCTCGAGAATGAAGTTGCTGACCTTACCGATCAAATCTCGCGCACAACCGAGGAAATCAAAGCCCTGGCACGCAACCTTGACAGCAAGAAGAAGGAGCTGCAGCACCACAAACAGCAGCTAAAGGAGTGGCAACCTAAGTACAACGATGAGGAGCGCCAATTGCAAGCATTGCAACAAGAATTCAAGGGCTACCAGACGGCAGTAGACCAAGTTGTTGACCAGGTCTTTGCGGCATTTTGTCAGCGCCTCGGGTACGCTAACATTCGCGACTACGAGCAGCAGCAAGGAAAGGCGCAGCAGGAGGCCCTCGAGAAGAAATCGGAATTCGCACGTCAGCGGGACAAGATTGAGCGGATCCTCGGCTACCACAAGGAACAGCTCAGTTCTTTGGACGAGCGCACGCAAAATATGCGAGACAGAGTTGAACGAAGTCAAAAGAACGTCGATGAGTTCGAGGCAGAGAAGGAGACGCTGCAGGGCGAGATTGATGTTCTTCAAGCTGAGCTCGAGAGGCTCAACGAGACCTACGAGGAGCTGAACGAAAAACTTGCGGAGCGAACAAAGGTTGTGAAGGAGGCACGCGCAGAACTCGAGGAACGCAACAAGGCCGTCAAGGGCGTGATTAAGGCTGTCGAAGAAGAGGAGGCCAAGATCAAGCGCACAGCTGACAGCCGGTACGTCCTCTTAAAGGACTGTCGTCAAAAATTCCTCAAGATTCCACTGGCCGAGGGCTCCGCATCTCTGGACGCAATCCCATTGCAAGGTGTAGGAGGCCCCGACCCAGATGCCATGGACGTGGACGAAGAAGACATCGATGCAACTCAGATCCAGCAACCCGAAATTGACGACTTTGGCGTCGAGGTGGACTTCGATGAGCTTGACGACGAACTTAAAGAGGTACGATTGAATGTAGATACAAGCCTATGTAACCTACTAACCTTGCACAGGATGACTCACCGGAATGCGGCACCAGACTTGAAGAAAAGATATCCGCGCTCGACGCCGAGATCGCCGCAGCAGACCGAAACGTCGACAAGCGCGCCGGCGACAAACTCCACGAAGTCGAAAACCGACTCAAAGACACAACCAAAGTGTTCGAGACCGCGCGCAAGGAAGCCGTGCGGGCGCGAAAGGAATTCGAAGAAGTCAAGCAGAAACGCCTCGACGCCTTCCAAAAGGCCTTCAACCACATCTCCGACAACATCGGCGGAACGTACAAAGACCTCACAAAGAGTCGCGAGTTTCCCCTCGGAGGCCAGGCCTACCTGGACATGGAAGACAGCACAGAGCCGTACAACGCGGGTCTCAAGTACCACGCCATGCCCCCACTCAAGCGCTTCAGAGACATGGAGCACCTGTCCGGTGGCGAGAAGACGATTGCCGCACTCGCGCTGCTGTTCGCAATCCATTCCTACCAGCCGAGTCCGTTCTTCGTGCTCGACGAGGTGGACGCCGCGCTCGACAACGTCAACGTCGGTCGTGTTGCGAAATACGTCCGGGAACATGCCAGCCCTGGCATGCAGTTCATCGTCATCTCGCTCAAGGCGGGTCTATTCCAGGAGAGTGAGAGTTTAGTTGGTGTTATGAGAGACCAGGCGAAGATGAGCTCGAGGGTCGTTAGTTTGGACGTAAGTTACCACCCCTCCCTTTTCTATGCATCAAGCATGCTAACAATCCGATGTAGTTGAGGAAATACCAACCCTCCTAATCAACCCTTCACGGATATAACAGCGCATATCAATAATGGAGGGCATCCAGCTTGATGCATGTACGAAAGCATAGCTTCTTTACCCGCGAGGCTTTCTCCCGTAAAGTCTACCCTTCCAATTCATTCGAAAGAAGTAGAAATATCATTTTCCATCATGGCTGTGCACTTGTAGTATACCTCCTATACCAAAGATTTCCAATGTCAAGATCAATTTACTTTTTGAAGAAATAGGTGTGGTTTCAATTGATGTACTTCAAACGCCACGCACGAGTGATGTTTCTCCGTCTTCAACATACCCTAAGAGCACTCGCCCCGTCGTGCCCTCCTCCAATCAACGGCATAACATCCTCCATATGCCGCACTGGAGGATATCATCTCATTCCATCGCGTTCTATCACAGAGGCAGGGATGATCCATAGCCAAACATTTATATCAGAATCAGCTGTTGTGCTATTGAGCGAGCGATCAGCAGAATGTTTCGTAGACGTGCTGAGTGTCCTTTCTTGCTTTGTACTCCGTATTAGCGTTCATAATGTGGGGAGAGGGGTGGTTATCCCTGGCGTGTGGGCCTGGGGTATTCCCGCCTTCTTCCTTTTCATCAGTGCAATGCCCCCATCCCTGTCAGCCAGCTCATCATCTTACCCAAATCTGCATCCCCAATCTCCACTCCCTCGGTAACATATTCAGATACATTTATGGACATTGATGAGCGTATCGAATTGGTGAAGAAGGTCCAGGGCGAGCTCTGGGAGGACCGTCTGAACGAAGCCTATCGAAGTGGCCGCCTTTGTGCATGGGCGTCAAGCTTCCATCACGATCGCCTCCCCTGCGAGCTTTCAGACAATACCCTTCTTTACGGTTCGTAAAATGCTGTATGCATATTAGTTTTTAGTGACGGCACCACCTGGCTGCTTCGGCTCCCGCGAATTGGTAAGGTCCATGATAGCTATGCTGACGAGAAGGTCGCCGTGGAGGTTGCTGCCATCAATCTCATACGACGTGACACCACAATACCAGTTCCAAAGATCGAGGCCTGGGGGCTTGCAGCACAAAACCCTCTCGGCCTAGGTCCATTCATCATTATGGAATCCATCCAGGGGCGGCGTAAGCCTCAATAACCTCTTCAAAGACACCCACGAGGGCACACGGCTCTTACGGGAAGACCTCAGCGACGACGAGATCGAGACCATCTACAGGCAGTTTGCCAGCATCCTCCTTCGGCTTTTCAAGCTCGACTTTGACCGTATTGGCAGCCTCGACCCTCCAAGCCCCGAACTTCGCTTGCCAACGCGGCCGCTGACTTGGAAGGTCCATGATATCCTCCAGACTGGAGGGATCGACATTACCTATACGCTCCTTTGGCACTATCTTGTTACTTCCACTAATAGAGCGAATTTTCAGGTGACAGAAGCAAGAGCTTTTCATCGACAACTGAATACTTCAAATACGTAGCGGAGCAAGATTGGAAACAGCTTGTCCAACAACCAAGTTCAACATACGGCCAGTATGACGCCATGGCTAAATACCGAACCTTTAGTATTCTCAAGTCCTTGATACCGGACTTTTTTCACAGCAACTTCGACCGGACTAAGTTCAAGCTCATCTGCGACGACCTTGGCGCAGCGAATCTGATGATTAGAAGTCGGCAGGACCTTACCATTATCGGCATTGTTGACTTCGAATGGTCCTATATTGGCCCAGCCCAGCTCTTCGGCTCGGCCCCTTGGTGGCTTCTCATGGACCGGCCGACAGATCAGGCCTGGGACTGCTACCAAGGGGAGCCAACTAAATTGCTACCCGTTACTTTAAGTACCTAGACATATTCAAACGCATTCTAGCAGAAGAAGAGGCAAAAACCCCGGGTCATGAGGAAAACGAGCTCTCGCACCTCGTCCATTGGTCAGAACACTCAGGCGCCATGTGGCTCCATATGCTCCTCACGACTGGCTTCAACGATCCCTGTTCATTCCCTTTGACGAAGCTGATACAGCATGTAGGTGCTGGTGAGTGGGAAAGGCGCGAGAGAGAACTCGACGAGGACGAGGTTGCGGCTCCTGGAGAGAATAAAGGTTCTGCATTTGGAACAGTACAACCGTGACCTACAGAAGATCGAGGAACACTCTGTTCTCATGGCCGAAGGAAAGATAAGGAAGGAGGACTTCGTTGCTATGCATTCTCTTTTTTGAGCCTCAACAACTCAAGGGGATCCACTGCACCAAACACCCTGCACAGGTTAGTACCTTGGATGGAAGCAGATGCCAGACCTTGTGAGTTTTGGGGTAGGTAGAAACTGCAATACAGAGAAGAGCATCATTCATTGATCGAGGGTACATTGTAGCCCCACCTGTAAAGATAGATACTTCTGTATAGATCTTGTAATAGTAATTGAACATTAGTAGCATCATAAAAATTAATAAACTCATAATAATTGAACTCGAGATAGACGCTTCTACTTCTATGTCAGATACATTAAACAACTATTATATGTCTGAGTGGGCAGTAACACAAACTTGGTCATAGATGTTGTGTTTACATGTTGTGTTTAAGAAGCCAAGAAGCAGTTCCATGTATGGTCAGTCGACTGGCCAGTCCGATCTTGCATCTGTTATCTCTCGAGGTATTGAACCATGTATATGGGCTGTTCCCTTATATGATGAGTGAGCTTCATAGAGTCTTACATTTCATTTGGGAAAGGCCGAATTTCGAGATGCGGGCAAGCTAGATAGCCTTGATAGATGGAGCTGCGTGGGAATAGGATATTCGTGAACCATATAAGTAGGGGAATTTGTATGGAGTTGAGCTTGATGATGTAGGACTAGTCAGAAAGATTAAAACAATAGTATGTGGCCCGGTTCTAAACAGTCTAGCTTTCAGTCATTCAGGGACAATGAGGGTGGTTATCATCGACGGAAAATGAGTTGTTGGTGTTTGAGATTCAATTTTTTCCATGGCATGTTCTCCGTGACGGACAATAAGCATATCCCGTATGGTGTCACCTTCTTTAAATGTGCGATTGGGAACATTTTTCGAATAACTTATCCTACTCCTATTATATTTCCTTCTTATTGTTGACCACGGATTACACTGGTATGTCAACCAGGATTACAAAAATGGTCTAATCTTGCTTCGTATCCGCATGGCGACAGCTAAACCGAGAGCACCGAAGCCTAACGTTTCATTGCAGCTTAGTATGAGGCTGGCAATTGAGATTATTTGGTATAATCACAACATAAACAATTGCCGCAACAGAGTGGCATCGAGCTTCATTGCTTCCGTCGACCACCTGATGGAGGACCCTCTCACATAACAAAGGGTGGGCATGTACGAACGAGCGCCATAATCGGATTTAGTGTTGGCTCGATGGGTTCCTTCGGACTGAATAGCGCGAAATGCAAACCGTACATGCGCTGACTGCAGGTCAATATATTAGTCCACTGTGCAAGATGAGGGAATAGCATTGCTGAGGCTTTCGGAAACCCGCACAAGCTCCACAACCCGACCGACCCTAAGGACCCACCCCGTTCGTTCATTCACCCTATATTCGCAACATGGACCTGACTATCTACTGTATGCAAGTCGAGTACTTGTAGTGGGTACCTGTAATCTAGATCTTGCGACACCAAGAAAGCGAGGAAGGTGGAGTCTCAACTGCAGTTCCGTCGCTTACTAACTCCACCACCCATGCCCTTCTACCTCGCTTCGCATTGGACTCTCCAACTATCAATGTAGATCCTATCCCCAGTTGAACGGAATTATGCAGGAAACTATGTCTTCTGTTCTTATAACCGGGTCGCGTATTGTGTGCTGTCATATCTTCAAAAAGTACGAGGTTGTGGATCGAAAAGACCTTCGAAGTATGTACCTCCGAGACTTTCCCCGTGACCAGCGTTTGCCTATTCTTGCCTGGTTTCTGGTCGGGTACTAATCTGCGGGAACGAGTAGTGTCTATGGGCATTGCCAATCAGAGTGAAGAGATGGATTGGAACTGGACGATGCCCTGTACGGCTGTACCTGAATAGATTGATCGCAGGATCAATATCTATGTACATGCATGCGCTCAATCATCATGTTACCTCCCACTGAACCTCGTGACGAGGATCTATATTTCTCTCAATTAGGCTGTTGAATATTCTTGATGGATGATGCAGCTATTTGCATACAACTATGTGCATATGTCAATCTCAGTAGTCTCTTTTTCTGAAGTTCAACCGAAAGACATTCGTATTTGGGACTCTTGGGAGTTATGCGGCACTCGCGCGGTTTATCGACCTTCTCAATCTAAGGAACCTCCGCATGCCGCTACCAAAGTAGAGCCCAATGCTGCCGTGCAGCCTTTAGCATGAAGCTTGCAGCTGTTGGGCCCATAGATGGCCCGTAAGTGAAGGTTAGGCTTGGGTTTAGAAGCTTCTACGAGTTACCTAGAAACAAACAAGGTATGAGCCTCGTGATTATCTAAATCCATGGAGGATGCTAGGTCCACATCTAAATATTCAAGCTCGACACTACGTCAACCTAATCCTCGGTCCAGCTCGTACAACACAAGGCTATCCCCAGAGAGCATGTATTTCACCAAGCAAGACTGAATCCATACACAGTACGAACCGCTCTAACATGTATGATATTCACATCAGCCTTATTGACCGAGTTCTGGGTACTGTATACGACCTGGGCTTACAAGTGGGTCGTGTGATATACAATATGGTACCACTGCGGGAAGAACCACACCAAACGACACATACAGCATGCTAGAGTCTATTAGGAAAGTTTTTCCTTCAACACGCCAGGTAGAATATCCCAGGATGTGTGCGTTGTAGTCCTTGATTCTGCTTGGCAACGTTGTTGAGGCATTTGAAGACCCTTGTGGGGGATGCTTGCCGCGTATTGCAGGACTAACTTTCCTCGGTGCCTGGGATACGATATGTCATTTCTGTGCCGTTATGCAGCGGTAGTCCAGATAGTTCTTTGGACCTGATCTTGGACATGTCACATGTTATATTATTGGACAGTTAGTACCCGAGATACCATGTAGCCGGTACTCTACTGTATACGAATGCCGTGGTCTAGCTTCATTTGAGTGACGGGAAGCAACAGTGCGGTATAGCCCTGTTGAGAAGATCAAATGCGGGGTGGGGGCGCATATGACTACTTCTATACCTTCAGTCAGCTTTTGTTGCTGAGATATATGCCACGGCAGGTGACATTCAATGTATCCTGTAGGACAGCAACAGGCACTTTGTGGACGATTATTCATGTCTTCACTGCATATTCCTACGGAAGAATAGCAATAGCGGCGATCATCACAAACAGCCTTAATTGGCAAGTCTACCTAACAGCTCGACACAGAGAAGCAATATTCAGCTGCTATCTGCTTTTGTGGCACTGAATAACAGCAATGCTCGCGACGATCATCTTCAGGGTGTCATGCTTATAAACATAAATCAATGAATCAGATATGTCGACCACTGTACGCCCTCCCGGAAGACGACCGTGATTGGGATTCTTGTTCCCGTCATGGGATGGGATTCTTGCTTCTCGTATTCGAAGCTGCATGGCTTGCCGTGCTACGCCCCCTTATTGGAGCCTCATTGGCTTCTCCATCAAGCCTAGGACTGGAATTCGCTAACCCATCACGAACGCCTCTGCTTGTGCCGTTGTACTTGTGAGTGCTTTTCGGTTGTTATCAACATATTGAATGGGTGATTGTGATGTGATTACTGAATCTGTTGGGCTTAGAGATGAGTTCTAGGCATTCGTAACGCCATCGAACGCCCTGAAGATGCCTGCAATCATAATCGAATGCTTTCCTTTGATGTGCATACGAATTCCTAGCAGTACGAGTACAGTCCGTATTTACGATGACCAACAGCTCGAAATTCCACCAATCACACACGCCGTCACCTCGTTGAGGCACTTTGTTTATCGATGTTGCTCGCAATCACAGGCTTTTGTCTCAGAATGCTGATTATAGGACTGATTAATGCACGGGCAGGATGTGTCTCCCGGTGACTGGGATTTTGTAAGTGTTGGCAGACCTTCCGTACTTCTATCTAGTGACTAAAGTCAATACTTGGGTCTAGAGGTAGGTAAGGACGTTCGACAATTGACATGTGCAGATCTTGAAACTAGCCATCAGAGCACACAGCATATTGAAGAAGTACCATTTTCGAACAGTAGCATTGATCTCTTTGCTTTCATATTCTTGTTTTGATATCTTGCATAGTCGTCAAAGTATGGTAGCTGTTGAAACGGTCAATTGACATAATTGCACTAACAGATTGTGATGTATTTGATTCATACAATTTCTTTGCATAGAGGTTGATTTCAGAAGAAACTTAGACAACAAGTTTGCTTCCAGCTCAAGGAGCGGATGATCTCCCCTTCAGCCGCCTGTTCTTAGAACCATTAATTACCGTATTGCTCAATTGTATCGTAACAACTTTCATTTCCAGCGAAACCATGTAAAAAATCCCCAGACTACCAATACTGGAACCCCAGAGTCTCAGACCACGCTCTTGGCATCTGGCCCAGCCAGCGTGACATGTGAATAACATTCCAGCCTATCATTTGCAAAACAAAACAGAAGAAGCCATTCCCCTCATCAAACTGGAGATCAAATGATCTCCAATCCAGCCCTCGACGTCGTCTCTCACATGGGGAAATCGTCCATCAGTAACGCCGTGAAAATGGTCCTTCAAAAACGCCTAGCAAGGACTGTTCTGCGAATTATGCCGACGACGGGGCGTTGATTCGTCGCTTCGGTAATGTACTTTGTCTAAGAGATCGGCATGTCATTGGCGAGGATGGTCGAGAATCTCTCGTTCGGATAATTCCACGATGATCTCTAGGGTTAGGGCGGGATCTTCCATCAACACTGAATACGATAGGACTATGTCAGTGTGAAATGGAATGGTAATGACTATTTTTGGGTTTCGGGATTGGAAAGGGAGGAATAAGGTCTGATCAGTTAATTTCTTGCCACAATCGTACTCTTTTCTCTCTTCTGCTCATTATTTCTCGGATCCTTCAATTTCAATGTTGAACTTTTTGTCATTCTTTTACAAGCGGAACTTGCCATTGACTTGACCTCTCTCGCACATACCTTACAATAGCATGACCAATACCCGATACATCGCCACTCGTGAGGCAAACAGAAGAAAAAACTTACTCGTGGTCCTATTTCAAATAAAACAGACATCACGACACTGATATTCGAGCAAAAGCAAAGCGAAGCAGAGCAAAGCACGTCCTATCGCCACTATGTATTCAAATACCTTTTACGAAGGGGCCATACTTTTAAGGCCCCCCAGCCCAGCAACCATCTGCACGGCTAGCAGAGGTCAGCCTCGCCGCCGGGGAGCAACTCCATACCTCCGAGCTGCGGGTGCGGCATTGTATCATTGCACATGGATAATTTACTGGAACTGGAGAATTTGACTCGTGCTGCGTGCCCCAACGGCGCCGGCTACAGATCTCGCTAATGTTTGTAGTAATCGATTAGATACCGCACCGTGGAACGACTTTCGAGAAAAAGCTAGGAGTCTCATTATTGGAATATCGTACTCGTAGGAATTGGAATTTCGGCCAGGCTCTCCCGCACTTTGCTTCTCCGGCGCCACCACCACCACCGTCGCCACCGTTGCCGTAGCCACAAGGCACGAAAGAAATATTGAATGCACAGAGACCAGAAACTTTATCTGATCTGATCATGATCATTGTCAAGCGGGCGACAGGGCAGTAGTGGCGACCCGCCAAACAGGAAAAGAGGTGGTTATGTAATGCTTTGGCATCGCGATAGTCTGCGGACGGCCTTGCGCGCGGGTCGAGGCGAGGCGAGACGAGACGTCGAAGGTTTCTAGAAGGCATGATGAGATGATCTTCCTGTCAGCATTTGCACACCAGCACCAGGGCACGCTTTGAGTCAATTCCTCCCTAGGAAAGCTTGACTCATACTGTGACTCGAATTGTGCTTGTGATTGCGATGGTGCGGTTAGTCGACTCTCCATATCATTTGTCATCGGCGCGCGACGCAGGGTAGGCAGTTATCGTGAGGATGGAGATTGTGACCCGCGGTCGAGAGACGGGTGATTGTAGCAAGGTACCGAACGATCAGGGCTATGATTAGAGCATATCAGAAATTCTCCGATGGCGATCGGAAATGCTGGCCGAATGGCTGTCTTGTTTTCTTGCTTGTTATCGATGTTAGGCGAAGGGATGAGTCTTCGGGACGAGTGTTTAGATCGCGGTAGTCAGCGGGATCTGTCTCCAGGTTCATTTGTAGTCAGCAAGGTGCAGAACAGAAGTGCGCAACAACATTGATCCGACTTCTTCATCTCGTTAACGGTACGTCTAGAAGGACAAAGTGGAGATTCGAGATCGATGAATGGTCGAGGAGCTTGGATTCGAGGGACGTTCTCCACCTCTGGTGGCTCGTGAGTAGTGACGCGCCGTTTTCTCGAGACGTGCTGTGGCCAGAGAGGCACTCGCCGAGCCGCGATATCGGGTGAAGATGGGACGGGAATCGGCCGTTGCAACTAATAAGGCCAACTTCAATCGCGTACGATCAGATCTTGATCGTGGATCGAGTTCCGTACAGTGGCGTATGTCGTATAATAGTGCGAGGCGAACTTTGCACTCATGCATCGCTATTTGGAAGGCGAGGAAGTCTCTGAGGCAATCGAATACGCGATATCTCCTGACATTATTCTGGTAAAGAAGATCGGCCCTCGTTTTCAGGCCTTTTCTCAGGCTCGGGTCGAGATTTTAGCAGATTTCTGGACGGAACCCGTGCGAAGATCGTAAACGGCCGGTGCACTGTTTTCTCCAGCGAGCCGTTTACCCCGTTTGATGGGCTGAGAGGCACGTACATTAGTCGTTCAATACGCAGGGAGACGACGTGTCCTGCGTCGACGCACACTAACACCTCGCTTCTCTCGTGGCGGCGAACGACACATGGGAATATGGATCTTGTAAGGATGGGGGTTTCAAACTTAGACTCGCATCTCGGACAATGTAGCAGTGTTGGGAAGCTTGTGATATTCCTTTAGGAGCGCGTCAGATGAACACTTTCCTCTCGTCCTTCGTATTCAGTCTCGGCGTCCAGCAGCCAATGATACATTCGGCCTCAATGAAGTAATGATGAGCACAACAGTGGGATAAACAACGACTCGAGTCCGAAGAAATCATGGCATTAAGTTTACAGCCGACCGGCCGCTGCCTTCAAGCTACGTGATGGGATTTATTAGCGACCGGGGCATGCGGATACGTTACCGATGGATCGTAAATGAAGGGGAGTGAGACTGAGGAACGTAATTCCGCGATGGCCCAAAGGGCTCTGGGGTGTTTGGGCGAGTACGAGATGCAGGCATGAATGCAGTATGCTTAGTGATTGAAGCCACGCTCCACACAGTTCCCCAGATGAGATGTCTAGTCGACGGATAGGCCGTCCAAGAATCAATGCTCACATCATACGAGAAGCTTGTCTTCCTCCTTTTCGTTTCTTTTGATACTGGTGTGGTCAACAATTCTTCGTGCTTGTCAGTCTTCGAGCAGCCGAACAAATTCGGGGTCTAATGTGCTAGCAACATCGTATATACGTAGCCAGCACGTATGATCGCGATATCGTTTGAAAAGGATCCATCCAACGTGACATACAGTGTATGGAGATAGCCGTTGCTTTATCAACAACAGTCAGTATGGAAAGTGGACCCGATGTGCATCGGACGTGATACAAACGCAGTAAGTTCTGTTGTACTGATGGGCAGGTGCTGGAAACACAATGTGTATCCAGGGTCTCCGCTCTTCACCGATCACAGAAGCATGACTACTTGCCCGCTATGCACAAGGAGACCCTGCAGCTGATGCTGCATCCCAATCTTGCAGCATGGCTATGTTTGTAGGGTAGTGCACCGTGAAGTGCGCCGCATAGGCGGAAATATAGGTAGGGAGGTTTACAGAACAAGCTGGTCGGATTTAAACTTGGAATACGATCATTGAGCCTCGAGGTTGTACAGCACCAGCTTGTTCGGGTTGACAATTGTTTAAAGAGGCGCTGAATAACGGGGGCGTTCCAGCTTCAGCACTTCTAGCCGCACATTTGGATGTAAAAGTACGAATTGCCGGCCCATAGGATTTCGCGTGATTTCCCATCTTCTGCTAGTATTGCCTATAGAGAAAAGCAAACTCATATGTTGCCGTGATACCTTTCCCTCGTACATTTCTCATTGGCCACATCTTGCCTTCCTTCGGTCTAAACGCCGCGCCAAATTAACATGCCCCCACGCCATGTATTGTGTATTCAATCTGTAGCCCAATAATTAGCGAGCTGAGCAATACTTGCTTTGGGTTAAATAACCGCAGAGAGAGACAGAGTTCACCCTCGGCTTATGCCGTGCACGATCCGGGTGCAGCTTTTCGATCGATGATTGCTCAAGTTGGTGAATTAATGGGGTATCTGAAAGAAGTATTCAAGGCACAAAACGATGCCCGGTAAATGCAACTCTATGCAACGACAACAACCATTTTGACTCGCTCTGATACTGGTGCCATAGCCTGGCTCTATCATGTTCGTGTCATAATCGTGCAACGCGACAAATGACCTTGCGCCTAAAAAAAGATCCATACAGGTAAACCTTGTAACCACTGGAGGAGTAAAATGCAAAGTCTTCGATGCCATCCCATAAAAAAAACAAAAGTCGTATATATGCACATAGTATTTTCAACGCAACTGGTCCTATTGCCCGTCCAGTATAGAATGCGATGCCTCTTCGATCTTGCCGCTGGAAGCGACTAATTGCCGGGCGGCGGCCTGGATAGATATGCTCTCGTCCTTCATCGTCTGCAATGCAATCTCTAAGCTCTGTGTTCGGGCCCGAAGACGTACGATCTCCGCACGCAAGACGTTGATCGTCGCTGAGTGTGAAGAACAACTTGCAGAATTGGTATTGGCCGGCGAAGAAGGATGTGAAGGGGTCGTTCCGGTTGCTGTGTCCGTGGGTGCATTGTCTCCAGTGACCATGGCCTCTTCTAGTACTTTGATCCTCTGTTCCAGTTCTGTCCTCTCGGCATCCCAGCGCTTCCTGTCCTCCGTATTTTGCACCTGCAAACGATTCGCCATCTCCATGATTCGCATGTACTGTGTGCCATTCGCCATCAATGATCGGCGAGCTTCGTCTCTGCTTTCCTGTAACTCTTCAACCTGGGCCTCAAGTGTTATGACTTGAGATTGGAGTCTCTCCTTCTCATCCGAGAGACTATTGATCTCGACATCGCTGACTTCGAATTTCTTTTCTAGAGTAGTGCATTTCGTACGCTGTCGTTCAAGCTTCTGAAGCAAGCTGTCATACTCTCGCTGCAGTGTCTGAAATGCCAAGGTCTTGACTGAAATTTGGTGCTGTAGGTCTTGGAGATGTGATGATTGCGCGGATCCCGTAAGTGATGATGTGGGGGAGGATATTGGGGGAATGGTCGAACTGGTGGGAAACTTCATCGAGGAAGCTGAAGGGAGCATGGTGTTCCTTGGGTTCTGTGGGGCGTGCAAGGGGGAGGGTGGTCGCATGAAAGATGATACCGACGGTGATCTCGCCGTGTGAGGTGATCCAGCACCTGGAATATCTGCTCCAAACGCATTCCGCCTATTATCTTCGTTCATGGTACGTGGATGTATCAAGGAGGGGTCGGGGAGGGCGTATTTAGGACCAGGAATTTGCCGGTATGACGGCGATTGTTCCTCTCCCTCATGTTGATATTGAGCTCTCCTCATAACTGGCGATGGCTTCGGGGAGGGAGCGTGGCGCTCTGGGCTATAAACGATGGATGGTTCTATATGGTCTCGCAAGCTAGAGTTAGTGTGACGTACAAAGTCGACTGCCCACCGCAGTGATTGACTTATATTGATATGGCTAAGCTCAGCAGGCTGCTACTCAGTCAGCCAGTAGTAAACAGCAGGCTTGGGGAAATGTCGGATGTAAATGTGAGGCCCACCGTTTCGGCAAAGGCTGCGAAAGGGGAGCTTACATCTTTGGTTAGGGTAAAACCATTTCGTTGCAAGGAATCATCCAGCGACACAAGCTCAGAGGCGAGTTCGCGCATTAAAATGCGTACGTCTACGCATGCTTGGCCTCCACAGCTTGCTGTGCAACACTTGGTCGGCACGGGAGTCGGAGTGGGTGGCTGTGGGTTAGTAGACCAACGAGTAGTCTCAATTGGCGGCAAAGATCGATCCGTGTCAGGGATCTCTTTTCCTAGCTTGTATTCTGGAAGAAGGCGTAAGTACTGAGGCAAAGGGAGGTATTTGAGAATATGTCCAATATGTCAGCGAGGCACGTACCTGGATCATTGTGGTCTTGTTGGGGCCATTGTTGGTGCTCAAATGCTCTGGTAACTCCGCGCAAAGTATGGTATGATCCGTCGCCTCCAGTGGCTATATGGCCAGCCAACGAATGCCGCCGAGAGCTAAGTTGGATCAATGTGCTCTCAGCCGGTGTATGCAGTGGTGGCAGCCGGCGAGAAGCAGTAGGTGTGTCGTCAGGAGAAGATCGGGCGGCAATTGGCGGGTATGAGGATTCGAGATGCAGATGAGTGAATGGACTTGAATGGTTCTCCTCCTGAAGCACATCACTGCGACTGTATTCCTCCCACGCCCGTTTCCGCGTTGGCCAGGAGTCCATGGGAAGCAGATTGCGTCCGTGAACAGCAACAGCAACAGCAACGACAACAACTTGAGCGGCTTTGGTGCGCCATTCGTGGTTGTGAAACAGATAGTATCAGGTCAATTCAGCAGCCTCGCTGGATATGAAGTGCCATGTCACAATAGCACGCCCAGGATTGAATTGGTGAGAGATTACTAAGAGGCGTCAAAGGGTGATGTGGGTGTTTGAATGGCTTGGCGGAACTGGTCAAACCATTCACAAGCGGGGATAGGAACTGGTGTCATCGAGCGCTGACGGAAGATGCGGAGCTTCTCGTAATTAAAGCCTAGGTAATGTCAAAAGCAGAGCGAGAAATCCACGTCGTGATGCCACTTCGTCGCTAGCAGAGCGCATTAGTTACGGTAGATTCGGTTCATCTTATGATGGTGGACTCAGCGCCACAACCGGGGCCTTGCACTTTCGGTAAGTCTAAGAAGGATAAAGGGGGGATGTGAACAATGTGAAGAAGGGACGTAACGCGTCCTTCCACGGGTACGAAGTTGCGCAGCAATACGGTTGTTATTGGGCCAGGTACGAGTACAGAATACAGGTTGGTGGACCTTGGAAGGTTGCCTGCTAAGGTCGCCAATACGCACCTAGTTACGAGTACTTCAAAGTTCAACGTATAAGAGATCAGATTGAGCGTGAACGCCCTCGCCACATTGGTTCGCATGCCTTGCTTGCGTATGGAACAATCAGACAGTCGATTCGCATCCGCATATGGCATACAGTCAGGTTTGGACAAGCATCAAGCAGACTATACGATTTTGAGACTTCGTTCGGGCTGAGTAAGACGCTTGATGTTAATACATGCTGACTCGAGATTTGATCACCTGCCGCTAGCCCCCTAGCCATCCACTCATGTTAACACACACTAATCGAATATGGGGTTGTTTCTTATCCCCAAAAGGCATCGGAATCCATTTCGAGGTAATTAATACCATGAGTATTGCCCATCAAAGTTACCGAACGGTCAGTATCGTGGTTCTGCGTTAGTGCACAGTACAGGTATATCAAACCGCGATAATGCAATGCACTGATCGTCACGATCTGCCATGATGTGTGGCCAGGAGCGATATACCCGTCATAATATGCAAATTATCCCGAGTCGAGCAGCAAAGATGTGGCGCCTGCAGCATCCTCCATATTCGTTGTTTGTTGCTCTAGACATCCAAACTCAATATGTAGCAGGCACATCATGTGCGCCAGACTTCTGATGGATAGTCCTGATATGGTTCTACTTGTCCATGTCGAGCAATGGCCTCCACTTGTTGCTCTACCCAGTCCTTCTCCAGCCTGTCCATCCTTGCTTCAATGGCTTTCATCAAGTGCAACTCCTCAAGGATCCCACCTAGCAACGTCCTGCAAGTTGTGACAATGCCTGCGATGCTCGAATCGGCGTCTGGCTGGGTCAATTTGTCAAGATCCCTGACATAGTGGGTGAGTTTTCGAGTCAAAGCATCGTGCTCCATCGACCATCCATCGTGAAGGCCACCAGCAGGTTTTTTCACTGCTACAGCTTGAGAAGATGTTGCACATGCCTGGGCAAGCCAAGCAATGTCTAAATTCGACATCCACTGGTCGAATTCCCTTGCCAGACGTTCAAACCTGCCTCCTGGCTCCAAAAGCAGACCAACTTCTTGGAGCGGGTCTGACAGAATCTGCATTTGCTCAATTAATCCGAGGGATGCATTCCCACTGTTCCACTCCCGCAGTGCCCATAGATTCTTTTGTTCGGTTTCTTGCCGCTCACTTTCGCGCATGACCCGATAAAGACTTGCCACCTCAAGGAATTGCTCTTGTAGGGCCCCTTTTGCGCTCATTTCCCAAGTTCTCATGGTTGCTTCCGATCTCTCATGCAGAAGATGGAGTTGGAGAAGTTCTGCTTGAAGAGTCGACATTTCAGTCGGTAGTTGAGGATTTGTGTCAGATGGCTGTGGATGTAAGAAAAATGAGGTGGGCGCTTTTCCAGTCTTTCTCGGAGTGAAATGTTGCTGAAGTGTCGAGAAGGCTGGGCGAGCTTTGGTTTTGGGAGCCTCATTCGCATTCTCGCGTCTTCTTGGTACTACTCCAACATTGGGTTGCGGATCATGGACTGTTCTTGAAGGCGCTTTCGAGGTCGCAGTGCTCTCCGGTTCTACTTGGGTCCTAGTAGGACGGTTGATCGCCGCTATTCGAGCTGATGCTCGTACCCCACGTGTTCCACTGTCCGCCGTACTATCAACAATAGGCTTGGAAGGGTAGTTGGGTTCCATGATTAGTGACTTAGGCCTTGTCGATGACGTTCCGTCTGTTCGCGACCGTGGAAGCACAATCGACGATTGTGTACGCGCGTGAGTGCGCGCATTGGTACTTGAAGCCGCCGTTGTAGCCGCTGCAGTCGTTGATGGAGGGGCAGGTTTTCGTAATGACTGCGAACGACCAATTCCAGACTGCGCTATAGGTGGCTTGCTGAGACGTTCTGGATTTCGCGACAATCTTGTAGGAATTGTTTTCCTGGTCTCCGTCTGTTGTTCAGCCTGTGGAGGAGGATTGGCACCATACATTGACTGTGGCCTTGGTCGAGTTGATCTTACACCTTGTGATACTGTTGGCTTTGTTGATGCCTGTGAAATCGATGTTCTTGTCGTGGGTTTATGCCTATCAGCTTCCCCATCCTCTTGTACATCTGTGTCCGTAGCACGTTTCGAGGGACTTCTTTGGGTCCCTAGTTGGGGAATGAAACCTTGTGCTGCAGCTGGTATTGCTGAAGTGTGTGAAATCGATGTTCTTGTTGTCATTTTATGCCTTTCAGTTGCCCCATCCTCTTGTATATCTGTCTCTGTCACTCGTTTCGATGGACTCCTCTGTAGCCCTAATTGGGGAAGAAAGCTTCGCCGTTTCGCCGCATTGCTAGGCTCGGCGTGTGTTATCGGTGCCTTCAAAGGTCCATCGATCGATTCGGCATTGGTTTCGGAAGGTTGTTCTGGAGTTACCCGTTTCGTTGACTGGGAGAAGACGTCAGTTTGTTTTGTTTTGGTTCACATCTCCGCCGAGCTTTGGGACATACCCCTGTGCGTGATTGCGCCTCTTTGGACCTGCCATAATGCGTGCGTGGTCTTAATCCAGAGGTTAATGAAGGAATCGGCATTATTGTGGGTTCGTGGTGGTTATCTTCGGACTCGTAGGGATGAGCACATGCTCAAGAGAATAAACAAACAGAGGGAAGTGGGGCTTCGCCAAATTGGGTTAGCGATATACATCACGTGGTATGAGCATTGAACAAAGTGCCTCATTACTTCACATGGATAGATGTTAAGAAATGATAGAAGTACTGTCGTGAAACGAAAGTTGATTTAATCGTTCGCTGAAGGAAAAACTCGACCCATACATAGATATCCGTGGCAAAATAGCACAAGAAACGGCATCACTCAGCCCGAGCAGGATATAAAACGGACGACTTCAAGAATCCGGGCTGTCCTGCCATCTATTCAACGAGAGATCATGGACGTTAATTTGTAGAAAGCTGCTTGATCTGAACGTGTTCCTCCTACAAACTGCCTCGGCGTGCTGGGAACGATACGCCTTCGATGGCAGGGTAGTCAACGAACCAGCTGACCCTTTCTTGCGCAAAAGTGTTGATGAGACCGCATGGCAATTGTCGACCTTCCTCGGTGTCGAAGATCTGTTTCATGATTTCTTTCTTTCCTCCACCGGTCGCAACGAAAGCGATCTTGATTCCGTGAGAAGCAACGGGGAGCGAGAGGGTGATGCGTTTTGGCGGAGGCTTTGGCGAATCGGAGATAGGCAAGACCCAGGCTTCCGTCTCTCGTAGCAACGGTGAGCCAGGGAACAAGCTACAGGTATGACCGTCGGGTCCGCAGCCAAGTAGGAGCAAGTCGAACATGGGCAGTCTGACGCTGTCTCGCGCGGCGAACACGCTCACCAGTTTTTGCTCGTATTGGTCTGCCATCTCTTGTACATCATCGAGGTACTTGACGTCGATGGGGTAGACTGTGGGTTGGCTCTGTTCGGCGGGGATCTTATCCAGGATCTCCTCCTTCACGAGCCTGTAATTGCTGTCCTCATGGTCGAGAGGCACAGCACGCTCGTCGGCGAAGAAGATCTCCCATTTGCTGAATTGGACCTTCCCATCTGCGTTATTGTCCTGGAGAAGCGCCTTTCCAAGGACCTTCGGTAGAGAACCTCCCGATACGCCGACCCGGAAGACGTTGTGTCGTTCGATAGCGTTGTTTTGGGCGTCGAGGATGTATGCGCGGAGGCTAGGTGCGAGCTCGTCGTTGCCTGCAAAGGCATATAGATTCGGAGGCTTTCCCATGGTGGTGATGGTTGAGGGGGGAAAGGAAGAAGGCAGAGATGGCGGGGGAGAAGTTGTGGTGGTGGGGCGGTTTGATTTCGTGTGGGCTACGTAGTTGTAGTAAGCAACGAACAGAAGCCCTAAGATGCGCCTACTACTCCGTAATTAAATGTTTCGTGTTGCGGGAGACAATTTCGAAAAGTTTGGAGGCGGGCAAGTGGGATGGTTAATTTAGTTAGGTAGGTAGTCAGTAAGTAAAGTATACCTGGAGCGCGGGAAGTGCGGTAGGATGAAAGCGTGGCTAATTCTATGACGCCGGACTCCGCATCGTCTTCTGGTTGCACGATAGAGAGAGACTTTAACAAGGCAATCTTTTTTCTCTTCGTTTTGGGCTTCTTGCGTCTGCAGCTTTCTGATTGGGCAGATTGTGCATCACAAAGATTGTGGCGTGGGTACTTGTCATTACTCGTAGGTACCTCCTAGGTACCTGGGTACCTACACCAGCAGGCTGTACTGATAGTTACCAGAAGCGCTTACGAGTACGATAAAAGCAATTACGCTGTCAGCTGTTGATTAGGTTACATATGATACGTTGTAGGGATCATTGAATAGTTAGATGCCGGAGGTTTCTTTCTGTCTTTTCTTTTCCTTCCTGTCATGGTCCTGCGAAATAGTACCTCGTAGTGTACAACGGCTAAGCAAGGCCAGCAGGAAGTACGGAGTACTAAACCTTCAAGGCTAACTGCAACAGTCAGTGCACCTCGTAGATTGTGGAATTATGTTCGATGATTTCTCCATAATTACCTCCTCATGGAATGAATTGATTATTACCAGTACTTCTTCGTACACGGTACTCGTAGAGACACCGAAAAAGTACCTGGCCTGGCTTGGAAGAAATGACGACAAGGGGCGGATCAAACTCGTTCCGATTGGCTCGCTCCTTCCATCCGTTCAATCACGTGCGCGGCCTCTTCTCGCTTCAATCCATCCCCCGTCTCTTTCTTAACCTTAAACAGTATGAGGTGACCAAAACAGCACATATAAAGAAGCACCGGACACGCTATCTCGCCCTTACTGAAGGTTTGATATCGTTGACTAAGGACATCGCTGAAGCAACAATGACGCACGATGATGGCTGTGTGATCCTCTGCTTTGCTTCTCTTACGTTCTTCACAAAATACGCATTCCGCCACTGCCTGAGAGGTAGCCTTGTGGGAAGGGTCTTCCACTCCACGCTCAAGTATTGTGGTGACCTTCTCAGGCGGGGAAAGGAATGTATCCATGCATATACGCATACATACCGAGTACCTACGAGTACCCACGATATCAGCTTCCAATCGCCGTTCTAGGAATCGGCATATGGTCTGGAACATCCGTCGTCCACCAAAAAAGCTGGCCTCTTCCTGAATTGGTACCGTCTTCTGTAGCCTTCTTTCAACCCTGGAATCTCGCCGGATCCGTTACTAGAGGGCGGGAAGGCTGAAGGACCAGGAAGTTGCTGTGTCATGCCTTGGTGATTGCGTACCTCTCCGGTGTCAGCTCTCATATCGTACGCCAACCAGGCAGCTTCATTGAACGACTCACTGGCTTCTGTCTGTGCTATGCGTATGTGGTGCGCCCTTTCGCTCAGCCGACTCAGGATGCTTCGCCCCTTGCAATTACGCGCTTTTCCAAGACTCTTCGTTTCTATCGCGCTGTACCGCAGTGGTCCCACACTCGCTCGTTATTAGCCATCGTCGGAGGGGCCAAATAAGGCCAACTCTGTCCCATTCGATGCGAAAATGTGAGGCACTGGTGGTGTGGTCTAGATGTTTACAAGCTACAGAGTGCACCCTTGCAAAATGAGACCGTGAATAAATCGTCTTACCAAAGGACCGGAGCAAGAGCGGAAGGATTTTTCGTCCATCATTACTCCGTACAGTATGAAGTATGCAAGGCTGCAGAGCCCTTTGCGGTCTGGCTATGCCAATGCGACGGATGCTGTCAAAGGGTATTACATGAATGATGGGCCTGGAAATATATTGTCGAATACTGACGGGGGATCATCGAACCTGCAAATCCAGGAATGACACGTCGTTGAGGGTCTGCTGAGGATCTCTCTAAGCTCGAGTATGGGGTGACTGACAGTTGAAATATCAGAAATGATTAACTCTGCTTGAAACGAGCGTGTTACAGAACGTGGACCTTTTGCGCAGTGCAACGAAGTTGTAAGAGAGAGATGTGCGGATTCTAGACTCTGGCCGTTCTAGACCGGGCACGGTTCGGCCCGCCAATACAACTTCAACAGCCCCAGGCCTCAGGCGTTGAATGCAATGACGAGAAACAGTCTCAGGGTCTATGGACCGTTGGGAAATGTGATCTACAGAACCGTGTGGCGGAAACACGGAATCAAGCAATAATGCCAGTTCTTGTGGAGAAAGAAAGATGCCTCAACGCCTGCGACGTTCTGGCTGCATCTGGAAGATGGGGCTGCAACGCAACACAAACCAAGCTGGACTTCTGGGTAGCACACGCACGAATTTTCCGGTGACTGTGAAAGTACAATTTGCACCAATCTATCTGAGGCCGACAATAAGCACAGACAGCGCTCAATTTGATTGTGCATTCAGTCTGGTCCGTGTGGGCGACAAAAAGTGCTGCCAACGAGGTGTCAACATAGCTGCTGGCACAGAGTGAGTAAAATAGCGGGGTTAATTGAGAATGGCCAGCTGCCGGGGACTGTCCGGGAACCTACGCGGAACATTTTCCCTGCCACGACCCTGCGCCTGCGCCGGAAGACTTGTGGTTCCTTTGACCGACTGTCGTTAACATCGTCAAGACGGAACGCGCGGCGACGAACCTCTGGGCAAACGGTGGCATGAGAAAGGGGTGATTAGAAACACCATCGATGGAAAAGGAAGTCGATGAAAAGTAAAACACAGCGAAGGGAAATGTGGAATGGGCACCCGCTTCGATGGGATTTTCAGAGATCTCGATGTTTGCGGGTACGGGATGCGTGCATGTCTTGCTTGTGAGGCATACATAGAGTGGATCGTTATTGGGTGGTTTTGGTGTTTTGCAGGTATTCTACATCTCACCACTCCGCGGTAGAGTGCATCTGCCAATAAGTTGGGCGGTCGCCTCTTCAGCCCTGCGAGCCTAAAGGTTAGAGTCCAAAGGTCAGAGTCTAGAAGGCGTGCACCAGGTTGGATTGGGAGTGGAAGTGGCAGGCAGATCGGACAGTGTTGGACAGGATCGAGGCGCCACACCATACCCGTACTTGTACTACGCCCACTCGTCCTCCTAGGAGCTTGGGGGGCAGAGACTGCGTAAGTGTTTTGACTGGGCCTTGTTAGGATGCTAACTGCACCTGTTACACCTAATAATCAACTACTCCGTACAGCCAATGGCGGATGTGCAGGCACACAGGCAATTAGTTCAACCCGTTCGGTGCGCATCTCTCTCCGGCGTCTCATCCTTAGCTTTGGGTCACTTGGGTCACTTGCCCTGCCTTGCCCTGCCCTGTGGTACGTGTGTCTGGCTGGGTGTCCGTGTGCAAGTCTCGATGGACCATTTAACTAATCTGAACTCTTAATCCACAATCCACAATCCACAGGGCACGGCAGGATAGGACGATATGATCCCCGTCGTCCGGATATAACCTAAGTGCTCCGCCCATCTTTCTTTACTCTTTTTCCCTTTCTTCATCTTCTCCATACCCTCGCAACCACAGCAGTCCCAAACAACCTGCTGCCAAAACCTACTCTTCGACCAAACCCCCTACATACGATGCACTTCGACTCACATTCACCATCATCCGTGTACTCGTCGCCCTCGTGCTACTTTTCCATCGTTCCGTCGCCGTCCGACCATTTCTCAGTAGAGACCCCAAGCAACTCACCTCAACCTCTACCCGTCTACTCTGCAGATACGCTCTCGTACCCTTCCAATCCTCTCCTGGCCTTCCGGCCACCACCTTACAATCTCCCCGAGGTGCCCAATACCATGGACGGATCCAAACTCCTCCAACTCCAGACCTCCGCAGCCCATCGCCCGGACCCAAAGCCTCTCCAGCGCCGTCCCTCCCCGTCAGCAAGTGACTCGTCAACTGGAACTTCTGGAAATTCCTCTCCGGCCCCGAGTTCCACGATGTCTGCCCCATCATTACAACAGCTTACGTGCGTCCGATGCCGCCGCACAACCACCAGTTCCATGATCAACGTCGGGACCTCTCTCTACTACTGCAGCCATTGCGCCCAGATGGTCGGCTATGGCAGTGGCTGAATATTCCTTTACCTCAGTTCTCTCCTATCATGAGCCGATAAAACGATTCTATGAAGGAGAATTGGCATACACAATTCCAAACACCCCAGGCTGCATAACTGCAACAACAATCGCTAGCCTTCTCCCAAAGGCCCCAGGCCACACCAACTTAGCCTTATTCCCATTTCATTCAAGGCATCATCGATCCAGGGCAAATATACGACGACCCTTTCCATTTCAATGCATGCATGCAGTATCCGGGTCAATTATCTACGGGGGTTCCCAAATCAAGGATCCGAAAAAAGAGGTCATATACAACGCCCCTGACGGACGACACGCCGAAGTATGGGGAATCGCGGGCGCGAACGAGATGTCCGTAGGGATATCTGTCTTAACTCCGCCCGCAGGAGGAGAGGAAGCAACGGAAACGGAAGGATTCAAAGTCCGACACGACGAAGGAAGGGAAGGGAAGGGAAGCGAGGAAGGATAGCCGACGGGAAGAAGTATCATGTCCCAGAAGAAGGATGGAAATTTCGAGATGTTTTTAGTTGAAGCCAGAGCAGCGGGACTTCTCAGGCAGGCAAGCAGACAGGCAGACAACGCGGGCGCGCGCCCAAAGTCAATGCGCAAAGGAAGCAAAATGATACCCAATCCCCACCCTCAATTTCAATTCTTTCCCTAGGGATTTTTCTTTTATAGCAATTACTAATAAATGATTATCATTCATTTATTCATTCCATCAATTCACACACATGCATGCAAAACCAGCCTATCTCTACAATCGTGAAGACGCTCCCTTCCCTCTCTCATCGTACCTAACACAAGATCTTAATATTAGAAACCACCGTAACTCAATCCAGCCAGGTTCCCATGTACATCCGCGCGGCGCACCGTGCTCTCTACCTTTTTTTCCCTCTCTTCTTTTCCTGAAGGTGGGTCGAAAAGAAGAAAGTGCCAGCGCTAAGAAGGTCGGCGCCGGTAATTAATTAGTGTACGGTTACGGGCGGGGGTGTTTTGATTTTAGTTCCTTTATGTTTTTAGGGCGGTTGAATTGGAGCGAGCGAGCGATTGAGATTGAGCGATTGCTGCGAGTTTCGATGGGCGATAGGTACGGAAGCTTACGATAGGCGTAGTAAGTATCTACAACCCTAGATATCTATCCATAATCGATCGAGGCTATCGTCGTTGCTAACGATGTGCTAATGCTTGGAGTTTTGCGATCGACTTGGTAGTATGTGTGTGTGTGTGTGTGTGTGTGTGTGTGTGCACAGTAGAATCTGATTTTCCTAACTACTCGTACCCGTATGTACTCTATTCGCAAGGCCGGCCATCACGATCGTTGATACTCCCCTGTAGTGATGAAATACCTGTCATGGGATAGAATGCCGAGGCACTGTCTTCACGAACTGTCTAGCGCTCCTGCTTGCTTGAATGCATGCATACTTGCTTGCGAACTTGGTGGTACGAGGTAAATGGTTGGTTATTCTGCATGGCTGGCTAGCTGTGAGTGGCTAGGGAGATACATATCGTGCTCTATCTGGTGATGATGCGCCGCTACAGCGCGCGAAAGGATCCTTGCAAGGGAAAGAAAGGGTTTGACGATGCAGTAAACAACGAGCGATACTTGTTCCTGGTGATGGTTCCAAGATTTTGCCTGTGGAGAAGGGTGTGGTGGCAACGACGTCAGCATCGTGATGTGAGAAAGGAATCGCATTGTTGTATCGGAATGATGTGAATTGGGGAGGATCTGCACTGTGGTGTCGCCTCGTGAGGTGCCGGGAAAGCGACACGCATCGTGAGATTGGGTTAGGGATCGTTCCAAGTAGTGTACGTTGCAATTGTGGATTGCATGGCATGGGATTTTTTTTCTTTCTCTATGTTGAAACCCCAGCAGTGGTGGTCTACCTAGTGTTTGGTAAAATATCCGGTCTAAAAAGCATCTTCGATGTCCAGTGGGCCTCCAGACATGTCCTGTATCGACCGATGGGCCATTGTGCCAATCAAGAGGCTCGCAACACAAGGCCGACGGTTCTCGGGCTATGGCAGGTCAACGTTCTTTTCCATGGGGCAACGCCGGCCAACCATGATATGTACTCCCTTAGCCTGCCAACGCGTGCTATGAATTCTCCATTTGTGGCGATGCCAGCCATTATGGCGATGCGCGGGGGAACTGTATGCAGGGCCTGCTATACCAGCCTGGGCCAACCACCGGCCAGATACGCCTTTTTCGCTGCATCGTTTGCACAACCGTATTGTATAGAGCACATGCAATGCTATGCCGTGTAATGCCATGCTATGCCATGACATGTCGTGCTTTTACTCGCACTTGCTGGCTGTCATGGCTGATTGATCTCCCCTTGTGCGTCTGCAATTGCTTGAGCACTATTGATAATATTTATTGTTCTTTGACTCATGCACATCAGCAGGATTCCTGCTGTCTTGCACTTATCTCGTAATTCATAGCATCTCGACTAGCCCATCCTCTCGCATTCGTACGAGGTAATCAGGTAAGGCCTGCAGGCTTGCGAATATCTCGCTCATTAGCAACGCCCACAACGCGTACGCACGCCGGCGCATACCTAATACCGGAACTTGGCAGATACGACGAAGCGGACTGCGTACGCAAAATTGCTGCGCAGCCACGTAATTCTCGGATTTTTTCCCTTCTCCTCTTATCATCTCGCGGCTACCGAGACAAACTGCTTCGTGAAACGAAACGAACCCGTGGATGGGAGTGGAGCCGTGCCCTAGGCAAAACCTTCCCTTCGAGATTGCCGTACCGTCGCGCGCTCTACCTTGCCGGATCAGGAACGCATCCGTCTCCGCCTGCGTCCTGTCATTTCTGTCTCGAAAGAAAATGAAATGAATGTTTCCTCTTCTTTCTTCGATATGCTTTCATTTCCAATCAGACGATGTGGTGTTTGATAGCGTGCTGTAGTTGAACAAGATAACTATTGTCTCGGTATTGAACGCCGGGCACAAACTAAGAACAGATCACGCACAACTTCTTCTTTCTTTGATTGATTCTCACGACGCTTCCTTTGAGCATGAGCAGAATTGAAAGTGGCCAACAGGCCATTGACCTCTATCTCTTTCAGCTCCTGCGCCAGTGTTTCGCTGGCTCTTCCTCGGCCCGGCCGCGCTACCATCCATTGATCCGTTATCAATCATTCAGTCAATCAAGTTCTCAAGATCAGGGCACGCAGGCACATGGCACGCTGATGAACGTTCAATCGACCGATCGCTGCATTGCGACGATCATGCCCAGTTCTCCCCTCTCTTAGTCCAGCCATCATCAGCAGAGACGTGCGACATCGATGTTCCAGTCGCCTGATGGGAATCCTTATCGATGATCTGCCGGCATGTGGACCCGCGTGTGGCAAATCGAGAAATAAAAAAATGGGATTGACAGGACGTTGTGGAGACACTTGTCCCTGACTTTGACGTCTTCATTACAGGAACGTACGGCCTTGCGCACCCACACTGTGCGACGGCTTCTGATCTGGTGGCGGGCGTCCCGCGGAGCCCTTGGAGTGCAACGCCCTTTGATGTTCAGGCCTGAGCGGGGCTGCTCCCGGCTGTCTCGCGTGTGTTGTTTGTTTCAACTCTTTGCGACTTGTAATTAAAGTAAGAGTGTCTGTGTGTTCCCGCTCGCTCTACATATCCTGGTGAAGATGGTGTGTGGCTCGTGCAAGACCCTGATCTTCATGTTGATCCGTCCCGCAAGCCTCATTTGCTCCTGTTATTTCGTTTCATTGCGTGTGCTCTCTTATCGCACTGTGTGCAGCTGCGTTAGTGGTCAAAGAAACTCTCCAGCCTTCACGGTAAATTATTTGTGAGGCTGAAGTGGATATAGTAGTCGACTCCAATCCGTTTCTTGTCCAGGACGGGCAGCGGAAGAAACAGACTCCGAGGCTAGAATTGCAGCCTCATCTACGCTCCTCAAGTAGGCATCGGTTTGCTGTCTCAGATATTGATAGAAGTCTTCTGTGGCTCATTCGAGATAGCATGTTTGACGCACTTCACAATTTTTAAGGGTATCTAACTCTGACTCTCCATACAGTGTCTCAAATACCTATTGCCCTTTCCGGCCTCTGCGAAACAGCTGCACCTTGTCATCCAGATCAAGACTATTTCCCTATAGCAGGCACTATTCGCGTTGAGGATCTGATTGGCCCATCATTTGAATTGGAACTTCTGTGTCTGAGGATCTATTCCTAACTATGAAACCAATTCGCCGGTCTTGTCCAATCTAGAAATGTGTAGATGTGTAGATACCTAGTCGATACTTTGAGCTGCGATGAATCGCCCGACAATGCCTTTGAGGGTCTGTCTTCTGTCTTAATTTTTTTCGCCTCGGCCCATTGCGACGACTGTAACCGTCTGGCTTCGCCGAACAGCGGAGAATTCCACCTTTATGACTACGAAGAAACGTGACTGATGACATCTCCGGCTGATAAGATGTTGATGCATCTCCGAGATAAGAAATGGTAAACGAAGCTCTGATTGGCCAGTCGCGTCTTGATGTTCCTTTAGCGACTTCACGATGGTGGACATCGGCCGCTCCCGAAGCCGCAAACCAGCGGATTTGTCCCTATCGAATTCATTTGACAACAGTATGTGATCGAAATTCTCCATGTATGAGTAACTATATAACTAAAGACGGCCCGTTTGGTGATTCATTCTAATTTGAGTAAATCAGACATTTCAAAGAAGTCCAACTCGCAAACATGCCTCACTCAACCGGAAGCAACATCGAAGTTCATAAACTGTCACCGCCTCCTGGCTCAAGTATCGACTTCGGCGCTGAAATTCGCGGACTCGATCTCGAGAATCTCTCCGGTAGGTTCATATGAGAATATATACCATTTCATCAATACTTCATGAACTTGAAATAGTGACTAACAATATACCAGACGCCGACTGTGCTGCTATTCGAAAAGCACTTTACGAAAACAGCGTCATCCTCTTCAAGAACCAGCAAAACCTCACACCCCGGGCACAATACGAAATCACCAAGCTCTTCGACCCAGCCGCTGACAGCTACGGCCATGGCAAAACGCTCGACGCAAAGCGCTCCATCCTGCACCCGGACCTCAAAACCATCCCCCACCAACCCCAAGTCCAAGTCATCGGAAACGGCTTCGTTGAATCATTCGAAGGACTCTCCAACATCACTCTGAAGCACCCCCACCACAAGACCTTCCACTCCACCTCCATCAGCGACGAAGAAGACCGCGACAACACGCGCTTCTACCGCTGGCACATTGACGCCGCGCTCTACGCGCTCCACCCCCCAAAAGCGACCTCCCTCCTCGCCGTCTCGGTCCCCCAATCCGCCCCTCAAACCCTACACTACACCTCCGACGGCAGCGGCGACACCCTGCAAGTCCCCCGCGGCAGCACCGCCTTCTCCTCCTCCTACACCACCTACGACCTCCTCTCCCCAGCCGACCAGCACTTCGCCCGCACGACGAAAGTGCAATACGCACCACACCCCTACATCTGGATGTCCTCCGCGCGGTCTCGCCCAGACGGCCTGGGCCTCGAATCCACCGGCCTCGAGCTCCCCGAATCATCCCTCCCGCCCATCGACCCCGCGCTCATCCAGACGCTCCCCATGTGCTGGAAGAACCCGGTAACTGGGCGTCTCGCGCTGCAGATCCACCCGAGCGCGGTGCAGAAACTCGTCCTAGAAGATGGCACTGTGATTGACGATCTCGAGGAGGTCAGGGCGATCGTGCACCGTTTGCAGAGGCCGGGGATCGCGCCCGAGTTGGTGTATGCGGTGGATTGGCAGGAGGGGGATTTTGTGATCTTTGATAATAGGGGTGTGTTGCATTCGGTTACGGGGAGTTTCTTGGACGAGGAGGTGAGGGTTTTCAGGCAGTGTAATATGGCGGCTAGTGAGCCTCCTTTGGGCCCTGAGGATTGATGGATTGGATGGAGTGGGGTGGGTTAGAGAAAAGGAATGGGTTCTTTTGAATTTGACTAGGGAAACGGGATTAAAAATACAAATGAGCTATGATAGATGTACATAAAGATATACTTAACGACGACTTACTACGACCGAAAATGAACCATGTCACATTACCTCGATATCAACTTCCCCTTTTTGGCGTCCCTCCACCGCCTTCCCCCCCTTCTTCCTCCTCCTCCTCAAAGATCGATTCCAAGTCCATGATCCAGTCTTGAATTCAATCTTCATCCTTGCCTCCACCAGCGCCTCCCGCGATACCTCCAATCAAGCCCCCAACGCCCTTGTGAAGCCCACCGACAGTGCTTCCAAGTCCTCCAATGACATCCCCCTTGCCCAGCTTGCCGACGCCCTCGCCCAAACCGCCAGTGATGCCGCCAACGGCATCGCCAGCGCCTTTACCCACTCCACCCACGACGTCGCCGAGGGGACCACCGACGGTCGAGCCGACTCCGCCGACTGCATCGCCGACTGTGTTTCCGAGGCCCTGGATGAGGTATGGTGTTAGCATATCAATTCATCGTCATCACACCAGAGCAACAAGAATACAAATAAAAGCAAATCGGACTCACCTTCCCAGTCCCCTTAACCGTATTCCCAACCCCACTGCTCAACCCTCCAACCGTCCCCTTGACATCCCCCCTACTCAACGCACCCGTAGTCTTACTCGCCGTACCTTGGAGCCCCTTCGTCGCCGCACCGGCAGTGTAGTATACGTTATCCGTCGCGCCCGTCGCCGTCTTCCCCACCCCGTCGGTGACATGCTTGACGGGCTTGCCAACACCGGCGGGAAGCTTGTCGAGCCCCTTCCCAGCGACGCCCGTGACGCCGTTGACCGTCTTGTTGACGCCCGTCGTCGCGGAGTCGGTCACGGTGTTCAACGTGCCGGTCGTCAGGCCGACGGTCTGGTTCGTGGCGCCAGCGAGGGCGCCCGCACCGCGGGCCACGGCATTGGGTGACTTCTTGGTGGCGGGGGAGGGGGCTGGGTTGGCTTTTTGGACGGCGGTGGGGGTCGGCTTGATGCCGCCCGGGATGGTGCTTTGGATGGGGGTTTTCTTGGGGGTTGCGGTGGTGGTGGAGGCAGCGGTTGTGCGGGATGCGGGCACGTTTTTCTTCGTGCCGAGGGGAGTGCGGGCGGGTGTTGCTTTTGAGGTGGTGGTTGTGTTGGTGGTTTTGGCTGGTGTTGATGTTATAGGAGCCTTCTTTGCGGGTGTTACAGGAGTTTTCTTTTGTACGGCTGTGACGGGTGTTTTCTTGGCCGGAGTAATGGTTGAGGTTGTGTTCTTCACTGGTGTAGCCTTGTTCGTGGCCGCTGCTGGTGGAGCGACTTTCTTCGTTCCCACAGCAGTCTTTGTTGCAGCAGCCTTCACAGGTGTTGTGGTCTTCGACGCAGTGGTGTTGTTGGTGATGGTAGTAGGGCTGTTTCGGTCCAACTTGCGAGGTGCCTTCCTCACGGGCAATGCTGTATCATTGGCAGCCGTAGCAGTGTTCGTAGTCGCTTTCTTCACGGGCGTTGCTGTCTTGGTGGCTCCCGCCGTGGACTTGTTCGCGGTGGATTGAGCTCCCTGGGCTACCTTAGAGAGATTGCCCACGCTCGCTGAAGACATTGTCAGACATTGTTGGGTTCAATTCATTTCGAAGGATGATCTCTGGATGTTGGGTTCGATAGGTAGTCTTTACCTTGTAGAGCAGCATTCTGCTGTTTGAGCTGATCCACTGCAGACATGGTCAATGGCTGATGTACAGATGTAAATAAAATCTTATTGTAGTTGAGATGTAGAAGCTAATGATTTACGATATATGGGTTTATTCATAAGCGACAACAGATGAATTGCATGAAGGATTCGAAAGGTATATACTGGTTTTGTGAATATATGTCGTTGTTGTCCCGATCCGTCTACGTCATTTGGGTGCTAGCGCGAGCCCAGTTTCAGGGTTTTGGAAATCTGCCTCCGCCTCCATGATGTTCATGTTCATGTATGACAGCAGCAGCGCCATGCAGGGAAAGGGAAGTGGAAAGACGTAACGGCTGGCTGGACCAGTCCAACGTTTCAGTGGGGCAAGTGGGCAATAAGGAGCGTTCGCATGGATGAAGTGTCGTTGTGGATCGAGTGAACAGGCGAACACGTGCACTTGCGATTGCGATGGGGATTCAACGTCACATGACTGGCTCGGGGTAGTCGGAGCTTCGTTCTAACGAATCATCGCTCTACTCTCAACCGATCTAATGCTGCCCTCTTATTGGCCAGATCTTGATTTTTTCCATACAGTATCGAGAATATCTCAGGCAAGCATCAGGCGACGGCGTTCACTAATCTCAGCCCCGAACGAGTAATCATAAAAATGTCAAACACTTCCTCAGTAGCTTTTCTTCAAATTCAACAATACTCCTTCCCCCAATCTCGAAAATTCGCCCAGACATCCGCCCTCCCCTCGCGTGAACTGTCTCTCATTCACCCAACAGAAGCGACCATCCAGCTACAAACCTACTCATTCATTTACCAAACTGGATCGAATGCGCCGACAAGATTAATTGAACATCAACATCAACATCAATAATAATAACACCCAAACGTTCTCCACCAAACCCTTCATTCAAAATGGCATCCTCATCAATGGTCCTCTACCGCCCCGGACCCTCCTCCTCCCTCACAACAACATCCCACTCCACCTCCCTCCTCCCCGCCCGCCTCTTCACAGCCCAAACCGGCACCGCAATCGCCACAGAGCTCCTCTACCGCCTCCTCATGGACATCTTAAACCGCCTCATCCACTCCCTCCACAAATTCGCCTCATCACGCCTGGACCAGCTCTCCGCGCACCTCGAGAAGCGCGCCGCGCTGCGCCAGCAACAGCATTTGGACGCTGCGGCGGCGCGGGAACAGGGCCTCGGTATCGTGGAGGAGGTGGAGAAGTTGGTGGAGAGGAGGGGGTTCGAGTTGGAGTGTCCGATGGGAGGAGGTGCGGGAGGTGGTATGGGGGGGATTGGGGGACCGCCTGGGCCGCCGAGGTGGGTGAAGGGGGTGTTGGAGGGGGTTAGGGAGGGGAGGATGGAGGAGAGGGATTTTTGGATCCACACGCATGGGGATTGAGCGTGTGTTGTTGCGTTGATTGATTGATTGATTGATCGATTTGAAGACCCCGGGCGGCGGCTGGATCGACGCCTAAGGGAAGTCGAGAGATAACAGAGGTGTGTAGGACATGCCTTGAAGCTGGTATCGTATCAGCTCCCGAGCCAGTATCAGGAGTGCAAAGATATGCGCGATTGGCTTGTCGTAGGAGCGACGAACATGGGAAATTTGGAGGACAATTGGACTCCGATATCAGTTAGTAACTGCCTCGACATCACCAAGGCGCACGCAGAATCTGACACTGCAAAACTACAGATGAATTTAGACATTGAGGAAAGCCATTTCAGCTAGTAATATTCAGCGGTTACTATCGTTACATGTACATTTATATACGTTCAAGGGAACATGAATCCCTTGCTGTTAATCTTATGCAACCTCATATCAGTGAACAGGTCCAAAGGATAGTCCGCGACCTCGAGGCTCCTCTTCCAAGCATGCATCCTCGACGAGTGCGCGATGTCCTCCGCCGTCAAAGACCTGCGCATCTCCCTCTTGTTCTTTCCTCCCGCACCAAGATCACCAGCAACACAGTGGCTGTCCTCGCCCCATGTAGTATCCGCAACGGCCTTCCAGATAGCCGTGACGTCGTACGTCATCTCCTTGGTGTAGTAGATCCTGCAGTCTGACGGCTCCCACAAGAACTGGAGCGGGTAGTCGTAGTCTCCGTCGTCGCGCCATCCGTCGCGGAAGTTGACGTTGATGGAGGATCCGATGGCAGCGCGGTCGAACGGCGTCTCGCTCCAGTACTCGCCGAGCTGGGTCTCGTTGAGCGTGGCGCCCTCCTCGGGGGTCGAGATGTTCTGGATGCCGAACTGCGCGAGGAACTGTATGTAGGACCACGGGTAGTTGTTCGTGCCCTTGACGCCGCCGATCGCTTGCGTGATGCCCTCCTTGGAACGACCGCCAAGGGAAATGTACTTGACGCCCTGGCGTTGGCGCATCAGCTCGGAGAAAATGGTGCAGGTCGAGGCGCAGTAGCCGTCTGTCACGACGACGATGTCCTCGGCTTCGAAGGGCTGGGTGAAGTTGGTGAGGTTGCCGTAGCCGTGGATGTAGATGCCGCCGGAGCTCCAGGGGATCAGCTCGTCAGACAGGTTCCAGTGGATGATGTTGGTAAAGTTGTCGCCGTTGAGCTCGACAGGGCCGAACTTGTCGTCCCAGCTGGAAAAGTTCTCGTCGTTCTCGTCAACGTCTGTTCGGTAGTTGAAGATGGATGCTGAGACTTCGGACACGAGAGTGTATAGCGTCTCGTTGTCGTCGGGGCTGATGAGCTCGTATGGAAGAGTACCCGCAACCTCGGAGTACTTTTGGCCTAGGAGGTCGGTGCTTTCGAAAGCACGGAATCTATCACCTGCGGCATGTCCGATGCCCTTGGGGAACAGCTGCTTGTAGAGGTCGTATCCTTGCAGGATTGTGCCACCGCCGTTGGCAGAGACATCGATGATAAGCTTCTTCTTGCCAGCTGCTCTGGCGGCAGCAAGGAATTGTTCTCCGACCTCCTGGAAACGGCCAACTTCTTCTTGGGAAGATACAAACGAGGGAACGGAAAGGACCGCGATATCCGAGTAGTCGTCTTCGAGGTAGTAGCCACCAATGATATTGTCCCTCTCCCGAACGACTGGCGGTGGGTATCCCGGCGCAGGTCGTGATGTTGCTGATGGGGTCGCCGAAGGAGTCGGGACCGTCGAGTTGGAAGGTACTGGCGCTGGCTCTGGCTCAGTCTCGGTGGGCTTGTCGTGGACGAACCACGTCTTGTACAGACTCTCGCCATCCGTGATGCCATCGAATGGCACAAGAACGCGAGCGTAGTTCTGAAGAGTGACGGAAGTGCCATTCTCGAACTCGAGTTCGGTCTCTGCGCCAGGGTAAACCTATGAAATTGTTAGTGGGGCTCCAAAAGTATCAATTGATGGAATAGATTACCCATCGGCCTCTTCCACTACCGGCAAAGGTACCAATTGACGTGCTAGCCGTGCCGATAGACACAGCCGCCAAGTTATAGAAAACATTGTTATACAGGGCATCTCTGTCCTGAAGCGATCCGAACTGCGACCAATTCTCGAGGAACTCTAGAGCGTCCTGGCCATTGATCTTGGAGATCGGCGATGGGGTGAAGGATGCGTTTCCAAAGGAGCTTGCAAGGATATCAGGGTAGACGAAAGGCTTGGGCAAGGATTTGCCATCCTCTGAGACCGAAACAAGGGGGACCGGACGAGCCCAGTTGAACACCGTGCCAATGACATCTGGGACGAAAACAAAGTGACCGTCATGGGTCGTTTGCAACAGTCGGTACAGAGCCCAACCAAACTAAAGCATGTCAGTATCACAGGATACCGCTGTTAACGTTACATAGCATACCTCAAATTCGTTCTTGAAGGTTTCGCTCTCAACCTTCGATTGGATGTCCTCAAGGCCTCCCCACACATCAACGCCCTCTTGCACCTTCTCAGCGTATTCCTTTGGCGGGTCTTTCAGCCAAACGGTGTTCGATTGCCATCGGAAGTAGGGCGTGATGGAATCGATCAGATCCAACGCAGCACTCTTGTTCAGTGGCACACTGGTAATGCAATCGTATGCCAATTGCGCAGGCACGGTAGGTGTAGCCGCATCTGGCTGAGCAGCGACAGCAGCGCTGACCTCCGCGCAAGGCGAAGTGGTATATTGCCTGTTATTGAGCTGCAGCGGAGATGCCAAAGCACCCGAGGCGAGAGCGAGCCCCACGACTGAATTGTACAACTGCATTCTCACGAGAGCAGTAGGAAGACTGGCAGTACCTAGCTAGCAACACCCAGAAAAAATCGAGGAAACCTGCTCATACTTATCCTGCAGCTCGAGAGCTTCGCAGGAGGCCATTGCGTATTCCGCGAGCCTGGACTGCCGCATAAGTCCAATGTAAACCGTCATCATGCCTCGAGTTGCTTGACCTCAACAGGCAGTTGACGACCATCATCATTAGGAACCCCGGATGTTTTGGCAGGCAAGCTTTCAGGTACCCCGGCAGAACGTGCACTCAGGCGAATCAGCAGCAGGTTTTCGATAGGGCTAAATTGGAAAACGTTCATCCATTGCCCAAACAGGAAGCTCGTTCAGCATGAATTCGCCCAACCACTAATAGCTTTTAAATCACGCCTTTGGAGGGCCCCGATATTTTTCTCCAAGAGGCCGATTTTTGGTATGGGCCGAGGTGATGTAATTAATGCCTGCTGGATAGGACCGTTTGTACGAATTGCCATGGGTGGAAAACAAGCATGCGAAGCATTGCCTATCGCACCTTTGGTGGGAGGTCCGATTGCTTGTTTACATTGGGTTAGTGGTAACAATCCTTCAATTCATAACATTGTGCCGCCTTCCGTAAGTTGTCACGCCATTACTTGTTGTAATCTGCTTGATGATCTACTCGGTTACAGATGATGAAGGGCAACGAATTTTTGATAGTAATCGACCTTTGGCGGAATCATCTTCTATTTTACCAAGGACACCAGGGTAGCAGTGATTCTTCGTTCGCTATTGAGGCATGCAAGTACATCAAAAATAGACACTATTTTTAGTTGCTGCATTAGCACCAATTCCCTTCTTTTAAGATTTATTTACTCTGACCGTACAGTAACTTCGGTAAAGGTCACTCTTTGCTTCTTGAAGCTATCCTGATGGTACTTTGCCCGGAACTTCTCCTTTAAGGAACTGACTGTCGATACCGTAAGGTGATGCGCCAAAACCGAGTAAGAGCGCGGACAAGACTTTATAAGAATTGAGAATCATAAGAGAAGGAATAATTAGTTCTCCTCAGTCCGCGACTGTGCTCAATGTTAAAGCGATCATAGGACAACTACCCTATGCTAGTGTCTTGCAACGAATGATACAAGTATGGCACGAATAACGGAAGACGCAGCAATGGAGCTTCAAATGTTCGCGATTTCAGCGCTATCATTTATACCTCTAGAGAGTAGTATTGTTATCTGCTCGCCACTCATAAGAGTTCTATGACAAGGAGCAAGTAGCTGCCAGAGAATCCTCTACACATGAGATACTATGGTACACCGACAAGGTTACTGCATCGTGCAACCATCTTCCAGAAAAGTACAGACTTTAATGTTCTCAGTAGGGTCTGGCCCATACTACAAAGACCATTGCCCTAGTATGGACGACGTCCCTTTCCATGATACTTGTTCCACTTCCACCATCCCCACGGGCGATGGCTACCAGACGGCTCCTTCTCTCCCTCTTCCTCTTCCTCCTCCTCTTCTTCAGTTTCTGTGGGAGTTGGCTGCGCAGGGCCATTAGTTTTCGACGGTGCCTGACCCTGCGTCTGAGTAGGTGCGGGCGCGACAGTCTTGACAGGAGTAGGCGCCTGCACCGGCACAGACGTCTGTCCCTCTTCTTCCTCCGTAGGCGTTCCATTGTTGTCACCCTGGCACGCACCTCCCAGGGTATTGAGACCCTGATCTTCCGGCTTGATCAACGTTGAAAGCTTCACGCCGGCAGGAGTCTCGCAAGACTGAGTGCCGTATTCGATGTTGAAAACGGCCTTGTTCTGGGCGGTGAATGGTTTGTATTTTGCGCATTCGCCCGCGTATTCGTGGCATTGTTCGTTGACGGCGAATTGGACGACGCTGACGACGTCAGGGATGATGTCTACAGCGTTCTTGAGCCCCATCGCAAGATTTTGAGCGTTAGCCTCCTGGGCTAGGAACTTGACGTAGTCGACGTAAGCGCTCTTGTCGTAGCCAAAGCCGTCTTGTCCGCCATCCTATATACAATTAGTGGAAGCCGTTTGATACGAGTCAGGAAGGACACTCACAAATCCATCAACATTGTCAGGATCGACGGCAGTGCAGCCGCTCTCCGCGGCCTTCTTGATGCGAAGCTTCATAATGTTCCTGACATTTTCAGACTTGACGTTCAACCACGCCTCATCAGGCCAATCATCCATGTTCTTCCCCACATCTCCGTCCTTGAAGCTCCCGGCATCAGGGCGCCAGCCCTCCTTGGTCCCAGCGGAGAAGTAGCAAATGACCTGTTTCGTGGCCTTCAGATCCGCAATGGTCGCCTTGTCGGTGTCGAAGAGATCGATGTCGATGGCTTGGATGTTGTTGCTCGTGACTTGTCGGATGTTGCCTGGTGCGTCGCCTTTGTTGAGCAGAATGTCCCAGGTACTGCCAGCTGGGAAGGCCGGAACATCTCGAATGACGGCCTTGAATGGGTGGGCGAAAGCGATGCTGGCACTGCCAGCGATGGTGGTAATGGTTGAAAGATACATCTTTGCAACGTAGATAGATAGAATGAATGAATGAATGGAAGTGATATCAATAACACCGTCAAGGTTATTGGAGATACAAAATGCAGCCAGGCAAGAAAAGTGGCTTGACCAGGCCGAGAAAAGAACGACTAAAGGAGTGAATGAGAACAGATGCGCAGAAGGAAAGTACAGGTGCAGCAACAATTCCGGCAGTCGAAATGGCCATGGTTATATAAAAGATCGACTTCAGATGTTCTGTATCCCTTAATTGCCATAACAGATGAATTTAGGACAGGGCGAATCATCAAATTACCGATGCAGCACATAATTCTACAGATCTATTATTAATGCGGCGCTTCTGTTGCCATCGACTCTCTTTGCTCAAAATGTTGCAATGTTGGGCTGCAATTGTGTAGGACCGCGCCGCTCTGTGTGATCATTCATCTACTGAAGATTGGTGCAATGCAGGTGAGCGGAGGCATACGTAAGGGTACAAGGCAAACACAATAATCAAATCCTAAATAGTTTTCTAAGAGATGAAAGGCAGTTTTGGCATATCCGCACCATTGACCATGTTGAGACCTGCAGCCAGTCTAAGCACATTATCATCTAGATGGAAAATCGCTTGAGATGAACGTAGTAGAGCGTATGAGTTGCCTCAAGTAAACTGCTTTCAATTTGCAATACCCATGCAACATGCGCAATCAACTGCCGGCAATTAAGCGCTGCGGAACGGAAAAATGTCGTTGCAAACCATATAGACTGCCAAGTGTAAGATCCGGGTGCCCGTGTCTTCATTGGGACCTTAATTTGTTCATTACTCTTCTTGAAACATTTCTGACAAGCTAGATTAACTGATAGGTATACTCAGCAATCAGCCCTGCAGAGAAGGTCTATCTGTACTACACTCAAGGACTGCAAATACCAGAATAGTGCCATATAAGCGCCGTCCCTTGCCATGGGTATGCAGCTTTCGTAAATTCGTGCTTGAGATCCCAATATGCTCCACATTGTCCAGACAGACTGGGAAAGTTTATCAGATTGGCCCACGGTTGCTACTCCGTCACTTTCTCAAGTGAAAATGTTTCCGGGCTGAGACTAGAAATACAACTATCGTAAAGCCAATCGACTTTAGGTCTGGGACTCAGACCCGGCTGAGATTCGGCTGAGATCAAGGTTTGATCTGCAAGATTGGTCTGGATAAGGTCTGGTTACAGATTGGTATGGCTTGGTAATGTGATCTGATCAGCGATCGACCCATCATTCTATACCGAATTTCTCTTTCAGAAACTCTTTGACTTCAGAGTTGCCTGATCCCTGTGCGCTTTTGGGGAATGATATCACCTTGAGGCCGTCGAGAGATCTCGCTCGGCTCACTAAATCTTTATTAGAACAATGATAGATGCCAGAATTATAAGGAAAACCTACAAGCGACGTATGCTTGGCCTTGTTCAAACGATTTGGCCAAGTCAACAATGACCCGATTGAGCGTCATTCCCTGAAACCAGTCTTAGCAATCCATCCACTTCCAGTTTCTTGTGTATAACATACCTGCGACTTATGCGTTGTCATGGCCCAAGCCGCCATCAGTGGGATCTGAGCTCTTGAAAGTAGACTGTATGGCTGATCGTCTCCAAGCTCGTTCACTGTACAATCGGCGTATATTGTACGGGTGACGCCATTGACAAATCTTACGATGGGCCATTCTTGACGTTCGGCTGCCTCGATGAACTCCTGAATACGGTGTTCTCGAAAGAGGCCATACTCTCCGCCCAGCACGGGAACCTCGCTAGAGATATCTGGGGGTATGACCCTGCCGTTGCTGTTGATCTTGGCGGCCTTAGGCATTTTGCTCTTTGAATATTTCTCCCAGCCAGTAATTACACCCTGAGAGCCGTTGACCAGTCCAGAGCTGATATCCAGATTTGCTAATAGTACAACTAACATGCCTTGCTTCAGCTGTATTTGTGGGTCGAATCGATGATCTCGCTTTAAAGCATGTAAGCAGTGGACTGTTTGGGGGATTGTGATGTATACTCACCAATGAATTCAGAGAGCCGTCAGGGCCACGGAGACTCTTAGATTGAAGATTCCGATGTTTTTCGTTCCATTTGAAATAGTCTAAGCACTTGAAGGGTCGAGCTTTCGATTTCAGCTTGTTGAATTGCTCGCTGTTAACCCGTTTGACTTCCTCTCGTGTAGAAAAGAGCTTGACCGCATTGTGTGTTTTAGACTCATGGTTCAGTAGCAGGTCGACCTCAGCTGGAAGAAGCCACTGCCCCATACGTAACTTTTGCAGCATACCGATAAACACGGAGTCACTTTGTCGATGAATCTGGCTGAGGTTTACGTGCTCGAAATTACTCTCCTGAAACCTGTCAGTCGTGCTCATATCTAGTAAAGTCACGACATACCTTCCAAGCTTGGCTTCGAAACGCCCATTTATCTTTATCATAAAAGACCCCGTGAAGGGCACACTTGTACTCCGTGCTTTCCTTATTGGGTTGAAGCTCCCTGCCGCAGTCAATACAATGTCTGAATGGCTTAACCGGTGGAAGTTGGCAGAACTGGAAGACTTAGCGCACGGCAACACTAAAACGAGAGAACCTTGACTTACGTCCCCAGTGACAACAAGTTGAACGCCGCCAAATGCAGCAGTTTTCTTGCCTCTGGCTTCCTTCATGACAGCATTAAGGCGTTCCAAATGCAGATTCTCAACCATTGAGATTTCATCAATCACTAGAACATCCGTATCGTTCAATCTTTGACTGACAAACTTTCCGTGTGCAGCCTTCATCAGCTCTTCAAGAGGTTTTTTGTGGCTATCCGGCGTCCATCCAGCGTAAGTCCACGTGGTTGATCCGTTGACATCCAGTGCCGCTCGGCCAGTAGGTGCAATGATATTCACTTTCTGCCCTTTCTCTTCGCATCGTCTTACAAATGCCTTCAATACCGTTGATTTTCCACAGCCAGCACTTCCGGTATAGAAGACGTTACGCCCGCTCATGATGAGTTCGACTAGCCGTTCTTGCTCGGCGCATAGGACTGGTTCCGCAGTCTGCACAATATCTTCAGACAAGCTCTGTAACGCCTTCGCAGCCGCTCCTCTTGGTGCCGGTTGTGTCTTGGGAGTGATTTTGGATGAAGGGGGCGATAATGGAGCGGTACCTGCAATTCCAGGCGGATTGCAGTATGGAGCAGGACTCGAATCGGCATAGGGGTTGTGATAAGGTGCTGGACCTACAGGTCCATGGGGAGAGGTGTATAGTACCGACGGGTCATCATCCACAAGGTTGATTATATCTACAGGGCCCTTCGAACACTGTGCGGCTGTTCTTCCTGGAAAATGTGCCGGTTCATATTCTGTTCGCGAACGCTTGGTTGGGCGCTCAGGTTCTCTCCATTCGCTCGCTGGCGGCCAATTCTCATCTTGAATGGAATCTATGGATTGAAAGCCGGTAGGGAGACCGTGTTGTTTGCCAGATTCTGTGACAGATTTTGGTGCCGACGGTTCGTCATCCAAAAAACTGATGACTTCTGGGGCCTTCGTGCCATGCGCGGTAGCTCTCGCTGGCAAAGCTGCCATTCCATGATACCTCTGCTGACGCTTGTAGGCTCGATGGTGTTCTGTCCAATCGGGGAACTTCTCATCATCCATGGACTGAAGGGCTATGGGGTTCGCATATTGATCACCATGCTCTGTGGGGAATATTGGTACCGATGGACCACTGTTCATGGCCTGGTGCGACACTCCATGGAGGCCATCCTCCGAGATGTTGTTCGGGTGGTGGTGATGGACGTTAGGGCTCGTTGTGTGGTGGGGGTGTGAGATTGGATCTGCATGAAGTTGAGGCGTCAGTCTTGATATATTTTTGGATATGTACGAGTTTCGTCTCCACAATGTACGTTGTCATGTCCGGAAGGAGGGGCATACCAGAGTCGTTTGCAGCGCTGTCCTCAGACCAGCGCTTTAGGGCGCTTGAAAGCATAAGTATACTATAATGATCTGTGGTGATGTATATTTCAGAAAAGAGCAGTCCTGATCTATCCCAAATCGGTTGGTGACATCCAAATGAGGGTTACTTGGTGGGGTGTATAAAGTATCTAGGTATGCATTCGTCAAGGTGAACGTCCGGGGACGGGCCAAACGCGCGGGACGCGTAAACGCGAGTTGGAAACGCTAGCGCCGAATGTGGAGAGAAGTGTCTGTCAACGAAAGACTGATCAATTGAACTGTATATAAGAGCATACGGCGTAGAGTCAAGGGAGTGTTTATAAGCTTATCGTTCTTTTATTCTACAGAAAGTAAATAATGTCTCCAGTCTTTTGAATGATCCAAGATCAAACTAATCCCCATCTACAATAATGCACCCATGGACATGCTCGTAGGTAAAAGTGTCGCTGAAATCAGATACGAATGGCATTTCGAACAATTAAATTATCACGCCTTATTGCTATAATCCATAGCATAACCAATTATCTGAGAAAAAGCTCAAGGTGGAGACATAGGATTTCTGATAGCCAGAGACCCCATCCGGATGTTATCGATAAAGTTAGTCATCGCGGCCACGTGATCGCATACCCCGCGGAATTGTGGGTTGTGTAGGCACCAAGCTTAAGCTTCAAGCTACAACGACTTACTCCACTCACTTACTCAACACAAATAAACTCAACAATGGCCGCTAACAGTATCGACCAGTCACCCTTCTTCCAAGGGAAGAGATCTCGAGCGGAAATTGTCGTGAAAGGTTAATTCATCGCCATTGTCACGTAGGAAAGTTGCTGACGATAGTGAAGATCCTCCAAAGTTCGATCTCGAGTCTTACGTTTCCAACTATGATGGTATTGCTCGGACCTGCTCGACAATGTTCTTGAGCTTATACTGACGCGTTTCCAGGAAGAACTCGCATCCATCGTCTTCATCACATAGGTTCCTGCTCACCATTCCTCGCCCTCGAAGCGTACCGTACTGCGATCACCGAAGCAAAGAAGGGAAAGAACATTAAGCTGTACCTTTCCTTGGTAGAAGATTTTGCGAAGATCTCTCCCAGCGACCCTTTGGCAGTCACTGATTCGGCATGGGTGGACAAGAAGAAACGAGACGTGAAGGAAGAGCAAGACAAACTGGAGCATGAGTTGAAAGCCTATAAGAACAACTTGATAAAGGAGAGCATAAGGGTAAGCGCGTCGGTAGTGATAAGTCTGGATAGTGCTGAATTACGTATAGATGGGCCACGAGGATCTCGGCCACTTCTTCTACGCAACGGGAAACTTTGCGGACGCCCAAAAGGCATACATGAGGATGCGCGAGCACTGCACATCAAGCAAACATATTGCCGACATGGGCTTACGAGTGACGCTCGCCACTATTGCTCAGCAATCCTGGCTTCAGGTACATTCTGGACTCGTTAAGATTGATGCTTCCCAGTTAAAGGGAGAAGATAAAGCCAAGCTAGAACCCATTGTCAGCGCAGTGACGGGCCTCGCTCACATGGCATTGGGTAGCTTTCGCGATGCTGCTACCAGCTTCATCCATACATCGCCAGCATATTTGAATGTGGAGCCCGCGGCAGGCATCGCCTGGCAAAGAGAAGCCTTGTCCGGTAATGATGTGGCAGTCTACGGAGGTCTCTGTGCACTTGCTTCGATGGACCGTGTCGAGTTACAGCAGATGGTTTTATCAAACACCGACTTCCGCAACTTCCTCGAATTGGAACCACATATACGCCGCGCCATCACACTCTTCTGTAACTCGAAGTACAGTGCCTGCTTGGAGGTTCTTGAAAGTTACCGCAACGACTATCTCTTGGATGTTTATCTTTCCAGCCGGGTATCAGAGATTTACAACAACATTCGGACGAAGAGCATAGTCCAATACTTCATCCCCTTCAGCTGTGTCACTTTGGATGAGATGGCAGATAAGTTTCAGCCTACTGGAGACTACGCCAGCATAGAAACCGAACTCGAAGACATGATCAATGCTGGCGTCCTGGATGCACGTATCGACCTCGTTGATCGCTTACTCATCTGTCCGTCGACAGATCCTCGTTTCGAAGTCCATTCCAACGCCCTCGAGATGGCAGAGAGTTACGATCAGACTCTACGCTTACGGTTGTCTCGTATCAACATGTTGAGTGCTGGCTTTGCCGTTCCTGCGGAGAAAGGATCCAAGATGGATGCTTTTATGGGAGGTGGCATGGGCGATGGCGGCGTTCTCAGGAACCTTGGGTCGAAACTTGGTCTCTCGTAGACATTTACGTTTTATGACATCTTTGGCGGCATTTGCAGGCGTTTCATGCAAAGTCAGGCTGGCGTGTATACATTTTTCCTCAGGGCGCTCGATGGTGGACGTGCAATTCACCGTCCTACAAAGCCATGCATCCGTAGTATATGAGCATAGGAAAAGGCCTAATCACATTTCTTCTAAGGCTACTTTGCATCTTGTGATATCTTGATACATTATCTATTATATTGCCCTGTTCTATTTCCAGCATGTCTCCTCTCATAGTTCATACGGCAAAGTCAGAATGATTTACAGATACTTGTAATTTATAAATAATCAATAGCAATAGACACGAACACGTTGACGGGATACGGCAATGACATTTGCAAATGAGTAGACCTCATCTCAAGAGTAAAAATATGATTATAACGAATAACATCAACTACCACCGTAATTCCCTCCATCACCAAGTGACCCAATCCCCAGCAACAGTTACAAAAACAGGCATCGTACGAACGAAACCACGCCACTCAGGCCTCCAACGATCTACAACACCACAACCACCACAACCACCACCCACCACGATAGCCACGCATCTAAACCGCAAGGCCCGATCTGATCTACTCTACCGTACGTGCGGAGGAGGCAAGGCGAAAGAAAAAACAAGAGAAAAGAGACCACTGTATAAGCGGTGGTCCCAGCGCGCGGACGTTTTCTCCGTTCGCTCTCTCCCTCGGGGCAGTGACTGAAAAGGGCAGGACCTCCAGCTGGGCAGGTACCCGAGCACTTGGTTGCTGGACGAACGATGATCGCCCTGCGTAGGGTAAGGTTGCTGGGGGGGTCGAATTGCTTGATATAGAAACTACTTTACTTCGACATCAGACTTCGCTTTTTACGACGATTATAATTGTGCTCTACATTCTACGGAATATTGAAAAAGAGGGAAACATTGAATGAATGGGTCGAGAGGCGGAGGGGCATCGCCTCGAACACGCTTTCCCCCCCATCCTCCCCTGACGTCCACCGCAAAGAGAAAAGACGAAGAAAAAAAATTCTCCTCGACAAGCCAGCCCCCTGAGCAATATCCAAATCCAGCCGGAGACTTTCCCTTCCTACCTGCAGCCTGGCGGCCATGTGGAAATGGGCAAGCAGGAGGAGGAGAAAAAAGAAGCAAAAACGCTAGCCTAAACATTTCACATGTGGGCTCCTTCTCGTGTGTGCAATTACAACGTACATAGCACACGACGACACACAACATGACATGATTGTATTGTCGTCAATGCGCTGGGAAGACCCGTCGACGTCGGTGAACAACCCAGGTCGAATCTCTCGGGGGCTTGGGGCGGGCGCAGGCGGTGCGTTTGCGGGCGCACGCTGGGGGCGCGCGCGCCAAAAAAGTGGATGCAGATGTCGAAGGGGGCATCTAGAACGCGCCCACTTTTGATGTGAAGCGTGGGAGATGAGGAGGGTATCATTTTTTTTCTCGTGAAAGAGTAGGGCAGGGACTCCGGGCGGGGTGAAGCAGAGAGGTGAGGCTAGATGGAAACACATCACAGGCATGAGCATGAGCATGAGGACCCCGGATCGACCTATCGTCATCGACGCCGCAGTGTGACGGGGAATTGTTCACACATGTCTATATCCTGTTTCTGGACGGGTCATTGCAAGATTGGAAAAGGGTTAGGGGGTCGAAGGGAAGAAGTCAGATCAGACCATATTCGGGGTTACAGAATCTGCAAGCCTATCGGACGGGTGCGCATCAATCAAGAGGTTGTAGTAGTGAGGGTGGTGATTATCGCCATGGGCATGTGAGTCTCGACTCGTTGGAACCCGCCGCTGCGCTTGCGAAGACAAGCGGGCGAGACGTGGCTCTGCTCTAGTTGCTTTTTGGGAAACTGGTCAAAGAAAAGGTTGAGGTAATGGAGCTACTATTGGGCGGCGCCGGTGACCGCAGCCCAGCAAGCAAGAAATATGTCCCCCGGGTCCCCCAGCGTTTCCACATTCATGCACCTCGACGCCCCTCAAATGGAATGATGAGGCACTTCCGATGCAGGGCCTACATACAAGTACATAATCACGATACCGATTTGTCCGGAATGGTCGAGAGGACGGGATAATAAAGTCATGTGGCTACTCGTTAGCATTCGCAGATGTCCCTTTTCGACCATTGTTGTCTTTTCTTTCTCGCTTCGGCACGCGATTAGATCCCGATGACAGTCGGGCCTATTAGCTGGCCCGGAACATTCGCAGGGGGGAAGTTGCGGAGGTTTTTCTTATTGTTCATTACTCTCTACAGTTCACTAATCTCCAGGGTTCTGAAAGGTGAAGGGTCGAGACCAGCAGCGGATTGATTCAGAGTTTCGAAGTGATTACGCCATGCATACAGACAATCAACGGCAAGCGAAAGAAAAAAGCTTGAATGATAGGAGAAGTGGGGGGATGAGAGGGGCGTGTCATGGTCGGACAATTATTATCGATTCTTATCGGTTTGTCTAAATGGTTGGTACAAGACGGAGTGGAACATGTGGCAGAAGATTGTGAGACCCAACGTATGAGACGACGACGATGGCGATTGTTGCCAAAGAAAGAATTGAGGCTCAAGCACATGAGTGAGAAGGATTACCAGCAGACGGATAATACCTACGGCATGGTACGCGTGAGATTATCGTTACTTGTCACAGTCGGTACGGATGATGCGCAAAGCGAAACCAAGCGAATGGATTGCAAAAGAAGCGCAATGCCCAGTCGAGCAAGAGACTCAAAAGAAAGCCCCTGGTTCACATCATTATCGGACCGTCTATGCACTTCCTCAACGGGGTATGGCACGAGTGTGAGTATTACTCTTATGTTACTCTTAACTACAAATAAGTCTTGTAACTCCTACGGTCCTACCTACTCGTACCCATAGGCCACCCCCTGCCCTTCCCAGGCCCTGTAAGTGTGCGGGAGGATCGACCGGGGGGCCACACGCCAAACCATTCTGCTGGTTTCTGAGGGCTTGGCCATGCTCGTCTGCTTACTTTGAGGTGGCTTAAACTTGCTTCTTACTGGCGACCCTCTTTGAGTGTTATCGACTTTGCAATGCCTGCTTGATTGCTGTCAGGGATGCTACTGTACGATATCAGGCGAGGCCGTAGTCGTAGTCGTAGTCGTATCGTGGTAAGCCCATGCCCAGCCCGAAAACAACCAGCATGCATACCAAGTGACAAGCATCATTCAAAGTGTGCAGGCATCATCAACCGACTACTGGCGGCGTCGCCGTACGAGGGGGTCACTGGGGTCACTGGGGGTAGGGGTACCCTTCATTCCAGCACAGTACGGGAGCGCCACAAACAGGCTCGAAGGGTCCTCTTGACCGTAACAATCTGGTACAAAGAAAAAGGGACCCTTGAACGACACTCGCATCGTTCATTGGAGATGGGGAGGGGATTGCGAGCCAATGCCAGACGCGACGGGTTCGCATTCCCCATCCCCCATCCCCCCTCACCCTCACCCTCCCCATCTGCCATGCCATGCCATCCTGCCATGTTCGACAGTCGGCCACCACCACCACCACCACCACCACCAGCCCAAAATCCCCAAAGGCCTAAAATTGGGTTCTGCCCGGTCGCACACGCCATCGAGTAAAGGTCGAGGATAGATTGTGCATCGCACAGGGAACACAGCAAAGCATGCTGTCCCATCCCATCCCATCCCATATCGTGCTTCTGGCTTCCAAGGACCACTCATACGGTACGGAAGACAAACATCCACACTAACCCTCCGTCTCCGTCCTCATGCAAAACGAAGGGGTGGGCGCGCGAATAGTCGCACAATCCCCTCTCCTCTCTCATTCTTCCTTTGTGCAACCCACCACCGCAGCGAGGCACCCGCGTGCGTGCGCGCGCGCGAACTCAAGACACAAGGCCCACGACATGAACAATTATTGATTGATTGTTGCACCTAATGGCAAGTTCCGGGTGCCACCAGCCCGCAATATTGGTATCCCCCCAAAAAAGCACCGCTTCCCCTCTGTTGATCATCCGTCGTGGTGGCTTTCGGAGGCGTGCTTTTCGATGACTGCAGCAGCATCACGGTTGCATCACCCCCCCCCCCCCCACTTCCAGTATCGATTTGTTCTCGAAGTTGAAAGTGAGACACCCCGTGCATTATTTTTCTCATGTATCTACGGAGTATTCCATCAATCTATCGTGTCAAGGTGGATGATAGGATAGGCAGGGGATGACCCTGCGCCTCTGCCTGTTTTGCTCTTTGGCAATCAATTCGATTCGCATGCGTTGGTTCCCCGAGCCAGGGAGAAGCGAGAAACGACGAGGCGCCAGTTTATTATTGGACAAACTACGGAGTTTCTATCGTTGCAAAGTTAACCCGGCGAGGCGGGGGCAAGGGAAGGGTAGGATGTGGTTTTCCAGAGAGGGGAGAGAGAGAGGAGAGGCACAAGACAGGACACAAGAGGGGACACACAAGCGAGTCGGCGACCAAAGTAGATTAAAGTCGTTTGAATCGAGAGCGGTTGGCCAGCGATTATCGACACAAGCGGTAGTCGGTAGTCACCAGTGAAAGGGGATTCCGGGCCACGAATGGACGGGATTGTCAATCTTACCCCTTGAACGGGAAGAGTAGTAGATCTTTCAATGCGTTGGCAGCATCATCTCGATCAACCAAGTGCTTTCCGTGTCGTAGTGCCGCCCTGCCTATCTCGAAGCTCTTCCCCAACAATGTCTCGGAAGGGGAAGTTGAGAAAGCTAATTTCATTGAGAGAGAGTCAAAATAATACCCTATATTCTCACTCCATCAATCTTTGCGGAACTCTCCCCTGAAAAGAAGGGCCGTGTGTGGGGTCATGAGGAGATACCTACGAACGCAAATGCACGCACGGGCGGGGTGTTTCCTTAGGGTTTCGCATTAGTTATTGCGGTTGTCTGTCTGTTGTCTGTTGTCTGTTGTCTCGTGTCTTGTGTCTTGATGTTTTGGTCGGTCGGCGGTCCGGTCCAGACACCATAGCAAGTCTGTGTGTGAGGGGAGGGCAAGGCGGGGTGATAATCTGTCCGATCTTACTGACGTCTTTTTCCCGGCCCCCAAAAGCTTCGACCTCGCCCGCGCCCGCCCGTTTGATTTGCTCTGAACGGGTGGGTTTGGCTCTGCTGTCCACTGATACAGACTACTTACTCGCCCAAATTATAATTATTTGCCAATCACAATCTAAAGCATGGCAGATGCGTACACGATGCGAGACATTTCAAATGCAAACGCACGAACGGCCAACCGTCAACCAACGCATGATAGTGGATAGTTACGTTTATTGTGGATTTTCCGGTCAGGAACGAAAATGTCACGGTCAGGTTTAGGTTTCTTGGGTTTCTTGAAATTACACATTACGAATTGGAATTTGTACGGTACTCTAAGTCGCTAACCCCAACGCCGTCGTGGTTTTATGTCGGCGTCTTCCGTTAGCGATCCGTTATTTTCTTTGTTGTGACTATGGATTCAATAAAATCAAGCAGTGCTAGGTACTCGTAGGTAGGTCAAGCAATTAGTCACGTTCGTCAAGCTCCGCTTCGCTGCTCGCTCCCCCCAACAGAAGAACGTGACCACCGTGCTGTGAGTCGAAATCGAATTGAGTCCTGCACGCCGAGGAACGGAATGATGGCCAAGTCAGCAGATGTACAGGGTGAATGCCAGCATTGCGCCCAAAGGGCCTAGCCAGGTCTTTCTCCAAACTGTGGCCGTGCAAAAGGCCCGTCAAGCCTGTATCCTTGGGTGGGTCGCATCTCTGCACACTGATTTGCTGATCAGAGTACCCGGGCCCCTGTGCTTGGGACGGAATGCTAATTTTAGCAAGCAAACATGCTGGTTGGTCTGTGGCTGTGGCTGTGGTCTGGTCGTGAACTGTGGCATAGGTATACGAGCGGTTTTGTCTTGTATCTCAACCCAATCCAGCGCTCGAACTCAACTCACGTAGACCTACCAATCAACTGGCAAATCAGGACACAAGAAAACAGGACGATTGACTTGGGACCTCGAGTGTCTCAATAGTTATCCAATACCAGTGACGGACACCACAGAATGCTCGAGGTAGCAGTCACACACGACACGACACAACCCACGCAGCCAGCATGCATGCAACACTCCCTTCCCATCCATCTCATCCCCTCCCCTTCCATTATTCCCTTCACGAACGAACATATCAAATCCCCACGTCACTCCCTCCTCCCACCCATTGGCCCAGACCCCAACTTTCCCGAAATGCGACGAATTTCTCCGGAGAACTCCTCGCCTCTCAAGCAGTCCCCAAATATAGTTACCCACCAACACTCAAGACATCCACACACACGCGCCCTTTCGCGTGGGCATGTCGTCCAGGGTAGGTACATAGCTAGATACCGATACGAAACGGGTAGGTACATACTACACACCTCCACACGCCTCCACATGCGTATGGATGTTCAACCTCAGACACGAATGAGCAAGAATCGGACATTGGCAACATAACACGCGCACAATGGTATACGCAGGGATGGTCGAGTATTATTGTACGAGTATCGTCTCGAGAGAGCTACGGACTCGGGAAAGGAAGGGAAGGGAAGCGGTACGAGGACGGAGGGATGGGATGGGAAGGGGAAGGGGGGAGAGACACAGGGTACAACGTACACGGGGTACACGGTACGCCATCGTGTCCTTGGGTAACGACTGGTGATGGTGGTTGAGCGAGCGGCGCCGTTCAACGCCTGGTCAATGCGTGCGGTGATCGTTGAGGTTTTGTCGTGTGTTGCAATGGTACTCGTGCGTAGATACGTTGTCGTTTTGTGTCGATCACGATTAAGTCTAGATTATCCCTTCAAAACACATTATTGGATTCGATTGAACTACTCTGTCTGAGATCCCACGATTCTTCCCCAAGAAAGCACGGCAAGACAATAGGGTGTTCGGTCCGCCATCTACACAATGTATAGTAACCAGGTTCATGAAAGAAATCCTACAAGTACACATGCAGTAGGCCCCCATAACTCATCTTCCATCCCCTCTACGCAGTATTGTGCATCATGCGAAATTGATCTCGAACTACCGACGACGGACGCATTGACGGACTTTTGTCTGTCGATTAGTGACTGGCGAATAGGGGGCTGATTTGGGCTGGTTCTTGATAACGAGGGTGAATTTTTGTGTTGGAGAGAGATACTTGTACGTTGCTGGCTAGTTAGTACGGGCGCTATGGGATGCGATGAGACGAGCGTTGGATGGCATAGGGTTGAGAGGATGAGATGGATGTGTGGTCATAACTCAGAGTCATAAGATTATTATTCTTTGCAAATGTACGGTAGGTATTGTGGGTATTCATTCATTCATCGTCAGCAAGATGCTACAGGAATGTATGTTACATCACAACCGCTCCGACTTCATATGATGGTTCAAGCTCCTCCTGTGTGGAATATCACGGGACAATTAACTACATACCATATTCACACACACACACCTAATTGCTAGTTGGTAGTTGATGGTTACAAACATAGTAACAAAGCAACCCATCTCCCATCTCCCATTCCTTTCACTATTCGCCTCGCGAGCAAGCACACACACCTCGTCCACGTCGCACAGCATACATACAAACCACCCGGTACCCATCTTCACACCCCCCCGTCTCGTCCGTCCTGGAATGCGACCAGCAACGCTGTTTCTATTCTTGAATTAATACCCTTCTCCATATGGAGTAGTTAATCCAAAATCCAACCAGAGAAACCTCGTAACCATGTAGCACAATACCATGACCATTCTACCCGACCACACACATCACCCACATCGCCGGCACCCCAAATCTCACGCAAATCTCACGCAAGAAACAAGAAGAAAAACCTTACCCACGTCCTTGGGCCTGGAGGATTCATGCCAGGGACGAGGAAGGGGTAGGGAAGCCACGAGAGTAAGTTGAGATTTCGAGAATGTCTGGGGTGGTGCGTTGCTCGCCGCACGCGTACATGAGGATAGGGCGGGGGGAAGACAGGCCGATGATGACAATTTACATAGGTAATTAGATGGGGATTTTTTTTTTGAAGTTGGCTGTGGGCCTTAATGGGGTGCATTGATTTTTATTGATGTTCGTTCGTTCGTTCGTTCGTTGTTGGTGGTGATTATTTTTTTTTATGGACGTTCAATGGACTACCTAAGTAGGTAGTTGGGAGACGTGCGGATTGTCTTAACACCGCACCCGCTCAATAGAATCCATTCTATAATGCTAGAACCCAGAAACACTTTTTTTCTCCTTCGTGCAAGTGCAAGCACGATCAGGAATCAGAACCGTTGGGTTGAGTTGGGGGCCCTTTTTCCCGTCGTCTTGTTGACTGCTTGGTTGCAAGTAACAGGTACCTATGTAACTACATCTCGCATCTCGCATTCGCCCTCCGCTAGCGACGGCGGCCGTCATCATCATGAAACGTTGAGAAATTGAACCTAACCTCACCTCCCCGAACGATGGATGGGGAAACTAGGTAAATGGGGTCGAGTTCGGATTGGGATAATAGTTACCTTGCCTTGCCTTGCCTTTACCTTACCTATTGGCGCGCGCGCACACACACGAAGGATTTACGTGAGTACCAAGTGTACACAGTACTGCATGGGTCGTCTGGGCGGGCGGGCGGGTTCGACAAAAGAGCCGCAACGCAATTCGCACGACAGAGCGCCCGCCCGTCCCGTGGCCCGATTGGCAGGGTAGGGTAGGGTGAGGAAGCGCAAGGGGGGGAAATGGGGGGCCAAAAATAATGAAGGGAAGGGAAATGCAGGCACGGGAGATGCAGGAGGAGGAAGAGGTGTGGGTGAGTGGAGTGTGACTACGGCGGTAGGAGCGTGGTTAGATCTTGATTGATTGATGGAATGGTGAAAGGTTGTGGATTGATGATGATGATGCTGATGATGGTGCTGATGCTCGGGATTGTTTGTCTAGCGTGGGAAAGCATTGATGGTGCTGTGCTGATGGATTGGTATAACCGACATTCCGATATATGTTACAACCAACGGATGCATGTGCGGAGTACGCTGAGTGTTGTAATAAGATGTACATTGAAAGGCGGAGGCGATTCCCAGCGGTGAATGGTAATAGCAAGAGTTGGACTCGTGTTTGTTAGTCATGAGATTATTGCAACGGCTTAGGTGTGATGCCATGCGATGCCATGTGTAGAATGCGAAGGGTAAGGGGATGCGCGCGCAATGCACGATGGCATGTAGAACAGAGCAGAGCAGCAGAGCAGAGCGTCATAATGGCAGGGGAGGAGCAGGCGGCAGCAGCATCCTAGAGGGGTGAGAAGCTTGGTGATCTGGCATGGTGGTGCAATAATGATAGTTAATGGGGATGCCCGCCCTCGCGTGGGAACGCCGAAGTTGGACGAGTCGTAACAGCGGTAATGGAGTAGGTAAAGTGATTACTGGTATCATGTATGTACGGCGACCACGGGAAAATAAATTTGTGATGATGTGCGGTATGGCAAGTGTGTTCTGTGCTGCATCATCAGTAGGGATGGCATGTCATGGAGTCATAGTGCTAGGTAGGTAGTGTAGTATCAATCAGTGATGGCCCATGGGATGAGGATTGGGGATTGGGGGAGTCGGTGACTGCGCCCGCCCTTCCCAGTGAGGCCATGAGGACCCACAGAAATGGCTCATTATGGCATGCGCTCGACCAGACCCTTGTAAGCCTTGTGGGAGGGCGAGGAGAGACAGGACAAGACTTGAGAGGAAGCGAGAGGGAGGACAAGCATGTGGATGTGGATGTGGATGAGTTACACAGTAGGTACACAGTAGGTAGGATGGTGGATGAGGGTGAATGACAAGGGAGGTGGATGGGAGGGAGTCAATTAGCGGAGAGCGGGAAGAGTCGAGGAGTCAAAGAGTCGAAGAGGCTAGTCTAGTCTAGTCTAGTCTAGTCTAGTCTTGGTTAGGGTTAGTCGCATCGGAATGGCCGGTCTGGACTGCATGGGGATCCGTGCACTGGGAAACCATGTCGATGATCCAATCACGATGCACGACGACGTCAACAGCCACACCATGGCGCAGTCATTTTCTAATTTTGGCTGAGCCACCATCTACCTCCAAGGTTTTTGGTACCTGTCCACAGTGCGCAGTGGTTAGGTACCTAGGTAGACATTAGAACGAACGTAATAGTTCAGAAAAAAAATGTACGATGTAGTCATTGCTACTATGTTTGTTGGTACGATGTATAATCAGCGTCATCAGCTAACGTCGAGGTAATTAGGTCACTTGGTATGATGAAATTGGAAATAGTAACAGCAACCCTTGGTAGCAGCAGACATAGTACTCGCACCCGTGATGCAATCTAGATCGTGTCGTGCGTGCACACATCAACTTGCTTTCTTTCCGAGTCCTCGATAGTTGACTGATGCGAACGCGACCCTTCTGCTGTTCTTCCTGATCAGAGCACCTGGCGGCCCAGACCCATTGCACGCACAACCATGAACCCTGGAACGGACCGAGAAGAGTGCGTGCGTGTGTAAAAGTAGATATCGAATGTACATTCTCCGCATGTGCGATACTGTACGGAGTAGTAATGTAGTTAGAAGAAGAGAGAAAGGGTGTGGGCGGTGGGCGCCGGCCAAAGCGAATCGAGCACGAATCAGCATCAATCTCCCACCTCATGTCTACTTTTCTTTTCTTTTCTTTTCTTTTACATGTCGTGGTGCGATGCCATGCTCTGTCCAAACCCTTGCCCATGGACAGTCTGTCTGTGTATCCCCTGGGTCCTGATGGGGATGGATGGGATGGATGGAAGATGGGCCATCCACAATCCTTGTAACAGTCTGTCGCCCTACCCCTGGCCCCGTCCCCCCGTCCCGACAAACACACACACAGAGGAGACACACAGACATTAGACGAAAAAGACCAAGACTAGGTTAGACGGTTGGCGGTAGAGTAATGTCGAGTAACTAGGTAGGTATGTAGTCTGAGGCTTGTAGAGTAGTAGTAGAGGGTAGAGGGTAGGGTAGTCGAAGCGGCGGTGTCTGGCGATGGGCCCGCACGCTCAATCCATCGACTCCCGCTTGTTGTCGCCCGATTCGGGTTGGAGGCTCCCCACGCTGTCGTCTCTGATTCGTTACAGTCCCCTACCACTGTCCACTTCCGGTAAGGCGCCAATCAATCTGCAGGCCATTGCAGCACCGGGTCGCTCGCACTCACCGCACACCCACCGCAACCACCGTCACTCTACCCTACTCACTGCACACTGCACACTGCACACACTCACCACCAAACCTTCCATCATGCTCTACTCTAACTCTAACTCACCTACTCTGTACACTACCCTCTTCCCGTACCTTTCCCAATTCTCCACCTTCTACTCTCCCTCGCGAGCCTCGTCTTACCGTCGCTCGGTCGGGGCGCGCGATTGAGGCGGAGACGTGGGCTCTCATGGCGGACGCACCCATCTCCACTAATCTCTACCGACGATGAGCACAACCACCACCAATTCACCACTACGGCTACAGCCTTCTCTCTACAGCCTACTGCCTACCGCCTACCGCCTACCGCCTACCGCCTACCGCAATGCTGCTCCTCCACCACCCCCTTTAGGGCCAGCCTTTTGTTATTCTTCCTAGCGCCCTTTTTACGTTCGTTCTGCCACATCATACCAGGCCAAGCGGCGGGCCATAGGGCAGGTCGCACTGCAAGGGTCTGTCTGTCTGTCCGCCTGCCTGTAGACTGTCCGTGTGTAGTGTATGGGTATGGGTAAGGGTATGGGCATGGCATGTGGCATGGATGGGATGGATGGGATGGGATGCGAAGGGTAAGGGTTATGCCTCCCAAATGTGGCTGCTGCGCACTGCATCCACTTTGGGGCCATCCCATCCCATCCCATCCCATCTCAAGAACACTGTCCCCAGAAGGGCTTTATACATAATCCAACTTCGCCCCCCAAGAGCAGCCTACTTCAATTCCTCAAAGTCCAGGCCTCTCTCTACTCGACCACCTCAGACGACCTTCATCAATCCAGACCACTCTCTTCACGGGCTTGCCTTTCACCATCACGAGCAAAACCCCATCTGGATTCTGGACCCGTCTACCTCCTACGCCATCTCCCGTCACCATCCCATCACCACCACGTTGTCTGCCCGATACGAACTCGATTCGATCACCAGCCAGAACCAAAAAGGAAGAACAGCAGATCTAGAAACGGATATCAGACTTCCCGCCATCATCTCTTCTTCCCCAATCCATCCATTCTGTCCACGTTCTGCTGTCCATTCTGTCACAATCTGTCTGTCTATCGGCCCTCCCACCCTGCACCGGGACCAAGTACCACGTACCCACCCGGCCGCCCTCGCTACCGACCCGACGGCCTTCTCCAATCTGGACAATCATCACCTCGGGGTGCACACGCGCTATCACCCGCACAGCAAAGAACAGCAGCAGATCCCAGATCACTCAATAACAGATTCCTCGACCTCGCCGACCCGTGCGACGACTCCAGGCTCGAAGTGGCCGCGGGTAATCCATCGTTTCAAGGTAAGCTCTTCTCTCCCCTGCCTCCCACCCTACCCTACCCTACCTACCCTACCCTACCCTACCATTTCCCTACCCTTCCCTATAAGTAAGATCGCCCTAGCCCACCAACCACATGGTTCCGGTCGGCCTAACGATTGTTTACTGCTTATGCTACATGCTAACTCGAATGTAAAAGAACGTTGGACTTGCTCTATAATCTCCCTCAAGACACTCCACATCCCCCTTCAAGTCCACAACCATACTGCCCAACATGGTCGACTTCTATCCACATAGCATGTCTCACGACTTCCAACTCTACTCCAACAACCAGGAGCAACAGCTCGACTTCGTCCCATCGAGCCAACCCTACCTGGCCACCAGCTACGAATTGGACCCCACATTCACTGCCGCCTCCTATGCCTCCGTCCCCATGCCAGCCTACTCGGAAGCACCACGCCAGGACCTCGTCTTCCACTACGATGGCATTGCACAGGGCGTCAAGCCCGCCTTCCAGTACAGTCCTCATGATTCGCCCAACTCCGTCTCCCACACCTTTGAGCAGCCACCCATCCTCTCGGCTTCGTCCGAGTCCGGAGCCTCAGTGTCGTCTTCAACCATGGGATCCCCCTCGCTAAACCCACAGTTCAACGAGCCATGGAATCCCATGAACAGCGGACTTGGGCTTCCCATTGTCCACAACTCCTCTGGCTTCGAATATGACGGCATCGTCGTGGCCGACAAAGGCGCTGGTTGTGTCGGTAAGTCCGCGAGTGCATTTGGTTGAATGTCCTCTTCCTCTTCCTTTGATCGAGTCGATCCGCTCACATGTGCAAGCAGACCCAAACTTGATCCAGCCATTCGCCATGCAGTTCCCTCAGTCCCCCTACCAGGAACTGCGAGCTACACCCTCTCCCTACTTCCCAGTCTTGGAGCACCCGCCATCACCGGCGCCATCCCACACCTCCACCAGGAGCCAGCGCCCCGGGTCCAGGCAGTTTAAGAAGGGAAGCCAGTCGCCGTATCTCCACACCCAGCAATACGCTCCCTATCCCACATTCAACACCCAGAGGCGGCGATCGGATGCTTCTCTCCACTCCCACCACTCCGCCACCAGCCGCAAGAGCGGAAGCAGCTTCGAGCTCGACGACGAGACCAAGGAGAAGGGCCTCTGCCCCCTCCCAGAGTGCGGACGCGTCTTCAAGGACTTGAAGGCGCACATGTTGACCCACCAGACCGAGCGCCCTGAGAAGTGCCCGATCACCACCTGCGAATACCACGTCAAGGGCTTCGCAAGGAAGTACGACAAGAACAGGCACACTCTCACCCACTACAAGGGCACCATGGTCTGCGGCTTCTGCCCCGGCTCCGGCTCGGCGGCTGAGAAGTCGTTCAACCGGGCCGACGTCTTCAAGCGCCATCTCACCTCCGTCCACGGCGTCGAGCAGAATCCCCCCAACAGCCGCAAGAAGTCGCCAACCGGACGCAAGGCCTTCGCTGGCCAGCACAACCTCGCCGGCACCTGCTCCACCTGCTCCATCACCTTCGCCAACGCCCAAGAGTTCTACGAGCACTTGGACGACTGCGTCCTCCGCGTCGTGCAGCAGGCCGACCCCTGCGAGGCCATCAACCAACGACACCTGACCATGGTCGCCGAGGACAAGGATGTCACCGAGACCCTTGATAGGAATGGCTTGTCAAAGGAGGTCGAGTATGCCGTCCCCAGTTTTGATGACGACGATGAGGAAGACGAAGACGACGAGGTTGACGTTGATGACCAGAACGATGACACGTACGGCGCTCGCCGCTCGCGCTCCGGCAAAGGGTCGATCAAGACCTCGAAAGGGGATTGACAATTAACACATTCCCGGGGTGTCGCTTCGCACGCCGGGAGTGGCAACGCTTCCAAGGTTACGAAGACCTCTGGTGGGAGAGGTGTTCGGGCTGGACTCACGTTCAGCAAAGGTGGGGTGGCCATCACAGGATCGGGCCGCAAGAAGCGCAAAAACTACCCCGTCTCCTGGGGCTGCCCCACCGAAAAGATGAAGATGAAGAAGAGGGTGCTCTGCGTCTACGACGGGCCCAGGCGGCTGTGGAAGGACGACATGATGCTCGACCAGGAGTTCGAGGTCCGCATGAAGCTTCCAGACGGCAAGTCGTACGTCACCGACTTGGACGTCCAGACGCTGAAGAGGGCTGAAGCATTCCACGGCGCTACACCCGAGGAGCGTGGCCCCTGGGTGCCAGACAACATCATGGGCGCCCCTGCGACATCTGAATTAGAGGGGCTCATGCCATGAAGGCATTAGCTTGGTGAGCATCACCAAACCAACCAAAAAAAAACAATATACCCCCGGAAAATGGGTCGACTTCCGGCAGGAGTCGAAGCACACTGAGACGCCGTTCACGCCACGATTACCAAACCAAACCATGTTGTACTTTTACACTTCCTTAATGTCTTTTCTCACCCTCCATCTTTCCCTCCTCGCGCCACGGGAACATCTGCGCGCGCTTATCACATCATTTAAGCGATACGACACGGAACTATCTTGGGCGTTAATTTTTTGCGATACCACAACTTGTCTGGGAGGAAATCTATGCTTGTCAAACCCTTGTTTTGCTTTTTCAGGGCGACATTGTTTCTGTTCACTTGTTCTATGCTTTTATCTTTTTGCCTTTTTCCTTACGACCTGGAATGAGCTCAATGCGGTGGGTTATGGGATGGATGGTTATTGGAAAAACCGCCAACGGATTGGAAAATAAGGGAGGGAGGAAAAAATCTTTTCGAGCCTCTTCCTTTTTTTTTTCGAAGGAGATCTTTTATTCTAATGTGTTAAACTATCATCATCATCAGCATCGTCCATCACTGAGATGGATGCATGGATGGATGGGGGGCAAGGGGGAAAAGGCGGCGTCCGTGCTGGACGCGCTCGCATGGCTTTCTTCTACTTCTTCCCTTCATCAGCGTAACTATTGGTTAGTTTTGCATGAGCTAGCAATGTTCCAGATGGATCAATGTTTATTACTTCACACACACTCTCTCTTCACACACTTGACTTGACTTGACTTGACTTGACTTGACTTGACTTGACTTGACTTGACTTGACTTGACTTGACTTCGCTCTGCTATGTTGTGCTGTGCTGTGCTTTAGGTGATGTGGAAGTGATACTTCGATACCTTGAGTCTCTGATAGCTAATTCATGCACGAATCATAAGGTTAACACAGTCAGTGCAGGAGTACGATACGGGGGAACAACGCCGCTCATGGTGTCCCTGTTCTTCCCCCACTCCCTTTCTCTTTCTTCTCGGGTTCATGTTTGCTGGTAACTAACGTTCTTAATCTCTGTCTCTCTCACAACACTCACATCCTCTCTCACATCCCTCTCTTACATCTCTCTGTCACATCTCTCTCACATACCCTCACATACCCTCACATATTCTCTCAAACCCTCACTCACTCCTCTCTCACACACAGTCTCTCTCCCTCCTTCCCCCGTACATCTACCATCTACAAAAGAAACGACGCGGAATTCTCGCGTGTTCCGCACGGCTGTGACCGACCCTGAATGGAGTGGAGTGGAGCGGAGCGGAGTGGTGAGCACGAGTGGTGAGGGAGTGGTGAGTGCCGGAAGAGTGGCTGACCCTGGCTGACCCTGCCTGACCCTGAGTGGAGTGGAGTGGAGCGGAGTGACGAGTGACGAGTGACGAGGGGCTGAGTGGAGTGCTGAGGAAGTGTGGGAGTATAGGACATGCCGTGAACGAAGAGAAAAAAAGATAGGCTGGTTTGCGTTGGGTTGTGTTGGGTTGTGAGGGGAAGGAGTGGTTCAGGTTCAGGTTCAGGTTCAGGTTCAGGGCTGGGGAGCGGATGGATGGATGGATGGTTGGATGGTTGGATGGGTTGATGGGTTCCGTCTCGAGACTCCCTCTCTCTCTCTCTCTCTCTCTCTCTCTCTCTCTGTGTGTGTGTGTGTGTGTGTGTGTGTGGTGATGATGGGGGAGAGTTCAGGTTCAGGGCTGGGGAGTGGATGGTTGAATGGTTGGATGGATGGGTGGGTGGGTTTTAGGTTTAGGTTCTCTCTCTCCCTCTCCCTCTCTCTCTCCCACCTCCATCTCCCCCCTCTCTCTCTGTGTGTGTAGAAAAGAGGATAGACAGAAAGGATGGATATATAAGAGTGTACAAGGAAGGAATGTGCATATAGAGATGGGGTATGTGTGTAAAGAGAGTGTGTGGAGAGGGGGTGTGTAGATAGGGAGTATGTAGAGGGAGTGTGTGGAGAGAGAGTGTGTGTGGAGAGGGAATGCGTAGAGAGGGAGTGCGTGTAGAGGGATTCTATATAGAAGAAGTCTGCAATGTAGAAGTGTGTAGGGCCTGTAGTATGTTAGTGTGTGTGTGCGTATGCAAACGTAGAGGTTCCTTCTTGAAGGTCTGATGTTCGCCCCATGGCATGCAGTTCGTAGGGACTCGGAAATCCGTCCTTGATGGCATGCCCACGTCCGGCTTCGACCCAATCTCTGGAGACGGCCGCATGAAATAAATGGCATTCCTCCGTCCTTGTGGGTTGTTTGACCTCTTACCCTCTAAGCTCGCGAGCGAGCAACTTGTCACAAGCACATACGACGCCTCGTACGCGTCTACGCAATGACTTCCAAGTCTGACGTCAAAGCCTAGTGCAGCGATGCATCCTTGACAGACGCACCCGGTAAGGCTCTCAACAGCCAGTCTTTCCTCCGACTAACAAGAGAAACCAAAGCAACCCCACACCGAGGCCTCAAACGACATGAACTCCTCATCCACCACCACAACCTCCACAAAGACATCCCGCCCTCCCCTTCCCCGATCCATGCCCCAGCAACCCCGGGTCCATATGGCGCGGATCACGGTAAACGACCCACCTGTATCATTCCCGTGTACCATTGGCGTGACAACCATACAGGGACCACGAGTGCATCACCCACGAAGCCAAAACCTTGCATCTGATCGCCCAGCAGACCACAATCCCATCCCCGTTCCGAAGCTTCTCGACCACCGGGTCCATCCACACGGGCGTCGGTACCTACTCACGTCGTTCGTTCATCCACGGCGGCCAGCAGCTCCATCGACGTTGCTCGCTCGGTGCGGCCAGGAGGGGGGGCAGAAGCACACAGCTGACGACAGACTGTGCGACACGTGCTCCGACGACGTCTTCCCACAACACAACTCGCCAAGTTGACGACGGCCCACGAACGCGGACTCGACGGTTTCGGTTCGGGTTCGTCGTGCCGGCTTCCTGGCTCGCGAGCTCCCGACGCCCCAACCACCGTAGATAGAAGGGTTGGAAGACGCTTGTCGTGGGACTGACTGGACGGACCGCGGTTTGGCTTCCAGCATGTGAGGGGGGGGGGGGGGGGGGGGGGGGGATCTCGACGGCGCGTAACATCATCGTGGATCCGTGGACGCTGAAGGTCAGGGCGTTGAGTGATTGGGAGTACGAGGGGTACTTTCCCGCTGGGGATGGAGGCGTGGGAGGGGGAGGTGGGTGGTGAGGCGTATCGTGGGCGTCGTGAGGACCTGAGGGGGTTGATCGAGGCTGGGGAACTTCCTGAACCGGAGGAAGTGGGATTGAATGGGCAGCATGAATCGTATGACTGCTGAGATGATTTATTTTTGACTCGGAGTAACGGACTATGTGCACGCTTCATCATGTTGGATGGCTAAGAGACGGCTTTCAAGGAGATGCGAATGGCGTAGACACCCGTGGATTGAGAGGGCAGTGCGACGGACGTTTGGAAGAAAGACTACCGCATGTTAGCTGTTTGTCTGCTGAAAGCGAGATGACAAGTAGTTGTGTTGATACAGCGAAACACCCCGTAAAGCATACGTGAAGACAAGCATTTATAATTTAGAGTTATGGGTAGAGGTAGAAGTATCTATCCTGTCAGCGTGCATGTACGTAGAAAGACGGTTTGAACGAAGGCGGGATATAAGCAGATGCGGAGTGTATGCAAAGATAGAAGTGTGTATGTGCATGTATATGGTAAAGAAAGGACACAGAGATGGGGGAGTAACGTTGGGCGGTAGGTTACATCAGTTTGATCAGGGAGACCTTGTTTACTGTTGTTTTGTTCCAGTGAAGAGAGTTTATAGATAGGAGGTAGAGAGAGTGTAGATGTAAAGTACATATCTATAGATAGAGTAAGTATGTATACTGGAGGGCGTAAGCATTTATGGAGGTAGAGCACGTGTGGAGAGGGAACGTGTGTAAAGGTGAAGTAGGTGTAGAGGCAAAGTATTAGTAAATTAGGATACAGAGAGGAGAGTGCAAAGAGTGTTATATAAGAAGCAGAGAGCTTTGAGGGGGTTAGAATGGAGTAGCAGAGGGAAAGAACAGAGTCAGACTGAAGGATATATAGAGTTTGTACTGGGAAGGACATACGTTTTTGATTTCGTTGTGATAGAGAGGGCATATGGGTAGGGGGTAAACGGAATTATACAATAAAAGGAATCTACGAGGGCTAGACATGGGTTCATTTTGTTTTTCTTTTGCTGATGCCATATTACGTCGTTTGTATAGTACGTACGGTATTGTAGGAGCAGTCTAGTGGCTGAATCTTGAGCTGCAAAGGGTCGAGTGACAACATGATGGAGCAGGGTCTCGATTTGAGAATTTGAGAACTATGGCTCATTGGCGTAGTGGGCAGGTCGGCCTGGTACGATATCTTTAAAGTGTACATGTTAGAAAGGGGATGGATGACATGTATATGTACCGTTGGATGCCCTTAGTGGCGCCAGGAATGCTCATGTGACAGACTGATGAGTGGTTGGGTTTCGGTCAATCATCTACCAGTCTCGGCCAGGACTGAGAAAATAGGCGAATATAGTTAAAATTCGTCTTTCTTGACGAATGAGAGTAGATAGGGTAAGGGTAGAGCGTATGGATATAAAAGTCAATGTGAGAAAAGATCAGATCATCAGCTGTGGTGTATGGTATGAAGACCAGCTTACACGGATTGACTACTTTCCACTGTATTATCAAGCCCTAGGTTCTAGTGGTACATGGACAGGAATTGCTGACCCGCTAAGGCCTTCGATATATTCAATAATAAGATCGACAAGAAGGGAAATACACATGATTAGAAGGTCGAATGCAATCTGACAGACGGTGTAGTGTAGTAGGTATACCGCGGGAGCCACGGGAACTACAGAGATCGGACGCGGGCAATAACCCTGATGGAAATCGACCATCACGACCGACCATGGGACACATCGCCGGGATACCATGATGGTAACTCATGGACCAGTAGCTCCCGTGTGATCCAACACGCAGGCCAGGGAGGACAGGTACGAGGGTTTCATTTGTGATCGTTGGTGTTGTCGTGCATACCTTATCATAGTTACTTGTACTTGTACTTGTTCCGGACGGAGACTTGTAGGTTAGGTAGGTATTGAACCTACTCCCCCTCTTTGTTGGATCTGGCCAATCAGCGTCTGAGAAATGAGGTAATGATTGGTGGACGTTGGTCGCTCTAGCCTCGGATGGTCTTGGAATTTGGTCGTTGACTTTGTGGTGTGATGAGATACATACACCGGCTGGACTCAGCTCGTGAGAAGAATGTCGATAAGAATTACACTTCAAACAGATGAAGTATATTCATTCATTTCCTCCTCTAATAAAGCCAGTCCTCTTATCCACACAAAGTACAAAGTGCGAGTACGAACAAAGTGCAGTGCACAAGGGTAAGGGTTCGGTGACGCTTGGTTGTTGTACTTATTAGTGGCGTGGCACCTGCGGACGATCGGCACGGATCAACCCATCGCTAAGGGTGTGAGAACAGGCCCGCTCGTTTCTTAACCTCCCATTATCCCTCGTCGGTCCGTTCCTCCAAAAAAGGTGTATTCGACTGGGGCTCCACGCCATGGAGTCTGCTAGCCCCCCAGTGCCCGTGGCCAACGACTATCAGAACACACAGGAAGGCATTTGGCCAAATGGTCCTGTCCAGCTCGCCCGTGGCCGTCAGGCGAAGGATCCCAACGCGAAGACCATCGCATACCAGGTCACCAGCATCGAGGACTTCGAGTCATCCCTCCGCGACTACCTCAATCAACCACAGGACGCGCCCGAGCATACCGAATGCCAGTTCACCTTCTGGATAGGCGCGACCTTTCTGGTACAGGCACCGCAGCCTGCGGCCAACGCGGGCGCGTCTCAACCTCAAGCTCAGGCGGTTCCGCCTCAGCAGCACTCATCCCAACCTCCCCCGCCTGGGTACCAACCTGCCGGGCAGGTGGCCAACGGAGTCGGCCAGTATGGCGGCTCTCACAACTATCAGTCCGTGTCTGATCCCGCCATGGCGTTGACGATGCCGAATTTCCCTTCAAACGACGCGTCGATGGCAAACAACAACAAAACAAAAGGCGCGAAGGGCCAGGCGAACGCGAAGGACAAGGGACCGAAGATTACCATGAGCATTATGCAAGCTCTGCAGCCGACGACCGATCCGAAGGAAAAGATGCGTAATCAGAGAGCCATCGCGAAGTGTTGTATAGACACCATACAGAGGATTGATGGATACCGATACAGCTTCCACAACTGCTGGAATAGCAGGGAAGACGATAGCTTCCGCTTTTCGTACTACTGTAACGACTCGCTCCTGAATAAGGATCGAGCCGCAAATGGCAAAGGAGCAAAGCTCGGGAAGAGAGGTACGTGTTTTTCATCATTTTCGGCAAGAGATTTTCTTCGTTGTGGCTGAGAGATATGGGAACGCGTGGCATGGCATTTAAAAAACGACTGCCATCTCAGTCCCCGTACAGAACGCGTTTTGTCTATTGAGAGACATCTTTTTTGTTAGAGAGACATGATAAAGTTTGAGCTATGGTAAGATCGAAAGTACTGACATATATCAGCGACGAAACCAGTCTATGACTGCAAGGGCGTGCTCTCCGTCAAATTTTCCGCCACGAAGAGCAGTCTTGATGTGCATTACAAACACGTACCCGTTCATAAGACATACGAGGAGCGTGCACCACCTCCTCGCAAGGACTCGAAACGGCGCAAATTCTTGGAGCAAGCCGATCCTGACGCGCTTGTCCGATTATCCAATCGACCACGAACGGCTAAGTCTGGAGAGGAGTCTGAACCCGATCCAGCACCAAAGCCGAAAAAGAGAAAGAACAGGAATTCGGCGGCAGCAGTTCCATTGGCAGCCCCGCCTGTGAAGAGTACCGAGGAACCCAAAACAGCGGCTAATTCGATCGAGAGCGACTTGAGAGCTCAAAGCCTTCGGTCTTTGTTAGAGTTGATCCAGACTGACCCTGACCCGCCACCGCCTCCTCCCCCTCCTCCAGCTCCTGTTGCTTCGGCAATGCCAGTACCTGTCCCAGAACCTCCTCGTCCTGGTCCCGCTGCGGCGCGTAAGGATGACAAGTCTAAACAAGCAAAACAGCCAAAACAGCAAACTCAGTCCACCCCTCAACAGAACAAAAAGAGGCCCAGGAACAGCTGTGATGTCTGTAAAGCTAAGAAGACAAAGGTAAGTTCAACATGGCAAATCTCCACTTCCTTGAAATCTACCAATTATACCATATACTCCATATATGGCGGATTGCTAACTTATTGAAAGTGCGATGGTCTTCGACCAGTTTGCAATACTTGCACCGAAAAGAACCGAAACTGTTTCTACAGTTTACCTGCTTCGGACAATCCACAGCAGAATTCACCTGAGGGTACTCATATCTCGGGTGAAGCCAGTGGCCAATCTCATCAAAATAGTAGCAATGAGTTGTCAGAGCTAGAAAAGATGAAGAAGGAGCTTGAAGAGGCCAGAGCTCGAATTTTACAACTCGAGGCCGAGAAAGCGGCTCCACCACCCACGACTCCAAAGCAGACCCCGAAAGCTTCCACACCGCGTCGGGCAACGCATCATGCAAAATCAATCTCTCAGTCCCAGGCTCAAGCGCCGCCTGCAACAACCACACCCGCACAACATCAGCAAAAGCAGCAACAGCAGAAGCAACAGCAGCAACAGCCCCAGATGCAGCCTCAACAGCAGCAGCAGCAACAGCAACAGCAACAACAGCAGCCGCAGCAACCGCAGATGCAGCCTACCCAGCAGCTTCAAGCAGCTCAACAGATGCAGGCAGCCCAATACGGTCATTACGACAACAACGCCACTGTATCACAATATGGGATCCGCCCACAACCCCCACAACCTACACAGCAACAACCCCACCAGCAGATGCACACATCCAGTGGTAATATGAACATTGATCCTGTTGCAAATTTCGTGGCTAATCCCATCATAGGCCTCGCACCCACGCAAGACGCAAACAACCCCTATGGTCGCCAATTTGCCTGGCCACAGTATTTCGGCTATCAGAACGCCCAGCAACAGCCAGATCAGTGGTCAGGATCCCGGACTAACATGTATCGATCTTGAATTTCGTCTATCCACAGCGAAACCTTTCCGTGGCGTCGAGACCCGCTGGGTCTTGAAGGGATAGCGTGACATTCTTTCTGGGGTCCTTGTACTGTCTCTCGTGCTTTGGTCAACGGGCGTTGTCATCTTGGTCCTTCTTATACCCAATTTGTATCAATGAGATAATGAAAGTTTACGGGTAATGAAGGGATTAATTGTGTTGCATTACAGCGGTATCTCACATGTTTATTTTTAAGATAGTGGTTTGGATTTCAATACTCAATGGTTATTCTTTGCTCGATGATGAGAACTAATTTGCTGTGATTTTGAGGTTTCAAGTGTGATGGTTCTCGTCACAGTCCTCCTTCGAACAGTCAACATGCTGGTCGAAAAGCGAGGATGCATATCAGTATCGACATGGCCTTGGACCCGAGACGAGGTCAGCATGATCGACTGTCACGACACCGCAATGGTCAAAATCCCCCAACAATCGGTTGATTACAATTTGCTAGATTGATGGTATCTCTGCATTCATAACAATTAGCCTATCTCGCATGTCTTTCACAGTAATTCAGCTATTTACACGCAACAATGTTTCTCCGATGTCTTGGCATGTTGTGCATCCCGACTTTTTTTATATCTTCGAGCACATTCTGTTCTCCGTGATCTATGGTCGGTAGCGGCGTATAATTTCCTCTATGACTTGTTGAAGCATATATGCATATTCGTTCTTGGCTTTGATCTAGCAAATTCGCATCCGCCGGAGCTCTCGAGAGTTCTACACAGCATACAAGCATACGCAAGCTGTCCGAACAATTGTTCGACAGATCAATATCAAGCCTCGTTTGCACTCTTGCACGGCCAATGGAAGTTTTCAGAAATTTCCAACTCGATTCAATATGAGCACACCACCCTCCGACCCAGCCAAGCCCTCCCCGGCCGCGAAACCCAAAATCGCCTACGAAACCACACCCATAACATCGACACGATCGCTCAAACAACTCTCCATCTTCTTCTTCGGCGCCGCCTGCCTCGTAGCATCGACCGCGATAACGCGGCGCGCGGTGCACCGCCGCCAGCTCCGCAAGCTCCCCAAGTTCTACGAGCCCAACACGAACCCGCACGAGCACTTCAGCCCGGCGTCGGACGCGCTGCAGGCGCTCAACCTCGCGACCATGAACTGCGTCAGCTTCGGCATCATGAGCGCGGGCGGCGCGCTCTGGGCGTTCGACCTTTCCGGCCTGAAGGAGATGCGGGCGGCGCTGAGGGGCCGCCTGGGCTACGAGCAGATATTCAGGTCTGAGGAGGATAACCCCGCGGCGGCGGGCGTGTCGGCGGAGGAGATGGAGGCGTGGAGGAAGGCGGAGGGGGATGGGAAACATCGGTTTGGGTCGGATTCGCTGAGGAGGGATTGAGGGTGAGGGGAGTGAGGGGGAGGGCTGGATGAACGAATTGATCATGATATATGTATATTATTATATGAGTATTGTATAACAAAAGGACAAGGATATGTAAAACGCTATCATTAGTTATGGCAATGGCGTAACGATTCCATACCCGCCATCACGATATCTGGCGGAGATATAGATATGTAAAAACATTAGGTAGCAACACGCGCAACGAAACCTCCGCAAATCGCATCATCAATCGACTGAACTTCAGTTCAACAACAGCTCTTCTTCCCCGTTCCCCCCTCTCCGTCCTCAACCCTCACCCCCATAACCCCATCCCTATTCGCCCTCCACACCCCCTCCCCGCCCTCAAACCTCTCCAACTTCCATATCTCCGCCCTGCCCTTGACCTCCTCGAGCGCCTCCTCGCCCGCCCTCCACGCCGCCTTCCTATGCTTCGCACTCACGGCGATCACCACGCTCTCCTCCGCAATCGGACACTCCCCCAGCTTATGCACAATCGCGATCTTGTCCAGCTCGTGCTTCTTGAGGATGTCGCTGGCGATGGAGAACAGGGTCGTCATGGCGAGGGGAGGGTAGGACGTGTAGGACAGGGAAGAGACGGCGAGGTCGTTGAAGGTGTCGCGCGTTGTGCCGATGAAGAGGACGGTGGCGCCGGCGGAGGGGGACCGCACGAAGGATGTTGCGGAGGAGGGGGAGAGGGCGTGGGGCGTGAGTTCGATGTGGATGTTTGAGGTCGTTTTGGTTATCGGGGCGCTGGGGATGTCGGGGTTGTAGGTTGAGGGCTCGGTCGTTGACATTGTGTAGAGCTTTTGGGTTCTTTGGTGGTTTGGGTGGGTGGATGGTGGGATTGTGAAGCGGGGCGAGTAGTTGAGGTTGGAGATGGGAGGTTGAAGCTTTTGCTTTGGTGGAGGTGGGTTGATTGGTCTGGAGATGTGTTTTTTGCTCTCTGGAATGTTGGAATGTCCTGACAGGCTCGATCAGGTTGTTGTTCAATACGAAGAGTGACTGAATGATCGATTTTCGGAGAAATGTAAAAAGAATCCAAAACGGGCGATGTATGTATATGTACTAAACGCTTATCAGAAAACACAACTCAAACGTAATGCCAATTATGAAATGCAAATGCACGTAGGCGAACAGCCTGACGCTGTAGTGCATACGGACTCACATAGAATTATAAGAATGGAATTGAATCTGTTTGACGAGGAGTCGCGGTACGGCGGATGGTATAAGGTTAAAGATACTCGTACATAGGTAGTTAACTAAGGCAAGGGAACTAAAGATAGGTATGGCTATGACATAATCCCACCTTGTGCCTAACTATCCGTCGCGTGCCGTTGAGGCTCGAAGCTTTTCTAGAAGCTTGCCGGCATGCGCCGACGTCCAATCAGGCACGATCAAAATCGGAGAAACTGTGAAAGAAGCGTAGAAGCTTTCATTTGCTTGACTACAGTGATCTAAGGGGCCAGAAATAAGTTGCAAAAGGAGAAGACAAAATGCTATATGGGAACGAAATGGTGCCAAAAGTGTATCCAGAACCAAGAAGTTTGTAGTCGGATCGAAGAAATGATTTAGTATCGTCCTCGTCCCCTTCCCCTTGGCTTTCCTCTGAAGTTGCCTCCTCGTCCTCCACCTCTGCCTCCCCTGGAGAATGATGGCTTGCCACGCCATCCACCGCCGCCATTGTTGTTCTGGTTGTCGTCGTTGCTTGGGCCTTGCTGCATCATTGCAAGTCTGGCAGGGTGCATTCCAGCGGTTGGGTCGCTCGCCTCCTCGGCGCCATTGGCCTCATCAGTCTCGCCAGCCTCTCCTTTTTGTTGTCGTGATTCCTTCTTCTCCTTGCGGTCCTTCTGCTTGGCCTCGATCTCCTCGCGCTTTTCGCGATCGCGTTGGCGCTCGTCGTCGAGCTTCATGTTCTTAGCCTGGATCTTCTCCTTGCGGGCTTCTGTGTTTCCGCCTCCACCAACACTGTTCAGGTCAGTTTACGTGAATTCAACTAGAGCGGAGCAAGCTTACGTCAATTCGATGTTAATCTTCCTTCCCTTCTTGCCATCTGGGAATACGGAGTGTTGGTACTTCTTCAAACATGTCTCCATGCGGTCGAATCGATCAAACTCGACGAATGCGAAACCCTTGGGTTTTCCGGTTTGCTTGTCGGTCATGAGGCGGACATCCTTGGGCTCGACTTTGCTGAAGTGCTCTTGGACAGCCTCCTTCGTGACAGTGTATGGCAGGTTACCTGTGGCATGTTAGAGAAGAATTGATGAAACTCTTTAAGATGATACATACCGACAAAGACAATGAAACGGGTGGCATTGGCAGCATTGGCTTCTTCACTGGCTTCCTCCTGCTCGCCATTGGCAGCATCATCGCCAGCATCGCCATTGGAAGCTGCCTTTGCTGCTTTCTTTGCCGCCTTTTCAGCCTTGCGCTCGTCCTTGGACTTCTTCTGCTTCTTGCTAGCAGCATTATCCTCCACTGTGTTCGATGCGCCATCGTCGAGTTTAATGAAGTCTTGTTGCAGAGTGGTATCGGGGGTAGATTCGTCAGATGCGGATGCCTTCTTGGACTTCTTTTCCTTCTTAGACTTCTTCTCCGATTTGGTTTCAACTTCAACAGGTGTGTCCTCTTCACCCTCAGCCGCCTTGCGCTTCTTGGACTTCTTAGATTTCTTTTCCGATTCGCTTTCCACTGGCTCGACCACGTCGTCGGGGTCTGTTTCCTGCTTCTTCGACTTCTTAGAGTCCTTAGAGTCGGCCTGCTCCTCGGTGTCTCTCTTGCGCTTCTTGTCCTTCTTCACCTTGGGTGCGTCCTGGCCATTTTCGGCGTCGGAAACGTCTTGTGACTCTTGCTTTCTTTTTTTCTCTTCCTTCTTCTGAGATTTGAGAAGCTTGGCTTGTGCCTTCTCTTCCTTGGTCTTGACTGACATGATGGTGGTTGGTGCGGAATGGGTTGTACAAGTTGCAATTTGCGATCGAACTTTTTTCAGGATCTCGAAACTTTTCTGCCACCGCCCGGCGGGTCGGGTCGCCTTGGCGCGGGACCACTTCGATAATCTTCAATTGCAAAATGGCACCATCAACGGTCGCCTGGAGCGCAAATAAAGATGCCGCCAGCACAATTTCGCATTCATCGCATCCACCCGAATTTGCGAGCCTTGCGATTACACAAGTTCCAACATCTCGAAACCCCCGTTCCGCGCCAGTTCTCCCACCGGCCTCCACGACTTCTTCTGGTATCGCATCGCAGCTATCCACGACCTCAGCTCCCATTCCTCTATCCGGGCAGTCAAAACAATGGACAACAAGTGCTGAGATTGTTCTCCATCAGTGCCAATGGCAAGAAATTCATTAAGGAGACGGCTCGACAGACTGTCAAATATACCTTCTTGATTTGGTGCTTGTGCACATCTTTTACGGTGCTCAGTCTGGGAATTTTGACCGAGAGACAAGAGCGCGCATTTCCCTCACCACACGAATGGAGCTTTTACACAAGATTCAGATTTCGTAGGGGAAAGTGGTGGGAGGTACCAGAGAACAATGAAGAAGAGGGCTTCCCGAATTGGGCACGTCTATATGCTGAATATGAGCACGCATTGATACGGCTGGAGAACCCGGATAAAGATGGAGAAGGCATTGTGCCACAAGAGGAGGGCGCGCTTCTGGTGCCAGTTCTCGGGACGTCGGGATTCGACTTGACTGCCAAGAGTGAGGAATGGCGACAGGGCTATTTTGAGGTGTTGATGGGTATGGCGCGCGCATCGGAACGCCTGGAAGGATGGGTCTCTGACAAGAACCGATGGAACGTCTGGTCTCCAGAGTTCATAGCTTCGCCTTCAAATCCAAGGCCAAGGGCTACTCCGCCAGGCATGCCGGAAGCACCAGCAGAGAAAGACCAGATCCCCGTCGCTGATCCACCCGAGAACTTTTATTTTCGGGTGCTCACATCGAAAGGTTTCACTACACATCAACGCCTCACGGCAGCTTTGGGCTATGCAGATTGGTTGAGCTTCAAGAACTTGAATGAATCTGCGGAAGAGATGTACCAATGGGCACTTGACATTGCTGTATCAGGCCTTCCGACTCCTAGTCCATCTGAGATTGTAAATTCGGACACGGGTGTACTCCAGGTCTCTGCCTCTCAAGATGTCATCACTCCTAACCTCGTCTACGCAGCAACGAATCTCGCTACCTTCTATGCGTCAAAAGGAAACATCACTTCAGCACTACCCATTTTCATCTCAGTCCTACGCGCTCGTCTTAATGCGACGCCTGCCCCACCTCCTTCGCCAGAGCCAAAACAGGATTCATCACTTGTTGGAACTGTTCTAAGTCTGCTCAGCGAACCAGAGTATCCTTCCTTACCGCCTACAGGAGATGAGCCACTGCGTCGTTCCGAGGAGGATCGTTGCGAGGAAGCTGCGTTGAAGAACTACATTGGAGAGATCCTCTTCGCAACAGCGGGCTCTTCATCTGTTCAGCGCCAGCAGGGGTTAAACTGGGTGCGTGATGGTGTTTCGGTAGCGAAACTTGCACAGAGCCTGGATGTCGTGCAACGAGATCCAGCACGCAAGAAGAAGTGCGAGCAATGCGAGGAAATTGGGCTTGAATCTTGGGGCAAGATTATGACGTATCTGGCCGCGGAAGCAAGGGACAAGCGCGACAAGGTCAAATCCGGCGGCATCACGAATCTCACTTGGAAGCTCTGGGGCACTCAGCAATTGGACAAAGATGTTCAGGACTTGGAAGACGAAGAAGAAGGCGTGACGATGAGATTGAACAAGGTTCGGGGGAGGATGATGAGAGAAGAGTACGCGGAGATGGACCGCAAGTATTCCAGAGCCTTTGCATTCTAGGCCTGTTGTATTCTGGTTATGTAACATTATCACACCGGGGCGTGCGTAAGGAAAAATTATACCCAACGGTAATAGTACGATAGATTCAGTATTACTTCATCATCATCAACGCGTAATTTCGCAATGTCACTTCGGCCTGAACGGACCCGCTTCTTGTATAAAAAGCAACATCCAACACGCTTTGTGGTGCGCATAGAGCGAGCCAACACATACATGGGGCGCTAGGATCGCAGTTCCAAGATCTGGGACGGGATCTAGTAATCCAGGATTATTGTGGGGCGGCCGATTTGGGGAAAGCCCGAGGGAGCCACGATCTATGATCTCTTAGGTCCTGCATATCGCGCGGAAGCGGGATCGCGAATTCCAAATGGGCGGCAACAAGCTTAATCTAAATTAGAGGATGGATGTGGACATCTTGGAGGAGGCGCTGAGTACGCCCATTGGACACAGGGCAAGCTGACTGAGAATACACTCGCGAACCTACATGTTCTGCTGCTTCGGACATTCAGGGAGTTGGCTTGCAGTATACAACATAACTATAGCAAACATCGTTCGATTCTGACGACTTTGTCAGCCATTGGCGTTGCCCTTCATCACTGATTTACATTCTTGCAGCACGTTCACCGTTCAATCCAAACTCGGAAAGCATGTTCCGGCTCTTTGCCATTGGCTGCTACGGTCAAGAGGTTGTTGACTCTGGTCCCCAAAGTGGTGTAATCGGTGAATGTCCCGTGTCGAGGTCCTGGCAGGTTTTGGTGTAACCTTCTTCGTAGTAGTCCACGCAAGCTGGTCGAGTCCGAAAGATGTCGGATGGCAAGTTCTCGCGCCCAAGGCAACTCGAGACTGGCGCGGCTGATCAACTTTGGCGCTTCGGGCAGTAGTACCGCAGCTCGATGCCATTTGCAAGTGCCATACTTGCGAATGAAGGTCGACATGTGCAATCGATTGCTTCAAATGTGTAACCCTAAGCGACGTATGATCGAGAGTGATTTAGTCAAACACCACGCTGAAAGTCTAGACAATGTGAGCAACACAGCTATACATGGATCAACATGTGGCTTTCATAAATTGACGCATCTCCGTAAATCTAGAGGCATTCACCAGTTTCGTTAACACCGTCAAGTTTTGGAGCCATGCGCATACTGTGATCGAACATCATTCTCACGAGAGACTGTCGTAGTCGCAAGCCAGCTATGAATCTAATGTACATCGCCCACCCGGCCATGAGGCGGCACTAGAGATCTGTTGGGTTCGTACTTGCAGCTTAGGATGGTCGTGCTCGATGGAACGGGCCAATATTCTAGAGCTCATACGCTCTTCTCGAGGCCCTCCTCCTTCGCTTCTTCCCAGACGCACCTCGGACACATGCACAATCCCCCCAATGCGCCAACAGCCCACTCGCGCCTCTCTTTGACAGGAAGACGAATGTCGCAGTAGTGACTTAGGACCTCTTCGCCCTTGAGTATGCCAGGGCGACGATCGGGATCCCTCCCGTCCCATTCAACAAGTTTCTCTCGAGTCCAAAACCTGATGCTTCCTTGCCATTCCCACGCCACATTTGGATCACAGCTGTGGTTAGCAAGACACCAAAGTGGGTGTACAGCACCGATTTCCGGCCGTCCGTCCGGTCCTTGCCGTGCTGATGCAGTGCCTGAAGGGTGTCAGTCGTGTCGAGATAAGGAGAGGCCCTATTGTGAAATACCTCTGAACTTTGCGTACAAAGTGTTGAAAACCCAAGGGCTATACCGATGGCTCTCTTCGAAGATGTTTACGTCCATTTTCTCTAGAATATTGAGTGGTCTTACAACATTGGCCTCGAATGTAAATGGCAAGGTTTGTGCTATCGAGCCGAAGGAGTCGTCAGCTGCCCATGCATCATCCAGATTTTGGCTGTGATAGTCGCCCCAGATATAGCGAACTTCCTTCAAATCGAGAGGGTGTTCGCTCTGGGTTTCTGCAAGGGCTAGAGCGCGAATGAGGAGTAGAGAGTAGAGGGCATCTGCCGCCTCGCTTGCAGATACCTTTTGCTCTACATTGACTCCGCAGAGGGATGGATGGTATGACTCTTGAGCTAGGTCATGGCAATCTTCGCTGCAGAAGAAAACCTCATTGCACTCTTCGCAATCAAGAATGGTAGTTCCTTCCGTGCTATCCCCACTGCTGCCATCTGTCTTCGGCAGTGGTGCGCTGCAAGCATCGCAATAAGAATCACGGAGTCTCGATACTGCTGTCAGAAGCGACTTCTCTTTCAGAATCTCCTCACCAGCACCAATATCTTCCTTGGCGAAGACACCTAACTGGTTGACATATGTTACTGACTCTTCCGAATCCGGAGATTTGCTACCAAATATCAGTAAGAAATGCTGTAGGATCATGCGTCCTTTATGACTTTCATACCTAGACTTGTTGTCTGTAGAAAGCACAGGCAAGCTCGCAACCTTGACTTCCAGTCTTGGAGCGACCTGGCTAAGTTCTGTGTTTAAAAACTCAATACTCTCCTGAGAGTACCTGTTCGGTTCGTGATCATTCCAAGGATACAGCTCGCGGCGGACAAAGCCTTTCTCGGGATAGTTTGAAACATCTGCAGCATCGTACACATCGCCTTTGGACTCACAAGAGGCCTTGACCTTGGACCGAATGGCTTCTTGATACGATTCGAAAACAGCATCTGGGCACGCCCGTAAAGCGCGAGAGTTGTAGTCGTTCGCACTCCTCAATGATCCACAATGTATCAAGGAACCAATGAGGATTGAATAACTGATATTGATGAGCCTTGATATCACCGTTGATAGACTGTAGATAGCCATCGAGTTCTGGAGAACCGATGTATGCGACTTACGCTGAATGTGACCAACATGTAGCAGCTCGTGCAACCCCCTCGGCCTCATCTGCCTCGACATCGGGGTCGCGAGGCGATGAAATGCACCTGCATTCAACATTGCTCGAGGGTCCAATAATTGTAGGCTTTATTGCAATATCACAAGTAGTTGCAGAAGTAGCATCTGATATAGCGGCACTTATTGCTTCTTCATGGAACTCTCCATCTTGAACAACTTCGTCAATCAGCAAGAGAGCTTTATAAGCCTCCCCGGCCGCGAGATCCGGATATCCAGCGGCCTTGTAGGCACCTGCTAGCTGGATCCGAAGTACTACGCTATACGGTCTGTCTGCAAGATCGGTCTGATGCCTAACGATCTCTTCAACCTTGGCCTTGAAAGCACCGCCTGATGGGCTCTGCGCGCTCTACCCAAGTTAACTTCGTGAATCCAAACAGAACCTTTAGATCTCACCGGCATTGGATATGTATCAGCTAAGCGGCTCCGGGAGTATAATTATCCAGGGTTGAGGTCTTGGGACGAAGTGTAGATTCGCAGTGCAAATAAATCGAGTTAGCGTGGAAAATTTCCGAGCTAAGGCGGAAGTGTACGATGTCCGCCACCATTCGCGTAGCACGTATCTGCCTATGATGCAATATCAGACTATCATCTCTATCGGATTTCAACGTCAAGACTGTAACCTGTACAATTCGCTGTTCAAAGGCATACCAAATAGAGCTACGAGTAAGACTACATCATGCTGCCATCCGCAGCGGAGGTTGTCGCCAAGTTTCTGAGGACAAATGGCTACAACGAGGTTCGTGCAACTATAGAAGTCTCAACGCGTAGTGATTAACTAATAATCGTATCGAAGACCTTAGCAAGCTTCATTAAAGAGGCAGGTTTGGCCCCAGATGTTGGTACAGCGTCTAGTAATATCACGATTGAGCAAGTGCTCGAGGAGAAACAGAAGTTCGATCTTAGCCTGAACTTTGAGAAATTGGGATTGGAACAGAGCCATGGATGGACAGAACCTGGTGAGTCGAAAATATTGTATATCTTGAAGTGTGATTCTTCGTTATTGGGATCTATGATGCACCATCGAGAGTAGATCGTGTTATTCCTATAGCCTTGGAGCAGCTTCATTGGAATCTGATCCACCAATGGCAGCTGCATTATCATCCTAATACTACTTTCAACGTATATCTGACTGGCTTAAATCAGAACCACGGACATCGAATGTCGTCACCACTTTACCAACGGAGTCCAACATCCTATCCGTGCATTCAATTCATGTGGTCCTTGAGGTAGCAACTGGACCAAAACATTGTGTAGCCGTCACAACGGCAGACAGAAAGCTTCACCTTATCGACCCAGCAACACCAGACCTTTCTCTACTTAAGACCTATTCCGATTTCCAAGATTCGCCATTGCTAGATCTGATTGTACTAGAGCAACGATACCTCTTAGTAGCTTCTATGTCGGGCAAGATGACTGTCTTTGATGCCTCTCAAGACCGTGTAGTGGATGAACGAAGGGATCACAAGAAATATGTTGTCAAAATAATCGCATGGCCCGAAGAACATTCAACAATCATTGCCAGCGCGGGTTGGGACTCGAAAGTACTTCTATATCGTTTCAAAACAGGTAGTGGTATCGATACGAAGATCGGCGACCCATTCGCGACCATCAATTTAACCAGCATCCCTGAGTGTATTACTTTCATACCGGCCGTCGATACATCCCTTCCGATCCTTTTGGTGACCCGCAGAGACTCGACATTTCTCCATTACTATTCGATACCTGCTGCAACGACGGACGCAGAAGTTTGTTTCCTTGGAAGGCAGAATCTGGCACCACACTCTAATGCATGGGTGGCGTTCACACCTAGCGACGTCCAGATCTGTCCAACCGATCCGTCTCTAGCAGCCATCGCCACCTCGAGCACACCCCACATGAAGCTCATTGTTGTGCGACTGCTTGTCCCACCATCCTCTAAAGCAATGCCAGACCTCTCTACTGATCTCGATGCGGCCACCACACAACGCACTGGTCTAGATTCATCACAGTCTCTGACACAGGCTGCATTGGCACGGGCGGAGCTGGCGACTCAGAATAGGGAAGAAGCAGCAATCACTATCAATTGCAACACGATGGCTACTCAGACGGCATATTCCACCCCGAAACTTGTGTGGCGCCCCGATGGTTCAGGCATCTACGTCAATTCTGACGATGGGATTGTCAGAGGCTTCGAGGCCACAACGGGAAAGCTCATGGCTAGCTTGAAAGCACACGGGGCAGGATCGAAGGTCCGATGCCTGGTAGCCATCCCTCCAAATCTGAATGAAGATGCTACGAAAGAACTGCTTGTCAGCGGCGGGTTCGATCAGAAGTTGATTGTCTGGAACTCTAATTGATGCACGTGGTACTTTCGGCCTTCCTCTTTTGACGAGTTCACTGCTCATATTAGGTAGTCTTCGTGAAAGTCCCTACGACTTAGAAAACCAAAGCATGGATTCTTCGAAGTCTGGCTTCACACTCTGATATGGCGTCGTATTAGTGGAGCCGGGCCGGTCCCTTCGATCGCCCTTGACTGCGATAATGGCCAACCAAGTGCATGAACGGGTAAGCCCGACGCTACTGATCTTAGCTATTGAAATCAGCGTCTTAGCCTCCTACGAAATTGTGGACTCGAAATGGCAGTGTGGAAAGTTCCGCTGATATTGAGACTCGCTATACTACAGCTTGGGATGCTACAAGCAAAGGGACTACTTACATGTGTAGTCGACTCCATATTTACTTATTATGCCTACTTTGATAAACATTCCGGAAATGGCCATTCATTGACGTGCGCGAGCCGACTTTATTGCCGCGTGGATCTCCCATCATATGCCAATGGATCTGGTATATTGGAAGAAATGTTCACGAACCCATATTGTCGCAACGCACACATAGCCTGAATGAAATGGAGATACTTTACGGCAATGCTTCCTTCTGATGGTGAGTTTTGTTCAGCAGTAATACCTGGCGTGTCTTGGACCCCAACAGTCCGAGATCCATTCCAACGCAGAAGCTTCTGAACAGGCGCAGAATGTAAGAAACACTTCTTTTTTTTCCAGGGTCTGCCAATACCGTCGTTACGATTCAGGTGTATCAACCCGTGTGTTTGGTATCCAATCTTCTCTCGCACGGCCTGGCACCCTTGTCTCCCATGCGATCTACTAGCATACCACGCCGTAGGGACGCGGGGAGTCGGGAACGGCACTAGGCTTGCCTTTTTGGCGCTTCAACCAATGCCAATCTCTTCTATTGCAAGCAATCAAAAATATACTCTGCCTTCATGGATATGTAATGGTTGTTTTCATTGCTTTTCGCTCCACCAAGGAACTTCAGAATTGCTATTCGATGCTAGCTTCCCTTGAATACCTTTGCTCAACAATGCCGTGCGGATACACATGGATGCATCACAATCGCAAATACGTATATATAGCCCTGTGTAGCCGTGCAAAGTCCTGTACCCTTTTTTAATCATCGAACAACATACCCTATCAAACGATTTACTCTTGTTGAATATTGTCATATTCTTTTCAGTCAATTTCATTGGGAGTTTCCGTCTACTTTGCTTCAAAGCATACTTGTACTCATTATATTTCACCATGTCGCCTCCCGGTACCGGCAGCGAGAACTATATGGTGATCGCATCAGGGTTAATCAATAATGCCCCATTTCTAGCCGATTGGCAACAATTCAAAGACTTTCTTCGAAGGATTGTTGAATACCAGCCAGGCTGGACTGAGGTCTTGCAAGGCCCACGCAAAGGAGAGAAACAGGGGTGGTGCCGAATTGACAGGAGAGATGATGCAGAAACGGCATATGGTATGGATCAGCAACTCCCAAATGGTCTGGGTTACATTAACACTAGATTTGCAGAGGAATTTGCTTCCAAGAGGGGCATACTGGTCCATCTGTTCAAGACTTCACGTACAAATGAGGAGTACCGTATGCTGAAGTGCAACTGCTGGCCCCATTTCCCCGACATGTCGGAGCATGGACACTCGCCTCATCGGTCTGGTATCAATGTTGGCGGCGTCAATCAGTACGTCGCCAGTGTTCGTGGTGCGGCAACACCTCGGTGTGTGGCACCCACCGCATCCATGTACACGTTTCCGACATATTCACAAGCTCCACTGTACAACACATATTCCACACATGCAAATTATCCGGTGCACACCGTGGCAGCTCCTATGGGAGCACAACATATGCCAATGTACTCGGCGACTGCGAGCGGTATTCCAGTAAATGTCCGGCATGGTGCCATGATCACAGAAGCGCGTGGCATCTTCCTCAGCAACTTGAACTATTCTGTGAAACCATCGGATCTCAACACCTTACTACAGACAGTGGGACGGCCTGTCGAATCAAAGCTTCATAGAGACACCAGGACCGGGACCTTCAGAGGCAACGCTACAGCCAAATTCACAACCAAGGAGGAGGCTATGTTTGCCGTAGCTCACCTGAACAACCGAGAGCACATGGGCATGAACATCAAGGTTCGCCTTGATACGGATGCAACCGTAGTGGCCCAGGTTCAGGCGCCTGTCATTGTCAATGGCAGTGTTTCTGGGGTAGGTGACTACACGATCTCGACACCCTTGTGGGACAGACTAACAGGGTTTACCTTAGGCATGATAAATCGAGCCCAATCGAATCTATGCGGAAGGCATCTGCCAACACGCGTTATACTTATGAGAGGTCTTGATGACGGCACGAATCCCATGTGGCGTATCCACTAAGTACACGGATCCGCGTGCACGTCGGCACGTAATAATCGTTGGTCCACAATATCGGGTTTAGGGGTGCACGGATTTCCTATGTTATACTTTCTTTTGGCAGCCTGTGTCAGAACCAATCCTTTGGGAATTGCAATGGTGATGGCTTCTTCGGAACCTGAAACACACCAATGAGTATGTATTTAAGTTTATTCCTAACATTCATTTTATCATATATCCAGTCTTGTAAGGTCTACATCTTTTATGCATAATGAAGGCGTGTTAAAATCAACTGCACTACAACGGGAGCAAAGATGAAGTAGAAATTCCTTGCAATACTAGCGGACTGTTCTCATTGTCTGTGCTCTAGCACTCTTCTGATTTATTCGGTCGGTCGGCCGGCAGTGATTGCTTTTTCTCGAGCGTGACACAAGCTGGCATGTTGGAACGCGCTCGACCATGCAGCTCCGTTGCCACCCCTGCATCGCCATCCTGGAACAAGTTTGCTTGAAGATATTTCCACTCTGTGATTGCAAAACAAAAGAAACAAAGAGCACCTAGGTACTCATAGGTCCGGTGTATGTCATGAAGTTCGGGACCAACCACATACGCGTGCGCTTGATTCTTCGTTTATCGTTCATTGAGTATTGCTTTAACGTCACTCTAGAGCGGTAAATACTACGCCACAGGCAAGCAGCTAACCTGTTTACCAAGTTTACCCCTTCTCAGCAGCCATTTGTCGCGTGAAATTACCAGAAGAGTTCGCCTTGAATAGTTCGGAGAAGTTCGGTCAGCAGGCTGGAGACAGTACCACCCTCATGGAAGTACATATCGGTCAAGCCGAGAATCCAACCATCAGAGCGACATTCCTCCACGATGGCGGACCTATTTTCCTAACCAATGGGCACACCTACCCGGGGGAAGAGCTGCCTCATTACTGGTTTTCCATTATTTCCTTTCTCAGCCAGTAGTCCATGGTTCCCCACGCACGATAACCGGGCTCCGCAGCAAAAGAACAATAGTGCGATCGTAAATCCCGGTCATCACCTTGTCAGTACGTACTGACGCGGTTGTTTCTCCTTCATCAGTGGTTTCACAGCAGCTTTACTGGAATTGCGAGCATCGGTATCATGCAGGGCACCGATCCTTCGCAGGCCTGGGCCGAATGAACGACGAACAGTTTTTGTTTTTGTTTTTCCATCTCGGCCACGATATCCTCGTTCTTGAAATGAGTTACGACAGCTCCAAGAACACTGGCTATGCAGTTCGTTTCATACGATCTCGCGCTAGTGTTAGTGAAATGTTGGATTTATCTATTGCACTCTAGCGCTCTGCATCCTTTGCCGCCCTGAAGAGGCGTCTTGACCGGAACCCATCTTCTCGGCAATCTCGCAGCCCAAAATACACACTAAAGCGTAGATCGAGTTAATACGATCAATTCAATGGCTGGCGAAAAAATGCCGATTCTGCACTGAAGGTGTAGTGGACTTCGTAGAGGACGATACGATGTACTTGGCGTTAGTGGATGCTACACTATGGGTCGCAATCCTTCAGGTATGACCCGCCTCTGCAAGGGCTGCAGTGTTCATCGGTTTGGGTGAATGCACCGAAGTGTGTATCGTGTTCGACGCTCGTGATTTGAGTTCAGGTCCCTTAGCTAGACCGGCTGAATCTTCAATTTGGAAGGAGACCATTGATTGATGTTGTGATTGTGGTGGGGATAGTCGGGAATCCAAACATCTCCTCTCAGGAGACTACAACATTGTGTTGATACATTCATTCTCACTACATGTCTCTACCGCGCCACAAAAACAAACATCTCTACCTTATCAAATTTTCTATTCTACCAGACAAGCAATGATTACGAGTGGTGTGGAATTCTCTATGCCAATATACATGTTGTTCAACAGACCCGAGTGCCCCACTCAACCATATGATATACGAGCAAGATTAAGGGGAAATCAAGGTCATACTACGTGACCAGAAGCAAGTGGCCCCTATGGCGGCGTGATTTCTAAATCATAGAGTATACGATTGCGGGACGAAGCGCATCACAGCCGTCTGAGCACAGCCTAAACTTAGATGCCGCAGGACTTCTCCACCATGAAGGAAGGTAGTGTACTCGAGATTCTGCACGAAACCTTGTTACATCGGAAAAATCGGTATCTAGAGTGAGTGTATGAGACGCATTGTTACACGTAAAACTGGACATCATACGGTTGTAATCAAACTTGCGATCCTGTTTTCATGACGTTCGACGTTCGATCTCGAGCGCGTTTTCAATGTCTGTACGGATCGGATGTGTAACATAGATGACGATTATTCGTAGAAGGATTCTAAACGGCCTGTTGTTTGCTCAGAGCTGACTCAGTAATCTACTTGCCTTTTGCAAAGACTGTACTTTTCGCTTACACGTCATATTGGATGGCGGGAAGTGAAGTGGTGATCTGATACACTGAGCAGGTTCATTCACATTAGCACGTCAAATTATATGTCTGTCTGGATATACGTGTCCGTTCCGATAATCATCTTGGACGAAGCCATGTTCGCAACTTTGTCCGATGGAGAGACAGTGCATATTTCGGAGATGGGTTTGCGTCTCGATTCGCAGTAAACACACATAAAGCCTTCTCCAGCAACACTGCCTGACCCATCCGGTTAGTCTGTAAGTGCCCAACTTCATCAGTTCGTTGTACCATGAATCATTTTCTTCCTGCGTTCATAACTTTTCAGAGCCTTGATAAAGGCCTTGAAACGTAGTCCTTATCAAGTTTCCCAACATCTAACGTTATGATATGGACGTATACTCTGATTACTTCTCGCTCTCTGGTGGACGTTTCCTCACTTGAACTATGGTCGAAATCACATTGAGATTTCTCAGTTAGGCTCAAATCAAACGTAATGAGCTTGCGAGCTTTAGTCCTTGATTCTTTTTGAATTATCACACTGTTATTGTTCTGGACGGTACGTACATTGGTTACTACGAACAAAAACGATGTATATTCCCCCACGCCAAAATCTTACCAGATCGCCTCGCCGACGGTTTCGTAGTATAATAGCTTGCCTTCTGCTCTTCGCTCGATCGTGGCAGCTGGGTCTGAGTTAGTGCTTCCTTATTGTGCCCTTGGATCTTGGAGGGCTTGTCCATACCCGTGAGCTTAGGGGTCATATGAAGAATAACCCGAAGCCCGTTCAGTCTCTTTGAAGACTTCTAGAGTTTCAAGTCATGTCTATAACGGCATGCTGAACGGCGCTCAGTCGGCCCATCTCCTGGCCCAGATCGACAGGTAGTTGATCACCTGTCGCCCACATACTCCATGCTCTCCATTTCGAAGTTGATATCGTACGCCCCCCTTTCACCATTCATATCCTCCACCCCTTGTTAAGACTCCTCTTCCCAGACAACCAGAGAAAGCACAACGCACCAGCCGTAAGCAGCAGACAAGCACCGCTCCACAGCTGCGCACCAAGGAAGTCCGTACGTCCCTCCTTCCGCCTAAGCAAAGCTCCCGCTATGGGCGGGCCGGTGAGCGAGGCGATGCTAGTCACACCCCATGACATCCCCAATCGCGTTCCCAATCTCGACAGATCGGGACATATGCTTGCGAACGCGGCGGAGGGGAGCGTGACGAGAGAGGCGGAGAGGAAACCTACGCACGCAAGTTAGTACCTTAACAGCCCAGCGTGTGGGATGGGAAGGGGAGAGGTGCTTACCCCAAACAACACTAAACGCAATCATCGCCCTCTCCGTCTCAATGCCAATCCAAACGAACGCCATCATCGCCGCCAACAGCGAGCAAATCATCCACGTGACAATGCTGCCCAGATGATGTGCCGCGACGCCGCTCGCCAGCCGTCCGAAGAAGCTCGCCGATATGCTCATGACGAGCATGTAAAACGCCATGCTGTCGCTGCTTCCGAGGCGCTCTCTTGCGAACGTCGGGATGTAGAAGTACGGGACGTTGTAGCCGAGGAAATTGAGGAAGGTCGCGCCGGTGAAGATCCAGAAGAGTTTGTCCTTGATTGCGCTGCGGTCGAAGAGCGCGCGTGCTTTGCGGGGCCGGGCGAGCATCGAGGAGCCGGAGACGAGGGCGGGGAAGGAGACTAGGGCGATGAAGAGGGCCATGAAGCCTAGGGTTCGGATGGTCCATGGGAAGCCGGCGGTGGATATGAGGCGGTCGAAGGTCATGATGTATGCGACGCCGCCTAGCGAGCGACTGTTAACTCACTGATGTATGTTTCGCAAGAGCTGGGCTGGGGTGGAAGGAAGACTTACCAACTGCTATGCCGCTCATGACGATTCCCATGGCCACCGCCCGTCTCTTGTCGAACCAGATGCCCACGAGAGCTAGACTGGGAACATACAGTAACCCAGCCCCCAAGCCCATGCAGAGTCCCTGCGCCAGGAAGATCTGCCAGTACTGGTCGCAGAGACTCAGCATCATGAGGCCGATCACAATCAACACGTTTCCGGTAATCAGCATCGATCGGAAGTACCCAAGATCGAACAGCGGACCGGAGAGAGATCCAACCAAGATCAACAACCACGCCTGCGCCGTTCCTATCCAAGATATCGCGGACGAACTCGACGACGACAGCATGTTACCCCGATAGTAAGCCTGGAACGCGCCGAAGGAGATCGTGAAACCCCTAAAGTACTCTTGTTAGATCACGGAGGAAGTCTTGTTGTTCTCCTCGAATGCGTGTTGACGGACCAAATGTTCATGTATAGTAGGAATCCACCGAAAACCTTCAGCCATGCGTGCAGGCCTCCGTCTGGGGCGCGAGGGAGCTCGCTGCGGACGGATTGGGCTTCATCCTCGTTTCGTTGGCTGAATGTCTTGTGGATGGATGGACTGCATGGGATCGACGCTTCTCGCCCCTCTTCGGTTATGAGGTCTCCAGATGTGGTCTTCTCTTTGTGTTCGTAGGGATCCGACATTGTTCAAGCGCTGGACGGAGCAAGGCTATATGATCGTTTTTTTCGTTTCGACTGCTGGCAGTAGTAATCCAGTGACGGATTCTCAAGGATGCCGGCATATACGTCTTGTGGAATTTTCTTGGGGATATGTATAATAATATTACAACGAGCAATCGGATCCTAATTACACGAAGCCAAACATACAGCAAGCGGTCTTTTCGAGAACGGTGGAAGGAATAGTGGCATTTATGTATAAGGGCTACACGAGAGAGAATATCTGCCCCGTCTGGAATTGACGATTGAACGAGTAAACACACATACGGCGGTAAGCACACAAGTTTGTGGGGCGATGAGATGCTCTTATACTAACTAGCTAGAGGGCAAATGCATCGACAACGGAATTTTTGCCGGGGGTGGATGGGATTGCTAAGCTATTCTCGCGTCGAGGTTTGGTGCGGGGACGGATAACCGCCCGAGGTCAAGGTACCTGTACTAGTAGCAATTAGGTAATATACAAAGGATTGTTATTCGCTCAAGAAGTCGTGCTGCTTCGTGACGTATGAGAGAATAATGGACAATGATTGATCTTGACGTACAAGGCACGGCCTGCAAACCGCTCAAAGGGATCAGTATCTGGATCTTCAACTATAGACTAAGTCACGATTCCCAATTGCTATGCCACTCGTCTAACTTGAGGATTGAATCCCTGATTCGAAAGAGCATATGTGCAGGCAAATGAGTCACTTGCTTACTTTGTGGGCTTGTGATGCCTTTATGTTACCTCGGTGAATCTAAGTCTCTTCGGCCACCCTGCTCCCTTTTGGAATTGTCACGAAAGACGAGATTGCACATGCCAGGCTCTTTGGAAAACTGTGATGACGGCCTTGTAGTTCAGGCCTGGGAAGCGGTCCTCTCTGGCACCCTTTCGGCGCTGCTATCAGCAATGAGATCCGCGGGCATCGGTACCGCACTGGTACGGGAGGAGTTTTGCTTGGAAGCAACGACATATTTGGACAAGCGCAGTGTGGCGAAGGAACGTGTAGTAATTGAATGTATTCGAAGAAACCTGCATTAAGAGCAGACTTGATGAGACAGCGTCTGTCGCCCTATATCCGATCGAGAAGTGAATGTAATACAGAGCCTCAACCAAAGTCGACCCACGCCTGTACGCCGCCTAGCCAGTAAACAAAATCGATGTGAGCTCAATCGCTGAAAGGCTTTTTATCTGATCCAACTCTTAGGCAGCCGATGCCGATTTTGCGAATTTTGCTTTTCGAGCTTCTGCCTTGGCTCGGTCGGCCTCGCTCATCCAGTTTGAGCCGCCATTTGCCCTGCCTCTGTCTTCCCTGCGATTGTCGCCTCTGTCGCCTCGGTTGTCGCCTCGATCGTCACGACGCCTGTCTTGTCCGCCTCCGCGACGCCCGTTGAACCGGCCTGTTCCACGGCGCTTATCTCTTCCTCTCCCCGCTTCATTGTCGTTGTCGCGTCCTCGCTTGCGGCTGCGTTCCGGAAGCGCCTCATCCAGACCCTGTGGCGGACCAGTCTCGCCGAACTTCTTCGCGCGCTCTAGCTTCTTAAGACCTTCATCATCCTCGATATTCAGGCCGAACTTCTTCGCACGTGCCTTGCGCTTCTCAATCTCCTCATCGATATTCGAGGCAGCCAACCCTCTTGTATAATCCGGCGGTGGTTCCTTCTTCTCCTCGGCCGCAAGGGCGTCGCTTGCTTCAGCGGGATCCTTCTCCTCACCAGGCTCCTTCACGGACAGATCGGCCGTCTTGGCTGGGTCGATATCAGCGACCTGATTGGGAACAGCTTGTGGGTTGTCGATTGCGCCTTCACCACCAGCCTTCTTGGTAGTCGTAGCATTGTCAGTCGGTTCGGCCTTCTTCGTCGCGGCTTCATCGGCAGCAGCGGGTACTTCCTCATCGTCATCCCAGTCGATTTCGTCCTCGGGATGCGGGACGGCAGCCTTTGCGTCCTCGGGCGCGGGCGCGTCTGCGGGCTTCTTGGTTTCGTCGTCCTTGTTCAGGCGCTCGACCATGTCAGCTTTCTTTCCGCCGGTTTGCAGGCCGCGTTCCTTGAGGAGCGCCTCGAGGTCGGCATTCTTCATCTTCGCGTATTCGGGCATCTTGAATGTGGGGAGGAGTGCGGCTCCTGGGTGGTGGAATCGGAGGGGCGGTGGTCGAGGGAAAGGGGAGTTTGGTGCGACAAAGACGCGACAAACAAAGCAGCGTTCAAGAGCCGGGATCGCGCAGCAGGAAGCAGCTGGCGTAGAGACAAAATTGCTTGCGCCAACGAGGGATGTATGCAATCGCAGGATCGTCCCTATTAAACAATGATCAGAAATGATGCGACGGAGTTAGAAGAGTTTGTCGTAGAGCAGCTGCGGTTGGAGTTGGGAGTGTGTCGTGGCCAGGTACCGCGCGCGTTGTGCTTACCTAATCTGTCGTCACGACGCTTGGCAGTGGTTGATTCGCACAAAAGACGTGGGCGATACTCATCGACAACAAAACCACCAGGAATCCCGCCATGAACAATGCTTCTTTGGTGGTATCTTTTGCAGACGAATGTTTTTCATGTTGGAATGCTTCTGATCATGTCGCTTCACCAATCCAGAACGTTCAGAGGCAATTCAATGAGCTATAACTTTCGAGTTTCCAGTTAAGCTGTTAGTTCTTGCGATGTAGATTGATTGTTGTAAGCGCCTTTTTCTTCAAGTAATTATTACGAGACAAAGCTAAATGCCATGGATAGTCTGGATACGTTCCCAAATGGTATGTTATCTGGGGGTTTCACTCCTTTCCAGAAAACGGCGGCCGCGTCTTTCAACGGGACAGCCAGAACCAACATTATGCATACCCTAACAAGTTATATCTGTCGAGAGCCTGTTCAATTTCGTACTGAAATAATGTTATCTAACGAATAACTTTTGAACATCTTGCGCAGGGTTTGCTAGTATTGTTCCAGCCCAGTCTCTGGTGCAACTTACTTGGTGAACTAGTTCAGACATTGCCCATTCCGGACAATGCCACTAGATAGCATGTTACCTGTTCATGTCCTCCATCAAAAAGTCCTGAGAGGGTTAGCGTTCTCGCACCAAGTGTCGAGTCCTGTGGTGAAATCCGAAATGGGACATTGAATGTGCATGGGAATATTTGGTGCCCTACTGGGGAACCCGACTACTTTCCTTATAGAAGTCAATACTGTCACCTCGAGATCCCTCATACGGACTGGCCGCCAGGAGATGACCCTGGGTCCCGTTAGTTCTGTATTGCATACAGACGTCTGTTGGTATTGATTCGTGGTTCTGCTCGAGCACTACTACGTCCCGTCCCGTTGCACTCCGTTCCACCCGCAAAGTCACATCGCCAGACTAGTTAGGAAGTGCCTGCGAGCTTAGTGTACCGGTCGCTACCAGTTTGTGTGAAATGGTTCTTTCGTCAAGACGGCACTTGCATCAATCTTGAACTTAGACGGACTATAACTATAGTACCAGTATCATGGACCTTTCGACTGCTCACAGGCAGCCCGAAGCAGCAAAAAGCCATGTCTCAGTCAGAATCCGAATGATCAGATGTTATCATGGTGGAATTTATTGGATGAACGGTAAGTATCAAGCAACACATCTAATCAACAGTGAAGCACAGTATATTTTCCCATATATGCATGCAACCTCGACCGCGAAAATGTCTCACAGAAGAAGCGCCCATCCATACCCTCTCGCAGCGGCAGGTGACGGTGTAAACATGGATTCTCGACTGTTCATTGGAAGTATACCAGTAACGTGACTAGAACGCTATGCGGCCAGGTCCAGCGATATCACACTTGATTGCACGAATCAGCGTGCATGGATTCGAGATGGTGGGAATACGCGTTCCCTGTGTGTCCCGAAGACCGGGAGCCCACAATGCTCACCATCTTTTTCAACCCGAAATGCTGACAATATTCGAGTAATCGTGAGGTGAATAACGATACGCAATCATGGTCACCATATTTTCTTTCCGGCCTTCTCTTTCCATTCCATTCATCTTGAAACAGTCGCCGTGGGCGATGAATTGATGCGTTGGCAATGAGGCGAATGTAGATCGAAGCTGAGCCACAGACTAATGCCAGGCTCAGCTTGGTCGAGCGACATGGGAAACTAGCAAAAGCAAGAGCAAGAATCATGCACCTCGACTAGCGACACAATTCACGAATCTTGCTCTTCCAGTAAACTAACTAGTTATGTTGAGTGGTCATGGGAAAACGGTCATGCACATCTTTGCAGCATCGTGCGGCATCGCATAGTGCGAGCCATACTTTTGCAAGCCGTCGATCTGCCATGATGCCATGTCCATGTCCATGTCTAATATTGGGAACACCGTCAAGACCCACAAGGGTCTCCTAACGAGAGTCTGGTCTGGTCCAACCTTTCAGGCTCGAAGTTTTCGGATAGCGCGCAAGGTGGATTTATGACTCCTTCGTTCAGGGATCATTGGAGATTTTCACTGATGGCACGATGAGATTCGCATCCAGTCACCGAGCCAAACGAGCAATGCAGAGCTTGTTGACCATTTGTCGAATTAGGGCCGATGTTGAGACATGCATACGGTCCATGGCCTACGGTCTGCGGCGTCCGTAGGGAAGAGGACCTAGCAGGAGTAGCATGGCGACAGGCTCGTCAGTTGCTCGTCCTAATTCTCAACCTCTGGACTGGTTGGAAGGGAGTTACTCGATGCTCTTTCAATGGATATTGGATCGACGGCCTCCTGCAGATAATGCATGATACAGAATCTCCAGCTTCGCTTCCAACTCCGTACTTGTACACGGTACTTGTACTTGTACAGATAAGCGATGTCACGAGTGGTAGGGAGCACCCACCATTTGCAGTTGGACTACTTGTAGCGGACGGGTAGAGTGGGCACAATCACGACACAGACTTTTGCACTCGAGGCAGCATGAGGTCTTTACACAGAAGGGCCGCAAAGAGGAGGATGGGATGGTGATGAGGGTGGGCAGAAATGTTTTTCTAGTCGTGGAGAGAGCAGCCAATGGTAGGATTCAGCCGGGGGGTCAGCAAAGTTGTCCTGGGATGCCTTTCGCCCATGCCGCGCACTCTCCCACTCTACCCAGTCACTCCCAGTATCCAGTGGAGGCATGTCGGCCTATGGCGGGAGTTCCCTAGTGCAGGCCCTGTTTTCGAATCGCTGCCCTCCCTCCCATCCCGACTTCGTTACTGGTCAACTCTACCCATCTCTACCTACTCAACCCTGCTCTTCCTCCTCTCCATCCTCTCCTCCTCCACCCTTCCCATCCGCCCATTCACGCGCAAGCGCCGTTGATGCGCGGAATGTCTCTGCCGGCTCAAAAGTCCAGCTCCTTCCAAAATGGACGGCGCCGGCATAGTCTTGTACTTGCACTTGCACGCCCGCGACCTGGTCGCTTTGCTTTCTCTATGGGCCGTTTGCTGAATGTGGAACTCTACATAATACCACTCCCTTCCCCAACCTACCCATCTCACGCCAGGAAGTCAGCACGCCAGATTGCTGTCATCCAACGATTACACAATCTGCCTGCCTATCTATCTGCTTTTCGTCCAAGGGCAGCCCCTGAAGAGTACTCTCCAGTGGCCAGCTTGGTACGACAGATCGTCCTATCGCCTTTCTTCCCACTACGGAGGCAACTTGGTGCACCACTTCCCCACGCTTTTGGACCGAATAACCCTTTAAAGGAATAAGAAAGCAGCACAGACACTCGAGTGCAAGATCCTACACACTCTCCATATATTCCCATCGTCATCCATTCACGCAAGAAATAGAAGGATTGCCCATATCGTCCCTCTTTTCACTGTCCGTCCCGGCTTCGCTTCACTTTCAGCCATCCTGGTCACTGTATATGTGCTTCGCCACACCACACTCGCTCGCCAAACCCACCTCAATCGGTGTCTCCGTCTCGGGAGTGGCGTCGGTACCGCCACAGCACGAGGCCCAGCACTCACCGAATATCTGCACGTTTTTCTGGGAATTGACATTCCTTTTTTGCTGATTGACTTAAAGTACGTATTCCCAAGTCAAAAGTACCTAGCCTAGATCCATATTGCCACCCCCGTGCTCCCGAAGTCAGGAACAACCCGCACCGTTAGCACTACTACAACCATTTCTCCTTCTCTCTTAATCTGTCTGAGCTGAGCTCTGCTGACAGACCCAAGAGTACCAATAATTCCCCGCATTGGTTCCCGTGAACTCTCCCGTAGGACAACCTTATGTCTTCATGAGTAGCTCAGCGCACACGGACCTCTGTAGTACAGACTCCAGTCAATCGTCTCTTGTCGTGTCCAGCTGGGTTGCACGACTGAAATGGCTTCCTATAAGTCACACCTCAATCCTCCGAGGAGGTCGGAGGAGCAAGGCTCGTACACTCACATCAATTATTCCACCCGGTTACCGCAGAGATCGGTCACTCCGTCACTGGCCAGTACACCACAGCCAACCGCCTCAAGCCAATCCAAGTTGCAAAAGAGAAGGCCCTCAAGAGATGAAGCAACGCAGCCATCGAGAACCTCTACCCGTCAGCGAATACCAACCTCGAGACCAGCGATAGCTACCAAAGTACGCCAAGGAAGCGCAAATATTGCACCTCAATCAACCCTGTCTCCTAATTTACCATCCACTAAGACTGTACGACAAATATCGTCATCTCGTCTCCCGAAACTCGAAGTAGCCGCCGGTAGCACGCGCACACCATCCCTAGTATCCGGCTCCTCTGCCTCTACCGTCGACAGCCCACGCCCGAATGTTCTGAGGAGGAAACCGTCAAGCATCGGCGTCACAAGCCCAAAATCTAACATTAAAGACAAAGACCTCCCAATGTCCCCAGTCGAAGAGAAGCGCATGGACAACATTCTTCCCGGTGGATTCAAAGATCCTTTCTCAGAAACAGTACTGGGTATCTCTTTGCCACCTTCTTCGTCGATACTTAGTCGTTCAGATGCCGAAGTCGAGGTGCCGGAAAACCTGTACTATGACTTCGAAGCTGGGCCATTGGACATTCTCCCACTTCCGACACCCCAATACGCGCTCTCTACGACGCCGTCAACTCGTTACTCCGAATCACCCGGAGCTTTCAGTATCTCTTCCACGCCGACCTCAATGTCTTCGTATTCTCCAGGTGCTGCAGTGTCCACGAAAGGAAGTCTCCGGATGAGACAGACAAGCCCTTTACAGAGTAGGCCTCCAGTCACACGGCTGAGAACCCCCGACGAACTCAACTCTCGCCAACCGTCTGCCCTCTCTTCCGTCCGAGAATCTTCAACATCATCCTCATCTGCCTCGACAATACTGGCAGAAGGGACGAAGCAGAAAGACAAAATCTCAACGGCACGTCTGCCAGCGCCCCCAGCAAGCCCACAAGTCGCAGAGGAGAAGCCTCGCGTTCAAGCACCTCCAGAATTAGCCCATCTAGCCGACCCACCCGTTCGATCGCCAGAACTGAGACGACCGACGCGCCCCAGCCGAGAAGGGACGGCGGAGATCTCTGGCCTTCGAGGCCCCTCGCCGATCATCCAGAGTAATATGACCAGCTTCCCTTCTGCTCACCGTCGAACGAGCTCCACTGAATCAAAATCTGAACTAGCAATCAACGGAAGAACAAGATTTGGAATACCTTCAAAGACCTCCTCGCGCAATCCCTCACCTAGCCCCCACGCCACTCCATCCATTCCAGTATCACGCGTACCTATTCGAGGCCCAACACCAGATATTCAAAAGAATGTCGACAAACGACGATCAAAGACGCACCCCGGTCCCTCTCCTTCGGCACCTCCCACAGCTCCTAGCCCTAGCAAGACCTCGAGGTTTGGCTTCTTCCGACGCAAGACAGAGCCAGTGGGCCCGGCCACCAAACCGGAGAAGAAGCCAGCCCGGAAAGGGCCAGCAGCAGGGACGGGACACGAGGGATACGGAAGGTATGCCTTGAGAGGCCGCAGTGCAAGCTCTATCAGTGGAGCTAGTATTGGGCGGTCCGCAAGCGCTGGTACAACAACGGAGAGCCTAGATCGTACCCCGTCAAGTCGCAAGAGCAGTGTCACAAGCACAACAAGCGCCGACATGGATGACTTCTTCCTCGAGCGATTGAACCCCGTGGCCATACGTGGGACGGGCAGCAGCACCGAGCTCACCCGCAGCCCTGAACCGATGCAAAGTTCCAGCAGTGTCAATCTTTCACTTGCCAGCAATCAGAACACAAAAACATCGAGCAAGACTAATCTGATAGAAGAGAGCCGCCCGACTCTATTGCCGTCCGCCATGTCAGACCCCGTGAAGGGCGCATCTCCGGTCAAGAAAATGCCTCTTGGAATCCGAAGACCATCCGATAGTGACGATGATACGAAGCGTTCGTTTCTGACGTCCTTGACCACTAAACGCCCTGTCCGGAGTTCAAAGATTATTGAAGGTGGTGCGTTGACCAAAGTGACTTCGGGCGGCAGCGTATCGGAGCGTGATAACATGACCGTCCACGGAAAAGAGGGAAAGTGGCTCAAGTCGAAGAAGGAGAAGGTTGAAAAGACACCAGCGAAACCCGCAAAGAAATGGAACTTCTTCCAAAGGGCACAAGCAACCGCAAGGGTGGACACCCCTGTCATCGACAATGCTTCACCCAATGGCAAGGTGCAAAACTCTCGGTCTATGGCTCATTACGCCTTGATGGACTCTCAGTCAGGCATCGATCTCGAAGATATTGAGCAGTTAATGCATGAGGATGACAGTACACCTGAGGAACCTTCTATTCCCGACCGGGCGTTGGGAGCTATTTCTCCACACAAAGCAGAAGAGAGAAAGGAGCGAATGCAATCGATATTGCTTCCCCCAAAGCCAGTCCTTCCGAACGACTTCACTTCACACACCCGTCCAGCCTCTCCCAAAGTATACCTCAATTCGGACGCACAGTCACCAAAGCAGGAACTTAAGGTTGATACGAACATTCAATCAATCACAGCTCAGCCCACGGAGTCTTCTCTTCCAGAGTGGACGCCTATAACCGATCTCTCTGCTCCATCGTCACCTTTGCTGGTACCTTCCCAGGATGTCCTGCAGACAGCTCAACCCGTCGATACTACTGAGCCCACACAAGATCCGATGTCGATTCCTTCACTCGAATTGATTGCCCCTCCCGGCCCTTTGCCCCCTGCACCACGCCCCAGCCGTTTAGCTCAAGTAGGCCGGATTCCCCAAGTCGTCTCGACGCGAGTGCGGGAGACACAGGTCACACAGGAGCGTCAAGAACACAGACCTCCATCTCAATCTTTCTCTCGCCCTTTTCTTGCAGATCAGCCGCGACCAACTGGCATCTTGCGCACCTCGGTCGATCTGAGCAGCCCTTTGTATGCGACTACCGGTCCGGTCGAGCCATATCCAGTGTTGCAAGGACTCAACGCCCTCGCGCATGGCACCGCTATCGCAACGATGAGTCCAACTGCAGAAGCAGCAAATCGAGTCAGCGAGTTCTTCAAGTTTCCACCACGCAAAGACTCGGAAGTCTCTTATTCCAGCAGCTCTGGAGTCTGGAGTTTCCCTCCTACCAATAGCACTGCCATCGTTCCCGGCCCTGACGCTCCACAATCCGAAGATGAAGTCTGGAACGAATACAACGATTTAATCGACGAAGTTCTTTCTCCTCTAGAAGGACCTAATAAGTTTGCAGATGATAGCACAATACGGAGTGGACACCCATCGCTAGAACCACCGCCACTCAAGATCAAGGCGTCCAATACAATAGATGGGGATACTGTAGATCGTGTTCAAAATCCTCCTTCTCTTCATCTCCGTCGATCTCGTCTGCTGGCCGTCCTGCATGCTGCGCAATCTCCGACGTCTTCGGTGTCACTTTCAGAAATCCTCCAAGATTATGGCGACAAGCACATTAGCATCATTGATCCCAATACCGGCCGTCTGAGCTTTCCTTCCACGACGCGCGTATCGACCGGATCTATCTCCCAGAACAATCGGCCCAGCTCGACGCGCTCCAGTCTACCAGCATCTCTCCCCCTCAGCACCCGACAGTCAAAGGCCACGCTAGGTTCAGTCTCCGATAAGGACCGAGAGAGTGCCAGTGCAAATAGATACCGAGACACGCGACTCATGGAATTGGCAGAAACACAAGCTGATGGACTTGTTTCGATGGCGAACCTTCGATTTGGGGCGTTGATGACAAGCAAGTGGCTCAGCTTCGGACGAGTCCTCTTCAGCCCAGCCCACTTTGAGCTCAAGAATCCCAGCGAAGATCGCGTATTGGTGATTGATGGTCTGGGCAAGGATTGGTCATACTATTGTGCCCTGACGTATCCGGAGGCCACTGTCTACAATCTGGGACCTGGTGCCTCATCGTCGACTACTTCAAATAGCTCATCATCGGAGCCGTGGTCAACTCTCCGCAATCATCGCCACATCTTGCATGCTTCGCTCGCTACAGCCTTCCCCTTCCCGCAAAGCTTCTTCGCCTGTGTCGTTCTCCGCTTTCCACCCGCACTTGCGTCCTCGGTGCATCGTTCGGTGCTGTCGGAGTGCAAACGCGTGCTACGTCCAGGAGGTCATTTGGAACTTAGTGTTCTTGATCTGGACTTGGTCAACATGGGCAATCGCGCAAGACGTGCAGTCCGCAGTCTCAAGGTACGAATGCAGGTTGCAGACGAGCACGTCTCCTTGCGCAACATCAGCGATGAGATAATGGCGGGACTTGGTAGGAAAGGCTTTGCTGAATGCAACCGTTGCTTCGTCGGCGTTCCGGTGGCAGGACGACTGCCCAGCTCCGACGAAGCTGAGACTCGAAGGAAAGGAAGTACTGCAAGCTCCATTGGCAAAGCTTCAACCTCCGCGCCCAAGGCCAAGAACACATCGAAACCCGAAGTCTCCTTCTCCGAACTACTCAATGCACAATCTTCGTCCGAATCCACCGATGACAGTATCACTGACATGGTCGCTCGTGTCGGACGTTGGTGGTACTCTCGCTGCTACGAGTCGCTCGTCCTTCCTGAAGCCGGACAGCCTGGCTCCGCTAATTCAGGCAACTTACTAGAGAGCAGCATCTGGCGCGACGAGAACCTCATCAAGGAATGCGAAAAGCGGGGGACGAGCTTCAAGCTTCTCATCGGCTATGCGCAAAAACCTGAGGTCGGGGTACGACGCACGGTGAGCGTCTAGATCCTATCTAACAAACCTACCTCACTTGAGGCTTCTTCGAGCTGCGCTCCAACAAACAGAGTCCCGGAGACTGCTTTCCAACACGAAACAAACCTTTTAATGGCGGCTCATCGCTACTCCTTTTCTTTTCTTTTCTTTTCTGCGTTCAAGCGGTCTTTATCATACCCCTCATCGTTCTTTTTTTTTGCCCTCTATTCACTTACATTTCATGGCTTGCGGCTTGCATAGCACTGGGCGGATGGCATCAAACATCGATTTAATCAACAACAACAACAACATCATCATCATCAGCGAAGCACTTCAACTACGACATACTACATAATGGCGCGAGCCACTGGAGAGCACCATGTATCAATTTTTTCAAGGATCAAGGTTGGGGGACATGCTGGTAATGGACAACAACTTCTGCTGTTACATAAACAACACAGAGAGAGAGAGAGAGACGACACATGTATGTGATTGTGGGAAATAATTTGCTACAGTGACTGGCTTGGATATGGGGTTTGACTTTCCTTAATGATGAGAAGAAGATATGTAGATATGAAACGATGATGTACGACGTCAGGAAATGAAAGATCGAGATGAATTACTTTTAACCTCTTACGCTCGTGTTTTCCATTTAGTGATGTTGAGTGTTAGATTGAGTGAGTGGAAATGTATGCATGATAATATAGTTGTGCCACATACACAATTCCCCTCTCTCGCACACAGAGAGCACTTCAACACTCAATCCCCAACACCACATCTATCCATCCAGGCACGCACGTAGACTGGCAATCACTCCAATCAATTTACTCGCGACTTCGAGCCCCCCAAGCGAAATGAAGCCACAGGTACCCGATCTATTTCCGTCCTTCCTCTCACTCTCTCTCTCCAGCTGTCCAGCCAGTGCCCGCCCGCCCCACCTCCCTGCGCACTTGCAGCTCTGCAGCGCTGCAGGTACAACAACACGCCGATGTTCAGCTGGGTGGCAGCTCTCATCTCTCAGCTGTGCGTGCTGTGCTGTGTATCAGCTTATGGACGTCACGTCACGTCACGTCACGTCGATCGAATATGGAGAATTGTTTTGAGGAACGTTGGTGGGAGATTTTGGTGGTTTGTATAGATTGAGTGGTATTTATATATATGATATGATATGACATCCGTGCTATGCTATGTAGGTATGCTATACTACCGCGTGTCCTGCCTTCACGCTTTTTGCACCTGATTTTATGTCCCAGGACGTGGGTCAATGTTCGCGCCCTGAGGTCGCACAACCAGCGTGAGTCCTAACAACCTCCTCCTGATATTCGTACTCCACACCCCCGGTCATGACCAAAGAAAACTCCCAAAAAAGCAAAGCGAGGGTATACAACTCCAACTCCATCCCATCCCATCCCATCCCGTCCAATTACAAAAGAAACCCAACCCATGCATACACATATAAAATTTTCATGACTGGCGGAGGGAGTCTATATCGACATCCTCGCCCCTCCCTCTTCCTTGTCCAGCACCTCAGACACGCCCTGGTGCCCGCCATGCACGACGATGCGCGTCTTCGACAGCGACGCCTTGACGGGGCGACGCGACTTAAAGATGTCAGACAGCTCCTCGAGGGTGCGGCGGCGCGTCTCGACGAAGAAGAAGTAGATGAAGACGAACTCGAAGGCGTCCCAGAAGATGAAGAGGAAGTAGTACTTCCAGCCTACGCTCTCGAACGCAATCCCCGTGACGAACGTGTTGTAGAAATTCGCAATGTTGACCCAGAAATTGTAGAACGCCATACCCTTGGCGCGCGACTCGTAGCGCAGGCACTCGACGGGGTAGAGTTGCTGGAGCGGCGTGTAGCCTGCGGAGTAGACGAAGCCGAAGATGAAGATGAAGGCGATGACGGCCTTGGCTTGGTTGGGGCGTTTGATGATGGGCGTGTCGTGCTCGTCAACGAGGGGCTTGCCGTTCGGGCCGTTGATGGAGTTGGTGGCGACGAGGGCGGCGATGATGACGAAGATGAGGATGAGGATGCTGGTTGAGACGAGGAGTTGGGGGCGGCGGCCCCATTTGTCGGTGTAGAGGGCGCCGAAGATGGCGCCGGCGAAGGAGACGACGTTCTGGTGGTAGATTAGTATCATGGGAACTGGAGTGGTTCTGGGGGTTACGTACCTGCATGCCGTTGTATAGTAGTCGGGTGTGGTTGTTCTTGATACCGGCGCCTCGCAGCATGGCGGGATAGTAGTACGACACTGGGCCATTGCCGGACCATTGGCCGAAGAAGGCCATGGAGAAGACGAGCATCGTCCGGTAGAGCGATTCGCGCGAGTTGAACAGCTCAGTGTAGTCCCACCAGCGCTTGTCGGAACCTGTGACGGAAATGTCTTCGACCATCTCTTTGTACTCGAGCTGGACAATGGGTGAATCGCGACTTCCTTCTCCGTGGAAACGGGCCATGGTGTCGAGAGCTTCCTCATGTCTGTCGTTGGCGATCAACCAACGAGGAGTCTCGGGGAGAAATGGACTGCAGAAGAGGACGATGCCAGCGAAGATCATTTGCAGCCAGACGGGTATCCTCCACGATTGGGTTCCTGTCAATGTCGAAGTGCCGAAGGGCACAAAGGTGCCTGGAATGCCTCCAACGAACCAGAAGGTGTTGAAGATACCAGTCAATACACCTCGATAGGCGGGATGGGCCATCTCTGAAGCGTACGCTGGTCCAGCAGTACTGGTGATTGCAACGCCAAAACCAAGCACGAATCGACCTCCCATGAATCCACCAAGATTGAAACATGTCGCCTATTTAGATATCAGTCCTTGTTACTTCGAACCTTGTGTGATAGTCTTACCTGGATGCAGGTACCGAGCATGATGATGAGACAGCCGATAAACATGCCCCATCTTCGACCCTTCCAGTCGGTAGCAGGCCCGGCGAAGAAAGACCCCACAAGGTTGCCAATGGTGTAGATGGCATACACGATTCCGGTCTCTGGCGTTCCTTCCGTGACGTTGAATCCAAAGTACTCTCGATATTGCGGATAACTGTTGATGGCGCCCATCAAAGAGCCGTCGTAACCATTAATACACGAATTCAGGGTCGCGATGAGCAAACACAAGTACAGCTGCGTATCGTCAGCATCGTATATATCCATTTAGAATCTTCTAATCTGACCTTCCACATTGCTTTCGTCCATGGCGATACTCCAGCTCTTGCTTGCGCATCTGCCAATGCGACATTCTGGACTTGCCGGATATCCGTCGAGCTTAACCGCCTGTGGCCCCGGTGCTTCATCTCCAGCGACTGGTGTGTCTGTTGACGAGACATGTTTTTATTTTATTTTATCGACGACCTTGAATGTACTGGCAATGGTCGTGTGAGTAGATCGCTCACTCTCGAGCTTGGGCCATAGGAGGGAGACGTCTCATAGCATAGAGGGGGATGGGACGGCGGCTGATATTATACTCCCTCGTCCATGATCCTCATACCCCAATCTTCCTGATCCCGGCCCATAATGCAAGGTTGACAGGGGATGCAGAGTTTCTGGACCCCCTGCGACCCTGGGGTCAAGGCAACCCCGGGCCGTGTCAGCGATGCACGGCCGGGTATATCAGAAGGCAGCTCGCCAGCGACCTAAACCCTCGCGAACGGTTGAGGGAAGACGTTGGTATTGATTGGTGGGCGCCGTGTGCAGATGCACAGAATCCTACAATCACGCGGCACCGCCGCTGTCTCTGACATGGCAACCCGCACAAGAGACTGGATCCTTCAGCCAAGCGCCCTTTAGCCGGGTCGCGAAGAGGGAGAGGCATTACGCTACATAACGCCACATGCGGTCTGGTGCGAGACTTGCAATGGCTCTGATCAGTACGGAGTACTGCATACTGTGTGGAGTAATAATTGCAGTACGTTTTGGGGGTGACGATGCAAGGACAACTGCTCAACTTAGCCCTTTTGTGTATAAAATCTATGATATTGCGTGTCTCTGAAAGTACTTCTGGTGCGAAACTAAAAGGTTAACTTGATTTCTTGAACGTGGCAATACAATATTTGTAAGGATGTAGCTCGACATGATTGTCGTGAGCTAATCTATTGAACCATATTACTGCGAAAACAATGGGCGGCGTACCATCTGTTCCGCAGGACCGCACCCGAAGCTTCAAAGTCATTGGCGCTGGCTACTCCCGCACCGGTACCCTGTCTAAGGCGATAACTCTGGAAAAGCCATGGGACAGCCCAGTTATGCATAGAAGCTCGCAATTGCTTGGTCGCGAGGACTGTACATACACCTCCCCTCCCTCACGACTATCGTCCAATCTATCGCACGCTGATCTCTTTACACAGCATATGTCAAGCTCTGGTCGCAAGCTTTCAGCACCCGTTACGACCGGCCTCGCCTGCTCAAGCTCCTTCGAGAAGCGACAGCAGGCTTTGTGGCGATCACCGATGCGCCTGGCAATTGCTTCGTGCCCGAGCTTCTGGAGCTGTACCCGGATGCTCGAGTCATAGCCGTGCGTCGCAATCGCGCGAGGTGAGCTGGGAGGCCGTGGCGAAAACGGCTGGCGCGGGGTTCCTAAACCGGTTCCTCGCGCCTGTGCCTGGGAAGAGATGGTATCCCTAAATCGGTCATCCAATTTCTGGAGATGTGAGTGTTGTTGTGTCTATTCAGTTTCTGGTGGGCCGAAAAGACAGGAAGCATAAAAAGGGCCAATTGAAAGTTTCCAAGCAAGTGGACGAACATAACAATTGGGTTAAAGAAGTTACGCCACCGTCACAATATCACGAGATGGAGAAGCGATGGCTGGACGCCGTTATGGGGAGCGTTAGGGAAGCCAGTCCTGGACAAACCATTTCCCAGGGCGAATAATGCTGCGGCAGTCGACGATCTGGGGAAGAACATTCTACATAATTGACGCAGCCTGCCGATGGATTACGATCAGTGCATCGTTGGCCTTTGCTGGTGTTGTTGCGTATTGGTACCTGTATCAATGGTTTTCACGAGACGTGCAAGATGCGTGAGGAGCTGCATTTCGCTGGATTGCACTACACCACAGAGACAGCCACCAAGGAGCTACCCGTTGGCAATTGAGGGACCATGTATGTGATATGTGGAGTGACTGTGAATCATTGGACGAAAGGTGAGGTGGCTAGGGGAGGCCTAGAAAGACGGCGCCCTGTCACCCGCATGGAAGAATGAATTTCTTCTCTCAACTTTGGGTCCTGCTGGTACGTACGCACGCTGGGACGCTTGTACTGTACCTCGTAGTCTCACAATAACTATGATAAACAAAAGTCCATGCGTTAGATCAATCGCCCACGATATTCTTATCATGCTTCAACGCCATCGTCTTACTTGCGTTCCACATCACAGGAAGGAGCATTTGCGTAGACTGATCTGTGTCCGTTGTAAGCTTACTTGCCTACGAGCACCAGATGAAGGAATCACCCTAACCAGACCAGACAGATCACGTCGACCATCAAACCAGGCGGGAACAGAGAATTTCGCTTACTGACGCTTCGGCTACGCGAGGAACCGTGTGGGAGAATCAGCATCATGCATGATTACTCGCCCTTATTCGCGTCGCTAAGATTTAACATGGGGTGAAAGGCAATACGTACCGAGTACCCAAGTACCCTAACTTACTTCTACTTGTATGCGTTCGCGTACGAGCCACCATGTGTCGAAAGCACCAGCACAAGGTTAGACTTTACGAGGAGCTGCTCCAGACTTACGTTGGCTGGTTGGGTCCGCCCCAGGCTCTGTTCGGAACCGTAACACGGAGGGACAGAGGGATCGCCCAATACGGGAATACATTTTTAGCATTTGCTGGAGAGAGTATCGCGCTTTGGCAGATGTGCAGTGCACTGACTCAAGCTTTCTTCTCCCTCTCTTTCTTCCTTAACTTTTAATAAGGTTTGTCTTCGCGTCTCGTCTCGTCTTGATGGTAGGAGGATGTCGTTCGAATGCTCGCGCTTGGCGGATGCCAGATCAAGATCAATCTGTCAGGCCATTATGTTCATACTCCTCCGTACTGCCATCGCGATCGTATTCAAGCACCGATTTCGCACCGCCTAACCGACGAAATACACGACACAGCACAATCCATCAGTCATGTCCTGCCTCAACGACCTAACTAACACATAACCCAAACCAGGTATACATCAATGATCCATCCCAAAACCTGCTCTGCCTTTCCCCCGGAGCAATCATCGCCATTGGCCTGGCCAGGCCTAGCCATCATCTATCCGAACCCGCCTACACCTCCGGAGTACATCCCCCGGATCTGCCCTGCCCTGCCCTGCGTGATAGATTGACAAACTACCGGCATCTATATATTAACTCTGCCACCCCCTCCCATTCCTAGCTAGATGCGCATAAAGATACAAAGTAGATCCTCCATTTGTAGCCTCCTACATGCGTCCATTATATTGTAGCAGATCCGCACCCCACACCCCGCACACCAGTGTGTACATGTACACATAGCGGGGGAGGGGATATACGTGCGATCGTCAGGCGGGCACATGACATGCTATCCAGGTCTTATCTGCGCGAGAAAAATTGTTCGGTGGCGAGTGTGTAGAGTAGGTGCAATATAATATATTGAGATGGTGCTGGAACATTGAAGGTGAGAAGATGTGAGAGGGGTCACGCGATGAGGGGAGTAGGTTGAGGATCTTCGTTTCGCCGACTGGCGGGATTAAGATGGATGTTCATGGAGGTTTATTTCATCTGGTCTTGCTTGAGGTAGTGATGTTTGTTGATCAGCGTGAGTGGATGCCCGGGACAGAGCCTGTAAGCTTGCTGCTAGGGCTACCTTGTTCGCAGAAGATGAAATGGAGCTTATCTTGTCTACCAGTTAAGAGGAAATCAAGTACCTCTACCGAGCTCTTTCATCCCGTAGAGAAGTAGTAGACTGAAAGCTTTGCTAAACATGTTCACTCTCGCCGTCCGTGCCGTAAATTCGTCCCCCTTGGTCTTCTCCCTCATTGGAATGATTAATCGTAGGGCACCTGCAAGTACATGTACACGAAGTGGAAGGGCCCATTGATCTGGTTCGCATTGTGGCAAAGTTTATAAATCAGAATTGCAGTTCTCCTACTTTAATGACCTGTACTTCTTCCTGAACAGCAGCTCCACAACATCCAGATTATCCATCGCCGTCATTGGCTTGATACACCTCGCAGTAACATAGTAATAAGCGCATCGTTATAAGGCTTACAATGAAGCTCACAGAGGATGCACTGAACAATATCGAATTTGCTATCATCCACGCATATGTGTAAGAGACTCGCCGTTTCGAATCCTGGAAGAAAAAAGCCAGCCCAAGTCCCATCTATGATCCACAGTCTCCCAGCTTTATCTTTCCTTAGACTGGTGTCGAAATGATACACGACTAGATCTTCAAAACGCCCAGTAACATTCTCTGTGCCATATATCGCGAGCTTCTTTATTGAACCGCGGCTCCATATCATCTGCTTCTAGAAACGCTTCCCCAACGCCGTATATCGTGAACAGCCCGCCTACAGGTATACCTGAGCCCACTGGTCCCGGGCTATGGCCTTGCATCTTTCCAATGCAATAGAGAGTTTGCGTTGCATGTTGGATAATCCAATGCTGTTGCTCACTAGTGCGTTCGGACCAAGAAACTACGCCCAGGATCTCTCCATCGATGTATTCCATAATGACGGAGCCCAGTCCTACTTTGAAGAAGCTTCGATAGAGGCGCGTTACTTGTACTTGGCCATGAGAATGCGAGTCCGTCGGGTATGGACATGAGGGAAACGAGACACAAACTCGCGTGTGCAGGTTCAATGAGTAGAATGTCCAATGGAACGGAGTCTAACGGTGAAAGTATGGGTACTGATAGTCACTGTGAGAGCCGGAGGCAAAGCAGAGGTCGAGACACTAATATGGAAAACACTGATGCACAGAATAGTTCAACCTCGCCACATTCAAACCGTTCGGAGACAGAGATATGAGCAGGAATGTGATCGTAACTGGGTCCTCTCAGCTGCTTGGTGAATGCGCGCAGTGTCCGCCTCCAACCGGCCAGGTAAGTCAGAGGAAGACATTGACGACGGACATTGCTGACATGCGTCATTAAAGTGATCTCCAGCGCCTTACCCAGCCTAACATCAGTCAGGATGAATGGAACCAAAAGTGATTGATAGCTGAAATGAGTGTAGAAACGGGATGGGCGTGGCTCTTTAATGGTAGCAACTATTATGAACGATCACCGTTGCAGCTTAGCCAAAGCATTCAACGCACCCTCTAATTGTACTTCTCGAAGGGCCTCTTCTGCGGTTGCATAACTTTGCCCCTAACATCTCATAATGGTATGTCTAAGGCAGAGACAGATTCTAGATCAGGATAGCGACCTTCACAGAAAGCAACAGATACTTCGTGATCAGGTAGATCTTTGTATGGCTTCGAACCAGTCATTATCTCGTAAAGAGTAGAACCGAGGGCAAAGAGTTCAGTCTTCGTTGAGATATCTTTGTTAGGAAGTTCATGACTAGTCTCATAACAGACGAGTGAGGGAAGATCATCAATGGCTGAGCCGGCGAAATTACCAAGCTTCACATCGAGGTTGTCATTAAGGAAAACATTGTTGCACGATATATCGCCATGTAACACGTTCCTTGAGTGGATGAACCGCACGGCATCGAAAAGTTGTTTATCCCAACGAAGCCTGATAGAAAGTGGAACCTGTTTCGATCTTGCAACGTATTGCCTAACAGATGTCTGGCTCGCAAATTGCAAGATAATAGCATTCCAATACGCCAAAATATCCAATGATGCCGCTGTGGCCGCAACCAAGACGTTGATAGATGAGCTGCTCTAGTTCCAGAAAGCGCAACTCTGACGGCCCAAAGAACTTGATGACGGTATCAAGACGCGCAACAACCGCCGTAACGCCTGCGCCAACCAGAACCTTGCCGTCTAGACTAAGAGGCCATTGTATCATAGACTCTTGCAGCTTCCTTTGCGATGTCTCTGATGGAGTTGACTAGCGATCGCTCGAAATGATGATCTAGGACCTGGTACAATTGTTTTGAAGAAGCGGAATGAAGGTCAGCCTTTCGCTAAGTTGGTATTCATTGCTGGATGTAGTGGTTCCTGGTCCCATTTGAGTACATCATTATTATTGAGTACCTATTATGATGCACGATGTACGAGGTAGTAAAGTTTCCCCGCAGTACGAGCAGCTCAATCGGGCGGCAGTCGACCCTATGGAATAGTCGCCGCGTAGTCAAACACCTACTGGCTTCTGGGCGTCTATCAACATTTGTCGTCACTTTTTCTCATCTTCATCCTCAACGTTGACAATCTGATCAATGTTCATTTGACCTAAGATTGTCACTGCAATCAGGATATTATAAGGAGCCCTAGATATCTACATCTACAGTCTATCAAGAGTCGTATACGAAAAGTCTCGTGCCCCCACTTGCGGGGCAGTATGCTTCCTTTACTTCTATGGCGCCAGAGAGAAACCTCGCAAACTCTAAATATCTATATAAGCCAGTTGTTCGAAGGATTTAAACGTGTTTCTCCTTGAAAGTGTCCCTAAACACTAGCATGCCTAAACAACAGAAGTCGAGAGCGAGTCACGGCTAATTGAACGAATCACATAGAGATGAAGAGATCGGATTGGAGGGTTCGCGTATGCTGAAGAGTCCAACCGGGCAAATGCACTGAGTGCTAGTTGACATAGATTTGAGTATCTTAAGGAGTCTTCAATTGCTTCAGTGCTCGCGAGGCGGGAAGACAGGCAGAGATGTACTAATAAATCTGTTAGACCTTTTGTATACAGCACTACTTCTCTTGAGCGATGTCTGAAAACTATCTCTTCTAATGCAAGACCTGAGCTAGAACTCATTGATAATCCTTTTCTCTAGAGACTCGAGCGCACTTAAGGGGTCGTCTATTCTTACTTCGCGCTACGAGTAGATGTAAGCATGAATGCATTACAATGGCAGCACTTTCATCAGGCTAATTGGTAGTATGAACATGGTGTACAGATTTCGCGCCTTCATACTCGATCAATACACAATACCTACTTCGGAGAAACAAAACATAGATATGGAATCCCTTCAACCCTTCTTTTCCCTGCTGTTTGTAGGGAGTATGGAGTAGTATCCGAGTCTACAGCTAGACCCACAACAGCATCGAGCCGATGGCAGCGATGATCACCGCCGCCACTCCGTGTCCAAGCCCCGCCTTCTTTGCCTCTGCCCCAACCTCCCCACCAACTTTGTCTCCAAATCGATTGACAAGCAGCGCATCACCAACACCGATCACTGTACCAAGTAGCATGCTCAACCCCAGACATCTCCTTGCCACGCTCTCCGCAACACTTCCCTTAACCTGCCTCTGCCAGAATGCGGTCAGTCCAAGAGTGCCCAATGAACCTCCGATGTTTCGGATCCCATAGACATGAACGAGCGCCGTTGTCAGCGGGTCGTTGTCGGTGCTAGGGTTTGCAGCAATAGGCTTCTGCAGGCCAAATGGACGGATGGCGTCGATTGGTTTGGATGAGAAAAGAGCATTTGCGCCTGTTACAACGCCAGTCAGGCCCAGGAGGGTAGTCAAGGTGGGGAGGATAGAAGAGACGGCGGGGGAAGTTGATTGATTGGACATGGTTTGATACTCGTTGACTTTGTGATTGCGTCTGAAGTGTTGTGTGAAATGGGAGATGTTTTTACTCTGAGTTGAAGGAGAGAAGACAGAGAGAAAGCAGGCAGAAAATAGATAGAATAGTTACATACTTAGGTAGTGTATCTAAGATGCAAATAGGACATAGGACAGGACACTACCGCCCCGGATTTTGGTTGCCGGATGGTCCGGATGGTGATTGCTAGACTCTTTTGGGTAACCCGTTGGCTGGAGAGATCGATCAACCCAAAAGCAAACCACGCACGATGGGATAAGTCCTTGATCTATCGTATTAAGCATGCATCTTAGCTAGATAGAAGAGAGGTACGTTGTACAGAGGGTTGGCACGTCGGGCTGGCCCCCTGCTGTCCACAACAGCGCCTTTGCAAGGTTTGTCGCGAGCATTTAAGGTTGTTTACTGGCTACAATACACTCTTACATAGACACTTTAGGTATAGAATACACATGAAGTTAGCAGGTGGCCAGCCCGACGTGCCAACCCTCTGTACATAAACCTAGGCCATATTGATACTAAGATGTAAGCATAATCTTTAGCTCAGGTAAGTTTGCATCTTAGTATACTATTAACATACCCGTAGGATAGAGAAGGATATTGTCAAATTTCAAAACCCTTCTCATTCTGTGTATTTCAATAATAGGAAGTTGCTCTGCAAATAGAAACGCGTAGCAGGGATATAGAAACGACCTTAAAAAGGGTATTTTGTGTTCTATCAGGACTGTTGAGAATAAGTGCTAAAGTAGCTTAGTGCTTCGACCAAATCTTGGATATTTTAAGGAAAGATGTTCAGTAAGTTCTTTGTTGTGCATTCAGAGGTGCATCACCCATCAGGAGGCACTTTTTCGTTCTCTCTCGTTGCCGCAGAAAAGCCCCTCTCTGCAGTCCATATGGATTATAAGTCTCCTAATGCTTTCTTCATTAATGAGGTGCTTGCTCGACGTCTAGAGTATCGAAAACGTCGACAAGAAACCAACCTATTTCCTCCACGTGGGAGACCGATCCTCGAACAGATGTCAGAATCAGACTCGGGCCCTGTCCCCTCCGAAACCTTCTGGATTGAGGATGGAACGCCATTTGGCCAGTGTGTTCGTATCTACGATGTTCCCGGTACGCTTTCTGGGGAAATACTCCGCCTTCGTCAACCTATGCCACAATACGATGGTCATTTTCAGGTTCATGGCGACGATATCACACCCCTGGATTCCTCAATTCCACTTCCCGAAGACGAGTACATCGACGACTCCGAAGACACTAGTGAGGTTCTTAAAACCCTTCCGGTTGTAGAAGTTGACCCCTCGAAACGTTTCACAAAAAAAGCAAAATACTAGAGTGAGGTTACAAATCTCTTGCGGTGCCAATGCAACTCATGTCCTGGCAAGCCCTTGTCGACTCGGATCATCCAGCTCCTGGGCAAGTCTACCTCTGGAGAGCTCGTTTTCGAAAAATACCTCACAAGATACAAAGTAGGCCGATTCTGTTCGATCGCCATCTACAAGCGCTGGGTTCTAGACATCATTGAAGCTCTGAAGTGTCTGCATTCTATAGGAATCATCCACAAGGATCTTCGCGTCGATAACCTTCTCTGGTCTGTCGATGGCCAGCGTGCCATTGTCTGCGATCTAGAGAGTCGCTGGGGCCAACGACAAGCGCCGGAAGTTTCTCAGAATAGGGGATTAGATGCTGGATGGACGGCAAAATCGGATATCTACGATCTTGGTGACTGTATTAAGGGTATGGTCTATAATAACGCACCTATTACGCGGCAAGTTGAATGGCCAGTTCCGCCGCCGTTTGAGAGCATTGTAGAAGCTTGTATGCGAACGAACCCCAAGGATCGTCCGACTCTCGATGAGTTGCAAGTACTGGTCGAAGCAATTGACGATGGAGACGAAGTTCAATCTTAGAATCTTTTTGGTCTTAGACAAAGAATCCCAGCCAAAAGGGATATAGATCAAGCTTAACAGCAGTCACGTCTCTATATCTACTATGTACTACTCTGACAAAACACATCTACTCAGTTAATGGCACATGGAACTTTACATTATTTTGATTCAATTTGATTTGCATATTTTTCTCTCAGTCCGTGTAAGTTCATCAGAGAAGGAAGAGACTGGAGCTATAGCTAGAAAACTATAACTAGAAAACGCCTTTATCAAAGAAAGATTGGGCATGCTAAGGAAGCAAGCAGTAGCAGGGAAAGGGTGGTATTGTTCCAACGAATGATGTTGTCCACAAACAGACAGAAAGCAAGACAGAAAAAAGAAGAAGAAGAAATATATATCCTACACAGGCTACAAAGTATAATAGAAGGAGAGAGGATAAATGCAGCAGTAGAAAGGCAGATGCATGTCAGGGTACTTGTAGTAGTTTCTATGCCTACAACGTTACAGTTCCTACCCTATCTACCCAACGTGCCAACCTACCTATTACCTACCTATCTAGTGTCACGGCTGATCACAGCGGTCCCCTAACCGGATCCGGCCTAGTGCGAAGGGGTGCCAAGGAGCCATAGCCGCTGGAAGTACCTATTTCGGGGTTTGCTAACATACAACGTTGAAACATCGACACGGGAACCCCTCAACCCTTCTGTTCGCATGAAAACCTAGTTCTCCTTGTTCTGCTTGGATATAAACGTTGCTTGTGTTCCTCTTGCTTTTCTCAGCTTGATGCCTCTCCCATCCCATCGCCCTCGTTCCTTGTTCCTGGGCCTGTTTATGTGCACACAATTATGCGTCTTTTAGAATGCGTAGGCGATGAGTTTACTCTAAAAGATTTCAGGAGTTCCGATATCATCCCTCCTTATGCGATACTTTCACATACCTGGATACCCAATGAGGAGGTCACCTTGCAAGAATTGCAGAACAGTACCAGGAAGAGGAAGAGGACTATTAAGAGCGGGTTTGAAAAGCTCGAGTTCTGCAGACAGCAAGCAAAAAACGATGGCCTGCAATACTACTGGGTGGACACTTGTTGCATCGACAAGACAGACAAGGCCGAACTCTCATATGCGATCAATTCCATGTTCCGCTGGTACCAAGACGCAGCACGATGCTATGTTTATTTGCCAGACGTTTCCAGTCCTCTCCAAAATTCTAGCGCTGATTCTAGCTCAACGCCATGGGAACCTGACTTCCAGAAAAGCAAGTGGTTTACTCGGGGCTGGACACTCCAAGAGCTACTAGCCCCTGACTCAGTTGAGTTTTTCTCCCGTGAAGGCAGGAGATTAGGCGATAAAGGATCGTTGATGCATCAAATACGTAGAATAACTGGAATACCCAAAGCAGCGCTACAAGGTGCCCCCCTGACCCAGTTTACGGTCGATGAACGTTTGTCATGGATAGAGACACGTCAGACGACCTTCGAAGAGGATAGAGCATACTCGTTGATAGGAATAGTCAATGTCAATGTTCCTCCAATCTATGGCGAAGGGCTCACAAGCGCGTTCAAGCGGCTCATGGACGAGGTCCGCAAGAGGGATGGGTGTATTCACGACCTCCGCGCCACTGATCCCCGCGACGACAAGAAGCGCATTGAAGACACTAAGGGTGGCTTATTGCAAGATTCGTACCGCTGGGTTTTTGAGAATAGTGAATTCAAACAATGGCGTGACAGCAAGGAGAGCCAGCTACTTTGGATCAAAGGGGACCCTGGCAAGGGCAAGACAATGCTTCTTTGTGGCATCCTTGATGATCTGAGGAATCAGTCGCTGGCTAAGAAAGATCTTCTATCGTACTTCTTCTGCCAGGCCACAGATGCGCGAATTAACAACGCCACAGCTGTGCTACGGGGATTGCTGTACCTGCTTGTTGATCAACAACCTTCGCTTGTTGCGCATATTCGGAAGAAACACGACCACGCGGGCAAGGCGCTTTTTGAGGACGCGAACGCTTGGACTGCCATGTCTGAGATTTTTGCAAGTGTCTTACAGGACCCAAACTTGGCCATCAAGTACCTGGCCGTCGATGCGCTCGATGAGTGTGTTGTGGGTCTACCGAAACTGTTAGACTTTATTGTTGAGCAATCTTCAGCATCGCCTCGTGTCAAATGGATTGTATCAAGTCGCAATTGGCCGGACATTGAGGAGCGACTAGCAAAGGCGGGTGGGCGAGCAAGACTGAGTTTGGAGCTAAATGCAGACTCCGTCTCTGCTGCCGTCGACATCTTCATCCAGCAAAAGGTAGTCCAATTAGCACGGGACAAGAAATATGACAAAAAAACGACACAAGCCGTTCACCATCATTTAACGTCGAATGCAAAAGGGACGTTCCTTTGGGTTGCATTGGTGTACCAAAACCTTCGAGATGTTCCGAAACGCCATGTGATGAAAAGATTAAGCGCCTTTCCGCCTGGTCTTGACACACTTTATGAGCAGATGATACAGCAAATAAACAGCTCGGACGATGCAGATGTTTGTAAAGAAATCTTGGCCCTCGCTGCTACCGTGTATCGTCCTACTACTCTCGCGGAGCTGGTTGCACTTACCGAACAGCTCGAGGATGTTGCAGACGATCATGAGGCAATACAAGAGATCATTGGCCACTGCGGATCGTTTCTCACGCTACGAGAGAATACCGTCTACTTTGTGCATCAGTCCGCCAAAGACTTTCTGCTGGCACAGGCGCGTGGTCATATCTTCCCGTCAGGGCAGGAAGACATTCACCACGTACTCTTTTCAAAATCACTAGAAGCCATGTCCACCACACTAAAAAGAGATATGTACAACTTGCGTGCACCCGGATATCTCATCGACCAGGTAGAACCTCCAGAGCCAGATCCGCTAGCATCGTCACGCTACTCGTGCATATACTGGATTGATCACCTTTGTAGCTGGCAGGACATCTCACCTGCTGCCGATCGAGCAGCTATTCAGATTGGAGGCAGTGTTTACGAGTTTCTGAAACAGAAATATCTTTACTGGCTAGAGGCTCTAAGTCTTTGCAAAAGCATGCCAAAGGGACTAGTGCTGATGGCAAAACTTGAGAGGTTGATTTATGTAAGACTTTGATGAGCGCTTCTCTTACGGCAGAAGCATACTGATTTATCTAGAATCGAACGGACCCCCTCTCTGCCGTGCTTTTAGTAGTTAAAGACGCGCGCCGATTCATCATGACCCACAAAGGGGCAATAGAGAATGCACCTCTTCAGACGTATGTGTCAGCACTCGTATTCAGCCCGAGTGAAAGTTTGATCAGGAAATTATCTAAACACGAAAATCCTGGATGGCTTTCAATAAAGCCAGCAGTGGCAGAGAACTGGGGACCTTGTTTGCAGACACTCGAGGGACACACCGGCTATGTCACTTCAGTAGCCGTATCTCACAATTTGGTAGCATCTGGGTCCAACGATGGCACAATTAAGATCTGGGAGGTCAGTAGCGGCGAGTGCCTGCAGACGCTCAAGGGCAACAGCGGTCTTATCCTCTCAATAGCCTTCTCTCACGGCTTGATCGCGTCGGTGTCAGCCGCCGATAGCACAGTTAAGATCTGGAAAGCTAGCAGCGGGGAATGCCTGCAGACGCTCAAGGGCCACAGCGATGATGTCTTATCAGTAGCCTTCTCTGATAACTTGATCGCGTCGGGGTCAAATGATGGCACCATCAAGACCTGGGAAGCTACCAGTGGCGAGTGTCTGCGGACATTAATTGACCACAACGGACCTGTCCACGCACTAGCCTTCTCTCACAATTTGATTGCATCGAAGTCAGGCTATAGCAAGATTAAAATCTGGGAGACTAACAGTGGCAAATGCCTACATACGCTCAGGGACGACTTCACTCCTGTCTCCTCGGTAGCCTTCTCACACTGCTCGACCTATATCGCGGCAGGGTCAGAAAATGGCATAATCGTTATCTGGGAGACAAGCAGTGGCAAGTGCCTACAGATGCTCAAGGGCCACGACGATTATATCAGCTCAGTAGCCTTCTCACACTGCTCAACCTATATAGTGTCGGGGTTAGAAAGTGGCTCAGTTGGGATCTGGGAGGCAAGAAGTGGCACGTGCATACAGACGCTCAAGGGCCATGGCGATGATGTCTTATCAGTAGCCTTCTCCCAGAACTTAGACTATATAGCGTCGGGATCAGCTGATAGTACGATCAAGATCTGGGAAATCAGAGGCATCCGCAACGACAGCGTCAGCCACAACAGCAGCAAGTGCTTGCAGACGCTCACGGACCACAGAAGAGTGGTCCTTTCAATAGCCTTCTCTCACGACTCAGCCTATATAGCCTCAGGGTCAGGGTCCGGCGATTGTACGATCAAGATCTGGGAGGTTGGCAGCAGCAGGTGCCTGCAAACGCTTGAGGGCCACAGCTCTTCTGTTGGGTCGATAGTGTTCTCTCACGACTCAGCCTACATCGCATCGGGGTCAGACGATAACACGGTTAAGGTCTGGAAATTTAATAGCAGCAGCAGCGATTGCGTGCAGACGCTCGAGGGTCATATCAACACGATCTATTCATTAGCTTTCTCCCATGACTCAGCTTATATAGCGTCAGGGTCATCCGATGGCAGGATCAAGATCTGGGAGGTTGGCAACAGCAGCAACGATTGCGTGCTGACGATCAAGACCCGCAAAATTGTTAGCTCACTAGCTTTCTCGCACAACTCGGCCTATATAGCGTCGGGGTTATTTGATGGCACGATCAAGATCTGGGAGGTTGGCAGCAGCAGTGACGATTGTACGCAGACTCTCAACGGCCATAGCGGATGTGTTGAGTCGGTAGCCTTCTCGCACAACTCGGCCTATTTAGTATCGGGGTCACTTGATAAGACAGTCAAGGTCTGGGATGCTAGCAGCGGCGAGTGCCTGCAGACGCTCGAGATTGACCAATATTTGTATCCCATATCATTCAACTCTACCGGTGACCGACTTCGCCCCGACATTGGCGATCTTGTCATTGGTAGTTCGACATCTCCAAGCCGGACAACGGCTATCACAAAGCTTCAACCTGGTAAGCCCCGGTGCATCGGACTGAGTCCAGACAAGAAATGGATAACATACAAGTCGGAGAGGATACTGTGGCTACCCACAGAGTATCGCCCGTGGATATGTGATGTGTCTGGAAAAGTTATTGCAATGGGTACTAGGGAAGGGAGAGTGTGGACATGTGAGGTTGATCTTTGACAGGCAGCTTTGTTACTGCGGTGTAGCAGTACATGGGCATTGGATTCTCCAGTCTAGTCTTTCTCTCTTCGTCTTGGAACATGTTTCAATCTCATTTTCAGGAGGAATTTGGGTTCGGAGACACCTTCCTACGTGATTGAAGTCGCAGTTATATTTTTGAAACTTCCGTTGATAATCAACTGTATAACGACTTTATTGCGAAAACATGCAATGCCTTCTTGCTCTCGTATAAACCTACAATAACGGCAGCCTGCCAGAACTGCATCACAAAATTATATACAAATGAAATCCGCGCATCGACGCGAGAGAATAAAATGACACAGACCGCAACCCAACCAACATTATCACAATCCCCAAATGCCCAAAATTCAACACACCGGGTATATCACCAACCAACCCCAAACGCCCCCTCTCCCTCCCCATCATCCAGAAAAGAAAATCAAGCACCCTCATCCTCCTCATCTCCAACCGTTCTGGGAACAAGTATCCCCCTCAAGATACACCTCTGTCCATTCTCCGGGCACACATTCTGCCTATTCAACTGCTTATCCGCCGGCCCCGTCGGCCCACTACTAAACTTCGCCTGGCCAAACAGCTTAACCTGCCTCTTATCACTCGTCGGATACTCCTGGTCTCCCCAGCGGCCCTTGAAACCCAAGTACTTCACCGGGGTGCCGGAGTTGCCGTCGTACGGCGTGAACGAGCCGTCCGCGGCGTTAAACTTGTAGTAGTACGCCGCGAGCATGGGGTCCCAGAAGACGCCGGCGTCCGTCTTGTCTTCGAGGACGCCGCCGGGGAGGTTGAAGTTCGGGATCGTGTGGTCGTGCTTTCCGGGGATGGCGTAGATGGCGTGGGAGCCAGAGGCGGAGTAGGCGATGGGGCGGTCGCCGTTGTTGTGCTTTTGGGTCACGGAGTAGCTGAAGGCTTGCCCGTTCGCGTGCTGGGAGTACCAGACGTGTTGTGGGACGCCGTTCTTGAAGCGGATCATGTTGTGTTCCCTGTGAACATGTGTGTTAGTTTTGTCCGGGTGTTGGGGGATTTGAGAGGGGAAGGGGATATCGACTTACCAGTCTCCAACATGGTTTCCAAAGTTCAGTTGCGGGAGTCCAAGTACAGTCCCACCATAATTATACGCGTAGAAGTGGAAGTAAAAAGCATCCACGTTCCCATCTCCCTTGTCGTTGACGATAACGGCAGCCGTAACAGCATTATTAGTCTTGCCATTGGAGTCCGGCCTGACTCCCTTGATCCACTCAGGGTCCTTGGTCACATCGTCCTTGGAGGTAAGGAAAGCATCTCCGGTGACTTGGTCGAGATTGTTCAGGTCTAGGGGGTTTGGAACCCCAGGAACGTCTTGGAATTGCACTTTGGGGATTGAGTGGGCGAGTTGGGCGGAGATGTCCGAAGGGAAGTATTTCTCTTGGGAGTGGAGGTAGACGACGGGTGCTGTTTGGTATGTTAGCGGACTGATATTGTGGGGCTTTTTTTCGAAATGTTGAAGAAAATTATAATTTCCGTTTCCGGAGTGTTATTGAGCGCTGATAGTAAAGTTTTACTAGTCGTTCGGAGTTTACAAGGCATAAAGTTGCGTTTAGGGTCAAGTTCGATCACCACGAGCTTTTCCCCAATTCGGTCATGAAATGTAGAACAACGAAAAGGGTAGACGAAACAATATCTTGCATAGTTACATACCATATTTCATGACATAGTCAGGAACTCCAGCGGGAGCTTGTCGTTTCTCCATCTTGATCGTTGGGAGGGCAGACACAGTCGCCAGCAGCGCTGCAAAGGAGAAGAAGTCGTGGAGCAACATAACGAACGACGATATATCTTTTATAACGAGTGAATAGACTGACAGCAACGACGACGACAAACGAATGGACTGGTCACCAGCAGGAATCCCCAAAACACACAGTCACAAGCAACAGCGCAGCAGACCTTTTATACATAAAGATACTCTCGCGCGCGACCTGATCTCCAGCGTGCTTGATAGGGTGGGTGTGGCTACCATGTCTTGCTGGTTAATATAAGACCCCAGCAACGGATCATCCGCATAAAAGCTCACATCGCCCCAAGAAACAGATCCCCCTCTCAGGGTCCCGCAACTTTGCACATTGTGCCGGACATGCGCGACGATTGGTATGTTGCGATTTGGAGGGGTTCATTTGCTGGATCGACTAGTAAGAACGATATTTGGGACCATGGTGGACATCGCATTAATTTCAGGGGACCCATATACACAAGCCACTGGAATAGGGAGGTCATTCGGGAGCGGCAGTGAGGATGGTAAGTGACCTTCCTTTGTCGCTGGGGCGCCAATCTGATTTGTTGCGATGGATGTGGGAGTCGTATTAGCAAGGTGGTGTCTTGGAGCCTTCATTGGGTGTTGGGCGGTAAAAGTCCGAATCCACCCCTGCTACGGGGACGATGGTCAAGCCGTGATTGGCGAGCACCCAGAAGGCGAACTTTTGGGGATCCAGAGAGCATGAATTATTGTACGGATTGGTACAATCATTAAAATCTGGTAAATATTCAGCACTAGCTCTCTGCGAAGTATACGGGATGAAGATTGCAGTCATGTGACCTGCCACCATTTCAATATAAGAAGACGGCTCCACGGATGGTATCTATAATAACGAATGATAAATATACTTACCTAATTTCAAGTCGGCTCAGGTAAAGGATGTCGTGATTATAGTTTCAATGCCCCTGGCGATGAGTAGAGGTCTCCCATGAGATGTCGCGAAAGACAGCAGAAGCGTCCCGTTGCGAATATATCTGGAGAAGAATGAACATATGATAGTTGTCATGAATTGTGTGTGAGTATTTAGCACGCCGACATTTCGTCTCGACTTTCACCTTGAGCCTGACCGTCGCCTTTACATTGCGCAATGGAAACGTCTTCAGCATCGTTATTCTCAAACCAAGGACTGCGCAGCAATTCTGCTGGCGTCCCTCTCGAATGAGCGTCATAGACCAAGATCTTATGCAAAGTTGCACTGATAGAATCCAACTGTTCGTGCGTAAGCTCGCGCGGGGCTTTCTCATAGTCTTCGACTTGGAAGTCATCTTCGCCGCCACAACCTAAGATCGCATCATCATCTTGCTCGTAGGCAAGCCGAAAGTATCGATCGAGCTCAAGAGGATCCACTGAATTTCTCCTCATAATCTCTTTGTCTTCGTCACTCAGGCTGTCTACCCATTCTTTGGGAGCAGTGCCGATACACGATCGGATCTCTTCTATCGAGCTTAGCCGGTCTGCGAGTATGGGACTTATCAAGGCTCTCCCCGTGATAATTTCGAATAACTGTAACATGTGAGTAGTGAGATACTCGCGAGGATGTCAGCTACATACCAAACAGCCGATACTCCACATGTCTACTCCATGATTCAATGGTTGACCGAACAAGGCTTCTGGTGCGCGCACATGGTATGGAGTGTGCACAATGTCAGGTGGGCTATCGTGGAAGAAAGCTGCGAGAATTTAGAAGATGCCGCACATCATGAATACCTGGCTGGTCGTGCTCACCACCGCCTAAATCAATAATCTTGATTTCTGTGGAGCTTCCTGGTAGTTCCCTTGGCCATACCAAATGACGGGGCATTGAAGAATCAAGCACCGGAGCTCCATCAAGGCGCTTGACAGCTCCAGTTTGCGGCACACCAAGATAGGACTTGAGGCGATATTCCGACCAAATAGCCACCTCAGGAGCGGAGAACAGGATGTTTCCTATGTGCAGATCTTCACAAACACATGCATTAGCATAGGTAGCACAGACATCCACGCTTGTCCTCACCTCCATGTGCGACTCCACATTGCCAAAGGTAGTCTAGACCCAAAGCCAACTGAAGGGTCACGCTTCTAGCAATCCTCGCTGGTAAACGGCCTCCGGTCTGTCGTTCTATACGGGCCGGTACGCTTACGCCCATAGGTTCAAACACGAGGCACGTATGCCTCGAACTGACATCGAAACTATCCAGCAGGCGCACCACATGATTCCGACCTGGGTGAGCCAAGTGAGATTTCTGAAGATGTCGCATGATCCGAAGCTCATTACTTGTCACGTCTACATGGCCGAACTTCAAAGCGACGTTGGTACAATTCCTTGAATTCAACACAAATCATTAGCTAGCTCATCGTGTACAGGCAAGCGACAGCAATGTATACCGGGTGTCTCTTGCAAGCCAGACGGTAGCATACCCGCCCCAGCCGAGCTTGTAGATGACTTTGTATCGGCCATCCTTGTAATTCTGTCCTATTTCGATTGGGCAGTACCGACCTGCCGAGTAGCCGTGTGGATCTTCCGCGTCGATCTCGGACAAGTACTCCCATGAACGTTGTGTACGAGCCGGAGCTAGCCTCGCGCCTGTAGACAAGGGAGCGTGGCGTAGCGTAGATGGTGTTCTAACGACATGGATATATAAGAACATCCTGCGGTAACAAGAGGAAAGTCGAAGCATTGGGTCAATAGGATGGCCAATATGTGGGGGAAAGTTGTCGAATGATGCACAAAAGGTTCAAGTTAGAAGACAAGTGCGTGAGCATGTACGGAGTATGTGAGCTCACAGCTATCGATAAGCCACCCAACCGGGCATGCAGGCTTGACGCATATTGCTTTTCTAGGCATCAGTTGTTTGTAAGATTAGAAGAGAAAAAGAAAATATTGTTAATCACTATCGATCATGTGTCCAAAAGAATAACAAGTTAAACACATTTCGATGATGTAAATTTGTGTATAGTCTACTCTTGCAATGCGATGATCATTAACTACAATATTTACTTGCACAAGACGCGTCAATGGGACTGTTGAGCTGTCGAGGCCCTTTTTAAACAAAGGATGGGCCCTGGTGCGGCTGAATCTTTTCAAACAAGGCATGAGTATATTCTACCGATGATAGGGATGGCATGGCCGTAATGCTACCGTGCATCTTGAAGACTGTATGAATGGCTAGAATTGTTAGTATATGATCGAAGATGGGCAAATCATTGGCTGCCTTTTATTGAAGCCGTTACAGAATTTTCATCTGTGAACGTGTTGCATCGGAAATGATAGAGGAAGAAAGGCTTGTTGCAATCAGTACCAGGGCTTCGATGGGTGACTTTGTCGATCACAAGTAGCAATGAGATGCTCTTATGTGGCGAGTGCTGTCTAGTGTATATATGAAATCTGAAATCTGCTCGTATTTGTCCTGGTACGTTGGATGTCGAGCCCAATGGTCCCTTGTTCGCGATGAATCAAGTTGACGTGGTGGGCGGCCATAGCGCACCTATCCTAGGTGGAAAAGCACACGTGGGGCGCTGCAGAATCAGACAGATCAGACGCAGTGACCATCGATGTCTGCAGTGCTATACATGTCTTCTCAAACCGGATGAGTCTCGTTGGAGAGAACTGCCCCAGCTCCTGGTTCTATACAATTTGCCGTGTCGGTTATGGACCATGATACATTCTGAAAGCTTTGGTCTCTGGGTGTACAATCATTCCAGCCTTTTGCTTCATATGTTGTAATAATCTGAGTAATTCCGAGCGCTGCGTGAAGCTTCTGCCATCTCTTTTGTTCAATTAGGAAGTGGGTCAACATCTTCGTAAATCTCTTTCACAGTGACGAAGGGAAATTTCTCCCGTATTCGCTTCCCTAGGTATTCTGATGCAGGTTGTTAGCTTAGCGAAACTCTTGTTTGATGGAGTGCGATGACATACCTATTCCCCATTGTTCTGCAACGCGGTGTCCTACGCATACGACTGTCATACCTAACTTTTTAGCCTCGTCAAGACCGGAATCACGAGGCTGGCCTGTTAGGTAGAGCACATGTTTGCCGGACTGCTGAGCTGTGGGTACCCACTGCTGCTCCTGGGCTATTTCATTGACACGCTGGACTTCGTCTGCATGGAAAGCATTCATGATTGCTATGACGTGTATCTCCTCGGACAGACCCTCCTGCGCGTGCTCTATAGCGCCGAACTCTCGCTCAATGCTGCGCAACAGAAGCCCCAGAATGGCCGATACACTACCGACTATTCCGATGGTGCGATCGGCGTCACCTTTGTAGCCCTGGACACAGACGCTCTCGGCGACATTGATACCCAGTCGGCTGGCCAACACTGTGTTCCACCCTACGGTAAGATACTCATCGAACGAAAGATGACTGGAGAGTACGAGGACGTCATCTCTGATCCATCGTCGTCTGAGATTGAAAGGGCGATGCAGGAAACAGATGGTGTTGTTTTGACGCTGTTCTTCTGGTCCCGGGCGTTTTCCGATCACGCCGGGGCGTCTAACGGCCCGAGGATCGCCTATTGCGTCATACACCTGCGCAGTGGCCGTAACGCTGAGAATAACTTGCTCGACTGGGGCACTGTCAAAATTATAGGAGGGATTACGCGGTACATGGTAGAGAAGAGAGACGTCCTTGGGTTTTGGTGGTAGATGGGACGAGAGGAAGCGTGTGAATTCGGCGTGAGTAGGCGTTCTCGCCATGGCTGGGTTGCCAGTCTAGGCTTTGGTAGGTCCCTCAGAGGCAGCAGTATAAATGTATACGAGTAGCAACGCGACAATGGTATCAAACAACGAGGTAGAAATAATGATGGAGGAAGTTAGACAGCTGTCGCGACGAAGACATTGACGCAATATATATTGATCAGCCCGGCCAGTTCCAAGGAAAGAAAAGGCAGAATGACCAGGTATGTTCCAACTTAGCAATGGAATAGATAGATACCATCAACTGGGAATGGAGGGATGAAGTTTCTAGACTTGTACTCCCGGTGTTAGGCCTGATTTGGCAGTGATGGGAATTGTGCTGCATGTCCCTTGGACCCTTTCGTATCTAAACCTGTCATTCGGCCGAATTATCCTGCCAGTGGCAACGTTGCGTTACTCGTCTGAGGTGGTTGTTGTCTTGTCCCCTATGGCGTTCGATTGGAAGGCCCAAGTGGACAAGTCTTGGTAGGGTCCGCGGATCGGTTCCGACTTGGTGGTAGTGGCATCACGTGATGCAGCTGAGGGAAAACAGGGTCCTCTACGCTTTCTCTTTCCATCCTGTCCTATCCTACTTGGGAGGAGGTTTCTAGAAACATCTCCACTTGCGCCTCTTCAACATATCCACAGAGTCATCATCACACTCAAAATCAAGATCAAGAACCCATTTATCAGTCTTTTTTTCTTTTTCTCTCTTTCTCCTGGGAATCTGCCTCATACCTCATACATACATTGCATCTGGGAACCTTGGCCACGACAGCCACGACAGCGTTTCACTGCAATTCCTTGGAAATCAGGTTTTCCGTTTCCCATTTCCAGCCCATTCGGTTGCTACAGTCTCATTCACCCCTTTAGTTCTACGCAATTCTAATCTGTTTTTTTTTATTGTTCATTCTGACTCGACGTCATCGTCTTACTTTGATGCTCAAGGAATACAATCACATAATTTGTGTCTAACCTATTGAATCTTGCAACGATTCCTATTCGCTGGCAGTCTTTCCCGAGCCATACAAGGTTCCATGGCTGTGGCATCTGGACCCATCATTCCGCGCGTTGTAGGCGCATTATCTTGCCAAGAGGATTCCTACCTGCAGAGGCTCAAGACGGAAGTGGTATCTTGCGTCGAATATCAGCCACCCGCAGAGACGTCGAAGCCGAAATCAAAGAAGTCCTCTAAAACCCCAAGCGAAACCAACTCTACGACTGCCAAAACTTACTTGATAGAGTTTGCCGATTCCGTTCTATTCCCAGAAGGCGGAGGTCAACCAACTGACCATGGCTCAATAACTCCCCTTTCCGGAAGTCCTCATGACACCATTCCCATCGCCAACCTACAGCGCCATGGCCTACGTTGTGTAGCATTCTCTCCGAAACCCCTGGATCCTGGCACCTCCGTCCAACAAGATGTCGACTTCAAGCGCCGATGGGATCTCATGCAGCAGCATACAGGCCAACATCTGTTATCCGCCATCATGGACACCATGGACCTTGAGACTCTGGGCTGGGGGATGGGTGCGGCTGGCGAGATGAACTATGTGGAGATCCCCAGGAAGCCCACAGACGAGGAACTCCGCTCAATCCAGAACCGATGCAACGAGGCCATTCGCGAGAACATGACCATCACCGTGGAAACGCCCGGAAATGTGAAAGCCGATAGTCTACCTGATGACTACGACAAAGACAAGGGCGTGGTGCGCTTCATCAAAATCGGTGATTTGGATTACAACGCCTGTTGCGGTACCCATTTGAAGCAGACCTCACATATCTCGTTAATCCTCCTGCACCACACCCAGCCAATACGAGGAACCAATTGTCGGCTGTTCTTCAGTTGTGGCGATCGAGCTATCAATCTTGCAGCAGAGTCTATCAATTCACTCCGGACCATTGGTGTCTCACTGTCATCCGGCTCCTCCCCCACCGAAGTACAGGGAACAGTACAGAGGTTACAGGAATCTTTGACCGACGCAAAAAGAAAGGAGAAGAAGCTTCTAGTCGAAGTTTCGAAATTTGAAGGTGATCGCATAAAGGCTGATCTGGCCGATGGCAAGCCAGGCTGGTGTCATCGACCCACAGACGGTCTTGACTTCCTGAACTCTGTCGTCATCGAGATCAGAGACGCGCTGGGGGAGAAAGGTGTTGCTATCTTGGTCTCTGGTCAGGAGAAAGAAGTAGGATCGATCATGGTCATCGGCGAAAGTTCTCTCGTAGAACAGAATGCGGCTAAAGTTAAGGAGATTGTCAGCTCCGTGAAAGGAGGTGGCAAAGGATCCAAGTGGCAGGGCAAGGTGACTGAATGGAAGAAGGGTGAGGTTGAAGCTTTACGAAAGGCAGTGCAGGGATAAAACCTTGCGTCTGTTTAACTCTCGATGGCGCATTGTTGGGACAAATGATTTGATTAACGATATAGACAAGAACTATAGATGATTTATATGTACAACGCTCCATCATGCATCCAACTACGGGTATCACAACATTATTGCCAATGTACAATATCCAACTCAGACCACCTGGACTCAACCCTTACGAGAAATTACTTCAGGAGGAACAAATGCGTACAAGAAAAGAAGGTGCCACGAGCTCATGAAGGGAGAAACGAAGCAATGCAATGCCGACATTGAATCAAACACTGTACACCTTCACCGAATTCACCAGCCAGTAGCTCTGTCGACTAGTCAGCATGGACCTTTACAACAATTACCATAAACTTACATCGGCAAACGACTGTGGCTGCGATGCCACATAGGCATTGCAGCTGGGATTGACCTGAGCACAAGAACTCGATCCCCAAACACTGCCAGCCCAATCTCCGCAAAACGTTATATCGAACACCTATGAGCACTCAATTAGCACAGCTGCCTCACCTCCCACCACGCTTTCACCTATCCTGAATCAAACATACCATGTGCATATCCCTAAACTTCCCACCAAAATCGCACCCCGCGAAGTTCGCCGTCGGCGTACCCCAAGTATTCGGATCCGGATTCCCACTCCTAATATTCGCCGGCACATTCTTCGCCGCAAAATACCACACCTTGATCCCGGAGCTCGTCCACAGCGCCGCATACACCCCACCGCCATTCGCATTAAACGCCGTACCATACGACGTCGCCGACGCAGACTCAACCCCACACCCCACAAACCCGCCATTCGCACCACAATCCGCATTCCCTATCCTCCGCCCACTCTCTCCACCGGCGCCTACGCTCGGCACGCACCCGGGCGACGTGTGCAATGTGACTTGGTTGTACGTGTTGAGGTTGACGCCCTCGAGGATGTCGAGTTCGCCCTGGTTGGGCCAGTTGGGGCCGACCATCCAGAAGGCGGGCCACGAGCCGCAGTTGCTGCCGGGAACGTGTGCGAAGTCGGCTATCACGAGGCCGGAGTTGTAGCCGGTTTTGCTCTGCAGGCGTACGCTGTTGCGGCCGGTGCCGGAGGGGTTGAGGACGCTGGTGTGGTCGACGCCCATGTAGACGGCGTTGTTTTGGGTCTTGATGAGCCCGAGGGATTGGGCTTGTGCTTGGTTGACGTAGTTGACGTAGCCGTCTGGGATTGATGTTAGCTGGAGAGTCAAAAGCTGCAATATTAAAAAGGCACTTACGAGTTGGATCCGCAATCTTTTCAACTCTATGTTAGTGAAAAGCACCTATCGTTTGATATGCTATACATACAGCCTGAACATCGAATTTACTCAACCAATTACTAGCATCATACGTATCAATCAGCCCAAACGCTGCAGCAGACACTGTCGTCGTATTTGTCACAGGCACGTTCGACGGGAAATACCCAGGTCCAGCCGGCAGGCCCTTCACGCCAATAATGAGGAGTGCCAACGAGGCAACAGGAACCCGTAGAAACATGATGAACGAAGTGAATAGCCGAATATGAAACAAAAACCGGGTAAAGGTAGTTACACAACTTCAACAAATCTGCACGACATGCGCCTCGTGGGTTCTTATACACATACACTCTATATCAACCACCTCCCTGGGCGAAAAACCCATAACCCTTCCATCCTCCCCTCAACTCTCCAACCCATGACAGGAGAACCCAACCTACCATCTCAAAACCATGTGTCGACCCTTTAGCGCGATGAAGGGCGTTTACGCACCATCGTCACCATTGGATGCTACGTTGAATTGCAAGGCTTGAGACTCGCGACGCACTAACTCTAACCCTCCCATCTACCAATCCAGTAACACATACACCGAAGGTCTATATTCCCTCGGAGGAAATCTAAGGCTGGCGCGGGAGATCACCCAAGCTAGGAAGGAAGTTGGCGGACCGTAGAGGGCTTGTTACATTTGAAGTGAGCGTGCGTTGGACGGATTTGACCTCCTGACGAAGTCTAGACAAATTGGAAAGGGTAGGATAGGGAGGATGTATATACATGCGAATGACCTTGAAGGGTAGGGGGACGTTAGCCTGGGACTAGTTGGCAGGGTGCGTGTGTGGTATAGAGATCTTGGAACGCATCCGAGGGGGTTGAGTGGTGCGATGACCCCTGCGTGGTTCATCAAACTATCATGGGTGGCCACGCTTGTGATGGGGGAGGAGCCGAGATGAGATTTTTTGGACGAAACGTGTCTATGTCCTGTGTAAAATGTGATGAGTGTAAAATTCTTCTGTTGGTGAAGTTCAAGTGGTGGCGAAGGGGACGCTCCTTTCATTATCGTGATAGACAAGACGATGTTGTTATTCGCTGTTCTATGTAAGAGATAAATCAAGTAAACCAGGCACTCGACTATAGAGCGATATTGATATAGGAAAATACAAATACAATTTCAAAGTCAGGAAGTACTACCCCCACATGCTCTAAACTTCAAAGACACTCTTTTCACATAGAGGGTTATACTCTCATATCCCAATCAACTACAATCTCAACACTCCTCAACAGCAACAACACCTTCAAACACCACATCGCGACCCAATATCCTCTCACCAGGCAAAGACGAGCCCAAAGACCATCTTGTGACAAATTATTCCAAATCACACACGCATAGTCCATTCAACAGCTTCAACCAACGTAACAGCGGCTAGTAATCCCTCATATCGCCCTACCTTGTTCCTCAAATACTACATCGCCCTACCTATCTACAACGTCAAGGCAACGTTAGCAGCCGCTTGTAACTATCTGACCGCGAACGCAAGGCTGACATGGGCGTGTGACTGCGCACCTAAGTCTCTTGGGATGAACTCGGGAGGTCTCTTGTATTCGTATGCGCTTCGGGCGGTTTGTTCATTTGGAGGGGAGATGTCAGGATTGTGTAGTTGGAGCATGTGAAAGGTACTATATTCGATGCATGGGTTGGATGGTACGCGCCGTGATATTGCCATAATTTCTAGAGCTTCGAAGTCTCGTGAGTTGATTTGACACGCTCAACGAAATCTTTTTGTGCGAAAGAATTGTAGCATCTTCTACTGACGTTGAACGTTTGTTGTTGTCGTTCTTATACATAAAGCTACTCATCCGGCGCCACAAGGGTCTCACAGCGGCTTTCGAATGGAAATATGCAGGGTTCATGCACGCCGTAAGACGATCGACCGTTTAATATCGCAGGATGCCCGAACTGCATCTTCAAACTCCGAGATCTGACGTAGACAGCAAGCAAACAGAATAAACATTAACCTACCTATAGACTTCAAATTTCACGAAACATTGAACCTTCTAGCTAGCACAAAAAGACCTTCCATCAATCAATCGCTATACCCAAGTACACCACAAAAGTATTCAATCCACAACTCACCACCACGACCAACCCAACGCCCCCAATGTCCTCCCTCCAACGCGTCTACGACGACTGCACCCGCACCCGCACCTCCCCCCTCCGCATCCACCACCCCCAACATCCCCCCATCACCTCGCCCGGAACCCTCGCCCCCAGACCCTCCGTCACGCAACCCCCCACCTTCTCCCTCTCCTCGTCCCTCGTCACCCCAGGGAAGAAATACCTCGTCGTCGCCGCCGACCCGGACGCGCCCTCCCCGCTATTCTCCACGCTGCTCAGCCCCATGCTGCATCTCATCCACGCGGGCCTCGAGCCGCACGGCGAGGCTGATGAGGACGGGTGGGTTGAGCTGAAGGCGACGGAGGAGGAGGAGGCTGCGGCGGTGGGGTGGTTGGCGCCGAATCCACCGGTTTTCTCGACGAAGCATCGGTATGTTTTTATGGTGTATGAGCACCCGGAGGGTCTAGGGAGTGGAGACGTGAGGGGGGTGTTGGGGTTGGAAGAGGAGGGAGAGGTGGGCAGGTGGGCGAGGGTGAGGTGGGATTTGGATGGTTGTGAGCGGAAGCTGGGGTTGGGAGAGGTGCTGGGGGGGAATTATTACTGTGTTGAGTGAAGGGAAGAGGATGGATGGGAGGAGATTTTGTAAAAAGTGTGGGTGGTGTCTATGGTTTCGTTAGTCGTAGAAGGGTTGATTTTGATTCTGGAGATCTGGTATCAAGACTCTATGCTGGCAGCAAAACGACCAACCTACTCCCTACTCTTTCCTTTCAATGCAGATTTGAAATCTATATGGCCGTGATAGACACCTACCACTTCTGAGCCAAAGCGATGCAGCTGAATCTCAAATCCCGTCCCCCAGCATCGCTATCCACCTTCATGATCCTCTTAATCCCCAACTCCAGCGCCCTGGGACTCAGCACATCCTCATCATCTCCCAGACTCCCCCTATCAATCGGCCCCTTCCTCGAGCCCTCAAGCTCCCACAGCCTGCCACGCTCTTTGATATAAGTAACGAAATGCTGCCCGCGATGCTCGGCCTCAGTTTCCGCCAGCGTGTCGCCGACCTGTTCTACCGACTTATGCGCCTTCTCGAACGGCACGCTGTCGTACAGCATCTGCGCCCGCTCCTCCATGTGCAGCGGAATCGCAGCCTCGCGGATGGCCGCAAGGTCCGAGCCAGGCGTGATGAAGTCGACGGCGGGGCCGTTGATCGCACTATGCAGCATACCGATCGAGCCGCATGCGTTACCTATTGTCTGTTTGAACCAGACCACGGGTTCGTCTGGGCCTACACCGGAGTAATCGCTCATCGTTGCGTCCTCCTTCTCGCGGTCCTGCGCCCAGGCCGGGGTGAGGGGAATGATGACGAGGAGGGCGAGGACAGGACGCGGGATGATGGCCAGGAGGTCCGGGTCGTCGAGAGAGTAGACGTCGTAGAATTCCAGGTCAGAGGATAGGCCGAGTTTGGTGGCGAGGCGGTTCATTACTTCGGGGTTGTTTTCTGGGGGGAGTTGTTAGTGAGTTGGTGAAACTGGAGGGTTTGGATGGGGGGGTTGATTGACGGACCGAGCATTATCCATTTCTTCTTGCCATCTGAGGTGACTGCTTGGGCGTCTGGTTGATGCTGTTCGGATGAACTCATGATGTGGGTTGTTGATGTTGACAGAAGGCTGTGAGAAGTTGAGATGTGCGACGGGCGATGAGAAGAATCTGGAGTCACAATTTGGGGTTTCTGTCTGACCAAGTCGAGAAGTGATGAGGCAACAATCAGAAGACTTTGAAGTATTGTATTGGATTTGTTTGATGATTATGATTGAGTTACTTTAAAGTAATGGTTGTTGTCCTAGTGAGGCAACAAGAACCCCGCAGTCCTCATAGGCAACCACGCCCTATAAGCCGTTGTCGTACACCCCTCCCTACGTCAACGCCTGTTGAACATCTTCGAACAGTTCGTTAGTTACCAGGTACCCCATATTATATGCCTGTAACCTGGACCCTGAATATCCACAGTCACAAACGTCCCAAACCGTCTCCACAAACAAGCAATGCCTAACCAAAACTCCACTGGCGCCGTGCCGTACGTATCCGAGCGCAAAGCTCGGTGCTCTATCCGACCGATAACACATCCCGAATCGGCAGCGTCTTGTAATACTCTAATTCCTGTCCACGTTGCGGGGTAACTAGATAGAAATAAGAAAAGATTCTGTCCTGTTGGAAGACTTTCCCACTGAGACGTTTGACATTATAAACACATTCTATTTCTTGTGCGCTAACGCTGACGGCATTCGTCTGATCTGTGAGTTTTCCACTGCGCCTCTGTAATTCAACATCCATTCTAACTCAATGCAGTAAACACCCCATCTCATCGCCTTCTATCATCATCATCATTGTTGGAACGGGAAGACTGAAAGACATAATTAAAGAGAAGAAAGAAAAAAGAACCCTTCCAATATCAACAAAACCACCACTACCATGGGAGGAACATACGACACCCCCTCCGTAGACGTCGACTTCGCCAAACACCCCACGGCCCAGAAGCTCCTGCAACGATGTCAAGACTTCTTCTCCGAGGTCGAGAACTTGTAAAACCCTCCTCCCTCCCCCATTTCCCTTTCCCCTTTTTACGCCCCATCAATCAAGTGAGAAGGAGAATTATCAACCAATCGAACCCATCCCCGCTGACTATGACCCAGAACCCCAGGGAAACCCCTAGAAACCTACCTCAACGCCAACTACGGCCCGGGAACCCCCATCTACGACGACCTGTGCGCGCTGACGCGCCAGGGCGTCGAGGAGGGCTGGGCCGCCAACATCGAGGTCGACGGCCGGCACTACCGGCGGTCCAAGGTCGCGGTGCCGAAGGAGGAGACGAGGTTCTTTAGCATCACGACGGTGTACATGGAAAGTGATGAGGTGTTTAAGGGTCAGTATCATAAGCATCCGTATGGCGAGATCAATTGCGTGGTGCAGATTGATGAGACGGCCGAGTTGATGGGCATGTCTGGGTGGCAGGGCGCCGGGTGGACGAGTCCTGGGGCGGGGACGCATCAGTGAGTGGTCGGATTCTGGAGAAGTTTTGCCCTACTGACAATGTACTTCCAGCTACCCTCAAGTCAGAGGTGGGGCACTTGTCGCCCTGTTTTTCTTGCCAGCAGGGAGGATTAGCTACGCAGCTCAACCCGAAGATCCACAGCCTGTATCTATCTGAAACTATCTTTCTTGCATCTAATTTTACGAAATACTGTGACCCAGGTGACTCAAGCGATACGTATGATGATTGACAATGCTCAGCTTCGGAGACTCTTCTATACGCGCAGGCATTAGGCACAGGTAGGTAAGGGATAATGTATGTGCAGTGTGATCGCATTCAGCATAACATGAAGGGGTCGGCAGAAAACTTGGAAGAACTAGGAAAATAGGGGTTTGTAATTGATTCCGACTCCCAATAACATCTACTACCAACACGCCACCTACAGAGCATGACTTTTCGCCACTACTTACGGACAGAAGCAGGCCCGGATAACGAAATGTGGGAACCAAAAGAAGATGTAATAACAGGCCCCCCCTCGCGGCCTCGACTCTGCAGGCGGCCCGTCCCGTCAGCGGGATCGACTTCTTTCAAGAGAGTGAGACCGGGAGCGAATGTCGTATCGCCCACTTGCACTTGAACTCCTAGACTCTAGACTTGGTCCGCTGCGGTAACTGCTGTCAGAGGTTTCACTACGTGCACGAGATGGTCTGATTGTGCTGCGGCGATGCTGAGCTCTTGGGCGATCGTTGGGATGGTCCAATGCAGATTCCGAACTAGAGGCGGAACGGTTGCCATCCAAACCATGTCTGTATACCCGAGGAGGTCTCGTAGGCTGAGAATGGGCAGAGCTTGCCGACGTGGTTGTGTAATGCGAAGAACTCAGAAAATGTGGCTGAGTAAAAGGCTTGTTGATGGGATGAATAGGAGGAAGGAAATCGGAGTCGTCAGTCCCATCCGTAGTACGTCGTGCTAAACCACTGTCAATTCCCAGATTAATCGAAGCCTAAACTCAGAGGAGAACTAACGTACTAGATTGCCTGGCTTCGGCGTTGTCTCCCACTGGAGTCTCAGGGCGTTGGTACCGGAGCTCTTGACCATCACCGTCAGCACCAGGGTTGGCAGTCTCGTACTCGAGTGCTTTGATGAGGCGGTAGAAAACGACTGCGAGAACTGCGCCGACCAGAGGTCCCACCCAGTAGATCCAGTGGTAACTATCGAAGGTTCCTAGAATGACATCCGGCCCGAGTGAACGAGCAGGGTTTAGTGAACCGCCAGTGAAGTAAACCCCTAGAAGAGTGAGCGGTGGCAAAGTACGGTTCGAGAGAAATGCTTACCAGCCAATTCTGCAATGAAGAGAGAGAGGCCAATTCCTACCGGGGCTAGGAACGTTGCTTTGTGCTTCTCGGCCGCGAGCATGAAAATGCAAAAGATAAGCTCGAAGGTCAGGAATACTTCGATGAACAAGCCACGAATTGTCGATGTGCCCTCGCTGAGCGTGGTCCGGACAGTCAGATCGCCAGGGAAGAGTGTTGATACGATTCCCGCGGCAGAAATGCCTGCAAGGAGTTGAGCAACGATGAGAAGTGCTGCTTTTACCCAACCCTGAGCTCCAACAAGCGCAAGTGCAACGCTCACCTGTATGATATTGAATTAGTACATCGATGATGACTTCGAATAATTTTGAAGGGCAGCGTACCGCAGGATTGAACAAGCCTCCACTGATTCGGAAAAAGATCCACACGTTCACAGCCAGCGAGAAGCCGAATGCGAGCGAGATATATAGTAACGTGGCTACGCTGGGCGGAGACCCTGCTTCTCCCGGAGGTGTGTTCGCAACCTGAGTACCAGCAAAAGCGAAGAAGAGGAACAGGAACGTTCCAACAAACTCGCCGAGCATCGAGATGATGATGTGACGGACTCTGTTCGGCAGCCATCCGACGCCTGGTAGTCGTTTCTCCCCTTGGTGTTTAGGGTCTGTGGTGTAGGCAGGCTTCATGCCGGGTAGAACCATGAAGCTCCGTGCAGGATTGTTGACATTGTTCATCCTCGCGAAGACGTAGTTGGCAGGTAGAAGTATACGGTGGGAGTTGATCGAACGACTTTGTTCTTAGACGAGCAAGATTTGAGAGGTTCGTCGAAAGATAAGGAAATGAGAATGTAGGACAAAAGTTCGTAGGACGTTAGGTATATGAATAGATAAACAATGAAGATTGAGGGAGAAAAGAACCAAAGGAGAGGACGGGCGTAGCGATAGATATATGGGCTCAGTACAGCGATCAAGTGGAAGGCACTGATGGCAATCGTGGGTAACGACGGTCATGAACACCCCCTTCCGCTGCAACATCAAATGGAGGTTCTGATGCAGTTGCGATGTGATAGACTTCGACGGGAATTTCTGATAGAAATGTAGATGGTCTACTAATCTCGGAAGTGGTAGGAATATATTCAGCGCATTCAAATGGGACAGAAGTGTACTTAACGCATCTCGAGGAATAGCAAGACAGAAATCACTCCCGAACAAAGACTATAACTTCAGTTTCTCCTACAGTATGGCCAATCTGCACCCATGCTGTTTTTGTTCTGAGAGCCGTACGTGCGCGCGTAGGTACCTTACCTCTGGGTGTGAATATCTGGATCACGTGACGGAGAGTCGACCATATTCCAGTCAGATCATAACAAAGAATACGAGTATAGGAAGAAGTCCTAAACGGATGAATCGAACGACAATCACGGACCATCTCAGGATGATACTATGAACCAGAAATTACATGGGAAGACAGCATGTACTTCCTGTTTCTCTGATTCCGCGAAGAGATAATGGTAAGACTTTGGTTCAGAAAAGAACGAGGTCCAAATCAGTGGTGGCATTTTACGCAAGGATATGATCCAAAGAAAATACTGTACAGCAAGGAAACTTCAGAGAAAAAAAGCTCTACCAACCTTGTCGGCATAGATGGATCTGAACAGGGTGAAAGTTTCCAAAATTAATGCATCACCTCCTACCTAATCGTTATGTGACGAAGTTGGTTGATAGGGAAGACTTAGTTTGGGCGGGCCAGCGGGGCGGACTCTCCTATCGAAGCGACTAATCCCAATCCGGATAATCACATCACATCACCGCATCACGATTCACCACTACAGGCACCATCATCATCATCAACACCACGCGCTCCCGCCCTTCACCACGACCACAACCACCTGGACTTTTCCCGTGAAGCTTGTTTCGGAATTCTTTTACGCCCTCCTGCATGTCCTACACTTCGCATCCATCCTTCCCTCGCCCATGTTCTGTTCCAGCCCGTCACCGGCGAAACAGCGACCGCTTCTGAGCCATTTGCACCCCTCCACTGTTACATCGCCCCCAAGTGACATTAAAGTGCCGCCAGTGATTTCTCTTCGCTCCAGCGACCAGTTTCTCGACCCTCGCGTGTACTCGAATGTTTGAACGAGCTTGAGTCTCCAGCATACTTGCTGCTCTCAGACTGCGAATAGTTCCGCTCTCATCTCGTCATTTTTCAGAATGCGCCCGATACGACTGTTTCTAACGCTTACCATAAGCTTTTTGACTCTCACACTGTTGCTATACACCAGTCTCAGTCCACAATACCCAGACGAACGCTACCATGCTCCTGCAGCCGCTTCGAATTCGAAGAAGCAGAGTAGGCTGAAGGCCCTCTTCTCCTTCACATCGCCTGCGTCGCTCTTCCCACCTTCTGCCATTATAAGCCTCACAGATGATAACTCGACATTCTTTCTCTCGCGCCCCGCCGCTTTTGGCCCTTTTCTCCCTTCGAAGGGGTTGAGCGGACCGCTTTGGATTGGGAGCGGCTTTGGCGACGAAGCCCTATCCCGCGGAGAACTGGGATGTAGCGACGTTCCCGGCTGGGAGGAGCGTGCGAGTGCAGCGAGACTCAACGTCGAAACCCTGTCTAGAAGTAGACCATCCTCGAACACCGAAGACCACAAGGACAATGATAGTGCACCGGTCAGGCGGGCACTAAGAGAGCATGCAGATATCCAGTCAATCCAAGAGAGCGCTGAGATTACTGGCAAGATTGTACTCCTAAAACGAGGTGGCTGCGGTTTTCTGGACAAGGTAAAATGGGCTCAGAGCCGAGGAGGCGTCGCCGTGGTTGTCGGAGATGATGTCCGTGGTGGACCTTTAATTCGAATGTACGCACATGGGGACAGCTCCAATATTACCATCCCCGCACTCTTCATAACGCACACTACGGCTCACCTGCTCTCGTCCCTGGTCCCTCCCTCTGGCTTTCTACGTTCACTTTCTGCCAGCAGCGCTACCCAGGTACAGCCTGCCAAGGATTCGAAATTGCCTGGAACTGCGCAAGAAAAACCTTTCGATACACAACCGCGTCGTAACAAAGGTGGAGCACGCTCCGGCAGCGCTGAGAAAGAGACAGACCAAACTGCCGACCTTGACAAGAAGGAGAAGTGGGCCTCTACCAGTTGGTTCGGCTCAGCTATGCGCTCTCTCAACCCTTGGAGCACGAGACGTGTGGAACGAAGCACAGTCAGTAAGGACTCAGCGTGGGTACCCGTTGAAGATTTTGATGTCGACACTGCTCCAGACTATGAAGGTGCCAAGTCTGCCACGCCATCTTCCGTGAGTCCTATACAAATAACAGACGATTACACCACTGGTGACCAGGACTGGCCTGATCTCGACCTCATACCTCAGAGAACATCTAGTGGCTTCATCCCACAAAGAAGCGGGCAAGTCCAGGGCGCTCGACCTGTTGAAGAGGTACCCGAAGCTCAACCAGATAGCCAGGAACCAGAAGACCCAGCACATCACGAGGGTCTCTGGGTTACTTTGACGCCAGCCAACGTTTCTTCCAGTCCGATATTTGATACTCTTCTTGTTCTGGTCGTGAGTCCCTTAGTCACGTTAACGGTTGTGTACGCCCTCCTACTACTAAGATCGCGGATACGCCGCCGACGCTGGAGGGCACCGAAGTCTGTGGTGGAACGTCTACCTGTTCGAACATATCACACCATTAGCGACACCCCTTCGCCATCCGCAAGTCCTGCGACGACCTCTCCAACAACACCTCTGTTGCAACGAACAGCCTCGCGGCCTAGCACTGCTGGTTCAAGAGCTCAGTCTCGTGCCGCGACCGAATCGCCTGCGTCATCATCTTCTGTCAATCAGAGCGAGGCGGTACCGGAGGAGGAGAAACGCGAAAGTGGCCTAGCTGAATGGCGTCGTCGCTATGTTGGCCGTCAAAGAGAGTGTGTTGTATGTTTAGAGGACTACGTGGACGGTGTCAGCCAAGTGATGAGCTTGCCGTGTGGCCATGAATTTCACGTAGAGTGCATGTGAGTACTCAATGTATATCCTATCATAGGATGTTAGCTGACCATTATTAGTACTCCTTGGCTTGTGACCCGCCGTCGAACATGCCCGATTTGTAAGGGCGATGTCGTCCGCTCGCTATCACAATCGTTCCGTGACCGAGCTCGTTTCCCATCCTTGCCGACGCGATCATCTCGACCTTTCCACGATGATCCTGGCTCTTTGCAAGCACAGGTTGCCGAGACTCACAACGACTCACCGTCCGCATCCCGGCCTGTGCCAATATCGTCTTCAGATCTCTACGACGACCCCGACGTAGAGGCAAATTGGGATGACGGTCCCGAAGTCGACGATGGTAGAGGCAGAGCTGGATCCAACAGTCCAGGCACAGGTTTTGATCTCAGTGGCTCTTTTCGCGAACTGAGTTCCACCGTGCAGACTACCATCTGGAGAGGCTTCGACGCCATTCGGTCTGCCACTGGTACTCAGAGACGGCAGAGTCATGACGACGTTGACCGAGATCGCTGAATGTAAATAATCATTCAGTTCATCTCGCATGGTTTTGGAGTTGGCGGGGGCATGGGAGGTTTTCTATGCCCAGGAATTAAGCATTTTGATGGGCAGCATTGGGGCAAACGGCGCTACGTAGAGATATCCACTGATGAAACGTAACTTAATTCATTTTATTTTCACGAGGACGCACTTGAGGCGGTCCGGGACCACTTGAACTCAATCTCCTTGAAATTCTCGGTACTGACCTTTTGCATTTTTTTTTTTAACTCCTCACCATTCAACTCCCCTTTTTTGCATGAAAAACGTCCTCCTCCCCAGAATGAAAAAAAAAAAGACTTCAACCCCTACTCCTCCTGCACCTTCTCCTCCCACATACACAATCCCCCGCAGTCCGCCCCTCCCCTCTTCGGATCACAATCATCCCTCGGATCATCCACGCAAACCTGCCCCTTCGTCCCACACGCAAACCCCGCAAATCCACCACACATCCTATCCTTCACACAGACCCCCAACCCATCACACTCGGGCCCACAGCCCGGCTTGTACGGATTCTTGATGCACGTCCACCCCTCCTCACACGTCCTGTAGTTCCCGCGTCCGCCGCCACACACCGGGTTCGCGCCAGTCGGCTGGGGCTTTGGCGTCGGCTTGGTGGAGTCGACGACGGCGAGGGCGGCGAGCGTGACGAACGAGGGTTGGGAAAGTGGAGGGCATTCTTGAAGCGTGGGGGCTTCGCCGCCGCATTTGGCGAAGCAGGCGGACTTGATGGAGTTCATGCAGTAGCAGGATTGCGGCCAGACCATGGGGCAGGCTTTGTTTTCACACTGGCAGGCTCCGGTGGGGGTTGGGGGCGTGGGTGTGGGGAGAGGGAGCGTTGGGGATGGGAGGGTGGGTGGTTGGACTGGGGCGGTGACGGGGGGTGGGATTGGGGAGTTAGTTGGAGGGGAGATGGGACACGGCTGGAGATTGAATCAGTATGCTGTTGAATGGAGGTATAATGGAGATGTGAAGGGGTGAGGTTGACGTACGAGGTAGAGGGGTTGGTAGTCTGGACACATTTCCTTGCACAATCTCTCACGAGTGTTCTTGCATCTGCAGAGAGTCTGGATATGGAGCATATCAGCAAGCAGTTCACGACGAGCAGTCGAAGGTGAATTGAATTTAGAAACTTACAGCAGCGTCCGTAGCAGGGCACTTGACCAACGGACATTGAGACTCGCACTTTGGCTTCGTCTGCGCAGAAACGAGCGCAAGTCCACCGAGAAACGATAGCAATACGAAGGACCGCATCTTCAATTCGTCTTTCTTCTTTCCGGGGGAGAGTGTGAGTGTGTATGTATGTAGGTATAAGTGCAACAAGAAAGTCAAATCTCCTTCCAACAACCTTTGCTTCTGTCAGGGGAGGGAAAGAACCAGTCGACACTTTATGTTCCGTCACTCATCGCCGTTGCATCGCGAGACATCGCTTTATATACACCAGTCACGCCAGCCCACACACATTCTTTACATCTCCTCAGAAAAATAGAGCCCGAATCCCAGACAACCCAACGTAACGCCAAGATACTTTAAAGTAGGTACAAATTATCTTGAATCACGTACCACCACCATAGCACCCCTACCTCTCTCGTATGTAGTACGTACCTACGATTTCCCTACATTCTGGGCCGTCGAAGAACCAATCCCTGCCCCACGCATGTGCCGAGGCGAGAGGGAAGAGGTGCGTGATGGGGAGATCATCGCTTGGCTGGAATCTTTTAAGTGCTACTGTTCTTGGAAGAGATTTCCCGGGTGGAGAGTTAGGTTCGTTGTGGGGAAGGGATGAATGGAAGGGAGGGAGGGAGACAAGGGGGAGGCTTTGAGGGCACGCACGAGGGAGAGCTGGGGTTGGAGAAAGGGTTATCTGATTTATGTTTCTAGCTGGGAGCTTAAAGGTTCCTTTCAATATTGGAACAGCGGAGTCTCTCTGGTCTCAAGTTCAATGTTTGATCTGCTATGTTCACGCTCAACCAGACGTTCCCAAAAACTGTCCTTCGTCATCGGCACACCTATCCAGACGAAATTGAAATTGGATCAAACCACCCTGGAATCAAGAAAACACGACCCGGAACTCTGCCGAAAGTCTCCAAGCCAGGCACAATTACATCCACCCAAAAATAGCACATACAAGCTTTCCCTTCCCCCAACGGTTCGTCCTTCCCACAATTACGCGAGGAATGGCGGCAGGCGGGGCAAGGTGCCAGGGGAAACAAGCATCAATCTCGTATCGAGCAAATCATTGTCCAACCCTTGGAGGACGCGGGGACCCTTGGTTTGGGAGGAAACTGTCTTGTGCCTGGATGAGAGGTGGCTAGGGGATATAAAGTTCCGCCAGGATGACTGACGTTGAACAATTTATTCATCCAGGGTGCACATGATTCGTTCACATGGTCAAATCCAGGCTTGAAGATACTTGAAGTATGGAGAAATTTAGCGTTGGTGGACATGGTATTATATGCCCCATCTGGTTTGAATTTCCCAATGACTGACCCCATTTAGTCTTATTCATAAAATTCTTGAAAATTATACGATATCACATCGTACCGCACAAACACGAAGAAATCAAAATCAATCATCTCGGTCCCTCGTTCCCTCGTCCTCAACGCCACTCTGTCCTCGCATTCGTTCGTATCTCACTGTGTGGTTAAAGTACCCAGCCCAGCCATGACGGCAAACCGGGTAATACTACATTGCGTGGTAAAAGCCAACTGCAGCCCATCTAAACCTAACAATCTAAAAACTAATAAATTCCCCGTGTTCAATTTCCTTCCAGAAATGCACAAGTCTTCGCCTTTTTCTTGTGTAATGGGGTTCTAGAAGGACGTCGTCATCTAGTCTTGGAAGCAAGACTTGGGAGGCTGAGGTTTTGGTCAGAGTACTTTATCGAGGCTTGATGGACTACGCAATGAGTGAAGTGTGTGACCACGAGATCGTGGTGATGCGGTAAGACAAGACGAGTCAGTTCACCAGCAATCTAAATTCCCACAATGCGGTCCAATCTTTTACAACAGTGAACTAAAGTCCACTCTATCGTACAAAACTTATGTCCCGGAATGTAGCAACTCCCCTCCTGGTCCCATGGCCAAATAACATTCCCCTCCCAACCACGTTTGGAACTCTAATTGTCTTTACCTTCTGCTTCCCGCCTCGTGCATGGTCAGTCTTCATTCCTCGGCTGCTAATCTTATCCATCCCTCGAGGGGACTAATTGACTGACATTGCATCTCCCGCCACGCGCTGCCACCCCCCAGAACCGGGGAGGAGAAGATCATCCCTTCTCGGATAGGCGTGTCTGAGTGTTCGGCAGATAACTGATGTCTAAATCAATTTCTTTCTGATTTTCTTTTTCTCTTTGAAGAGTACTTGTCACACCCTTCCAAGATATGGTATGGTGAAGAACGATGCTATGGTGAAGTACGTAGTGCACGATCGTGTATACAGCCTCAACGGTCAGAAGTCAAATAGCTTTCACACAACACCACGAAACATCCGTTCATTCTCTACCTTTCAACTTCCTCTGAACCCCCATAAATTGCCCTGGTTGCGTGTCGTCCATCTCTCCGATCGACGCCCCGGTTCCAATCCCCTGCCTTCTCTATACTCGGATATAAGTCTTTTCACAAGTTATACCTACCCCATAGGAGCACAACACCCTAGCCTCCCTCTCCCCCATTCAGCATTGTTCTGTATGAACCCGTCTACTCTTGTCTACCGGGAATAACCCCCTGCTATGTCGTTGGATATCAGAACCATGCTCGATTGACATACCCGCCGGCAACGCACGCTCGCACGTACACTACGCATGGGTGTATACACAGTACGCCTGTGGAGCGTTTTAATTGTTTATTTCGTATTTTTGTTTTACCACGGTGGATAAGGTAGGACTTTTGCGTTTTTATCATTGACTGCTTTCGTTGTAGTGGAGACATGCTCGAAGGGGTTGTGAGCAAGGGGATACGCTATGAAGGCCGAAAGGGCGAGGAAAAGGAATTGGAAAAGAGACGAGCGAACAATGACCGAGGGCACTGAAGAAGTCCGTGTCGAGTATGAGGAAGGGTCACGTTTGGGTTGGAACATTGGGGAGGTGGGTTGGATTTGTGGGTTCATATCAAGAACTGTAGGTGTAGTAGGAATCAACTGTACTAGCTATTCAATAGAATAGAACAATATACCAGCGAAATAGGAATGTCAAAGTTAAAAGTTGAAGGGTCCGACTTGAGTATATTTCCCAACGACGAAGAAAGCCCCTGGATTAACTACTCTTTGTAAGAAAAGGTGAACACGTCCCCATACAAGACCTCAACCAGACATGATCGTGAGAAACGCCAAAAAGAAAAACCAACCAACCAACCCCACGAAATGCTGCTGGGGACTTCCTGAAATCCAAGATGCCGTGCGTGCACGCTGCTATTCCACTTCACATGTACCCAACCCTATACCAACTCCGTGGATGAAATGAGCAAAAGAAACAATGATAAAAGAAGTGACCCCTGAGAAATGTATTCGTCGTCTTTTGCTCATTACTCCTCCATCTTATCCCCACCCCCAACCAAACCCGCATTCCCATCTCCCAGATGCTTCAACAGCCACCCACGCTTAAAATACGTATTCGGATGCACAATCGTATCCAAGTCCGCCGCACTCCACGACCCATCGTCCTTGACCTTCTTGATCTCCTTCTTGTGAGCCCAGTCGAACACGCGGTTACACGCTACGTGGTACCTCTGCTTCCCGACGTCCTCCCTAACCGTCTTGAGCAAATCGCGGTCATTGACGCCCGTGTTCTGCAGCATCGCGAGCAGATTGTCTGGCGCGAAGGTTCTGTAAGGACACCCGTGGCTCTGTCCGGGCCCGGGGAGCGGCTCGGTGAGGATTTTCTGGCAGGAGTAGGGGGTGTAGCCTCGGCCGCGACGATTGGCGTCGCCGCCGACGTCGCCGTAGACGTGGCGGATGTTGTATTTGTATTCTTTGGTAAACTTCTCGTCCGTGATGAGTTTGAAGGAGCGGCGCCAGAAGAGGAGGCACTCTTCGAGGCTGAGGCCGATGCCTTTGAGGAAGAGGGAGTATTGAAGGCGGCCGTAGTGCTTGAGGTGGGAGTCCCGGCGGAGGGCTTGGTGGAGGTTCTGCATGCAGAGGGGGAAGTGTTGGGAGAGTGTGTCGATGGATGCGGCGGTTGGGGCGGAGAGGCCGTCGATGTTGGCGTCGGAGGATGAGTATGCGGCGTCTGGGGTTGCGAATGATTGTGAGAGGTGGGCGAGTATGGGAGCGAGGCGGTCGTCTTCATCGAGTCGTGGGAGCGCGCGAGCAGTCAACTATCGTAAAGTCAGCAAAGATCCATACACATAAACAGCACCAAAACCACATACCTCAAGCGCATCATCCAACCTCCGCGTGAACTCCGCAACCACCAAACTCATCTGCTCCCTCTGCGGCACGAACGCCATCCCCCTCTTCAACAACACCCTCCTCTGCTCCACCAGCTCCGGCACCCTCTCCCAATCAACCTTAAACCACTCCTGCACCTCCCCCTTCCTCGCCCCGCTCGCAGCCGCCATCTCCTCCTTAAACTCCCTCTTTTCCTCCTCCGTTACCTCCTCCCAATCCAGCTTCAATCCCTCCACAAATCTCTTCCTCTCATCCAAATCGTCATTCCTGAATCTCAACCTAAACAGCATTGTCTCCAGCCTCGCAAACCGCCGCCGAAGGTCCTCGGTCGACGAGAACGCGAGACGCAGTATGAAGTGCGAGTAATGATCTTTCCTCCGCTCGTCCTGCAGGTTCTGGCTCCGCGACGAGTTGGAGCGGAGCGGGAGGTATTTCGCCAGGATGCCCGTCATGTGTTCGGCCGTCTCTTCCGGGTTGCGGTTGCGGAAACTGCATGCTTCGAGTTCGGAGAGGACTGTGACAATCCCATGTTAGCATTGCGTTCTTCTTCCCGTCTTGTGGAAAACGAACCTTTGAGCCGGTCGATCGCCCACGTCTCGAATTCATCGAGGGTGATCTCTGCGGTGGGAGGGATCCCGTAGTAATTGAGCCGGTGCTCGTAGGTCTGCTGCTGGAACTCGGCCTTTGCGAATTGGCGCTTCTTGTAGTCGATGTTGGCTCGCCGTTTGGGGTCGACTCGTGAGTAGTCGTGGCGGATCATTTTGTCGGTGGAGGATCGGTTCGTGGGGATTGGGTATATGCTACGGCTCCTGATACTCGTGGTGGAATTATTTGATGTATGCGTGTTTACACCTCTGTAGACCGCAACGATAATTTGCTTGTTGTCTGTTGCGGGACGTTACGTTTTGCGAGCAGACGGGCGACGGACTCGGTTTCGCGCGTAAAGTGGTAGTGGGACGCGAAGACGCGTCTGGCGCTGGGGCCACGCGACGACGCGCTCGGGTGTGTGTGCACGTTTCTTGATGATGGGACTACCCCTCGCTCTGTTTCACGGCTTTTGTCATTGGCTGATGGGTTGTTACATGATTCAGGTACACGGTTGGAGTGTTAATTGGTCAATTGGTTTGCTTTAGTTATGTGCTCTGTCTGAAGAGACGTTGTGAAATAGTTGGTGCTGGGGTTCTGGTAACTGGGTGATGGTCTATTCGCTCATGTATCTATTTCATGCCATGCCATGCCTGTCTGTACAACGAGTCTAGTGGTCTCTAGATCTAACCGCCTGGCTGTATCATCTATACGTTCCTCATCCCTTCAAACCAGCAGATCCCCCAAAGCATCAACATACGCCATGGGCACCGTCTTCGCGCCCTCGGCCAAAAACTCCTCCTTCTTATTCACGCCCGTCAGCACCGCCAGCGTACCGCCCAACTTCCCATCGATGCCAAACTGAATATCCGTGTTCAATCGATCACCCACCATGCACGTCCTACTCCTATCAAACTTGAACTTCCCCTCCACCGCATCCATCATCGCCTGACTCGGCTTGCCCAGCGACAACGGCTCCCTCCCCACCGCCTTCACCAGCCCCGCGCCAGACGATCCCGCACCGGGGAACAGCGACCCCGCCATCGGGAGCGTGCTGTCGATGTTCGTGGCGAGGAAGATGGCACCCCGCTGCACGTACTGCAGCGCCGTCGCCATCTTCAGGTAGTTCATGTGGAAGTCGAGTCCGCTCAGCACGACGCCGACGTCGGGGTCCAGCGCGGAACCGTCGCCCAGCTTCACGAAGTCCTCCGGCTCGATGTCGCGTCGGAAAGCGGGGTCTGTGCCGCCGATGTGAGGCACGCCTTCTGCGTCGAGTTCTTGCTCGACGCCCGATTCGCCGAGCACGAAGACTTTGTTCTTCGGGGAGGGGAGCTGCAGGATGCGTTTGATGTAGACGGCGGCGCTGTATGAGGATCCGAATACCTCGTCCTATCCTCCTATCAGCCACCACCCATCCCTTCACCAAACTACCCAACCACCAGGGGGGAAGGGGAGTAACGTACAACTTCAGCAGGTATACCCAACTTATCAAACTTCTTTTTGTAGTCCGCGCGCGACTTTGTGCTGTTGTTCGTCACGAAAACCAATTGTTTCCCTGTCCATCCCCCAATCGTCAGTCCTTTTCTCCAACACCACAGGAAGAGAAAGGGGAATCCTTACCTCTCGCCTTCAACATCTTAATCGTCTCCGGTACGTTCGGAAACAAGTGATCGCCCGACCATAGCACGCCTATCCTTCCCCACTCTCGAATCAGCAATCTTATCCCTTCTCAATCCCTCCGCTCTCCCCCTCCGTCTCATATCTCCCCATGCTTCGGCATCGCAACGAATGAATACTTCTGGGAAGGAAGCGCTGGCGCGCGCGGCAGTGTACTGACCATCACAATCGAACAAGAAGACCTAACCACCCCCATCCTACATTAGCAATGCGAATGCGACGCATTGGGGGGATTAGGAGCAGACTTACATCGAAGCGATCTATGAACTCCTCAATGGCGGCTTTGTCGCCGCTTAGGTACTGTGGTGCCATCTTTCGTATCCCTTCTACACTCAACTGTACTTCTATGAACAGGAGGAGTCGTTGTCGTGGTGGTGGTGGTGGTGGGGGGAAAATGCGGTTGTCGGGATTGGTGTCGGGGTTTGAAAAAGATAAATATGATGAGAGAGGGGGGGGTTAGGATGCGGGACTTAACTAAGGGTCCAGATGGTGGGGTGCTTGGCGGGAATAGGATGATGGTTCCTGGGGCGGCGGTTTTGGAGGTCGGGGTGAAGGCCGATGTGGGGGTGAGTTGTCCGTCCATCACTTACTTGCGCAAATCAGGTAGTTAGATACATATGCATCACTTGGGGATAACTTCAGGAGAGGATTTGGCAAGACATCATCAGTATCGTGGTTCTCATTTCTCGACTAAGCTAGCTAGCTATTGTATGAAAATATACAAGTAGATTTTTACCAGGGTCGATCGGGAGTATAATTGTGTAGGTACCTAATAAATATGCACATTACAATTTCGCCGGTTCGAGTCAATCGACGACGATCTTCTTCTCCAGCTCCTCGAAATTCTCGTAGAAGCTCTCGAAGAGGTTGACGGCGTGCTCGACGTCGTGGGCGCCGCCCGTCTCGCGGATGCTGTGCATGCTGAGCTGGGGGTTTCCGAGATCGAGGGTGCGTGCGCCCAGGGCCGCTGAGAGCATTGGTCCGATGGTGCTACCACAGGACGAATCGTTGCGGACTACGAAGAGCTGGAGGGGGACGCCCTCTTTGGATGATGAGGTGCTTGATGAGGCTTTCTTCGCGCGGCGGGCTGCCTCTTGAAGGAGGATTATACCGGGGGAGTTGGTGGCGTAGCGGGCGTTGGCGTTGATCTTGATGACGGTTCCCTTGTTCATTTCGGGCCTGTGTTGGGACTCGTATTTGGCTGGGTAGTTGGGGTGCACCGAGTGTGCCATGTCGGCGGAGACTAGGAAGGATGTCGAAAGCGTCTGCTCGTATGCGGTAGCTAGGTCGTCGAGCTTGTCATACGACTTGTCAGAATTCGACTCGGAAGCCGGCAGGACGGAGAGTCGACGGAGCACAGCGGGCAATAGGTTGGAATCGGCTCCCTGGGCCGTTCTGCTGCCAATCTCTTCGTGATCGAAGCAAGCAACCAGACGGATGGTAGAGTCGTTCTCGAGCGCCGATGCCGAGGAGAGACTCTTGATCAAACCCTCCACACTGCAGTACGTCATCATCAGGTTATCCAGGCGCGGAGAGAAGATGAGCTCGTTATTCAATCCACCAATGACCGACTTTTGCGTATCGTAGAGGACCAGTTCGAAATCGACGATGTCGGCAGGCTCGACACCTGCTTCCTGAGCTACAATCTCGACAAGATAAGGGTGGTGCCTCTGAGTAGGCGTAGCTAGGGGCTCGAAAGCGCCATTCTTCACCTCCTCTTCCTTGGTTTCCTCCGTCTTTCCTTGCCTGTTGAGCTCGGCGGCGGCCAAGCCTGCAATCGGGAACAGCTGGGTCTCCTTGTTGAACGAGAAATTCTCTTGACGATCAAGATGAATGGCCAATGTTGGTATGCGCAAGATAGGTCTCTCCACCTTGACCAGGCGCTGCTCGATGTTGTCATTCTTAGCCTTGACCATGACGCGACCAGCGACACTGAGATCTCGGTCGAACCAAGTGTGCCAGATTCCACCTCCATATGTCTCGACGGCAACTTGCAAGAATCCGTCACCCTGGCGCTTGGATACGGGCTTGATGCGGAGGCATGGCGAGTCTGTGTGGGCGCCGATCATGCTGATCGGGTTTCCGGCCTTCCATTTCTTGCCGATGGCGAACGCGACTATGGAGGAACCGTTTCGTGTGAGGTAGTATTTTCCTCCGGGCTGGAGGGAAGATGCCCACGAGTCACGTTCCTATAGAGAGTATGTATGAGCATGTTGTGTTTACAATATGTAGCACAGACGGTATGCGGCGGACGGGATATGACGAATACGAACTTTGATGTATTTGAAGCCGGCATTCTCTAATCGTTCTTTGGCGGACTTGACGGCATGGAAGGCTATGGACATATAATTTAGTCAAGAATTCCTAGTGTATGTACACGTATGTAGAAGGAGACAAGACTACGGAACTTACGAGTGGGGGAAGCATTGACAAAGGACAGAAAGTCCTCTGCGCTCTCAAGTGAAGGCTTTACCGACATTGTGCGTAGAGACGATGACAGGGTGAGAGAAACGCCGCCAGAAGTGAAGTGGTTCGAAGTGGATCTTAAATGTAGAAGTGAAGCTCGAATGGGCGGGGCGGTGAGCATGGGAGTGGATGTGAATGTCTGGGAGTGAGGGGAATGCGGTCACAGATATGTAGAAGGTGTAGACCATACGAGCTGTCTGTGGTGGTTGCAGGAGGGAACATTTGATTGGATGAGATGGATTTGGCGGGGCGGTCATCTCCAGCGGTTGGCAGCGGAGGAAGGCCAACCCTGTCAAGTCGCGATATATGTACGGAGTACTGTACGAGTTGAAAGCCTTGTCTTGTGCCCATCTGTAGAGAGGTGAGAAGGGCGAGTTTATATTATCCTACAGTAGATTTGATTAATCGAAAGTGATCGCCTCACTCGTGAACATCATTGTCTCACTTGAGCCTCGGCATTGTCGAGGTAGATAACAAGTTACGCCTACCACTGAATTGCAGCAGAGATGAAGAGCAGCATTCTCGGAGTTACGATAGGTACAAGTACCTATAACTAAGTCACTGCTGCTTGTACGAAATCCAAACTCTCTCTGTATATATACATGTATCAAGTATCTAGGTACTATTTAGACTTTTGAATATTCTTGCAGTACCATGGGTAAGTACGACGACACTTATCTTGGGCCTGCGTGTACTCATCCGGGTTGTCCAAGTAGATTTGCCTTCCGATGGCACTGTAACAGTATGCAGTAAGCATCTTACTTACTCTTCAGCCTCATCTCTATTTACCCAGTTGATATGCTGTCGATCATATCGTGTTGCATCACCGTTTACACGAGGCCAATTTTCTAGCCAGAATTTCGAATGCTACATATGGTGATGCAGGGGAAGGGCATTCACCGATGAACCACGCCGGTCAAACATATGTCCGTTCATCAATCCTACCCAAGATCCTTTCTACTTTCGCCACTTTACATATGCATATGATCAGTTGACGAACAGCTCCAACTTTGCCTTTCTCTTCTCTTGTCTTGACCAGGTGCGATCTACTCCGTACACAACCTTGGTATGGGAAGGGCACCTGCAACGAGGTACCGACCCTACTGATGGGAAGCCAATGAGAGGCGTTTTGAGGAGCTATTCGAATGCGGCAGCGACGAGGGGCTGAAACAGTTGCGGCGCTACGATTGGCTGACAGCGACCGTTGTCGCGTTGGGGGGAAAGAGGTCAAGACTGGAGTGGACCTGGACTGGGGTGAGAAGGAGCAGAGGAGGAAGGAGCCATTGGCTGGAGGTTGCAGGTGGAAGGAACGTCCGGTCTCCTTCGAAAAATCAAAACAACACGCATTGGGGGACGCGATTCTCTGAGACTGTGAGCTATCATCGCATCAACCCAACCTATCCACATTATACAGTACAAACAGTAACAACAACACGATAATATCTAATAACAATAACCTCCTCCTCTTCTCTTCTCTTCTCTTCCCATCCCTTCCTCATCCCTCTCATCTCATTTCCTCTCATTTCATCGCTGTTGTGTCAAGGAAGGGCTCGCTCGAGCAAGCCACCCTCACAGCGTCTTTGTCCTTTCTTTCTCTCCCTCTCCTTACCTCTCCTTATCCAGTACATACTACGAGTACAAACTACATACAAAGTAAAGCTTTGTTGCTTCTATTCTCGTAGCAACCGTCACGTTTAGCGTGCGCGCGGAGCTCACATTTGGCCGCTCCCGTCCCGTCCCCTCCAAGGTCTTACTACAGTACGAGGGTAGAGGGCAGCCATCCCATCCCTATTGTGTCTCCCATCCCGTCCTAAGCCAACACCAAAACAACAAGCCCGCCCGGCAACCACCCACCTACACTGTACACACCGCATCATCCCTCCTCGCGCACTGTTTCCCTCCCTACATCGTTCCCCTCCGATACTTCTTGCGATGCGCCACGCCTGCCATTGACTCACTATCCCGACTTTCACAACCGTTGCGCGACACGGATTCCTTTATTCGCCAGAGGTAGAGACCGCGAACTGGCCAAAGGGGGGAACTCAGGACTTGGCTTCACTCTCACCGTCACCATCGTCAACATCATCATCACCACCACCACCACCACCACGACGGAGTACTCGATCACGCCATCGCCCTTCACCGCCATCAACACCACTGCCACCTTCACTTACTGGCTTCCATTCTTTCAACCGCTATATATAGTGATAGCACTGTCGCGCCGCCGCCCTGGCAACGATCTGCCTAACCCAAACACCCCACTCGCACTCTTCGATAGATAGACACGTCGCGACCCTACAGCCTGCTAACATTGGAATACTCTAGTTCACGCGACTCTGAGCCATGGCTGAGGAACCGGCGGCAACCGCCGTTCCAACGATGGAAAAGGCGGTTGAGGAAGCTGCAACTCCTCCGCTCATATCCCCTCCCGAATCCAAGACGCCACCTACAGCTTCACATAAGCGCAACCAACTCGACGTTGCGCTGGGTGCGCGTGATGGAAATTCCGAACCCGTGGATCCTACGGCTTTGTCCCGCGCCCTGGAACACTTCGAGCAGGCTGGAAAGGTTAGAGAGCGAACACCAACCGCCAGCCCAAGCAGAAAGCGCCAAAGGATCTATGGAGACAGGTAAGTTGAAGATTTGACATCCTATCGAAATCCACTACAGTCGTTCTAACCCCACTCCACCAGATTCATCCCGAACCGATCAGGACAGGATCTCCAAGCAAGTTTCTCCCTTCTTCATGAAGATGGATCGCCAGCAACCCCTTCACGATCAGCGCGCCGGTCAGCCTACAACGAGTTGAATTTCCAGAAAAGTAAGTCCATTTCTCAAGCGCTCACGCGGGGTACCTGCGTTTGCAATCTACTCAGAAGACTAACATGCGCGCAGCTGAGGAAGCAAACCGAACTTATTCTGCAGTTCTTAGGCAGGAGATGTTTGAATCAACTGTCCCACAAGCGCTGGCCCAGAACTTATCGCCATCCGACAGTGCCAATCTCCGGAATTCTGGACGTTCTCATACACCACCTGCGCGGACCACCGCCACTCTCCCCGCTCCCGAACTCACACCATCAACCCCTCACAAAAACCTCTTCTCGTATCAATCCTCACGTCACAATTCAGGGCAGCCTACCCCGTCAAGAACGCCGCAAAGCCGACATACCATCAATCTCAACACCCGGTCCGAAATCTATAGTCTCTCGCCTGTGAAGTATAGCAGCCAACGGATGTTGTTGAGTCCCCAAAAGACCCCGCGCGCCGTGGCCAAAGTCCCGTATAAGGTCCTCGACGCCCCCGATCTTGCAGACGATTTCTATCTTAACCTAGTGGACTGGGGCAGCCAAGGTACTCTAGGCGTCGGTTTGGGATCGTGCGTCTACATGTGGAACTCGAACTCGGGCCGTGTCACCAAGCTTTGTGAGCTGCAAGACGACACGGTCACGAGTGTGAACTGGATCCAAAGAGTGAGTCACCTTGCATATGACTGCGAGCAATGCTAATTTATACTTCCAAGGGATCGCATATTGCCATCGGCACCAATAGAGGGTTCGTGCAGATCTGGGATGCACAGACGCAGCGTCGGCTACGAACCATGACGGGCCATACTGGCCGAGTCGGAGCCCTTGCATGGAACGAACACATCCTCACTTCCGGGTCAAGGGATCGACTCATCTATCACCGAGACGTGCGACAGCCCGAGCAATGGCTGCAGAAACTAGTCGGCCATAAGCAGGAAGTCTGTGGCTTGAAGTGGAACAGTGCGGACGGTCAACTAGCCAGCGGCGGCAACGACAACAAGCTCATGGTCTGGGAGAAACTCAATTCTGAACCCACCTTCAAGTGGAGCGAACACCAGGCCGCCGTAAAAGCCATCGCCTGGAGTCCGCATCAACGTGGCCTTCTCGCTAGCGGTGGTGGAACGGCAGACCGAACAATCAAGTTCTGGAACACGATGATATCCCCAGATGGGCCTTCGGCTTCCTCGCTTGCCTTATCGGCAGCCTCTGCTTCTGTCTCGGGTGCAGGCAGTGTGCCGACATCTCCTACTACTCCGGCTAACTTGATCAACAGCCTGGACACAGGTAGCCAAGTGTGCAACCTTGCCTGGTCGCGGAATAGTAACGAGATAGTGTCGACGCATGGATACAGCCAAAACCAGATCATTGTCTGGAAATATCCCAGCATGCGTCAGGTCGTTTCTCTCACCGGCCACACCTATCGTGTTCTCTACCTAGCAATGAGCCCCGACGGCCAAGTCATTGTTACCGGTGCGGGAGACGAGACCTTGCGGTTCTGGCAGGCCTTTAAGAAAAAGGAAAAGTCCGGCAGTCTTGCCAACATGGATACCTGGGGCAGCATTCGGTAAATCACACTTCGAATGCACCCATGCGACTGGATACATCTGGACACAATCCGCCAACGCCAACCGAAGGGACGCAGTCGTCTCCTTGTATTATTATATCTATATGCTCGACCATCTCACGCCCCAAATAGTGCATTATGCGGAGTCTTTTGGACATCAGGGGTTACGACCACCACCATTGGGTTATTTCATATTTCCAGGCATGCTTTTATCATGGATCGGTGTTCATGGCGTCAAATCAGTTCTTGGAAGATCTGAGATACCAAATGCTTTTCTGCTTTTCTTTGGACATCAACTGCATCACGAGCATCTGCATAGTGGGGGACCGGGACTCAAGGCGTTTGATTTTCTTTTTCCAATGATCTAAATGATCTTATGTATATACCCGCCATTATGACTTAGGGGATTTGGGCCACAATAATCCTGCCCAGTTTTTGAGGATGATCTCCTGGGTAGGTAGTGAGGATTGTCCCGGCATGGCGTGCGGGAGCGAATTGGAAAACCCTAGTAGCAATTGATGATATCTTGCTCACAAACTTGGTTATGTAGCAAATTCCCTCACACTAAGTCGTGATGTCCATTCACACAACCAGGAACAAGTAGTGGTAAAATGCCAAGCAACCTCACCATTGACAGTCCAGAGCAGCATCCATTACGCTTGCTAACGATCTGCCCATCGTTTTTGTGATCGCGCTATGACGACGGCCTGCCTTTGAGCCATTACTGGTTTAAGGCGCAGGAAATAAACATGCCGCGTGTGTGTGTGGATGACGAGTGTGGACAGCAGGCGTTCACGGTGGACTCCGCTCCTGCAGGGACGTCTTCTCTCCTGCACAATGCCATTTCGAAAACCCCACACTTCCCTGTTCGTAGCGGAGACTTATGCCAGATGGAAGCATGTCGTCGATGTCAGCAGGTCTGGCCAGCCTGTCGCTGGCTTATTCACATGTATCTAGCGGTGCCTACCGTCGGAACCAGCACATCTCACCACGCTCCGCACCAATGACGGAGCTCCATCCGAGCTGCGTACAATGACGATGCTCGTCGCAACTCTATTGATCGATCAACTCCACATTTACGACGTCCGCTGCACGGTCAAGGTCGGCGCCAATCGCAATGGCGTTGCTATGTTAAATCAGGGGCTGCCTGTATCTCGGAAGGGTACATCCCATCTCAAATCCTCTCTTCGTTTCGTCTTTCCTCTTTTCGCAACATCTGATTCTGGCGTAATTACGGCGTCGTCGCCATGGGGGAGCAACATGAAAGGACCGAACCAACTGCCCGTAAACGCGCTCTTGTGAGCTGCGACCGATGTAAAACCAGGCGAGCGCGATGCATCCGCCCGAGTCCTGACCAGCCTTGTTCGGATTGTATGAACAATGGCTTGCAATGCGAATCCAAACTCCCTCGCAAGCAGCGAGTGTATGGGAGCGTGGAAACACTTAGTCTGCGCTTTAGAGCGCTCGAGTCGTTAGTAAAAGGGTTGTTCCCTGATGAGAACACCCAAGATACAAATACGCTGTTCAAGATCGCGGCGTCGAGAAATCTTTCCATGCCCGCTGCGAACGACTACAGTCCCGCCGAGATCTTCAAGGGAACCAAAAGGCACATGCCTTCTCTCCAAACCTCCACCTCTGACTCGTCTAACTCCGATGCTGCGTACCAACCCACTGCATTCCCAAGTCGGATTCCCGCTTTGGACAATACATCTTCTGCGCAGCCAGTCGAGAGATTGATCCCCACCTCCAATGGCATCCCGCATTACTTTGGCCCCTCTAGTAGCTTCTCACTTGCAAACACCGTTCGAAACCTGGTGGCTCGGTGTAATTCTACTTCGGCGGGACGATCCTGTCTTCGACAGTCCAGATCGTCGCGACCTTCAGATACCCTAGATCCACAGGCCGCGGTGAGTGCGGTATCATCAGTATCTTCTAAGAGTCCCGGCCTCCCTCGTCCAGACCAGACCATTCTTCCAAAGTCCGAGAGCAACACTCCCGTCAGCGATTCTGGGCGCCACAAGCGACCTCGTAGAGACAATGACATCCTCACGGACGGAACGTCCAACGAGGCGGAAATCTACGAAACCATTGGCGCCTTCCTGCCCTCAAGATCTGTAGCAGACGCCCTCGTCGCCGCGTACTTCGAGCACATCCACATGATTTTCCCGCTGTTCTACCGGAGCATATTCCAGCACCGCTACGAAGAAACATGGACGCGGAAGGACTCCATTCTGCACGACGACGAGGAGACGGGATGGCTATGCTGTCTATCACTAGTGTTCGCCTTCGGGGCCCAGGCGTTGGAGAAGCACGATCCCGTGGAGGCTGCGGCGTTGCAGAAAAAGTACTTGCGGTTCGTGCGGTCGTACTTCCGGCGTCTGGTGTCTACGACGAGTTTGGTGGATGTGCAGGCTTTGTTGCTTCTGCAGCTTTACGATCATAACGTGGGGAAGAGGAATAGTAGTTGGTTGTTGATTGGGACGGCGGCTCGGATGGTGAGATGAATTTGAGATGTATTGATGTTGAAATCGAATTGACAGCTGTGTAGGCAATTTCCATGGGAATGCATCGGGAGGGCACGTATGCCGAGCTCGATCCAATCGAGAGAAACACTCGAAGGCTGGTGTGGTGGATGTTGTACATCTTCGAGAAGATCCTGTGCAATTATCTGGGCCGTCCCAGTGCGATTGATGACGCGGAGGTGTCAACCCGGATCCCTGATGAGTCGAATTTGGGCGATAAGCATCTGCCTCCAAACGTGATCGAGAAGAGCATTGAGGCTGCGAGGCTTTCTTACTCGATCAGACGGAGGGCTTACTTCGTGGATGGATCGCCAGAGGAACGCACGCCACCTATTCCCCTTGTCAGGAAACTGCTTCAGGAGCTAGAGGATTGGTACAAGACAATTCCGGATCATCTTCAGGTTGGTGCGAAGTCGATTCCCAGTCATCGACGTGGTGCGCTGCTTCTGCACACTTATTACTTCTACATTCGATCGCTTGTGACGAGGAATTTCTTGGTGCAGAAAGCTGAATACAACATCTCACTACTCGAGGGGAAATCCCCGCAAGTCACAGCCGACCACAAAGACATTCTCGCATTGGGCGAAGACTGCATCGACTCCGCAGCCCGCAGTCTCAAATCCCTAAACATGCTTGCCGACCTCAAGCTCCTCAACGGCGTATCCTGGCTCGACGTATTCTACGTCTTCCACGCCGTGCTAATCGTCTGCGCCGACTTCCTCGGCCGCCCAAAAGACCAAAAAGACACCCCGGAAGACATCGACCGCAAGACCTCCGTCCGCACCATCCTCGCCTCCACCCGCGTCATCAAACTCGCTCCAACCTACAACATCCTCAGCCAATTCGCCTTCCAATTCGCCTACATCACCGGCGCCACCGAAGCACCCTACACATCCTTCCAAGCCGCAGGCGAGCGCGAGATCCTTTCCCCCGTACCCCCCATGACACCCTTTGTCGGCCCGTTCACCGGCCACGGGCTCCTGAAGACGCTCGTCGAGACGTCCGAGGAGCCGAACGATTGGTACCAGAATGAGTCGGCGAACGTGCTGTGGGATTGGTTCAACCTCGCATCAACGGGCGAGGCGCTGGACGTCGATAGCTTCACCGAGGCATTTCCGCCGAATCCTCAGGATGGTGGTGGGTTCGGCGCGAGTACGATTGAGGACTGGGCTGCGAGACCTCCTCCTGGCGGGATGCGGACTGTTTGAAGCAATTGACGAAAGGAGAAGAAAGTCATACATATTTTTCTCTTCTCCATCACCATCAAATAAAGTCATAGTGCTGTATCATATCTCGAGTATCATGGCCATGGTGTTGCAATTCCCGATCCGGCATAGCCCGATCGCCGGAACCCACTCAGATCTGATCTGGTACGCTCCCGATCTGGATCTCCAATCGCGTGGCTGCACCAACCCTATTGGGGTCCGTCATGACGCACTACTACCCAGGCTTGTTGTCGTCCGATTTCCCTCATGACAACATGACATTAGGAATTCCTCACATACAAAGCCGTGGATGGTAATCGTGTTTGGGGGTCGTTTGGATCTACCAAAATTAAAACCGGCTTGCTACAATTTTGTCGTTCTGAGGATTGAATAGGGAATTCAATGACACGCTCGAGTGAGACGGAAGCTATATTACCAACAAGCAATATGTCGTCCCCTACGAACGGGAAGGGGAAAGACAAGGTGGAGAGGAAGAAGCGCGTGTTAATTGTTGGAGCTGGTGCTGCAGGTAAACACCCAAAACAAAATCTATTTTCCAATTGTTCTACTTTCTTCAGTCACTGACTGAATACATGAAGGAATGTCATGTGCCCACCACCTCGCACAGCACCCAGACAAATTCGACATCACCCTCGTCGACGCAGTCGACTACTGCGGCGGCCAAGCCTTCACCATCGACATCGACAAAGAGAAGCATGGCGCGAGCTGGCTGAACCAAGGCGTCCAGGGCGGGAGTTACATATTCCACCACACGATGACCATGTTCGCGCGACAAGGACACCACGCCGACCCAGTCGAACTCCAAGTCTCCTTCGGCAAAGACGAAACCTTCTGGACCAACGTCTTCCCGACCGAGCTGCTCGCAAAGCACCAGAAAGAAATCAAGCGCTTCGCGTGGATGCTTCGCATCGTGAGGCGTCTTGAGCTTGTCTTTGCGTTACTGCCGATAAAGTACCTCCTGAAGCTGTTCTTCTTCTCGTCCGAGTTTACGAACACTATTGTCCTCCCTATGGTCGCTCTATTCCTCGGCACGGGGAATGCAACTCCGGAGGTCCCGAGTATCATCGTGGAGCGCCTCTGCACGAGTCCGACATACGGAATGTGGTACCCGCCCGACGAGCTGAGCGTCGCGAGCAACCTACCGCCCATGGTCGTGTTTCCGAGGTTTGGGTCGTTCTACGAGGCGTGGAGACGGGATTTGGTGGGTAGGGGGGTTAAGGTGAGGTTGTCGACTGAGGTCACGGGGGTGGTGAAGAGGGATAAAACGGGTGTGACGGTGAGGACGGTGAAGAGGACGCCCGCGAAGGACGGGCATAACCCGAATAGTGCGTGGGTGCCTCACGATGCGGAGAGTAATGCGGATGCGGGCGCGAAGGAGGTCGAGGAGGAGTATGATGAGTTGGTGCTTTGTGTGCTGTGAGTGTTCTACTTTGATTCCTTTACAGCACAGTTACTGACTCGATAAACCAGTGCTGACACCGCCAAACGTATCCTCTCCCGCACCTCCTCATTCCGCGAGCGCAAAGTCCTCGGCGCCGCCAAATTCTCCGACGACATAACCGTCACCCATACCGACGCCGCCTACATGAAAAAGCACTACACCAACACCTTCACCTCCTCCGTCCCGACCCTCTCCGGCGTCTCCCAATCCACGCGCAACGCCTTCGGCTCCACCTCCTTCAAACCCATGTACCTCATAAAGACCTACCCCTCCTCCCGCTCCAAACTCGAAATGTGCTTCGACTGCACAAACTACCAGTCCCAGTTCCCCCCCTCCGTCCCCTTCGAAAACCACGTCTTCCAGACAATCTTCCTCAACAAGTCCCGCGACTCCCACCTCTGGACCATCGACGACATCGCGCCCGACAAGGTCATCCGCAGGGACTGGTGGCACCAGCTCTGCCACTCCTGGACCCACTACCTCTTCGTCGTGCCCTTCGTCTTCCTGCTCCAGGGGCGCAGGCGTACGCGCTTCGCGGGCGCGTGGACCCTCGTGAATGCGCATGAGGTCGCGGTGATTAGCGGGATTGCGGCGGCGGTGGATCTGGGGGCGAGGTATCCGGAGGATTTGGAGAGGGATGGGTTTGCGTTGTTGTGCTTTCGGTTGTATTATCTGCTAGCGTATGGGAAGTGGTATAAGAGGAGATTGGGAAAGGGGGAGAGGGAGGGGGAGGGGAAGGATTGGGGCAGTGGGGTTTATGGGAGTGTGTATGGGGGGCCGGGGGTTAGTGGGAGGGAGAGGTTGACTTGGAGGGAGGAGAATGGGGTGGAGGATTGAATGACTGGTGTTGGACGGTCGGTGGGGGAGTAATTTGCATTCTGATACGACTTGTTTTCGTAACTGAAGTGTCTATCTAATAATAAACAAACATCTAGATACACATGAATTGTTCGATTCCCCACCAAAGCAGACCAAAACATTAGTTCAAAGTCTCTACACATCATACTCAACTTACTATCTCTAAAAAATGCCAATGGCATCATCCGCTAAAAGTTCGCTGTCTTTGATGTTCACCGCGACCTTCACTTCTCTCACCACAACCTCTCACTCACACCCGACTCCACCCATCACTGACATATTTCAACACCTCAACATCATTCAGCATACTCTTAACAAATACCATCCAAGAGGAATTTAATCATTAATTTCAATTATTGTACCCGAATATCCTCCAGCCATGCAGTGCGCACATAATAAACAGTTTTATTCACGCGGCCCCGCTAAAGATTGCTTGCTATAAAATAACAACAGCAAACTTGCGCAAGAGACCAACCATGTTCTTGGGATCGTGGTCTCGTCGCAGGTGAAACAGGACATTCATTCATCTTATTGTCTTTCCCATCTCAGTGAACGTGAGCGATGAATAGTAACTCTCGCTCTCCCAACCTCCTCTCAAACATTTCCCTCATCCTTTTCCCTTCCCTCTCAATCCTCTTCTCTCTCGCTCTCAAAATTGACAGAACTTCGCACAAACTTCTTGACCTCGTTACCACCGCTGCCGCCGAAGAGTCTGTTTGCTAGTCAATCAATCAGTCAATCCACAGATTTCGTCTTATCGATCTTCTCATCAACAATCGTGTCTACGATTCTGAAGCAGCTGGCTGAATCCGACGTCCCAATTCAATCAATTCAATCCACCCACCGCTCGAAAACTCCACAAACCAGAGAAACGCAGAGAAGAAATCAGCGAAAATGAAGCTCTCAATCCGCCTAGCGCCTTCGACCACCACCACCACCACCACCATCGCCGCCACCACCAAGCCGACCAACATATCCGCCCTCATCCCCCCTCACCTAACCCAACCCCTCGTCGACGCCTCCCCCTTCCTCAAGCGCCTCCAACAGGACCTCCTCATCCTAACCTCCTTTCCCGACAACGCCTCCCTCCACTGGCGCCCAACCTGGTTCCCTCCCTCCCCAACCCCAACCAGCACCCCATGGACCCTCCACAACCCTCCCAACGTCACGACCCTCCGCCTCCCCAACACTCCGCACGTCCCACACGCCCACACGCGCGCCATGCGGTCCCCATCCTCCTCCTCCTCCTCCCCGCCCCCGCAACAGTACATCAAAACCTGGCGCCACTGGACCCGCTACTGCGCACTCTACGCCATCCCGACGGACTTCCTGTCTCCCGCTATGATCGCCCTCATCCAGCTCGCGCAGCAGCAGGGCGCCACCGAGCCGCCGACGTGGCCGCTGTACCCGGAGCCGCTGCCGGAGACGCCGTACGTGCTCCCGAGTGCGAGTGGGAAGTCGCTTGCGCGGAAGTTCGAGAGGGTGGATGAGGGGTGGTGCGTCGTTGTGAGGCCGAGTGGGGCGTTGGAGGTTGTGGAGAGGGAGGGGTCGATAGAGGGGGTGAGGGGGGTGCGGTGGAGTCATGTGCCGTGGTCGAGGGAGCAGGAGGAGAGTTGTAGGGGGTTCAGGTTGAGGTTAAGGTTTTGGAATTGTTGGGTTCTTGGTGACGACGGGGTAGGGGGAAAGGGGAGGAAGAGGGAGAGGGAGGAGGAGGGGGATGGGGAGGAAAGGAGGGTGAAGATGAGGGTGGTTTCGCCGGGTCGTGGTGAGGGGAAGATGAGTCCTTTGGTCGATGAGGGATATGATTCTTGAAGATTGGTTGGGGTGAGTTGGGTCCAGTCGAGTTGAGTTGCTTGCGCCTGGTCTTTTTGCAGACGGCTGGTTTCGCAAGATGTGTTGGGCCCTTTGGGAGATACGGAGATGCGAGATGAGAACAATGATGGAGGCTACTGGGGGTGCTATGGCATTCATTCTTCGAGACACGGTTCCTTTCGATGGGACAGAGGCGGGATGTTTATGTCGTCGTCAGTGGATCAGCTGGACGACGCTCATTGAGATCAGAAATCAGTATAGTTACAGATAACATCGTTACAAATTAAGCGTTGGTCATGAACGCATTCAACCATAAAGTATACATTATAGTTAATAAATAGTTCTGAATGGCTCTGTCTGTGGTCATCCATTGCTTAGAATGGTATTCCTCCATTTCAGGACGTCAATAATTACCTATGTATTTTTGAGACTTCAAGAATACATCTACAATATGCACCCAAGTGGGCCAGATGTAAACCAAGTCTACCGTCCCCCCCCGATCATATAATATGATCAGTCTCTATTTACCCTTCTCGTGAAATCACGCCCCCCCAAAAGCAATCTTATTCCCCGCCCTCACCAGCACCCCAAACGACAGCGCCACACACAGCGTCCACACCCCCGACCTATAATACGAATACCTCTGCTTCGTCGTATTGATATACAACACCACATACAGCACCCTCAATAGCAAATGCGCCCCCGCTGCATAATTCAGTGTACCTGTACATCCCCCCCAAGTCAACCCAAAACGCCTCCCAAAGAAAACCAAAACAACAGGAATCGGATGGAAGGGGACTTACTAGGAGACAACTGCGCGATATGTCCAACGACGACAGACCCAATGAAAAGCGGCGCGTTTTCCATGAGATTGTTGTGCGCGGCTTTGGCCCTCTCGAACCGGCCGTACACCTCGGCTGGGACGGTCTTCTTGTAGGATTCAATTGTTTCGGAGCCTCGTGGGTTCGCGTTGTTCCAGTTTGAATTGTTGGCGCTTTTGATGATGAATGCCTGGAAATGCAGGTTAGTGGGTCGGGGGTGGAAAGGATTGGGGGTGTTCTGACGGAGTAGGCTTGGGGCCAGAGGGCGAGGGTCCAGTAGATGGGGATGCTGAAGAGTGAGAGATTGGTGGTGGTGAGGTGGGAGGACATGGTGTTGATGGTGGTGTTTTGAGGGTTGGGGGATGCGGTGTTTGGTTGTTGGAGATGCTTGGAGATTGGAAGAGAATTGGGGAATAGTGGGATGAAGGTGTGGTGCGATAGCTGATGGGAGGGAAGTAGTACAATCAATGGAAATTAACGTTTCACAATCAATATATGTCGAGTATGAAGATGCTGCAAAAGAACCCAGCCAATTCCATTGAATCAACGGACATTTAAATCCTTTATACAACTCTGCTGCACATGAAAGCGAGGCCCAATCTGTCATAGCCGCTTAACAGGATGCAATGCAGCTGACCCGCATAATCTCTCCTCCACGGCTGCCTAAGGTTGTCCCCAAAAGGATCGACCTACGAGGTGCTAACCCACAATCGTCAGACGTTGCGAGAGTAAGCTCGCCTACCCAACATGCATGCCGCGGTTGAGGCACCGCAGACTTCGTACATCCTTCTCCACTTCCATTGCTTCGATCTTGGAGGCTAAAACGGGCGGGCGGACGTGCCACGGACAAATGATGGCGCGCGTGCAATGGAAATGCGTAGAATGTGAGTTTTTTTTTATCTTAGATGGTCTAGAAGAATGGGGAGGTGTAGTACAACATTAGTATGACTAGTTATGAGATGTTGTAAGCTGTCATTATCCAAGGAGAACATGCTTCACAGCAGGCAGCGGTTCCACACGAGTTTCGAAAGCTGATTTCAGTATCTGGCCTACACCACGTCGCTCTGCGATGCCGTCTTTCCAGACGACATACAGTACCCAGAAAAGCGTCCACGGGCGCTGGGTATCGTGTTCTGGAAGGTACAGCAGCGCGGAACCGAGGGTTGGGGTGTTGCATCGTGAGATGACGAGGCATTCGATCTTTGATCCTGGGGGAGGGAGTAATGCGATGTTGTCGGGGTGTAGAGATCCAACGATACTTTCGCTTGATAATAGTGCGATTCCGGGGGTTTGCTCAAGACTGTTTTGGGGATAATGACTGGATGAAGTTGTGTTGTTGTTACCTAGGATCAGGTTGATCGAGACAGTGTAGAATGCTAGGATGGTGTACGGCGGGAAATTTCTGGAGCAATAAGTCAATTTCCTGACTGGACATCAGTATAGGTCGACTTACGGTACAGGACGCGCATCGTCTGGATATTCCTCATTCCACCGCGTTGCGTATGCCGTCCTCTTGTCCACTTTACCAGGTTGGAGTCCTGCTACCGTCGGTTCTTGGGATAACGCAGAATCTCGAAATCTATAAGGTCCTGATTTGACGAAGCTCCTAATTGACTGGGCGTGTTTCTCTGAGCCTGTAGGTATCAGATCAGAATCTTGGAACAATGTCCGTGGAACAAAGCTTACGGAAACGTCGACTGGCCATCCAGTTTCTGATGATTTTGATATCCTGTCTGTCCCTGATCTTTGGTATCATGCGCTCGAACTCGGCCTCTCCGTTCGCGGTCATGAGTGTGGTGCCATAGAACGAAAGCTCAGTAGCTTCTCCTAGCTCCTTGCTGTTGGATTTGTCGAGTATGCTGTCCCATTGGTGTTCATAATGGCGGATCGTCTCTCCCGCGTGCCACGGTGTTATTCTAAGAGTGTCGTACTGAAATTCTTCTCCAATGAAGGTTTGCGGGTACTCTTTGAGGAAATCTGAGAGTTTTGAAGGCAGCTCTGGCAGTGTGGGTGTTGGGGTTTTGTACTCTTTCGTAGGCTTCAGTGCCTTGAACTGCACTGTGCGGTTATGTTTCATGTATCTCACGACGTTCTTAGTATCGTAAATCCTCTTCTCACCCCCATCCTCAAACCATATGAAATTCTCCCTCGGCCACGAAATCCCACCTTCCCACCCCGCCCACGAATAGCTCGCAAACAGCGACCGTCTCCTCGATCCCGCCTTCGTAGACACAAACAATAAAAAGTGATCCAGGAACCTCGCCGGCAGCCCCTCCAGCACGTCCGTCCTCATGCCGCCAGCCAGCGGACGAATGACGCCCGCGAGAGCGCTCACCGCATCGCCGTCATTGCGGAGCGTGCGGCGCGTGTAGTCTTCGCAGAGTTTCTGGTAGGCCCAGAAGGAGGGCATTACGCCGGAGTGGGGTTCTGGGATGCGGGTGATGTTGCTATCGTCGTCGTCGAGCCAGTGGAGCCATTTGTCGGACCAGGAGGACTCGGACCAGTTTGCAGAGTGGCAGCGAAAGTGGACCTCGTTGTTGATGAAGATGAGGGTGCGTTTGGCGAGGACGAGTTCTTGGAATGTCCTGGATTTTGTTAGGTTTTGTTAAGAGGATGGCTTTGGGGGTTTGCGACTTACCAGCCACGCTTGTTGTAGAATGAGTTGCTCAGGTGCAAGTCGATACTGCTTAGAACTGCCATCTGTATGTTTTCAGATAGACGTTCGACCGTGTTGACCCTTTGCTCATCTCTCATTGTTTTCCCTACGCCTGGCAAACCCGCGTTGGCGTCGAACCCAGTACCTGCCACGATCGTGAAGTAAGAACTCTGATATATAGAATTCATCATTGTCACACCGATCGTGACATCCTGCTCATCGTCCTGTATCAAACACAACGCATCCACCCACCTGTAATCAATCAGCCATTCACTCACCAACACCTCATAACCCCAACCTACAAATATCTTTCCCCAATCCCCCTCACCAGCTCCATAGCATCCCTAATCGTAACCGGCAACTCCCCACCCAGCGCATCAATGCCCCCCTCAGACGTAAGCGCATCATAATTCCCCCTCCTCAACTTCAACATCTCAACACTCCCCCAGACATAACTCAGCGCCACATATCTCTCATGCAGCATCGCCTCGCACACACACCCCCTCTCCAAGTCAATGAGCCTGAAATTCGACGTCAAGCGCTCGTTGAACGAAGCTCTCATGCCCTTCCTACTCCTCGCCTAGCCCCGAATCAATTTAACACGCACGGCATATCGTCTTTGAAGGCTGGCAAGTACTCACCCACCCCTCCTCGACCCCCTCGACCCCCTCAACCCCATCACGACACCCAGCATGCCCCTCATCGCACGCCCGAAGCCACCCCCTAACCACCTCCCCCCGGATGCCCGTCCCGCGCACAAACCTCGCGGTGTCGGGTTCGCTGAGTCTTGCTTCGTCTTCAGTGATGAATGCGAGGCGGATGCCAAAACGGGAGGGGTACGATAGACGTAGTGACTGCTCGCCTGGGAATAGGATCACGTGGATGGGTTGGGAGGGAGGGATGGCCGCGATGCCTTTTGCGAGGGCGTGGGCGCGGACGGCGGCGGTGACGAGGCGGCAGAAGGGGCAGTGGGTGCGTTGCGTTATGGAGGTCCAGTGGCCGAGGGGGCGGCCGATGTCGAGGTCGGATTGGGTGAGGCTGAGTTGGGTGACGAGGTTGGAGTGGGAGGGGAGGCGGGATTCGGGGAGTTGGAGGGTTGAGAGGGCGTGGCATAGATCTGTGCATGGAGGCATGTTGAGTCTCTGGGGGGGTGGATTGATTGGAGCGGAGGTGTTGTGGTTGGAGGTGCTGTGGACGATGGGAGTTGATGGGATGTGGGGTGGGATCTGACGATCGCTGCGGATCGCATAAGGTATCGTAATCCCTGTTCATGCTGCATTCTATGGTATATCATCTTTATGTAGAGTAAACTAACTATATCGGTATCTTACATGTAGATGAAGTAAAGAATACAAATACAGGTGAATATCCCAGAACGCCCGCTTGCTCGCCATTTGTGGTTTTAAACCACACTACGGAATCTGTGAGGGTATATACGCGAAGTTCAACAGCATCATACTAGGTTCTCGGCCATGCAGCTCATGACTGGATACCTGTGTTTGAGGGCCTGATCGGTAGACCTAGCTTCTCATATGTTCGATCGATGGTCTCAATCTGCTTGATCGAGTCCTCGCCTGAGATCCAGACCCCATTGCCCTTCCTTCCTCGTACTCGGTTGACGAATTGTTCCAGCTGGTGTCTGTACGTAGTCCAGTAAACCTCGCCGGGCTGTTTCTCTTCAGATGTCGGAGCCCAATTGTACATCGTCTTGCTTTCTTTCGTTGAGCTACTGCGGACGACCTTCGTTGCATCTTGAGCATCGACAAAGGAAGTGGTCGTCGTGATATGTATGCGATGGTAGATTGTAGGTATCATGTAATTGACCATCTTGATCTCAGTCGCGACAATCTTTCTCAAGCCGTCGGTGACACCTTCATCTTTTTCCTTTAGCTTCACGACCAGCGATGGCGCGAGCGAAGTGATATTCTCCCAAGTCCAAGGAGCTCGAAGATCGGTTACGATGTCTGCGGTTCCACCATTCGGGAACTCGTACTTCGCTGAAAGTGCCCTTTCGATACGTTCATCTTGGCCGTCGCGCAGCGGCTCATGGGAACCGGAAACAACATTACTCGGTTCGTCGCGGTAGATGCCGCGTATAACACTCACAGCATACGAGCCGTAATCCATGAGCGCTCCGCCGGCAAGTGACCATTGGAATCGGATGTCTTTCTCCGGAATGATGCCAGCGACCATTTTGTTGGTCACTTGCACGTGGCTGACTTCGGTTGGGGAGAATAGGGTCAGGAAGTACTGCCACGCGGGATGGAAACGGTAATGAATGGCGTCGAGCAGCACCGGCGGGTTTGGTTCCTTGAATAGCGGATGGCGGAACAGAGAGTGTGCCTCTGCTGTGTTGGACACGGACGGCTTCTCCAGGAGGACGTGTTTCCCAGCTGTAAGCGCTTTGAGAGCCCACTCGTAGTGCAGGCCGTTGGGAAGTGGAATGTACACACAGTCGATACTCGGATCTTCGATCAAGTCTGTTCTTCGTCAGATCAAGCGCTGGACATTCGAAGTGCAGACGAGTCTACCATCATAGCTCTTGTGAACGGTGGGAATTCGATGCTTTTTGGCGTACGCCTCCGCGCGGCTTGGGTCCCGAGCCGCGACGGCAGCTACGATGACTTCAGGATGAGAGTGCGCAGGTATTATCAAGGCAAAAGGGCTATATTGCCATTAGAAACAGCGATGCAACGAAACATCAAGGCTGGTGCTCACGCAATCGACGCAGCTCCTAGGATCCCAAAGCGGAGCGCATCGCTTTCCTTTGGTGGACTATCCGGCGTGATTAAACGCCGCCACATTGTTTATTTATCGGACGAGCTGAAGCTGTCAAGAGGTTGTATGGAAGGGGCGAGGATATGTTCGTAGAGAGTGCTTAATGCAAACCATACTAGTACTAATCAAGTTAGTAATGGTATACAATAACAATCAGCTATGTCAAATCACTGGCAACGATGTCTTCTTCATCATATCTTAACTCACAGGACGTCTACGTCTAAGACATCTCTACAAATTATGAACAAGCTTGTTATTCCAGATACGGACAAGAAATAAGACGTTTTGCTTAATTCTCCAATATCAATGCAGAAAACAACTACCTTGAGCAAATAATAGATCTAAGATAAGTATATTGAAACTCCGATACCAAGTTGAGAAAATAACCAATCTGACAGCTAGTGACTGTTTGTACATCACTGCTTGTTTGTTGCAATATTATCCTTCCGTGTTCTGAGAACTACTTAGGTTCAACAAGGTCATTGTCCTCTTCGTCTCTCCGCCTTGATCGACTGAAAACTTGGATCCAAGATCTCTTCTTGATTTGTGATGTGTCGTGGTTTTCGCGGCGCCATCTTCCGAATCGTTCTCGAATAGGTGGACCGTACGCCACGAGAAGAGATATGCCTCCAATGAGAGCAGCCAGTGGCAGCGCAGCTTGCCAATATTTGGCCTGCGTACCCCCCATTTCCCTTATGTCGGAGGTGTTCATACCAAAAAGTGAAGCCACGAAAGACAGTATTTGAAAAACGATTGTGACCAGTGTAAATGCGAGGATTGCCTTCGAGTGTCTCTGGCCGGCAATTTCAAGATCGGATTTCAGGTCCTGCACTGCCTTCGCTGTTTGAGACCGATGAGATGCGAAACGCGCGTTAAATTCACAAGCCATTCGCCCTACTCTCTTCAGGATTCTGCTTTCGATCTTATGCGCATCAATGCGCACAAATTCCGTGATTCGGTAGCTGTCGGGTTCGATAATCTTTCCTAGGCGGCGAATCACCTCGAATTGCTGCTTGTAAACTGTTTCAACTATTTCCATCTCTTCTTCTAAGAGATGCATTTCTTGGAGGAGTTTCCTCGAAGGACGCCGGCCCGCATCGTATCGCTGTGAAATTCGATTAGTTGTACTGGTAGCTAAACAGTATCAGAGATTCTTACGAGCTTCGATAGATGTTCTTGGTAAAGTTCGAGGACCGTAAAATTTGTCAAGGGCCGCCCAACAAAGTCTCGAAACATGAACAGTATAAGTGTCTCTAGAGGAGCATGAATGCACTACACAAGCGATGTAAGATCGCTCGACCCAGTGCATGCCATCAGTAAGAGATTACTCTGGGCATCTGAAAGGGAATTTGTTGCCAGTTCTGGGTCATTGTTCAGTTTCATTGTTGGTCGTCTAAAAGTCGTCAAGCAGAGTCGACCGACAGACGACTCCCTTAAGGATGCTTCAGTATTTACCACATAGCCTTGGCGTAGAAGATGCTTTTTAGTATCTTCTACGTATTCCTCTAGGTATGAGAGGCCTATAAGTTCCGCGTTGGTAGATAAACTATGTTGTGTTACTTAAGCCTGTCTTCCGGTTCGACACCACAACTTACCTTCTGCAACATGCCAAACGGGCACTTAAGTATGTGTCAGGCATCTCGTCCACATCCTTCGATGAACATCGAGGTGTCGAGCGGTCAGGGACAGCTACCTTGCGATTGATTCTCACATGTATGAACATAGATTGGTTCTCCCTGAGAATGGTTGCCCATTGAAGAAATCCGATCTCTTCTTTGCTATTTCCATGATGAAGAGTATAATTGTTGATCTCCTGGTTGTCATCGGGAAGGCACTTGCGACATATGGTTCGCTCTAGCCGGTGAAAGTCTTCGCACTGATCAATTGGAAAATAAGTGACTCTTCGGAAAACATCAGTTACCTCTACTAAAGGCTGACCACTGAAATCTTTATTCCCGTCGATGACTTCAACATATTTACCGAACGTTTTTGTGATTGTTTCAGGACCACAAGAAATTATGGTAGTGGATTGTAGGACCAAAACCCAGAGCTGGGATACGCGCAAATACTGGTTTGCATCGACGCCTCGGAATTTGCGAAAGACCTGGTGATCTTCCCGATCCAAGGTATTCTCTTGGGGATAAGAGTACCGGAATAAGCCACGAGGCACATGAAGCAGGCTGTCTTTCGAGGTAGTCGGAGGTTTCAAATTTCCTGTATCAAAGTAGGGCCACGCAATGAACGATGCGTGCAAGTCCGGCTTATCCGGGAGTTTTCGATCCTTTCCATCACATCGAAGGACTGTTCCAGGTTTTATGAAGCTACCATAAGGAGAGCGTTCTTTGCACACGGTCCGGATTTTCTTCAGCAGATAGGTAACGACCCGAAAATGCTCCGGATGATGCTCCAATGTAGCATTGATGGCAAGACGCTGTGCAGAACTGTTAGCTTAGTCCATTCAATGCTGGATTACATTCTGGTCAAGTTACCTCAAAATCATCGAAAGATATACCGCTTGTCTCATAGTGCCTACCTATGTCAGTGGGTTTCAAGAGTGTCTTGTATACGATGGTCGTACAGCCAACGCGCAGCAGATTTCCCGTCTTCTTCGGTTGGTCGCTTGGGTTTTGCTTTGGTCAGAACACGACAGACTGCTTTACCATGGGCTTTACCATGGGCCTCGCCACCGCCCAGGTATAGAGCAGCTGAAGCAATATCTAATCTCTGCTCGCGATATTCGGGTTCTTTGTCGAAATTGGGTGTCGTGAAGCGTCCGGTACACAGTCGCTTTAATGCTTCGCTGTTGAGGTCGATGCCCGTAATGAGCTCTTTGTCCTGGTCATTGTCCCGGTCATCGTCCTGATTGTCGTCTGTGTCGTCGTCTCGCCCTCCTACTGACAACTTTTCAAGAATTGAATAGGGAGTAGACATCCCACTTCTTGTTGCCATAGGAAATAAGACGATCGTTGAGATCTCTATCTGGAGGCTGATGCGGGGTTATTGTACACGCGCTCTTGCCCCTATGACTAGATATAAGAAGGCAACCAATGTCGGTGGCGTGCAACCACTGGTACTACTCCTTCGTTCCATACTGTTACGCGGCTAGCACCAATGTACATTTTGTATCCATGACAACACATATGTATCACTTCTCACTGTTCATCTCTGTGGCGGAGTAGTGTCACAGCACGATTAAAGTCGTAATACTAGCCAACCATGGGTTACTTTAGAAATGCAGGAAGTGTCACAGTAGCTACATCTATCGAACAGCATCATATCTGCGTCCTTTTAGGGCCATCTTGCGCAACGATGCATCGGAGTTTGACTTTAGCGTGATATTTCGTTGAGCTGAACCACGAACAAAGCCTTTCAATCTGTCTAAAAAAAATGTCCAATTACACTGTTAACGTATAATTAACTACATTTCCTGGTACCCGTGGATAGAACTCAATCGTAAAAGTGGTGTCCTTTCCACCCTGTCTCACCAAGTCCACAACAGCAGCTGGGAGCACCACATTCTGGCCATCCCAGTTCCACTGACCATTGTACGTTATCCTGGCCTTTTGGAGATCGGGCAAATACTGCGTCCAATCATCAGACAGATACGTTCCATCATTTTTAACTGCTCGGACAGCTGCGGGTCGGTTCTGGCCTGCCCAAGTGATGGGAATCAACAAATCTGTTGATGAGGCTGGGACTTTTGAGGATGTAACGCCGAGAGTTGGAACCGACCACTGGAGAATGTTGACTTGTAGAGATGCGCCGGCGGAGAAGTTCAGTGTGACGTTGGCGAGTGAGCCTGTTCGGGAGCTGGATGTCAGGATCGTGGACAAGAACGACTTCTTGAATGTTATTTTCTCTCCTGAAACAGAGTAGTCTTTTCCTTTGGCCAAGTTCTTGCCAGCCAGCTTCGCAGAGGAGAAGGAGTTTCCGTTGAAATGGAACGGAAGCTCAACATCAGTGACGGTCTCGTTCAGCTTGTGGTAAACATAAGCAGAGCTGTTCTGGGTAGTGGAACCGTCTGTCGTGCTATCGGGAAGGCTGTTTGTTTTCCCAGCGGCAGCAGTTCTGAGAATATCAAGCGCAACCTGATCACGCCATTGATGGGTTGCGCGGTTCAAGAAGTCGGCACCGTTGTCCCACAGAACAGTGGCAGTGTTGTACTTCGCGGCTGTGCGGATGAAGAAATCGAAATATCTCCAGCGTGCTGCGGTTTCGGTAGCAACAGGGGAAGCGGCCCATTCTCCAATGATGAGAGGAATGTCCGTGAAGTTACCTCGTACAGCAGCGATATCTGCCTCAAGAGAGGCTTTGTCTGCATCACTGCCCCATGTGGTCTTGCCCCAGGCGCTAAAGATGAAGTCATCTGTACAGGTTTTAGCAAAAGGACAATGTGAGAGTTACTCGGAAGCTTACAAGGTGAGTAGTAATGGTACTGAATCGCCCAAGGGTTCTTAAACTTCGCATCTGGTTTCACGAACCACTGGCTTGTCTTTGGCCCATCTTCCCCACTCCCAACAAGTGTCACGACTCGCTGCGGATTGAAACCTCCAGCGTCATTGATAGCCTTCAAGAAAATGTTGTTGAGTTTGTTGACCTCAGCACCATGCTCAGCCGTAGTTCCGGGTATCTCGTTGATAGGCTCAAATGCAACCTGGCTCCCTTTGCATGCCAGCTTCGTACCAATCTGATACCAAAGCTTGTAGAATTTGTCCTCTATCTTAGCGTAGTCTGTCTCCTTTGTAAGGTCCATCCATGTCCATGAATCATGATGCACATTCACGATGGCATAGAATCCACGCGACGTTATCATGTCAATAACGTCTGACACGCGCTGTAGCCAGACAGGATCAACAGTGTAGTCAGGGGCTTCCGACGTGAAATGATAAGCCCATGTTACCGGAAGACGAACTCCCTTGAAGCCCGCAGACTTAATGTCATCGAAGGTCGTAGCAACGACTGGTGGATTGTTCCAGTCGCCTTCTTTCTGGACAGCGTCGAGTGTGTTGCCCAGATTCCATCCTGGATTCATCTTGCTGACAAAGTTGGAGGCTGAAATGGGAGAGAATGACCCATTGCATGTCACATTCTGCGCGACAGCTGATTGCAGCAATGTTGCAGATGCAGCCAGGAAAGCTGCCTTCCAACTGTCAGAAACCATCGTGTGAAAGTAAATATTGAACAACAGCGTGGGATTGTAAATTGCATTAAACTCTGGAAGTCAATCTCTTATAGGAACATAGGAAATGTCCTACTGTCGCCATTCATCGTAAATTGTCTGCCCATCTAATCCATGCTTTCAGTGCAATCCCCGCAAAGTCGAGCAACAATTAAATGAACATCTATCCTGAATCCGTATCAAAATAGGCCTAGCCAAGCCAATATGATTGCTTCGATATTGCTGGATTAATCTGTCTCAGAAGGCATCGGAGAAATTTACCAAAACGGTAAGCATCCAGAAAGCAGTGTATGTAGAGTCCAAGACGTGATTCGCCGATATTAAAGCGAAATCGTTGCTTGTTCGAATAATATGAAAGATCCCGGGTATAGCGATATGCAGGTCCCGGCGGGCCTGGTCTCCAAATGAATTTCAAACCAGGTACTTGTCTTCCGTAATTTTTCCGCCAAGTATCGCCAGGCTTTCGTTGTAGTCGATGAAATGTTTTGTATATTGTGCATCTCATCTCGGAGTTCTGTTGCTCTCCTTCGAGCTATTACAAGTTTGGCTCTTCGCCCTCGCAATTCGTAATGCCTTGCAGTGGTCCTATTTGGAATCCAAGCGATGTATACTTCATCGGCATGACGGTGCGATGGCATCCAGATATAGGTCATTCTCTCCGCGCAACTCTTCGCCACCTGTGAGTTATGCGAGTTGAGGTCCGGATTCAGTGGTGACGGTGCTCTGTGAAAACACAATCTCTAGCATCCAATACAGCCGAAATTACATCTGCCCACTACCCGCAATGAAGTCAGACAATGCTCTACAAATTTCCGCGATACCCGTCACATGTACATACAGCCTCAAAAGGAAGAAACCACGTGAAGGGGGACATGCAGTGGAAAAGTTAAGTATCATTTCCAATCCTTATTTGGTAAAGGCTTTCGAAAGCACTTTGAAATTTGCCTCCATGGGCCCGATTTTTACGCCATCCTTTACATGTAAGCACCGATGATTGCGCCTGAGGCCATTATTTTAATGTATAAGTTACATGAAATATGGACTTCGTGAGTCCGAAGAAGGGAGTAGAAAGAGAAAGTAGGCGGTTCGCGCGGAGCAATTTGGAAATTTTGGTCATGGGCCGAGATGTCGTGGGCAAAGTCAGCGGTATGCTCGACCTGATTGACAACGGCCGTCAATCCCGGGTTGATGGCTAATGAGTCGATCGGGAAGCATGAACTGCGGCGCAATTGGGATAGAGCAGCGGCTCAGCCTATGACCCAGAACGATCTATTCAGGTCGTGGTCGCTTTGCGCCATGAGGATTCCAATTGCCATCATTGCCGCCCTGATTCTGGTTGAAGAAGGCCGGATTGAAATGAGGCTGGTTGCCACTAAAGCCACCTGGACCCCCTGTGAGATATGTTAGCTCGCAGAATCTACGACGGAGAGTGGAAAGTGATCACAATGAAATGTTTTCGTACCCATACCGCCCATCATGCCCATGTTACCCATGTTGTTGCCCATCCCCATCATACCTCCACCCATTCCCATCATGTTGCCACCCATTGGCATGTTCATACCGCCCATGTTGTTCATGCCCATGTTGCCCCCGCGACCGCCGCGGTTGTTCATGCCCCCTCGCATGTTTCCGCCCATCATGCCGCCACGGTTGAAGCCTCCGCCGTTGAAGTTATTCATACCTCCCATTGGATTGGCTCCGAAGTTATTCATGGAGTTATTACCACCATAGCCGCCGCCCATGTTTCCACCCATGTTGCCACCCATATTTCCGCCGGCCGGGCCAGAGAAGTTTCGGTTCTGGAATCCCATGTTGTTTTGGTTGCCGCGGTTGTTAAAGTTTCCTCGATTGTTGTTGAATCTGTTATAATTTCCTCCTCCTCCCTGGTTGCCACCGAAATTTCCAGTGCCTTTCTTGTCGCGAGCGGGAACGTCCTTCGGGAGGGTCTTGAATGGATTAACATGAGGCGGATTGAAGATCGCGGAAGGCTTCTTCGCATGCGCCTGATCTTTGTAGAAATTCTCGAGTTGGTGCTTAAGAGCAGTCGCGGCTTGTGGAGTTTGCAAGTGCACATATACTTGGCTGTTCGCAAGATTAGCTGTCGATATTACAACATGGAAGCCACCACATCGGGGCCGTACCCTTTGCTTTTCCCGTTGACTTTGTGCTCGTTGAAGGTGACATCAAGGAGCTCATCTTCGCAGCCGCTCTGGTTCGCCCAACCGCGGATATCGTCCTCGCTAACCCACCAACTGAGATCATTAATCATCAAGGCGGAAGTTGCGCCAGGGTCTGTTGGGCGATCATCGACTTCGCCCTGTTTTCGCTTGAGTCCCTGCTGCTGAGGGGCCTGTTTCGGCATCTGAATCTGATCGTTCGCAGATCCACCAGTACTTGAGATTTGCTGCGTGCCATTCTCCTGGTGTGAGTTTTCTTCTGGCTTTACATCTGCCTTCTCTGGGCCACTCGAATTGTTGGCATTAGGCGCCGTTGAGTTATCCGCATTACTATCAGTCTGCATTGGCGTAGAGTCCCCCTGTTTTACGTCATTCTGCAGACTCGAATCCTGATAGTCTGGTGATGTGTCGTCGCCATAGATATCGATATCGAAGTTGTCGTCGTCGGCCATTGTTACTGCGTGAGCTCAACACAAGTCTGCAGGATAGGTTAAGGGTGAGTGATGGCAAGTATCTTGAATTGTCTGTAGATACTTGAGTAGGGAAGCCTATATGGCAGAGTACATGCAAGTCTGTGTGGGGTGTTCTCATCAGCGAACTATATGACAAGATGAAGTTTGAAGCAAAACGAACTGGCACCACATGCCGCCTGCGTGACGACAAAAGAAAAGTACAAGAGAAGGCGCAGATCAGAGGAAATACGTACACTTCCACCCTGAAGGGTTAGGTGAAGTCCAGAAAAATTACTCAGATGCGAGATGTACAATCCGATCGCCTCTGGCAGATACGGAGGTGAAAAGCGTACAGATGTGAGAGATGCGATGCTCTTTCGATGCTCTGGCCTTACTCGCCAGCGCCCAGTACAAGCTTGACCGCAACGCGAACTGTTGTGATACAATAAATTCCTTCGATCAAACGTAGCACCACTGTGCAATACAAGCAATGAGACTTCTCAGGGTGAAGTATGCCTTCGACCAGGGATAGAAGACTATTGAGCCTTTACCCGTTCCTCCGCGTATCTCGAATCGAGAGGGTCAAGCGCGTCAGACCTCGCCAAATGCGTGGCAACCCTAGACGAGTGAGAATGAATATATCTGTCACGTTCGACAGACCTGTTCTTGGTATATATAGAGATAATGCCTAATCGAAGGATCTTAGCAGGAGTTGTCGTGAAGGACTTCAAAAGGTCAGGTTCTGGGTCCAGGAGCTTTGGCACACGGGGTCACTAGCGGCTTGGCGGGCGCGCTAAATCCCTGCGGGATGTTCCGCGCAATGTGTCCAACTCCGCATACTTTCTCGACTCAACCCTTTAACTCCTGGACATAAACCATCCATTCAGATCCTGCCTTGTCGACATCGAATCGATTGTTTCGCCTACGAATCACCCTCCAGAATACATTATCTTCTTCAGCCATGGCCGACCAAATCAAGGAATTCGCAGATCTTCCCCAGGAGTTCGTCCGCGAAGGTGTTCAGTTCAGTATGTTGGCCACCTAGAATGTGGAATTGATGCTGTATTGCGGCCCGAGGGACCATATTCGCCATCTAGTCGATCCCTCTGTTGCGCAACGCATTCAATCTGCAGTCGAACAGCTTCGAAAGTTCTGGACACGTGCTAACCTATTACCAGTCAACAGATGCCAGAAGCCTGACAAGCGGGAGTTCATCAAGATCAGCCAAGCTGTCGCAACTGGATTCATCGTCATGGGAGTCATCGGCGTACGTTCTCCCATTCTTTCGAGTTGATAATAAATTCTAACAATCAACAGTACATTGTGAAGCTCATCCACATACCCGTGAACAACATCCTCGTAGGAGGAGCATAGACGATAGAAACGAAAGGAGTGCGAGACGGAGGAATTTTGCGATTGGACAAGGAAGCAGGGATTGCATAATGGGCAGAATAGCTACGGACCCGGTGGTTTCTTCATCCACGCGGCAGTCCGCTTTAAAATGCTGTACGATAGGGACAGTTGGCTAGCGGGAGTTCAATATACCAAATCAAGATCGTCAATGACGACGATATCATTTTGAGTCTACTCAGTCTCACCAGGGTCCTCTGGCGGCCTTCACGGTCTTCTCATGAACTCAATCTATATTTCTGTTACTTGGGATATACAACAAGGAGATCGTAGCCTCTGTACGCCAAAAAGGAGACCCTTTCCCATAACTTCGCCTATAAAAGCTCATGGCTGTATCTACAGTATATGCCATCTAATCATTCTGACCATTCTTGATAGGTACCTCGTGAGCGCCCTGAACTGCGATATAGTCGTTCCTCGTGTCGCAGTTCGGGGTTGACTCTTCTACCCATTCTCGGTTCTGCTTCGTCGTCCTCGAGGCCATCATTCCATGTATGTACAGTGCATGTCCCCTGGGATGTTCCCCAACCATTCCATGATGTCGCTAGAGAATGTCAGCTAAATACAGATAATTACTTGAGGAGGATACTGACCAGCAATGATAGGTGCATTTGGATGCCAGCTTGCGTCGCGCACGCACGTCATCCAACTACCACCGCCATCACGATGGAAGAAATCATATGTATCAGCCAGCGAGCGGCTGTCCCGGGGACGGCTATTTTTAGTAGCTTGGAGAACATCAACTGTTCCAGCGAGTGTCGCGTCCATATTCCACACATAAACCTTTCCGTCATAGCTTCCAGAATAGACGTACCGGGAATCGGTGCTCCCAGGTGGCGCAAAATGGCATCGAATGAGAGTCTTCAGGACCTTGTGACCTCTAAAAGTAACCAGGGAAGTGTCGTGTGGGTGCGGCTTATATGTATTCTCGTCGTAAGCGTGGCTGCGGTATTCGAACTGGGTGGTGTAGTCGTAAGGGTCGATCGTATCAGCCTTGTCCTTGCTTGTCATCTTTCGTAGGTCCCATAGCTTGGCTGTTTGGTCCTTTCCGTTACTGAGCACATATCGTCCGTCACCTTTACTATCGACATATGTTAACCCTTCGGTATGTCCAAGGAACACGCCTGCCTCTCGTCCATCTCCCATACTTCTACGATCCCACACCTTCAATGTCGTGTCGTCGGATCCAGAGTAAAGAATATGCGGTGATTGTGAGTCGCCGAAACAGACGGCATTGACATCGTCCTGATGGCCTGGTATGCGCAGGATGGACTGCTGCCGTTCGATGTCGTAAACATAAACCGAGTTATCGCCAGTGCCTGCTACGATTTCCCTTCCGTCTCCGGAGAACCGGATGGACCATATCTTGTATGATTAGTAATCGACTTATACCTACGCAGGACAAACTTACTCCAAAATAAGTGTGAAATCCGTGAGGATTTGCAGTCCCTATATTGGCGAAATCAAGGAGCGTCGGTTCACTGTCGTTCTCGGGGTCTGTTGGTGCTAAACATACTATACTCCTGATAGAGCTGTATGCTAAGAAACGATTATCGGGGCTCAGGGAAGCATCTGTGATGGTCCATTGACCATAAGGGTACACCACACTCTACTCGATGTCAGTTAACTACAAAATATACACTTTGATCAGGTCGGTCTACCTTGTAGTACTTCCAGTCGTATGGATTTGAGGTGTCGTACATTCGAACGCGAAAATCTTGCGCGCAAGAGAAGAAGAAGTTGCCGTCATCCGAGAACTGGCCAGAGTAGCATCTCGAGTTGTAATGAATGATAGTATCGGCCGTTGAGCTTGGAATCATATCCTGCTTCAGTAGCCGGTTCGCATTCCTCTGTCGCCCATCGCTTCCCAGTCCCAGCTCCCTTCTCATTAATTTGTATGCAAGCTTCTTCTTCCTCCTTTGTAGCGTGTCTTCTGAACGATAGCTAGATCCAAAGGTGCCGCTGTTCATTAGTTCTCGCCCGGTATCGCTCGGCACTTTATTGAATGTAGCTGGTCCATGTGGTCCTCTTCTCAATCTCCTATTCCTGAGCCCAAAACCTATTGGATCATATCCGGTAGCGATACCGTCGTCGTCATCGTCGTCATTTAAGAACACATGCTGTCCCCGCCCTCCTCCTCTTACTATATCGGAAGCGAATAACTGCGCAAGTCCGCCAGAGCCGAGTAACCGAAGAATTTGGTCCGGAGTGACTGGAGGCTGTAAGCAGGAGGTAGTTTCAGGGAATATGGATGCAATCATACTAATGACGGGTTGCCGCCTACCGGCAGTACCACCCCGTCCCTCTTCAGCGTCTTCGTCGTTGTCGTCCTCGTTATTTTCGCCATCGTCCGTGATTTCAAGCTCGATCTCTACGCCACTAAGATCCTCTGCAGCATCTGGAAGACCATTTAGTAGCTGATTTTGCTATGAAAATATGGTGTAGTTTGTTACCATGGAAGAATCCGTCTTCGTCATCTTCATCGTCTTCATCCTCTTGTGCGGGCACAAAGTCCATGTCGTCATCATCGTCATCCATATCTCGCCAGAAAGGGTCATCCGGGTCGTAAGCTACGGGTCCTTCGTCCTGATCCTCAATGTGGGAGTTATATGAAGGTCGCGACCCACTCATGGTAACCGCTGCGTGTTGAAACGTCGTGAAAAGCGTCCAGTCGAGGTGCGAGATCGCATCATGGAATGTCGAGTTAGTAGCGTCTATGTGCTGTCTTAGGTACTCGATAAGCTGTCCCCGCCTTTATCTCCGGCGCTAACGATCCACGTTCTGAGGGCCCAAGCTTCATTCTTAATTCCCCACATCTCACCTCTACATGCTTGATCCGAACCATTCTTGCTTCATCTACTCCGTACAACCGGCTCCATCATCAGAAGATTGTAATCGTTCAACCAGTTTCTAACAATACAGGTGCTGCATCTGGGCTTCGATAGAACAGCTTTTAACTGACATTGATGCATTAATCAGGTCTGGGCATAAGTCAGGATAGTTCTTCCATTGCTACCCTTTGGAGATGAAGAAGAGCTCTAGATATCGTCTCGTCTGGATTGGGCTTCCATGTACAAGCCTCCCTTTTGAACGATTTAGTCTCATGTGCTTGATTCATCTCTACTTCAAGCTTAAGCCTTGTCTAGCTTGCATCGGTATCTTTAGGTGAACCAACCTGTTCGATTGCCATTTCATGTGGCCATAGTTGCGAAGCAACATGTATTTTCTTTCAAGAACTTCGAACCATGATAGGTGCTGATGATGGGACATTCTCCCTTCATCAACGTTGTCGGGAAATGAGATGACCTCTATGTTCAAGGCAAACTGCAGCAAACCCTAGCAAACTAGGCGTATGGATATGTAAAGTTCCAATCCACTCGTATCGTAAAAGAATGCATCAAAGAATAGGGGAAATTCATACATGTCAGCAGTTCCTCTTTGGTGTTGACTCCGCCATTACTTCGGCAAGAGTGTTGTCTAATTTCGCGATAGTCCGTGTTATTGCGCAATCCGAGTATAGTAACGAAATCCTCGGCTCGGCATCAAAACACACTATCGCTTTACCACAATCGTCTTGTCAGGCTCCCTTCCACTAATTCCTGGCGATAACGGAGTCGTATAAGTAACCAATCATGTATGATTCGGGGTTCATTGCATTTGAGAGCATAATACGCCATTCTGTCGAAATATCATTGCATTGCTACTTGTCATGCCATTCTATCATTTTAAAAGCGCGTCGTTTCCCTACATCGTTTCCTGAGTTCAAATCATTCGTTTCTATTCTTAAATTATCACAAAATCAAAATAAAAATAGAAATTCAAAATGGCAAGAGCTGTCGAAAGGCTGCAAAGAATACAGAACGAGTTGTCTCCACCTGTCGTTATCGAGGAGAATGTTTCAAATCCAGAACCTACCGAAAAGATTTGGAGGCCCAGACAACGGCCATTCGACGCTGCTCGGCCGGTCAAGGTAAGTTGAAATCAAGGAACATTGGTCCTTCATCATATTAATTATGCCATCAGGCCATCATCGTAGGGGCAGGAATAGCAGGCGTTGCCGCCTCAGTGTTGATCCCGCGCAAAGTCTCAAATCTTACATACTCCGTCTATGAGAAACAAGATTCTGTGGTATGTCCTCACATCTCTCTCGCAATTAATCAACTATACTAACAAATTACCAAAGGGTGGAACGTGGGCACAAAATCGGTATCCTGGAGTGAGATGCGACATACCATCTCACACATATCGTGAGCAGACAACTCCAAAGCCGAATCTGTGCAACTGCTGACTCATTTTCATAGAACTCACTTTTGCACCTAACCACCGCTGGTCAGAGTACTATTCTCCAGGATCTGAGATCAGAGGGTACTACGAAAAAGTCGTAAAGGATTTCGGGGTTGACAAGCATCTTCACCTAAGGCATGAAGTGTTGTCGGCCATCTGGTCCGAGGAGACGCATCAATGGACAGTCAAGATCAAGAACCTTACTACAGGGGAGGTTTTCACCGAGACAGCGGATTTTTTCATCTCAGCAGCCGGAAGGCTAAACGTTCCAAAATATCCAAACATCCCAGGTCTCGAGAAGGACTATAAAGGGGTTCTCGTCCACACTGCCGAATGGACCGATGAACTCACTAAGCTTGTAGAAGGGAAACGGATAGCCATTATCGGCAACGGAGCGAGTGGACAACAACTGCTTGTAAACATTTTCCACAAAGCCGGGCACATCGACCACTACGTCCGATCTAGGCAATGGGTCGTTCCATCTTTCTCTCCCAACCTCCTCTCCGCCCGACAAGATGTTCTCGGAGCACATGTCTTCACCGAGGAAGAGAAAGACGCCTTCGAAAAAGATCCAAAAGCCTATCTTGAATATCGACGCGCCTTGGAGAGGAATTTCCACGGAAGATACGAAGGATCGATCAGTGGTAGCGAAGACAACGACAAGATCCGGAAAGCCTACTCAGAAGCTCTATGGGAACGAGTTGGTGGCGATAAAGAGTGGTTCGATCGCCTAGTACCTTCCTTTGCGCCTGGTTGCAAGCGACCAACTCCCTCCGCAGGGTACATCGAGTACATCAGGAGTCCAAAGGTGGATTACGTCGATAATGCGAGAATCACAAAGGTGACTGCAGACAGTCTGATAACAGAGGATGGAAAAGAGAGGAAGGTCGATATTGTCATCGTTGCGACTGGATTTAAGAACGGATTTCTACCTTTGTTTCCAACGATTGGCAAGAATGGACTAGATTTGAGCAAATACTGGGCAGAAGACGGACCTATTGGTTATCCAAAGACATATTTTGGAGTCATGGCACCTAACGTTCCAAACTACTTTGGCGTCATACAGGTAAGACACACTCACTCAAAGCTCAACTCTATTATTCTGACAGAATCTAGGCAAACAGTAACGGTCAAGGAGGCACATATCCCCTCCAAGCCGAAATATCATCAACCTACATCGCCAAAGTCATCCGCAAGGTCCAAAAAGAAGCTTATCGATCAATCGCACCCTCCCAGGAAGCAACCGATGATTTCAACGAGATCATAACCGCTTACTTTGACGACAAAGTCATTGGCGACGACTGTGACGGATGGTGGAAGAGCGGCTTTGGGAAAGCGCGTCCCCTAGTAATGTGGCCTGGAACCGGTCATCACAGATTCGACATTGTGAGAGAACCCCGTTGGGAGGACTTTGTCTTTGAGAGAACGGAAGAAGGGAAGCGAAACAGGTTTGAGTACTTTGGGAATGGGTTCACGGAGCGGGAGAAGAATGGCGATGTTTTGTCTTTGACGAAGTATCTCAAAGAGGCTGGCACGGTGGACTTGGCCACGCTTCACGAGAGTTGGAATGATTGAACAGACTGGAGTTTGGCTTTCTTGGTGATTCATGCATTGCACGGTTACGTGGCGTATAGATGAGCCATAGCTATTTCGAAGCATTCATGAATGAAATTGCAAAGGCACAATGGTGCTTACTCACGATCCCCGTCCATGTTTTCACGCCGAGTCTTATCACCCATAACTGATACGAAGATGAGATTGGGAAACACATTGTGAATACTAATCGTTGTTCTGCTCACAGGTGCAACAGCACTAATTGGCTCGGCCTGGTGTAGGTCCAAATGCCGAACGACACGAAAATCAATATTAATCATGCAGTCCTTTGCAGATCTTCCGCAATGAACATTAGATCTAGCCTGATTAAAAAAAACGGTAGTCATATTGATTTAATGAAGGCAGAGCAAATATGTGTTATTCAGTCTTGGGTCCGGGTTGTACTGTAGACAAAATGGTACCTTAGCGTGCTTAGGTACCTAGGTGGTAGTTTGATAAATTGACAGTCACACCAAATGTGAAGATGGATCGAATTTATTCGACTAAGTGTTACGTCATATGAGTATCCGCATCATACAAAGCGCTTTCATGAAATAATCATATATAGTATTCTCAAGATCCGATGAAACCCCATTGGAGGCATTCGTAATGCGGGGAGCACATCGCGCAATTCCTCCACCATCCTATTACAAGCAAACGATAGTGAATTGCAACCCCACTGCACCCCGCACCGTGTACAACTCTATCCACACTAAACCGCAGGTCGACTGATGTGTATTTCGGAAATGCTGATAAACATCGTTGATATCTCCGGTCAATGATCCGTAACTCGAGGTAGCGGGTGATGACGACATTTGGGGTTACTGTGATGAAATGAACCTCGGTCACTGTGTATCTATATCAGATTGAAGCGCCGCGTTTCTTTAAGCTCTCCATAAGCTTCGGACAAGAATTCTTAGCTTCCACGTCAAGTCAAAGTATCAAAGGAATTTGACTAGTGTAAACATGGCCACAACAACTGTACAAACTTCGACAGTACAGGCGACTGGTGCCAGTGACAAGTCGCAGTATGACTTCGCGAACTTAAAACCATACGTTCATCCACCAGAGACAAAAGAAGATTTACCTTGGTCTGAGCTGGTAACGCTCGATCTGGAGGACTACAACCGACCGGGAGGCAAAGAGAGATTAGCAAAGCAGTTGGAGCACGCAGTGCATCATGTTGGCTTTGTAAGTTTTTATTCCCTCTTACCGTGAACTAAGAAATCAACTCTAATTCATCTCCCAGTTCTACGTCAAGAACTTCGGCCTCTCTCAAGACCAAATCGACCGACAATTCACCCTAGCAAAGAACTTCTTCGAGCTCCCCGTCTCCGAGAAAGAAAAATTCGAAGTAAACTACGGCATAGCCGACTACAACGGCTGGCGACGCCCTGGCCGCGCCACAGTAGGAAAAGCAAAAGACAACATCGAGATGTACAACATCCCCAAGTTCATCGATGATTTCAAGGGAAAATACGACCACCCAGACCTCATCAAGGCGCACTTGCCCGAGATCGAAGTCTTCCATCGCGCGCTTCATGCAAATGTCGTCTTGCCATTGCTTCGTCTCTTTGCCATTGTTCTACAATTACCGGATGAGGAGTACCTGGTGAAGCAGCACACTTACGAGAAGAAGTCGGAAGATCACTACCGCTACATGCTGTACCACCCTCGCTCAGACGAAGAATGGGAATCTGCGAACAACGGCGCAACAGGTGGCCATACAGATCTCGGAACCGTCACATTGCTCTTCCGTCAACCTGTGGCTGGACTTCAGATTCTTGGCGAAGATGGAAACTGGACATGGGTTAGTGCACAGCCGGGGACCATCACCGTCAACCTCGCAGACACTATCTCCCATTTGACGGGCGGATGGCTCAAGTCGTCTGTCCATCGTGTACTCGCGCCGCCGAAGGACCAACGTGACCAGAATCGGACAGGATTGTTGTACTTTGCTCGTCCGCATAATGACACTAAGTTGCTGCCTATTACGGATAGCCCTGTGCTAGAGAAGGCGGGAGTGAAGCCTAGGTTTGACAAGATCGTTACCATGGAAGAGTGGGTCAAGGCGAAACAGACACTCCAGCTGAACCCGGACATTGCGGCTAAGAGGTATGCTGAGCGAGGAGATGGGAAGGTTGAAGTGTTGGCTGGATTTCATGACCAGAAATATAAGGAATGAAGACCAACAGAGGTAGTAAACTAAATCCGTCCACCTTGACGAACATCACTTGATTCACAAAGAAAGAACATAACCTGATACTAAAATCTGTATTGTGCAGAGCCCATGGCCGTAGCCATCTGATTCACTTGCGTTTCTGCTATTTCTCACTTATGCACATTTCCTTTTCAGGAAACATTGTCAAAATATATACAAGAAAGTGCTCTAACGTCTACACTTTACGCACGAGCGAATCTGTTCCTGGAGATCCATCCCATGGCCGGAACAGACCTCTTGCTCATCAACGAAACGCTCTCCGCGAAGTCGCTAGTACCCTTATCGGGTTCAGCATCCGCAGACTTGCAAGTGGGCTTCGCGCCGTTCTTTCCGAGACTGCCCTCAACAGCCTGGAAAGAGTGCTTCGTGGTAGTGGTCGCGACCATGTTCTTGGCCGACTCCTCGGTCCATCCGTTGATGAAGTCGCCGTGGCTGCAGAAAGCATTGCCGCACGCCAGCTGGATAGGAGCGGTTCCGCTCCAGCCGTTGGGGAGCACTTTGCGGAGATCGTAGCGGATAGAGAAGCGGAGTTGGGGCATAGCCTTCATCCCCGCGGGGCATGCCTTGTAGTTACCAGGCTGGCCCGCCTTGTAGGCTGTCTCGAGCGTCTGTTCGTTGACGCAGTTGGGAAAGTACAGCAATTGCTGAAGATGAGTGTTGCAAGTGCTGCTGGGGAAGCCGTTCGCATCAGCTGCTCCGCCGCCGCCGTTCTCGCAGAACCACTCGCTGTGGGCGGCTTCCACCATATCGGCGGCGGTCTTTGCTCCAGCGTTGCCAGCAACCATGCGTAGGTTCTGCGGGATGGGCACTTCGGCCGGGGTGTCTCCCAAGCTGTAGTAGGCGCTGAAGCGGGAGAGAGGCACGGGCTCCTGCTTGTCACCGTTCTTGTAGAGAAGCGTAGGAACCCAGTACACGGAAAGGTCGTTGGGGTTCTCGACGTTGGTGCAACCGGCCTGAAGCTCAGCGCTGGTGTTGGTGTTGGCGGTGACGGCATCGGAACCGAAGAATGAGTGTAAGTGGGACTTGCTGTAAGATCCGGGGAAAACAATGGGATCGATGTTCTTGTTCATGAAGATGCTACCAACATTGACTTGGGTATAGCCATGGGCTACTTGCGCCACGAGGCCGCTGGTCAACAGGGCAACGTGGGAAAAGGTGAAGGATGGCATCCTGTGCTGGGGTTTTGGAAAAATGGATGTAAAGGTCCTAAGAAACGAATGGCAAGTGGAAACTTCCACGAAAACGAATGAATTGGGAATGAATGGAATGGAACAGAGGTTATCCTGAAGAACTCATTCAGAAGGCGACATGCTGCGGTTTTGTATGGCCATAGCTAGTACGTACTCGTGTGCCCGTACTCGCGTGTTTCCGTACACACGAGAGAGGCCTATGCACCAGGGACAAGTCGGATCTGTCGATATAGTTAAAACGTCCCAACGGCGGCAACGAGGCCCAGATTGTCGTCGACAGATGAGACTAAACTATAGAAGATTAGAGGGTGAGATGCTAAAATGAAACAATGGGTAGTGTTGTATGATCGCCACGGTGGATCTACCTAATGTGGTTAGAAAGTAAAGGGGTAATTGGCTGGAAGGACCACACGACATGCGAGCGTGGTGAAACACGGAAACATAAACAATAGTTTTCGCTCTCGCATTACTTCTCTATTCTTGAAATGCCTCTAGATTTATGTTTTCCATTGGAGAACACCAAGCTACATTGGACTCCGTTCGGAAGACGGCATGATCGGGGGCCAAACGAGTCAAAATGGTTACTTAATCGCCCGAGAAATCAAGGCCGAGATGGAGGTCCTGAATATTCGATGGTTGCTGCGATCACGTCTCCTCCTTATTCTGCATCCTTTCTAAAGCTAGCCTAGAACAGTCGATTCATGTCAGAACTTCCACTCAAAGTGAGTATCTGAAATCCGGGTGTTTCTCCCCTAAATCCTCAATGCTACCTTCGTCCAGAACATCTGGTAGTTCCTTTCGCCTCTCATTTCTCCGCTTGTTACCAACATAACATCCGACAAACATGATCGTAGCTGCCACCATTCCCATCGAACAGAGCCCAAGCCCAGTGCTAAAGCCAGTGTGATACCTGGGCTCTTCCCGCTTCAGGAAGACATTCGTGCTAACGAAAGCTCCTACATTTCCAAAGCAGACGATTGAACCTAGAGCAACAGAACGCTTGTAGCCTTTGCCTACATTGATGGCGATCCAGACGACTGACATTGGCATGTTCAGATACGCACCGGCAGTCATGAAAAATAACCCCATATACCGAACGCCCGCAGAGCGAGGTTGTATAATCTCGACGATAAGGCCAGTCGCGATCGTGCAGTAGCCGACCATGAAGAAGACGTAGCGCCTTTGAAGATATTCAGCCGTATACGCGAGTGACATGGAATATACCGCAGCAACAAGGTATACAGGTATAGTGCGGACTTGAGCACCCGTGGATGTATATCCGATACCTTTGAGGATGGTCGGCTGGAAACTCGTAATGGAATTGGCGTTTTCCGCTGCACCGAGATAGATCAAGATGGCGATCCAGATCTTCCAGTCTCTATAGAAATCGAGAATGCGCTTTATCGGGAGATTGTCGTGTGCCACTGCCCCTCCATCATCCTTGAGCCTGGCAAGAAGAAGTGCCTTGTCTTTTTCGTTGAAAAATGTGCAGTCTTCGGGGAAAGGAACAATGAGAAACCATGATCCAAAGCTGATGGCAATTGTTATGCACCCTTCGATGATGAATATCCTGCAACAATATCAATGACGAGTACTTTCTTTCGTTTTCAGGGGGAAGCTGACCATCTCCAAGCTTGGTAACCGGACACACCATCCATTTTCGCGATCAAGGAAGACAGAAAGCCATTGAAAGCACCTGCACAAATCCCCGCGCTGAAGAAAACAACGTAGCGTCGCAAAAACTCATTCCTTCTATAGTAAGATCCTATCAGATAGGCGGCTCCAGGTACAAAAGCCGCTTCAGCCATGCCTTCAAGTAGACGACACACTACAAGGCCAGCGAAGCTTTTCGTGAGACCACAGCCAATCACTGTGATGCCTGGCGGAATGTTAGTTTAGAGACTTATAGAGCAATCTTCAGACCAACCCCAGCAAAACATCATGACAGACAATGATTTGGGCCCCGTCTTTTTGAATAATATGCTCAATGGCACACCCGCAATAAGATAACCGATATTGAACACAAACACTGCGATGTTGTATCTTTGTCCCTTCAATTCAAGCTCTTGGTCCATGCCCTTGAGCATTGTCAATGTCAGTCTGCAGCTGTGATGCTCGTCGACAACTCACCTGAATTTTCGCATTGCCGATGTTACTACGATCAACGAAGCAAACGAGATAGAGAAGCCATAAGATCGGTAGAACTTTCAAATCTAGCTTCTTCAGTATTCGAGCTTCGGCGACCTTGTCAAATGGAGGCGTTGGGAGTTGGACATTGCGGGACTCTTCGGAATCGTCTGTTGTTATTGTAGATTTCTCCATTTTTATTTCCATGAGAATAGACAAAATCTTGGAACTCAGAGCCACAAGTCCTGATATTAGATCTTTAGGTGTTTTCCTCGAACGAGGCGTATCGAATTACATAAAATCATGGGAAAGGGAAAACTCAAACCGAGACACGGTAAGACGGGAATTTCAGTCAGTTTTAATCCATAGTCGACAAATATTCAATGTCAGCTCACAGTACTCCCGGGGTAGATGAGGGGTAACACAGATGCAATCGGTGAACGCATACGAGGCAGGTGACTATTAGATCAATATCGACGTTACAGGGAGTTCTGGGTTTAATGATTGGCCCAAACCTTCATCAATTGCATGATAGAAAACCACTGAAACGATCAAGGTAACAAGCTGCGCCGTTAAATGAAGCCGGTCACACAGATGATTATGGCATGCTTCATAGCACTATTACATCCATCGGAGAATAAATACAACCGCGAATAAAATCTCCCAATATCAACTGTACAAGCTTCAATGTGTCGAAGCAAATGCAAATAAGAGAACGCCCGACTTTTCCCATCGCAGTAAGCAATTACTCCCCAGCACTATCATTCGTCGTACCGTTCCACTTGGGCATTTTCTCCCCCGCTGATCATGAGTATGCTGCAGCAAAATACAGGGATACACCTAAGCAACAAGTGGAAGGGATGCTTATCTGAATGAAAGTGTAGGGGGGAAAACCCTGGTATCCTCTCCTCCTCTGTGCACCCAACAAATAATTACTATACTCGAAATCGTCATTTAACCTATCGTCGGGAATAAGCACCATTCATATGTGCTCTCTTAATTCTATAGCATTACCCTACAACAATTCACTCCCCACAACTAACACCATCACCAGTCATCTCACAATGACCCAACCTCTCCACATCCTCATAGTAGGCGCAGGAATTGGCGGACTCGCATGTGCGATAGCATCTCTCAAAGAAGGATTACAAGTCACGATTCTGGAAAAAGCAGACTCTCTCGCTCCGGTACTATGGCCTCTCTACAACTCCATCCATCTGAAAGTTTCCTGATAGCAAGAAGATAGGCGCAGGGATCCAAATTCCACCCAACGCGTCCCGTATATGGTCACAATATGGACTACTTGACCGCCTCAAGGAAGTTTCGGTGGTGTCCAGAGCGACGCAATTACGGCGGTGGGAGACGGGCGAAGTGTTGTGTGAGAGGAGTGTGGGGGAGAGATTGGATGTGCGATGGCCTTGGCTGTGGGTTTGAGATTCCTGCGAGGGATGTAGTATTGAGGCTGATTGCGTATGAAGAGTTATCCATCGAGCGGATTATCAGAGGGTTCTTGTGGAGGAGGCGAAGCGTCTAGGGGTACGGTTGAGGTTGGATGCGGAAGTCGTTGATGTTGATTTTGATGGAACGAAGGTGGTATTGAAAGATGGGAAAGAAATACGTGGGGACGTAATTGTTGGTGCAGATGGTGAGTTTGGTCCCATTGAAGATGGCAGGATTTATTAATAACGACGGCAAGGATCATGGTCAACTTTGCGAAGCCACCTCCTCGGCCATGATTCACCACCACAAGAGACTGGAGATTTGGCGTATCGCGGGACGTTCTCACGAGAAGCATTGCTGGCACTTCGTGATTCAGGTGTGAATGAGCTCTGCGAGCAGAACATCGTAACCATGTGGATTGGGCCGGAGAGCCATGCTGTCTTCTATCCCGTTCGAAGCAGTAATGAATTCAATCTCGTCATGACACGTCCAGACGACCTGCCACCGAACATAAAAACCAAAGTTGGGGACTTAGAAGAGCTGAAAGCTATCTTCGAAGGCTGGGATCTTATGTGAGATTCCCCAAATGTATTGCCAAAATATATTGAAGTGACTTACGCGCCAGATTCAAGTCTCACAAAGATTCTATCAGCATTCTCATCAGTACTGAAATGGAAGATGACGCACCATGACGAACTCCCCTCGTGGACAAAAGCCTGTCTCCCACTCCCCTACCTACTCCTCAGCTAACCATTCGCGCAGAACAATTTCGCCCTGCTAGGCGATGCGTGCCACCCCTCACTTCCCTACCAAGCTCAAGGCGCAGCCCTGGCTGTCGAAGACGGCGCCATCATCGCGACTCTCCTTAGCCTGTACCAAAAAGCAGCATCACTCACCTCCACACGCATTCCCACATTACCAGAGACATTGCAATTATACGAAGAGATACAGAAAACGAGGACTACGACGCTGCACCTTGGATCGATATCTAACCAGAAGATGTATCACCTAGATGATGGGCCGGAGCAAGAAGAGCGGGATAGGATTTTGAAGGCGGCGACGTGGGTGGAGAGACCGGAGGGGAAGGCGGAGCCGTTTCTTTGGATTGATTATAGTTATCAGTATGAGATGTTGAGCCGGGATGCTATCGGCGATGCGAGGAGAAAATGGGTGGATCGTGTTCAGGGTTGTAGAGAGTGAATTCGTTGGGCTCGTAGCAGTCAGTGTGATATATGATACTGCGGAGAGGAGCCCATAGTTATTAAGCTGTAAGTTACCTGCCAGGGGTTCGATATCACTATAAAGGCCAATGGTTCGAGATCCACACAATCACATATTGAAGAACGGCTTGTGCAGTTTGAACAAATTGAAGAACTGCGCAGGGGCGTGAACGAGAGAACAAACGGCTTGCTACATTTGGAGTACACGAATTATAGATGAAATGACTAATAGTATCTGATCTGCAGCACCCCGAAGCCAAGGCGAATGGGGGTATAGATGCATGTGAAAAGAATCTCTTCTTCGACACTTCGCTTCAAAACTGCGAACCAACAGAAGTCCTCCAAAATATGAGATATTTTACGGCTGCAGCCGCCGCTAATGAACTTTCAAAGATGCCGAGCATGATAAGCGGTATTGGAAGATGGGTTGTCGAATTACTCTTCGAGGTAAGAGAGCTTGCGCATCTCTCCCAATCTTGTGCGTGCAGCGGAGAGAGCGTTTTCGAGCTGGAGGATTTCGACCTGGCAAGAACAGTTAGCAATTGAAAATAGAATGGATAATTCGATGTTCGTACCTGTTGCTCCATCTGCTGGACCTTGAACTCGTGGTCTGACAACTTGGTGTAATCTACGGTTTCCTCGCCAGCGTTCTTCTGGGCAATGATCTCCTGCACTTGCCTGACCAATCCTCGGCAAGCGCTAGTAACAGCCTTGGAAGCATTTTCAAGTCGCTCTTGGGTCTTGCTCATGAAGCTGGCCTTTACCCTACTTGCAGCTACAAGCTGAGCGGTCGAGGCGGCAACATCGTTAGAAGCAACGATAAGTCGCTCGGGAGATGCACGTCCCGAGATGACGGCATCTGCAGTCTCAATGAGGGTGTTGGTCGAGGTAGCGACGGCTTTAGCAGCACTGATGAGGCCTTCCGTCCAGCGATTGTGCTTCTTGTAGAACTGTGTCTTCGACATGTTGTTACCACGACCTTCACGCACAATTTCTTGTTGTGAAGCAGTGGCAGCTTTGATAAGTTGTGCAATGGCGTTGGTGACAGCAATCGCAGCATTCAAGATAGAATCGTGGATCTTGAGCTCGTAGGTCGAGTACGAATCACGCGGCTTCTTCATGAGCTTGTTGAGACGTTCCGTTGCAGCGTCGATGGCATTGGCGGCCTTCGTCAATTCGCTATCGACAAGATCGCCGAGATCTCCTTGAGCATTGGCAAGCTTGCTCTTGGGCGCGAAAGCATCTGCCAATTTAGAGAGATTTTGGAGGTTACGAAGCACTTCCGCGTTGTTGTTGACCACGACGTTGATCTTGCCATCCTGATCGAGATCATACAAACGGACAGATTGAACGTTACGGAAGAAGCCCACGGTTGCGGTTGCAGAGGCTCTTGCAGCATTGATAAGCTGATCTGCCTTGTTCTCGTTTGATGCAAACCTGGTCAAGCCCTTTGCGTTACTCAGAACATCAGCGATGGCACCAGAGAAGGCATTCACAGTCTTGATGATATCTGAGTGTTGGGCGCTGGGGCCGTCCGCAACAAAGGCGTTGAAGGCCGTAGCAAACTCCATCGTGCACGTTGATGCCTTCTCGATCTGTGAAAGGACATAAGCTCCAGAAGCGTTCTGGTTACCAGCCTGCATGGATGAATCGAGCTCATAGAGCGCATCGTCAACACGCTGTACTCCACTTTGAAGTACAGAATCAATGATATCGTTGATCTTGTTGAGATTGTCTTGGATGAAGGAATCAAGCTGGCCATCCATCACCGTATCGTTTGCGCGCTCCTTGAGCTTGAGGTCGTTGAGTTCGATCAAAGTCTGGTCCATTCCAGCTCTGAAGATCTCCAACTCTTCCTCCTTGTCGCGGAGCTGGCGCTCAAGATCGGAGTCGCCTTCGCGGAACTTGTCCTGAACATCGTTGAGAGCACGCGTCTTATTCCTGAGAGCCTCCTCTAGGTCGGCGATTTCTCTGTTATGCCTGGAAAGCATAGCAGACAACTCCGAGCCCTTGCCACGTTCCGAGGCATCGGCCCGGTCAAGTGCATCTCGTAGCTCTCGCCTGAGCTTCTCAAGTTCATCTTTGTGGCCACCGGAGTGTCGGTCCATCTCCATTCGGGCTCGGTCACGCTCACGGATCATATCAGCAAGCTCCAACTGCTTAGTCTTGAGCTCTCTAGCTAATCGTTCGCGCGCGTCAATGGCTTCTTGGGCGGAATTGGCCTTGAGTTGCAGGCCCTTGAACTTCTGCAGCAACTGCAAATGTTCGTGGCGAAGCTGCGAGTAGAGCTTGGCAAGAGATTCATACTTTGACCTCCATGTATTCAATTGCTCTTGGAGCGCCCGGACTTGATCATCGCGCGATGACATTTGCTGTTGGAAGTTCGAGTTCATCTGCGCCATCTCGGCTTCTAGGGCCTTCATCCTCTGGTCGTACTGTTGGAGCATAAGCTGATCGCGCTCATACTGGCCGCGCGCAGCCAGATTCTCTTGCTCGAGTTCCGCCAAGCGACCCTGGGTTTGTTGCTGGTATTGATCACGTAACAGTTGTTCCTGGGCCAAGCGAGCCTGTTCCTCCTGAAGTCGCTGTTGCTCCGCGAACTGCCTTTGGGCTTGAAGCTGCTCCTGTTCCTGCTGGCGCCGGGCAGCCTCCCATTGCTCCGCGAGCCTTCGTTGCTCGTCTTCGTATTCTGCTTGACGCCTTTCCTGGTCGTTCTTCCAGAATTCATTGATTGGCTCGGGGTCAACATCTGGCTTGGGGGCTGGCGGAGGAGCCGCAGGTTCTTCGTTCCTGGGCCTTGCGGGCAAAGCTGGTCGCGATTCATCGTCTTCGGATAGGAGGTTTGGAGGGTCCTGGGGCAATTTGGGCACAGTGATAAGACTAGTCAAATAGCGCAAGTTAGAACACTCGTAGTAAAATTTGACCAGGCGGTAATGTTGAGCATCATATCGGCCACGGAGCGGTGACAATGCCTCATCATCGCCGAGTGCTATACGGGTCAGCGTATGAAGCAAGAAGTGATGAATTCACATACTGGTATGCATGGCACGAAGCATGCTCGTGATGAACTTATAAATGCCATAGCTTTCCTGAACCAAGGGAACCAACGCAGATATCCTGCACTCGTTGTTTGCGCCGCTTCGGAAATGCGAAAAAATGAGTTTCTGGAAAGCGTCGATTTGATCTTGGAGTGTCATCAAGTCGGAGATGGTTTCATAACTGAAGTAAGTTAGCGCACCGATATCAACGTAGGTATCGTCCATGGTAGTACCCTTCATTTGGATCGTTGATCGACTTCAAACTGATGTACTCCTCATATTCAAACGTTCCTTCTTCAAGTTAGCCAATGCGACAACTCCGAAGACGCATTCGAGCGCATTCGACGTACCATTGAACTCGGGGTGCTGTCGGTGGAACGCAAGCTTGGCGAGGAGATAGTAGATGTACTCGGAAATGAGAGGGCCGTAACCTGTCACAATGTTAGAATGCGCCCAGCCTTATTGCGCGTGATCAACCGTACCACGTAGCCCCTCGCCACCCGCAACACCTCTTGTCAAGCTTTCGAGCCAATTGATGTTTGATTGTGCCTCCTTGAGGACAATTGGGTGACCTTCCTGGAGCACCTTATGGACGGTGATCAGGGCCTTGAATGTCTGGATCTCATCGGCGAGAATCGGTTGCCTAGATTCATAGAATATCAGTATGAGGAATCCTGATATCTAATAGGCCTGCGTACACTTTCATGCCCGACCAGAACGAGGCAGAGCTTTTGTGGTCCCATGTATACACGATGCAGCTGCGCACATGTTTTCCTACGCATTTGTGAGTTCGTCAAATTCGCGCCGTGTCGGTAAGCTCTCGTACGTTTTGGTGCCGTTTCGTCTAGAAGGTGGTGTCAGTTGATGTCGGTTGGGCGCGGAAGAAGTTGTGATATACCAATGCTAGTTGCCTTGCGAATATTGATGGCCAGATCGGACTCCTGTCTACAATGATGTTTAGTTTCTATCGCTCGGATCGATACTCCGTCACTAGGAATTGCATCTGTGGTCTACTGACTTGCCCATGTCGACATTGCGCGAAGATCCGTACAGCGCCATGTCTGCTACTTTGGACTCGGAAAGGGTACTGATATGCGACGATGGGGGAGCTCCACTACTACTGCTGCCTTCGGCGATGGAGGGCTGGGGGATGGTTTGATCAGAATATGGACAATGAAGGAATTGAAGACCTCAAGGGAGAAGATTATGCCAGCGCCAGGCGAATATGTTCAAGGCGAGGGTTGGCTGAGTGATGAGGGGATGCTCGTGCTCATGGGGGTCGGTCGACGTGAGTTGGAGAGAGCTCCCAGAGATGCTCCGTGCTGTCAGTTGGGCTTGCTTGGCATCGAAGATGACGAAGCTCCCCGCCACCCAAGCCCGTCCCATATCACTTTCCCACAGTCCCCTCCCTGCTTACCAGACGCGCCGCATACTTTTTTTTTAAATCGCTGCCTTGGGGATGCACGCCTTTACAGCTCAGACGCGCAGGCTGCATGCGTAATGGGTGTTCACTGAGTTGTCATCCGTAATGGAGGGATGGGAACACCACCAGGGTTATGGTTACGCTAGGGGCCTCCGCGTTCATAGACCGATCATGCAGGACAACACATCAGATCATCAGGAACTCTATGTCATTTTATATACAGGCATGCTGGACTCTGCAGCACGCACATGGGGATACCCTTAACCAAACGCCAACGCAATGCTAACAACTATCAATAATGATCCGAATGTCTCAGATTGTTTTTGCACAGGAGGCAGATGAATCGATCTGTTTTGCACTATATGACTTCATCCTTGCCCAGGAATGCAGCCATTGGGTCGTTGGCCATGGTCCTCTTCCGCCTGTACTCGTCCATCTCTTCCTCGGTGATACCGTTCGTCATTTCTTCCAGAGTCCGCTTTTTCTTCGTCGCTTCGCGACTGGCCTTCTGGTCTTTCTCCACTGCATTTGGTACATGTTCTTCCAACGCCTCTTCCTCTTTCCAGGCAACGGCCTTGGGCACTTCCTCAAGGTCGGCGCCGGTGCGCATCCTGTCGGCCTGTTCAAATGCGGCCTTGCCTGCATCTCCCGTGCAGTAGGAATTCTTCACGGTCGAATGACAACATGCGTATCCCCATTGGAAATTAGCCCACCAGCTGCCCCATACTGATTTGTGGTTGTTGGTGAACACATCCTCTGCGTACTTTGATTTTGCCTTGATCTTGGGAGCTCCTTTGATGCCACCTCGTTCGTCGTACTCGACGTATCGTTCGTTCTCGGTGATAGCAGCCTTCTTAAGTTTGTCGTCGTTGAATTGTTTCTGCTCGCCATACTTGTCCTGCAGAGCCTTGCGATGTGCCGCCTTCTTCTCTTCCGCCTCCCGGAGCTCCTTCTTCCGGAAAAACTCTCCGGAGGTGGGATTTGCCTGTAGGTGAAGCTTGTCCTTATCTCCGCGCTCTTGCGTTTCCCATGCGTAGCGCTGAGCTTCCGCGAACTCTGCTGCATCTCCAGATGCTCGCGCAAAGCCTTCCTCAGCCACTAGAGCCGATGCATTGTCTTCTGTCGCGCCGCTGTCCACCATTGTTCGTGTTTTTGGATCATATTTGGCTGAGTCTAGGTCCAAATTCAGAAGGTACTTTGCTGTATCTTCGCGCAGTCGGAGATTTCGTGTAGATGTCGCCTGCTTTCTGCCCATATCCGTTTCTGCATCGTATTTATCGCCTTCGTCGCCTTCTTCCTGTCCTTCGCCGTCGCCCTCGGCCTCAGCTTTTGCCTTCTTCTTGAGCGCTTCAAGCTCGTTAAACTCTTCTATGACCGCATTGTATTCCTCTGCATCGTATCCATTCCACCGATCGCGCTTGGCGTCCCAGCCGAGTTGTACATCTTGTATAAGCTCGTCGGCCTCAATATTCTTGCCCGTAAACTTTGCGCCTGCCTTCCTTGGGCGGCTCAAGCAGTCCTTTTTCTTGTGTGTCATCGCGCCGCAATTCTCGCATGCGCCTTTGCGATACTTGGTAGCTGCTGGAGCAAGCTTCTTCCCTCGATCGTACCATTTTGAGTCCTGTTCTTGCTTCTGTAGACGCTGATGGTCGAGGTAATCGTTTTCATTTCCGGTCTCATCGACGGCGTAGAAGGGCTTCTTGGAGATGAAAGAGGGTATGTACTCGTTGCGTTCTTTATTCGCAGCTGAGACGTCCGGCTTTTTGGGCTGCGCGCGCGACATTGTGCTTCGTGATCGATGGTATCGTTGGCGACAGGAAAGATTATGTTGAACAAAATAGACGCAGCAGATGGGTCGGCGGCGATGGCGCGGAGGAGGCAAGTGGACCAACCTACCTAGACAGCTAGCGCGATAGGGCTGGAGCTAAGCCTATCCCGGCATTCATGTGAGCACGCGCTCGCGTTCCGACCCCCGCGGACCTCTCTTGTTGTCTCGCTGCATGCTTGACTTTGACATTCACACATCTTTTATGCATTTTCGCGCATGTTAACATACTTATTCGCATCATGCGACATTACCCTATCTTTGGAGACTGAATCGAGCTCATGGACACGTTCCGCTTCCGTCTGAATTGCATCGACCACTATCAAGCTGCACCCACAGACCTTGATCCTGTACTACGTCGTCATGCAGGACCATCACAACGCCATAATGCTCCCCAGGTTCCTATAATACGTGCATTCGGAGCAACCGAAACGGGCCAGAAAGTATGTGCACATATCCATGGAGCACTCCCCTACTTGTACCTGGAGTACAGTGGAGGTTTGGACAATGAAACTGGTATTCCTGCCACCGAATTCTTCGATTAACTGCTCTGACACTGCCTAGTCGATACATACATTTCCAATCTCCGAGCTTCTATCGATCATGCTCTCGCCACAGCCTATCGACGAAACGCGTACGACGGGAAGTATGTCTACGTTGGACACATTACACTTGTCAAAGGCGTCCCGTTCTTTGGTTATAGTGTTGGAAACAAGATCTTCTTGAAGGTCTACTTGCTTAATCCTCTCCACATGACTCGTTTTGCCGACCTACTCTACCAAGGAGCCATTCTGAATCGCAAATTTCAACCATACGAGAGCCACATGCAATACATCCTGCAGTGGATGTGCGACTTCAATCTTTATGGATGCGCGTACATGGACTGCGCCAAGGTTCAATTCCGCAGTCATGTGCCCGATAGTGAAGAGATAGATACGACAACACATAAGTGGCACGATGAATCAATTCCACCAGAATATGTCACTGAATCAGATCAATATCCGCGACTGAGCCATTGCACCTTGGAAGTCGATGTATGCGTGCAGGACATTTTGAACCGCCATGAAGTACGCCCGAGGCATATTCACCAAGATTTCTTGGAACGATTCAACTTGGGCACTTCCGACGAAAAATACGTCCCGTCCATGGCCGGACTGTGGAGAGATGAAACCCGTCGACGTAAAATACGCATGGGTTTGACAGATCCCTCTAGTAGCCCCTTCCCACCTGAAGTTCTGGTCTCGATGTCTGCTGAAAGTAGATCTGAGAAAGGCGGATGGATACATGAGGACGAATTCAGGCAAGTTCTTGCTAAGTTGATTCGTGACGAGAGGCTAGAGGAACCCAAACCGAGTTTTGACTCTTTCGTGAAGCAGCAGGAAGGAGAAGATGCAATCAAGACTGCCACCGAGAGTATAGAGGACCTGTTCCCTGAAAATCTCCTTTCTCAGCCAGAGGAAGACCCGGAATTCGAGACTGTCACGGACAATGATTTCAGTGTTGCAGACGGCAGGGTCGGGCCCGGGGAACGAGAAGGGGCACTTGGCGATTTTGCTGGGGAAGATGAGGCAGACGCCGAAGTGGACTCAAATGCGGATGAACAGCCTCCTCAAGATCCATTGAGTGTTTCGGAGGCGCTGCACCGTTCCTCAGGAGAAGACGTCTTTCCCTTCGACGATGATTTCGACGAGGCTATTAATCTTGACGGAGACAATGATTTAAATCTGGTATCTATCAAGGGACACAAACGGCCAATTGAGTACGATAATGAAGATGGTGACCCGCCAAAACGACAACGGATCCTTACAGGATCGATCCTGGGTGCCCCTCGCCGTGTCTCGTTCCAAGCGGCTAGGAACGATCAAGACCCTGTAGCACAAGGCCCGGATCCAATTGATTCCGAATTGAAAGACATTAAACTCTCCCAGACAAGTATCAAAGCGCAAGGCACGTCAAGACCAACTACTTCATCCTTTCCAGTTGTTAAGAATCCGAATGCTCCCGAGACCTTACTTCGTTTAAGCCAGTCTGGCTACTCGAACTCCCAGGAGGCACCAAAAACCCCGTATCTTAAGAAGGTCGACGATTCTCCCTCGATGACGCCCCCCAAAACGCCATGGAGTGACCAAAAAGCGTCATTGAATTCGCCAGAGAAAAGCAGTGCCGCCTCTCATGCAGAGGTCACTTCTCTAGTGGCTAAACTTCAAGAAGCATTCCCACACTCCCCCCGAACTGTGTACTTCGCACATCTGCCGCCATCACAAGAGCTTGTTGAGAACACACTACAGCAAGCTGGCTTACCCTCAAGAATTTACCAGTGTGCTTACTATAGCGACGAACAAGATGTTCCAGAGCGGCCAAGATCTTATGCTGGGCGTGAATTCAAATTACAAAGTAACACACTGCCGTTTTTACCGGATTTTGACCCTACCGGAACATCGCCAGCAAATTTCGGAGAGGCGCCTGCAGTTGTCTTGGGAAAAGCGAAAGAGGCCACTGCCAGTCGCTTGCGGTCTCAGAAGTGTTCCTTCCGTCACTGGGAGATTGCGAGCTTACCGCCCTCCTTCGCTGAGGTTGAGGCATGGCACAGGGCTGAAGTTCGAAATGGATCACAGCCCAAAAAGAAAGAGAAGAAGGAGCTAAAAATACGGCGGAAGCTAGATGCCAGGGATCTCTCCCAGATCGACGGGCCTACGCAAAAGAACAAGCACGGGTTCAAATACTCTCAGAAGCAACAATCAACAAGCGTCAAACACGAAACTCAATACATGAGCATATTGAGTATAGAAGTACATGTCAATTCCCGAGGCTCATTGGTCCCAGATCCAGCCGAGGACGAGGTGCAATGTATTTTTTGGTCCATTCAGGGAGAAGAAGACGCAGTTGGCAATGCCCCAAGGGTCGGCCTGCTCTGCCTCTCTGATGATGACGGCATTGTCAACCGCATTGCCAAGCAATCACCCATCGAGGTTGAATATGAGGAAGATGAACTCGACCTCCTCAACCGATTGGTAGATCGTGTTCGTGAGTTCGATCCCGATATCCTGACTGGTTATGAGGTTCACAACAGTTCTTGGGGCTACCTTATCGAGCGCGCACGTCTCAAATATGAGTACAATCTGTGCGATGAGTTCTCTAGAATGCGAACGCAGTCTCATGGCAAATTTGGAAAGGACGCAGATCGATGGGGGTTCACACACACGTCATCAATTTCTGTGACCGGCCGTCATATGATCAACATCTGGCGAGCCATGCGCGGGGAGTTGAATCTGCTCCAATATACCATGGAGAACGTTGCCTTCCATCTTCTACACAAGCGCATACCTCATTACTCTCACGCTGATCTGACATCATGGTACACGAGTTCTAAGCCACGGGATCTGGCCAAAGTGCTAGAATACTTCACAAGTAGAGTGCAAATGAATCTAGACATTCTAGAAGCGAACGAGATCATACCTCGTACCAGTGAGCAAGCACGCCTTCTAGGAGTCGATTTCTTCTCTGTCATATCGCGTGGCTCGCAATTCAAAGTCGAGTCTACCATGTTCCGGATCGCAAAGCCCGAGAACTTCATTCTTGTGTCTCCGAGTCGGAGGCAGGTTGGACAGCAAAACGCTCTCGAATGCCTACCTTTGGTCATGGAGCCCCAGAGCGACTTCTACACCAGCCCCGTACTCGTCCTCGATTTCCAATCGCTCTACCCTAGTGTCATGATCGCATACAACTACTGTTATTCAACCTGTCTAGGGCGTGTCACAAGCTGGCGAGGCCGCAACAAGATGGGCTTCATGGACTTCAAGCGAGAGCCGCAGTTGCTCGAACTCGTCAAAGATTACATCAACATCGCGCCTAACGGCATGATGTACGTCCAGCCCGAGATGCGGAAATCCCTTCTCGCAAAGATGCTGGGTGAACTACTCGAAACCCGCGTCATGGTCAAAAGCGGCATGAAGACAGACAAAGACGACAAGCCCTTGCAGCAGCTTCTCAACAACAGACAACTTGCTCTGAAGTTGTTAGCGAACGTCACCTACGGATATACATCAGCTTCATTCTCCGGCCGTATGCCCTGCTCCGAAATTGCCGACAGCATCGTCCAGACCGGCCGTGAGACGTTAGAAAAGGCAATTGCCCTGATTCACTCGGTCGAAAGATGGGGCGCAGAAGTCGTGTACGGCGATACCGACTCACTCTTCATACATCTCAAAGGTCGCACCCGCGACCAGGCCTTCACCATCGGCGAAGAAATCGCAGAAGCCGTCACGAAAGCCAACCCTCGACCCATCAAGCTGAAATTCGAAAAGGTATACCACCCGTGCGTCCTCCTCGCAAAGAAGCGCTACGTCGGCTTCAAATACGAATCCCGCGCCCAAACCACCCCCGACTTCGACGCCAAAGGCATCGAAACCGTCCGCCGCGACGGCACACCTGCAGAGCAAAAGATCGAAGAGAAAGCCCTCAAGATTCTTTTCCGCACCAGCGATCTCTCGCAAGTGAAGGCCTACTTTCAAGCCCAGTGCACAAAGATCATGTCCGGCAGAATCAGCATCCAAGACTTCCTATTCGCGAAGGAAGTCAAACTAGGCATGTACTCCGAGCGCGGTCCGCCACCCCCGGGAGCCCTCATCGCGACGAAGAAGATGCTCGCGGATCCCAGGACAGAGCCCCAGTACGGCGAACGTGTGCCTTACGTCGTTATCACGGGAGCACCAGGAGCCCGCCTCATCGACCGCTGCGTCAGCCCGGAGACGCTGCTGCAAAGTGACCATGTCGAGCTTGACGCCGAGTACTACATCTCGAAGAACCTCATCCCGCCTCTGGAGCGGATATTCAACCTCGTGGGTGCGAATGTCAGACAGTGGTACGACGAGATGCCCAAGATCAGACGCGTTCGCGACGTCACAATACCCTTCATCAGTGGCGGCGCGGTGGACTCTTGCGCGGGAAACGCTCTCATCCCAGGCGGTGCGGCAAATTTGAAAAAGACACTCGAGAGCTATATGAAAGCGTCCAACTGCATCGTCTGCCGCGCCAAATTGACCTCGCCTCCTCCAGTGGCTCGATCAGATGCTGAGCAGGTCCTCTCCGTCACACTTCCGCTGTGTACAAAGTGTCTCGCGAAACCGACGAATACGTTACTAACTTTGAAGACGCGTATCTTGAAGAATGAGAAGAGGGTTAAGGAGACGGATATGGTGTGTCGTAGCTGCGCGAACGTCCCTTGGAATGAAGAGATCAAGTGTGATAGTAGGGACTGCCCGGTGTTTTATTCGCGGATCAAGGAGAGGTCGAAGTTGGCGACACTCCAAGAGGGTGTGGGACGTGTTATTGAGGTTCTGGAGAGGCAGGAGTTGGATAGAGATGATTTAGAATGGTAGAAGATGAATAATGATATTGTAAAGACGCAACTGGAATCATAAAAAGATCAAAAGCGCAGAGAACTTGGGCCTTATCAATCAACCTTCTGAGCAGAACTGAGCACAATTGAATACCTCTCTTGCCTATCTACCAACTGTGGCCTTTGTCTGTGCTGTTCCCCTGATTGAGAGACGGATACACGCAACAAGAACATTCAAGACAGTCTTTGGATGAAGGAGAAATTTTCTCACCCAACTTATGCCTACCAATCAAGCGTTGAACCTGGCGCGTGTCACCGCCCTAGCTCTATCACCTTCACTACAACCACACTAATTTGCATGTAAAAGCGGATTTTCATCCCGCCGACGAGGCAATCGAAGTGAAGGTAGCCTTCATTTTCCCTCTCTTACTTTCTCTGTTCTTTTTTACCCCTTCATTCCTCTCTCAGCCTTGTATCGCTGTGACCGTCAACAGTGGCATTTGCCTTCGCCCTAGCTTCTACATCATCTCTATTAGCAGTCCCTAAGACAGATACTTCATTCCAACAACGGCCAACCTCTCATATTCACGACCTTCGATAACAGAGACTGACTTTCGGTAACGATCCACCTGCGTCACTTTCATATCATCTTGACTGGCGGTCTATCTGGACTACATTGATACAGAAAGTCACGCCAGGTCAAAAACATCCAGCAATCATGTAGCTTTTTCAGGCGATCTTGCATGAACTGTAATTGACACTTGGCAGTCCATATACGCTTCTTTCACGTTGACCATGAAAGTGGAAGATTTGCACTTGGGTCGCGCGGAAGTGATCAGCCTAATCACGGAGAAGAGAAAAGACTGGAACACACTCGTTCTGAAACGTCGAGACCACATGCAGCTGCATGATCGAATGGAAAAGGGAAAATTAAGATGTTTTCAGAAGTGTGACGAAGCTGATGCCGAGATGCAACGACTCCGTGGAGCATGCACCAGCAGCATGGAAAAAAAGAAAAAGATTGACGAGGCCATGGGGTTGCTCCACCAAGAAATCGATAGGTGCGGTCAAAAATCGCTGGAATGCTTTCAAAAGTGGGCGGAGCACCTTCGGAAAGCCTGGGAGGTCGCAGACCAGATATCCAAACTGGAAACCGAGATGAATATCCTGAATGCGTACCATAGAGGCCAACAACACCCAGACGTCTCGAATATATTTTTCCCAGTGCTTGAAGAGGAAACGTACTATGAAAAGTGGACTCGAACGTTGCACACACAGATGTCGTTCAAAGAGAAACAGAAAATGGTCACCGATCTGTGCCCGCAAGAAGAATCGAGTGACGATGATGACGACACTGAATCTAACGATCCATTATTTGGACCGCCCTATCCACACCTACGGGATGAAGACCTCGTCGATTGATCACACATGAATATCGAAGGCTATCAGCAAGGCACTCCTTCAACGGGGTCTCGAGGGCTAACTGGACTCGATCAACATCCTCCCATGACGACAGATGGTAATTTCCCCCGTCCCCCCGTCCCCTCCCCTCCAAAACTGACAGCCTCTCACCTCACACACACACAGTATCATCATACCCATAATCATACCCACAAGAAGGGATACGGCATTGAACACTCGCAAGTGAGATATACAGAGTTCGGATAGCTTGGTTAAATCACCCCTCCCCATTCGCAATTCCCCAGCCCCCATTCATACAGTGGTTCTCCTAGCCTCTATCCCTTCATACATGTAGACATAAATGTAAAGATACGTGAACCGTGCGTGATATCTAAAGTCTTCAACATGCAACGTGATGCATCATGAGTAGCTGGGCAACTCGTCTGTTCCATCTAGATGTGCGAAATTGATACATGCACATCGATGTCTTATTTACAACCCGAATCCATTCTCCATACACTAAAACAGTTCCACACAAAGTTCCAACCCCTCAAGCCTTGAAAATCTCCAACGGAAACGCATCCGCCATAGCCTTATAACCCGCGCCATTCGGATGCAGCGAATCCCCGCCATGAAACTTCGCATCAATCTGACTCGGATTGCTCTTATTCTCGATAGCCTTCGAGAAATCCACCGTATGATCGAATGTCCCGCTCTCCAGGATCCACTTATTCACCTTCTTCCTCGCGGTCTCGCGGCCGTTGCCCGCGTAGCTCGACCCGCCGAACGGCGTGATGGTGCCGCCGATGGTCTTAAAGCCCGCTTTCTTAGCGTCCGAAACGATCTGCGTGAAGGCTTTGATGAGCTGGTCGGCGACGGAAGAGGCAGAGGAGTCGGGCGTGTTGCCGAGGTCGTTCACGCCTTCGAATATCATGACCCATTTTGTGCCGGGTTGGGTGATGGCGTCACGTTGGTAGCGAGAGAGGAGGGTAGGTCCGAGGCCGCCGCTTAGGACTGTGTTCTATAGTGGCGTATGTCAGTTAATTTGGGTTTGAAAGGATGAAGTGTAGTAATGGCTGGGACTTACTCCTCCGGCGGCCTGGTTGCAGACGGCGACGTTTGTGTAGTTTGCGGCTTGGAGGCGAGCAAGGACGAGGTCTGGCCATCTGGATAAAGTTAGCAAAAGGAGGCTGTTGAGATTTCGGGTTGGATTACCTGTTGTTCTTGTTGTCGTCACTGCCTCTTCCATCGGTGATGCTGTCTCCCAAAATGATGAGCGAACCAGTGTCCGTTGGAACATAAGCTTGAACGGCAGAAACGAAGTACCTGCATGGATTAGACTAAATCCAACTATATTCAGGGGTAACGTACCAATGCACCGATGCAGTCCCAGAAAATGAAGTAGCATTAACCTTATTACCAGCAACGAACCAACTCGTTGTCCTGCTCCCCGGATGTCCAGTAATGCTGCTCCCGCTCTGGCCTTGTTGGCTGTACAACGTCACGGCAATGTTACTCTGGGGTTCGACTTTGAAGTTGATCTCGTCGCTAGTAACCACCTGTCCCCTCGGGACCGTGAAGCTCGATTTGCCGCCGACAGTGATGGCTGCGAGGGGCGACTCCTGGATTCCACTGACTCCCGCGGCACCACCGGCAGTGAGAGCAACAGAACCAGCCGTAATAGGAAGATCGCTTCCGCCGAAGGTATTGGAAATTGTGATTTTGATCTTCGGTGCCCCTACGGACATATGGAGTGTCTGACGGAGCGTGGCGTCTTTCAGTACACCCCCGGAACTCTGTAAGCTTTCAGTACTGGACTATCAATCGGTTGTAATGGATAATACGTACGAACGGCGATGGCGGCATGTTATTCGACTCGACCAATTGCGGCATACTCGTCCAAGTGTTGACCCAATGGAAGCCATCCTGACGTTTCTCAACGGCGTCAACGGCACGACCGTGTGCAGCTGCTGGCAAAAGAGCCGCAGCCACGAGGGTGACTGCGAGGGATAATTGGACTCCGAACATTTGGGGAGAATATAGCCGTTCAACCTTCAGTACTGGACAATGAACAACAGAACGCAATGGGCCAGCAATGAACGCACTAGGCGTTTGCTTTTATAATGTTGGCACATGATGTGGAGTATTTATGATCCCGCGATCCGACTTTTAGATTGACAATGCGAAGTGGGACAATATATGGGGAAGGCGATATACGCAATTGCGATGATCTGTTTTGTGGGATGGCTGTTTGAGGGTAATTAATTGTCATAACGCGGGGTATATGAGCGACCGAGAAACGATGTGGAGCAGGTTAGGGCTCCTTTGATCCATCATGAATAGCCGGGACTTCGTTGAGGAGTGTGAATATTTGCCGTTGCAAAGTGGATCTCCTGACTTACAGGATCAAACATCGAACCAGTTGAAGTTGTTAAAAGCGTAGCGACAATTGATATTCATAGTAACAGTCACTGGCCCGTTTTTTAGAAGAAGTCAGCAGCATTCTCGCGAACAATTCCTGGAAGATCACCCACGCGTCCAATATATTCTCTCGCGCCTCAATTGGCGGAGCATCACTTCTGCCGAGGATGAAGACCCGACGTGTGGAGAAAATTCCGACAAAATGCACTCAAAGGCTGTTAGTAATTCCAAAAGTAGAAACAGGGACTTGTCTCTATACAGTAATGGTAAGTAAGACTGTAATTAGCCCTAGGGTCATTTATCTATTTATCATATTCGAAAACAGGTTACTAATTCACCTTATTTCTCGCTCAACTTGTTTTCAACTCCTGAAAGGGTTGAGTTTCCAGAATCAGATCCTCTATCTTTTGGAAAGTTATTTGTAGCTTTGAAACATTGCTCTCGCTCCTTCAAGCCACAATATCTTGCCCTTCCCCGTAAACTGGTACCAACGAATGCATTTCACTATTTATTATTTGTCCATCACGTGCACAGTCATTGAGCTTTATCTGTAGCCTGATCAATGCGAATCAATTCCAGGGTGTTCCAATAATTATCAATTGTGTTACCTGTCCGGGAGCGATGTCTCAGCATCTCAGCTAGTGCATTCAATCCTCATCTGATAAAACGGAGGATAAAATCCAAACATAGCCACGAAACACTAGCAATGATAGGGTGGTTGGTGTAAGTCACGGACGATACGGGAAGCCTATGATGAATAAAAGGGATCCAGCATAGTATCATATTTCCCATTTAGTCATTCACTGCTCCTGTGTTAGTTGTCCAAGCGGGTGGAATAGAGGACAGTAATCGGACTCTTTGTGCATATTTTCACAAATATAGTTGTCAATATGCTACACAAGCGATGAGTTCACTTGCTGCATTTGTAGTTATATAGGACGCAACATAGGAGGGAAGTATGATAGTTACCAAAATCCATCAACCATCACATCAACTTAGCCATTCCATTTCCAATGTTCAAATTTTAAAATGGATACAAAAATGCACTCCTTCACTGCCTTCTATAACACCCTCTCCACATCTTCCCTTCACAATACTCCTCTTGAATTACTCGTAGACTGACCACCCACTGATCCAGGGATATAGTATACCAATCAAACAAACAACCCATTCCCATAGCTAATCCGCCAAACCTCTCAGACCCTGAGCCATCTTAAAACCAATCCACCATTCGAACCCGCAACCATCCGACCAATCCCCTCCCACGCACCCACTTCCGTCAACCCGACATCCAATCGCTCCTCCTTCCTCCTACGCCTTGCCCTGTTTGCCCGCAACGTGCGCTGGTTGCTTGGTACTCGGAGGACGTGGACATGGCGCCGATCCGCGAGAGGCCAGCAACAAAGTCGAAAAGGTAAAGACGCTACCGCGGACGCTATTGCGGGTGGTTTTCCGGATCGACGCCAGCCAGGGCTAGGGCTAAGGAGTGACGTGCGACTGAGAGCGTCGCTGGACTTCAGCGTTCGTTGGTTTGCTTTGCCTGCCTATTACGAGTGTAGTTGTGGGGATTTTGCTGGTGCAGACAGGAGTGTAGACATTTACTGTAACAGGCAGAATCTTCTCGTCTCAGAGATAGATCCACGTACGAGTACTCCGACCGCATAAGAATCAACGTCCAATCTTCGCCGTGAAGTCAGTCGCACATAACAGCGCCCGGCGTGATCTACCTTTCGATAATTCGTATAGGTAAAGCCATAATAAACTTAGGTGGTTACCTGATAGACCTGGACGTCGGAACATCCCGCTACCTTTCTCAATTTCCACCACCCCTTTTCCTTAACAACCACCAACCCATGCATTGAACTTTCCGCTGTTCTATCGAGTGTTGTCTTTCGCTCAACAATATAGAGAAAGGAAAAACATTGTTTTGGAGATTTGGCAATTTTAAGCCTTCGCGCGGAAGCTCGTCCGGACGCGCGTGGCTGGCTAACATGGCGTGTCATCTCCCCAGCTCCAGCCCATCATGCAGGTACAGTTCCGCGTACCTTTCGCGCCACGCCATGTGGACGGGATGGATTGATCAGCGACGTGGATGTTGGATATTTGAACGGCGGGTGTGGCGTGGAATGGAGTGATTCCCATAGTTATGAAGACCATTATGTTGGGGGGAGATGTTGGAGGCGTGGTGGATGGGAGGGTCTAGATTTGTGGTGTTGCTTTTTGATGGTGGAGGGGTAGGGGGCAGGGGAGGGGAGGGTTGGAGAGGACGTGAGGCTGAGTGGTGTTGACGTTGAGGTTTATGGGGATGAGTGTCGCCGGGAGATGGAGCGCGGTGAGTAAGGTTATGATTGTGATGTGACTATGCCAGTTGATTAAATGTGTACAATATGAGATATCGACGTAGGCATCGTGAATTGGTAGATTGTCTGAGAACATGCTTGTCAGACGACACACCAACAAATGCGCGATACAAGATATTATGATTTAAACAATCATATTACACTACATCATCACCTACATACGCTGCTGCGCTTCCAACCATGATATGTGCCATTCAATCCCACCTACAAGATCAAAGCGCGCCGCAAGATCACGCGAATCGACGAATTCCCAACAGCGGCTAACCGCATCATCGCATATGCCCTCATGACCATCATCCTGTAAGACGTCAAAGTGCTTCCTTCCTTCCTTTCAGCAGGGAAGACGTCCTCCTCGCATACTTCCTTTCCCATAACATGCGCCGAGCACCTCGTTCATAGTCAACGAACCAAAACGCCGGAGGGATATCAGCCGTACCCAATTCAAAAGAGAAACCCGAGGTCAAAACCGATATGAAGGGTATTGTGCGCGAACCGACAAAAGCTAAACAGTTCAGAAGATAGGCATGAATATAGACATAGAAGAAAACAAACGTTGTTGTTACATTTGACGACCAGGGCTGGCGCCGTGCATGCATAGGGGGGATGGCGAAGCTAAGACTCGACGACGACGGCTACGGCGGCTGCAGTGGCGAAGGGAAGGCGTCCAAGCAGTGAACCAACCAAACTATGACGAGCGTGTGCGGTCGTTCCCCACACATGATGCAAGGGAAGTCCGTCGCACGTTGACGACGCCATGGTTGCACGAGGGCTGCTGGACGACATCGAAACTGGAGCGGAGGGGGTGGCTGGGGTCCTTTCGCTCCATAAATGACGCGCTTTTCTCATCGACCTTGCTCCTCCTGGTGCGACGGTCTCGAGAATTCGCTGCTAGATATCCGCGACGGGAGGCGTTGGGGGTCGGTGTTGAGCATTTCGCGGAGCGCGATCTGGGCTTCCATGTCCATGGGATCAGCGTGGTGGTAGGGAGTGTCTTTTTCGATTTGTGACTTGGACTGCCGGGATCGCGGGTGCCGTCGCTGGGCTATGTATTCGAGGGTCTCGCGGTAAGCGCGTTTGCATTCGGGCCATGTTGTTGACATGTAGATTACGGCGTTCCAGAAGCCTTGGAGGGGGAGGACGAGGGCGGAGGCGAGGTTGAGGCCGAAGATGGGGTTATCTTTGTGGATGAATTGCTGGAGGCGGTTGACGGTTGAGGGCACCCAGACGATGAACAGTGCGGCGAACATGAGGAATGAGACTTTCAAGTAGCTCCAGGCTGCTAAGTTGCCGTCTCTTATGTGGGTGTGGCGGGTTAGCGATCCTCGTTTCCCGGTCGATGACTTGCGCGATACGGTGGGTTCGAAATCGTTGTTGGCGCTGATCATGACTTGGTATCCCCTGCCTTCTTCGTGGTGAGCTGGTACAGGGTCTGTTATTTGAGTGACGTTGGATAGGTTCCTCGTGCTGGAGAAGGAGTCGCGCGACTCGTTGGCGCACATGGTAGGCTGTGCTGAGATCTCCGAACCGATGGTCTCGGTAGTGACACGCATATCGACATGCTTGACGATGTTGTGGGGTTCGTTGAATGTGAAAGGGTTGGTGATGACATGAGTGGTGGAGTCCGTTCTCACGGGGTTCGATAGTGACCGGAGTTCTGCCCTCTGTCTGAAGATGGTGCGCCCAACATAGACGTAAATGGACAGTGTCATGGTGATGACGAACCAGACGGGGGCATAGAACCACGCGATTCGCATCCACTCTACTCTTTTGTCAACCCAACACCAGATCTACGGGTAACGTCAGTCATAGTTCAAAGAATGTGAGCTTTTACGTACAGTTGCGCCGCCAATGACGCGATCTTTGCGGGAGTGGTCGAGAATGAGGTATGCCAGACACGGAGTGAATGGTAGGCCATATGCGAAAAGAAGATACCACTTCTCAAGTCGGTGGAGGCGACGGATATCACAGCTGCTCTTAAATACTATCAACACATTGAGCGCCATGCAGAAGACCTAGCCAACTGATCAGCATTGATTCAATGAAGGGGTTGTACGTCTGAATTACCCATAGAGAATCTGCCATCATAAACCTGTCTTCTGTAAGCAAAGTCCCACTAGAGGAGCGCATTTGAATACATACCATTGAATGAAGATACCTTGAAATCGGCAGAGCGTAGAAGGAGTTTGGCCCTTGAGAGGCAACGCAGTGGTTGATATCATAGTAGCGACATTGGCCATGACGTTTCCGAAGGACGCATAAAATACCAATCGATTGATCGGCTTCCTGAAGTATTTCCACTTGATGAAGGTGACCATGATGTAGAAAGAACCAAGGATCGAAAACACAGACATCGTCCTTTCTGATATTTGTACCGCCATCACCTGGCTAGGCGTGAAAGGTTTCCTGGCCATGTTGGCGGTGGTCGAATTGGCCGCTTTAGTTAGGACAGTGGATGCCAACGAGAGACCGCCCGAGCAGATTGCCGGATAATTCCCTGGAAGCGGTATAAAATGTCGCAAAGGATAGTTCAGCTAGGGACTCGCATGGATTTGGGTGGTTGGAGGCCAGAGGGAAGTGTACGGAGTGCCCCAACAGAGGTTCTTGCGACTGTTGATCTTCGCAGTACGATGGTGTTTGGTAGAGCGGCACAACGTCAACAACGACGTTATTTCCAAGACGAAAGCGTTTGCATATGAAGGTCCCAAGTAGAATTCGTCGCGTAGAGGCGCGTAAAGGTGAAAAGGCACCGTCTTGACGTTGGACCTAGCGACGAAGGTATTCCGAGACACAAGTCGTGCCGAGGAGGCCGGGGATCTCAGGAATGCAGGCGAGCTGGAAAGAGATCTCAACGGAAATGTTCAAATCCGATGGGGGCGCTCTTCTAAGGTTGCGTACAGAGTGCTCGGGTGTCTCCAGGAATTTGAGCAAGGGAGTACAGCATAGGTAGGGAGGGAGCACAAGTTCTGATGATGACCCTTTTGAGGAACGTTACACGGCCTAGAAGGGCAAAGGAACAACAAAGACGCCAAAGTGTGCGTTGAGGCCCTTGGTAACGGGTATCTAGAGCGGTGTGGAAATAATGAATTGACACAATAAAGGACGTGTTAGTTGCGAGAGTGTACTCATGGATATGGGTTGGCGGTTAGAGGTGGAACAGTGATGCGGCAGCAGAGAGCCTCATTGTGCAACGCACGAGGTACAAACATGGAGGGGACATCTTTGTATTAGATCCCCAAGACGTCAGGGCCTTGTTTGCAAGCGTTTGACCCAAATACCAGGCGACAACATCGTGCTATTCCTGCACTTCAGCCAGGCGACATGGTGAACTAGGATATGCTGCCATGTGGTTCCCCAGCGGCGCCGCGGTGCACAGTTTCAATCGCGCATCCAGGCTGATACTGCCGCGACAGTTAGTGGAATGGAAAGTGGGTGTGTGACGGGGCATACTCCTCAGAGCAGAATTGCAACTAAAGCCATAAGCAGCAAGCCCCCGTTTGGATGCGAATAGGGTGCGCGTGGTGCCGTTGGAAGTTGGCAGTGAGTGTTGTGAATGGATGGGAGATGAGGTGTGGCTGGCCGTTCTATTCGAGTCTCGAACCGACTAAGTGGCATATTGAACCAACTAAGGCCAATTCCATTCACACTTTTACAATACTCTCCAATGGCCCTTCAGAGTCTACGCCGTACTTGCTCTTCACAGGCTGATAATGACTACCCCGTCATCGATTGATCTCCCTTCCTGGCTCGCTACCGTTGGTCATGCCCATGCACTGACATCCGCAGACTGGCAGGCATTGTCCCGCCGCCCTAGTTCCTTCAGACGCCCTCCAGACCTTACTCGTTATTGTATACACCAATGACCGAAAACGGATTCGACTAACTACCTGTTGGCGTTTTCTATTGTTCTTTATTGGCGATTGTCGCTATTATGGCGTGCTTAATGAGCCTGCTATAGCTGCACTGTCCTCTCCCTCAGCTTACACTTTTGGATGTAGGTACATTGTGTACTGTCGTAGGAATTATCAATTCTGTACTGAGTGTGATATGAGTAAATAATGACAGCACAGTTTTAGTTTGTCTTCGGTGATGCTCGCATATCCTGGGCGTTAACGGCGAATTGGTGGACATTACATTCAACTCCAATTCCAATTCCACATCTTCCATCTCACTCATCACGAAAGCGAAAAAGCCAATCGTATAACGATGCTTCATGCAACCAGAATGTCAAAAATAACAACGCGTGGTGGCTTATCCGCTGCCATGTGCAACACCGAAAAAAAATAAAAAATAAAAGAATAATGATGACTCTGCGCATCGAACAAGGCATCTGCCAGTTGTCTTTGCTCGTGGCGTAAGTCCCATGGCTCTGATTAGCATAGCCTTCCGCTCGCCGACCGACGCCGCCGTGAGATCCAGCAGACTAGCAGAGCGGATATCTTCGCATTGAACCATAATCTTACCGAATCTCACTCACATATTGGATGGAGAAACAACAAGGACCAATGCCCCCACGGCCATGGGAGTGGATCACTTGAATAACGCAGCCAAAGAGAGAATAGAAAATTGCTTCCTTGTCTCACATCGAACATGCACATACCGCAACAGTGATCATTACTCACGACGGTGAGTCGACAATTGAAAGCGATATCAAAGTCAACGTCTTACGTCTATTCTCGGCTGAAATGAAAATCGTACGACTTATTGAAAAGCCATTCAGATGTAAAAATCCTTGGAAGGAAAAGGGTGCAAGAAGACCTACCTAACTCGCAAGATCGACGTCGAAGGAATACCTAATGGTTGGGGTTGGCTTGCTTCCACCCGCATCCGATCCTTGATCTCCACTCCTGTCATCTCTAGACCCGTATTTCCCCGCAGGATTTCCCCTTACAAAATGTGGGCCATCCATGGGAAATCACATCAATATCAAATGTTCAATATAGGGCCATCCCAGCATCTATCGATAATAAAATCCCTTCATATTGCTGTTTTCACCTTGTTCCGTCACCCGGGTACCTGAGTTCAACCCAGGATCTCTGCAGCAAGCAACGCCCAGAGAAAGTTCAATTCTTTAGAGTTTGGAGTTCTCCCTCGTCTTACCGGGGACGAAATTATATCCTTGCACCGGGTTGGCTGTGTGTCGCTATGCGTTCAACAGCTCATATTCCGACCTGTCAAGCTCGTGAAGAAAGCCCAGCTCCCTCCATCACACCTCGCATCTCCATACCATTTCCGTCGCCGAGCAGCGAAATACTACGCGAGGGGAAGCTTTGCTAAGACGCTGACCTGCATTGACCTACCTCGCCTGCCTGGCATCGCAAACGAAGGCGGTCAAAACGTGACGGGCGACGCGAAACCTACATAACATGACATAACTGTAGTTCATCACATAATCCGAGACTGCATAGTGTTCGTCTCGCGCATGCACGCACGCATAAGGAAGGTAAATGTACATTATCGTTCGTCCAAACGGTCGATACTTACATGGCATGTCGTCCTTCGACCTCGCCCTCGACACTCGTCCTCTGAACTCTACTGCTCGTGCATTCAGCCTGCGCCGTGAGCGTTGACTGATTGACGACGCTTGCATATGTGTATGTGGGTGGCGCCGTTCGAGAAACCTGAATTGCTGATCGGTTATGACTCGCTGGCGCGGCTTTAGGTTTACATTTTTGCGGATGAACGATGCACGGCTGCGTTCTGAATCGCGTGCCGAGTCTTCGGCAACAGTCAAAGGTACTGTTCATAGGTCACGCGGGGCACATTGTAATGCAAGTCTTGGTGACGGATGTGGAGCATTTGCAGTGTTGACATAGCACGGATGCGTTATTCGCTGATGAGGGGGGTATGTGCATATCGCTGCATGTTAGCGTAGTGTCAATAGGCGACCGCCTACTCAGATTTCCATCGGCATTGCCTCGAGATATCATCTAGAATCTCTTGAATGTGGCACATTGAATCGTCCTGTGGGACTTTCAAGTCGCTTCGCCTTGAGGTGCAAGCTCTTGGAGGAACTTTGCTGCGCCGCTGACTAGAGCATCGCGAGTGTAGTGGTGTTCTCACCGCAAACTCTGTTATGTCTGTGTATTGAACGAAGACTCTGAATCATTGCATCTGCTCTTGCACTAAAGAGAGTTGGAACGTCGCGCTGTTCGCTTGCGAGCTTCATGAAAGTGCTTCTAGACCCAGACTACCTAGCTTTCGAAAAATGTATCGTCTAGCCACATAACAGTGCAAATCTTTCACTGCTCTATAGACCTACAGTGGTAGTCTATATTGTATCTTCTATACCAGGAATAGTTACCAGAGCATGTAATCGTCCAATCAACAGTCCAATGGCCTCTCGAATGGGCATCGGGGACAAGTTTGACACGCTTTACCCTCATACGCCTATTACTCTTTAAGTGTCTTTCTTCCTCTCACGGCTACAGTTTCTTCGTAAGCCACGTGATTACAACGACAAGCGGGTCTGACGGCAGGATGAGGAAGACCATTGAGGCCTCGAGTCTGTGTTCCTTTGAATTGACTCCCATTATACAGTACTGCTCGTTCTGTGCAATAGTACAGTACAGTGTATATGAATGCGAGCAGCAAAATGCAATTTCCTTAGAGCAGCGACATAGAGAGCTGCGGAATAGAAAACACTGCCACCTCATGATGTGACCTAGTAGGCTAGAATGAGGCTATTCAGAGGTCACGTGTATCAGGAAAGCACCAAAGGAAACAAGAAACGAGGGATCTGTACTTGGGAGAGGTCAAATCATATCCACCAAGCTTTCGAGGAGAATCAACGAGGGCGATTGTCTGTCAACCGTACCTAATTTCCAATAAAGTTCTCGTCTGTGATGTGGTGTGCCTTTCTTGAAAGCGCCTATGCGCAACTACAATCTTCAAACGTAGACCTCAGACGAAGAAGACGCCGAATGATTCCACTGATATCTCCGAATTATACGTCAAACCTGGCTTGCTTCACACCGCAAGCTTACAAACTTACCTAACTCGCCTAAGCAATCATATATCGCCTTCACTAAGATCACATCGATCGATACGTTGATCCAAGGTTTTACTTCTATCTGTTGATAGAGCTGAAGTGAAGCTAGAGAGGGACTCTATAGGTATATAAACTAGATCCCCTCCCATTTTCTCTCAATTACTTTCTCTCTTCTTCTTCCTCTTCATTCCTCTCTCCGACTCTTACCACTACTTTCCTCAACAGCACTACTTGCGGTGGTTATCACTTCAGTATCATCCCCCAAGTGATCTCTACGAGAGCCATCTCAAGCGATCACCTTTGAAGCCTCATATTCAAGCCCTTTGATAGTAGCGACTCACCTTCGATAACAACGAATCAACCTCTTCGCCACTTCAGTATCACCCGGACCAGGCAGAGATCCGCGCTTCATTGGGACAAATAGGCAAAGTAACATTGTTACACGCTGCTGGCATTTAACAAAGTCTAGATACACTCCCATCATGATCACTATGGAACCGGACTACTTCAGATGCACCCTAGAGGAAGTGAGTAGCCTCATTGAGGAGCTGGAAGGAGAATGGAACTCCCATCTCCGGGAACGCCGAACAAATATCGAAAAACAGGAAGCGCTGGGTCAAGAGTTGACAGAGTATTACGCGAATTGTCAAGATCTCGAAAATGAAATACAATGGCTTCATGAGGTGAAGCGGAGACGCTCCCAGCAAGCCGAACATTGCGAGCGAGAGAAGCGCCAACACATCCAGGAAAACTGGAGTCATGCAGATAAGATGGTCAAGTTAGAGGATGATATAAAGTTTTTGCATGCGTACCGGAGGACACTCTTCGGTGGAGAATCATTCTCTCTAGTGCTTGATGAGGAAACCGCCTATGAAGAATGGACTCGAAGGGCGAACCCAAAGGAAAGAAATAGGGTATCGATGGAGGAGCTCGCCAATTCCATGCGGGCGCTTCGTGAATCGAGTCGCAAAAATGGCACGTCTGCGGGAAATAATGAGGAAGTACCGGGAGGTGATGACGAAACTACCAGTCCGGATGTCCCAGCACAGGACGACAACCTTCTCAAGGCCGAAGGACGATCTATAGTGCACGGAGTGAACGAGGGACATCTCGTGGACCGCAAAGCATACGCGCAGATCCATCCGGCACTGCAATTACCAAGTCCAGATGCGGCTGCCTCACTCGAGGAAAAACTTCACCATTCGCCCTTCTTCCATTGAACACCAAATGACGACTATCGACATCCCCAAGCACCCAACCGACACACCACCAGACTCCCCTTCAATAGCCCTTGGTCACCAACTGGACCCACCCATCACCACCTCATGCCATTCGGTGGTCATATTCCCCATATTTAGCACATTCCCCTATCACCTTCCCATCCATTTCCCATTCAAACCCCTCGGCCCCCAGAAAATTCCCCTTATCCCCTCGAAAATTCGCACCCAAATCAACGATACGACATCGCCCCAAAAGAGATCACACATAGCATTGCCCAGCTATCAATGGCATACACGGCGTTTAGGCCGCACACCCGAATAACCCTCCCCATTCCCAGTCCCCATTCCCAAAAGCACATTATCTTTTCATGCGTCAAGCATGAACGAACACATCCATTCAGACAGAAATACATATATCCATCAATCCATCCGCCAAGAGACCAAACGTGACTAAACTTTTTGAAATCATGTTCTATTCTTCTGGAATTTATCTTGTGGATAGACACAGCGATTCAATTGGCATAGTATAACAGGTTTTAACTAACATCGCGGAAGTCTCGTCGATTGTACATAGCACTCACATATGCGTGCGTAGGGTGGTTTTGTGACTATTTGTTTCTCGACTTGAGAGCTCATTCTCGAATATTGCGGAGACCGAGAGGAACATTGACGTTTAAATTTTCAAAATGTAGCGAAAGTGAATAGATTAGGTATGTATTTTCGAACGAAGGAATTTGAATATCAAGATTGTTATTATTAATCCATTATTATACGAAGCACTGTGAGCATACGTTCTGGTACCTGCATGTGAATCCCCCACTCATTACTTTAAAATCCTACCAAATTGTCATGAAAGGGGAAAAAAGGGAGAAATCTACGCCTCCCTCCTCTGCCTCCCGCTAATAAGATAAATATTCGCCCTGATATCCAACAACGGATCCTCACTCGACAGCAACCCCTCCGTCCTGGGATTCGGATCGAAGATGACCTTCTTCTGCTCGTCCAAGCTCTCCTGCTCCCCGAGCGGCTTCTCCAACTTCACCGTGCCTAGCTCAACCACCTCTCTGTCGTCAGGCCACAGAACGGTCGCGTCGTTCGTGACGTCTTCATCCTTCGCAAGCTGGACCACGAGTTTGAACTCCACAGGCTCGGATGTGACGCGGGAGTTGATCTCGGAGAAGAGGTAGTTGTCGTCTTTCGTGCCGACGTCTGCCTCGGAGAGGACGTGGGTGCCGGAGACCGGGATGAGGCGGTAGCGGCCGTAGGTTGTCTTTCCAGAGGGGGAGACGAAGCCGATGGCGTTGATGGCCCAGTAGGTTTGCGTGGCGAGGCTCACGGGGAAGGGCTTGGGGTCCTCGACGAAGCGCTTGGTTTCCGGGTGCTCGGACAGGAATTTGCCTGTGGCTTCTGGGCCGCCGCCTAGGGCGTGCAGGAGGCCGAGGAATTCGGGGCCAGTGCGGACGGGGAAGTACTTGGTGGAGTGGGCGATGATGTCGGTGTGAGAGCGCTTGCCGTCGGGGGTGTTGGGGAGGTGGAAGCGGACCGCGATGCCTCGTGGATTGGCGTTGGGGTCCGTGTCGGGGATCTTGGGGATGCCGGTTGAGGAGGAGAAGCGGACTGTGATTGGGGTTGATGGGGTGTTGAAGTGGTGGGCTGTTGTGAGGTTTGAGGCTGCGGATGTGGGTGTGAATGTGCCGGTTATAAGTTGGCCCTTTGCGTGTGCTGGAGGATGATTAGTTCAAAGATTGTGATGGAGTGACGTGGAGAAGAGTGAGATATTCCTACCTGGACGGAAGCCTGGGGGCGTGCCAAATGCAGCTTTCATCGTGTCGATGATGCCATTGCTGGTCTCGAGGGTTTTGGGGTCGCTGGAGAGAGGCATGGTGTTTGTTTGTGTACGTCAAGTCAATCCACAACAACTATTGATGATAAAAGCTCAGTTGTATGTATAAGGTATCTTGAAGAAGTCAAATTAATAGAACTGAATGATTGCTGAGGGCATTCAAACTTCATTTTGCGTTTCTCGTCCCCTCCCTTTATACTCACGACCAACCCCTCATTCCAGGCTTCAAGCACCTAAGAAATCCCACCATTGCGCCAAAGAATTGCGATGCGACATAAGCTCTTCCCTGCGACAGCATCCTCCCGCATCCGTGGCTCTTCAAATGTCGATGCACTCATTGGTGGGCCGCGTTACACCATCCCCTTGGTAAGTAAGCTGCACTACGATTACTAAATACCCTGCAGCAGTTCCTTTATCTCAAATACCTTACCCAACCAATGGCGCGGTTGCTACGGTATTCGCGAGGTATTTAGACGCATTTGTCATGAGTATTGCGCATTAGCCTCGATGTTGGAACGGTCAAATGGAGGAAAGTCGATGATTTGAAGCTGGGATTGGGCAAGGCGGATGGAGCTGGATCGGACTTCGGTGGGTGGGCGGGCCGCATCTGGTATGTTTCTAGAAGGATTTCTGAATTCAAATCGCCTTGACAAAGCGGGGCGGGTTGTGCTCATCAGGGTTCTAGTCATAAGAGACATTTCGTCATTGTTGGTGCTACTCGTTTATGAAAAGTCATCTTTCTATTTAGGTGATTAGTGGAAAAGAAGATATCTCGTAGCACATGTGAATTTACCAATCGACTGGATGACACATTTACCACATATGGATAAGCCCAGCATTTCGTGAATACCTACCCAGGTAATTATCATCTAATTCCAAGTACGAACATTTGGAATAGTATTGTTTCAATTTGGAAACTCATCAAAGATAGAATTAGACTGTCGTTATCATACGTCATATTTGTAATTATGGAGTTGCATCCCCGCAGGTAGTAATACGAATCGGAATTGTGCTGCCGTCCTGCAGCGGAACTCGGATGCATCAAATGCCAACATTGCCCATAACGGATCAAAAAAGGAAAAGGTATCTTGGAGAGAGTATGATGTCAAGAAACAAGAATGTCCAGTAAAAATCACGCCGTATCTGCTATTTATTGGTCTCTTGCTTTGCTGACAGAGTCGCTGGACAAAATAGACAAGTCCTCTCAGTACGGATCGGCTGGCCCTCACAGCGAATGCCGACACCTGAGGCGTTGGGCAGCGTATGTTGCACCCCCAGGGGTTTGGCAACCGTTCCAAACAACTCACACTGCGAGAGATCTTTTATGGTATTCGGGAAAACCAGCTAATATGCGCCTTGGGGTACCTGGTAACCTCCCATCTGTTGCGCCTGCTGCTGTTGGGCTTGTGCCAGAGCTTGATCATGCTGCCTTCGCGGAAGGTCATTGAACCAAGGATGGTTCAGTGCAGCCTGCGCAGTAATGCGCATTTCAGGACGTAGCTGAAGCATGCTGTTCAATAGGTTCAAGCCAACCTGATCGACCTGGGGAAGGATAAGGCGGAGATCCTGGGTTGCAAAAACATGGAAGTTGCCCTTGTACTCTGGAAGTTGCGAGATTCCAGGCCATGATCGCTCAGAAGGCGTGCCCATCAACCTGAAGATTTTTTGCAATTGGTCTTCGTTGGTTGTTCCTGGGAACAGAGGACGCCCGGTGTACATCTCAGCCATGATGCAGCCAGCAGACCAGATGTCAATGCTTGTATTATATGTCCGGCTTCCGAGAAGAACGTCTGGAGCACGGTACCAGAGTGTGACGACCTCATTAGAAAATGTGTTTACAGGGATGCCGAATGCTCTTGCTAGACCGAAATCGGCGAGTTTGAGCTGGAGACGGGTGTTGATGAGGAGGTTCTGGGGCTTTAAATCACGGTGCAGAACGCGGTTGTCGTGGCAGAAAGCAATGCCCTGGAGGAGCTGGTACATGAACGATTTGATGGTGGCGGGGTCGAGTGCGCCACGGTCACCGCGGGAGTCCATGTATCGCTTTAGATCCCGATCCATGTATTCGAAGACGAGCATCAATTTGTTCTCGGTATGAATAACGTCATGGAGAAGAACGATGTTCTCGTGCTTCAGCTCCTTCATGAGAGAGATCTCGCGAATGGCGGTTGAAGGTGTGCCTTCCTCGGAGTCTAGATGGATCTCCTTCAACGCAACAAGTTCGCCGGTCTGACGGTTCCGTCCCTTGAACACCTGTGGCAGGGTTAGCACTTGCTACTCAACTTTACGCATACCACAAAAGCATACCGTTGCGTATGTTCCCTCACCCAGCTTTTCCAATTGCTGGAATGAGCTGGGATGCCTTCTGTTATCCATGTTTGGTGTGAATGGAGGTTCGCTGTCCCCAAGGTTTCTGATGCTGATAGATGAGTCGGTGCGATTTGCGACGGAGAGAGTGCCGGCGTGCGTAGGTCGTAGATTGCCGGGCGGCGGACGATCAGTGAATTTAGGGTCCCAAAGGATGTCTCCCGCGGTGGTGAGCTGGCTGGCTATCTGTAGTTGTGTTGAGGGTGCGGCGATGGTGGCGGGAAGAGTAGCACTGGTGGGGGTGGGAATTGATTGAGCCGTTTTGACGATGGGGTGGAGGTTTATCGAGGAGGAGAGGGATCTTCGAGTCGAGGCAGGAGTGTCTAAGTTATTATACTTAGACGTGCAGCGACAGCGAAGGTGGAGGAGGTGGAGGAAGAGCGAAGGAGTGGATACTTGTCGGCGCGTAGGACGTAGAGGATTATTGGAGGTCGAGGCGGCGGGCGATGAAGACCGGATGACTGGACTGGGAACGATGATGTTTCGCGCCGTTTGGTGGAGCTAAGCCTTTTTGGGTTCCATATCCCTACCCAAGAGAGTTACTATTTACAGGTTTTTGAAGTGCGTACCTGAGCAGAATGCCTGGCTGCTTCTCTTTCTGTGTTACTATACGCAGGTAATTAAGATGCTCTATTCTCGATGCTAATTTAGAGTATTATCCTCAAGGCCTATGGGCTGTGTAGGAATCAGATGGACGCTTTGGCATTCTGGCCTTCGTCTCCACATACACAGGACGAGTACCTATTTACAAGATGATCACATGAAGACGACCATATTGTCGACGAATATATGTTGAAAACGCATCTGTACATCGACACAGTCAGGTTTTGTTTGGATTAATTCCGGTCACACCCACGACTAAAGAATCAATGTTACGGTGTCACCTCATTAAAACAGTCCTATCATTCAGAGTACGTGAGCACGTGATTCTTGGCTTACGCGATTCCGGAGGTGGAGCTCTCATTGGATCACTGGCAGCTCCGAGCACCTCACCTTCTTTCGTCACCGTCACCACCACCAAAAGGCGATCATTGAATGTGAACCTACCCTGCAACTTCGACCTAACCCGCGCTGCTACCCTCACGAGAGTGTCGAAATGCGAGCAGGCCTCTACCATCGTACTCCGAATATTACAAAGTTGCCCGACTGAGCCTTACGAACGCTCATTCGTTAGCAAAGACGACTTCGTTACCGTTTGCCCCTCGAATAGCACATCTTTCAGAAACGAATTGATCCATACCACGTTTTCCCCATAACTCCCCACTCGGTCCGTGACATGAAAAATACAATATATGACCGCCTTTTACGGCGGGAACTAGGCTCTCTTGACCACTATCCCAGCGTTCGCGGAGTCTACGGTGATCGGCGTTGGATTGATGAACTTGATATTGTAAATGAATTGGAAGGCCACCATGGCTGTGTCAATGCCCTAAGGTGAGTCTACAGTGTCGTTGCAGTCACGGGTTTGAATGATCTTGCTCACTGCTTGGTATAGCTGGTCTACCTCCGGTCGTCTACTTGCCAGTGGCTCCGATGACCATCGAATCAACATTCATACCTATAGCCCCGAAGACTCCACCTCGCAATTCAATCTCACAACGTCAATATTAACCGGTCATCGATCAAATATTTTCTCCGTGAAATTTATGCCATATTCGAACGACAGAACGATCGTTTCTGCCACCGACGATGTTCGTATCTTTGATATAGAACACTCCGGTCATTCCATGTATGGCTCGTCTTCGTCCAGGCCTGATCGATCATCTCAACCGAGACGGCGGGTTGGCTTGCATGCTGTTGATGGAGTCACGCTGACCGAGGGGGACACCAATGCAAAAGCATTCCGGTGCCATACCGAGTCAGTGAAGCGTATCGTGACTGAAGACAATCCCTTCTTCTTTTTGACGTGTTCAGAGGATGGTGATGTAAGACAGTGGGATATTCGTCAGCCTGCGAGAGCATATCCGCCTGGCATCGTCACTCCGCGCTGGGCATCTGAACGTGGTGCCAGTGATGACGTTCCCGCTCCGCTCATATCGTATAGTAAATACAGGCTTGACTTGAACACTGTGTCCTGCTCTCCGTCGCAGCCACACTACATCGCGGTTGGCGGGGCTCACCTGCATTGCTTTCTCCATGATCGGAGAATGCTGGGTCGAGATAGACTCGGCGAAAGAGGTGCCAGGCTGTCAAGTCCGGGTAATTGGAACGACTCCGACGATCACCTCCTCGGCCAAGCAACCCAATGTGTGAAGAAGTTCGCGCCCAATGGGCAGAAGCGCATGGCTCGCAATGATAACGGTCATATCACTGCATGCAAGATCAGTGATGCCAACCCCAATGAATTAATTGTGAGTTGGTCAGGCGATTGGATATATAGTTTCGACATCCACAGGAGCCCTGATGCAACGGAGGATTCTGCTGATGCCGGTTCCTCTACTTTGATACCACAAGGCGATCAACAACGAGCAGACATGCTTCATGATGGTCGTAAGCGGAAGAATTCAGACACAGATCGAGGATCACAGCGGGCTCGTTCCCGTCAACGTACGGAAGACTCGCAAGGATCCACGAATGAACCAGACAATCTCGCACTAAGGGTCAATTATAGCAACGGCCAGAGTGAGGAAATACCGATAGAGCAACCTAATAGCCCGAATGAAGAAGCGGCACTAGCAAGTACTAATCATTTTCGCATCGCGAAGACGGTTCTCAAAGTTCGGAAACAAATCTTCAACCTGAATCCGGCAAAGGCTTCTAGCATGGCTGTTGGACCAAGCGAGCACACTCCTAGTTTCACAACTGTACTTGGCTTCGCTGCTTCTATTCTTCCAGAAATGGATGACATATCTCGAGCCTGGCGTTATCCCGTCGATCCTACTCGTTTGGATATCGCGTATCAGAATGACTGCCGCGCCAAACGTGATTCTGCTCGTCGTTTCGTACAAGCAGCCGGTACCCTTGCTCGAGTTCTAGGAGGACAGCTTCGCACCGGCGGCAATGGTGACGCCATAGTATCACGATACTTTTCTGTTATTGGCCAGACCGTTTCGACATCACGTCCTTTGCCACGGCGTGAACAATTTGGATACGATTTCCTGAAAGCCATCATTCTCTGGTTGGACAGCGGGTTAGGTGCAGTGGTGGAGGGTTTCTCCAGTCCTAGCGATAATCCAAGACTACCACTTAGGACCGACTCCGATGTTGACGACATTGACGACCTACTGATTCCGTATCTTCTCAGTATTGCGAGCGATAGCCCGGTTGTGGATGTGGATGTCTCGAGGTTTGCAAGTGATGCAACGAGGATACTTCATTCTTCTGAGAAGGCTGCCGTGATCACATTCGCACGAGCTCTCAAAATTCCATTCGCTGATCTGACTGGAGCATTGGTTCCGGCTGATGGCACTTTGGCGGAGCATCACGCAGTGCAGGATCGCAAGACCGCAATCAGTAAATGGGCTTTCAAAGTTGGAAGGGGAGTGTTGCTGAATGCTACCAAGCACGTTGACTTTCAATTCGTGGACCAAGCTTTCGGTGGTTCTGGAGACATGACCTCTGAGATCCGTAACCAAGACCAAGAGGTCATGGAACAGCAAGAAGATATTGGTACATCTACAGACGACGATGACAATATGGTAGTTGACGTGCAGGTCGTCGACACGGACGGCCGGTCCCTGGGCTCTGCCCTAATATCGAATCCCGAATCTGCCCCTCTGCTGGGCACTCGTGAGTCTTCATCGACGTCCTCCGATGATGAAGGACTCCCAGATCTCGAAGATCCAAGCGACGAAGGCGAAGATAGTGACGCCAATGTCATTGAGGAGGCAATCGCCGCAATTGCGGACAATGAGGATGACGGACCGCACGACGACACAGATGAAGACGAGGATGTTGATGAACATGGGCTATCTCGAACACGTAGCGGCCGAATTCTCTGGCGCTCTGACTTTGACCGAAGCCGCAAACGAGAGAGAGTTGAATCGCATATACCATGCAGCCCTCATACCCGTGTGTTCTCCGGTCATTGCAACGTGAGAACCGTCAAGGACGTAAATTTCTTCGGCTTAGAAGATGAATACGTTGTCAGTGGAAGTGATTCGGGACATGTTTTTATATGGGATAGGAAGACCGGCCAACTTCTTAACATTTTGGAAGGAGATGGTGAAGTTGTGAATGTAGTGCAAGGTTGGTACCAACATTGTTGTATGCTTCAAACATTTGCTCACATAGATAGGTCATCCATACGAACCAACAATGGCTGTCTCTGGAATCGACCATACCATTAAGATCTTCTCTCCCGATGCACAAGCACAGAGGAATGCTCGAAAGGGTATTGGCGTTTCTTGTTCAGATCCTGGCCTGTCTACGGTCAGCTTCCGGCGACGAAGACGAACGCGTCCGCATCCCGACACTGTGGAACCTTCCAGCTCACAGGGTGACGAGCAAGACAGTGGTGCAGAAGAAGACAGTGAAGAGGAAGACATGCGTGTTGCTCCCAATGGACTCCCAAGCAAGAAACGTATGCATGATGAATACAAGATCATCAGCCAGAACGACCTGGATCGTAAAGGTGGACAGGAGGACGCAACACTTACGGTGAGCTCATGCCCCAGTTGATGTAGATTTGTAACGACGGAAAGCTGACAATAACTAGAGAGCATTTCTTATGCGGGTTGCGCGAGAGTTGCACCAACAAGGTGACGGCGCTACCATCATGCTCGAAAATCATGACAACTGTAACGTCATGTGAGAGGTACAGAAAGACCATACGGACCATCAAAATCAAATCCCGTGTGAATATAGTATCTTTATTTCGCAACAACATAACGAAGAGAGATTCAGCTTGGATAATTTTGATTAGATAGTTTTAATACTAAAACATTCCCAGGAAAGCTATTTCCATTGAGACAGAATTGACCATACATGACAGCTGACCTCTTGACGTTACTCCTCCCAATGATGTTGTGACCAAATCGCATTCTTCCAGCAGTCGAAAAAGCAGACTGGTTTTCCTCCGCTCCGGACACCAGGACAGCTCCACTGGCGTTTGTCCAACCCCTATTCAACGTTCCAAAACAATGTAGCTCTTGTTTAAGTAGCCTTCTTCTGCTTGGCTTTCAAGGCCTTCTTCCTGTTACTCCGTATCATAACAACTGAAAGGAAGCTTCCAACAACGGTGGTTCCGAGGATGATGAGGATGACAGGGATACGAATGGCCCAGACACGTGGAGGGAAGAGCGAGTGGAGGGGATGGTCCTCGTCAACGAAGGGCTGTTCAATGGTGATTAGCAATTGAAGTCATGATATCTCACGTCGAGGCATAGAGATTTGATCCTCAAATATATAGCCATCGTGGATGTCTTACCATGAAAAGTGTCCATATCGTGTAATAGAGGAAGACGGCGGTTGCTGCGATGAGCATGCTGAGTCCAACGAGACGGTCGAGCTACAGCATCTTAGTATTTACTCGGATGCAAATACTCTGCGAATAATGTTCGAAACTCACCATCTTGTCGGTTTAGAAGAATTCAGATAAATATGGAAGTTTGTCGAGTCTTCCCCTTAACTGGACCTGGCTCGTGTTCGCTGGATGTTTAGGTCGGAGCGCCAAGAATACTGGGAAAGCTGCCCGGAGGCCGGAGTCAGTTTCGCCGACGTGAGCTAAAGTTTCTCGCGACATCTTCCAACGCCTCCCCTTCACAACGTCGCGTTGTGGCCACTCACCGTTTCACTATTGTCCAGCGGATTTGACGTGGATACAGGAGAGGTCTGCGCGTTCATCTGACGTCAATCTTGTCCTCGCCATCACCAAAATGGAGGTCGCATCTGCCGTACGCATTCCATCTCCGGAGCCAGAGCTCCCATCTCCAGAGCCAGCGCGCAAGCGTGACCGCTCGCCGTATCAATCCGGGCCATCCAAGCGCTCCCGCAGAAACGATCGCGACGAAGATGGAGACCGGCCGCGCGAGCGAGCCCGAGATCGTGGCGATGACCGCCGGCGAGACCGCGAGAATGGTCGCAGAGGAGGAGACGAACCCGCGGACGACGATGCGCGCCTCAAACTCTTCCAGAACGCCTTCAGCTCCAGCAGGAAGCTGCCCATCGACGACTCCAAGACCCGCGCTGGAGGCGCCTACATCCCGCCCGCGCGCCTCCGCGAAATGCAGAAGTCGATCACGGATAAGAAGAGTGCGGAGTTCCAGCGCATGGCCTGGGAGGCCCTGAAGAAGTCTATTCAGGGTATGATCAACAAGTGCAATGTCGCGAACATCAAAAACATTGTGCCTGAGCTCTTTGGGGAGAATTTGATTAGGGGAAGGGGTCTGTTTTGTCGTTCGATCATGAAGGCCCAGGCAGCAAGTTTGCCATTCACGCCGATCTACGCAGCCATGACGGCGATTATCAATACGAAATTGCCGCAGGTTGGAGATCTCCTGGTGCGTCGGTTGATCATACAGTTCAGGAAAGCATTCAGGCGAAACGACAAGGCGGTTTCTGTGTCGAGTTCGATGTTTCTGTCACATCTTGTCAACACCCAGGTCGTTCATGAGATCATCATTGCTGAGATCTTGCTCCTGCTTCTCAACAAGCCAACTGATGACAGCGTCGAGATCGCGGTGTCGATCATGAGAGAGACCGGCCAGTTTTTGGAGGACATGAACAGCGCCATTTCCAACGCGATCTTCGACCAGTTCAGAAACATCCTGCACGAGGCAGATATCGACAAGCGAACTCAATATATGATCGAAGTTTTATTCGAAGTCCGGAAAAACAAATACAAGGATAACCCTGCGGTGAGAGAGGAACTTGATTTGGTGGAGGAAGAAGACCAGCATACCCACAGACACACCCTCGAGGACGAGCTCAAGACTGAGGATGGGCTGAATATTTTCAAGGTCGACCCAGAGTATGAGGAACATGAGGAGCAATACCAGAGACTAAAGGCCGAGATCTTGGGCGAGGAAGAGGGTAGCGATGCAGAGTACACCGATGCTTCGAGCGACGAGGACGAGGATGACGAAGAAACCAAAGCTATGGAAGTGAAGGACCAGACGAACGCCGATTTGACCAATCTTCGACGACAGATCTATCTTACCATCAAGAGCAGTGGAGGATTCGAGGAGTGCGTTCACAAACTTATGCGCATCAATCTTCCACATGGTCTGGAGAAGGAGCTCACCACCATGATCATCGACAGTGCCGCCGAAAACCGCACGTATGAGAAATTTTACGGGCAGATCGGAGAGCGCTTCTGCAAGTTGAATCGTATGTGGGCGGAACTCTTCGAGGACAACTTCGTCAACTACTACGAGACCATCCATCGCTTGGAGACGAACAAACTTCGTATCGTCGCCCAGTTCTTCGCACATCTCCTGGGCTCCGACGCCATCGGGTGGCATGTATTCTCGGCCATCAAATTGAACGAGGAGGACACTACTTCAAGCTCGCGTATCTTCATAAAGATCCTCTTTGAGGAGCTGATGGCGTCTCTGGGTCAAAAGTCCGTGGTAGAGCGATTAAAGGAGCCAACGCTGCAGGAGAGCTTGACTGGCATTTTCCCAACAGATGCCGACGACCAGTCCAAGACCCGTTTCGCTATCAACTTCTTTACCGCGATCCAAATGGGTGTACTGACAGAGGGTATGCGCGAGTGGTTGAAGAATGCCGCCCCGAAGCCTGCTCCATTGCCAGAACCAGAAAGCGAATCAGACTCGGACAGCGTCTCTTCCTATTCCTCCTACTCATCCCGCTCCCGATCTCGTTCACGCACGCCAGCTCGCCGACGACGAGACTCACGATCAAGCTCACGAGGAAGGTCCTACAGCCGTAGCCGATCACCCGCTCCCAAGAAGGGCAGGGGCCGCAGCCCATCCTACTCCTCCAACTCCAGGTCTCGATCACCAGCACCCCGCAAGAGGAGATACTCTTCTAGCCGCTCGCCTTCCCCGGCACCTCGCCGCAGAGGCGGACGAGACCCCTCAAACTCCGTATCACGCTCTCGATCTCCCGCCGGCAAGCGTCGCCGCTACTCGACCAGCCCATCCAGGTCTCCATCCCCAGCTCCACGCCGTCGACGCAACTCCAGCACTCCGCCTCCCCCACGTCGCGTCCGTGATTCAAGCAGCCCGCCTCCTCGACGACGAAGAAGCTCAAGCACACCACCTCCACGAGGCGGAGCCGCTGCGCCAGGAAGCGCAAACGGGAAACCCAGCCGTCGCCGTGGTGGGTCGTCTTCTCGCTCGCGGTCACCACCACCCAGGAGGAGGCAGTACTCCAGCTCTGTATCACGCTCGCCACCGCCTCGAAGACGTGCGGATTCGTGAAAGAATCACAGTTCGTGTAGCATTATTTGCATCGAGGCGGGTGTAGGTAATTGATTGTAAAGATTAAGATTGTTTCACATAAAATACATCAGAAATATCGACGACGCAGGGAAGTCTGGAGAAGGGACTATTATGGTGACTATTTAGCATCTCATGGTTTTGGGAAAGCGAATTATCAGGTTGATGAAAGAATCTCAAAATACATTATTATAACTCTTATACTTCACACCTATTTCTTTTGATGATCGTGATGCTTTTGATATTGTTTGAGATCATCGGGATGAAAATTTCTGTTCATTCTTCTCTTGGAGATCGGACCGATGTTGATGTTATTGTAAGATAGTTCACGAACCACTCCGAAAGGACGATACGAATACTTTCGTCATGCGCCTCTTCTCTCCCTTCCCTAAGCACTCACATCATTCACCATCTCAACCTCCCAATACACCCCTCAATAGTACAAAATGATAGTGTCCATAGCCATCGAAGACCAAAACGTCTCCTTGAACCACCCACACCCAACCTCCCCTTCTTCTCCAAACATAGCTATAGCTAATGCACGTCACAAATACGCAGAGACATCTTGACCATCTTTGCTCCTTTTATGGCTCATCTGTAGATGAGTAAGAGTGAGACCTGTGGAAAATCTATCCTTGTCTAATAAAGTGACCGTTCTTGGGCCTATAATTTGCCGACTTTGAGCACGTATGGAATTCTTTTGTGGCAGATGCTAGACTGTTCGAAATCTTTTCGTGTGATTACGTCCAGTAGAAGATGACACTTAGTGCTATGGTGCTAAATTGTAACTACGGCATGGCATCGTTTGGTAAATCTGGATGATGTTTGTAACAACCCCAAATACTCGTTACCGGGTCAATTTCCACACACCAACAGGGAAATTCAGAGTGCCACGCTGTAAGACACCGAACGATAGGGTAGCTCAAGGTATGATAATGAGGTTAGTTTGACTAATGGCAAACATGCATGGTTGGCGGGCCTCCGGGGGGTAATGCATCACGAAATGAACCCGAACGTCACAAACGATTATAAAGCGATTGCCGAGACAGTCCCGGAAAGGTCAGTATAAGTGAAGTGTAAAAGTGGTGTAGAATGGGGCGATGAAAAAAAGGTCAGAAAGGAGGAAACGTTTATCTGGTAACATTAAGGTTGCCGCGAGGAAAGTGGACCTGACACCCTTCAATTACATCTGGTATTGTCATTGCTTACGCATCCCGTTGCGGAATTATCCAGTCTGATCCAACGATTTCTCAGAAGTAGTGTAGTGATTTTGTCGCTCGACTTGACTTCGATGTTAAATTGATCAGAGTATCATTGGACATGAATTTAATTTGCCTCATTGCCCCAAAAGAAGAAGGCTTTGACTACGAACGTATTTACTGACCCCGAAGAGCCCAATATACGGTAGTTCCAGACATCTTCCATGGCAGAGATCCAGCCACATCTGGTTTTACCGAGTAACTAACATAGAGGTCTTTAAGATGGGTCCGGAGACACAAGTCCAGTGCATCTATCTGGGATTTTCCGACCAATAGTGACTGATTATAGTGACAGGAGCTCTTGCCGTACAGACATCTTGGTTTCTTACAACCTCCACACAAGTAATATAAGCAATTTATCAAAACACCCACGACAAATTCCTTAGATGGGTGTTAATTGAGTGCACATAGGCAGCAAAACTAAAGAAGACCCGGTAAGAACACTAGGAACAAATTGCTTGTGTCAAACAGTACTTGCATTGAGTTCTATCCTTGACTTGTGTGTGTGCAACAACTGCAAGACCTATATAGATTCGTGATCCAAACGAGTGTTTTCCTCCACTGTGGTCATGTGTGCTTAAATTGGGAGCAGTCGGCATGACCGACCGTTCCCAAGTCTCAGGAGTCAGCACGCGT